TATAATATTATCTGAGATAACATTATTATTTCTGATTATTATAAAAAAAATATAATTATTAATATAAATAACTTAATCTTTAAATATCTAAAGTAGTTATAATAGATATTAATTTAAATATTATATAGTATATATTAATACTAGATATTTATTTATAATTACTAATATTTTTTTTATTTATTTAACTTCTAATATTAAAATCTAAGAGTTTAAGAATATATTTTATATTAGAGAAATTAATTCTGTTTATAAATCTAAATAATGTATAGTTTTTAATATATATTTTTTATAAATATAGTTTTTAAAAAGATTTTAAATTCTTAATCTTATTTATATTTATATTAAAATTTAAATATATTTAATTAAAGATTTTTATTCTAATATATTTATTAATATTAATATAATATACTAAAAAAAATTAGTTTTTAATTATAAATATTAAATAATAATTTTTTATTTATATAATTTTATATTTTTTTATTAAATTATTATTACTATTAACTAAGTTAATATATTAATTTATTGTATTTAAATAATTATTATTCTTTTATATATATAAATAAAGATATTTATTATAATTAAAGTAGTAAATTTTATAAATATTAATTATATTATTAAACTAAAAAAAATAGTACTAGTTTATTCTTGTATATATATTTAATTAATATATTTTTTATTAAAATTATTAATAAATAATTAAATCTAGTAGTATTAAACTAATATATTAAGATTGATATATTTTTAAATAATAAATATATTATAGTTTATATAGTAGAAGATATTATTATAAAATTTATTTATTTAATATCTTAAGTATCCTGTATATATATTTATATATATTATTATTATACTATTTAATCTTTATATATAATAGAAGTTATAAATACTAATATAATTAATAATACTAAATAAGTTTTTAAATATAAATTAAAATTATCTAAAAATATCTTAGTTTTAGATACCCTGAAAAGTATTTTAAAATTATTTTATTTATTAAAAATAAAATATAAAATTAATAAAAATAAGATATTAATACTTTTAAATAATATAATTATCTATTAAAATAATAATAAAAAAGTTTCTTATAAAATTTATTATATTTTATAATATTTAAATTTTATTTAATATTTTTAATATCAGAATTATTTATATCCTAGAAAATTAATAAATATATATATTATTAAAAAATAAATAATAAAACTGTATAATTAAATATAAATCTTATATTTATTATTTTTTTAAATATAATAAAATTATTATTAATTTAATTTTTAATTTTTTATATACTATTAATAAGATATCTTATATTAAAATATATATACTATTTATATATCTAGTATTTATTATCTAGAGATAGATAAATTATAAAATTAAAAAATATTTTATTATTAATATAAAAGCTGCTAATTATAAAATTAAATTAGATTTTTATCTAATTTTTATACAGGAAGATATTCTTTATATAATAAAAATTTATTTTTATATTATTATAGTAGATACTACTTAATTTTTTTATTAATAATTTATATTTTAAATTTACTAAAATTAATTTACAGTTATTATATATAAAGAATAGAAAATCTTTTATATTATTATTATAGGATTTATTAATTTTATATTTTATAATAAATATTAAATAAATTTAATTTTTTAGGAATTTAAAAAGTTTATTAAAATATATATTAATAATAATAATATTATTTTTTAAATATTTAATAATTACTTAGATTATTTTTTATCAGTTTTTAGAAAGTTTGAGATATAAATATTAAACTAAAATTAATAAAAACTTTTATTAGATTTTTTTATTTTTTTATTTAAATAATATATTAATATTTTAAATTTTATTAATTTCTCAAAAAATTATTACTGTTATTTATAAACTTAAGTTTTCTAAAACTTTTATATAATTAGATTATTATTTAAAATTTATTAGTTAATTATATAGTTATATAAGCTGCTATACTATTAAAATATTATTATTATAAAAATATAAGATATAATTATTTAAAAAATAGATTATTTTAATATACTTAGCTATTTCTAAATTATATACTTTTATATATATAAATTATTTTTATTAAAATTATACTAATAAGATATTAGTTATTAACTTAATATTTAAAAAACTTTATATTTATTAAATACTTTAAAATAAATTTACTAATATTAAAAAATTTACTTATTTTATTTTATTAAATTAAATTTATTTAAATCTAGATTGATATTATAAAAAATATAATATAATATTTTATTATCTTAATAATTATAAGTATAAGGATTTATCTAAATTATTTTTTAAAATATATATATATTTAATTATATTTCTCAGTTGAATTCTTATATCTATTAAAAAAATTATTAGTTAATTAGATTAAAGATTTTCTATTTTATTTAAACTTTTTAAAATTAAAATATATTATCTAAACTATATATATATAAATTTTTTAATTATTTATATTAATTATTCTAGTATAGTTACTTTATTTAAGTAAATTATATTTAATATAGTTATTATTAAATATTTAAATCTCTAGTTAATCTAAATAAATTAATATATATAGTAATTCTGTCTTATTATATATTATTATTTTAATATTATTAATATTATTATTAACATTTTTTATATTTTTTTATATTTTTTTATATTTTTTTAAAAAAGAAGTCTAATATACTCTAAAATATAATTTTAAAAATATTTTTATAAATATATTTACTATTATCTATATATATTTTAAATATATAATTAAAATCTTTAAAGATTTTAAATAATAAATCTATAATAAATATTCTAATAATTCTTATATATTTAAGATTATTAAGATTTTTAAATTTAATTGTAGTATTAATCTTTTTTATTTTCTTAAAAAAAATTTTTTTATATAATAAAATATATTATTTATAATACTAATAATATTATTAATTTTAAAAATAAAATATATATTACTAAGAATAATAATTATATTATATTAAAGAAATTTTAGATATATATTTTATATTTATTAATAAAAATAATTATTAAAAATATAAGAAGTATATTACTAAATTTAATAATATAATTATTTTTAAAATTTATAAACTATTAAAAAAATATATTATTTATTATCTAATATATCTATAAAATAAAATATATAAATATTATTTATATAAAATATTTTAATTCTTTTTATAACTAAATTTTTCTATATTTTAATTATAGATTTTATAATTATATTTTTTAAAAAATATAATAATAATTAAATTTTTATATTTATAAATAAATTTACTAAAAGACTTGATATTTAAAAAATATTTTAAAATATTAGTAGAGTAGTAAAGTATAATTATTATTTATTATTTTTAAAAATATAATTAAAATATATTTATAATATTTATATTAAATTATAATATATAATTTATATCTGTATTCTAGAAAAAATTATTTAATTATTTAAATATTTATTAATTTTATTTTATAATTATATATTTATAAATAGATAATTAATCTAAATATATAATCTAAATAATTAAAATTATAATATATTATATAATAATCTAATAAAAGTTATAGTTATCTATTATTTTATTAATTATTATTATTATAAATTTATTTCTAAATATATTCTTAAAAAATATACTATACTATTTTATATTCAGAATATTCTTATATTAATTCTAGTATTTAATTAAAGATTTTTTTAAATAAAATAAAAAATATATATAATTTTATTAATAAATATTCTTCTGTATATTAAGATATTATTTTTAAAAATATTTCTTATAAAACTAAATATTTAAAAATATTATTACTAATATTAATACTAATACTATTTAAAACTTTAGTTTTTATTTTAATATAGAAAAAGTATTATAGTATATTATAATATATATAAAATATTCTTATATTATAAGATATAAATTTATTATTTTTTATTTTAATAATTATATATATTTATATTTTTATAAAAGATATACTATTCTTATTATTAAAAATAATAAAATTAAATTAATATAATAATATATTAATTTTTTTTAATTCTTAAAGTTATTAAAAAATATATATATTATCTTTAGTTTCTAGATATATAAAAAATATATTTAATTATATTTATTATTTAATTAAAATCTATTTCTGGAGAAGATTTATATAATAAGTTTTTAATTAAATTATTATATATTATTAATAAATATTTCTTTAATTAAGATAATTATTAAAAAGTATTAATAATTTTAAATAAATAAATTATCTTATATAATTATTTCTGAGTTTTTATTATTTAATATTTTATCTATTAATTAAAATATAATTTTAAAAATAATTAATAATTAAAAATTAAAAATTTTATTACAGATAACTCAATTTATAAATTTAATAAATATTTTAAAATATATTCTTAACTATATTCTGTTTTTTTTATTATCTTTATAATTATTTTTTTTATTTTATATTTATTATTTTAAAAATCTTATCTTCTGTTTATTTTATATATCTGATATCTTATAATATTATATTTTTATTTTTTAGTTATACTAATTATTTTTATATATTCTTTAAATAATATATTTAGATTTAATAATATAGATACTATTTTTAAAATACTAGTATCTATAGTATTTCTAGAATATCTGTATTCTACTATTTTTATAATACTGTGTTTGTAACTGCTAAGAAAGCTCTTAGCTAATCCATCAGTCTCTCTGTCTTCCTGACTTTCTATGTCATCTTACATCAATCCATGAAGCTTACATATGATCATTCCTTGCTTCCGTAATAGGCAGAATCTATTCTCTTTCCACACCTCCATTAATATATAATTATAAACTCTCAGTGCTTTGCCAACAAGCAGGAAGTCGAAGCTGGCATGCAAAGGCTGATATAAGGGTCGGTAGGGTCAGCTACAGAAGCTGGCCGATTAATTAGGCTACCAGCCCGGCTAACATCAATCAGAGGTCTAATCGTAGCTATGAGGTTGTGAAGACCGGATTCCGCCCCACCTTATATTACCCCACATCACGAGTCAGTCCAACAGCTTCCCACTGAATCCAGATCTAAGGAATCTTAACCAAAAACCGTCTTTTTAAATTACCTTCAGATAGGCTTATTATTGACACATTCCTGATTTCTGTCTTTATTCGTTAGTTCCCGAAGACAGTCTGGCTCTTAATTCCCCAGACGCATTTTTTCACGCAAAGCTCTGGTGTTCGACCATCATGGCTGCTTGTTTCCACATAAACTCAGAGGGTAAGTGAGGCAAATGACCAGAGGAGTGCTCTAGAGTCAAATTCATGATCCGAGCTTTCTGACCCCTGTCAGATTTGAAACAACCATCGGGTTCACAGGTTGTATACCGGGAGGACTGCACACAATGTTTTGACACTGTAGTATGTACCCCGCTCCTATCACATACGCTGATAAACTAATGCGGTATAGGACGAAGAGCAGGGAATAAACGTCTGTCTCTCTTGCTTCAATGGTGGATGTGCTCATGATAGAAATCATGCTCTACTACACTTCAAAAGATTTGGCCATCCTCTAGCCCTCAATATCAAGCGGTCGCGCAAGAAGATTCAAGTAGGTCACTTTAATGTGAACCATACACATGTTTATCCCGTACCTAACAAGTCGTGATAGAGAGATGAACCCCCTCAAAAAGTTTCAAAGCTTGCAATTGCTGCCGAGACGGATGACGACCAATTCGATACAAGCACCCGTGTCCTCTGTTATCATTGCTACCAGAACGATATCGATAAGTCAAGTGGTAATTTACCATCCGTTATTGAGGGTGTCATGTCGGCAATGCCTTTCTCGAAGAGGGAAGAAGTCAAAGCTTGGGAGCAAGAGTTTGTTCCTTGCGAGCACACACTTTGCATTGACCAAAGTAGCCCGAGGCAGCTTGAGTCGCAAGGTATATTCGACACTTTGCCCCTTAGGACCCAATCCTCTGACATTTCGACATGCAGAACTCGCGCAATGCTCCATGTGCAACCTTAAGGAGAATCTATGGCTATGTCTAGAATGTGGTAACCTTGGATGTGGTCGAAGTCAATTCGGTGGCGTAGGCGGCCATTCGCATGGTCTCGCTCACTTTGAAACCACTTCCCATGCAATTGCAGTGAAACTTGGTTCAATAACCGCTGAGGGCTCCGCAGATATCTTCTGTTATAGATGCAATGAGGAAAGAATCGACCCCCATCTTGCCCAACACCTTGGCCATTGGGGTATCAACCTGGCTGACAGGGAGAAAACAGAAAAGAGTTTGATGGAACTGCAGGTTGAGCACAACCTAAGATGGGAGTTCTCAATGACTACAGAAGATGGCCACGAGCTTAGACCGTTATTTGGTCCTGGTTTCACTGGCCTCAAAAACCTAGGTAACAGCTGTTACCTGTCAAGTGTGATCCAGTGCCTCTTCAATTTGTCAGAGTTTCAAAATCGGTACTATCATCCCGATGACGAGCCCCCATTTTCGCAGAAGCCGGCCGAGGATCTCGAGACGCAGATGCGCAAATTGGCAGACGGGATCCTCTCAGGCCGCTACTCCAAACCCGCAACTGATGTAAGCGCCTCCCCAGATACACCTGAAGTTCCACATCAAAGTGGCTTAGCACCAGCTATGTTCAAACATCTCGTTGGTCGCGGTCATGAAGAATTCTCCACAATGAGACAGCAGGATGCTTTTGAATTTCTGCTCCATCTCTTCAAACTTGTCAGCTTGTCTAAGCATACGGGAGGGTTGCGTAACCCGATAGAGTCGTTTGCATTCTCTGTGGAGCAACGTCTCCAGTGCTTACACTGCAGAAAGGTTCGCTACAGAGTGGATCAACAAGATAACGTCTCTCTGTCCGTTCCCGCTCGCATTTCAAAGTCTGTACACGAGGAGGATAGTCCCACCAAATTCGAAAGTGTGACTATATCGGAATGTCTTGATGCCTTTACGAGTGAGGAAAGAGTGGATCTACGCTGTCCTTCCTGTAACAGCGAGGATGGTTTTTCCAAACGTTCCATGTTCAAGACTTTGCCGCAAGAATTGGTTATTAACGCCCGGCGCTTCGAGCTCGTTAACTGGGTACCGACGAAGCTCGATATCCCTGTGGAGGTGGGTGAAGGACCGATAGACTTCACCAGATATCTTGCCCCCAGCCCCAGTGAAGGCGAAGAGCTTCTCCCGGATGTCGAGCCGCCCGCCCAAAAATTCGTACCTAACGAAATTGCTCTTAACCAGTTGCTCGGCATGGGGTTTCCGCAGATCAGAAGTGAAAATGCCCTCTTTGTTACGGGCAACTCAGATGCAGAAGCTGCAATGAATTGGTTATTTGCACACATGGATGAACCCGATATTGATGAACCACTTGCCCAGAAAGGTTCCGTGGAGACATCGTTGGAAACTCAAAAAGATTCGGCCGAAGTGACCCAGTTATCTGAAATGGGCATTGATGTCAATCGGGCTAGGATTGCATTGGCTGCAGTTGGGAATGATGTCAACAGGGCAATTGACTGGGTGTTCAGTCATCCTGAAGACCCAATAGAAACGGGGATCGATACTCAAGCGGGGGATAGCCGCAGTAACCGTAGTGTCGGTTTTGATGCTTCTCCCGCTCGCTACCGCCTTCACTCGATTGTTTGCCATAAAGGCACCTCCGTTCATGCTGGGTAAGTAGGTCTTTCGAGCTGCTTGATCATTACTAATCCAAAATAAAGACACTATGTCGCAGTCGTGCGCAAAGCTTTGCCGGGTCAGAACGATTCTGCCTGGGTCATGTACAACGATGAGAAGGTTGTCATGGTGGACGATATACAGAAGCTGAAGAATTCCGCCTATCTTTACTTCTTCTCGCGGGTCTAGATTTGATTTGAAGGTGCTGTCAAGTCTGATGTCCAGACGCCTAGGTTTAATGTAGAGTTCGTCACAATCTGGAAAAATGTCGCAAACATGGATACTCAGAATGATTAGTTGTAAAAGTGCTGGATTAGCCTAGCCTACACTTCCGACACGCGTCCTACTGCAGACGTGCACGAGGCTATCCACTTGGCTGATGTTATAATGTCATAGTTATGCCATGAAGCCCGACTAGAAAGGAGTAGTACTTGAGTAGTCCTGGCCTATTTCTGCTTGCCAGAACTGTAATGCACGAGCAATAATGAGTAAAGACATGGTTCATTACTAAGTAGTTCGTGAGATAAGTCCATTCAGAAGCATAATTAAAAAGAAATAAGTCTATGCAATTTACCCCCCAACCAAATTAGATAATATGAAGTTATGAAGCCCTCAAAGTGACTCTCAGACTTCGCACGACGGTAGATTCCATAAACAGGATTCGCCGATTGTTTGAATAGCGATGCCAAAAGAGCGTGGGTGAAGGTCTGTGCATGGGCACGGAGAGCAGAACCAAATCATTGGCCTTTCTTGACATTTCCGGCGACTTTATTTTGCCTCCTGCGCTTGATCGCCTCTGGAGAATACTCGGTGTCCAACATGTAGTCCCACCACCTGAAACTGCTCGAGTAGTTACCAACAAACTTCTCGTGATGAAGATCATGGTGATCGGCTCCAGCCCAGAAGGGAAGGAAATGATGAAGACTCCAAGGGAACTCATAGCCACTGTGTGCATCGATCGCCTGGAATAGCCGCAAGACAATCCAGATATACATAGTGAAAATATGTAAGTCCCCGGTAAACGCACACCAAAGAATTGGACAGCCCACAGTGCCGAACCCAAGGATCATGACTTCAATTGGAGAGGCATATTCAGCAGCCATACCGAAAGGTGCCGAGTATTGGTGGTGGATCTTATGAATGGCTTTGTAAAGAGGCCCCCAATGAAGGGCACGGTGAGAGAAATAGTGCCACGTGTCTTCCAGGATGAAGAAGATTGCGATCTGATAAGCCATGGTCCAGATAGAGGGGAATGGAACGGAAGTCGAGAGGCCGAAGAACTGGGCCATGGGGTGGAAAAGCCTAGTGAAGGGTAGGTGATAAGACCGGGTTATCATGGTTATCATCTTGGGAAGCTTACCAGATCTGAGGCAATTCAACGGTAAAATGGCTTAGAAGCACGAACTTCGCACAGTCCCATTGCTCGCGCAACGACGGGACTTTGTTCTGTGAAAGATTGTCAATTGACATCCAATCCTGATCAGGTGTGCAACGATTCATACACTTTGAATCTTATAGTTTTTAAAGAAACCCAGGCTGTCTATGAAGATCCAGGGCAAAGAGCGTCCAAAGTAGATAAGTTCGTGCATCATGAATGACATGATACCTGTCGCCAGAACATCGTTCTGCATCCAGGCGTACCATGCTGTCCAGAGTCTTTCGACAACGTTGAGGTGGGTGTTATACTTGGAAATTTCCTCGAATTGACCCCAGTAGGTTTCTGGTGTCGACAGTGTTGTTGAATTCCTGTGCATTCTTAGAATCAGGGTCCAGGTAAATCCATCCAAAAGGTTTGTTTGAGGAAGTCTCACATTATGAAAGCAAGGCAGCTTTCCTTCAGCTGTTCGTTTCCAAACTCTTTGATCAGGGGCAAGCGAGAAGTATTGTCGCAATGTTTTTCAACGCGCAATGGGCGGTATAGCTACAGATACGAGCTAGAGTAGAGAAGGAGACAATGTTTTCATGAAAAGATCCTTGTGAATAATACTGGAGGCGGGGGGAGGGTTGTCTCAAACGACAGTGTAAAAGTAGGTGGTAGGTACCCGGCCAGTATTTCAGAAAAGCTGGGAAAAGAACGGCGCCATCAGGACCATTGTTCCCGGGGTGGCGAGATTTCTTCGGCTACCCCCTGGCCGTGGCCTTTCCAGCCTGGCACCACTGCCTAGCCGATTGGGACCGATACTAGCTCCACCCAATTGGGAAAGAGTCCACCAATCCACTGCTCGATCTCCCATCAACACTACCAATCACGATGGGCCAATATCGACCATGTTCCAACTTGGAAGATTATCAATGATTCCACTTTATTCGATACCTAACCGCCTTCAAATAACTAGAGACTGTTGGTGCTGCCGGGGCTTGTGAGGCCCGGATCTGCTGTCATTCCCCTTGCAGGGTGCCCTGGCGTCGGCGTTTCATACAGCCTTGCTTGACTGAACCACTTTCATCTTTCTGTTTTACATGTATACTGTTTCAAGATTATCATAGTAGCTGGGCTGGATATAGGTTCGAAACATCGAGTCTCCCATTCAGTAGGTAGCTGGAATTACTCACAATTACCCTAGAGGATTTGCGTATGTTTCCCTGCAAAGCCGATGGTCTAGGCATGGAGGTTGTATAAGTCAAACGCTGAGATTAGATATACTCAAGAACAAGTATTAACAAGGGAGCAACGAAGTAAAGCCAGGCTCATACTAGGCTCCCCGACACACACACACTCCACTGCCATACCATAATCGTCAACCATTCATCTTAGTTAGTTAGGTGGTTAGAAGGACGAATTATTCTGCTTACTAACAATGACGCCATTCACCTGATTGGCATGTAACTCCTGTTCCTGGATCTCCTTCTGTCAACGAATGCCTTGGGGTTTGCTGCTTTGAGTTAACCCCAACAATGTTCGTGGTTAATGAGTAAGTTATCTTGTCTGCATTCATCGCCTCCACTCATTGCTCACTCTACAAAAAGCAAAATCTGCAACCTGGATATACAACTTCACAACTTACAACAGCGAATCACAAAATGCTCAGAGATCAAGTCCCCGGAAACCCACAATGATGCCAGTCGATTCAGCCTTGCTCTCAAGGATATAGAAACACTAGAGCGTATCTGCGACTCGCTTTCTGTAGCATCAAGATCACAGCCAATTTTGCGCGCCAGCCAGATCGCACGACTCACTTCTCAGTTTCCTCAGACTCAGGCAATATATGACAAGAACTCCTCAGTTTCCCATTCAGTCCTATCAAATGTACCGGAGATATCCTGGATTGTGGCCGCCAGGGCTGCTATTCAGACATATGGAACTATACTAGAGTCCCTTTCAGAGAATGCCCTCGTCCTAGGTGATGAGGTCACTTACTGGGCCGGTCTGCTGGAATCTCCGTGGTACATGGCCATGTACACTCTACAGATATCTCCTGTGCGGCTCTGGCACAAGCTCAGATCTCGCTTCTCTGTCTGGTCCAGTCCAGGAGTTCGGACGCAACCATCGCATGTATCGCTTGCATGGGCTCAACTCTACGACTCCGCCCGACGGTGCGCTTCATCTATGACTATATCTACTATACGAAAGGGATTGATGCACCCACTGCTTTCGTCGAGGTTACAGGTACAGCAGAAACAAAAGGCGCTGTGTGTGGCGAAAGATGCAAACACCAGTGCATTGGGAATACTCATGGAACGATGCTTTCAATTTGAACTTGATGATGAGCTTCCAGGCTGCTGTAGCTATGGCTCCCTCAGTGACGAATGGTGCAGTCGGCTTCTCAAGAGCGTGGCCTTGATGAGGCTGGTACTTCAACATCTGACTGCGGGTGGGACACTCTATGACTTCGAACTGAGAACAATCATGGCCACCGAAGAAGAAGATCTATCGCTTCAATTGTATTCTGATGGGACCATATGTCCCAAAAGGCCAGAATATGTCATCGAGAAGCTCAACTTCATTAATCAGACATTGATTCCGGAGTACATTGCCGTTACCAAACGAAATATGGGTGAGCTCGGACGACCTCCCTTGATAGTGCGTTACTGGCTCCCATTCTTGATTGCGATCTTGTCAACCAGTACGACCCTTGAGATGTTCCAAAATCGACGCCGTGAGCTTCTGACGTGGGTCACGGACATCGGTTCAACGACAATCGAGTTCTGGTACAATTGGGTCGTCGATCCTCTGAAAAGACTTGTTGGCACCATACGACATAATGAAGATAGTGAGATCGCGTTGATGAGCAAGAACAGTCTCCAAGCAGATCGAGCTTCGTTGGAAAGGATGGTGGTAGATTTTGTCCTTGATCATCGTGAGCCCAGTGATGATTCTCTTGCCTCAAGAGAAATCAATGCCATCATGAATAAAGTCCGAGAAGGTGACCTTACACCGGTCTTGAAAGCATACGAGAAGGATCTACGAACCCCTTTCATCGGGACTGTTCGGGGGGACTTAGTACGGGCCCTTCTGATCCAAATCCAAAAGACGAAGGTGGATGTAGAGGTAGCAATTGGCGGCATCGATTCTTTGCTGAAGAGCCAGGAGCTCGTGTTCGGGTAAGTATCGCCCCCGATTTCTCAAGCAAGCGCGAAGCTGATAAATAGTCATAGCTTCGTCGGACTGACCCCTGGTCTATTGGTGTCTTATGCCTCCATTCGTTGGCTCTATGGCCTGTTTGGCAGCAGAAAGGGCTTGCGCATTGGTCGAAGGCAGCATGAATTAAGGCACGCACTGAGGTTAGTGGGCTTATGCTCCACAAACTGATTTTCAAGCTAATGGAAATTACTCTAGGCAAGTTCATCGTGATTTAACGTTATCTACCGTGACAGCCAGTGGGACCCTCAGCTTCAAAGATTACGGTCAACTCATATGCAATACCGAGATTCTACTTCAGAAAGCACAAGTCATGCTTACAGGTGCAGATATTCATGCTTTCCAGGAAGACATCAACGACATGGTTAGTAAAAACAGCGCAAAGCAGCAACTAAAGGTTGTGGAACGGATGGGGTGGGTGTACTCACGATGGTTGTAAGCTATCTTGAATGTGGGAGAATAGCACTCAGCGAAAGAAATCGAATACTACTAAACCTACAGCACTGGTGTACCCCGGGTAAGACAGGAAAGTGCTCAGTGTAATGATTGAACTAGTTTATTTTTTCACATCCGTTCCTTGGTCGGCCCATTTGAAACATAGGTAACCTTCAACTTTGTATGCATTGCAGGTAAGAGCGAGGCAGCGGTAATGCTGAAAGGGACCGTCGAGGAGGGGTAAAGGCGACCCGAACCACCTACTACCACTACTCCTACTCGCTCATGGATAAGATGGCGGTTGAATCTCCTCGATTGTGAATTAAAAGGTTTGTTGACTTGCTCCCAAGTAGCCTAGATACTACATCAAAATCTTGATGGAAGCTGGTACATACATGGGGGTATAAATTGGTGATACATGCGGATGAGGGCGTGTGTACGGCGCAAACCAGCCGATACTTTGGTGTATTGCACCAGCGGAGGTACGGAGTACTACTCCGCCTAGAGCCTTTCTTGTACAGTACACGCAAGTTATCGGCATCCCTAGCTTACACCCGAACTCTCCATCTTATCTTGGACATCATCCTACATCATACACTCTCCAGCAACGCACAGCGCCTATCCTATATCTCTCGAAGTCCCGATCAAGTCTCTTTCATAAGACGAGGAGAAAGTACCACAAAACTCCACAAACACCTACTTGTCTTTCGTTGTCCCGCCCCGGCCCCTGAACCCTCCCCTACTTCAGGCAAACGCTCTGAGCCCTTCAAGCCACCACTGCCACCATTCGGGTAACACCAGACCTTGCACTGGCCATATCTCTGAGCTTCGCTTGCAGGAAAACAGCCTAGGGTAACTGCCCCTTCAAAGCAGAATCAAGTGAAATGATGCACTAATAGCCATAAGGGAATTGAGAAAGAGAAGAGAAGAGGGGCGAATTAGAGACCGGTATCCGTTCCAGATCGGTCTCAACTCTGAGCAGGGAGCTCGTCATTTGCCATATTTTGCACTCTAACTTCCATCGGGTCTCCGTGATCAGGGCCAGTTCCATAATGGCTGGTACAAGGAACTACGACTTTCTGGTACGTGGCGACCTTCGGACTGATGAAGCAATCCACTAACCACTTTGTTCCCAGATCAAATTATTGCTGATCGGTGACTCTGGCGTCGGCAAATCATGCTGTCTACTACGGTTTAGCGAGGATTCATTCACACCGTCTTTCATTACCACTATTGGCATCGACTTCAAGATCCGTACTATTGAACTTGATGGCAAGCGAGTGAAGCTCCAAATATGGGACACAGCTGGGCAGGAGCGATTCAGAACAATCACAACCGCTTACTACAGAGGGGCAATGGGCATTCTCCTTGTTTACGATGTCACTGATGAACGGTCATTTCAGAGTAAGAACCCTTTTCTTGGTATTGATGGTATGAATCATATGCTGATGCTTTGATCGGTCGAATCAGATATTCGCACATGGTTCTCCAATGTTGAGCAGCATGCGAGCGAAGGTGTCCACAAGATACTCATTGGCAACAAGTGTGATTGGGAAGAGAAGCGAGCAGTGTCCACCGAGCAAGGTCAACAACTGGCTGATGAGCTTGGAATCCCATTTCTAGAAGTATCGGCCAAGAACAACATCAACATTGAGAAAGCGTTCTATGATCTTGCTTCAGATATCAAGAAAGGAATGGATACATCAAAGTCTGAACAAGTCAGCTCTCAAGGCGTTAGTATAGACCAGCAGGGTTCTGGCCTGAATGGCAGCACAGGTGGAAAGTGCTGCTAATTTCATCTCCACTTTTCAATGTTTCTCTGATCCTTCTTTGTCCCTTCATGGCTGTACACCTTTCCCTCATGCGTGGCCATGTTATCTGTCATGGATTGAATATACTGAGGCTCTCACACCTAGTCGATGCCAAGGAAATAGCCCGGTTGCACGAAAGCCTTGGGGCCAAGATATATGCCTAAGCGATGGTACTACACTGTTATCTTTGCAATATGTCTCTTTCTGCTTGATCCCACATGTTTCTAAACAATTCGTCACTTTACCTGGTTGCAGCACTGCCTTTTAATATGGTCTGGGCCTGATAGAGGTGTCATCCCGCAAATGGTTTGCTTTCCAGAATTTCGATCTACATAACTGGTATGGGGATATCTTGTTCTCGGAAGTAAGCCTCCTTTATACAAAGGGTAGCAATGGTCTGGCATTGACACAAAAGGGAGGGGGGGGGGAGTGTTCTATGGAATAACTTCTATGAAATGGAGAGTGGACCTATTCAGGGTCCGGAAGTATATAGGCAGGTAAATACGTAGCCACTTGCAGCGAGATTGTCTTGGATGCCAAAACCATAAACAGGTATTAACTATACTTGAGCAGTAGACTGAATCCGCAATCTTAGTCGATAGTATGTCGAGCAGAAATATGTGCTGGGTAAAAAGATGTCATGAAAAGTATTAACTCACAACTGGTGCGGATATAGTATAGTGTGTCCAAATTGATGCACTATTCAACCCCAAGGATTGTGAGCATAGTAGGGGTATCTCAATATTCCTCCACCCCCATGCACCAATTTCTCCACATCACATATATAATAAAGCTTCATATGAGCACCTGATAAGACAGCGAATTTCCCGAAGTCCAGCCTTGTCACCAGAATCAGCATATACATCCTATGATATATTCAGGTCCGCAGTGGGAGATACATTGGCAGGTGGGTAATTTGGGCTTACTGCGCACAATATTGTGTTAGATAAGGTGCTACATCTGAGCATGTGGGGCGATATGCATTAACCGCCACTTTCCCGGAAAAAGAAATTTAAGCTCATTACATATTTAATTCTACACAAACTCTTTCAAAGGTCTTTGTCTGCTTGAATCATTCTGCCCTCTCTCGTCTACGTAAATGGCTTAAATTTAGCAATTTATCGTCAACCAATTTTCTGTCACACATCGTCTCTCCTCGCCAACGAGAAGGTGTCTAGACCCGCGATCTTTTGGCCAGCATACACCCTGTTCCTTGCCGAATAACACATGCGCAGTAATTGGAAGATGATCTAGCAACTGTTCAAATTCAATATAAGTACTACCACGGCCGTCTTAACTCTCTGGCCCGTCTTTGACTAGCAGAGTGACCCAACTGAATCCGGAGTCAAGTCCTTTAGCCGGTTCTCCCAAGCTCTGCATAACATACGATGTCTGAGACACGATCCTTCACCGTCCGGCCGCTCTCGAAGCAAACCAGAAATGATCATCGAGATGCCTTTCGCGTCTACCTATCTTCGTCCTCGCTGGCTTCTCTCAAACTTCGTGCTGGAGATATTTGCGCCCTCTATATCCCTGGTGAAGTTTCCAAACATGCTATAGCCTGGAATGCGGTTGAGAATATTCAGAATACCGTTGTGCAAACGTCTAGAACTCTTCAGGATTGCTATGGATTCAAAATTGGTGAAAAGATCACAATCAGCAAAGTTGATGGGCCCCTGGAAGAAGCACAAACGGTTTCGTTAGTGGACTGCTCGGATGATGATAAGATCACAAAATTTGGTATTATACCGCATAGCGACACAGACCATTGGGCTTGGTCACTGGAATTTCCATTGTCCAGATGCGATGCAATCGCTGTTGGTCTTGTTTTCGAAATGGAGCTTAGAGGCCAGCGACGCAATTTCAAAGTGGCAAGCATGTCAAGCCAAGGCCAGAATGGTTTTGGAACCTTGCTCAAATTCACCGATTCTAGCAGAATTCTCCTTGGTGAGGATGTTGCACCAGTGGAGTGTAAGGGCTCCCATATCCAGGTGCAATCGATTGGTTTGGGTGGGATGAAATCGCAAATTGACAGTATCAATGAGAGTCTCGCTGATTTTAACTCTGCCAGTACTCTTCTGGCCATGCCCTCATTTTATGAGCATAGCCGGGGTATTTTGCTCTATGGACCAAAGGGCACTGGCAAGACGGTACTTCTGGGACAAATTCAAGGTGCAGGATGGAGAAAAACGTTCAGTGTTGGGTCTTCTTTCGGTAGGAACATTGGTGACGCCGAAACCAAGCTGCGTAATGCATTTCAGGAGGCAATGCGTTGTCAACCAAGTGCTATAATCATCGACCAATTGGAGTCTATCGCGCCCAGGAAAACCTCCATTGACACCCAATCCTTAACAACCGCACTTTGTGAATGCTTGGATATAGTGAAGGGCGCTTTGGTCTTGGTTGTGGCCGCGACTCGACATCCGAATGATGTCGATGATGTCCTAAGGACACCCCATCGATTAGCTCTTGAGATTGAGCTTCAAGTGCCGACGGCGCAGGCTCGAAGTGAAATCTTACATGCCATATGCGGCAAGCCATCCCCTGCGCTGAGTGATACGCTAATTGACCTAATAGCGGAAAAAACGCATGGTTATGTTGGTGCCGATCTCTTTGCATTGCTTCAGTTGGTCTGTCGGAAGGCACGGAAACGCCAATCGCCCGAGATTACACCTTCTAGTTTAGCCAAAGACTCAACTGAAGGGCAAATGGCGTCGGATGAAGCAAAAGTTCTCTTAAAAATTGAGGATATCGACATTCTCTCTGCTCTGCAGGAGACACGGCCAACTGCTATGCGGGAAGTATTTTTAGAAACTCCGAAAGTGAGGTGGTCGGACATTGGCGGACAACATGAAATCAAGAGACGCCTCCAAAAAGCAGTCGAGAGACCTTTGAAAGTAGGTTCTGTGATTTTGACTATCTTTCCACGAGGCTGACTCACAGCAACAGCATCCACAAAGAATGAAAAGATTGAATGTGAATAGCAAAAAAGGCATACTGCTATACGGGCCACCCGGTTGCTCCAAGACTCTGACTGTGAAAGCACTTGCCACGGAAGCGGGACTGAACTTTCTGGCGGTTAAGGGTGCTGAAATTCTTAGCATGTATGTTGGAGAGTCAGAAAGGGCACTGCGAGAAATTTTTCGGAAGGCCCGGTCTGCAAGGCCTAGCATTATCTTCTTCGACGAGATCGATGCGATAGCCTCAAGGCGCGGCAGCTCATCTCAAGGGGGCGTTAATGTTCTTACAACATTATTGAACGAGATGGACGGAATCGAAGAGTTGAAGAACGTGTTGGTCATTGCTGCGACCAACAAGCCTGAGGTCATTGACCCGGCCCTGATGCGCCCCGGCCGTCTTGATAACATTCTCTATATTGGCCCTCCAGATTTCGAGGCCCGGAAAGAGATATTGAGCATCTGGTTTAGTAAGTCCGTGGTCCATCCAGAAGTAGAGATAGAGGCTTTGGCTGTGAAAATGGAGGGATACTCTGGAGCGGAAATTGTCAGTATATGCGAGACAGCTGGTGATGCTGCACTAGATGAGGAAGAGGAAACAAAATTGGAGCAGGAGATTCGAATGGTACATTTCGAATATGCCCTTCAGCAAGTCCACAGGCAGATAACAGCCGCTGTTGTGGAGGAGTACGAAAGATGGGGGAACTCCACTAATATATAGAGTCGTATACATACATATCTCTGTCCTAACTCGAAGGACGAGCGAAAGAGGGCATTGACGCTCATTTATTGATTCAGAAACATTGGTCTTGTACATAACTGTCTGCATTTAGAGTTGCATGTTCCCGCTCATTTTCTTGTTATGCTTGGGAGAAATAAGGTGTGAACACTGTGAAGTGTAGGTGGCATTGACCAGACCCGGGCTCCTATGGCCTCTTGGGTAAAACTCCACACCCCCTTCCGTCTTCCCTTTTTCCCTGCGATTGTCATTGCCCCCACCGATTATACTGCGTACTCCGCGCAGCTTGCCACCAACACTTTCACAATCTACCTACGCATTTGTGCCGACGATATGTCCGACAAACCCGGAGGCCACTCTCCGGAACGTTCACCGCGCCACTCTAGCCTCAATCAGGACAACAGATCGTCTCGACGATCTGTATCTCCTCGCCCAGAGTCAAGATACAAGAGCGTGACGCGAAGTCCGTCCCTCGATCGCACTCCCGGTCAGCGCAGGGACAATCGATTGAGAAGCCGGCCTCGATCTCGAACGCGATCTCGTAGCCTAAGCCGGAGTCAAACCTCAAGGTTGTATGAGAAGGAGAATGACAGCCGATCGCCCAGTCCCTCCGTCGCGTTGCCACGAAGCTCCAAGGTCGGTTGATCACAGACAAGTTTGGCTACATGTTCTCACGCTGACTGCACCAAAGATTGTTGTAGAAAAACTCACGAAAAACGTCACTGAATCGCATTTACGAGAGATTTTTGGGGGTTTCGGGGAGATACAGAGCCTTGATTTACCCATGAACAAAGCTTGTAAATTCTAAGGAATCCTTACCGGTCCCAGCTAATGCTAACCACTCGCCAGTCATGACTAATAGAGGCACTGCCTACATTTTATATCACGACCCTGCTGATGCGGAGGCAGCTATTGCACATATGCACGAAGCACAATTAGATGGTGCCATCTTAAGCGTGTCCATTGTCCTGCCCAGGAAAGCATTCTCGCGCTCGCCGCAACCAAGTCGGAGCAATAGAGGTAGCTTCGGTCGCCAAAGCCAGGGTCACGGGCCGCCACACCTAGATAGTCGTGTATCCCGCCGTTCTCCGTTTCCGCAGAGATCAACGCCACCGCGAAGGGCTCGTCGTTCGCGGCCAATGGATAGACATGATGTCTATCGGCCACGCTCAATATCGCGATCTCGATCCCCCCGCCGCTCCAGATCATACTCTTCAAGAACTCCCTCGACATCACCAAGGAGACGGTCGCCACCTTCTCGCCCACGCCGACGTCGCAGTCCCAGCTACAGCAGTTATGACTACAGCAGCCACAGTGATAGGAGTCGAAGTCCGAGTCAGAGCAGAGGCCGTTATCGGCATGATACCCCGAAGTAGGCTCAAACATCGCGTGATATGCGGAAAGCATTCACACCTATTTTCCCGCACCTTGAATGTTGGCTCCACATTCGAAATCAATTTCATAGTTACGGAAAGTCTCCTGGCGACAGTAGCAACATTTGAGCTCTATACTACCATCGATAGCTAGAAACCTGGACACTGCGTCCCATGTTGATTGCCCCTTGGCTCCATGGATCCATGTATCTACAGAATGAGCCATTGAGGTACACATAGTATAACAAATGAGAGGTCGGATTTCTTGCGATTCAGAAAAAAGAGCACCACCCAATATACATAGCTGCTAGGTTTCGTTCATTGGTTGCTTGCACAATCAGTGCATCGACGTGGCCATCCACGGAAAGTGGGACAGATTCGCCAGGCAGGAGACCGCGAAGTTTGGTCCGAACATTTTCTAGTACCCCGGTCGGTGTATCAGGCACATTTGCGTGTGCGCGGCGCTATGACATTTGAGCAAAAGAAAAATTTCCAAGAAACTCGACATGCTCACCTTTTTCCCTATGAAATCTGTGGTCGGATCGTGCAAGAAAGTCTCAAGGACAGTCATGAGTGCATCTTCATTGTGGCGCAGCAATCCCAAGCTTATCTCACATGTTTTGCGGTAAGGGCCTGTTTCGTGTTTTGTCAACATATCAAAGCTGGTCTTTTCGTGATTCTCAATCCACTGACCATTGTATCCGTAGGCACCAAATGCATCCACCATGTTTTGCGTTAAACGGAAAGGAACCAGCTCAGGTTTGTCAAAAGTCAAGCCCTTGGTAAGGGTCAATCTTAGTACGACCTGAATAGTATGAAACTTTTACCAACGTACCTTGTCAAAGAGGCAATTGAAGTCAACATGTAGAACGCCACCTGTTCCTTCCTCGAAAAGGATGTTCTCCCCATGACGGTCACCGAGCCTAGCGAAAGTCCATGAGAAAATTGTTTGAGAAGCCCTAGGAATCTAAGAAATGAAACTCATCCAGCATACCCTAAGACATAACCAACCATTGACATCACAGCGCAAGAGCGGGTATAACGAACCCTAGCTGCAAACCATGCCTCTCTTTCAGGGAACATTTCGACGAACCATTCATAGAGCACCGGGGGGAACCTAGTCGATTGTTAACTTTAGCCTGCCTTTGACAGGGTCATTTATTCCTTGGGATATGTACTTAGCAAGAACTCTGCTCTTGAACAAATGAAGTTTCGAGGTGTCCGAGCAGGCTTCATTAAGATTCTGCCTGATCTCATTGTACTGTAGTAGGCGTAGTTTTAGAACTTTGCCTTCGTAACACCGCAAAGCAGGAATCTCCAACTTACATTTGGCGAAATACCTCTCTCCTTCAAAAGCTTGATAACAAGTTCCCTCAATGTCCGCAGATTATCCACCCACTCTATAAGTCCACATTCTTCATTCAGTGGAGTAACAGCATAGGTCTTGATGTCTGTTGAACCGAACACGTAAGTCAGTAAAGGAAGGTCAGAGGATGCCTATTTGGAGCAGAATGCCTACACATCCGACGCTTGCTTGACTCCACGTCTCTCTTCAAAAATCTATTGATCATATTATTGAACTCCATGAGACGTTGATCCTTACGCAGGTCATCCTTGGGCTTGCATAAGATGTTATAAATCCTTCCATCCGACCCTCGAATACTGATACGGCGTGGTTTCTGGAGTGAATTGAGTATTTGAGCGTCATCGAGGACAGCTAAGTATGGTCAACAACTAGTTATTTAGTGTTTATAGATGTTCCTCACCTTCAATCGTAATCGAATCCTTGGGAAAGGCTCTGAAGCTTTTTAAGTAATCCGAATCATGACTTGCCGGTAGACTCGGCGTTAGCATTGCCTGGAAAGGTACGACGAGCCGGCAAGGAGCCACTTTGTGGTTGAAGCCCAAAGCTCTAAGATTCACCCTCGATACCTTCTCCTCAATGCGTGCTATGCATAGCCTTAGCATTTCATCGGAGAATTTCTGCCCTTGATTGATCATCGCACGCATGTCAGATACAGATGATTCTGCTTTCGATTTCTTGTTCATGTCCTGTTGCAGTCAGTACTTGGGACTTGACTTGTTCACCATGTTGACGCACTGTGATTCTTTGAAGACTACTGATGCCTCTTGAGGCTCTATCTTTGGAAGACGACTTAACCACGGCAAGGACCGTCCATAGGCCCTGCTGAGGAAAAGAGTTCACAGCTTTGGCCACGATCTTCGTCAAGAGGTCATATACTGTCGTGTTTGGATGACAGATACGAGCTAGCACTTGAGGAAGAATCGTGAAGAGCTGATCATGTCAGCATCGTATGAAGTACAATAGGCATCGAACTTACCAACGCAGCCGGGACTCGATGAATGTATTTCTTCAGCTGCGCATGCATGTCTTCAAGGCTTTTCTTTCGTTGCTGTAGGGTATGCTTTTGGAACTCCCTTTTTCAAAACGAGTGTCAACAATTTCTTGACTTCGAAACGGCGAGAAGCTCTGGTATCATAGCGATAATAAGGGAGAGTGAGATTACTTACTCATTGTCTCCTCGCTTAGGGTCAAAGGGCTGTTCAACGATAGAGGCGTGTTCCAACCAAAGCGTCAGCACCTTGGGTAGTGACTGGAAAACATATTTGTTTCCATATGCCAATGACCGTAGATAATTGTCAACAACAAGCTTCGAGACTTCGCCGGTCAGACTAGAAATTGTGAGAAGAACTAATACATGAATCAGGGAGAATGATATGACAAACGTACTAGGTCTGTGCCTCTTTCCCTAGCGGTTTTGCCTTTTCAGAATCTAATATCTTATTGTAATGCTTTCCCAGATAATAGTGCGCTTTCTCCCATCTGCGTTTGGTTAATGTAAGTCTCTCACAAAGGACGTCGAAAGATACCTTGGCTGAAGCTTTATAGCTTCTCTGAACCTTTGAACAATAACATCCGATTGGGTTTGACCGGCTCGATCCGTCCATTTTGCTAGGAGTAAATGGGCCTAAGAGAGATTTTGTTCCAAGTCAGACACGCTACCTGCATGTGTCTCAAGGTGACATACCCTAGCCCCAAGAACATTCTGGTGTTTTCCACGTAGTGCGGACACCGAAGTGGAGTCTTCTGGCGGAGGAGAGAATTCACTAGCGATGATTGCACCTTCGAGAGTCTGTATCGCCTTCCGATGGTGGCCGTCTTTCCAGAGAAGCCGGGCGTGCTCGATAGTGGCTGTTTTGTCTTTCAAGCGGGCAGCGTGAAGCATAGACTGATATGCCTGATTAGTGTAATTTCCTTTCCGCAAAAGACGTGCACTAGCCAGCCAAGCAGCTGCTATTTCGGAATCGGTGAATTTTTCCCTGCAATCACCCAGTTAGTACAGGCTTTCGGACTTGGAGGACCAACCTTACGTCAATTCCATTATTGCCCTCCTAAGACCGAGGAGGTATTGTTTGTCGGAGATATACCCTCCTAAAACGTCTAGACGGCGGTTCAAGATAGTGAGAACCTCCGATCGTGACCTTTGCTCGATGCAAGTTTCATGTCCCACATCGACTATGAATTCGATCTCGCACAATGCGTGCAACCTGAGTATACTGTTATGGCATGATTGCAACGATGTCACAGAGTTGGCTGTTAGTGACTTTGCAACGTTAAGCCGCAAACCGTTGATGAGTTGCCTGTATCTTGCTTCGTCGCCACAACGCAAAGCGTCAAAAGCGAGCGCAACCCCAATATCGAACTCCGATATGTCCTGTCCCGAGCTGAATTGAAGATATTTATGGAGCCTATCCCAGTTCCCAGTGATCCAACATGCTTCAACCGCGAAAGGAAGGAATTTACTCTTTAAAACTGTACTTGTGAGAACATCAAACCTGGTGAGAATGGCATCTATGCAGCATGAGTGAGCCTGAAAAGTAGCAATAAGCGAATGCAGATGGAAATACCTTGCTGTCCTGATTCCTTCAGGCAAGTAAGCAAGTTCCATTGCGCCTCGCCGTTATCAGGATCCTTCTGTACCTGTAGCTCATACCAGCTTTGCGCGGTAGCCCACCTTCCTGCCTTGCGATGTTCAAGAACTTGCTCATCGATGTTCAGCGCATGAAGGTTTGTCGAGATGCCTTCGATGCCGTCTGGTTCATCAATCTGGCTGTAGATGTCCTGTAGACGCTGATAGAGAGACTCGGTACTGGATTGCTGCTGCATTCCAGCTTGACCTTTGGACTGACGAATGTACTGCTCCCAATGAAAAAGGGCCCGTGAAAATGACTTGCACTCGACTGCTCTTCTTGAGATAATCTCTGGAGGTATGGATCCCAGTAAAGCTTCCACAGCTTTCACCTGCGAGGTATATGTAATCAAGAGCATATCGCGAGACAGTTCCTTGTGGCTGCGACTTGCGTGATGGCTGTGATGCCTTAGACTATTGAGTTGTTTCTTCTTTCCTTGTAACCACCTTGAAAGATAGTCCAGGACCTCAAAAATACTCTAAACCAAGCAAATGAGATATAATCAGTGTCCGCGAGCCTGGAAGATCAGAAGATACCAACCTGACTGCATAATAGTATGTTCTCGTGACCACGACTGTTCGAATCCGAGAGAGGATAGGATAAGATGTGTATCAGTTCGCATTGCAAGTCCTGCTTCTCTCTTTCGGTCCCTCCAACGATGCGATTGAGAACCGCAAACGGCAGGAGAAATGACGCTATGGAAATATCCTGTCCTTTGACAACACGGCTACAGACGCTGAATACGAGCCGTGCATTATCGCCGTTCCCATTCCGTAAGAGATCTTGCACAAAGCTTCTTAGCCAGCTGCCATGCGTCAACTTTAGAGAGAAGAGGGGGTAAATGCAGTTAGTGTTGATGGCGCCGATCGTAACTGTGTACTTAGATGTGAGGAATGGAGTCAAAGTATTGCGAACAGCTTCAGGCAGTTGCATCCAGCGTCGATACTTTTCTTCACCTTGAACATCGCGAGACCGGCTTATGACGGCCGAATCAAGATTACAAAATCTGAGCATGTTTTGCATGGCGTATGCAAGGAATCCTTGAGCTCTAGTGTTAGAAGCCGACAGAAACGCTTCCACGAGGATATGCTGGAGGAAGAAGAGAATAAAATCAAAGGTCTCCTCCATGCTGTCAAAATTCGACAGGACTAGTATATCTTTCTTCTCCTTGACCGTGTCCACGCGATTCGGATCAAGGCAACCAATGCGACCCAGGCACTGAGCCGAAAGGAGAGTTATGGTTTCAGAGCTCGTGTTGAATTTGACGCAGCAGTCAAGCAAAGCCCGTGCTAGCTGTGAAACAACCGGATCTGGTTGTTCACTAAGCACCGAGGCATGGACAAATTCCTCGTTCTCAGAAAGGAAGGGAACCAGCTCCTCCAGAGTTTGCTCGATGACCACCGCATTCTCACTTTGGCTGCGACGAACAAATGCTAAAAATTTGCTCCGAACGTCCAATTTTCCTCTCAGCCCATTGATCTCTACCTTAAGGTTGGCTAGTTTGGGGATCGACGAGAGAGACGACATGGTGTTAAAGATGTCGCGTACCATATCACCGTGCTGCCGTAGAATATAAGCAACCAAGTCATAGGCATGGTTTTGTGTTTCTTCGGTGAACATGTCCCAGTACTTTAATACGGTAGACATTGTCTGATCGACGAGAGGCTCGACCTCTTCTTCCTGAAGCGTGCTGATCAAGATTCCCCAGACCTTGAAAGCATGATTACACAATTCCTCAATTTCAAATGCGGATCGTAAGCACGCACATATCTACCCTGGATTAGCTACATTCCGTGAATGATTCGTAAAAGAGATTGAGTGAACAGACCTGCGGTAAAGCACTACTGACATGACCTTGAGCAATCTTAATCATCTCTCCAATAGCTGCAAGATTTCTTCTCTTTTCCATTAGTGATTGTCTGACCTGAAAGTCATTGATGGCATTGGCGAATTGTGTGATGATGCCAAGGACGTGCTCTTCGATGAAGTGACCTATCAAGTTGCCTCGTTTCTGTGCATTGATAGATTTTCGTGGAACAAGGGTAGCAAGGAGCTGTAGCGCTTGGTGGAACTGTGACGCGTTCAGTGAGCATGATTCAGTAAGCCTTGAGTACGACCTACTCTTGCCCCTTTCTTAGCACTTGAGTCTCCTAGGTTCTTGAGAAGATCGCATGCGATCAGGATCGGCTCAATCCTCAAGAGTTCGGCTAGAGTGCGTTTTCTAAATGCGAGATCAACTGTTGACAGAGTAGACATTATACTGTCTTCCGGATTTGAGGATGGCTGGCTCAACAAGAACGCAAGTATGGCGGCGAGGTTGTTCTTCTCTGAGCATACGTCGAACGGGGTCTTGATCTCTTTATACGTGGCGCCTACTCTGGCGATAATTTCTCGTTTGTGTGTGAATACGAGGTAAGGGAGAACATGAACCTCAGTCAACCTCAAAAAATCATCCACTTTCATCCCTAGGAGATCACACAGTTGCTCTGCCATGTAAGGGCGGGACTGGAAGTTCTTGACTACAGCCACGGACAAAGTTCTCCAGAAGGGCCTGAACAAGCCAGCAGGAGTGACTGAAAAACGCTGTGCCAGCCTGGAGAGCTAGAAGAAAGTCAATTCATTGGTATTTTAGCACGGAGACTTTATTGTGAGGCACACATACTTCTGTGTAGGCAACCGAGCAGACGAATGGATTCGAGTGGCCTAAATATTCAACAAGGCGCAGCAGAATGATGTTCATCTCTTCGTCACAAGAGAGCCTAAGGATAGAAAGTATCAGTAGAGATGAAGGCTTCCAAAATCAACGAAGGCTTACTCTGCAAGCCGACAGAGTGTCAAGATGCAAGTTTCATGAAAACACATGTCCTTCTTGTCTGAGATACCGCGCAACCAATCCAAGATTCTGATGAAATTGTCATGTCTGATATCGCGATCCAGTCTCATCTGAACAAATGACGTAACCGAGCATCTGTAAGCATAATCAATAAGCACGAATGAGCCGCACATATTCAAGAGGGCATACCCGGCCATTATCCGTAGCTCTCTTACAGAGCTCTTCATGGATTGTAGATAGAAGTCTCCGAAGACCGAGGTCGCAAGCCTCATGTAGCCGCACTCTGGAGCGTGCATAATGACCCTACGTAAAGCAGAGATTGCAGTTATTCTCGATGTTGCAGTGCGGGAGAGCGTAGGTAATATGGAAACAAAGATCTCACACAGTCCATCCGCACTGAGCCATTTCTGGCCTGGCTCGAGTCTGCTATCTCTACGATCGTCGTCGCAAAGGTGGCAGTGTGCCGTGTCTTTTGATAACGCCCCATCAAGGTTTGTCAAACTTCCAGCGATGGCACAGGGTAGAAGTCCTAGAGTGTGCAACACCTCGCATTTTCTTCGCTCTGCGATCACACCAAAAAAATCTCTACGATTCAAGTTAGAAGTCCGAGTTTGTCATTAATGACATTGCAGTACAACTCACGACACGGCAGGTAGAAGGTCCTTCAAATCGCCGGAGCCCCCATCACAGAGCAGCTCGAATACTTTAGACAGGAGCCTTTGTGACATACTGCGCTCGGCCATATCTGAGTCCGAGCGCGAGAAACAGCGCCGTTTTGAGATTTGACCAGCTTGGCTATCGCCAGCTGCTGGGTCAGGAAAACGAAACTCTTGCCCTTGAACAGCTCCAAGCTTTGAGTACCGTGTGCGAGAAACTAAGGTCTCGAACACAGTGATATACTCTTGTTTCGGTGGCAAGGCTCTTCTCGATAGAAGTTCAATTGATGCCTACATATCGATTAGCGTCAGGACGCACGCATGAAACAGACGGCTTATGCTGGGTTACCTGGAGACGCGGTTCTAGGGATTGAAAGAACGAAAGTCTCTCTTTCGTCATTGCATAATTCAACAGCACTGACTTTTCCCTGATGCTAATGGAGTACGGTGTACAAAGCAGCATGTCAGCAAGTATGTCGATGAGTTGGCTCACTTCGAGTTGAACGACCGGAAAATTGCTCAGGTCGTCCGTGGCCAGAATTTCTGCCATTTTCTGGAGGATAAGATAGGCCAACTCGAAGTCTGGAGCTGTGTGCCTCTCCAGCGTGCATAGAGTCCTGGCCGTGGCTATTACGCGGACGCACATTTTGGTGCTGGTTTCGTTCGAAGCGGGAGACCTCTTTCGAATCCAGAAAATGGCCAGGTCCCAGAGGCGCTGATAGCCATTCAGGAGCCATATCTTGTCCTCCCGATTATATGGAGTGTCCGAATGATGACAAGCATGTATATTAGACTTGAGCATATCAGTACAAAGGAAAAAGCTCTGTAGGAATGTGCCAAAATTGAGCCTCCTATTGAAAGAAGCGTGCGGGAGACGAAGATGGTCAAGGTCTAGACAGAAGTGCTGGTTCATCTTGACTACAGACGGGCTGTTCGCATACTCCATGGGTGGCCGCTGAAAGTGGAAAGCTTCTAGACAACGCAGAAGGTCTAGAGGAAGTTAGCCAGACATCCAACACCTATGCGTCTCATGAACCAACCCATGGTGCACACTCGTAAGAACGAAGATATACGAAGGAAGGAAGGAAAGATTCTGGCATGTTTGTGCGGAACGCTCGCTATGCTCGAGAGGATGTTATTGACTTTTCCGCTAAGTCTGTCTATCTCGCAGCTACTGGCCAATTGCAGTAGTCGGACGAGCAGCCACGAGTACAGAGGGACACTTTCATCATTCCCTAAAATCTCCGGGTCTGCAACCGCGACTAGAGCCAAGGGTGCCTTTTCGATGATGGTCTGAATGATGTCCAAGCAATCCGAGAGTTGGGTTTGGAGGTCTTCACTGTAGAGCGAACGATCCTTGATACATGGCTCAAGACCAGCTTTGAGGGCAATGCAAAGGAGTTTTGCGACATCAATGATACTGCCATTGAGTTGCAACCTGCTGTAGCGGCCTCCAAGAAGCTCGTTTCGGAGTTGTGAGAACGCTTCTTTGGTTAGACTACGCGTCTGATCGCATTGCGAGGACAGACGCGGGACGAACTGCGCCGCTAGGGTCGATGAAGCCGTTTCTGCCACATTTGATCGGATAGTCTTCGATGTGGAGAATCGAGACAACTTGCGCTCACTTGCTGCCATTGAAAATAGGGTTACACATGGCCCAGGTGTCTCTAGAGTTTGAAGTGACGCGAGAGTTGGGTAGAGAAAGTCGACGGGCAATGTCGACGGGCCTTGAGCGGCGTGGGTGTGTTATCATGGCTCAGCTACGGCGGGCTGCAGCAGCCGGCAGAAACGAATCTTCCAGCTTTATGATTTTCTACGTTGCAAGATTCATTATCTAGACATCATGACACCGCGGCTGAGTTCAAGCTTTCGAGAAGCATTGCAGTGTATGTGAAGAAGAAGAAGAAGAAGAAGAAGAAGAAGAAGAAGATAATAATAATAAAATATTTACGTATTGGACGCGTGGGACCGATCTGTCTAAGTGATGGGTAATCTTTCGGGAGTGGGATTCTTTAGTAAGTCCTCACTCAGCGAGAGATTAAAGCCTTGGTGATAAGATACTGTAAAGTTTACTGCATATTATGTTACATGCAAAGTCATACAACAGAAAGCCGAAAATCTTTAAATAGAACGATCGACCACGAAGAACTCTATTGATCTCAATATCAGCCTCAATCTGGCGAATTTGACACAATCCAGATGGTCGCAAGGGTTGACTGCTGAGTGCGGTTTACGTTCCCCAATCTGATTTGTTGACTCCAGAGCTTGACATATTAACTAGAGCTCATTGTCCGTCCATTTTTCAGACTACACTGTTGCACTGTATCTCGGCATCCTCATAATCAATCACCCCGAATAGCGTCGTTGCAATGGCTGATCGCATGGACTCACGCCATGCCTACTTTATGAAGCAGGCATTATTCATGGTATCTCTGTTTGCCAAGTACCGCGAAAAGTAGGGTAACTTACTTTCTCTACAGGGTGAAAAGGCACTTGAGACCGGTGAGACGCCGGTTGGGTGTGTCCTTGTGTATAATGACGAGATTGTCAGTTCAGGGATGAACGACACCAACAAATCCATGAATGTAGGTTACTACTGAAAGAGGGTGATCTTGAAGAGCTTTAGCCAGGATTGGTGAGGTATTGGGTATACCTCTGGCAAACATGTTGAACTAATCTGGACAACATCGGTTGATAACACATAGGGCACAAGGCATGCTGAATTCATTGCCATCGAGGAAATGCTTGATAAATACCCTAGGTCGCATCTTCGCTCGACAGACCTCTACGTAACTGTTGAGCCGTGTGTTATGTGCGCATCTGCCTTGAGGCAATACCAGATACGCGCAGTCTATTTTGGTTGCGGAAATGACAGATTTGGAGGCACTGGAAGCATCCTCTCGCTACATTCTGAGTTCGTTCTCCCCTTTATGACGATAAATTGCCACTAATAGATTGATCCTTAGCCTCTCGATAGATCCGCCGTACCCAGTACATGGGGGAATATTTCGGGAAGAAGCTATAATGCTACTTCGACGCTTCTATATACAGGAGAACGAAAATGGTATGCACTTTTTTTTTTGTGATTGGCCCCATATAGCTCTCTTCCTAATTACGGACCAGCACCCAAGCCCCGGCCCAAGAAACACCGTGAGTTAAAGACGAGCTTTGAAGCTGGCGTATCAGGCAATTAAACTCTGAGATCACCAATATGGAGCATGGCAATCTTATTCACAACAAGTTCTCATATCGCGTAGTGGCCATATCTGAATGACCTGGAATATTTCTATTGGTGTAGGGCTGAGAGGGAATTTCACATTGCGCTAGAATATAAGTATAAACAGGTTTGCGGTAACAGAAGGAGCCCGGGCATGTTGATTGTTTGTCACTGTTCGTTCCACACATTACCCGGAGCGAGCGGGACAGTTAGTTCAGACGCTCCGCCTCTAGCTCCCGTTCCGCTTGTTGATAATATTTGGCTGTGTCAACTCCGTGCTTTGCAAGGAATTAGCATATGAGTCTTGTGAAAATCGCCTATTCCCTGCCAATTGAACAGGCTCAATTACCCAATGTACTTACTTGATCGTGGTTGACAATATTGAACCATGGAAGGACATGGCTAAAAAGTTGAGAGTACCGCGAGTTTCTGGCAGCAACACCCTGCAAGTATGGAGAAACTTGAGAGGTTCCGTACAGCGGCTCCCCTTTCTTGACCTTGTCTACCATTTCTCTCATGTCCATTTCAACTTCCCGCGCGTTCTCCGTGAAACCATAGAAGCGATCTATGACGGCGAATTAGCGCCCGCAGTGTCACGCATCATAGCTGCGGTGGTGATACTTACTGCAAGACCGCTGGTAGAAGATATGTAGACCTCCAACAAGACCAATTGCTGTTGCTAGTCGCATGACGGGAGAAAAGCCGCCTCTGCCGACATGGGACGGGCTCACCCTTTCCATAATCCAAAAGGCAATTGGCGAAGTGGCAGCCAGACCGCTTGCAACTGCGTAGTCCGAAGGCCGTGCATAGCCGAAGACTCGTCTCAAGTGCCTAAGTTTAAAGTAAGATTCTCTGAGATTAATGATACTTCAGACGGATCCATACGGGTCGGAGTCAATTAGCTAGAAAGCATTGATTAGTACCATTGGTCTCTAAATCCATGTTCAAAGCAGTGATCTAGAGAACATACCGGATAGTCGGTATTGGCCCGTTTTGGGGGAATAGGCACTGTCTTGTGATCGGTTGCCATGATCGGTCGGCAAGGCCAGAAGGCGAGGTGTAATAATCGTGCTTTTTGAATTGGCTTTCGCTGCAATGAAGTTGGAACTCGAAGGGAGATATGCCAAGCCCACCGCTTTTCCTGCTGGAGCTAGCGGGTAGATTTGGTTAGTCATCAAAGACATTCCTTACCGATCTATCTGGAATACTGTAATGTCGCGGGGTACTGTGTGTTCATTACATTATGACTTGATGACTTGAGCACCGAGCCTATTCCTATTCTATAAGTGGCGCGCATACGCGTCCCACGCTTGCAACGCGCGTCGCCGCGATAGTACCGCCCATCTCAGCTGGCCTCCAGGCTTCTATCCCGCCCTTCCTTAATCTGCCATTCCGTGACATGACGAGCGCTGCCGAGAAATAATGGAATCGGAAACGGGATCTCTTAATGCACTAACAAGTCATGACAACCCTCTCTTTGACTATGACGCTGGCCTGGATGCGGCATGGCAACAATCACCAACGGATTCCAGTAAAAAGCCTTATGATGAGGATACAACAGCTCCTATACTAGGCGTGGACGATAAGATCAAGGTTAGCAAGCACCGCCGACTTGCTGCGAAACTAGATGAGAGCAGGTAAGGTCAAGTAGCATGCTGCACAAGGGCCGATTCGATGACTTATTCATCATCGTCTAGGTTACTTTCACACTCCGGGATCCCCAAGTTGCGCCGCACATCAAAGCAGAGAATTAAATTGAAGGGCAAAGGACACGAGGTTTACCACCACCAATATCCCGATTCATTCTTCTCTCACTCCTAATCTTACGGAACAGTTTTCTGACGTCGCTCGGCTCTTGAACTTTTATCAAATGTGGCTTGATGACCTGTACCCTCGTGCCAAGTTCGCCGATGGTCTGGCCATTATCGAAAAGCTCGGTCACTCCAAACGCCTACAGACAATGAGACGGGAGTGGATCGACGAGGAGAAACCAGAAGCGTTCGCAGCTGAAGTAGGGAAGATGCCACGATTAAACTATTCCAGTCAGCAAGCTCTCAATGACCCCAACGCAGCCATTGACACTGTTACTCCGATAGAGACATTTGACACTTTAACGAATCCAATGATTCTTGAGGATAGGCACGGAACCATGACGTCTGATTCGCTACAAGCTTCGGAGCGGGAAGCACACACAGAGATACCAGAGAGTGGTATAGGACATGACATACCCGAGGATGATGAGTTGGAGTTCCTTTTGAGAGAACATCAACATGAGAATATCGGCGGCTAATGTGATTTTTACACTGGCCTGAAGCTCGACTGTTCATATATCACTGACTAAGAAATTTTGGTAATATTTTACCTCAATAATTAGTGTATAACACGGATGATGAAGGTCTCGCCCTAATCGAATAACAAACCGTTGATTAAGGCATCGTGCATATTGATATGGAAAGTTGAATGCATTTGAATAATACATTGCAGCTCTGAGACGGCGACTATACAAAATCAAAGATATATGAGCATTGGCGAACTCAAAGCAGACTCCGCCTCTTGTAGATGAAGTATAGCCAGTTTGGAGACGATCATAGTGTTACAGGTTCGGTAAATACAGAGAATTGGCCGCCCGCACCCGCCCAGTTCAATCTCTTCCCCCGGACAGCAGTATTTTCGACAAGCGTTGCTACCTCAATGTCGTCCTGTGTGCCTTGGCCAGTTTGATAGGTGGCAGAAAACCCCCATGACCAAGGCCGGCCATCGACATCGATGGCAATCGAGTGATCTGAGCCTGCCGCAACGGCATTGGCCTCGATTCCAGGCACGGACATTGGTGCTATAAGGATGCGCGGACGCCCACGCTCATCTTTTATGACCGCTTCTTCAGGGAGGGTTTCGATCTTCAAACCCGTCTGAAACCCGTCCAATCGTCCCCAGACGAGACATTGACCGCTGCTGGTGGCGGCAAGTGAATGGTGAGCGCCGCCGCACAACTGAATGATATCCTGGTTCGACAGCGAATCGACAATTGTAGGGTGGACAATTGCAGCTTCATCATCACCAGCACCGGCCCTGATACCCGTCTCACCAAAACTGTTGAGACCCCAAGCGTAGACATTACCAGATTGGTGTACGGCAAAGGAATGGAAAGCACCACAAGCAATGTGCACAATACTCTTGGGTAGGCCAAACTCGCGTGGCTGAAGCCCGTTTAGCCTATTCCTCTCAATGATACGGCGGCCTAGCTGGTTCTGCTGCCCAGAGCCCCATGAATACACGGCGCCCTTCTCATTAAGAGCGAGAACGTGGTTGTCACCACAAACCAGGTGTTTTATCATCTTCAGCGAAGGAATATGAGTGGGGATAGCTTGTATCTTGTTATGAGGATCAAAGCCCAAGATGCCATCATTACTCTTCGTATGGTTAGCTTAGGCTATTCACAAGGCGCGAAAGACAGCTTACCCGGAAAGTTCCCCAGCCATAGACTTGACCTTCATCCGTGAGGGCAAAACTAGAGCTGTCGCCAGCAGCAACTTCCACAAAAATAGTACCCTCTGGGAAAACGTCAGATGGAATAGCAGTAGGAGTCGACTCGTTCGGGTTCAGGCCAGTGTCGTCGTCAGAATCTGAATCCGAGTCGCTCTTAGCTTCGTCCACATCTCTGAAGCCCCCGTCCCAGGTTGTATCCCTTCCAAGCGCTCCCTGGTCATTGACACCCCATGTAAGAATCTTGTTGTCGTATGTAAGCGCCACACAATGCATCCCGCCCACTGCGACTTGTACAACACCGACTCGGTCTGCTGGCAAGTGTGGATTGAGACGAGGCCTTTTTACGTCGATGGCGGTCTTCCCTGCTCCGAGACCCAGCTCGCCGGAGCTACCTTCGCCGCAGACATAGACATTTAGGCGGGTGGTGGGAGCATCGTTGATGATAACCTTGGGTTTCGGCTTCGTCACCCGAGGTCGGGCGACACGAGCCTTCTTCGATTCGGGAGCTGGTTTTTCTTCGTCGGCGACGGCTTTTCGCTTTCCGGATTTCGCGGACACAGCTTCGTGACCACTAGTTTTGCTAGCCTTGGTCTTCTTTGGAGCCGCGGATTTGACTATAGTTGTTTGTCTGTTGGTAGCTTCATTGGACTTAGCGGAGTGTCCACGGGTCTTTGAAGCCGTAGATGTTGCCGATCGCTTCGCTGTTGCGATTGTGGTAGCAATAGCTGTGGTGGCTGCCCTATTCGGCTTGCCTTTATCAGCAGCTGCTCGGGTTGCGGCAGACTTAGATGCACCTTTTTTTAGAGGCATCACGGCGAGAAGCGCAGGTTAACCTACCACAAGCTGTTTGCGAAACCAGGCAAGACAAGGCTATATCGAAAAGGAGGACCAAAGATTAACAAGTTGAGCAATGTAACACCCTGAAAGGATATCACAGAAATGACTTGATCAATTGAGGTGGTCCGGAGGATGAGGGTTGTCAGTCCATTGTTGTTCTATTGTTGCTGTTTTGTGAGAGACCACGCCACGCCAAGAACAACACTGTTGCCTAAGTCGTACTAGTTCATGTAGCGGGCATGGTTGAAAGTATCTCAACAAAGCCAGAGAGCCAGAGAGAGCAGCTTCATGAGCAAGCTTTCTTTGTCTCTTTCTAATACCCTTGACTAATTACTGAGATGTCAGCCAAATGTGCTTAGAAAGCAAGGGACGCGGTTGCAGAAATTCACCTCACCTCTTTCTGGTGGTAGCTTTTAGGCCAGAACATCCACCAGTACAACTTGGTTTACACTTCAATCAGCCGCCATTTGAAGATCGATCTTGTTTTGCTTCTTGACAAGAACTGAATGAAAGCCATTGCGGTCTTCACTTTCTGCCTTGTACTCAGCATCAGCCTCTGATGCACTCGACAGACGTTATAGGGTATCCTGCTATCTTGATTGGCTTTAGGCTAGGCTCATAATCTCTATCAATGGTGAACCTTAGGCTTATGTGCAACGTAATAGGGTGCCGCATTGTAGCAGCCCCGCATGGAAGAACTGGTAGTGAGCTGAGGGAGAAAGCGGGCCATCTCGTCATTCGATGTTGGAAGTGAAGGGTCTTTCTGTGCGTATTCTGCCGCACATGATGACATTCTGGCCCAATGGCATCCACCTCACATCCTTGGGATTTAAGGCTGCGTTGGGCTTTCCTTCTTTATCGCGTTTTGAGTCTGGACTCACGCTCACTCCACTAGAGCCGAGATAGGTGGGGGCGACAGTGACGATGATTGAATCAATGAAATCGGCATACTCGGGATTTAACAACTCACTAAGGACGGTACCTCCGCCCTCGATCATGACGCTCTTGATCCCCTCAGACGCCAGAGCGCGCAGGATAGCTTCCCAGCGCAATCGCCAATCTTGATTGTATTCCATGATTCGAAGAAAGTCGCCCCCGTAGCCTTTGAGCATCATTAACTTCTGGGGATGGATGCGGGCTCCGGGCGATACCACAACCCACGGCGCTTTGCCTTTACCCTCCACTGCAGTTCTCAGCATGCGGCATTCAGGATGAATGGACCATCGCCCAGTGGGATCAATCACCACAGGTCGCGGCTGCCACATCCTCCCTAGACCGCCGTAGCCTCCCGCTCCTTCCAATCTACAGTTCAAGCCAGGGTTATCAGCAAGGACCGTCCCAACCCCGATCAAGATAGCGTCATGACGGGATCGTAGATAGTGAGTCATGAGCTTGGCCTCTGGGCCCGAGAGTACCGTCTGCATGCCTGGGAGTAGTGAAATCTTCGAATCCATAGAGGATGCGTAAGATAAAGTAACGTGAGGGAGATGGCGTCGCTCATCGTGTTTCGGGAGATAAGGCTCGAGAAAATCCAGGGGGAACTGGGGAAATGATAGAGTGTCAGGTGGTAGCGATGACTTCAGGATAGCGTCCGACAACACCAGGCTATCGCTGTCGCTCCCACTCCCACGTTTTCTCACGATGCCATGGCCTTTTTGGTATTCATAGCCATCATGCGGTACGAGTTTGACCTCAGGGTTCTGTATTCGCCACTTTGCTGAAACATTGCGGACGTCTGTTACTGTGAAGAACTTGCCGCCAGCCTCCTCAAGCTTTGCGGGCTCTTCTTGGAATTTGGTGTAAATGGAAGATGGTAAGTACCCCTTGACTGCTTCTCTGCGTGCAAATTCCATGAGCCCCGAGTTCCGCTTCACCTTGTCGATATAGTCAAGGTCGTGCGAATGCACACGGCTGCTTCCTGGAGTCCTCGCGATAGTTACAGTCGAATAAGCCCCTTCAAATTTGACAACTTTGATCTGAAAGTTGCAAATGCCGCCCTCTCGCACTCTCTTCTTTCGAGGGCGTTTGCCTTCTGGTAAAGGCCGAGTTTCCGATGTACGATGAGTGGGACGCCGCAACCGACACATATAATAGTCCGTAGTGCAATGCCCCTCTTTGCTGGAGTTTGACCTTTGTTTAACCCACACGTTATCAATGAATGGCCAGTAGGTCTCAAACTCCACGAGACTTATCTCTATGGGGTCCTTGCATTCAAACATCACTCGTCGTATCCTGGAGATATTGGGGGGGTTGTTTATGAGACAGTCGGGTTGAGATAAGCTGGAATGCCGAGAGTTGGGTAGGCCGTCAAGGTTGAGGTTTGAGTCGCGAGATATACCGCTCGGTAAAATCGCGCCGTTCTGCAAGGCCAAGTCTGCGGAACTCAAAGCGACTCGTTCGTCAATAGTACCGATAGCTAGACGTACGGGCTGATTCCCAAGGGCCTCAATATCCGATACACTGGCGAGTTCCTGACCTTCGTCTTCTTCGTCTTCGCAGGATGTCACCATATTCGTGATCGAGACAACCCCGGCTTGATCTCTCGCTTGAGCCGAGGGTCCATTTGATGACGGCTCGTCCCTGGGACGACCGGACAGCGTTGACTTTTCACCCGTGCCAGATGCGTCAGGACGGTCATGTCCCATGTCGGGCACTGCAGCCTCGTGTTGAGAGTTTTGTTTAGATGGCTCAAAGACATGTGCACAAGGCGGTATTGTAGGTTGCGTGGATCAGCCTGTATCCATGGTGGGATGTGAGTCAACTAGTGCTGTCTGTGTGGTCCACGCTGCTGCCACATTCCGTCACCCCTATGGTGCTCATCCACTTTCGAAGTATCTATTCGGTCGAAGATTCAGCTGTAGGCTGGTGCTGAGTGGGTTTGAATGATTGTTGCGGGTCCAGGTCTTGGCGTCTGGGCTTTAGTTGCGGGCAACTGCCCGCGCATACCTACCTTAGTCCATAGCTAGCAATTAATTATTCAAGCAAGAGCTCACCCCGAGGCCCAATTAAGCAGCCATTTTGTATTTCAAGTCCCTATGCTATCTAAGAACTACTACATGTGGATCGGTAGAGTCCCAAGAACAAAGGGCACATGGACCTGAATCTTGCACATAAAATCCAATGAGCTGAAGGGAATTTCTTAATACGCTCCAATCTCCGCCCCAGCGCGCGCAAGCGTTTCGTACACTTTGGGCGGCAGCTTATACTTGACCATGCCCGAGAATACCATCAAGTCCTTGGCCATGACCAACAGCTCATCCGATAGCCCCTGTCTGATCTCATTGTCGTACGCACTGGAGCCAAGGCGATCACGTTCATGCCCAATGCAGGTGATACTCCACATGATGACATGGCCAACGTTATGGGAGATTATGGCAGGAAAGGACGAGAAAGCTTGGGCAGCACTTCGGATATAAGGAACAGAGCCTCTTGCCCGTAGAGGAAGGAGATTCAGGTCATTGATAGCCTAGAGAATGTTGGCATCAGCAGAGAAACCATATATGGCGACAAGAAAACCTACATCAAGAGCAGAAGTCCATTTTCCTGCTTCAACTTCTGCCTTCGCTTCCATCATGCGAAGCAATAGCCCACATGAGTCACGATTGACTTGACGAATTCGTTGATAGTATAAAGCATTGACGTTGTATAGACCAATCATGTTCTTAGCTAAAACTACTGGATCTTCCACAGCAGTTAGGCTGAGGCTGCTCCCAGGTTCGAGCAGAGCTTCCTGCCTCGAATCTTGATTGCCCTTCTGCAAATCAGCCCGAGGTCTCAGAGGTTGCAACTTCATGAGTGGCGCTCCTAAGTCAATAGCGACAGCGTCGGAAAGAGCTCGGTTGATGATATCGATGACACGATCGTAGTCTTCGGCAAGATGGTACAGGAGGACTGCATCTGTAATCAGACCTTTGTCGTCGGCAATGGCCGCCGCCTGCACTGTTATTGTTTTGAGGGATTCTTCTTGATCGACAAGTTTGATCAGGCTAATTCGCTGCTCGATCAAACCTTTGATTCTGCTTCCGTCAGAGCGTACATCACCCAACAGCTTAGCAAAATCTCTGGTTTCCAGAATGTACTCCCGTAGAGCCTCGTGACACACAGAAGCTTGGGATCTACCCAAGGAACCGGGCAAGTCAGCATTGAGGCACAGCAAAGAAAAGTAATCTATGGCTGCCTCAACATATGCTGTGCGGAATTCCTTAGTGTACTGGGTGATCAGCAAGGCGAAGTTGACCTGTGGGTACTGTTTCACAGTGAAAGACACTATTATCGTTAATAGGCTGAACGAGCAAGACAACTAAGAAAACAGCATTGTGCCACTTACATAGTTCTTCGCCCGAGCTATAGAAATCCGACACACGGAGCAGGCCATAGTATGCCAGCGCAATGGCGAAGTGTACTGCACTGATTGGAGAATAGGACAGGAGATATGAGACAGCTTGCTCGAACATGCCTCCTAAGATCTGCAAGAAAAAAAAGGTTCCGTAGCCCTCGGGGCCGTCTTGGCCTTTGCCAAAGACCCTTTGCCCAATCTCTGTAATATCATTTTGAATGTCTTCAAGGCCGAAAACATCCCCTGCAATTTCCTCTGCGCGGTCATCCTCTCTGGCTAGCGTGAATTGCAGCCACATCCAATCCTCCACGCCCTGATTGACGCCTTCCAACCGTCTACGGGTGAGCTCACAGCGCCCGATTATTTTGTAGCAAGCCATGCGATAAGGATCGACAGTATTGTCAGGGGCATTTCGCGACCGCTGTTGGTATTCCCCGTTAATCTTTTGTTGCAGGTCTCTCGGCAATCGCCTATTTTGGGCATAAGTCGTCATGTATGTCACAAATTTGTGATCCAAAGAACGGAAACCTGGATCCTGGCTAACGTATTCTGCTGCTTCCGTGACGAAACCACAGCGAAGAAGATAGAATATGAGAATCCAGCAATAATCCTCGCCAACCATCTGGAGCTCGGTTCCGTCCGGAGCAAGGTCTCTTCTTGCGGCTCTGAGCCGGATATAAGCACGGATTTTGTTGATCACGGTTGGAATGCCGCCAAGTTGTGCTTCTTTAGGATTTTTCGCAATCATATTATCCAGATCAGTATAGAATTTCTTTTCAAGGAATGATCGCGAGCCCAAAACTATACGATTCCTGAGATTCATCGCTTTGCGTGAGGTTGGCGCTTCATCTAAGTAGTCTGCGGAAAATTGCCGCTCCCTCAATGCGATAGGGTCCGAAATATTTAGCGCATCCGGTGACTCCCCAACAATACTGATCAAGGCCCTGTAGGCATCGTACAATTGTCGTGGAACCTGATGCAAATTAGTTATTGACACACATACAGCTGAGCGCACCAACTTACATCGCCACCTGCGCGCCCTTCAACGTCGGAGAAATCATGTAGAATAGGAAACGTTCGGGATTGAAGTCTGGCCGAATTTAACAGCTGTACTTTGTCCGCGTAGTAGCCCATCTTCTCCCTCAAAAAACGAAGATCAGAAGAGTGACCGCCCGAACCATCGTTGCGCTCCATTTGGTCCTCGAATATCTGAAGGCCTGCCGCTCCAATCCCTGGCATCCCAATGACAGATTTGTCCAAGCCAGAACGTCCAAAGACACTCCGGCGCGACGTTGATGTGGGACCGTGGGTAGACGCAGTACCGAGCTGCTGCGCTCGGTGGACGGAACGACCAAACGCACTTCTTCCATCCTTAGTGTTGTCATCCTTGTGGGTCAATCCGAAGTGCTGGAATATTTTCCGTCGTTGTTCCTCCCAGTTCAAGTCGAGCTTTTCTTCCAGGAACAGATCAAAATCTCTTTGTGTGCGGGCAAGGCTTTCGGTTATCATAACTTGACGACCGCGCTGTTGCAGGTTTCTTAGATATTTCTGATTATCTGGATCGAAGGTCTCCTGTTCTTTCGGCGCTACCGATAATGATGCCTGCGGATCTAGAGCCTTGAGGTCCCGTAATGCGTGCCCGGGTGAGACACCGGACGCAGCAAGCATATAGTGACTGAGAACCATGAGTACATCATATGCAATGTATGTTTTGAGCTTCAAAAGGGTCGTGGAAAGGCGCGGGCGCCGGGGGAGGGGAGAGCGTGGACGCGCTTACGCTTTGCTATTCGCTGCAGATTGTTGACTATTCTTGGTCTCCTTGCTACCAAGCTCTCGCGCTTTTTTGCGGATGTCATCGAGACCCAGCTGCAAGGTGGGCAGCTCGTCGAAATTGCTGTTGGGTCCGATTGTCGAAAAAGGCCTCTTTCTCCCGCGCTCTAAAAGGCTATTGAAAAAAGCGGGTTGTGTCTGGTTGGAGAACTGCAACGGTTGCGCGACACTAGGCTGCGTCGCGTTCTGTCCGAGGAAAGAGCTCTGAGTCGGTTGCTGTTGGGACTGCGGCTGCTTTGCAAACAAAGATCCACCCGAGGATGTTTGTGTTGTGGGCGTGTTGCCAAAAATGCTTGCTGTGTTATTCTGCAGCAAGCTTCCTGGCTGTGTTGTGGCCCCTACACCAGCCGCCCCAAACAAGGAGCCTGGGGTTGTGGATGTCATTGGGAAAGCTTCGCTGCAGTGCGAGAATATGGAAAATGGGAAGCAGAACGCTTTGCAGGTACTAGATTGCGTGATATATGCATTAGGACCAGTTGCCAATCCTCAGTATATAGCTAGACTCAGGGTTTATCGCGACATACCGCTTTTTCTCTGGTGAGAATTTTCTCTGGTGAGAAAGACGTGCTGCTTTCGGTACTCTACTCCTCTTGTCTGCCAAAGCAACTCGACGTTTACAGCAGACTTCGGCCGGTGGATTGCCAGGCTCAGCCAAGATTTCGGACTTATGTTTGGCCGAGGAACTTCTAGCCGCTTGGTCACACTCATTCGATGGTACGCCATTATGTGGCAGCAATATATCATCTAAAAGCTTGTGCTATCAGACCAATCTCGAGCTATCAGTCTGAAGATCCAATTGGGATCGGAACTCCGTCAATCGTGAGATCAGTACGAAAATGCCGGTATTTCAAGCCAAGACATTTCGGCGAGCAACAACAGCATCCTCAACCCTCGGCGAGCGAGTCGGTGCAGCGTATAGATCTCGCCTCCCCAGGCATCCATTTCTGCTATTTGGTTTACCTTTCATCGCGATCATAGTCGCCGGGTCTTTTGCGCTGACACCAGCTGCCGCCTTAAGATATGAACGCTATGATCGCAAAGTAAAGCAACTCAGTCAGGAGGAAGCTATCAACCTGGGTCTTAAGGGCCCGGATGGCGAGGAAGGCATTAAACGAAATCCACGGCGACGAATAATTGGAGGTGAGCGAGAAGAATACTATGTAAGTAATCTTCTTCATGTCACTTCGGCTCGCGGAAGCTCATGTTTTGCTTATTTGTGCTCTAGAGACTTATGGCCAAGGACCTCGATGACTGGGAACAAAAGCGAGTGCAACGTTTCAAAGGTGAACCCGATGGCAAGCTTTGAAGCACGAATTGCAGCTTTCGAAAACGGGACTACTCAATTCTAGTGCAATCACCTCGAATTTGTGAATGTTTGACATACCCCTATGCTCAAGCTTTCATCAAGATTTCGACTATGGCAAATCAATTTCGACCTGGGATGGGATATCCCGGCGCACCCTACCTCCACTATCTTATGCAAACATGACAAATAGCCAACCAACCACTTTTTTCTTGCCTCGTCTCGAAGTATGAATATGCTTCCTGATGAAAAGATATTGAGGTATCCTTCTCAATTTTGCGTTCCTAGAAACTCGATGACAAGGAAGCATTATTTGCAGTGATCCGTTGGGGTATTTTCAGTATCGATATATATGCCAATTTTGCTACACTCCGATAAAGTCAAGAGACTGGACCATGCGAGGCTAGTGAGCATCGTGCAAATTCCCCCGGATGTCTCAATGGCTCAGAAACAAACATATGCAGGGGATCGCAGTTGAGACATAAATAATATACATAGTTCTCCATATTTAGACTCATGGCATGATCAAAGACAGCCGCTCTATACTCAGATCTGAAGCATCTGAGAATGAATACACCCCCCTAAGACTTCATTTGCTTAGTATGCATGGTTGTTATGGAGACAATGTACTCATTAACCCCGATCGATCGTCTTGCCCTACAGCACTTAATTTCCGCTTCGCCAGTCCGATGCACCTGGCCACTTTCTCAATGGACATACACTGGAGTGTGTTGAGGGGTGGATTTGATGAACCTTTAACCTATATGTTGTACTTTACTGCAACAGCCTGCTGCTGTAATCTAGCTTTCACTCAGTACCGTTGATGTGTAGTCGGTGAAAATGGTTTGCCTAGTGATCGGATATTTCGATGTGCTCTATAAGGATGAGAGAGATGGACTTTACTGTCAGCTGACGGTGACATATGCTAGGAAAGCGCCATAGTGAGCGCTGCTTGCCCTCTCTTTCTCCCTTTACTTCTCCTGCTCCCTGTCCTCATAGGTAAGCATAAGAGATACCACATGCTGGGCTCTGACGAAGTCGCCACACTCCAGTCGAGTTCCTGGTCGATCGAGGAGATCCAGACCGGCCGCCGCCGCATGGGTTTCGAGTCTTTTCTGCACACGTGCCGCCTTCCGACCCTCTGCCACCCACCCTATAACGTCATATCCGAGAGAACAACGTCGTTCCCTCCATTTCCTTTACCCTCCATTCGCTCTTCCGCACAATTCGCTCGGCTGTTGACCCCCGACCCCTTCATGCTCGAACAATGGCTGTGGATCAGTGATATCAGCCAACAGTGACCTCCTCCCTTTCCTTCCCCCACTTTTCCTTGCTCGGAATTCCATTGGTCCAGGAACTTGACTGCAGTCGGGCGTGCGATCCCCCCCCCCCCCCCCCCCGATTCCCCCCCTCCCTTAGCTGAGACTTAGGAATCCCCGATTGCGAGAAGCCAAAATTACTTGCCATCTGCCTGTCTTCTCTCACCTCTCTCCATGGTGCTTTGCCTTTCTTTTGTAATCATAGCCCGACTCTTCTTGAACCTGGAGCATTTTCTTACCTCAGTTTAAGCCCTCCGGATTATCGCTGTTCAGCCAATCCGCTTCTCATATCCTGCTCTTCTTCCCATATTTTTCATCGAAGCTGTAACCTGTGACACCATCGCCTCCTGCCAGATTTTGCAGCCCTTCTGAACTGGGCATCGCTTAGCTCGCCGGACCTGGTTTCTGAGCTAGACTGAGACCAATCTTCGAGCAGAACGATTAAACCTCCAGACATCAGCGTCAGCGAAGCGAAAACCACTCATTAGGTCATATGGTGTGGAACAACTAGTTTGCAAGTCTAAGTGGTTGGTGCAGGCAGCATCATCCCTTAGTTTGACTCGACCACTACGTTGCTCACCAGGCTGGAATCAATCTCGCGATGGCAGAGGAGGTCTATTTTTGAACACAAATTCCGATATATCGGCTGAAAGAAAAAAAAAGCAGACTTCCGTTCTGCCTTGACAAAGAACAATGTCGGCTATGACAGGTTCAAGATCACCTACATCCCCTTGGCCGTCAGAGTGCCAGAACCTGCAGCTTGATCAAACTTCGAACTCGACGCCTTTCTTTACCTTTTGTGATGCTCACCCTGGTTCCCATGGACCTGCGGGACTTGGTTCATCGAATACAGTCTTAGAACGTCCAAGTCCTAATCATTTCTCGATCAGTGTGGATAGTCCGGGTAGCTTTGCAAACAATCGGGAACCGGTACCACATGCTCAACCTGCAATATCATATCCAAAAGTACAACCATCAAACAATAGAACGCTCGATAACAACCCGACTACTTCGAAAAGCGGAATTGCATTCAACAACCATTTGAAGACATCCGCCGGCCTTGGATTTCCACGGAACCGAGACCTAGTGTTCCCCGGTGTTGGCGCACCTTCGGGACAGCTGACTTTCATGGATGGGTGTCCCATCTCTATAGACGATTGTGCAGGGCTTCTCGAGTCCTCCGATCGGGATGTCATGCTTCTGGATGTGCGACCCTACGCGCATTTCGCGAGGGGAACTATTGATGGATCTCTTAACCTATGTATACCGACAACCCTGCTAAAGCGCCCCTCATTCGATACGCAGAAACTAGCGAATACTTTCACGGCCGATTCTGATAAGATGAAATTCGCGCGATGGCGGCAGTTCCACTACATCGTCGTCTTCGATGCCGCTACTTCTGATATGAAAGATGCAGGTCCACTCGCTAATGTGCTCAAGAAGTTCACAAGTGAAGGCTGGGATGGGGAGGCTCGAATCCTACTCGGGGGCTTTAAAACATTCGCATCTCGCTTTCCTCACCTTGTGAGGCAGCAGCAGCTTCCAGCTTCGGGGGCGCCGACGAAGAAAACTCCCAGGATGCATATTGATCTCCCTTCAGCCGCTCCAGTCGCAGGCGGGTGTGCTCTTCCCGAATCATCTCATGCTGCGATACCCTTTTTTGCAAACATCAGGCAACATACGGACTTGGTAGATGGTGTCGGGCAGATTCCTTTACAGCTCCCCTCAACCCTCACGGAACCCAAAAGACAACGACTTCCTTCGTGGCTACGTGATGTGTCAGAGACCTCGGACAGGGGTCGCAAAGTATCCGAGAGATTTTTGGCGCTGGAGAAAAGGGAGTTCGAACGCATGAAGCGGGCGCTTTCTTACGACAAATCTGCCAACTCTGCAGCGATCGATACCTCATCAGAGAAGTATCGTGTCGCAGGAATTGAGAAAGGAACTAAAAATAGGTACAACGACATATATCCGTTTGAGCATTCTCGAGTCAGATTGCAGAATGTTTCTCCCGGTGGCTGCGACTATGTGAATGGGAATCATTTAAAAGCAGAAAAGGGCGGTAAATGTTATATTGCTACACAGGCCCCAGTTCCTGATACCTTTGATGTAAGTCGGATACGCGGTCCTCCTACCCGCCCTGTCTCAGTTGCCAGAAGTAGCATCGAACTTTCCCTTGCTTACCATTTTCATAGGATTTTTGGCGAGTAATATGGGAACAGGACGTTCGTCTTGTGGTCTCATTGACTGCCGAGGTCGAAAGGGGCCAGGTTAAGTGTCACCCATACTGGAAGTCGGGAGAATATGGACAATGCCAGGTCAACAATTTTTCTCAGAAGTTGATCTACCTGAATTCTCGAGATTCGCCCCAGGTTGACCTTGAAGGCAATCAACTACCTCCCGACGTGAAAGACGATCCAGGCAACCCATACATCGTCGTCAGGCATTTTGGTTTGTCACACTCAGCCTTTCCATTTCAGCCATTACGAGAAGTCACCCAATTGCAATACCCTCATTGGCCTGACTTTGGGACAACCTCACAGCCTACACACCTCCTCAGACTTATCGAGTATTGTGATCGGGTTCTCAATGCAACGAATAGTCCTATTCCGGGCTCGTCCCAGAGACAAGCTGCGGATCAGCGACCGGTCTTGGTGCACTGCAGTGCTGGCTGTGGACGCACCGGCGCCTTTTGTACAGTCGATACTGTGCTAGATATAATGAAGCGGCAAAGGGGTCAAGGCGCCGTCGACGACATGAGTTCAAGACCCACTGAGGGTCAATGGGAATTTGATGAGGGTCTGGACCTCATTGAGAAGACCGTGGATGACTTTCGCAGACAGAGACCTAGCATGGTTCAAAACCTTTCGCAGTTCGTTCTGTGTTACGAAAGTGTGCTGGAATGGGTTGTTTCGCACATGGGTGAGTAGAATAGAGTTAGGTATTATTCAAGCATCTCTTGGTCATCACTGGATGATGAATTAGCGGGGATCTCTTAAATTGTTTAGGCCTGGATGTTTATCATACCTCCTGGCAAGCCTTGATCTCTTCCGGACCTTGATCACCATGTCTATATGTATTTATGAAAGCATTTTCGGGTGTTGGTATCTTATCTGGTTGTGTTCCGAGGTCTTGTTGAATTGTGCATTGAAATAAGGCCTGGGAATTATGAATATAAATTCTAGAATTTAGACTTAGTGATGATTTTCAGATGGATGGTCGCCGACTACCAGTTGGTTAACCGCCTTGTCCATTACTATTGAGCCGGAATAAAATGTTGAACCAAAGCATGAACCGGAGGTACTGTACTGTACATCATACTATATGCGGGAAGGTAGCTAAGCACCGCCCGCGATATGGAGGGGACCCGATTAGAAAAAGGTCAAACCAATCTCTCTTTAAAGCTTCCGCGTGTTTATCACCAAGTGACTATCTCAGATGTGAATTCTGATCTCCAAATGAGATTACTGCCGGGTGAAAGCGGAGAATTTTGCCTTCGCGCAACTGCCGAGAACTAACATATTCTGGGTTACGTTGGTAGCAGCCTGGAGGCTCCCTTTACCTACCAGGCAACAAGTGACACTGGTGCCTCAGAACAGACGGGCATACCCGCCAGCCGCGATTGACCATAAAGGTCCAACATCAGTCCCCTTGTCTTCAGGGGACCTGGTTGTTGTGCTCACAGTAATATCATTCTACCCATTTTAAGCAAGCAAGCAATACATCCAGAAAGGTTAGGGGCTACGTGCCTGCTTACTACTTGCTCTCCTCGCCCTCAAAGCAACGCCTTGATCTTGGTGATCATCATGCTTCTAACTCTTCCTACGGAGCTCATACAATGGGTTCTTCGATGCTGCTCCACTCCGACTTTTCTACAAGCGGCTTTTTCGTGTCGTGCCTTGTATGAGATCGCGACTAGTTGTCGAGAGGTCCTTGTGCACCATCTACGAAGGACCCCGGGAGTTCTACCCCCCGACCTCCGCTCTTTGAATTCTAAAGACCTATTTCGGCTGCTATTAAGACATGCGTTTCAGCAACTGTACGGTGCGCAATTTCAAGCAGAGTGTGTCACTTTCGATCTCGGAAAACCCCCACTCGATGTAAAAGCATCCGTGTTGGCATCGAGGGGAATTCCGATGCTCGCACTCGTCTTTCGGGAACAAGAAAGCATCCATCTATTTAAGGTTTCAGGGGCGAGCCTCCGACCCCATGCCCATTTGGAGCTCCAGTGGTGTCGACCAGGCGCAGTGGAGATTCTCAAAACAGCATGTGATGGTGATGATACGCTATATATACTCCATCGGTTTAAGCCCTCGATAGACGACAGCGACGAGTATGCGAGGAATCCGTTTGTGAGACACGCCATGCAGCTTGAGACTGATGGGACACTCTACCTATCTCGATATTCATTACGATCTCCCAATGGTCCTGTCCGCATTTGTGCTTTCCCTGATCATGCCGACTATGAGCCCTTGGCTCTGGCAGCTGCGCGTGGCGGCATCTTTGCAATTTCCTGGCAGCATACTCGAGACACCACTGACTCGGAGGTGACTTTATATATCAGTTCTTCGGAATCTAATTGTGATATGAGGCAGGGAGTGATCGGTTTGTTTCTCTTTGCTTTGCGGTCGACGCTGCCGGTGCTAACGTGGCCTAGAAACTAGCTATAATTCTTGCGTCCTCCATAACAGCAAAAGGCAGTGGTTTGATGGCGATCGGGGCTTACAAGGCAGACTCGCTCGCGGTCTTTTTCACGACCACAGTCCCGTAGTAGGCCTTCGGTTTAACGATAAATCCAGCCAACTGCTTTACTATTACCGCGCCCAGACGTTGTATGGCTCATTCCAAAGAATTGACATGTCTTCTTTCCCTATACAACCTACACTATATGAGAACACTTGCCCTGTGCAGTTTACAGACTCCCTTAGCCTTCTTTTCTCGATCGACGTTCCTTTTTTCGGAACTCATGAAACACAGGTCCTGGATGGATTCGCTCGTTGTCAATGGAAATATCTTGCTTTTGGCATAGCCACACATCGCGAAGAGAAATGGACCGTTGCGTGCTTGCTGAAATCCGAAACATTCTGTCGTGCTCAGAATTGCCAGCATGTCCTCCAACTTGAGCGCGGGCGGCGGCTGCCTGACTGGACAGTTGTTGCACGACTCTGGGGATTTCAGCATTCGACCAACTCCCTTGGCTGCATAGTCGCGGCTTCAAGCCAAGGGACAAGGCTCGCCGTTGCCAACTGGAAAAAACTTTACGTTTGGGCCCTTGAGCCGGGTGTGCTGATTGAAGAGAATGGAACCGGGTTCTACCCCCTTGTATCACAATCAGCAAACTCCAGAATGATTGAATTACGACCCATAGTCCTGTCCTTGGAAGCAGTCTGCTTCCAATTGCGTTTCGCTGAGGAGGAGAACGGACTGATAGCGATCACAGACAGAGGCGTGATGCACTGGGATTTAAGTCCGAGGGGGAGAGGACAACGACTGGTTGAGTCGATTACTTGCTAGTTGAGTACCGAGAGCAATGCTTTCGGGTAACACTCTTTCGAAAAAACAAAGATCTATTGATGAACATGTATCGATGAATCAACGTGGGAATGGCTTCGGATTCTTATGCGGTGCAAATATCACTCGCACATTCTTCGTCCATGTAACCACTGTAAGTGGAGCATTCTATATCCGGCCTATGCGCATGAGTATCGTATCTCAGTCCAAGTAAATAAGGGATGAAACGAATGGATAACATTTTCTTGCCTAAGTGAACTAAGGGAGGTCAAGCCAGGATCGCTGAAACCATGGTACAAGCTCATAAACACTTCGCACTCTTGAATGCCAGCACTGTCTGACAGAACCCCCTGGGCATCATGCATTATGCCAAGATCTGATCTCCCAGCATCTGAGCTTTCTGGCTCCGTTCTCGGTCTCGTCTGGGCCCTCCTTGGTCACATCAGATCTAAACCAGGCTGGTGGACCTCAGTAGAAAAGCTCGACGCTCGCTTGAGGAGCCGCAAAGAGAAGGCACTACGGAGCGCCTGGTATGAGCCGATAGCCCTTACCCCCGATATAATGGGATGTATGGGTACACTACGGAGCGCAGCCGCATTATGAGAGGATTAGGCGGCGATGGTAGCGGCAGGTATATGACAAGAGAGGTTAGGCGACATTATACGGGGGTGTTTATTCAACAGCTGTAGGTTTGCTGCTGGACTGGGCATATGGTCCATGGTTGATCCAGGGGTACGATTGGGGGCCTGCATCCGAGAAACTACTGCGCTTCCCCTCCGCCAGACATGGCCAGAAATGCGACGATGAGAAAGACCCACCAGTACCTGAGCAGATCAAGTCAGTATGCACAGCACGAATGATATAGAAAGTATAGCTTATAACAAGCATAGTGACTCACTTCTGGAAGAAAGTCTTCTCAATGATCTGGTCCGCGTTCTTACCGTCTGGTCCAACGACGACCGGTTGATTCAAGTGCGGGCGCGGACCAGCCTCGTTCAGGATCAGTTCCAGTTGAGGGCGAACCAGAGTTGACGAAGCCGCAAATGAGGTAGAGGGGATCAAAGTAACATGATAAACTTCATCTTTATGAGAAAGCCCAACATGAAGTCGAAGGGTTGGGCGGTAGTCCTCGGTTCCCAGAAGCGAAGACCGGGAAGTAACAATCCCGACCCAGTGCTTAGAACCTGAAACGGTGCTTGCAAACAAACCGATACGAACAAGTTCCGATGCTTGTGCGTCAACAGCGCTCGGAGGCGAATAAGAGGTCAAGTCTGATTTAAGAGATGTCGAATTATAAGATATCTGGGCCAACAAAGAAGGTTCAGAAGCTGTGACGGGCCAGTAGAGAACATCGGCAGAGGGGAGCTGAGAGGATGACGAGGAGCTGGCCAGTCTTAATGTGAGAAAGAAGCAGAGGAGTGAAATAAGCATAGGAGAATGAAGCGGCCACATGATGAACAGAAAGCCACTTGAAGGGAAGGTGGGAGGTTGGCCGGGCTGGAAAATGCTCGAAAGATGCCAATAGCCTTGATGATGCAGAACGAGGGAAGGAAGCTGATGATGACAAGAGAGAAGTGATGTATGGATGAATTGATACAGTACGCGTTCGGAAAGTGTATCAAGATTCCCAGTCATGGATAGCTCTCAGAGCTGTCAGGACTCAACTCGGGGACTGAAGAGGCAGGCGGCGCGTGAACCGTCCAGGTCCCGTGACCCAGTTTGGTAGTGCCAACTGTCAGGCGGGAGTTACCAGTGACCGGGCAGTGACCACTGACCAGTGACCACTCTTCCAAGTTTCTCCACGTAGGTAGTAGTACTATATGTACTCCGTATGTACTAAGTACATACATGTATAGTGTAAAAGTAGACTACCGAAGGAGGTTGGCCTTACTACCCGTGTACAGGCCTTCATCATCTGTTGCTTTCCTTCCTCCTCCCTCTCCCTCCTTCACAGATCCGTTTTGTTTTCTTCCCCATTTTCCTCATATCTCTTGACTATCTTCTAGGAAGACCGAGCCCGCCGGCCAAGAAGTGATTCACCCCTATATCATACCCATTCAATACTCTAACGAGAAAACAGAATAATAGTACTAATATTGAAACTGGCTGACTTCAATCGGTGCATAATAAATCGGCCTAGCATCTGCCACGGCCTTCCTCATCATGGCTTCCCTAGGCTCCCTGCCCTACCGTCGACCCTCACGCCAGGGTTCCAGACAAGCCTCGAGAGACACGCGGGATGAGATCCAAGTGCATGTTGACCATTACATTGGTATTGATGTCGGCACTGGAAGTGCACGGGCCTGTATTATCGATAATAAAGGAGACATTGTGGGATTGGCTTCGGAGAACATCGGGCTTTGGCAGCCTCAACAGGGATACTATGTTGGTATCCCGCGATCATCTGCGATCTCTGCTCTCACTTGCCGCCTAGGCTAACATATTCCAGGAACAATCCACCACTGATATTTGGAGATGTATCTGCCTAGCCGTTCAGCGTGCTGTTAGCCAGCATAACATTGATCCGGAGACTGTGAGGGGAATTGGCTTCGACGCAACCTGTTCACTGGCTGTATTTTCCAGCGTGACCGACGAGCCTGTATCAGTCACAGGCCCCAATTTCGAGTCTGATCGCAACGTGATTCTTTGGCTGGATCATCGTCCCATTGAGGAAACCGAGAAGATCAACGCCACGAACCACAATCTTCTTCGTTATGTGGGAGGCAAAATGTCCATTGAAATGGAAATCCCCAAGGTCTTATGGCTCAAGACTAACATGCCTAAAGAGCTTTTCGATCAGTGCAAGTTCTATGACTTAGCCGATGCCTTGACATACATCGCCACGGGCACGGAGAAAAGAAGTTTCTGTAGTGTGGTTTGCAAGCAAGGATATGTTCCCGTTGGTGTGGACGGAAGTGTTAAAGGCTGGCATGCCGACTTTTTGACTGAAATCGGCTTGGAGGATCTGATAGAGGATAACTTTAAGCGCATGGGCGGTGTTGATGGGGTGGTGAGACTTATTCTTTTTTTTTGAACCCCTGTGATAGATTCTCTTCATATGCTTGCCCTACCCAAAGCAGGCGATCAGTGCGATATACTTGGACCAGACCGGCGGACTGACTTTTGAACTAGAATGGGGATTTTCTTAGTGCTGGCGAATTAGTGGGGACCCTATGTGACAAGGCAGCCTCTGAATTGGGGTTGCCTCCAGGGATCGCAATCGGCAGCGGTGTCATCGACGCGTATGCGGGCTGGATCGGAACAGTCGGCGCCAAAGTAGAGTTGGAGTCCGAACAATTGAGCTCCGAAGTTTCGAAAAACGATAAGACACAGGCTTTCTCGCGCCTGGCCGCCGTCGCCGGGACTTCAACTTGCCACATTGCCATGTCGCCGGGCCCCGTCTTCGTTCCTGGTGTATGGGGGCCATACCGCGATACCATTCAGCCAGGATATTGGATGGCTGAAGGCGGCCAGTCTGCGACTGGCGAGTTGCTTAAGCATGTCATCGAAACTCATCCAGCATTTAATCAGGCGGCCTCAATCGCTGAGTCGTATAATGCTAATATATACGAATACCTAAACGAACATTTGAAGGAAATGGCACACGAGCAGAAAGCCCCCAATGTCTCTTACCTAAGTCGACATTTGTTCTTCTATGGGGATCTATGGGGCAACCGTTCTCCCATCGCAGATGCTACCATGGCGGGATCCGTCGTCGGTTTGACGAGTGACAAGTCCGTGGACGGTCTTGCAATACTCTACTACGCAACTCTTGAGTTCATCGCTTTGCAAACCAGGCAAATTGTTGAAACTATGAACAAAGCAGGTCACACCATCACTTCGATTTTTATGTCTGGTTCTCAGTGCCAGAATGATATTTTGGTTGGACTTATAGCCTCGGCGTGCGATATGCCGGTACTAATTCCCCGTTATATTCATGCTGCCGTGTGCCATGGAGCAGCGATGCTTGGTGCTAAGGCCGCCAGTGCTGATCCGGAGGGCAAGACCGAGGATCTCTGGGAAATCATGGACCGTATGAGCAAGCCAGGAAGGAAGGTCGTTCCAACGAGCGATGAGAATGAGAAGGCACTGCTCGACGTCAAATACAAGGTTTTCCTTGAACAGTGCTACAAGCAACAGGAGTACCGAGCTCTTGTCAATCAAGCAGTGAGCTCGTGGGACTCATAAATGCCCCGTCCTTGAAGAGGGCCATTCCTTCAAAGAATGTATTGCCTCGATCCCGCCTGTATATAGCTTGGGCAGTTACAGGCTGTGCCAGACGAGATGGTTTCAGTTTTACAGGAGCATTGAGCCGGGGAGTGCATGGACAAAACAATAATGGTACCTCTATTTAAACTTTTCAGGAAACAAGATAATGACATAGTATGAGTAGCTTAGATGAAGAAAGCCCGTTGTTAGGCAGGATAAGGTTAGACGCACACCAAGACATCCCTCAAGGCTCGGCAGCTGTCTCTACTTACAACTGACATGCGACAGTGGGAAGAAAATTGTCAATGAGGGATGAAGGCTTGGCCACTTGTGGCCCGACCGATAGTGTAAAACTTCTCCGGCGAGCTTGAGCCAAGAGCCAGCGTGTCGAAACGGTCAATTCCCATGGTTTCTATGTTGCTGTAGCCTGATAGATAAAACCCAATCACAACGACAAGATATGTAAGGACGAGAATCGAGCCTTTGAAATAGTTGCTCTTGCCTTCACCATGAACGTAAGAAAGGAGGAAGACACAAAGAATGACCGAGATCATGTCCCACTGAGGGAAAATTAAGCTGCAAAAAAATATGTTAATGATGGTACACTGAAGCTGACTCGGGAAGTGTGAAATAAACGTACTTGAACGTATGGGTCAGCAATTCTGAAGGATCTATAAGGCGAGAATAAAGGGCACTGAAAAGAACTAATGCGGGGATCTGCAAGAGGCAAACTTGCAATGCATAGGCTGATCCGATTTCCATGGAAAGCGCTATATTGCCATTCATAGCGAAGGAGATCGCGTTCTGTAACCCTCGATCGTAAGCAATCCAGCTGCCAGGGAAGGAGTAAGTTCTTTGCACATACTAGGAATTCTGTAGTATTGGGTACCAGGGCAAAAAGTGTGATTCCAAGGAACTTTTCGTCCACATCGACACTCTCTAGGACCACATCGACGGTGTTGACCAAGATTTCAGCAATGATAGCATACAGTATGGTTGCCACCAAGAGGATTATAGAACTCCTGGCTTTGCTCCAGTTCGGCGCATCATGCCCACCACTGGTATGATTATTTTCGAGACCGATCTCGTCGGTTTCGTCCAAGTGTGACTTTGTAAGATCAACGGGGGCTTTACTAGCTTGACGGAGCGGAGCGAGTTGAACGGACGGTTTTCGGGACCGAGCTGCATCACGTGCGGCAACAGTCGCCGCCGTCGCTGCTACTTCAGTAACCCGGCGCACAAAGTTCTCATTTTCCTCGCTAGATAGATCTCTGAAATCCTTCAATCTTGGATGATTGTCCTCGGTCGTCGTTTGCGGGGGCACAAGATACGGTGCTGCTTTCTTTCCATGCGTGGAAACAGAATCTCGGAGGTTAGAGCTGTATTCTCCTGCAGACTCGGATAAGCCAACATGCTTCAGAGACTGTCCTAGAATACGTTTGTAGAGCTGTGAATCACGCACTGAGCCTCTTGACGCAGTCATACCACCAATGGCCATTGCCGAGGCTTGAGCAGTATCGAAATTTCGGGGCTCGTACGCTGCTTGCTCGCTGGCGAGAGCCGCCGCTTTCTTCTCCTCGGTTTCTGTAGCCCAAATAAGGGCTGCATGGGTTCGAAGTGTAAACCATAATCCTATCACGTAAGACAGAAACAAGAACAAAGCAGCAAACCAGGAGTATGGCTGGACAGCTTTCCGGAAAAAGCTATCATTGACAGCCGGCATCTGAGAAAAGTAACAGCGACGGCAATCGCTGCCGCTCGACTCCACGGTATTGACGCATGAGCGGCAATTAAGTTCATGCTGAAAGCCTCATTAGCAGGGGACACCGAGGTAGAGATTCTGCCGCTATATAGGGAGAAGGTTGGGGAAAAGATAGAGATAGTCATGCTTACACTGCCGTAAATCTGGTAGAAGAGAGTCGGACCGAAGGCAGCAATGACGGCAAACATCAACATCGTGGAAGTGACACCCGCTGACTTAACATTAAACCGTTGTGTCTTGCGTTTGATAGCACCAAAGCACATCGAAAGGCCCGGGAGGAACAAAATGCCCGCAAATATGCTTCCTATGAGACTGCCCTCCACTAGCTGACCCTTTCCCTCAGTCAGGGCCACACAGTAAAGATAGACCTCAACAACTGTGGAGAAGAAAGCGTTGACAGCAGCGCCCATGCCCATAGACGATTGAGCTGAGATTGATGCAACTGCCTGCCCGATAAAATAAGCGAGGGGGATAATCGAAACAAGGGCAAGTGTGAATATAAGGCCCGGGTGAGTAATAGCTGTTTGGAGGCCCATGGTCTTGCTGAGAAGAAAGTAGTCAAATATGACGAATAATACAACACCGAGTAGGTTGATGAAGAAAATGTTTGTTCCGCCGACGGTATATTTCCAGTATCGCAGACCAGCTGCACGATAGGTGCACAACAGAACAGACGAGGAAGAACCGGGGCTGAGCTTGGTATGTGCTGTATCAGAATGATAGGACAATGCTAGAGGATGTCGGCGAAGGTGATCAAACAGGATTATGGTCACACGTCCCATAGGTATCCAGAAGACCAGCAACCAACAGAGAAGCGAGACCAAGAGCATTAGCGGTCCTACAAGGAAGTAGAAGAAAATAAAAAATACCACACGGCCAAGTGTCCACTCGCCACGTCCGAACAATCGTCGCTTCGGTTGGCTGACCGGGCTGTCTCGTGCATGGCCTCTTTGCGTTCGGCCTAGTAGGCTATCCTGCTCACTGGCCGAATCGACACTGTTTCTTCTCCTTCCAACAAGGGATCGATCGCGTCGAGGCCCGAAGAATAATCTACCATGTTCGAGGTCGCCGTTCTGCCATTGTTCATATTCGCTAATGCTGCGACCCTCTCCCTCATCCTCCTCTGCGTAAATCTCGTCCGTATCCAAGCGAACGAAGGAGCCAAAGGGGTAGATTAGATACCAGGAGAGGCCAGAAAAGACCCGTCCGTATTCTACTGCACTGGGCGAATACGCGAACACGAAGCACGCGACAGCCCCTGTTAGGGCAGCCAGGGCTAGCCACCAGCCGAAGAACAGGGTCCACAAGAGGTTGACCAGGAATAAGAGGTTACCCACTCGACCGCCAGGGGAAGAATGGATGTCACCTTCAGCTGTTTTCTCCACCGAGCGACTCTTCTTGTACAAAGCGGGCTTCCACAGTCTAATACCGAAAGGATGCGTTTCGTTTATTGCTTGCTGGCGATCCTTTAACGTGAAACTTTCCGCATCACTTGACGCCGACTCATCCTCCTCGCTGTGAGCGTCTTCCCCGGTTTGGCTGCCAGTTTCAGATCGCTGAATGGACGGCTCCGGCCCGGTTCCTTCCACAGCGGCATCAGGCAGAACGGTATCGTCCTCACCATCATTGTCTGAATCTGCTTGAGCCAACGGACTCATTCGGGCATTCACTCGTCGTCGCAGAGTCGAGCTCTGCTTCCTCAGAGGACGAATCCTAGGCGATGCCTGTGGATTGGAGCCTTGTTGTTTGGCGATATCCTCTTCCACCTCTTGTACGTCATCGTCTGTAGAGAATTCCTGTCCCTTATGAGGGACTTGTCGCTTCGAAGACATACGGCGCGTTACTGATGGCTTCCTAGCTGGGCCCGATGGCGACTGGGAGGCAAGGACGCGTGTTGAACTCTCAGGTTGGCTTTCGTCTGGTCTGGGGTCGTAGTCCATTTTCATGGAGGAATCCATGGTACCTGCTGCATGTGAGTTCTTTCTCGCTAAGGGGCAAAGGCGAGAGTCGTGGCGACGTAGGTAGGTCTAGGACGACGTACCGTAGTCCCTACGGATTTGCCCTGCATTCCTCTGTTGACGAATACTTCCTGACATATCTTCGTTGGTCAGGTTGAAGGACGATTCAGTCGGAACGAAGAGGTAGGGGTCCTGGTCTTCGTCTTCCTCCGCCTGGTCGCGGTGGTGTTGGTCGTTGGACATCCTTCTGGCGGATTGCCAACTCTCGCTTATAGTGATACAAGAATCGAGAGGTGAGGGGCTGGGCAATTATGGAAAGGGAATAGTTCGGAAAAAAAGCACTGGTAAGAGAGTGGCCTGCACTTAGAACAGCAGCGAACAAAAAGGACAGGGCTAGAGAGAAGGGAAAGAAAAACTATGATTTCAGGGGACAGGGAGAATATTCCATGTTGTTTGAATGTAGAAGAAGGACCAAGGGTCGAAAGAAGAATTGACGCGATGGAAAAAGTGGCAGTTAGCGTTAGTAGTAGTAGCTAACTTAGTGAGATCATGAGATACAGCCTCACTTGCATCCCCGCAGTCAGCTGAGGCCTCGGGGCATGCAAGTCACCGGGTTTCTTACATGTACAAAGGAGATGGACAGTAACTATGATGAAAAAAGGATGAGGGGAGGCGAAAAATGCATGGGAGTGCTCAGAATCAATAGCTATCATTCAATTGAAATTGATTTCCTCGCAGGGAGCTTTCAGGGATGCGCGGCTTGGCTGTCGCAGCGTCAATCAACAGGGCAAACCGGGCAATAACTACTCACCAGGTCGTAGTTACTATGCGCATGCTTATGTAAAATATTTGTGGCTGGTGGATGTATTGTGGCGGGTGTGCTCTTGGGACGGCGGCGTCTGGTCGAATAACGGCGGCGGACAAGCTACGCAAGAGCTCATCTTCCCTCCGTGCATGTTACTTCCCTTCTCCTCCCCTGTTCATTTCTACATCCCATCTGTCTATGCCTCTTCTGTCTCTTTGCTAGAACGCTCTGATCACTGCTCCCTTCTACTTCTCTTTCAAGATCTATCGATCTCTCCTGTCCATCCTGTGAGAGCTAATAGAACAACCCCGGTCTACCTTGCCGTGGCAGCACACTCTGTCGTCATCCATCATGGCGCTCGACAATTACTACCGCAACAAGATTGAGAGCATGAAGCTTGAGATCATTCAGGGTCAGGCTGTTCTTAGACGACTGGAAGCACAACGGAACGATTACAATTCGCGGGTACGTCTACTCCGGGAGGAGCTAGGCCTGCTCCAGCAGCCCGGCTCCTATGTTGGTGAGGTAGTCAAAGTTATGAGCACCAAGAAGGTTCTTGTCAAGGTGCACCCGGAAGGCAAATACGGTGAGCAGAATCTCTCAAGATGTGTAGTTGTTGACATGGATATGTTCGTTTCAAGCTGACTCCGATGTCTCTTAACAGTGGTGGATATTGCAGATGGCGTTGATATCAGCAAGTTGACAGTTGGGAAGCGAGTTGCGTTGCTGTCCGATTCCTACAAACTGGAAAAGATGCTGCCTTCCTCAGTCGACCCGCTGGTTTCGCTAATGATGGTTGAGAAAGTACCTGACAGTACGTACGACATGATCGGCGGTCTCGATCAACAGATCAAGGAAATCAAGGAAGTTATCGAGCTGGGACTCAAACATCCGGAGCTGTTTGAATCGCTTGGTATCGCACAGCCGAAGGGCGTTCTTCTTTACGGACCCCCGGGAACCGGCAAAACGTTACTGGCCCGAGCTGTCGCTCATCATACAGACTGTCGGTTCATCAGAGTGAGCGGATCCGAACTGGTGCAGAAGTACATTGGTGAAGGAAGTCGTATGGTCCGTGAGCTCTTCGTCATGGCCCGAGAGCACGCCCCTAGCATCATCTTCATGGACGAAATCGACAGCATTGGGTCTAGTCGCATAGATTCGGCGGGATCGGGTGACTCGGAGGTACAGCGTACAATGCTGGAACTTCTCAACCAGCTGGATGGATTTGAACCCACGAAGAACATCAAGATCATCATGGCTACTAACCGACTTGATATCCTGGACCCGGCCTTGCTGCGCCCTGGTCGAATTGACCGCAAGATTGAGTTTCCACCACCATCGTAAGTTACTGACCGTGTCCCACTTTTTTCCTTTTGTACTTCTGTTGCTCGAACCCACCAGCCGTTTTCACGCTTAGCTGACTAAAATCGTTCTAAAATTAGTGTCGAAGCCCGTGCCGATATTCTACGAATCCACTCGAGATCAATGAACTTGACCCGAGGCATCAATCTTACAAAGATTGCCGAAAAGATGAATGGGTGCTCCGGGGCAGAGCTTAAGGGAGTCTGCACGGAGGCGGGCATGTATGCACTTCGAGAGCGACGTGTGCATGTTACTCAGGAAGATTTCGACCTGGCTACTGCGAAGATCCTCAACAAACATGATGACAAGGAAGTTGCAGTATCGAAGCTCTTCAAGTAGATGGAATGGCGACCCGAAAACGGTTCCCTCGTACGGGTCACATAGTGATACTGATAGTCCTGTTTATCTCATCTGATTTGAAATGGCTCTCGTCAGCCAAGCCGTTCCTAGAGCTTGTGGTCTATTCCTGTTGCCTCCCAGCAACAATCAAATTCTCTTTGGGAGAAACTTCGCGGGTCAAATGCAAGCAGGGAATCATGTATATTGACACGAAATGTCTAACAAGTTGGTTGTTGAGTCGAACCGGGCCTATATGCAAGTACTGCGTAGCGGTGGCGATATTATATGTTGGAATAAACTTCAGCTGCCAACAAGCTTACCGTTCCTTGCCCGGCAGTGAGACAACCACTATTATCACGTGTCCATCTGCAAATAGACCGTGCCGGGTAAGCGATCATAATTGGCCTGTATAGATAGTGTGTTGTACGTAGCCAAGCGCGAGTTCCAGGTCGCAGCAACATTAAGTCGACGATGGATGGGCTTTGTTCTGCTTAGCGGCATTCCAAGTGAGTCGACGATTGCGCAAGAGTGATCATCGCAGTGAGCTCAATCCTCGATTCGACTTGGCAAAATAATACTCGTAACAAAGTAGTGAATCCTCCGTGCCGGTCCGCCCTTTGCGCAGGCCCGGCTAGTCAGATTGGGGTGGGCTGATAGTCTCTCATGTAAGATAGCTGGTCAGCGGCAACCTGGATAGGTTGGTTGAGCGATTGGATGAATGATGAATGGATAAGTCAATAAATATATGATTCCTATGGGATTGAGTGATTGTTACAGGAGGGTTCCCTCGGAGGTCCCCATCGGCGCCCCGAGCTCCCTTCCAGAAGGACAGAGGGTCCGGGCATTGACTTCTTTATCCCGCACTGGTTACAGTACATACATGTATACATGTAGTCATGCACTATGTAAGTTGATCTCCGCCTTGTCGTAAGATGAGGTGCGCGTGACCAGCGAGCGGGTCAATTCTTTTTTTTTTTCCCTCCCCTCTCCCTTTCTTGTGATAGGCAGTGTACTGACCATCGCCACCCTTGTTGAGAATGAACATTCTTACTACGGAGTACTTAAATACGGATTAGATCACACAGTGATACAGAGACAGATATGGTTCAAGGTTCATACCCCGGCCATGGGTTTATCTATTTAGTGTATGGGGCCTCGGCTCTTGGTGGGGCGGTCCAATATCCCGAAGGAAGAACGTCCCCCAGTTCCGGCGGTACTCGTACAATAGGCTATGTAGGCACAGTACAGTAGTACATGATCAGTTGAGGTGTTTATGGCTTGTTTGAAATGGATAACCTTCATCAATCAGGTCTGGTGGGTACAAGCCTTGAACGAGGCCGTGAACAACAAGGGCAAGTGTCCTTGTCTCTAGATTATGCAAGTATGCCGAATCTCAAACAGTCTCAGAGTGTCTGCTCTCTTCCTCCCTTGCAGCATTCAAGTGTTCAGTACGGTAAACTGTAAAGGGTAAAGTTGTAATGTGCTCCGAAGCCTATGCGGCATTGTATGCATGTATGCCACCTTCCCCCGACTCCACGGTTACTATTTAGTTCTAGATTAAAGAGATACGTTAGTTATTTGGGGAATTTATACACCGTCGGATGACAGTCCAATCTTTCGGTCAATGGAAGCCATCCTACAAATGGTGGGCTTTTCTTTTTCATTTCTCCTCTTAGAAAAAAGGTATATCTATGCCAACCCCCCGATGTTTGCCTCTCCGTTCTTTCTCGCTCTGTCTTCTTTCCCTGACACGGAGTTCGACTCCTAATTCTATCTTTTTCAGCCCCAGGTGTACCTTACCGGCACCTGACGTAGCTCGCTTATCGTCTCTATCCAACCTGAACCATCGGGAATACTGGAACACTGGAAGCCATTTATCCCATATGTATGCAACTCCATAACCCCCCACCCACCTTCCCCAGCTCCCTCGCCCCCTGCGCTGATCAACTCTCCGTCGATTGTATTGTTATTGTCATCGCCTCGTGCCACATCACTCACTTTCTTTATCTCAACAGTTCTTCCCTCCTTCTCTCAGCGCAATTAGCTCACATATGATCGTGATATCGACTTGGCTTAGCCTGCCTGCGCGCACGTTCTCTCTTGCCCTCGTCTCCCTCTCCCCATTGTCGTATAATCGGAGCCCCCGCCATTGAAATCCCCTAACATGCCCGAAGGGGAGCTATGGTCTACGTTAGTCACTGCCATCGATCCCGAACATATCAGGGCCATGCCTGCCATTCTTTTGCCCACTATCGAACTTCTGGAGACGGAACTGGCCAATGCTAGAGCTGCACTTCAGGAACTCCAGCCCAATGCTGCCCCCATGTTTTCGCGAAGAGATGAACTCGCTCTAGGTGCCGTGACCGCCTATCGCCAAAACCTCATAGGCCGCGCCTCTGATTTCTTTTACGGTACTAGCCGCTTGACCTCGAAAGAATTGGGGCTTGTGCCAGTGGTCCACGAAGTTCTACCAGATGATGAGGACAGCTGCGAGGTGAAGGGGGAAGACACCGCGAAAGCCCAACCCATAGCCACTGTACTGCGTAAGCGGGCTTCTCTCATCGATGTCCTCTCGAACAACTTGATCCTCGACCACATGGCCCCATATCTTTCGGTTCCAGCCTTGTTTGCTGTGGCGTCGACCTCGCGCGTCCTCAGGTCTTTGATCCTGGACACACCGTACGTTTTCCGACATCTAGACCTGACCCAGTGTCGTGGCGCCCATATTGCTTGTGGATTGTCAGAGCACCCCGAAGGCCAGGGCACAGGGATCGATCAGCTGAATGATGCACTCACAGCGGATGACTTATATGCGGCGCCTTTACGAGGCATATTTGCCCAGCTTGAACAAAAATCGCTTTTGCAAGATGTGCGGACCCTGATATTGGACGGGTTGTCCGTGCCGGCCGAATTCATTGCCGACATAATCTTGACAGATCGTTTTAACATCAATATCTTGTCGATAAGAGAGTGCCGGCATTTGGACGAGCGTAAGCTGATGCAGGTGCTGAATCATGCGGTCCGACCTACACGACCGAAGGGAACTCCGCGTTTGAAGGGGATATACCATTTCATGCCGATACCTCAAGCGCAGGGCATAGTTCGCCGCAAATATCGTGACTGGTGGAGTACAAGATTTTCTGGTCAAGACTCAAGCGAGACTTCCACACCTGGAGAGGGTACAATCCCATGTGGCCAAACGACGAGTGATTCATGTGTTCAGGATTCCTGGTATTATCCGGCGGGAAAGATATACAAGCGAATAATAGACGACAAGTGGGCTGAAACAATTCAAAAGTGCGAGGGTATCATTGCCTTTGACGCTGTGTTGTGCCGGGGTCGGCGGCACAATGCTGACTTCCATGCTACGATACCGCAGAATGGCGAGAACTCCCTGCCAGAGAGGCGATTGCTTGGACCGGCAATCGCCACAGTTGCTCTTGGTCCCGGAGGTTGCGATGGGTGCCATTCAGCACCAGAAGGCCCAGCGTTGTGGGGTGAATCCCCCGAGGAGCGATTCCCTCTACTTGTACCACCTCCACTGCATTCCTCTACACTAGCAGAAGCGAGGCGTCCTGCGCTTGTTCCTCACAAAGGAGCAGTGTTAATAGCCCGATGTACAGAATGCCTGACCGACCGCTGGTGCCACCGTTGTAATAAATGGTTTTGCGCCGATTGTCTGCCACATCCAGAGCGCGTAAGAAGCCACCTAACCCCACACCAGACGGCTAACAGGGGACGTCGAGGGGATGGCTTGAATATTGGTGGGCCTGGCGTGAGCAAGGACTGTTGGGAATGTGGTCCAACGGTGAGTGCTGAACCAGGATTTATCTAGCCCCTTCTGATATGTTATCCAGTGCGTTATGTGCAAGGCTGAGTGCCAACGGACATGCAACACCTGCCGAGGAAATTACTGCGTTGAACACAATGAAGGGTGCTCATCAACACTGGTTAGTACTATCAAGACCCCTTCTTCGATAGACAAAGGCTGATGAACATGGTGTTGGAAAGTGCGACTGGTGCAACACCAGTACGCGGCATCGGGTTAGAGAAATGTACTGATCGTAATTCATTTGGCGCTTGGACTGTGCCATCTTATTTTCCATTCAGCAAAGCGAGCGTACTTTGTCAGCTTGGGGAACAGCTTATTAGTGGGAGCAAATGGCATCGAAGGCGACTTCACTCTTAGCTGGTTTAACTGAAGTAAACGGGATGACAAATCCCTGGCTGCTTTCCAGAAGGCCCGCGGCGCTTCGGTTCCCTTGCTTTTCTTCTGCAAACAACACACTCTGGAACTTCTTGTACTTTGCCCAACCTTGAAAATGGTCCGGTTATCTAGCAAACTCCACTTATCCAAGACCTCTTCGCCATCTCCACACCTCCAATCGGCCGTTTCACCCAAGGCCCGAGATTCCCCTAGTATAAGGCCTCGCTAGGACAGCATACATACATAACAGGCTATGGCTTCTGATCAAGGCGCTTTACGCTGGGCGGCACAGCTGACTGTCGCACCCTTGAGCCTCACGCCTAAGCTTCCGGGTGACAAAATAATACTTCCTCACTCTGCTCTCGAGCAACTCCTCGCCGCTGCCCCGCTTCAAGATACTGCCTCGCCTGGTCCTGCACGATTTCTCACCACTTCTCTCGATCCCTTCAATCCCCACACATTTGCGAACGAGTCTCAGGCGCGCGATCGCATCACAGAGCCCCAGCATCAGTTGCCTCATCCGCTGACGTTTCGCATTGTGAACCCGCAAAATGACCGCGTAGTCTATGCTGGTATTCGAGAATTTTCCTCGAGGGAAAGTGAGATTGGGTTGAGCACCTTCCTACGAGGCGCCCTTGGGTTGGACAGTGTCCAGTCGTCTTCCTTTGAGGGGAATGCTGGCTCGGTTGTGGCGGAGCAGTCTTCGTCTGCTACTGTGACTGTGCATGCACAGCAATTGCCCAAGGGCACTTATGTGCGCTTGCGCCCGCTTGCAGCCGGATACGACCCGGAAGACTGGAAGGCTCTACTGGAGCGAGTGCTACGTGAAAGTTATACGACACTTACTCTTGGAGAGGTCTTGACCGCTGTCAGCGGTCAGGGTGAACCATTCAGGTTTCTGGTCGACAAGGTGGAACCCGAGGGCCCAGGAATATGTGTTGTGGATACCGACTTGGAAGTCGACATTGTTGCTTTGACCGAGAACCAAGCAAGAGAAACATTACAGAAAAGGCTTGAGAAATCATCTCGCACCTTGGACGATAAAGCGGGCACTTCTTCCGGTGGTGAACTCCACCTTGGGCATTCGGTCACCGGCCAAGTGGTACCGAGTGACTACGTAGACTACACGCTTACCAAATGGGATCGTGAAGAAGCCCTTGAGATACATGTCGAAGGCCTTGAAAATGCAGACGTTTATGTTCTCGCCAGTCCGCTTTCCGCTCGCCAAAGAAATCGGCCACGGGCAGACGAACATGTTTTTGGCGACTTTTCAAGTCAGCCCTCCAAACGGTTGAAACTCCAACCGACAAACGCCGATCTGGACGGCGCTGAGGCTCTGTACATATCGGTCCATGCGCTAACTCCTGGCACCTCGGCAGAGAATTCGGGGTCATCCTTGCCGGTGCCGTACAAGCTACGGCTTTTGAAAAGTACCACACTCGAGGAAGACGGGATTAGTTCGCGCGAGAGTCTGAGCGATCATGATCCAGAGGATGTGCAATGCACTAACTGCCGCCAGTGGGTGCCTCGGCGGACCTTGGTGCTTCACGAAAACTTCTGTCTTCGGAACAACGTGTTCTGCTCTCAGTGCCAGAATGTCTTTCAGAAGCGATCTCCAGAATGGCAAGACCACTGGCACTGTCCATATGATGCGTCTTTTGGTAACAATCCAATAGACAAGCAGAAACACAATAGTATCTTTCATACCGAGCGTTCTTGCCTCGCGTGTGGATTCCAGGCAGGAAGCCTTCCGCGTCTTGCCCGACATCGTACAACCGCCTGCCCAGCCAAACCTATCCTCTGCCAATTTTGCCACCTTGTGGTCCCCCAGAAGAGCGAGTCAGACCCTGACATGGACGATGCAGAGGTTCTGGTGTCTGGTCTTACCCCGCACGAGCTGGTAGATGGAGGACGGACCACGGATTGCCATCTATGCGCCAAAATCATTCGGTTGCGCGATATGAGGACACACCTACGCCACCACGATCTTGAGCGTTTGTCTCGACCTACACCTCGGATATGCTTGAACCAGAACTGCGGCCGGATACTGGACGGTCGCGGGACGCCAAGCGCTAATCACCTGGGCCTGTGCAGCATTTGCTTCGGTCCATTTTATGTAGACACTTACGATCCAGAAGGAAAGGCTCTCCGGCGACGTATCGAGCGTCGATACCTTTCCCAGATGATGTCAGGATGCGGCAAATCCTGGTGTCAGAATGATTACTGCAAGACGGGAAAGCAAGCCAAGCGACCTGGGCAATCACCCACCTCGAATAGCGCTGCAGCTATCCTAGCTACAATTAGGCCTCTGATAGAGACAGTCAACCTTCAAGGCGATACGCCGAATAGCGCGCCTTTCTATCTATGTACTGATCAAGTCGGCCAGCAACGACGCGCCCTCGCAGAGTTGCTCGCCGTAGAAAGTGCCTCAGCAGATGGGAATACATACGATCTGGCATGGTGTGTTGCAGCTGTCGAAGCTTCTGCCGGCGATCTTGATCGATCGCGCGAATGGTTGGGAAACTGGGCCCCTGCTCGGGGCGAGAGCATAAGTACATTCACTTAAGTAGTCCCGGCATTGCGCTGTCTTGCAGGAAAGCTGGTCTTCTTCGACTATTTATTGTACAGCTGTTTTTGTCATCTTATAATCTCATGATCAACGATGTGCTGGGGTGGTGTCGCTCGATGCTCCAGAATAATTACTGTGATGCTATCAACAGTATCCACGGAAACCGTGGGGACTGAGGCATGCGATGAACATAGAACGGGAATTCATGCTAGGAGTATGTCTGGTCGTCGCTACCATCATCAATACGAACTGGAGGATACCAGCCGGGGCAAGGGAGAACCATGGGTGACAGTTGGTTTGAGCTCATCATTATGATAGAGAGATGGAAACGCACTCCGAATATGCATAACAAAACCAGGGAAAGAGATCGTGATAGTCATACCGCCTTTCGCGATGCCCGTTGAGCGTCCCGTTGAGCGTCCCGTTGAGCGTCCCGTTGAGCGTCCCGTTGAGCGTCCCCTGTCGCAACAATATAATCCTCTAAACAGAAGCACATTGCAGACCTGTTTCATCTTAAGTTTTAGTCCGTCCCCAGCGTGCACCATGTATTGACGATTCCATTCAGGCAGCGCCCGTCTTAGCAGCCAATGTACCACTGCCTCGGGAGGAGAAAATGCCCATGATACCGAAGACGACATAGAAGAGCGCAAGCGGATAAGCCACCAGGCCCCTCATGCCGCGCATGCGGGCGACGGCGCAGAACATTCCAGAGGAGCTATAGGTGCACCAGCCGACGGCAGCGGTGGTCAGGAGATACCCGAACATGGTATCCATGGGGATGAGTATCCCAACCAAGCTAGTTAGCACCAGCGGTAGGAAGCAATATCCAAGGACGCTGGCTGAGCGAGGGAAGGTCAAGGTCGCAGAGAAATGGCCAGCGGCGGAGGCGTCCGACATAGTGGGTTTGTGGTGCGGAGAATAGTTGGTGGGATCTGCGGCGGTGGGCACTGGGGCTGTGTCGAGCGCGGGCGACATCAGGCTGAGGATCAAGTGCAGGGCAACCGTGCCGAACACTGCGACGCCGTAGATGTACCCGTAGAAGACCTTGCCTGACAGCAGGAGGAATGTGCCGTAGAGGACGATGTAGAGGAGAGCGCCGTATAGATCGCTGTCGTCCATGAGGTGCTGATCGATACGAGCGAAAGGATTTAAGACGGTTAAGGTCTTCACCAACGGCAATTGCCGTGTCAGTCAGAGAGGCTCATCGCTCATCTTCGATAACTTTTAGTCAGGAGATCCGTACCTTGGTGCGAATGTGTTCGAAATTGACTCCCAGCTCCTCCAAGAGCGGTGGCTCCCCATCATAACCTTCAGTTCCAAACGCAGCAAGCCATCCTGTCCGCAACCCACCCTGTTCACCCATCCTTCCGCTCACTCCTCCAGATGGAGAGCCGAAACCCCCATATCCGCTTCCCACCCCACCGACGGGATATGCTTGGGCGGCGGGGTTGGAGGAGCCTCCAAAGCCATCATATGTAGCTTGGGAAGGAGTCGTATGACCGGACACAGACTGGTAAGATGACGGGTAGAATTGGAGGTTCTGCGCAGATGCCTGCGCTCCGTAAGGCTGTTGTTGCGGGTAATACTGGGCCATCGCGGCCAAGGTCTGTTAGGTGGAGGAGAAGCTAGAGGCGAGGTTCTATGAAGAAAGCAGTGGATCAAAGTCGCACTGCCAGCATATATTGAGTTGGAAACAAGCAGTTCGTAGGCTCCAGTGAAAAGGTGAGGAAATGGAAGTAGTGAAATGGTAGCCAGGCGAGAAAGAACAGCTGGCTGGGGGTGATGGATGACGGACGTTTGTTGATGCCTGAGGTATGAGCAAAGCTAGCTGACCCACATCTGGTATAGCGTCAGTGTCCAAGCTTATCTTATCTAGGAATCTTGATACACAGAAGCATTGGCACGGTCTCAAAAACGCTTGATTCAGGCTGCTGAAGAATAGAATAATCGTCTTCTGATAGAAATGCTACATTACATTGCCCTGGCTTGAGATTACAAGAAGTTGATGCCGATGCCCAGCTGGAGGCCCTTGCGGCCTTCTTCACCTTTCCGCAACACTAGCGGCAGGGAGAAGTTGAGCTCGAACCTGGCAACCGGATGGGCGTAAACCAGCCCAATACCGGCGGCGACACTAGGCAGGCCATTCGTCATCTCAGAAAGAGTCGAGGCCATGGCATCTCTCACCTCGCCACTGGAAGTTGGCACATTTCTGTCGGCTGTTCGAAGTGGTAGCAGACGACCGCCGTTCACAAATGCTTGTAGTCGGAAAGGCTTGTCAGCACCCACTCGGGGAAGTGGAAGCAGCAGGTTGGCACTTCCTGCAGCATACACATCTCCTCCAACCGCATCCGCTCCATCATGAGGTCCGAGGCCACAGAGACGGAATCCACGCACATCTGTAGGGCCTCCGAGCAGGAAACGGTCATTGACGCGAGACAGTTGTGGGCGCGAATCCGAGTCAAGCCCCAGAGGGCAAAGAAGTCCAGCACGGAATCCAGTTGTAAAACTGATGCCGCTGTCGCCTTCAATTCCAGGGACAGGCACTGGAACCGCGGCTTGTGTTTCAATCTCTGATTTCCAGAAGGAGACGTCGCCTTTGAGCGGACCCCAGCCAGCCAACTCGTTGAAAGCCTTGACATAATAGCCGCGCGTAGGAAGAAGCGCGTTATCCCTTTGGTCCTTGGCCCAGCTGTGGAAGACGCTGCTCTTGACGCTATCCCCGGCATCGGCGCGAACAGTAGAAGAGGCGTTCTCGGCGAGGCCGGTCAATTGTCTCCAGAAACCATTGTACCCCAGTTCATGGTAATGCCCGGACGAGCTCATCCAGCGGAGTTTGCTCCATCCTCCCTTTAGAACCTCCTCGTGGCTTGCCCAAGACTTTTGTGTTGCACTGGCAATCCCACCAATCTCCAAGCGAAAATCTGGATCGCTGAAGAGCGGGGTGTCAAAAGTAGCCTGGTAAGCCGATCTTGTCCTAGTGCCCAGCGAAGCATTCAGGTTCAGATTCTCAGCGCCTCCAAACACGTTACGCCAGAGGAGATTGCCATAAGCGGATCCTTCGGTATTTCCAAGATCGGTGCCTGTCTTCAGCAAGACGCGCGACTTCTCTTTGACCGACAGCAAGACATCAATGTTCGGGAGCCCGGTTCGGGGATCAACCGGTGATGACTGATCTAGATAAACGGAGATCGGCTGTTGGAACACATCTGTAACCAGGTTAGAATTCCACCTGTGAGGTAGAACAATACAAGGGACCACCGACCAAACCTGCCGAGCTTGTCCGCACGTGCCGATACTTCCTGCAGAGCTTCTGAGAGCGTATAGGGTCTAGCAAGATTGCTGCTCAGCAGAGGGTTGAGAAGCCGCTCTAGAAAGCTTCTGCGGGTATGATGAGCCCCATGAACCTGCACCGAAGATATGACACATGGTAGAGTGGAATTCTGGTCGATCTGATGCCGTGAACAGCCGAGTCAGTCTTCCGTTGTGGTTCGCCTGGATTTCCGACCCCAGGTAAAGCGAGTTTTTGGACGAATGAGGCCGCATTACTGACCAGTTCGCCGAGACGACTTTGTGCCTTCTCATAAATCGCCCTGACCCGCTCATTGACGGCTTTCTGCTGTTCTTCCTTCACTTTCGGATCGGCACGCTGTTGGAGACGCTCGAAGATCTAGAAGCGCGAATGTCGAGCACGGTTGTTAGTCGAGCACTTAGCGATAGTTAGTAATACAAGGGGAGGAACTCAACTGACATCTTCGTCGTCGGCGGAGAGTGGAGAAGACATTGCTGCGGCGGCAATGGCCAAACGAAAGACCTGCTTGCTTGCCTTCGCTTTCCACTTTGACCCGGCGATGCGAAAGACAGACGGAGGCGATCCTCCCGCGCACGTGACCTGCTGCTTCCCGGGAAGGGGAGGGGAGGCTTTAGCCTGTCGGGTCATCAGCGCCGCTGTTGATGTTTCATCCTTTCTATCTTCTCTCAACGCCTGTCTTCATAAATAGTCATTTTGCTTGATAACGGAAGGGGAATATCGGTTTCCGTGTGCCTTTGCTTTTTACTTCTTCCCTCAAATCGCCGCCATCCCTCTCTCGCCCTCGATAGCTCGACGTGCATCGGACGGCCATCGCTACGAACTATAAAATATGGCGACCAAGGCAGCCTATAAACGAGTGGGTCATATATCCTTCTGCCCACCACCATCTATGTGATCTCTTGCCTAACTGTAAAACAGCTCACTCGCGAATACCAAAACATTCAGAAGAATCCTCCACCGTACATCGTCGCTCATCCCTCAGAAACCAACATTCTCGAGTGTGTACCCCTCACCAAGTGACACGGCCGGTTATCTTAGGAACAATGCTAATGTTTCTTCTTTTTCAGGTGGCATTATATTCTCACTGGCCCTCCGGGCACACCGTACGAAAATGGCCAATACTGGGGTACACTGATGTTCCCCCCCGAATACCCGTTTGCGCCACCTGCCATTCGCATGCACACCCCTAGCGGTCGGTTTCAACCATCAACTCGCCTTTGCCTCAGCATTAGCGATTTCCACCCGAAGTCATTCAATCCGGCCTGGGAGGTATCCACTATTCTGATCGGGCTGCTCTCTTTCATGACAAGCGAAGAAATGACCACTGGGAGTGTGAGTGCTTCCGAGGCAGAACGGAGAGTGCTAGCCGCCCGGTCAAGATGGTGGAATTCCACCGGTGGAGGCTCTCATATTAGTGCCACGCCCGGAGTCACACCTTCTGCCAAAGGGATCAATAATGTTAAGGCTGGAGATGGAGGCTTGAAGTTCCGCACGGAATGGCCAGAGCTTGATCAGGACAATTGGAGATGGATGAAAGAGAGTCGCATTGACACAAACACTGGCCAGCTTCTACCGGACCCCAATGCTGCGACAAAATGCTCTCCAGAGACGAGTGCTCTCCGCAGACGGCCTAATGGCAGTGCTCCAGGCTTGGGCGTCGTAGTCGAGGGCGGCCAGGTGGCGCGAGAAGCCGGTCAGAGCTGGGTTCGCCGCAACAAGATTTGGCTGGGCTTCGCCATCATTTTCGGTTATGCGCTTCTCACAAGGCTGGTCAATGATGTACAAGGATGAGCCGCCGAGCTGTCTCCTGTCGCGCAGAGGTCGGGTCTAACTTGAGCTAACGTACGATGAATATTGCACTGGCGCTTGGCAAGTCTTGTCGCTTTTCAATTCAAGGTGCATTGGGTTTCTAATCACTTTGGTCATTTCTGGGTGATTTGTTGCGGGTCTATGATTCCATGTTTCGGTAAGGCGTTCAAAGAATGGAACGGCGTCACGATCACAACTGAATTCTTGCTTTGGGTCTTGAAGAACTTTGCGTCATGCGAGCCGCCTAGGACAGGAGATTGTATATATAGTGGGAGAGCAAAAGAAGACTCAAATGATAGCGTTGTTTCTCGACCGCATTACTCAGTATGGATCTCTTAGAAATACTTTTGTCTTGTGTATTGGGTGCTGGTGATTGGTTGAGTCCCAGTCCAACTGGGGCCATCACGTGGTGGAAGGCGGGAATCTCTCCGGATTTCAAATCCCAGGAAAAAAAGTTGTAGTTATTGTGACAACATTTGTTATCTTTTTTTTTTGCGCGCTCGCAAACTAGGGTGCCTAAGTTTTGCTTGGCTTTGTCGGCGCCATCTCTTTCTATCCCTGCCTATATTTTGTGCTATCGTTATCTACATACATCTCCACACTATGGGTTGGTTCTGGGCAGATTCGCAACCTAAGCCTATCCCCGCGGCCCCGAATCCGTTGGTGGCCTCCGACGCCTCGCCTCCGGTATGTCTATTATGCGACGTTGAAGAACAGGTCAAGATAGCTAACTGTCAGCTATAGCCGGGATGTCCGATGCACGTATCGAATAGTGGCCCTCCTTTGCAGAGTCCAACTGCTTCAAAATCTGAAGGTGCTTGTCCAGTTCGGCCTACTGATTCCCCGTTCTATGCGCCACCCAAGCCGCAATCGTCGGTGCCGCAACCACCAACGTCAGCCCCTACACCAAGCGAGTCGAAGTCGACTCTCTCGAAATTGAACCCTCTCAATTATATGTTTGCATCCATCTCTCAGGAAAGAGCCCCTAATCAGACCGTGGACCTCCCCGTGGACCGAGAGGTCTCATCTATCCCAAGATCGGACGTCGAAGGCAATTGGGAATACCCCTCACCGCAACAGATGTACAATGCTATGCTGCGCAAGGGCTACACCGATACCCCGCAGGACGCTGTTGAGGCAATGGTTGCTGTCCATAATTTTCTGAATGAGGGTGCTTGGGACGAGATCGTGCGATGGGAGCGCATCTTCTCCAAGGGTCTCGCGGAGGGCTGGGAGAAGTGTCGACGCGGAGAAGAAAACCTTGCCATGGAGGAGCTCCGGGAATATATCGCCGGCTCCTCACAGCAGACTCCTGCACCGCGGCTCATTCGATTCCAAGGTCGGCCCCAGGAGCTAACGCCAAAGGCACGGGTTCTCCAGGCACTCGGCTGGTTGTATCCGGCTAAATTCGAGTCAGTACCTCCCAGTTCTTACTGGTCAATACTACCATGCGGTATTTGCTTCGTTACTAACTTGGTGACTTAATTGCAGATCAAACCCGCCCTTTGATCGGCACGATTGGTTTGTGATGCGACAGACTCCGTCAGGCCCGAAGGAGGTTCGTTATGTTATTGACTATTATTCTGGACCCCCGGAACCTAATGGAGAACCGGTCTTTTTCCTCGACATCAGACCGGCTCTGGATTCGCCAACCGCTGCCGTTGAGCGGTTGATGAGATGGGGAGGAGACGTCTGGTGGCGGGCTAGCGGTGCCTCAGCTCGAGAAAATGGCGGAAACTGACCGATCGGAAGTGTGGCCACTCATTTTGACTTTTATTTTTCTCCCAGTAATCACCGGTATACACTTTGAGAAGGCGCGGGCGTCTGACGATCCCCTTGTCTTGTGGGACTGTCCTGCTGTATCCTTGTGGCTGTTCTTCTGCATCACACCCCCCTCATGTATTATGTATCTTTGCAGTCTCTTAATTGTGGGCTTTTTCAAAAATGTATAAGTAACGATGGAGTACGACTGTCGCATTGATCACTTGTACTCAGCTCACGCATAATATTGTTTCCATTTTGATGCTGCTGAGAACGTATCAATTTGCAATGAAAAGTTTTTTCAATGTACTATAGGGTTTGTTGGTTTTCTTCTGTCTTCTGTAAAGGGATTATTGCGACCAAGATTCATAGTGGTAGTCTAGAGCCTTAATCTAAAGGGGGTGGGCAATGAGAACAAAACTACGCATTACTGTACACCAGTGCTGAGATCTTTCTTCTGGCCTTGGTACCAATCGCTCTTCAGATATTGGGGGACAGTAAGTCGTATTTGACGCACTGTTCAACGCTGTCGATGCTGCTCTGTAGTAATTCACGCGCTTCAAGTCCTACCCAGACACGGAGCATAGACACGTCCCCTGACCGGACGGACTTCAACGCCGTGGCGTTCGAGCCTAACTTTCGCAAAATTGGTAGGGCACTATAGGCTCCATCAGTATGTGACAGTTGTGCGTCATTCATCAGATAGCTCACCTTTTGAAGAGGTCGAGGTCCGGATCCAAGTTCCGCCCTATACCTTCAAGGAGCAGACAGGAAATGACCACATTGACGAAATCTCCTTCCATTCGGACATGATGACTTCGGACCATGGACAGCACCTCACTTAGAACGTCGCCGATTTTGACATTGCCTAGTGCGAACGTACGCGACTTGACATTCAAGACTAAATGCTCCATTCTCAATGCGAAGTAATGAGGATCAATGACAGCTTCCGGCTGACGGCAGCGCTCAACCATGAGCTCGCCAGCTCGGAATCCGTCAAATTCTGCAATCGCACGGAATAGATCGATGAAATTACTCCGGTTGAGGTCGTTCAACTGAGTGACGAGTCCTGTATCAATGAAGATGAGTTGTGGCCGATAACCTTCTGCATTGAGTTGATCAAGTACCCTCTCCCAATCACGCCGATTACCAGCATGCGGTCGCAAGCGGGCAAGCACGGACTCGGTGACATCAACCTCAGCCGTAGTTGGCGCATCCGACGCGCGGCTTTTGTTGCGGAGGGACAGGTCTAATTCACTGGGCTGGTAGAATCGTACCATGATGTTTCCTGGGTGTAGATCAGCATGGATAAAGTTGTCAATCAGTAGCATGTGGAGGAATGCGTCCAGGCCCTCATTCGCGATTTCCCGTTGGTACACCCCTCCGCCAACGTCAAGGAAGGTTGATAGGGGGATGCCCTGCGCGAATTCTTCCACAAGCACCTCCCTGGTGGAATAGTCTATATATGGGTATGGGAACCAGGCTGTAGTCCGGGTTCTAAATTTCTCCCGAAACATAACCAAGTTTGTCGCTTCGATCCTCAAGTCCAACTGCAGCTTCATCATCTCCCCGAACTGATTGACCTCGTCCGGCAAAGACAACCAGTGCATGGTCGGGATAGCATTGATCAAAGAGGCAAAGAATGACATGATCTTCAGATCTCTATGAATCACACGCTCCACCTTAGGATGTAGCACTTTGATGGCTACATACGACGAGGGGACCCGGTGGGGACTGCTCTTGACCAATGCCTCGACGTTTTTTCGGACCTTGTTCCGTAAACCGGAAGCTTGAGAGTCGAAATCGACATCGTCTGTTCCCGCAAGATTGGGTTTCAGTTTCGCTTTGTAGACCTGAGCGATAGCGCCTACTCCCAAGGGCTCTTCATAGAATTCTTCAAAGATATCTTCAAATGGCAGCCCGTTGAAGGCTTTGCTGATGATCTTCTTGGTCTGACGTAATGAGTGCGCAGGCGCATTTGAGTGGAGAGAGGACATAATATCACATAATTCGGGAGGAAAGATGTCAGTACGCGACGCCGCCCATTGTCCAAGCTAAATGAGAGCCACCAGTTACCAATTGCAGTTGACAAGTTGACAGGATTCCGCGATTGAGATATACCTTGATAAATGCTGGACCTGCCCGTTCCATGGAACGCACTAGAAATTTATACCACCAGATTGTCCCCATCACTACCTCTTTCCGATCCCCGACATGTCCTCCGAGGCATATGACAGGTGCCGTGAAAATGACCGGCAGGAAGATGATGAGCAAATGGATAAATCGAAAACCGGTGGCTACCGGATCGTAAACAAACCGATAACCGTACAGCACAAGAGTTTGCCAGAGTCGCGATAGCCCTGTTGCATCCTCATCGACCTTTCTCTGGATCTCTCGACGCGAGACTTCTAGCATTTGCATTTCACTTGTCTTGCCGCCTTCCTCGTCTCCTTCCTCGGCAAGCTTCAAGAAGGCTCCGGGGGCCAGCGCGGCAAGAAGAACCGTCCTGTACCCCTGAGCGTTTCGCGCGGATCTTGTTCCGGACTGTCGCGGCCATGGTAGCAAACGATTTGAACGCGATCGAGACAGCTGGGAGAAGCGGGACAGTAGCGGCGGGCCTCTACCACGACACAGAATGAAGCGGCCAAAGAGGACGGCCGTCCTCATGTTCTCATATAGAAATTGGTCGAGTACTGAATAGATCAATCATTGAAGAGCTGCACAGAGGCCCTGGGTGAACATAACGACAACGGCGGAACAGCCATCGGGACAGGGAAGAAAGAGTAGAGAGAGGGAGAGGTGTGGACGAATTGCGGAGGGGGCGGCAGCGGCCGAGCACGTGGTGCGACGTCATCATCGCCTGCAGCAGTGGCCAGCAGGAAAAGAAACTACAGCACTGCAACAGAGAACAGCTCCCAAAGCAAAGTTCGAGACGAGCCATTGATTCGAGATCCTGCGCTGTGAATTTAGGCCGAGCCCTCGAAAGCCGCCTTTTCCGACCTCCATCTTGTCGAGGAATGTCCTTGACTGAAACCCATCCTCTGGGTTCGGAGAAAGTCCGGCCTGTCTCCAAAGCCAAATCCGGCTGTCATGCGGTTTCTCCAGCATGAATCATCGACGAAAACAGGTCTCTGTTTTTGGGGGATTTTATTAGGGCTCACTGCACTAACTAGCTCAATCGCAATCAAATAGACGAGGATTTGAGCAATGAATTTCTTTACAACAATCTAAGCATCCAATCTCATCATGGGTCATCCTGGCTACAAGCGTGATCCCGAATCGCTTCGTGACAATGCGTGCGAACATCCCTCGCGAAGACCCATCTGGATAGGCTTCGCTTTCCTGTGTCTCTGTCTGCTCCGAGTAATGAGAGGCCCTGGCTGCTACAGCAGTTGGCCTTTCAGATGGGACTTCCTGCCTCGATTTGGGAAGAATAGTTCTCTCGCTCCTTTCTATGCTTATTCCGAAGGCTCTGGAGAATTCAGCAAGCCACAGGACTTCGATATCGTTGCATTAGTCCCGTTCCATCGCCGGGAGCCAACAGAGATTTTAGATTGTTACCTGCGAGTGAGTAAGGGTCGCTTTAGGTGTTGTGTTTGTGGTTAGTATGTTATTAGCTTACCTTCTTTGCAAGAAAAACCTCGCTTCCAACCATGGTCTTGTTGACCAAGTAATATTCCTGCCTCAAACGGACGACACCTTGAGCTTGGAATGGCTTGCATCGATAGTCAAGCAGAATCCGTCCTACACAGCCGCGCAAGACTATACTGGATTGCAGCCAGGTCACTTGAGAAAAGATACCATGTACATTTGGATCGATGGCGATACAGTGTTTCTGGAGGCTCACACGATTTCGACAATTGTGAAGACCAAGCTTGAGCATCATAATATACCGTTAGTCTCGGCCAACGTCGTCAGTGAAGCAGTCTTGGAAGCCCTTCATAACCACCCCGGTATTGCCTTGCCTTATCTTCCAGAACTATCACCTGTTCAATCGTCATCCGAAACTGACGCGCACGATTGGCACGCGTCTAAACTTCCAGTATGGAAGGGGCCTGGTGACTTTGCGGTGACTGCAGACTTCTCTCCACCCTTCACTAACCACCGGTGGCTCCTTTCAGATGACTACAACTATAATCGCACCCCTATCGGTATGTCGATGTACGCTACGAATGGGCCGAGTATGCATCATTGGACTATCAGTGCTCAACAACATTACTCTTTTTTGCACCACTTAGAGCGAAACCATCTCAACCACTACAAATTTCCGATGTGGAGTGTAACATCGACAAATATCAGCTCTAACTTTCTGTGCTTCTGGGGGAACATTGCAACAGATCAATCCTCGAGTCAGTCAGATGGCATGACATTTCTCAATATTCTCGAAGCGGACAGCGGACCACAAAATAGTATAATAGACGGGAAAGGCTTGGCTGTGCACTGGTCAAGCACTCAAGCTTTGGAGGGGTTAGATTCTACTGATCTACTTGCGAGGTATAGGTCATTTGCGGGTGATACTGTCTGCAATGGTACATAAGCCTTCTGCGGAGGCATAAGTTGTTTAGCTGGGCGTCGTCGGTGTTTCGTTAGGTCATGTTTTGGACTGGAATGCACATTTTGATGTTAGATGTAGATTTTTTTAAAGCTCAAGTCTGTAATTGAAAGTGGAATAAAGAACATGATAAGATCAACTCTTTTGTTGACTTTTCTCTTGAGGGCTCTCAACTCAATCAATTAGTAAGCTGGAGATGTCTCGAGGCATGACGGTCCATCAGGCCTTGCACGGCACTTCTTAAAGAGTCCGGGAGGATATATTGCTGCAATAGTTGGTCAGTACACCACATACACACCCAGACTCAGGCTAACTTACATCACCCTTCAGTAACTCTTGCAAAAACACGATAATGTTGCCGCAATCTTTATTGAGTTGCATATTTTCTGCCTCTGTGGAATCCGTAGGATCTGTGGCAAACACTTCTTCGAACACTGGCAGAACACTCATCTTCTCTATACATTTCGAGACCGCTGCCAAACCATCTTGTGTAGATGCCATTAAAGCAAGAGTGAACCAACCCTCGCTTCGAACAACCGGCCACTGTGACTGAGTAACCATGGCACCTACTGGAAGCGGGGTCTCGACGTGCAGCTTGAAAGTCCTCTTGAGGAGATCCTCGGCAACGGCATCCTTTTCACGCACCTTGGGAATCAAAGTGCGGCATATAGAAGCCACGGTGCGCCCGATCTCTGTTTTGATGGGAGTCGAGTCTGTTTTTTCGAACAGCACGAGGAGCATTGAAAAATATGTCTTCCGTTCAGGCCCGAACTCCTTCTCGGTCCCGGGGGCATCCTCGAGCAATCGAGCGATATTGCCCACGGAGGAAATGATCACCTGTCGCGTGATGCTAATTGCAATAAACTGGACCTGGGGGACTGTCTCATACTGCCAGAGACCTGAAACAGCAGCAATCAAGCCTGCCTCTCCTAGCCGGAGTTTATTATTGCCGGCAATTGCCAGGTTTTTCAGGAACCCGAGTGCAGAGTGAAGGACTGCGCCCCGAGCTTCGCTTTTCAGGAGCAAGATGAGCGCTTTATGGATGTCATGCTTGTTAACCATTTCCTCGCAGACTGCATCCGATCGTGCTAGATTGCCGAGAACCACACAAGAGCAGATCTGAAGCTGACCCTCCATTGACGTCAACCAAGTTTTCAATCGGCCCACAAGAGGGGAGTCGAGAGGGTAAATCTCTGCGAATAGAGGCAATGCGGATATCTCAGCCAGTGTTTGGTTTATCTTCAGCCGAGCCTGTGCCAAGGCATGAATGTCCTCCTTAGAAAACTCATCATCTTTGAAAGATAAAGACCGTTCTAGCACTGACAAAAGTGTGGCCACCAGATCATGCGACAGGCATACGGTTTGAAATCGCTTATTGCTCAAATATGTCCCGAGGCAGGTGACGAGAGATGTAAAGTGCGCTGGAGAAGAGATAGCCACCTCATCGTTCAGCAGATCTAGAATAAGCAATATTGTCGCATCTGGAGATAAGGCAATGCCTTGTTCTGCGAAACATGTTAGTCCGATGAAGTCTCGGGGGGCGTTAATCCAGCATACCTTGTTCTCCAACCATTTCGATAAGCTCATAGACGTAGTCGAGTAGAGCCTGATGCTTCGCAAAAGCATTTTGTCTCAACAACGTCAAGAGGATATAGACAATCCTATTGGCAGCAAGCTGTGACTGGGCAGGTTCTACCCGATGTCAGCCCTGAGAGATATCCACGTGGACAGTATGCGAAAGTTTATTCACCGAACTCAATGCATATATTATAGAGAACAGGTATAGCTACCTGTATAAGCTTTTCGTTGGTAAGGTGTCGTACAATGGCAGAGAAGTAGTTGTTTCTAATTAGAATCTCTCTGTTCTCATCTACTGGGCAGTCAGTGCTAGGCTGCGCTTTTCCATAAACGATCGCAGGACTCACTAGTATCAGCACAGGAATTGCCTACTAATCGCAGCGAGTGGAAGATGAGATCATCATCAATGATCTCTGTCGATGCTACAAGCTGGAGAAAGAAGTCCAGCACACCAGCTTGTCCATACAAGATGCGCCAAGGTGCTGTAGATCAATTAGACATAAAGTATTGCTACAGAGGATAGTCATTTCTCACCCTTCCGGCTTCCATTGGCCAAGATCTCGGCGGCCGGCAGCATGTACTGTGATCTGCATTTCCACAGTTCATGGAGAATCTTTTCGTCACCTTGGAAGGCCTCGCTGCTGCATTGCTGTTCGGCTCTCCTTAGTGATTCTTGCAAAGAGCTGAATAGAGATCTTTGTCTTTCCAATGACACCGGTTCAGTCTCTTCGAACGCAAGTGTCATAGGCGAGAAGGCCAATTCAGAGAATACTTGGTCCAGGTCGGGACAATCCATCCCCTTTGACAACACTTGTGCCGCCAATGGACCCAATGGGTTAGAGGTCACAACATGGCCTCCTGGGGCGCTTGATACACTGTGGGAGACACTCATCTTCGACCTGCGTCTGGAACGACGGAACGATACGCAAATTTGGCCAGCAAACGGACTAATCAAGTCACAGTAGCGAAAGGCTGCGGGTTCTGGCTGAGCCAGATACAGCAGAAACAGATTCTTCTGAGGGTTTGAAGGTTTCGTTGAACGTATATACGGGTGATGTTCTTTTCTTGTCGAGAATCTGGAGTTCCAGGTAGATGAGAGGTTTTCTGTAGCCTTGTGTAGGATCGAAACTGAAGATCGGGTTGACCTTAGTATGTAGTTGAAGCTTTACCTTTTACCTTCAGGCACCGATTCAATATTACCTTGGCTCTGGCGGGCGTGACGGGTCAGTGCGTTTCAAGTCGAGGTATATTTATCTAGGAGTTGGTAGCAGTATGCGATACAACCACGAGACACTTCTTAAAGCCGCTTGAATTCCATCCTCATGACACTCTGGGAACCCTCAGTCGCTCTTGTCAACGCTGAGAAATGCAGTAATCTCAGGATACTGAAACAGCCAAAAGGTTCAAGCATGAATACGGGCGGTAATACGGAGTACCAGATGCCAACCTGTCATGACGAGGGCGGCAGTACGGTGGGCACGGCGGCCAAGGAGCGCAGCTGCTAGTCTTACAGCGCGGCGTGGCGTCAATGCTGCAAAGAAGACAGCAGTTCACCATCTAGTCACTCATTCTTACGATCGCAATCGCTCCTTTGCTATCAATCTGCCTCGGTCACATTGATACACCTCTACTGTCAACTTCTGATCCGATTCGTTGTTATATAGTCAAGAGCCAGATATTAGCCATGACGCGCGCTCAGCAGACCCTCTCCGTACTTCTACTCGTCTCCTCGGTATGCTGAACAGTCTCCCACTTTCAATCTCAACTTGGTCGCTAACACGGGGTCTTGAATGTAGCTCTACCTTTCCCTATACCTAGGACTTGTTCCACTCAACGAAATTGTTCAGAATGAAATTATTCCTGTTGTACGTCCTGCAATGCTACCAAGTCTTTTCACTTCCTCTTGGCCCCTCATCCCGCTAACCATCTGCGTCTTTGCGAGCCAGCTTCCCTTCTATGCTCTGATATGCTTTGGATGCTACCTTCTGGGCCGCTTGGGCTTAGCGATTCTTACTTTTAATGATGTCCCGGAGGCGCACACGGAGCTACAAAAGGAGATCGAACAGGCTAAGGCTGAGTTGCGCCGAGCAAATATCGACGTTGACTGAAGTCATTGGCGCGGGCGGACGATTGGCTTACTGAATTTCTCAGAATGTACTTCACTGCGTGGGCTCTTCACATGTGCCGTCTCCCTGTCCTGCAACCCATCTGAAAGAGCTTTATGTTTGGCGCAGCATTTTTTCAAGCGTTGGATGCTACGGACACGAGTCGATGTTTTTGGAGCTGCCTCAACATGTAGCTTTAGACTTATCTAGCGAAAGACACCTAAAATCCCATCGGTTCTCTTATGATGAGGTATTTCCTCATCCAAGATAGGCAGGAACCTCTAGAAGCTATAGACCGAATAACAAGTGCACTGGGCAGGAAGCGACCGCTGCGATTTTGTCTTGTCTGATCGAGGTCAACAAGTAAGCCGGGTTCGAAGAATTTCCCTCGAACGGCAAAAAGGGACCTCAGCGGCGTGGTAGTGCAGTAATCAAAGACGCTAAGGCGTCTTTCTAGTGCGGCGAGGGCGATAGAATACTTCAATCGCAGAGAGTTTGTAAGCATTGCCATCGGATGGATGTAAGTCGCGGCGTTATGACTTCCGAGCCAGATGATTTGATCTTCCCGTGTATCTCTTGCTTTTGTTCTATAAAGATCCATCGAATAACACCATTCAGCAACGTTTAATGTCGAGATGAGACTATAATAAGCCCTGTAAAGCGAAGCAATGTATATGCGAGTAAATGAACTGATATGCAGGAATAGCCCGTCCGAGGTACCGGAAATCACAGGAATTACGTGACTGCAGGGTGGTCAAGGACGAGAAGTTCAGAAAAGAGGGTTTTCTTTGGCCAACCGGTCATGCTCATCAATGTCCCTGTTCGAGTGTGTCAGCAATACAGTCCAATCGCCGCGATATTAAAAGTGAGGAAATTGCGGGGAGATTGCATACTTGGCTTCCCACGGGTAGCAGATCCACACATCCTCTGTGGTCACTGCAGCATGATAGCGGCCAGAGTCCATCATATCAGCTGGCAGGACACCCTTCTTCGACTTGTTCTTGTTCTGTAAATCAAGATTCTGTTACTCAAAAGTTTTTTCCATAAGTAGACACCAAGAGGAAAGAGCATACGTGAAGCACGAAGATCGAGAAATTTGTCTTCTCGCCTTCCCGTCCGAGTTGCTTCTGTGCATCCTCGACGTCCTTCTGGAGCTCGCGTACAGCGTACTCGAGGGTTGTGCGCGTGTCGTCAACCTCATCGACGATAAGGATGTTCTTGCCAATCAGGTTGGACATCTCCAAAGAACTAAGGTCGAGCCACTGTGTCCGAGTGACCTTGGTGCCCGGAACCTCCTCTGGATCGCCGCGGCCCAGATCCTCATAAAGCGACAGGCCGATAGCTTGGATGGGGATGTTGGGTTCACCAGAGCGTTTCAGAAATGACCTAACGGAGAGAAGAGTTTAGAATCTGGAAGCATCATTGGGCTCCCTCCATGGTGGAATCAACGTACCGGAGAATACGAGCAGGAACATAGCCGCCACCACCGATGGCAATCATCAGATTAGGGCGGACAGTAGTCAGGATCTTGTCGGCGGAGTCCTGGCATAGTTTATGGACCTGTCAATTCCCAGTAGACGTTAACCAAATGATCGACGAAAAAAGCAATTGCTATGCTTGATAGCACTCATGAGAGCATTGCCAAAAGCTCCGGGCAGTGCAATTCTGCGCGAGAAAGATAAGGAGCGAAGGTCTGCACGGGGACGGCTTGTCGCTTTTGCTATAAAAAGCAAGCATACCTGGTTATAGGTGACATAATACTTTTGCGTCATGTTTGCGGTGAAGAGAGAAGGGACTCCGAATCAACCGTGAGAGTACAATAGTGAAGAGATCAGAAAATTGATCTGGTGGTGTTTGGAGCTTTTACAGAACACACCAGGGAGGGTAAAGAGAAATTTTTTTTAAAAAAAAATAATCGTACCACACAGATAAGACAAGCAATGAGGGGTAAATTTGGGGGCAAAGAAGAAGAAAAATAATAGAGATTGAATTTTCGTGTTTTTTTCTTACCATCTTTTTTGGGTTTTCTTACTTAATGACGCACTAGGAAAACCAGACTGCACATGCACAGACTGGGGACTCGATAAGAAAGAGGATAGATACTACCTAGTTGAGGTTACCCGCCATTGCCCCCGGCCACCAAGTGCCGCCCGCCAGATTCCAGCATCTGCCCATTAACCATTTACGAGTACCAAACCAGACATGGAGGGAAACCTATCAGGGCACATTCTCGACCGCTAAATCGCTGGCTGCCCCGCAGTCTCGCTTCTATCAAGACGGAGACCGGAGTCCTCCGTTGGACCATCAGTAGTGGGCGTGAGCGTATCGAATGCTCCTTCATAGCCTAGTAGACAATATATGGTCTTTTCTATGGTATGTCCGTTGGTTATTCTTCTCCTGCTTTAGCCATTTCACGTTTCAGATGGCCCGCCTAGACTCTGACCACCTTCATTAAGATAAATACAACATTTACTGTCAGTAGTAGAGGTGGCTCGTTCTACCAGTCAAATGCCTGGCTCATGCTAGTATGTGTTCTCATTGGCGCCTCTTGAGAGCCAACCCAAAGTAGAGCTCTTAAGCTAGTGCCCAGTGCTTATGTAGTACCTTGGGGGAGAATAGTAGCTTTACTAACCACTCTCCTTCTGGACTAGCACTTTACCTTATCTTGAGGACGGACTGAATCCACTGCATAGGGAACCTGCATAAAGCTCCTTTAAATAAGCCCGATATATATTTAGTGTTTAAGTCGGGTAGATTCGAAATGACCTGGTTGATGCACATTACAGGTCGAGCATCTACATATGTGTTTCCCTAAGCGACTCGCAGAGATAGCTTCATGTAACGGGAACACAATATCACCTAAGAATAGCAGTGGTTGCTTGCTCGCCTTGATAGCCAGTGTGTAAGTGATGGGGCCGGCGCGATCCGCGACCCATTTCTGGTAGAGATTTGAGGCTCCTCATAGGTTCTCTTGCATACTGAATCGTCTGCTCCACCGCTGATTTATGCGCAGAAATATGGTCGTCCTGTCCGATTTATCCTATAGTCCTACCTTGGTCCTTGGACAATATAACAGTCAAGGGCCATCGCTGGCAAGCAGTGTAGATTAGCTGTGTCACCAACGCACAAGAGTGGTTCTTGGCACGCCGCAACCCTTGCAAGCGCACGTTTAGCCCAAATGCCAAGGTCCAGCATATTTGTCCAACCGTACTACCTTGTGACGAAGTTCAAACTGCGCTGGAAAGCATCTCTGTTGTGACATTCACTGGCATCAGCTCGACGGCAAGCACTCTCTATCATGGCTGGGATTGCTGAGAAGAGAGTGTCTGTTTTGATCACAGGGTAAGCTGCCGAGAACCTCCTTGAAGTGCTCAGAGTCTTTCCGTTGTCTTTTGATACAGTCTCATGAAGACCTTCTTTGAACAGACTCTGATGGTCAAGAAACAGGTGCTCTCCTGGTGGGATAGGGAACTCTTTGGCGCGCGAATTTCACAGAAACGGGCTACGCGTGTTCGCGACAGCAAGAGATGCGGACACCCTTCAAGATCTGACATCGATTGGAATTGAAACGCTGAGCCTTGTGGTAGATGACCAAGAAAGCGTACGGCGTTGCTTCTCGGAAGTTAATGCCAGGCTTGGAGATAAGGGGCTCGATTATCTAGTGAACAATGCGTGAGCAAAACCTTTGCTGAACCCGCGTCAACGCGCTAACATACCTATAGAGGCCGCAGTAAGTTCTAGCTGTCAATAGATGAATCACTACCAGGTGCGAATTGGTCTCACAACGACTAGACTATACGGTCCCAGCGATGGAGGCAGACCTCTCAGAAATCCGCGCAACTTTCGAAACAAATTTATTTTCAATCATCTATATATGCCAGGTTTTCCTCCCTCTGCTCATCAGAGCGAAGGGAACTATTGTACAAGTTGGAAGCATTGCTGGGGTATGGTCACGTCATTTTATAGCCTGGGCTGCATGATACATGACTCCCGTGATGGTGCTGATGCTGATACAGATCATTCCATATGTTTTCGGGTCGGTTTACAATGCATCAAAGGCTGCTCTGCACTCATTCAGTGATTCCCTGCGGGTAGAACTGGCCCCCTTCGGGTATGTAACCTGCGTCCCTTCTTCTCAATCAAGTAGATCCTGATATGTCCAGTGTCAATGTTACCACTATCATTACCGGCGGCGTGCAATCCCGTATCGCCCGGATCAAACGTACGCTGGCTCCCAACTCAATGTATCTCCCGATCGAAGAGGAGTACGATCGGCGCGTGCTTCACAGTCAGGATGGCGCCATGTCAAATTCTGCCTACGCACGGAGCGTGGTGACACAGATACTCTATGGGCCGGCCCCATGGCGTTGGATCTGGCCGTGGGCGCAAGGCCGGCAAAGCTGGATCTGGGAAGGTAATAAGAGTTGGGTTGTCTGGTTTTAAGTGGTGGATGGGCGTGGACCGGCTTATTCCAATCGGTAATGACGAGGATGTTCAAGCTATACAGACTAGAGAAGATAGGAGATGGGAAGAAAAGTATGTGAGACCTCCTTCTTCACATGGTGGGGTGAACAGACCAGCAGAGAGGTCGGGAAAGGATTAGGCTTCTGGTGCACACAAATGAAGAACATATGTCGAGTCCACTTTTGCGCATCGTTTTCTTCGCTACTACTCTATTAAAGTTTCGGAGGTGTTGTCAAGTAGAAACAAGCAACCTTGGAAGGCATGAAGGCATTCAATTTCCTGTGCAGCTCTTCATCTTCGGAATCTCAGCGGCTTACTCATGCCGAAAGCGCACGGTGGTTGGCCCGTCAGGTGACCTCTCCGAATGCTACCGCCCGTGAATGTCCCAAGGCAATAAGATCATCCCGAGATTCGTAGCCGCGAAAAAGAAAGCTGTTCTCCCTCCCATCAGCACCCAACTTCTCTCTCCCTTACTACCTACCTCACTTTGGAGGAGCACTCATTCTGCGCAAATCTCGCCTGCTTGACGAGTATCTCTCGATCCCTCTCCCCTCTTAATAGTTATATCTTTTTCTTTCTTGGTGTCAAAATGTTCAAGCTTGCCCGCAGCAAACCGGTTACTGCGGCCTTGAGAGCTGCGACTGTAAGATTCCCACCTTGAGCGGCCTAGCCTATTGAGTACCAGGCTTTACATATATCACAAGTCTCACACGCTAATAATCTGGCTGCTTACAGGAGTCCTCCGTTCAGTCCCGCCTAGGCCAGCAACAGAGAAACCTTTCTATCCACGAATACTTGTCCGCGAACTTGCTCAAGTCGGTACGGCAGAAGCGCGCTATTATACCCATGCTTCGGGCTTTGGGGTGCTGACAGTAGCTAGTATGGCATCGGAATGCCCAAGGGTGAAGTTGCCCGCTCCGCGGAGGAAGCTGAGGCCATTGCCAATTCCCTTGGTACGTCTTTACATGTTAGCAGTCAGGATCGCGGCCTGCTAAGACTATAATGCTAGGTAATGATGATATGGTCATCAAGGCTCAGGTCCTCGCTGGCGGTCGTGGTAAGGGTACATTCAGTAACGGTCTGAAGGGCGGTGTGCGCGTGATTTACTCGTGAGTGTGACCGCTAGAGCCATGATTTGCCTCGACCTTTTCTTAACATGAACTTATCTCCCCAGGCCTACCGAGGCGAAAATGTTTGCGGGTCAGATGATTGGACAAAAGCTCATCACCAAGCAGACTGGTGCCGCCGGTCGTCTTTGCAACTCTGTCTACATCTGTGAGCGCAAGTTTGCTCGTCGCGAGTTCTACCTCGCCGTCCTCATGGACCGTGCTACCCAGGGTCCTGTCATTGTCGCCTCGTCTCAGGGTGGTATGGACATCGAAGCTGTTGCCAAGGAGAACCCCGATGCCATCATCACTACTCCTATCGACATCAAGGTTGGAGTTACCGACGAGATCGCCACTAAGATCGCTACCGAGCTTGGCTTCTCTGAGCAGTGCATTGACGAGGCTCGTGACACTATCCAGAAACTGTACAAGGTCTTTATGGAAAGGGATGCCACCCAGATTGAAATCAATCCTCTCTCCGAGACTTCTGATCACAAAGTCATGGCCATGGATGCTAAGCTGAACTTCGATGACAACGCCGACTTCAGACAGAAGGAGGTCTTCGAGTGGAGAGATACCACCCAGGAGGATGCCGATGAGGTCAAGGCTGCTACGTATGTTTCTCAAGCGACTAACAACACCTGTCCATAGGGAGGATTAAACTAATCTCGAATGCAGGCACGGCTTGAACTTCATCAAGCTCGACGGTGACATTGGATGCTTGGGTAAGAACGGGTCAAAAGAGCTCGGGTGAATTTGACATTTGCTAACTTTGAGTGCAGTCAATGGTGCCGGTCTGGCCATGGCCACTATGGACATCATTAAGCTAAACGGCGGTGCTCCTGCCAACTTCCTCGACGTCGGTGGTGGTGCCACCCCCGCTGCCATCAAGTCCGCTTTCGAGCTTATCACTAGCGACCCTAAGGTGACCGCCATCTTTGTTAACATCTTCGGTGGCATTGTCCGTTGCGATGCTATCGCTCAGGGCTTGATCAACGTCGTGCAGGAGATGGGTCTGCGCACCCCCATTGTTGCCCGTCTCCAGGGTACAAACATGGAGCAGGCGCACAAGCTGGTATGTTCTTTTTTGGCTATCTACCATTGACGGTACGGGTAAGATTTCGAGCTAACTATATCTCTTGCACAGATCAACGAGTCTGGCCTCAAGATCTTCTCCATTGAGGATCTTCAGAGCGCCGCTGAGAAGTCCGTGCAGTTCTCTAAGGTCGTCAAGTTGGCCCGCGAGATAGATGTTGGTGTTGAGTTCACTCTTGGTATCTAAATTCCATGTCGGCATAGAGCTGCGTCTCCCTAGCCGATGCCCCACTATCTCTTGTATTTTTCTTTTCTTTTCTGCTATTTCTTTTCTTGATATTTATAGTCTTCTTTCCCATGACCGGGAGGATAGGAAGATCTGAGTTCGAAGATGCAGCGAGATGCGGAGTAATTGGCCAAGGAGGACGACAGCCTTTCTTTCTTGAGGTATGATGCTAACGCATTGCTGTTGCTGCTTAGAGAATGCTCGGTCATAGGAATCGCGCACAAGTTAACATAATGGTGATACACGACCAGGTGAGAGCGCCTGGGAAATTCTTATAGATGGTTCTGTATATCGTCCATGTCTAGGTTTCTTTCTTCTGTCAATGAATTTGCTATAACGAGTTCTACTGTTCGTTCCGTTCTGAGGCGAACGTCTTCCTGCTAGAGCTCGTCCTTTGATTCTCTAGCCTGAGCAAGCAAACCACGAAGCCTTCAGAGCGGGTCGCAGACCTAGTTGTTGACCAGAGTATCGTCTCTGAAAGGCCAAACTTTCGCCTCCATCTGATGCAGCAGGAGAACATACTCCTGGTCCCCAAGGAGAATCCCCTCCTTTCCGCGACAGCTCGGATCCATAGCTTTAGCTGCTCTATGGGGGGGGTGGGCTGAAGGGTCGGATATCCAAATAGCTTGTGTGCCGTGATCCTCCCTGAGATAGTACAGCAGATTGTGGTCCACAGCCGCCGCACGCAAGAAATATTTGGGCCTATCATTCCAAGTGAATTCATGCAGGCCGATCCCATCCGTCTGCGGGTCGTAGGTAGCTATTACCCACTGGAATAATCGTCTTGGAGCCTTAGCCAGCGGCGATTGAATGAAGAACACCGCGAATCGGTGATGATTACTGTCCCACGTCCGGCTCACCGTCTCGAGAGTCCAATCCCGATGAACGGCGGGTAACGCGTAGGAGCGCTGGATGTGCGCATGTCCTTGACCATCCATGATGTATTTCCTTACACATACCTGGTACGTCTCTTCTCGTTCAACATGAACGATGATGAGGGTCTTCGTGGCGGGCTGCAGGTCTAGTAGTACCACGTTGGGGACATTCTCAATGGCGTGAGCGGTGCGCGACCGCATGTCCCAGTACATGATGGATTCGATATTGACCCTATTTTCAGGCTTGATAGTCTTGGTACTGTTGTAGGCCACAGCAACTATGCTGCTGCGGACGGCAAAGCCGGTCAAACTGGATGATGGGAGACGGAACCAGGCGTGCTCCTGGGTCTCCAGGTCCCAAACATGACAAAATCTGAGTATTATTCCAATGAGCCCTTACACGTTACCACGTCCCAAGGAGATTCTCCAACAATGTTGTTCGAATTAGGATCTAGGCATCTGGGACAGGAGACTTACGCGCGGATGCTGACCGCTGCAATCACACACTCCGAGAGACCCAGCAATCGAAACCGGTCGCGATTCTCAGTGCAAAATTGCTGCCTTGTGGCTTTGCGAATGTCGTGAACGACAATGACGTCGGAGCTTCTGAGCCAGGCACACCTTCCATCGGCGTAGGCGAGGGTGTCAGGCGTGGGGGGCCTGTAATAATTTGGGCCATCATCTCTTGCGGTCCCCGGTGTGACGGGATCAAAAGACAGGGGCTCGTGGGCGGGTTGGCCGCGCTCTAAACGCAACTTCCGTTGAGCGTACCGCCGGAAGTCAGCTGCGGTAAGTTTCGTGCTGAACTTGTTCGTCCACTGGTGATATAAGGTGCGCCTGGTGGAATCAGATGACAGGAGAGCGTGCCACCGTCTCGAGACCTACGGATACAGCTATGTGAGTCCCAGCCGATCAAGCTTCGCTTGTTTCATTTCAGTAATTTTCTTTTTCGTTTTCTCCCTTCTTCTTCTTTTCTCTTCTCTTCTTGATTTTCACTCTCTATATTTATGGATTCGGACAGTCACCTACTCTCTGGAGCACGTGAAGATCGGTGACACGCAGATACTGCACAATTTGCAGAGCGACCTCTGGCAGGGACTCGCCGAGAATGTCCTTCTGAAAGGTGCGCTGGGCCATGCGTGCGCGTACATCGCACCATTCGGGGGAATTCAGTTGATCCAAGATGCCATGATACCTACGATGGAGGGATTAGCATGGAGGCCGAAATGTTGGGGAGGCGTGAGCTGAAGAACGAGATGGTTCATACGCAGCCCTTCGAGCCGAATTTGTGCTAAGACAATTGAAAAGGCAGATGATCTGCTGGGCGGTGGTGGCATCATTGGGGGGATGGGAATCCAGACTCATGGCTGGAACCGATTTCGGACACTGGTCGGGGAGGGGAGGTATGCTACTATAGAGGACAGGTGGGGATAAGGAACAAAGAATTCAAAACAAGACCAAGCAGGTTTAGCATTGACTTTGGCGTAATGAGAGGGAGAGATGCAAGAATAGATAGAATACGAGGGGAGTGGATGGAGCTGTCGCATTGACTATTGTAGATTGAGTTTGATTATTGACAGGACAGGTATTTCCGGCGGCTAAGTAATTCAGTCCATCATATCTTTATCCTCGTTAGCATTGTACTGTCTAGTTGGTTGCCTGACCAGAATAGATGGGAATTTATTTCTCTGATTATCGCAGATCATCTAATTCTATGTCTGATGCAGTAAGCATGATGGTTATCTCCTTGTCTTACCCGTATTCAGGGTTTTGTTACTATTGTTTGTTGTGATTAATTGATTAATTCATTCATTGTCTCCTCTGCGGTTCCTCCCGCCAACCCCATCAGAATAAAGTACTGAGTAAAGTACAAAAGTGTTCCGACAGCTTAGTTAGAGATAGTAACTTAGGAGTAGTAGCCCCCAATGGAATAAGCAGCTTGCGCTGCAGATCTGATCGCCTTCTGGCCCTCTTCCACGACGCCTCGTCCCTACAGTACTCCCTAGTCGTATTCAGGGACTACTCTCAGGCGGGCCAAGAGCTTCCTTGTTTCTCTTTCTCACACTCCTTGAAGTCCGCTGTCGGTTCTTTTTCCTTCCTTTTTTGTTTTTCCTCTTCTTTTTTGAGGGTATCGGAAGGGCAGAGAATAAAAGGGGGCGAATGAATATATTGGAAATGATTGACAGCCGAATGGAAAAAAAAGGTGACGCAGGAAACAACAAGACCAGACCAAGCACTGGATTTCCTGTCAGCCTTCCTTCTCCCCCGTGGGTGAGTGAGAGTTCCTTGCGATCTCTCTTTACTTGATCTCCATTGAAGCTACCACGAGAAAGCAAGCACCTCCCCTCAACAGACCGACCAGGACGAGCCTCGATCGTAACTTGAGAAACTCGAAAGAGAAAGACAAGGCTACGAGCGACCAATCGAGCGACTTCTACGATGATCGAGCCAGTGGAAACTGGAAAGACTGTTGTTGGCTCGAGGTTGTTGATCCTCACTTGCGGTTCCAGTCGGTTCAGCCCAGACTATTTTTCTTCTCTCCTTCTCTTCATCTAGTCTGGCTTTGGGGCGTGTCGTTCGGGGAATCTCTCTCTCTATCTCTCTCTCTCGGTCTCGGTCTCGGTCTCTTTTTTGACTCGTAATGGTTCAAATCAAATTTAATTCCATACATTATCCCATTAACAAAACTTACTCTGTTTCTTCCTACTCTCTCGCTTCTCTTCTATCTTCTGCTCTCCTACTCAAACCCCCACCTCTCCCCCTTCCCCTCCTCCTCTCCAAAAAAGCGATCTATCCACTCATCCTATTTCCCAATCTACTATTGTTCCTTTCCTCCTATCGCCATCTGCCTTTTCACCCTAAACCCGCCCCACAGGGCAACTTCAACCTCTTCCTTTTTTTCTTCCTCTCTTACATGGCCCGACAGAAACCAGCAAACCGATAAAAAAAAAGCAACTTAACCTTACCATTAGACTGGAAGGAAGGAGGATCGAGAAGTGAAAAACAGCATTTGATCTTGCTGGGCCTCTTTTCTTACCGGTCTATCGCTCGGCTGCCCGTCCTTCCTCCCCTCCTCCTCCGCCGCCGCCTCCCTCCTCTTTCTTCCTCTTCTCTTCTCCCCTGGTCCTCCTCCGCGCGAGATGAGCAGCCTCGCCGATCTCCCCTCCAGGAATTCTCTTCTCGCTGCTCCTTCTGTTATCGCTGCCACCGATGTGCCGGGTAAAGTCCGAAAGATCCCTGTCCTCTCCTCCTCCGTCGTCTCAACATCCTCCCAATCGAACGGTGATCCCATGAATGTCACACCTCCAGCCCCGGGCCCTGCGCCCCCCGTCCACAGCAGCCCCGATAGCGATCGAACCGGCACGAACCCCAATATCACCACCACGACAGCTCCCAATAGTTCTACCGACTCGCAGAGCGTGAACCATCATCATCTGGGCCCAAATCAGGCAATCGGTGCGGCCGCGGCCGCGCAACAGCCCAAGGTCGTTCAAACAGCCTTCATTCACAAGCTCTACAAGTACGTCAGCGATTGGGTTCAAGCTTCCTTATTTCCGTCGGAGAAGCTCCCCTGCACTAGGTCCACATACTGACCATCAAACAACCAGCATGCTTGAAGATCCCAGCATTCAGCACTTGATATCATGGTCTAATACGAACGATAGCTTCGTTATGTCGCCCACCTCCGAGTTCTCCAAAGTCCTCGCGTTAGTCCCCCAACCCGAACGAGCCCCGATCTACCCAAACGCGATAATCCAACTAACGAGTCTGTTCAGTCAGTATTTCAAGCACACGAACATCTCCTCATTTGTTCGGCAATTGAATATGTATGGATTCCACAAAGGTATGCCGGCTCGGTCCAAGACGGATACCTGCACCGTTACTGATGTATGTGGACACCAGTGAGCGACGTTTTCCACACTGGATCTCCAGACTCCGCACTCTGGGAGTTCAAGCACGGGAATGGGAATTTCAAGCGTGGCGATCTTGTTGGTTTGCGCGAGATTAAGCGACGCGCATCCCGCCACGCATTGATTAATCGCGATTCCTTTTCGGGCCACAAAACCGCCTCCTCGCAACCGGGTACTCCAGCTGAACCTGTTCCGGACGCCACTGAAGCGCGCCTGATGAACCTGGAGCATTCTATGTTCGATATGCATGCTCGTCTCACGCGCGCCGAAGAAGGCAATGCGGCGCTCAATGCGCGATGTCAAGCAATGGCGGAGAGTCTGATCCGGTGTTATCATGTGTGTGGGCCCGACCCCTCGAATCTGTATGCCAGCTGCGCCGCAGGACAAACACTAATGTTCCGTTCTGAATTAGTGGACACATTCAATTTCTCGATTCCTGCAAGGGATGATACCTGATCGCGAGGGTATACTGTACCGAGATGGTGAGCTTCGTTGCCCTGGGTTGTTCAAGCCCCGGATAAGCTAACATCTAGCAGTGACTGGCATGCAGGCAGAGCTAGCGAAGCATTTAGATGCCGTGCGGTCTCTTGAACACACCCAGGATCCTTACCTATCGGTTCGGCAGCCCTACATTGCCAACTTTTCCGTCGATCCTGGTCCACCATTGTCCCCGCGCCAGATTCCCCAGGAGGATGGCCGTCGCCCCTCGATGATGGAGAACCCTTCTCGACCCAACATGATCCGTCCTCCTGTTCCCCCACACCTGGCCCCCTCTCCCCGTCGCTTCGGTTCAATTGGGGCTGGGCACTCTTCACCAAATTATAGCCGACCCCAGGTGCCGTCCGTGGTCACCCCCCAACAGCCCGTCCCCCACCCCTTATCGTCGGTCTCGTCTCCCCCAGGGCCCAACCTTACTCGTCGCCATACATCAGCCGATATCAGACAGCATGGCTGGCCGCCACCGGGGGTATCCCCGTTCCCTTCCACTCATCTGCATACCCATGCGGCGAATCCCTGGTCGCCTTCGCGACACCGAACCCCGACCTCAAGTGAGCAGCAAGTGCGCGATGTATTGGCACAGTACGAAATGGGCGCCCCACGACGCTTACAGGAGGCCACTCGTCATGCGACTCCTCCCTTACACCCCGATCAAAATGTTCCTGCAGATAATGGCTGGCCGTTGGGACCCAGGTTCCCTCGGCACGAAATGTCCCTTCCTGCAACTCGACGCTCTAGCATGGCGAGCAATGTTCATTCCCTTCTTAATCCCGCCGACACGGCTGAGCGACCAGATGAAGACCAGCATGCGATGGCGGACGATCGAAAGCGGAAGCGACTAGAGTAGACCACAAGCGACTCAACTTTCCCGCATGGTTATGGACAAGATGCTTGCCCCAGGCAGCACATACAGTACCCTTCGACGCCACTTTTCGAGATCTTCAGAGGATGTGGCTGCAAGGGACTGAATTCTTTCGGTCTACTATCCATAATCATCTCCTTGACTGTGGCGCAAATGTTCGGAAAGAAAAAAGGAATCGAAAAAAGACAACAAGAAACCTATTCTTCACTCTCATACATCGATCAGATTTGCAAAAATCGGGAGTATCATTCTGCCTGTAATCTTTCACTTTCTCACTTACATGTTCTTCTTTCGATTATTCCCTTGGGTCGAAGCATTCATTGTACAATCGTTCATGAGAGTGTGGGGAGGAGGGCTTGGCTTGCTTGCCGCCTATAATTTTCGTGCAGAGTGTCTCATATGGTGCTAGCCTCTCTCGCTGCGTAAACGGCATGCGCATGCACGTCTCGCCGATGGTTTCACTTTACACCAAACACTTTGGGATCATCACCCCATGCTCATCGCTGGTTCTCCCTGTCACTCATAAGCGGTCATGCACAGCCTAGCATTCAGGTTTTTTTTTTTTTCCTTTTTGGTCTACATCTGTTTATTTATATTATATACCCTGGGTTGAGTGGAGCAGAATCCTGCTTGGGGACACTAATTTAGAGATATGAATCTATAGTGGTTTTTGATAATACCAATGTACAAAATCCGACTTTCATTTAGGCCGATTTGATGAGTGTATCACACCATACGGAGGACAATGCATTACATGAACCAGAACCTGATGCTAACTAAGGTCAGTAGGTTTCTTATCTGGAATTTTATGCCACTAGATTAGGCGGGTATCACTATTGTGCTTGATTCATTTCTATATACACAAGATTAGCCGATCGTTAGGACAGGTTGTCACCTCTTCTTTCTCTTCTTGGACCGTTCAGCGAGAATCTCGTCTAAGAAGCTCGTGCCCTTTTTCCTGCTTCTCCGGCCAGATGAAAATTGCGACGAGTCCTCTTTTTGTTTCGACACATTACCATCAACACCGGCAGTCGTCTCCTTAGCCTCAAGATCCATGCTTTCGGTTTCTTCCGGGGATTGTAGAGTATGGATATTCACTTTTCTCTTTCGCGAGGAAGCATTCTTCCTGCCTATAAGAGCCAAACGACCTTCTTCCTCATCTTCGTCTTCCTCGTCCACACCTTGACCGGCGCCGGATGACGCTGCCTTTGCCGATGGTCGACCTGTGGCGACACCAGCGGAGGGCGCTCCCGGTTTTGCGTGAACCTTGGCCGCCATGACCTTCTGGTAATTACGCCCGAGAAGCTGTTTCCGTAGTTTGTCATTTGAATCCAGTTCCGTGCGGTTCCAACTCCCATCCGCGGCTTTCGTCGGCAGAGGCGCTCCGACCCCGAGTCTGTATCAAGAAGAGAAAGCAAAATTAGCAGGTCCGAGTGTGTAAACGCGCGAGAAACTTCGTTGAATGCGGGCCTGCATACGTTTCAGGAACGGCTGTAAATATCTCATCCTCCTCGCGCTGCAGTTCCTCCTCGGATTTCACATTGGCTTGGTCCGCTGCTGTGGGAGCCGGGAGCCATGATGCGACAAGCCGTTGACTGCGGGCCAGTGCGACATTAGCCTTGTTGAGAATGATGTCTGTTTGTGATTTGGATATTGACATCCTGTAGGAGATTTGATCCGATGGTTACTGTTGGATGAGGAAGAGTGATTGCCAGAAAGAACTTCATATTGAACTTTTTGCGATACCAAGGCGGCGAATCGTGGCAGAACGGATGGAGGGTGACTTCACCGCTTTCCTATCTTTTGGATTGGGACCTGTTCTTTCATCATGTTGAATAGTCATTAAATATGAAATTGACGGAGAGTTAGATTCTGTGTAACCCATGGTGGAGCAGTGGCGATGGGGGCCATGCGAAATGACCATTGAGAGATGACGGTGTATGCAACTGCCGTTCTGTCTTATGTACACTTTCTAAACAACCCGAGGTTCTATCTATATATACAAAAACCACGTGAAAGAGGATATAGCCATGGCCTGAAGCAGATGAGAAGGAGAAATATTGGAGAAGGCAAATCTTCACCCCTGCTCACGTGTGGACTTCTGCCTGATGTCTCTGCCTTAGCTTCTTCTCCGTCTTCATGAACTCACGGATGCCGACAGGAATATTCGCGAAAAGATCCTCGTTGGGATCAGGAAGCGTCCAATTCGTTTCACTGCCACCGCCATCATCATCCATACTCCCACTAGCTGCATTGACCTCGGCCCTTGGCGTCTGACGCTGATCCTTTCCGTCGCTTGCAGGCGAGCTTTTCGCCTTGGCTTGCGCGAGCCTCGCGGCCCATTCTTCCAGCTCGTCGCGATAGTCGTCCCAGACGCAATGGACGCAGCCGCTCATGCAACAATTGTCGGGTTCTTCCGGACGCGGAGGGATCGCAACCCCATTCACAGTCTTCCAGGTCGCGTCAGGTGCGGCACCTGGATCGTAGCGGGAAGTGCGGCCCGGGCCTGCTAGACGAGTGCCGAAGACGATAGCCATTTTCTCCTCTGGTGTCTGGGGCTTGGCCGGGGTCGGTTTCTCCGGCTGCTCTTGGGATTGCGGGGGACGGGTCTGCCGACCGTAAGGAGAGCGCGTAGAGAGGATATCATAGTAATAGCCGGCGAGCGGTTGCGCCTGAACGGTGCCGGTGTCGCCTGCCTTTACAGTTCGATTGCGGATAGCGGCGGCATTATTGTGCGTGGCGAAGCGACGAGCGGGTGTAGCGAAGGCACGCCGTGTGAAGAAGAGCGACGGATGAGGCAATCGGTGAGAGCTATTTGTGGCATATCTTTGCGCTAAAGTTGGCGCGAGTGTCAGGAAGGGGTGTTCCATTTGTCCCGGTATCGACAACGGAGGAGGGGAAGTAAGGTAGGCAAAAGAGGAACGGCGCATGAAGAGAAACGCCGATGCGGTTATGTCATAGTCGATGGGGGCGGGCGGGCGGCGGTTGCGCAAACAGTGCAAACTGAAACCCCCGAGATAATGTCCGCAAGAAGAAACAGACCGGACTAGGCGCATGTAAACACCAGTCAATTTAGTACAGTTCGGCTTGTGCAGCTCACGCCTTCTTTATCACAGCTGTCGGTACCATATATAGCGATTAATTGGGTACTCACACTGTAGCGAGAGAGTCATCCACTGGAGAGATTTGGCAGTTGTTGCTGTCAGCGCGTCGCAAATGAGCAACCCTCCACAACCAAATGACGCCCAGCCGCAAACGAATGAGCGCGCCTCATTCCAAGCACCGACAAGGGCCAGCTTAGCTAGAGCTCATCCCACTCTTCCTCAACGTGCGCTTAGCAGATCGCCCGTGAGAGGCCCACAAAAACCGACACAGGCTGACGCGCGGGCTGTCGGCTTGAGGGATCGAAAGGCTCTCCGACCATCGTTGACTTCGTCCGCAAGTCCGCTTAAACCCCTCAGGAGCGCAAAACAAAAACAATCACCTCGAATATCTAGCGGTCTTGGTGTCTTTGCTGCACCACCAAGGCGGGTCTCCACTCGAATTACTGCTTCCGATTTGATTTTTCGGTCCCCTACATCGACACAGCAGAGTATCGAGGTACCACGACATGTCAATACGCCGGAGGATCAATTGACATCGGAGCTGGGTAGTGCGACCGGGGACATGGATGTGACTGTGGATTTCAGTCAGTCTTCTCTTCAAGAAATACTCGACGAGCCAGACCTTCCGCCAACGCCGACCCAATTGGGGCTGGAACGGCCCTTGGGACGCACCAAGGGGCTCCCAAGCAGCAGCCCGAGTTCACAACAAGCGAAATGGGGGAGGCGACGGGCCACGGACAATCCTGAGCAGACGTCTTCTAGGTTGAGGAGTGTCGACTATGGCGAGTCCGAGGAGCCGACAGGATTGGAGCCGGCCATAGATTGGATGTCCTTCCCGGAGCACATTCTGGAAAAGCGAAAATTGAAGAATGAGCTCACGGACGAGCTAGAGAAACTGAAAAAGGACATTGCCGAGTTGGAGGATTGGTCAAGGAACCTGGGTCGGGGTGACGAGAACACAGAGCGCGACTTGATTAAGTTATCGTATGCTCCTCCCTCCAATTCCTGCAGGACGATCACTGACCGGTTCTAGCACACTATTAGCGTCTTCTCATCCCACAGATGCAACAATCGATGATCCTCCCTCGGCGACGGCTTCAATCTCGTCGCTGATCTCAGCTCTGCTTCCGTTCGCTGCGAAGGCTCCTCTTCCACCGTCTCAAGACACATTTCCAATCAATCCGTTTACGCTAGGCGAGCATGCCCTCGAGAAACCCTATCTGACGGCTTTTGCACCTTTGGATCTCACCGCATTCTCGGAGCTGGTGCCTGCGACAAGAGCCCAGCCGTCCCTGGAGAGGCATGTTCTAACTTTCACTGCGCCGCGTCCGTTCCCTTCCAATCGCTATAACGTAGCCATTGCGTATGACGCCAACCCAGAAACACAAACTCTATTCTCGATATGGGTACCGACCGAGTTCAAAAATGGTAAGACGATAATGTCAGCTTCCTTGCAGCAATGGATAGACATTCGACTCGCCAACCCGCTGCTAAAACTAGATATCACGGGGCTTTGTTGGGGCATCAACCGGCACTGGGAAGCTGCAATTTCACGAGCTCAGCTATGGTCACAGATGGAGGAGCAACATGCAAACTTGATCCCTGGCCACAAGAGGTCCGATGTTGCCTCACCATCGAGCTCTGACGATCGAAGCATAGCTGAGCTACGACGTATTCTTCCCCATCTTGAGCGAACGTCTATGCTATTCGGATCCAAGACCAGTCATTTAAGTATGCTACTCTCCTGTGAGCTAAGGATCGACGAATGGTCAAGCGAACCCCAGCTCGTCCCTGGCATCAGCGTCTCAAGTACCAGTGCCTCCGATAGCACTTCCAGACGAAAGCTTGAACAGGAATGCAAGAAGCTTTTCCATGCTATGCTGAGTGAGAATCAAGATAGCCAGTCCGAAGGACTCGGTGGAGAGTCAAGCGGGATTCAAATCGGCTCTGTCTTGCGAGCTACGCGGGGCGTCGTGACAGTTCTATTCAACGAGGACGATGATGCAGCAGAGGTCACGGCCCATCATACTTGAGAGCATGACATATCTTAGGCTAGAGAGATCACGAGTCCCCGTAGACGTGGGAAGCACGGGATATTACTATGTCTATGGCGTTTCGTTCAAAAGGCGGGTGGCGTTGTTAGGCGTGAAGATTGGGGTACATGGGAAGCCTACTTTGCTTCACGTCCGGCTTCAGAGATCGGTTATACCACGACTCTTCGTGGGAGTCCGGGTGAGGGGTACAGGAAATATCTTGTTTTCCGCATAGCATGGAAAGGAAGCAGCGATAAGGGAGATCAGATAACATGTACATGACGGCTCATGTGCATGTGAGTATTTAAGATCATCTGATTTCCAGCTCTGTCGCATATCGGAAAGGGTAGATCATATTTGATTGAAAGAGATCCAAGCCAATGGTACCGCATAATGTCGCCATGAAACAATCAGTAAAGCAAAGTTATCTACTGCGAAACGAAGTGTAAAGCATATGAAAACCGCGTAAACTTGACTTCTACCATCTACTCATCAGATGCGAAAACAGGTAGGTAATTCTGGGGGTATCTGCAAAGGTTTTATGTGATCTCAAAATCTGATGACAACCGAGTCCAGGAGACACAAAAAGCCGTAGTGGGACATGAAACTTGGGACATTTGCATTTCGAGGTGTTTGGGAGCTTTTTAAGTTAAGGACAAAGGTAAGAGAGGAAAAAGAGGAGCCACGCCATGCCACAATGTACTAATCCCCGACTTGAAAATCGACCCGATCATCATTAGTAGCGAATCACATTTATTTCTTGGCAGCAGACTCCTCCTCAGCCTTGGCCTTAGCACGCTTCTCCCGGATACCCTTGTAGCGGGCCTCGGAGCGGGCCTCACGGAGGCGGCGGTAGGCAGCCTCCTCACCCTTGGGCAGATCGTCACGCTTGACCTCGGTGACGGCCTCAGCGGCGGAGGGGTTCTTGATGGGAAGGGTGGGGTTGACACGGGTGACGAAACCCTCGGTCTTGCCCTCAGCGAAGGCAGCCTTGGCGGCGTTGACCTCGTCAGCAGACGAGTCGAGCTTCTTGAACTGACCGCTCTTGCGAGGGAAGAGGATCAGGCGAGCCTTGTAGTCCTTGAGGCGGGCGACATTGGCGACGAGGGACTCCTTGGAGTAGTTGACGCGGCGGTGGTCAACGGAGATACCAATGGTGGGAGCGAGCTTCTTGGGGATACCAGCTTCCTGTTTGTTTTTGCGACCGTGTAAGCCTCCGTCTCATGTATGCGTCCCTGTCCCATATCGCGAACGGAACATTTCCAACAATCCATCGATTATCCTCCAGGAAATGCAGGAGTTACCTTCAGCTCAGCAAGGGTGAAACCACGGCCAGCACGAACACGACGGTTGTACTTGATAGTAGGGCAGCGCACAACGGGGCGCAGCTTGTCAACCGGACGAGGAGCAACGGCGGCGGCCTTAGCGAGACGAGCCTCACGACGGCGGTGCTTGCGGCCAGGCTATAACCAAAAAGAAGCATGTCAGTCCGACCTTAATTTCCCAGCGAAACCCGCCCCCTTTTCATGTAGTCCGAAGCGAAATCGTTCGCGGTTGAATTCGTAAAGAAAAGTCGTAGAGGAAGGAGAGCGTACCTGGTCGAAGTGCACGCGGACACGACGCTGCCAGTCCTTGTGGAAGTCTGAAAAGAGAAAGGTCCATCAGTTTATCATTCTGCGATTATCCCCAACCCATCGATCACTATCCATCGTTTCGTCCACGTTTTTCCCTCTAGCTTTTCCATCTCGCTCTGTGTGCGGGTGCTTTACTCACGCTGGTTGAGAATCTGGTTGTTGTGCTTGATCGCCTATATCACACCAAAAAGTAAATCCATCAGCATTCACCGGCCGAAAACCAAAGTCGGGAGAGACAGAAAAAAAAACCTCATGACCGTCGTATTGATCATCAGGTTATCGCAGAGGGACGTATAACGCACCATTGTGACGGATGGGGATCAAGGCCGGGAGATTGTCGTCGTCGTCGTGGGTGGTTGCTGGTCGTATCTCAAGACTCCTCGCCTCAATATTAGGTGGAACTTTTTTTGGTGTGGCTAACCCGCGCAGAGCCGCATCGCCTCGCTTAGCGAGCCCTACCCTGCTTACCCAATCCGGCAGACTCTTCCTCTTGTCCGCCTTCGTCTCCGCCTTTTCCGAAGGGCAACTGCCATGGACTAACTAGTAAGGTTCGGTGGGCCAAATGTTAATTTCATTAAGACAATTTCTCTTTGCATCAGGATCTGATGAAGGACTTAAATGATATGGCTGAGAGCAGGTTTCAACACGCTGCTCTATTTGAAATCCGTGACAAAACTCACATAGCCTATTGTTGTATACGTGCAATCAATTACACCATTTACTGCTGGGTCAGAGCATTTAACTCCCGACCTACTTACCTACCGTCCTTTCTACTTGAAGATATGTAAGCAGCGCTGCTGTCCTTGTGGCAATATCATTAAAGACGTAAAAGTCAATCTATTCCAGCCTATGTAGAATCTTCATTAGCTTTCGACTACCGCTAAAAACATCCTAGAAACTCCTGAAACAAGCACCTTTACAAGATGCTTGAAAGCCAAAGCAAGAATATCGATGACAAAACCTGGGGAGATAAGATCCCAAAAGATAACAAGCTGCAGAACGGCCCTTAGGCAACACCAGTCTCATTGATTTCTTTACAAGTCATCACTCATTACTTTTCCATCTCATTGGAAACGGGTGTTTATGCAGAAAGAAAGGTTCAACACGATCAGCTGAATGGCAGACACGGAAAAGCGTAGCTCTCATTTCATGGACGGCAGGCAGGATACCAGGACTGATAATGGTCTGGCAGAATCGCGACGCTTCGTCGTTGTGCACGGGTATTGCTTGGTCTAATTGTTCCAGGTGCCAATACCGAGACCCACCCTCTCCTCCGCTTTTGATTTCTTCGGGGTCACACCATCAAAACTTGCTTTGCGTTTGAGACTACAACTCAGGGGCCGATCGACGCCGGGCTTCCTGACTTGGCCGAACAGTTTTGTCTGCAACAGTGTACTCGATTTCGCAGCACTCGCCACGCCTCGACTTTCGTGTTGATTGTTGAAATGGCTGCGACGATGCACGCTACCGGGTACAGTACGTGTTTCTGAAGTGGGAACTTCCTCCTCAGTCTCAGCCTCTTCGATATCAGATGCTGAGATGGTACTGTCTCGATCACGACGATCGTCAAGAGAATCTGCCCCTGGGGTGTAGACTCGGCTCTCGCCGTGCGCCAGCCGAGGCTGTGATGGGGTCATAGGCAAAGACGACAAAGAATGAGCGCCGCGCATGTGACGGTTCGCACGTTCCCTGTGATGGCGTTGCCTATACGGAGTTGAGGTGACAGCAGGTGACTCTCGATTGAGGACGCGGTCTGCCGCCAGAAGAGCTTCAAATGGGTTATGGCTTTCATTTTCGTTCAATTGGTGACTACCATTCTCAGCGAAATGAGGTATAGCCCGTCTATGCGGAGTTTGAGCCTCATTATGGGGACTTGGCGACATTGGGCCATGCTCGATCATCCTGGAGAAATGCTTTCGATTGTCTCGAATTCGCTCTTTCAGCATTCTGTTTTCCTCTCTCAGAAGCTCTGACGTGTCTCTCTCCTGCTCGATAAGCTTTTTCGCCCGGCGAAGCCTTCGATCGAGTGTGGCATTGGCCCTTTCAAGTTCCTGATTGCGCTTGAGGGAAAGCTCAAGCTCCACATTGGACATGGGCTGCATGGGCTTGATTTCATGTTGGTAATGGCGGCTGCGATATTCCGAGCTCTGAAGAATCTCAACTTCCCTTCGCGCAAGTTGATGCTCGACTTCTGCACGTTTGATCGCTTCATTACTTGTGAATGAAAGCAGGCTATTCTGCAATTTGAAATGGAGCGCTGACATGCGCGCTTCCTGAGCCACACCTAAGAGGTCTTTAGCAATCATGCGAAGCTTAAACTCATCAGCATTGTCAATTTCGTCGGCAGTTGGCAGGTTCTCCGAGGCGCCGTATGCTACACAGAGGGTTTTTTCAATATTTGGTGGGGATGCCAGGTAGGAGCTTGATCTCGACCTCGATTCTCGCAACGGGGCTCCGGGAATTTGGGATGATGGTGGTGGTGTCATGTCCGATGAAGATAGAGAGGCGGGTGAAAGAAATTTGCTCTGACTTGAATTAGAAGCCTGGCTTCCAGCTTTGACGCTCAATTCTGGCGATGCGGATAGGCTTGCCCGTTTGATGGGAGTAGCAGGCCCTGAGATTTCGACTGGGGGAGCAAGCGAGCCCTGCGAGAGCGGACGCTCAATTTCTTGTGACATGCTCAAAGAACAGCACCCGGGGTGCAGGCAGTTAGAATGTTTGTGTGTGCAGCAAAGCCCAACACACTCTATATGTAGAACAGTGTAGACGGTTTCCAATAGGTCAAACCGGACTGTTATCGTGGGGCGGTCAGGCGCACGCAAGCGGATGCGAGATGCCGATGACCTTGATCAATGCGAGCGTGCGAGGAGCTGGGGTGTTTCCGTCAAAGAAAAAAAAAGGGCGCAATTGACAGAGCGGAGCGATGCGATTGATGGCAAATCTAAAGCAAGCGTCATGCGATTTGTTGCAGTAGCAGCTTTGCGACGGAATGTGCGCTTATCACTGATAGCCGGATGGAGCACGTTTCAACCGCAGGCAAGGTATATGAGTTGACGATAAGGAGTCGGAAACAGATCGCTCTGGGTTCGGCGAGAGAAACCAAGGTAAGAGATAGGTATGGAAGCGTAATGGAAGCCGTCAACCGGAGTAAGGAGACCAGAGGAATGAAGCAGGTACGTGCGATAAGGTACAGCGAAGAGCGATGATGGATGAATAGATGATGGGCGGGAAGCGGGGGGGGGGGGGGGGTAAGAGATATGATCTGATGAGGAGAAGCAAGGAGGAAGAAGGGGGCCGGATTGATGCCTTAAGGGTGTTTGCAAGCGTTGCTTTGCGCACAAGTGGAGGAGGCTGGGAACCATCGCTTGCAATGCTCAGCCTCGACCAACCATGTCCAGCCACCATCCACCACGTGAGTCCAGCCGCGCGCTAAAAGGCCGCCTACCCTTATTCGGCTAAGAAGCAATCGCTGGCGCTCGCAAAAGGTAAACACAAGCCAAACCCCATGGGCCACCTTGATTGTAGCTCAGGCAACCGGTCAGAGCTGGAGCGACGGATGGATCTGGCTGAAGCTGAAGCTCCTCGATCCGGCCAGCACCATTGGGCCGAGCACCCGTGCTAACTAACAGGCTAACTAACCAACCTTCTTCGCATGACACAATCCGTCTTATGCCATCATCGTCTTGACACAGTACTACAAGTTGCCTCCAGGTGGTGGTCACTGCGCCGCTCGCTGCCTTTGGTAGGAAAGTGCCCAACTGTACGGAGTACCTTACTATCTTACTGTACTTGGATTCAGATTGTAGCAACTACAGGTCAAGAAAGATCTCGACAGACAACAAATCAAATCCGGCATATCAGGCTTTGTCCGATCGGCGGACTTGCAAGATCGAGTCTGGGCCGTGGAATGAACTAACAGTGTGGTCAACGAGACAAGGGAATGCAGAAATCACTTGTGCAGTATGTGTTAGGTACGAAGCACATCATACCGATTCTTCACACTTTACTTGACCAAACCGGAATCTGACTCAGACAACTATAGCTTGTTTGAGGTACTCGGAACACTGGCATGTGCAACTCACGGCCTCGACTGAGTGACTCGTGCTTTATAGTGGCCTCTGTCGACTCATTTATGCTGAACTTATATATTTTCATACTTTAGGAATATATCTAGTAGATATCTAAATGAACCTGGATTCTACTTAAATCATTGCTTAGATCGGCAAGAAATGGTACTTGCCATACAGTATAAGCATGATCTCGCGATATCTCGAAACCCCTGTGTATGTACAGTACGAAAAGTCTTTCAGTGTCTCGATTTGCATATACACAATCGGCGGGCCTTGCGGTAGCAACTTGCAGTAGCTCTGAGCTTCCTACTATATATGCTTTCAGTGTATACGACAAAATCATGTCCTGATGCGGATCTACTAGCATTGGCTTGCCTGTCATCGCATAGCGTGGGGGAGTTCGTGAAAAGACAATGTCCAGGTATATATTTGTTGTGATGCTTTTGTTGTGATGCTTTTGTTGTGCCTTAAATGTGGGGGTTAGAGCCTCAGGCACCAATGTATGCAATAAGCCGCGGTGGGCCTTTACATTAAGTGATAAACAATTAATTCAATCACAGCCAACTAATGGACAACATGCAGATTCCAGTGAGATCACTGTACACGACTGACAACTGACCACCCCCCTCTAACATGCACAAACATCTATACATCCTTTAACTGTGTGAGCTCTTTGGATTTCTCTGGACTTAAGTTCTCCTATCTTGATCATCAGTATCTTTTTGTCCGGAGTGTGATATATTTTCACGGTCATGAGCTTGCTATAGTGGCGACAGTGGCTACCAAAGATTTTTCTCCAGTCAGACATCCGCAGATTGCCAACAAGCTGTGCAAAAATGAACAATCAACCCAAAACACCTGCCCGAACAAGTGGCATTCCCCGATTAACCTCAAGACTTCCCCTGCCGACAACATCCGCAGCCTCTAAATCGCCCCGACCATCGCCTTCGCGCGAGAAGTTACAAACCGATTCAGGCCTAAATGTGAGCAGGCTCCGCAGACCGTCCGAAGATACTGTGTTCAAGAAACCCCTCCCGAAGTATACAGCGCGACAGAAATTCTCCGCCGGACTTCGACAAAAAGATGGATCTCAGACAAGGGCGGGCAAGGGTGCAAAGTTCGAAGCAAGCCCGATCATAGATACTGTTCAAGCTTCAGAGAGTGAGGATATATCGGTCGAGGATACAGAGACACGGGGCCGGACACGCCCTTCGCTGGCAGAGCGAACGATCGAGACACTTTCACGGATCCCACCATCTCCAGGGCCAGCACGGAGGCAGTCGAGTTTCTATGGCGCAACGAGCCCGATGCGGTCCCCATCACGTCCCTCTTCCTCATTTACTAGCTATTCAAGGTCGCCCTCTAGGTCCTCGTCTCGACAACCCAGTGGGGGTGATTACCTTGCGCGGCCATCCTCTGCCATGCGGCTACCCTCAAGACCTCGCCCGCCCTTGCCCACAAACGCTGCATCGGGCGATTACGGCCTTGCGCCGACCACAAATAGCCCATCGAAGTTAAAGATGCCAGCAACGAGAATGAGTGATCATCAAGCGAACGGTAATGGCACATCCCTTGCGACGAAGGCCCGTGCAACTCGCAATCAAACACATGTGAATTCCGTTGGGTCAGGCCCAGATCTTTCATTGCCCAGTCTCGAAGTGAAGAAGACACGAAGGGCCCAGCCGAAGATTTCAGTGCCAAGACAAGCATCGGTTGGGCCCCGGTCACCATCTGCACGATCCACGGCATCCGACTTGACTTCGGAGCAGCAGGCTGAGATGGAAACAAGGAAGGTTTCAAAGTCCTCAAGCGCTCTAAGAGAGAGCATCGCGAAGGCTAAAGCCGCACGAAAAGCAGAGACGCAAAAACGCATTCAATCTTCGTCGACAGGCCACGCTTGGGATCAGTTCAACACCGCAGACCCATTTAATCAGGATCTTCAGGTTTCAAATCATGGACTTCTTCGCAAGCGCCTCGAAGCAGGCAGAACATCTGGTCACCTGAACATAGCAGCCATGTCTTTGAAAGAAATCCCCAAAGAGGTTATGACCATGTATGACTTTGATCCTAATGCTACAACCGAATGGTACCAGAGTGTAGACCTGGTCAAGTTCATTGCCGCGGACAACGAATTTACGGAGCTTCCCGAAGAGGCTTTCCCTGATATTGATCCGCATGATCTAGAAGATGATGCTCACGAGAAGGGAAACCAATTTGGTGGGCTTGAACTGCTCGACTTGCACGGTAACTTACTGCAATCTCTACCGATAGGCTTCAGAAGATTGCAAAGGCTTCACACCTTGAACCTGTCAAATAACAATCTCAAAATGAACGATATACAAGTCGTGTTGGAGCTGGTATCTCTGCGGGACCTCAAGCTGGCCAAGAACCAATTGGAAGGTGCTTTGACATCAGATATCAAGAACCTGACTATGCTGGAGTCTCTCGATTTGCATGATAATGCTATCACTGACTTACCCCCAGATGTGTCAGAATTGGCTTCACTGCGCATCTTAGATCTTGGCGGTAACCAGCTGAGCTCGTTACAGTTTGAAGCTCTGAGTCAGCTTTCTTTGAGAGACCTCCGGGCCCCAAAGAACAAGCTGAAAGGTACACTCATTCCAGCTTCAGTCTATAGACTTGAGACACTGCAGATTCTCGACGTAGCCTACAATGCATTGACGAAGCTCTCTGAAAATATGGCATTGGAACTTCCCAACATCCAGACGTTAGCGATAAGTTCCAACCGCATCCGATCGTTACCGGATGTGTCGTCGTGGCAGGCCTTGTTGACGCTGTCGGCTGAGGACAACGGCCTTACAGTTCTTCCGGAAGGCTTTCTTGACTTGAAAAATATTCGGAATGTGGATCTCACAGGAAATGATATTTCCAGGCTGAATGATAGAATTGGCTTGATGGAGAGCCTGTCAACGTTCCGGGTTGCTAACAATCCCCTTCGCGAACGCAAATTTCTGACAATGGGCACCGAAGATTTGAAGCGCGACCTACGAAACCGATGCGAACCCGAGCCTCAAGATACAGACGATGACGCAGGCTCTGTCGCAACTCAATTCACACTGGCACCAGAAACCCCAGCCCAGACTGCTGCTTGGCAGGTCAAGCCTGGAGGTGTCCTTGATCGATCCTACACCGATATGCGCGAGCTAGAACTGGATGAGCTGAAACGAATAAACCTGAGCGAAGTCAGATGCTTGTATTTGCATCATAATCAGCTACGCTACTTTCCAATTCCCGCACTCAGCTTACTGGCGTCTAACCTTATCGATCTCGACCTTTCAAACAACCCGTTAAAGGATACAGAACTCTTTGCCTCGTCCCTCACGCTTCCGAATCTCCAAAGCTTGAATCTGAGTGCTACAAATATTTCTGATTTGAATCCCATCCTAACCAACCTTGAGGCACCAGCTCTCACGTTTCTGGACGTTTCTTACAACCGCCTGTCAGGTCACGTCCCAAGTGTTCGCCGTACCTACCCTAATCTGATGGCTTTTCTGGCTGCCGACAACCGATATACCAGCTTGGAATTTGATGCCGTTCACGGTCTTCAGGTATTAGACGTGTGTAATAATGACATCGGCTTGCTTCCGCCTAAATTAGGCTTGCTAAGAGGAGAAGGTTCAAGCAAAAATTGGGGCAGCGGATCTGCACTGCGAAGGTTCGAGGTAGCAGGGAACAGCTTTCGAGTTCCTCGGTGGCAGATTGTCGCCAAGGGGACCGACGCCATTCTCGAATGGCTTAAGGATCGGATCCCTGCGGAAGAACTTTCTGAGTACGAGACGGTCGACCATTCGACTTAGCAGGATCCAAACGTCACGTACTGCAGCTTTTTGTCGTTCGGCGATCACTCATACTACCCGGTCTCTTTCCATTGACGCCATAACCAATCATGTAGCATATTTTGCATAGAGTTCTTGATGTACCGAGCCTCTCATTCTGAGTCCTTGAGTAGCTAGTAGTTTCGTGAGCGTGTTGTGATATGTCAATGTGATTAGATTTTGGTAGGCACATTCTTTATTGTCACTCTGCCCATCGAATATTGCATGTAGTGAAATATGGACAAGATGGCTTTACATCGCTTTGTTGATGGCACAACTGCTCGAAGACCAGCTTGTCATGAGAGCTGTTCCGACGACGGTACAAATCAAGTGGCCCTAAGAATAAGCCCTAATTTCCCAATCAGGAGGCTTTACTGCTTGGCATCGCCGCCCGCCGCGGAGGACCATCATTCCGTTCATCCTACTCTCAACCACTAGAATCAACAAACTCAAGAAGTGCCGGCCCGGACACTGTATAATCTGTCCATGTACAATACCCCCTGAATTACTCCGTTGCGGCACATCCACCACAATTGCGTCAGCATGGGTACCGCTAAACCGCGTCCATCTGTCGGCAGAGCTTCCGTCGCCAAAGCCCAGTCCTTCCAAGCCCTTCCGGATAAAACATTCATTGTTGACAACGGCGCCTACACACTCAAAGCAGGATATGCGCCCGAATACTCGCCGCCTGATGATCAAGAAAAGGCGCTTTTGGCGTGCGCCACCATACCCAATGCGATTGTCAAGACACGTGGGAATCGCATTCACGTCGGCTCGCAAGTCAATACACATGTGACAGACTGGAACGAGATGTCCTTTCGTCGGCCGGTAGAGAAGGGATATATCGTTAACTGGGAAGCTCAGAAAGAGATTTGGGAGCATTCATTCTTCGATGAGAAGACTGTGCGGAGCAAGGAGTTGCGCATTACCGACCCAGAAGACACAACCTTGGTACTAACGGAGGCGCCCAATGCGTTGCCTGCCTTGCAGAAGAATGCGGATGAGATTGTGATGGAAGAATGGGGCTTTGGTGGTTATTACAGAAGCTTAGGTACGACCTCCATTTGAGATCACATACAAACCATCACGCCATCTGCGCCCCTCTTGCTGATGCTGATTGCCGCGTTAGGACCGCCGCTGAATGCCTGGAACGAATTACGCACTCTCTTTGGAGATCCGATCGTCAAAGATGCGGACGCTGTCGTGTCCCCGAGAGAATGTTTACTGGTCATCGATTCGGGCTACTCCCACACCACAGTGACGCCTGTCTACCGGGGCCAGTCACTTCAACGTGCTATACGCAGACTCGACCTGGGCGGCAAGCATCTTACAAACTATTTGAAGGAAATGGTGTCAGTGCGGCAGTACAACATGGTGGATGAAACATATATCATGAATGAAGTCAAAGAGGCTGTTTGCTATGTGAGCAATAACTTCGCTGGCGACTTGGAACAGACCTGGAAAGGCAATCGGAAGCGTGGCCTCCCTGACTCGAAAGAAGGGGTTGCAGTGGACTATGTCCTCCCGGACCCCAATGCGGGGAAGAAGGGCTTCATGCGACCACACGATCCATTGCTGAACGCTAAGAAGAGGAAAGGAGCCCTGTCCGGTGCCAGCGCTGAGGCGCTATCTGAAGATGCCTTGGTCTTGGGCAACGAGCGATTCACTATCCCGGAGATCCTGTTCACCCCCAGTGATATTGGCATGAAGCAGGCCGGAATCGCAGACATCGTTTTGCAGAGTCTCTCTGTATTGCCCACCGGGTTGCACCCAGCCTTCTTGGCCAACGTCCTAGTCGTTGGCGGAAACTCACTATTACCGGGTTTCTTGGAGAGATTGTAGGACGATCCCCCGTGGCATGATCTCCACATTGCTAACCCAGTATAGGGAGACCGAGCTGCGACAACTGGCGTCCGCTGAATGTGTTGTTAGAGTGCGATGTCCTCCAGAGTAAGCGTATCCTTATCCTGCGACTAGAGTTGGGAGACTAATGAGCTTTGAATAAAGTCCAATTCGATGCACCTGGTTGGGGGCGTCACGAATGGCCACCAATAGAGAAGAATTGAAAAAGGTTGCCATCACGCGTCAAGAATACCAAGAGTATGGTTCTTCCTGGGCTGGTCGGAAGTTTTCTGGTGCATTATAGCCGGTCGGAATCGGGAAGTTCGAGGCTAAGGCGCGACTCGCGTCTTTCTGGGTTTGAACTGCAGCTGTTTGTTCGTCATTACAGGCTGGCACCTTTCCTGTTTGTGTAATATATGTCCTTGATACCCTTGAATTAATGAGCTGGTCGGTTGAATGTGTGTGTGACACAGCAGAATGCGCACCGATTTCACATCGTAAGATACCGTACAAACGTCAGTTCCCAGCATCTTGATTGGCAGTGGTTGTTCACGACCATGCAGTGTCAATCAGGTCAAGCCAGTTGGGCAGAAAGATGAAGGTGAGTCATGGGGTTGGATTGGAGCGTCGCTTGTTGCGGTGAGGCTGCGGTTTCCGGGCTTCTCTCCTTTCCCTCGGGCTTTCCCGACATGTTCAATCACGGACACTATCCAAGGTTGCTACCTGATTAATTTCCCTCCCTCTCGGCCTCGATCTCTCGCTTTCCTTGCTTCTTCGTCTTCTCCTATAAGCTTCATCCTTCCAAACAACTGCCCCATCCTGCAGTCGGACACGTCGACAACCGGCTTGACGGAAGCATACCGGTACCCTCATGGTTGACCATCCTCCCCGACATTTGACCCTTGTTGACGCGCTGAATTGCGGTTGTGGTTGGTTGAAGTACTTGACATAGCGCCATTCTCAGATTCCCCTTCCAACAACAGTCGGCGAATTGGTGATCGAAGAGAAACCCCCCATTCCCCTTGGTAGCGAATGATGAAGCCCGAACATGTGGCACTCGACCGCCTTGTTCATGGCGTGGCAGCTTAGTTGTCGCAGATGCCGCATTTCATCATGCGACAGCCATCCGGAAGAGCATTCCGGTCAGTTCGAGGGACAACTTATATAGAATCAAAGGCCGTTCCTGCTCGGATTGGTCTTGTTTATTTTCCCAACCTTTCTACCATCTATCAAATATATAAGTTAACCGATCATCTACACTGTTCATACTATGTTATTGATACTCAGTCACCAACTCTAGTACTACCTTCAAACCGCTCTTGCCAGACACGACCTGCGATTATGGATTCCAGTATCCTAGAATACTCTCAAGCAATCAATCGGTCCGACCTGCTCCTACCCAGCCTCAGGACCCTCAATTCTCGCGGGACAGTCTTGCAATTTTCCCCCGAGTCCTGAACTGCAGAAGAGTTGTGCCACAAAAGAGGATGCCCGCAATGTTCGCCAAAAGCCTTTCTTCTCGAGCTGTTCCGCAATCGTCTGAAGCTCACCCGAAGCCAGAAGGGTCTCGTACGATGCGTGGGTCGAGGTCATATTCTCAGTCATCCGATGCTGCGTCGGGGGTCGATGCCGCTTCCCCGGATCCTTTGTCCAGCGAAAAGAATGGTCGTACAAGATCCAGGGTAAAGCGGTTCTTGGCCAAGCTTCGTGGCAAGTTCACCAAAGAACAGGCTAAGAGTGAAACTACTGACGAGTCAGTTCACCCCAATGCACGAATGATCCTTTACTATAGACGTACTGACTTGTCGAAGACGCTGTGTGTGCTGCCTCGACATCATGCCCGCCGAGTGCTTGGTGTCTATGCCTTGTCAACACAAGTATTGCAGTCGATGCATGAAGCAGATGGTGTTCACGGTCATGTCTGAGGAGGGGTTGTTCCCACCCAGATGCTGCAAGCTGAATATCCCAACAGAGGTTATCCTGCCTGTGTTGACGCTCAAGGAGAAGACTTTCTACATGTCGAAAGCGCAGGAATATGCCACACCGGCTGCAGAGCGTAGGTATTGCCCTACGGCGATATGTGGGCGCTTCATTCCCCCGCAGCACTTAAACAGCAAGTCTCCGTCGCAGGCGTGCCCTTACTGTGGCACCAAGATTTGTTCGGGGTGTCGCGACCTGGCTCATACATCGAAAGGGTGCTTTCCGGATCCCGGCCTTGCCGCTTTTCTTGAGGAGGCCCGACTCAAGCAGTGGCAGCGATGCTACAGTTGCGGTTCTATGGTGGAGCTTATGTCTGGTTGTGACCACGTCACCTGCAGATGCAAGGCGCAGTTTTGGTAGGCTTTCCACTCGCACCATGCGATAAAAAGACGTTTAAAGGCTGACCGCTCTAGTTACAAATGCGGAGATCCTTGGTTTGCTTGCGCTTGTGCTGCGTCGGGACAGCGACCTGCTGATTTCTTGGCCGTTCTCATCGGGCACACTAAACTGAGTCGAGATCAGGAAGCCGAGTTATCTGCAGTAGTCACTGCAATTCTGCGTAATGAAAGACTCCGTGACGAGGAGGCGGCGAAGTCCAAACTTATGACTAAAGGGAGCAGCAGGGAGAGCAAGAGACTGTCCCGACAGAGCATGGACTTGCTGCGCCGGGACAGCATTTTATGATGAAGATGCATGATGACTTAACGATTTTGATTCAAGGAGGCCTGCATTGCTGAGTTAGCCACTCTTTTAACTTTCTTCTGTCGTGTGGCGATGATTTTGTTTTTTTCACTCTGATGCTTTACTATCTATAGCTGTCTACCTTTCCACCCAGATGCTATGACAGAATGACAAAATGTAAAGGAGTATACCTCTCGGGGTTAAGGTAGGCTTTTTGATGGTAATAAGGACTAAAGCTTCCATTATGACCATAAATGGACGCTAAATCTCCAGTCTGCGTTGATGATATCCTAACCAAGAAAGATATGAAAGAGTATTGAGATGCGTTACGCGCTCAGCCTCTGTCAGTAGTCATAAAAGCCCTTCCCAGACTTCTTCCCCAACCAGCCAGCATCGACCATACGCTTCAGCAGCCCAGAGGGCCGGTATTTACTATCGCCGGTCTCCTGATGCAGGACATTCATGATCGCCAGACAGGTATCCAGGCCAATGAAATCGGCCAGCGTCAACGGACCCATTGGCACATTCGTGCCATTCGTCATGATACTGTCAATATCCTCCTTCCCGCCGACCCCAGTCTCGAGACAGATAATCGCCTCATTGATGTACGGCATGAGGATCCGGTTCGCCAGGAAGCCGGGCGAGTCCGCGGACACGGAGGAGATCTTACCCATGCGCTGGACGAAGGCGACGGCCGTATCGAGCGTCTCGCGGGAGGTCTGCAGGCCGGCGATGATCTCCACACCCTTTTGCACAGGCACTGGGTTCATGAAGTGTGTTGAGATGACGCGCGACGGCGCCTGAAGGTCCGTAGGGTCCGTCGTCGTCGCCGCGGCAATCTTGGTGATGGAGATGGACGAGGTGTTGGTGGCCAGGATGGCGTGCTTGGGCGCGATCTGCGCCAGCTGGGCGAAGATGGACGTCTTCAAGTCCACGATCTCGGGCACGGCTTCGATGACGAAGTCGACCGCGGACAAGTCGTCCATCTTCTGACTCGGGGTAATGCGGGCGCGGGCCGCGTCGGCGGCCTCCCGGGTGAGTCGCTCCTTGGCAACGTCTTTGGCTAAGAGCTTGTCTGTGGTATTCAGAGAATTGAACAGGTTAGAATAATGAAGAAGAAGGCGCTTCAAGGTGGAGAGAGAGCCTCGGGGCGCAAGGGCAGGGGCATTGTGCTTACCAGCAAACTTGAGACCCTTATCTAGAGAAGCAGGGGAGGTGTCAATTAATGTCACTGGGACTTGCGCTTTCTGGGCGGCAACGAGTGCGATACCCAATCCCTAGAATTGCTAATTCAGTACACTGTCAATTCACGTTTGTGTGAAAGCAATGGAGACTGACCATTTGACCTGCCCCAATCACGCCTAGTGACTTGACCTCGGCCGCTCGAGTGAGGGGAGTTGTGCTAAAGGCCCGAGAAGCCACAGAAAGGCCTCTGGAACGGAAGGAACGAACTGAAGACAATAACATGACGATAGCAAGGTATCCAACAATTTGTCCCGTGTAGAGAAAGAATCGGATCGACTGAGGGTGTAATAAAGCCAACCGAACTCGACACCCTCGAACTTCATCTCTCTCCGCAATTTACTTGTGATGCTCGCCCTTCCCCAATAATCCGCGGGTATCGGCCCATGTGAGCCGACGTCATCGGCTAGCCTCGGTTCAAGCGGATGAACGATTTCGCCGGCTGCCCGAAGGCGGAGACGCGATAACACGTAAATGGCGCGTTATGATTGGTTTACTGGCTGTTTGCGCGCGAGATGGTTCACAGATTCCCATTGTAGTGTTAAGTCGAAGCCATCGGAGTGAAGACTCGGGAGCTTAGCACCATCTGCTAACATGGAGGTCGAAGAGCCAGCGCTTGCGGCTGCGGATGTCACGGTCGTGGATCCGGAAGTTCGAGCCCATGTCTACAGTCTTGTCAGCGCGGTGAGTGCAAAGCCCAATTCCTCTCGTGACAGCGCAATCGCAATATCCTAATTTGTCAATAGCTTGGAGGCTTCAACGGAGACGATGCGGACAAGTACGTTTTGGGTGACGATGCGCTCGCCTGCTTGCGGGATATCAAGCGCTGGCTGAAACTCTACGATGAGAAGTATAACCGCCTGGACGTTGCGCGATGCTTGGGAGAAGCGAATCTGGTCAACGGAGATCTGCTACCAATCCTGTCGACATGGGCGAATAGCACCAAACAAACCAAGTACATGTCCCGCATCGCCTTGGCCTGCTGTACGTGGTAGTCTTCTTCAGTCATCTATATCACGGAAGATGTGGGCTGACAGTTCACAGTGGAGATCCTAGTACCTCTGACATGGCCGATCGAGATGCAAGGTGAAATGACGGCCGACAACTTCAGACACATTCCTTACCTACAACATTCGCATGTTGCATACAAGCGAGGGATCCTCAGTCATGCCAGCACCAGTTATCTTCGAACAATTATCCGCATCGGTATCCCGAGCATGGCGATCCCACGATCTGAGCGCGCCACTCGAGACGAGGGTATTCTCAAGTTGATGCTCTTCTTCCTACGCAACATCGCCCTTATAACTCCGAATACTCGCCTAGCAGCTGAAGGCGACGAGGAGGAAACGTCTCGGTCGGCAACCACTAATGCCTTCCAGGATCAGGATGTGTTCGCACTTCTTCTCACCATGTGCTCTAATGTAGGAGATGACTTCAACATGCAAGACGTGGCTCTCCTCGAGATACTGTTCCATCTCGTAAGAGGCGTCGACGTTGAGAAGCTGTTCATGGACAATACTCAACGCGCCGCGAAACGAACCGACGAGCTGGATGATCTGCTACGGAAGGAGTCGTCCCTGCGGAGGGAATATGCGAAGAACGCACCCACGCGGCACGGTCGATTCGGAACCATGATCTGGGTGAAGCGTGACGACGCCAAATACTCCACAGTATCTGGGCAGAGCGTCCTCAAGGATGACCAGACAACGTTCCAAAAGATGGACGAGAGCAAGAAGTGGAACAAGCCCCAATTTCGCCGGAAAGCGCAAGACCTAACCGTGTACAACGACTTCAGTACCCCTGTGCACCTCAATTCGACGGCGTCCGAGAACCTCCGGAAGTTTGTAGAAGAGTTCTTGGATTCGGGCTTCAACCCTCTCTTCACTCATGTGCGAAAGGCAATCGAACGTGAAGCGGACCGGGTGGTGGACATCAATACCCGCCAATTTTTCTACACTGTGTCCTGGTTTCTGCAGGCGGAGCGGGCTCGTCGTGCACGCCAGCGGGAGAAACAGGCGCAGAGCGACAAGCCAGGGAAAGAGATCGAGCCGGATAGCTTCGGTCTTGTTGCTGGTGTCCTCGATCAGGAGACCTTTGTCTTCCTTAATAGGGCCATGCAGTATGCTGTCGACAACAAGGATTGGCAGGATCTCACTGCAGAAATGCGCTGTTTCACGCAGATCCTGTTGACTGTCCAGGATATGGTCCAGTCCCCACTCGAGGAGGACCAAGAGATTGCGGAGAATATCCAGAACCGGATTTTCTACGAGGAGACGACGCACGATCGCTTGATTGCCATCGTTCGCGGTTATACCGATCAGGGCTTCGGTTACTTGAACGCATGTACCGAGCTTACCCATGTTTTCTTACGTATGCTGGAACGCTACTCCAAAGAGAATGTTGATATGCAAGTGCGGTCGCGGCGACGTGCCAGACGCAAGCAGAAAGAAAGTGAAGGGATCGTCCAAGGTGAGAATGACGAAGAGCATGGATCAGAGGATGAGGATATGATGGAAGCCGAGAGAATGTCGAAAGAGCGCAGCTTCGACTTTAGGCGCTTTGCCGCGAAATTCTGCAACCAGAAATGTGTTGATACCTTTGTTAGTTTCACCAAGCACTACAACGAGCTCAATACGGAGCAACTAAAACGGGCTCATCGGTATTTCTACCGCATTGCCTTCAAGCAAGAGATGAGCGTCTTGCTTTTTCGTCTCGATATCATCAACCTTTTCTACCGCATGATCAAAGGGCCTGGGGCCTTGGATTCAGGCAAACCGATTGTCGAAGACTGGGAGGAGCTCGTCCGCCAAATATTCAGGAGGTTGACCAAGAAACTGGACCAGCGCCCGGCTCTGTTCGTGGAACTACTGTTTAGCAAGATCAATGCAACCACATTCTATCTCGAATACGGGCACGAACGGCAGACGTTATCGACCGTCCGGAGGGCTCCAGCTGAGCTGGAGATCGATCCCAAACAAGCGAGTACTATCGAGGAGAAACTGGGTATCATGGTCCCTGCCCTGGTACTGGATGGGGACACGGATCTTGTCAGGTGGATAAGCGAAGTCCTGGGGTCAGCTATCGAAGAACGAGAAACCTGGGAAGAGCAAGAGAAGGCCCTACGTGAAGCAGGGGCAGAGAGTGCAAGGGTGCCCAATCCCATGATATGTATGCATCCATTGTTTCCCTCACCGTATGATACTATGCTCATGTATTGACTGTTGCGCAGCCGTCAAACCTCGAGACGCGGCATGTCAAAACGCCATGTTCTCAAATGCGAAGCTCCGGCTTCTGATGACGCTCGTCAAATTCGAGCGCCTGGGAGTGGAAGACGTGGCTGGGGCGTCCTGGGTCATCCCGTCGACTGCAACGGCGCAGGACCTGCGGGACATGAAAAGCTTCATCGATAGATACCTTGCTAAGGCCGAGAAAGGCACTCTCGGACGCGACCCGCGCGAACTGATTCGGCGCAAATACGGCGCCAAGAAGGAAGCCAACCAGTCCGAAACCCAGAACATCAATTTTGGATCTGATTCGGAGGGCGAAGATGAAGTCCCCGAGGGATTCCTGTTTCCGCCAAACCCCCGGTCAAAGGCGAATGCGCTCACAGAGCTAAAGCAAAGGCGGAAGAAACGCAAGCAGCAGCAGGGCGATGATGAAGGCGAACCTCTCGATGAGGAAGCCCTTGAGGAGCGTCGCCGCGCACGTGAAGAGAATGCTCGCGCGCGGATCGCGAAAATCAAGAGTGATCTGTATGTGCATGCCAGTGACGAAGAGACGGACGAGGAAGCAGACGAGAAATTCTTCCGTCTGGAAGAACAGCGGCGCAAAGAGCAGGCCGACCGCATCAAAAAGGCCATGCTACATGGTGTTCCGCCAGAAGAACTGGAAGGCACCGGGAAGAAAGGGCAAGGGAAGCGCCAAAACAAGCGTCAACGAATAGTCAGCCAGACTGACGGCCTAGATGAGGACGAGGATATTATAATGGGAGGCACCGGAGTGATGTCGCCAGGGTCGCCACAAGACGATACGCTTGATAATGGACTCGATGATGATCTGAAATTTGATGACGATCTTGCCTTTAGTCGAAACCGCGAGGACCTTTTGGCACCAGCTCGCAACGAGGAAGCTCTACATTCTAGCGGGCCTGAAGTGGACGCTGACGCCCTGGAGGAAAAGGAGGACGAACCTATTACAGCGGCCGCTTCGCGCCGGCGGATGCGCGCTGGTTTTGTGGTCGACAGCGACTCGGAGTGAGCGATGCATCTTTGATCATGGCATGACGACATTGATGAAGCGGAGTTCTTAGGTGTTGGGTTTTAGCACGGTTCTTGAGGATAATCGAGCTTCATCGTACATTAACGGAAAGAAACCAGCCAACCAGCTACAAATACAATACTTGCAACAATCATTCAGCAACAATTGACTTCTACTTAGGTAGGAGCCAGTCCTTCAAGTGTCAAGTGCACGTCCCCATCACTATACGGAGTAGTTAGCATTGATTGGTAAACACAGGGAACCCCGTAAGATAAGATAGATATCGTAATCTTGTCTCAATATTCTCTATTTCTATATTCCTCTCCATAGATCATTTCAGCCACCAGTAGCTACAGAAGCTCAAAGTCATGTGTATGAATCATCACCCAAGTCCTAATTGCTAGCTATACCTATAAGAGTATCGCCCCAAGACGATAAAAACGACCACGCAAATCACCCCCTCCAACGACCCCCTCCGCCACCCTAAATCCAACAATCACTGACAACATCAAGTCACACCAAGATGCCCGCCACTCATCTCAAGTACATGACGTTAGACGTGTTCACCAGCACAGTCTACGCCGGCAACCCACTAGCGGTCGTCTTCCTCCCCAACGACCACACCACGAACCCGATAACCCAACGCCAGAAACAGACGCTGGCCCGCGAGTTCAACTTCTCCGAGACCATCTTCGTGCACCCGCCAGGCGCGAACGCCACCTCCGCGAAACAGCGCACCATCGACATCTTCACCACGACCTCGGAGCTCCCGTTCGCAGGCCACCCGACCATCGGCGCCGCCTCGTGGTTCTTGCACCATGGGCCCCAAGCCGCATCGTCATCATTTTCCACCCCGAACAAGGAAGAAGAACAAGTGACGCACCTCGTCACCAAATCCGGAGCCATCCCCATCTCCCTAGCGCATCAGCCCTCGTCCTCCGGCCCGAATAATGGCGGCGAAGGAGTCGTAGTCGCGCGCATCGCGCACAACGTACACCTGCACAGCAAACGCTTCCCGCTGGCCGAACTGCTCCGACTCCACGGCTCCCTCGCCCCATTCTACACCTGCGCCTCTACGTCCACAGAGAAAGAAATCTCCTTCCCGATCTTCTCCATCGTGAAGGGCATGACCCAGGTCCACGTGGAGCTGCCCTCCCTCGCCGCGCTGGCGGCGGTGACGACGGCGGCGGGCGGCGAACTCATCGGCGCGGACAGCGGGTATCTGGATGAGGGGTGGGACGAGGGTCACTGCGTGGTGTATTTCTCGGTGCGGGAGGTGGAGGACAACGAGGACAACGACGATGACGACGACCAATCCGGAATCCGGCGGCCGGAGGTGATCCGCACGCGGGCGGTCGTGGGCAATCTGGAGGATCCGGCGACGGGGAGCGCGGCCAGTGGGTTGGCGGCGTATCTGGCGTTGAGCACTCCTCACACAGAGAAGAATATTAAGAAGTTGATGGAGTTTGAGGTCGTGCAGGGGGTCGAGATGGGCCGGCGCAGTAAGATCGGTGTCGAGGTTGAGATGCGCGATGCCGAAACTATTGCGCATGTGGATTTGAAGGGCGCGGCGGTCAAGGTGTCGGAGGGGTCGATCGTGGTTCCCCCGTGATTCTTAGGAGGCTGAAGAGCTAGCTGGCTCGTTAGCTGGTTGTTAGGTGGGTGGGTGTGCTTCTGCGAAGACTTTATTTCCATGCTGGTGCAAACTACGTACGTCCAGGGTTGATCTCATACACTACCATGATGACTATAGCTAGGATCCATGTTTGTCTGCTTTTGTTTATACATTCAAGATCAAACTTTTTAATTTAACTTCATATCCTGTCTGTCAACTTGATCGAGTTTTGGGAGTAGCCGTTGGTCATACTGCTGTTGATCGACAGTTGAACAAACATCACACATATATCCATTATGTCCCGTTATCCATCAATCATCATGCAATACGTACATATAAGTAGGCATCGATACATCAAAACATACTTCCATCAAGTCATGCAGAGGGGATATAAGAAAAACGAACAAAACAAACAAAAAGACCAACGGGAATGAATCATCAGCATATAGACGTAGAAAGATCTACTTCCTCCAGAACATCGCCTTCCCTAACTGTCTCTTCATCGTCCACCCGGCCTCGGATAATTTGTCCTTCATCGTCGCCCCGCCACCGTACCGGTAAGCCGTTGTGTTCGTCCGTCCCGACGAGCTGGCCGTAGCACTCGCGCTGGCGAGGTTGCCTGCATCGAACTTGGTCTTACCCTCGACGATCTTCTGCACCACGAGCAAGATAGCGTATGTGGTGGACCCGATGGTGCGGATAAGAGCTAGAATGACCACGGACCACAAGATGATGGATAGGTAGATGTTCGTGCCTCCCGAGTCGGGCCCATAAACCTCTGAGATGGCCATGGCCAGGACGACGTTGGCCACCATCCAGATAGAGACCATGTAGGTTCGCACGGCGCGGTAGTAGTCCTCCTGTAGTTGACTCTCGGAGACGGGTGCCTCGGGAACCTCCACACGATCGCGGAGGTTACGAAGGGCGGCGTCATAGCCGCTGTCAATGTCGAGTTGCTCCGAAGGCATCTCGACTTCAACCGTGGTGCCGTTGATGGTTCGCGCTGCTCCAAGATCATTGTTCATCACGTTGTCACCCTTAGTACCCCAGGTCACGTCGTGGGTATTACAGAATGCATAGACCTGTAGAGTACAGATGTAGCTGGGCAGGAGGATGAAGTACTGCGCGGAGGAGGTGAACATGTGCCAGGGATCCAGGTAGAGGAAGGACGAGTAGAAGTAAAGCCCGACGGTGGACAGCATGGACATGACAATGTTCACGAATAGCCCGTTACTCACGGTGACCTTTTTGTAGCCACCGTATCTTGCCAAGAACTCGATGACGATCAAATAGAGCGTGCAGAAGATGGTGTAGAACATGATGATCCCGTAGACGATAATACCTGAAAGATAAAGCTTCTTGGCACTGCGAGGGTCAGAACTGGTACTCTTGTAGGAAGACATGGGAGCTCACCCTTGTGGCCTATTACCCATTGAGATGATGAACTGGAGGGCCATGACAAGAATGCAAGCATATCGTAGTATAACAAAGATGTACTTCCCGATATTGTGTCCGAAAGGGTCAATTTTCTGGTCAGTAAGCGATCCAGCGATGAAGTAAAAAACCAAGTAAAAATTCGCCTAGTCGAGAGTTAGCTTCCCTCTGACCTTGGTATCGCATGTACTTACCAAGCCGAAGTACGTGAATAGAAGCTGCATGAATTGATAGAAACTCTCAATCTGAAGGAGAATTTTCCGAACCAGCGAGTGGTCAGTCTTCCAGAGTTGCTTTCCATTAACGATCGAGTACACGGCCGCAAAGAATGCACCATTCAGCCATCGACGACGCTGTGAGATGAATTCGGGGATGGTATCTGCAAGATCGGTTAGTCGATTTCCATCTTTCTGGGGCGCTGATTCTTACCCGGAACATCGGTCTCGCCAACAGCACTCTTCACGAAACGCAGAACCCATCTTTCTTCCCTCTTCGCCACCAGCTCCCAGCAGAGGATACGATCCTCAGCCAAGTACATATTGGCTGTGAAGACGTCCGCATCCTTTCCGTGCAACGTCTCCCCCTTGAAGTATTGGTTCAAAGGCCCATTGCCATCGGCGTCATTCTGCAGAGCAAAGAACCGGTATGCACTAAGGGCACCGGGAAGGACAGTGATGTAGCCGAACACCGACTCCAGTGGTTTATCCAAAATGTTGGACATCTTGTACTCAAAGTTCTGGCTCGCAACCAACGGATTCAGGAGGCCCCTCATGTTTTTGCCCTTGCCTGCCTTAATCTCTCCAGCAGCTCCAGCCACATTCGAATCCTGATCAAAAGCCTTCCACAAGTGGTAGAGTGCCGTGGACTCTGGTCGAGTCCCGACATCCAGCAGAATGCAGATATTGGGCTGCAGGGCCCGTCCGAACGCATTGAAGAACCAACGGTGTGAATTTAGTTTCTTCTTGTTGTGCTCCTTGAGACAGAAGATGATCTGGCAGGGCGTCATGCCCTTCTCGGCTCCCTTGAATTTCAAATCCGAATCAAGGGACACTTGCGTAGTGTACTCGTACACGTGGGCTTGGACTTCCTTCTGGTTGACAACGTTTTTAGCGATGCCCTCCTGGTAAACACCGAGGGCTGCGAGAGCATTCAGTGTCCGGGGGTGCACCTTCTTGCGTCCATCCGAGATAATACACACAACGATCTTTTTCCAGCCATCCTTACCCCAAGTTCGGGACTTGGAACGCGAGCAAAAATGGCTGATGTTCCGCATGACACCGTGCATGGTGCGAGTGAAGCCGATTTCATCCTCATTGTACATAGTGATGCAAATGAACAGCTCAGTCTCTCGCATCGTTGTGCCAATCTGTTGACGCAGCTTGTAGCCTCTTTGAATGAAGTCGTCAGGGTCACACGTCACTGCAGTGTACCGCATATGGGTAAATTCGCGGTCATCTCGCCGAGGCAGAAAACTGTGCAAGATCGTCGGGATTTTGCACTCCAGAATGAGTTCACCGTTGATAAGCTGTACTTCCTTCTTGGACATCTGGGCTTCTCGAACACCACGGCGGCTCTGTTTCTCAGGGGGAGGGCCATAATGCAGGTTAGGGTCGACCAATTCTCCCCTTTCGTCGTACTCATCGTCTAAGTCGATTTTAGCCATTCCGTCCTTGCCATCGGTGATGATTGTCGATTCACTCATGAATGACTGCAGGCTAGCGCGGTTGTCGAACTGAGGGTCGACAGTGCGGCCGTCCTCACCAAACACATCCTCGTCTGAGTTGCCGATAGGAATACTCGCGTCATAGCCCGTCGGCGGTGCAAAAAGTGGCGCTGGAGGTAGCGGTCGCCTGGGACTACCCCCATATCTCGAGCTCGAAGTTCCTGGTCTTGGACTGCCGTTGAGGTCCGCACGTTCATAATGTGAGCTGACCACAGACGGGGGTGCTGGTGGTCCGTTCCAATTAGGTGCCCGGGTGGGTGACCATGGGCGTGTAGGTGAGCCAGGACGAGACGCATAATGCGGCAAATCGGCCGTTGATGCTACCGGCGGGGGAATGGTAGGCGCGTGTCGAAGGCTCGATGCAGGTCTCAACGGGGACTCTTCGGGGTTATACCGATATTGACTTTGGGCGTATTGCTCTTGCTGTTCCGCTCTGCGATTCCTGTTAGAGGCTCGCTTCATATATAGCATTTCAAAAATCATCTTCGCGAATGATTTCAGCGGATGCTACGTCCGCTTGGTGACCATCGGAAAGAGTAGTGCAATGGACAAGGATTCCGCAATCGGATGGACATTGTATGTTTATACCGCAGGCTTCTTCAGTCCAAACCGCTGAGCTTATTCCAAGCTCGAGTTATAATTGGATCGAAGTTGTAAACAAGGGAGCTCAAGTATGGGTGGCGGTATACGGCCCCCGCTAGCATGCCGAAGAATCACACGAAGAGGATAAACGAATGATATTACTCACACTGCGTCATCAGTGAATGAATCACCATAGTGATACTCCGAGCTCATGCCAGTGGCAGCACTTAGATCACTTTCTACCGCCGAGCTCGTGGGGAGCAATCGCATTGTGGCTCCATGAAGACGCGATGCCGCTGGCGAAGAGTCGAGATACGAGTCTTCTCCGTATGAACCATACGCCGGGGGCTCCTCCTCTTGACTCCGTGCCGGTATATACCGCCGCGACGAGTTGTTCATCATGAATCCCCACCACTAGTACGGTTGTTCATACTATCCGACAATCGAATGCAGCGTCAGGGCTGATGCTCGGTAATTTTCGCCTGTTACTTGCAGGTCTCGATAAATCTGAGTGAAGATCTGTCTAGGCGCTCCGATGGCAATTCTGTTTCTCCGAATTCTGCAGAACATCATCGAATACCAGTTAGTTCGGCTTTGTACAAGGAGTAATTGTCCCGAGCTCGATGGAAATACCACTCACAGTAGAATTGAAACCAATGGGCTGACTGGTAGCGGGACTCGATAACCCCAGTATGTTGAAAACTACCAGGAATGCGTCTAAGATGATTGTGCGATGAGGTATGTAAGGGACCCTCAAGGCGATCTTTGAATGGGGAGACAGACAGACAGCCGTGTGAACAACAATCACACGGTCTTCGAATCAATTCTTCCACACCAACCAGCAGCAGCAGACAAACAAAGTCATATTTTCAGCCCGTGCTTATCCTCTTAAGAGACTGGGACTGGGAAAGGTTATGGGCGCCTAAACTCAGTCGCAATCCCGGCGCTGACGACCGGCACACCGTGGAGAGCGTGGTTGTCGCCAGGGCAACCAAAGCTTGGGGAAGCGGGCGGGGCGACAATCCTTGCAGCTTAGAAACATATTGGTGGTGGAAATGCAGTTGAGAGAGTACTTTAACTCGGTGAGACTCGACTTGAGGTAGTCAATTAAACCTTGAAGCCGCCTGAAGCGTTGCTTGTTGATATGTCTCTGGCCGTCTTCCGCACTTCGCTGGTACAGAGACAATGGAAAGAAGCCGCACGGCCGCTGGGTTCCTCAGGCTCTCTCTCGGTGGAGCACATAATCCAATGACCCAACCAACCATCCACTGTGATCCTGAAAGATACGTACATATCTTGTCCGGTTTCAATTATTCAAGAATACATATAATGATCAGTACCGAACCACATTCAAATTGATACTAAAGAGAGGATACAGTGGGGACAAGATCGACCGATCCGAGACAAAATCACAAGCGGACCCGTGGAAAAGAAGACGCCATGCTACTGTCGTCAACCAACGTACACGGAAACGGAAAATCCAGCGGGAGATCAATGGACAATTAGCCATAATTAGAATTATAAGACACCTGATCCCACCAGAAACCACATAGCTTGAGGGGGCACCACAAAAGTAGCGCATGGTTGAAAAAGAAGAGAGCTATTTCCGTGAAGCATCTCTTTATAGATGAGACAAACCTCATTCAGACCTCGGCCAGATTCACACGCTAGCCTGCGTTTTGAACGACCGCACATCACACAAAAATACAACAATGTTCAGGCAGTCGGCTCGTTAAGAAGAGGCTCCCTTTCGCGATCAGCCGTACCTGATTCGCCAGTCCTACGGAACAGCACATTGCGGCCGGTGTACTTGGTCATGGAGATGTAGAGGGATTCCACGAAGAAGATGGCGAAGATGACAATAGCAAAGATCCACTGCAGCGAAATCACCTTCACACCAACTTGCTTAACCGCAAGGGCTGCAAGACATGAATTAGCACTTCTACGTGGCTATTGCTGGGCAATCATCAAGTACTTACCAAGCGTCAGCAAGCTCAGACTATATCCAAGGAGATCATCCTGGGCGACGAGAATATGGCTCGAGCCCACGGCGAACAGCACCCAAATGAAGATGTTGGCAACGACCCTCGCTGGCAGGCTGTTGCTGTTGACGGCAACGGCTCCGTTCCAGAAGAGCGCGACAAGTGTCCAGGCGAGGGGCGCCGCGACAGCGGACAGGTGAGCAAGAGGGCTCAGGGTGCGGTGGCGCCAGTACGTCGCATGTTGGTTGATGAAGTGCGCAATCAGGATGATTTCCGCTCCCCAGAAATGGTTGCGGGTCCACAGAAGAATCCAGGCGAAAGTGAACAAGTTGTTGAGGATGAAGTGGGTTCCCACATTTGCCGCGCCGGTCACCAGCACAGCATCCTTTGAGAATAGGTGATACACGTAGCCAATCTGGGATAGGAGAAGAATGACCCTGGAAGATATATGTAAACATCGAGTCTGCCTCGGTTTGGATTGAGGAATCCTTACCAGTAGATGCGGGTGATGACAGTACTCAAACTGAAAGCAGTGATATGCTTGTTGGCTTGTTTCCAGATGGAATGGCCGTGCTTCACATCATCGGGGGAGTTGGAGGAGTAGTAGATGCCGACAATTAACACCAGCAACCACGACAGAGGAACAAGGATGCGGTAGGTGAGCAGGGTAGACCTGGTATGCGAATCTTGCCTGGCAAACGGGTTGTCTGGGTTAGTCAGAAGGAGTCAGTATCGTGAGGTGCCTAGATAATATCTAGTATATACAGAATATGCACTTACAAGGAGCCATGTTGGTCACCGGACTTCGATAGGGTCGGTTGATACAGCAACAGAAATGAAGAGGAAGGGTTGACAGTAAAGAGAAGAGATTGAAGGGAGTACGTTACGGGAGTGTGGGATTAATAACAGAAGATTCGATCAATTACTGGGAGCAGTCGTCATCCCGTCATTGTCGCGGCGGCTGCACCCCGCATTGCCTGATCTCCTGACCTGACAGGCCAGCCACACCACTACTAGTAAATGTTTAATGTTTCAATGAATGAACCATTTATCCGTTAGGTTCAATCCCACTACACCCTACCAGTCAAGGTTTATGTTCCTTGAAATTGGATTTCCTTTTCCTTCACCGCTGTCTGAAGGTAGCTTGGACGATGCCAGCTATGCTATCACTTACTCTTTGAAGTGTCCTAGTGGAATTGAGTTAGGAAGTAGCATTAAGAATGCATGCTTAACTATTTTATTTTGTGATGACATCATCCGGTCTGGACTTGCCAACTTCTCCCATTCTCCGACACGCCAGAAACGGACGATTCCAGGCTAGTCCTCACATACGTGTATTCGTTCGTACTTATCTAGTGCTTAGCAGAAAGGGTGCTAGTATAACCATAACCCTGTTTTCTTCCCACCCCTTCCACCCATCAAATTTGCCAGGGGACTCTTTTCAGCAGTAGCTCTCTAGAGCTGATCGACATCTCCACGTTGTCGATCGGTGCACGGCCCTATGAGCGCCTGCAGCTGGACTGGTCGAGCATGCCCATCCCACCAATGCTACTTCCCCAAGCGGCCCTCACCGGTTGCCTTTGTTGGCACGTCATCTTGCATTCCAGCCCAATACCCATGCATGTGAATTTGCGCACGAACTGCTCTCTTGATTGCCTCCGTGAGTGCATAGAACAGCAGGCGCATCTAGATAGGTAGTCACCTACTCGTATCCCTTCTCGAGTCCACCTCGACTGCCAGACATATGAGCCTGAAATGGGACGCAGTCGGAAGAGGTTCCACGGTGCTGTTTCACAATTCACTTCTTGCGATTCTGGCCACTAAGCAACTTGGCCTGTCTTACATGATCTGTTGCACAGCATCCACAAAACGTTGGTGAATAGATGATGGGGCAACAATCATTCCGTGACATCCCGCCAAGGTACGCCCCAGGCTGCAATCAACTGGACGGCCAGCGAGATCACTGACAATGCAACCAACCTCTTCGACGATCAACATACCGCCCGCATGATCCCAAATCTTCGACCGATAAGAGGCCTTGCGCGGGATTTTCATCGAAGCGTTGCAGCCTCCAACAGCGATCGCGATGTACCGCAACTGCGTAGCCCAGAGATCTGTAGTGTGTGGCCAGGGAGCGCCTAGCTGAGATGCAAGGCGGGCATGCATGTTGATATCGGATGACCCACCCGCACAATCGACAAAGATAATATCCTTGGGGGCTGTGATTGCAGGCTTAGGCTCGAGCTTGTGGGCAGGGAGGAGAGCGCCCGTGCCCATCTTCCTCATATATGCGCCGTGGCCAGCAACGGCAAACACCTGATGCCCATAGCCTTCGCGATCTACTATATCTTCATGAATGTATCCTTTTTCAAGGTTCATATTCGGGCAGCCCAGGACACCGACCTTCTGGCGCCCGCTCTCCAACAGACACAAGCAGACGGCGTACTGCTGACCCTGGATGAAGGTCGCCGTGCCGTCCACTGGATCTAACACCCAGGCACGATTCTGCGAGCTGCAAGTACCCTGGGCTCCCAAATCGATGATATCCAACAATTCCTCCTTGGTCTGTGGAGTATAGAGCTGCGCATCGCTTTCCTCGTCCGTCAAGCGAGTAGAAGCAACCAGTTCCCACGTTCGGTCGAGGAGAGCCGGATCGGATCGAAGAGCACTTGCGTTTTCCTCTCCAACAAACACGTCATCTGGGAAGGCATGATGAATAGCAGCGATAATTAATGCTTGGGCAGCAAAGTCGGCGATTGTGACCGGGGTAGAATCACTCTTGTCGAACGATCCTTTGTCGACGGCCTCGAGCAGCTTTTTGGTCGCCAGTGTTGCTCTTTGCACAGTCAGACAGGCTAATTGCAGTTCTTTTGGGTAGGGAATTGTGGGATCCATCTTAAGGTAGTAGTGTGCGTAACGAGATGATAAGCTCTTCAAGGCCGTGAAGGTTAATTCAAGAACGTCGGAAGGTACTCCGGAAGTGATTCAACTCAATTGGAGATAGTGTGAATTTGATCGTGCGTCGAAGGAAGAAAGAATTGCTCTGCAATGACGGTGAGAGAGATCGCGACCGGACTGAAACCCAGGGTGGGGTCGTGTCGGATGAGGGGCGCCCGGTGACGTAGAGCAATATGGCTGTCGTGAGTTGAAATGACTCGTGGACAATTAAAACAAGCAAGGGAAGAAGCAGCTTTAAAGGAGAGGCACAGTTGATCTTGCCTTCAGAAAGGAGCCGGAGGCGAGAAAATTTATTATGACTCCGACGAAAACGGATTGGGAAATTTCGAACCTGGTTTATTCCGGGCCTGCAGGAAGGTCAGCCCAAGTGATCGTTTGGCGGAGCTGCCAGGTGGAGAGGACGACTCTCCTCCTTCGGGTTAGCAGTTCCCTCTGCTTTAGGTATGGTCGGACCCAGGCCGCGACCTAGGTGCCTCGCTGTTATCTTATCGTATCTCTGGCACCCCATGCTTCTTCAGTTGTCATCAGAGACTAGCTAACATTTGTGGTGTATAAGACGAAATGAACAGAGCGTGGTATAACGGTTAGGCATAGCACTTGATTACTGACACGAACGATCAAGGAAGGTGGTTAGTTGGTCGGCCTTAACGAAGAAGGATATCCTCAGAACCTCATATTATGCCACGCACTGGTTAATATTCAACCGAAAACATAAATCTAGCTATAAGGGCTTTAACACATAGTAGCCGTTCCTCAGGTGCCACCTACTACTGTCAACTATATGATTATGAGTGGGCACGTTGAAGGGTATCAGAACGGAGCAAAAGCCAGTTCATAGGCAAAGCCTACGGTCAGCTTTGCGTGCTCCAGCATATGATCGAAGCTCAAATATTTGATCCTATCATCAGTAGTGTGAATCTTCTTGTTGCTGTTCTCCATCTCGGACTCAGTTGCCATGGCAGATGGGTATCCGTACTTGCTCGCCGACGTGTGGTCCGAGCAAGCATAGCCGCATTTAGTTTCGATATACCCGATGCGGCAGTACTGCGCAAGACCCGACCACTCGTTAGCTACACACAGGCTTATACTTCAAGTGGCTGCAGAAGACCTACCTCTTTGGTGACATCCTTCAGGAACTGCGTCAGTCCCTGGTCGACATAATCCACCATGATTCCAATGGCTTCCTTGCGACCCGCATCAAGCGATCCTTGGATGTATCCGGTCATATCTTGTTGAAGCATAGCCTTGACATCCCGCTTCTCTTTCTTGTATCGAGAAAAGATTGCCTGCGAACCAAGCATACCGCCTTCCTCCGCAGAATACCAGTGAAACTCCACGGTGTTGAGGGCCTTGCCTTGAGCAACGGTCTCTGACTGCAGCAGACCCCGCAAAGCTTCAAGAATAGTAACGGTGCCACTTCCATCATCGTCAGCACCAGGGGCCGCCAGAATTGACGGGAGGAACAGGTTGATACTGTCTTGATGAGCACCCAGTACAACAGTCCGGTTTGTCTGTCCTGGCACTCGAGCGATGATACTGAACTGACCCCAGGAGTGAGCAAATTGTTCAACGGTCGCACCATGCTTTGAGGCGCCTGTCTGCTCGATCACATCAAGTACCCGGTTGTATAGCCAAGTCGCCGACTCGACGCCTGTCGCCGACCGATAGTAACGAGTATGGAAGGATGTGAATCTCTCAAGATTCTTCTCCATGTTGTCCTTAGATAGATTCCGGAGCAGCGGAGCCACCTCCTCTGAATGCTCCATCTTGACCGGATAGTGGACGTAGCTGCCGGCATTCAATGTGGGGTAGAAGCCAGTGTTTCGCTCAGCAGTAACATCGATGAAGTTTACGCCATCCTAGGGAGCGCCAAGAAGAGCCGTTAGCGACTGAAGTATGGCAGGATAGTGATAGTGGGAAGATTGTATGAATCGGGAAGGTTGACCAATTTTAGAGACCATTTCTCTTCCTCGGTGACCCATCTTGTCTGATAAGGGGCGAGCTCAATCAGATAGCGCTCCTGCCCGTGGTGAACGCTATGGTCTGTTAATGGTTCTTGCTGCGGTAACACAGCCCCCAACACAGCTGTTGAAGCAGTTGCGCCGAGCGCGAGGGTTGCGATAAGCTTCATAACGATCTTATGGTGGCCGATGCACCCAGGTCTGACGATATAAGGGACGAATTACTGTCGAATAATGCGTGGAGAGGAAAGCGGTTGACGATTGACGGCTAATGCTAAGCAGCGCACGGAGGTCGTTGGAGATAAAGGCCGCCCGAGCAGCTCTGGATTGGGAACGGAGGTGGACAACTTGGGACTGAGGGGGCAGTGTCTGACTTGCCAAGGACCAGGCTCAGATTTATTTACGGGACTCACTGGCCTGCTTTGAATTGTTGGATAATTGATGAAGGTAATGTCGAAACAGAGCAGGAGAGCAGCAGCAGAAAAGTTGGGAGTCTCTCTCCCTGTTGCGTCAGAGATGCACTCTGCTTAAATAATAGTGCCAGGCATGCCCGGGACGGGCGAGACTATATCCTACCCGTGACGCTTATACGACCTGCTTGGCACAACTAAAGGACTCCAACAACCACCTGACCTTCCCCATTCATTGACTATTGCTATCGATCCAGTACCACAAATAAAAGGATGAAAGACAGGGATCACGCTAGCCGCCCAGTGGGGTTGGGTTTTCAAGGTATGTGGTACACTGCATTGACACTTAGGCAGAGGCCGAGGACTGCTTCTCCAAGTGATTCAATAGCTTGTGAAATTGCTATTCACATAATCTTGCAATCTTCGAGTTTATATTTAGGGTGCCGGAAAGGTTGAGCAATTCATGTGAGATCATCCACCAGGCTGAGTCAGTTTTTAGGTAATCGTCCAAGTACGACTCGATCATTCCCCAAGAACAGTCTACAGGGGAATGAGAGCTGGAAGGTAGAGATGTCCCTGCAGGCAAATATAGATAAAGGTATGGAAACTCAATGCTCGGAGTTTGAGAAAACTAATCCAGACCACTATCATAGGGGGGCTGTGGGACCTCAATGTCTCTCTAAGCTCACCTTCGTTTGAATAGATGCTTATTGTAAGAGCAAAGTAACTTGAGCGTTCCTCTTGGATCTACTATAACCTATACTAACATCTCGGACATGAAGCACTGAACAGTATCTAGATGGCATGCACAACTCGAATGAGCACGTCCATACCTATCCAGCTCACCACTAGGGGTCAGCGCAATGAGACGAGCAGTGTTCAAGTTGGGGTTAATGGTCCAGCCAACCCTGGAAATAAGATCAAGGATACTATTGTGGTATGTATGCCCTCGGAGCATTGAGCTCTAACTGGTGTAGTCGACTTAGTATAGTCGAAAGAACAATCGATACAGTGAAGTACGTCGGCCAGACTTCCTGAACCCCACAATTTCAGTTCCAGTACGGAGTACGTACTTCTCAACAAAAATATTTTGATCACCCGCCTGAGACATCTAGGCTCCAGGCAGCTTGAGATCGGTCAATTAGACCCATTACATCACCTCCGAAAGGATGCCCCGAACGAACCCCTGTGAATCACCGATTCATGATCGAGTCACCGTGACTCATCGCAGTCCGGAGGCCAACTGAGTCCAAACCAGAAGTGGCAGGTAGGGCTAGGGTTGAACTCAGTGTCCTCCAATGATGTCCAGCTCATCATTCTCGTGTCCCATCAGCGGTCCATGGACGGACGGACGGTCGAACTCGAAAATTCTCGGCGGCTTACCATACTTGACCTTTACCGTACGGGACTCAATTGCCCCCGGACGCGACCGGGAATCGCAGTCGGTTATCTCTCTTATCTGCCCTTCCTTCGCCCCCGCTCTGTCTTCTGCCTCTGTCCCTTTGGTGCTTGTTCGTTCCTCCTACCCCCAGTCGCAGCTGCCTATACATCCTCCGTGTCGTTCAGGGTTGTAGATATCATCGCCTAAGGCTGCGACGCCCCCTGTGTGCTGAGCCTTCCGCAATCTGCACTACTGCCTTTCACCCTTTCTCGGTCTGTGCTTCCGCTATCACGATCCAATCGATACGCGTTGCGCTCCCGCGATGGCGATTCACCCCAGCTTTCCGTCCGAGGCAGACCCTAGAGGCAACCTGTCGCCGCAGCAGGCCCGAGCCATTTCGGCTTGGACAGAGCAGGCTGCTGCCTCTTTGGAGAATCTGACCATCTCGGAGCCAGTCTCGTCCAGCAATCGAATCGTCTCCTTGTCGCAATCCACACCTACGCGGACATCCTTGCGCGGGGCCACGGTATCTCTGTCGATTCCGCTGGACGATCCAGTACCAACGACAGAAAGCGCGTCTGCGGCTCGCGTCAAACTCTGGGGTCAGCCTGCGAAGGAGGTTCAACAGGTGACGTCTGTCAGTTTTCGTCGCCGAGAGCCTGTTAGACGCGACAGTCTTAAGAGGCGCGAGGCGCTTCTGAAGGGGAAGGACGGCAGTCGCCGCAGACAGCGTTGGGAGAATGGTTTGTTTTTCTAGTCCCACTCGCGTCGCTTGAAGGCTTTGCATCGGATCGCATACGCTTTCATTAAACATTTGGGCATGTCAGAAGTGCTGACAATCTTGAAACCAGATCGTCTCTTGCACAATCCCTGGGCTGAACCGCCTTCGTCCAAGGACTGGAGTATCCAGCCGACCTACACCCGGCACAATCCCATGCCATATTATCTCGCACCGCTGTGGGATTCTCATTATGCGCAGCTGGATCACAACTCCAAACACACCAGCGCTGGCGCGGGAAATGAGAAACACCGCGTGCCGAAGGAGCTGCGTCTGAAGCTCAAGCACGCACGTGGCGCACGGGGTATGCTTCAGGACCTGGAAGAGGACATCAGACAGTTCATCCAACGGTGGAGTGAGAAACAGCTTTTGCTTCAGAAAGAGGGGCTGGCAGATGCTCCTCAGTCGTCTGATGAGGATGACTCTGAGGACGAGGTTGTATTTGTGGGTCGTAACGGACTGATGCATGATTCGCCTCAACGGAAGGCGAAGTTGCAGCAGATGCGGGAGGCGATGAGCTCTCAGAACGAGCGCGACGGTGAGAAAATGGTATTCGAAAGTCTGGTCGACGATCGGGGCGCCGGGTTTGGGTGAGTTCCAAGGCCATTCTTCGCAAAGGATCTCCCTGAGTACCTCCTTGCTAACTTTCGTCTTATCCAGTCGTTGGCTTGTCCACTCGATTGCATCGTATTATGGGTTGCACACGTGGTCTGTCACCGTGGGTGAGCCTGCTCGTCGCGAGGCTTATGTTGGCTTTCGTCCGCCGGCACCACAAAGCCGACCCGGACTTGCTTCTCAAACGGCCGGATTCGGAAGCTGCCGCCGCGAAGCCATGATCCAGCCTGGGGATGAACTCCCAAGGCCGCTGTGGGCCCAGGTTTAAAACTATCCCGGGCGGGTCAGATGGCACGATCCTAGTCTGGAGTGGTCTCTGAGGCATATAGGGCCAGGGCTTGGTTGGACTATCTAGATCTTTCACGTAAGGCTGTAAATAGTTTGATTGTCGGCAGGGTGTAATATCCCATGTAATAACCGTGTACGAGCAGCGATCATTTTTTGTCTTTCGCCATCGGCATTGATTCCTCGGCGGGTGCTACGACTACGCCTGAACCGAGATTTGGAGTAAGGAGCGACAATAAATCGAAATGGTTTGCTCTTTCAATCGATGTCGTCGCCATCAGTCGATATGGCGCAGAAGTGAGGTTGAAGGATCCTTTGTAGCCTAAGATACCCAGCGCGGGAACTTTGACGACGAGCCGATCAAAAGCAAACCAATATGTTGTCAGTCCCGGTGGGCGAAAGTTGCTCACTCACCTGGCAGGCCGACAAGAAGCGCACATGGAACTTCATCTCCACCGGCCACTGTATCTCCATGGTATTAGTTAAAATTATTCTCTTGGACCAAATCCGTAGTGACCTCGACGGAAGATTTTAAAGACGCACCATAATCGAGCTCATGATCGTGGTTAATGGCCCCCATCCGACGCAAGAGAGGCCGTAGGATTGCAATGCATGTTGCTGTCATTGTCCCTAGACAGAGCCAGATCCGGTCGAGCCACTGCGGCGCAGGTTGTATGTATGTACTGTATAGTGTACTGAACAGTACATTGCAGTGAGCGGGGTATAATCGCATGAGTGCTTCGCCGAACCGAACGGTGACATCAGATAATGTATCGATCGAAAGCACTTCACTGAAATAACTTTTTATAAGCATGCTAGGTGGCATGACCGGTGACAGGGTAGTTTGCCTGCTTTGCTTCACTTGCGACCTGAGTGCGAGGTGTAGTTAGTAGGTAAGAAAGCCGAAGCTTGTTATGGAGGGGAGGGTATTTCTGGGTGACGTAAACAACAAGTACTAGTTAACTACCTCACTATCCATGTCACTTCTATCAAGGGACTGTCTGAAGGCGACAAAGACGATAAACAAAACAGGGAGTATGGGCGCAAACGCTGTCCGAATCGCCAGAACTGCTGATGATCTACCTGCATTCCCTTCTGGCTTCCTCGCCTGATGTTGGAGCTCGGTTTCCAGTCATGATGATGCTACGTAAGGCTACATGATGGTTGTTGGGGAAGTCTGTATCTTGCTTGCTGCGGGGCAGTATTGGGAGGAGGGGGGTCGAACACGAACCAGACTCATTGTGTAAAGTGATGGAGGGTGGGCAGCAGAATACGATGAAATCGTTAAAGGCTAGCTACGTATGCAATGTTGTTTGGTCTTACATACTTTGTTCCATGTTGGTGCTTGTTGACTGTCTTCATGCGTGGTGCAAGGGACGCGCTGTGCCACTATATTCCCTTCGTTGCCAGGCCCGGGTTGCTGGAAGTACAGAAACGGAGTCACAACAACGGGGTGGAGTTGGATTAAGATAGAATTTATCTCCATTCGCTTGCGTCATTGCGTTGTCTTGCTGAGCTAATGACAATAGCCGGTATATTGGAAGATAATATCAGGCCATGACTGAGACAAGCGAGGCAGGGGCACTGACCCGACTCTATCCGCGCGGGGGATCCCCTCAAACCCCCCAAACCGGGATAGGACTCGCATTTAAATTTCCATGCGCGAGGATCCTGTGCAACCAGGTGGTCATTGCTACGTTTCTCGGGGGATTGCAAAAGGATCTTCATAAGACACGGATTCTGAAAATATCACCCAAAGCCACACACTGTACAATGACATTGTCACCACAGGTGGTAGATACCTAGTAGGGTAGGTAAGCAGTTGTTCAGTTGGCTGGCAGTCGGTCCGATCCGGCTATTCCCCATCAGGGTTCCATGGGACCGTGGCTCAAGATCGTTGGGTCATCACGATCAGGCATCGATGCGAAGTTAGTATGGACTACCATCTCGTCTGCCAGTAGGTAATCCTGGCACCCGAACCTGGAGTACTCTGGCTTCTTGTCTTCTATGGTAAATTCTAATGCATATTGTTGCTTAGTGTCTATTGGTCTCGATGAGTAGCCTCTCACAGGCATCGACAGCCACTCACACCCCCGCTTTTGAACGAACAGGCCCTTTGCGCATGAAAACGGTCGAGTAGTCGCAGATGCCCTGCAGGGACGATGAACAACCTGTGCCGGGTCATGACTCCCATCGAGCTGATGATTCTGCGGTTTCGGAGGCTACAGCGATGGTGAGGGATAATCAACTCGGCTATAATGGTCATCCGCAATCCTCCGCATCCCCTCAGCCCACAGGCCCGGAGAATATCGTAGGCACTGTGACAGGCATTTGACCTAGGATTATCTTAGTCGGAGAGGGGAAGCATTACAGCCAGTGGCAGTCTAATCGCCCATCAGTCAGATTCTAGAACAAGACGATCGCAGCGATCGAGCTAAGACCTCCTCCAAGGACCACGTATTGGACGAGCGTAGTGTGCTTGTGAGAGAGAACGAGAGAGCTGCCTTGCGCCTTGCCTCTCGCCACGAGTAGTATCCATCCACCCCCCTCCGCCACGGATCAGGCGTAGCAGCTGGGCTCCAGGATATGAGGCTGCAATGGACACAACACACATTCTTGCTGACGAGAATGGCGTGTGAGGGAAGCCGGCGAAGTTGGGGAAACAACAACAACAACAACCGGGAAATAGAGAAGACGTACAGTACAGTACATGTACATGCATCTGATTTACCAATGTTGGTTGATGTTACTTCTTCTCCACATTCATTCATGATTCAATCAAAGAATGAGGTCGTAAAAGAGAGAGAAAGAATAAGAGGAGAGAGAGAGCACCCGATCAACCCACGGGAAGGGGTTGTTCATCATCGCTGAGCCGACGTGGCTGCTTCTCCTTCTGCTTTCCCCCTCCATCCTATTCATTCATTGATCCATTGATCCATCCATCCATCCATCCATCCATCCATCTTATCCGACAACACGCGCGCATCAGCAGCGTTCTGATTCTTACCCTCTCACACGTCCCCTCTCCCTCCAATCGGTTCTCCTTTCTTTTCGTCTTGATTATTTCCTTTTTCTTTTTCTAAACCCTGTATCGCCAGATCCTCGCACTCCTCGATGAAACACTCAATTCCGGACCTGGCGTCATCTGCTATGTTCTCCGACCCCCTTCCACATTTCCTTTCCATCCATTCCTTTTTCCCCCTCCCCCTCGGATCGCCCTCCCAGACTTGATTTGGGTTAGTTGGAGCCCGACTTGGACTGTCCGCCCATTCTTTTCTTTGTGGCGGAGGGACTGAGTTCGACTGGATCAATGAACAAATTCCCCTCTCACACCCTCCTCAACCCACACCCTTCCAGGACTCTTGCGGTGTTTATTACTGCTATTATTTATTTCCTAGCCCAACAATCCCATCTTCCCTATCAGCTCTGTCCCGCCTGTCCCTTCAGCCGCTGTCATTTTTGAATGACCTTTGCCTTTAATCCTGCTTGGGATGCTTGCCTCATTTCGGTCGGGTAAGCCTTCGCAACGAGCATTTGAGTGGACGTGCGGCTGGGAGTCCAACGGTCTCGAACCACGAGATCCGGACTGTGGTCTGAGTATACATACAGACAGACCCTACCTCTTCCTGCGTGCTGGCCTCGCTATCATTCGAATTTCCCTTCTGCATACCCAGCAATTCTCTGGAGACTCTCTGTGATTGGGATTTCAGTGTCACAGCCGAGCGGTAATCTGGTTCCGACTCGGGCATCGAAGCGCGAACATCGTTGTCCAACTAAAAGAGATACCCAAAGACACTACTACTATACGCTCCGTACTCCCACCGCTACCCCCTGCACATTCAGCTGGCCGCTTTTTCTCTGTCCCCCACGACCTACCCTACTCTCCTACTCTTACCATACTAGCGTCACCATGGGTTCCTACAGTACATCGTCATGTCAGCGTGGTCCGAAACCCGGCGGGAGCTCTAGTTCGACTAACAGTGATGCCTCGGACCGTTCGAAAAGCACGGTCCCTACAATCTACAGCGATCGACCCACCCCCATGACGGGGGTAGCGATGGCGTTTGATGGGGAAGACGACCCCAAAGCCTCGGTTACCACCTACACGTCCACCAACCCATCCGTGGATGACCTTCCCGAGCCGCCGCGCTACCAAGTAACCGACCGTAAGCTCGACATCTTCTCTCCGGATGTCATTCCGTCGAGTCCCTCAACTTTCGGGCAATTATTCCCCTCGTCGCGACGGCTTCTCGTCCGACATGACGATGCGACGCTCGATGGCAACATGAACCTGCGGGTCGATACCATGGTCCCGCAACGAGGGGGTTACCAGCAAGACGTGACCTTGTTCCATCTCCGCATGTATGATCTGTTCTCGCGAAAATTCTCGTTCCGCCGCTATAGTCGCGATTCGGGACGCGAAGTGTGCCACTCAGAGCGGAGACCCGTGGCAGGCTCTGACAGGCATCCAGTCTTCCGTCGGTCATGGAGCAGCGTCTTGGCTAGCTTGCGACCTGGGTCGAGTGGGCATGGATCCATGCCAGTTGCCGAGCATAGACGCCAGGACTCGGGATACAAATTAGCGGAAGTTGAAGACGAAGATTGGGAGGACAAACACATAGAGCCCAAGACTGGTGCGGATCGCTATCAATGTGTACTGGCCGAGAGCACGTTGCTGGAATTTTCCAACTACGCTCATGTAGAACTGAGACGGCGAGGTGCTGGGCAATCGAGGCGATATGAGTTTGAGTATTGGTCCACGAGATATCAATGGAGACGGGAGTGTCGAAAAGATGGCGACCTGCGGGAATTGTCGTATCACCTGATCAACATGCGCACCTCCAAGCCTGTCGCCCATGTTGTACCCGAGATCCTGACTCCTATGGAAGCTGTCGAGGAGGAGCGCAAGGGTGGATGGGTTCCTCCCTCCTCCATGTGGATCAGTGACCCGTCAGTGTATGAGAAGATGCCTGACGTTGCCGAGTAAGGGACCCCTTCTAGCCCTTTGCGATTTTGAGTTTGAGGCTGACTAGTGTACAGTGTGATTGTTGCCACAGGCTTAGTGGCGCTAGTCGATGACTGCATTTGCCGGAAATGGCATTCGAAAAAGCATTCGCAACACATTCATCCCGTGCGGTCGACGTTGTCGAAGAGCATCGAGCTCATGGGTCCCCGGCGGTTCCTCGATGAGGTGTTCCATCGACGGGGATCAGCCTGAGGTGACGTCCGGAACGAGCTGGATGGTGATATGACGTGGTGATCCTTCATTCGGGATGTCCGCGTCGACCGTTTCCTCTTCAATGAAGCTTACGAACCTAATGAGATCCTGGCCATTGCATTTTCCTTCCTAGCCCCGGGGCCACCTTGCATGGAGGCGGCCCGACATGGTGCTTTTGTCGATAAGAACATGGGTGTGTTGGTGATGACCGGAAGTTCATTCCGGCCTGATGTCTATCTGTCTATCTAAAATCTAGTGATGTGTAACAGGAACCGGAGGGTCATGCATGCATGCATGCATGCATGCATGCTATGTTGCTAGTTGCTAGTTGCTGGCAGGTATGAGAAGGGCTGTATGTAGGGAATCGGTTGGCTCATGACTTCAGCCTCGCCTGGCTAGGCTAATATTTATCTTCGACTAAGACTATTGTGGATAACGCCAGTATGTATAGTGGACAGACGCTTGCGCGCGTCACTTTTTGGATGATGCATGTACTGCGAACCTGACTAGTTAGTTTGTACAAGCTGTCACTCGCTTCTGAGGAGAAGAGAGGGGTGGGGAGGAAGGATCCATGATTTATTTCTGCCTGACTTGTTTTATACCCCGGTCTGAACCAGATTAGCCGTGCAGATGAGGGAAGCGAGGTGAATTTGACTGGACCAAAACCGTTGGATTCCCGGTGTTCCACTGCACGATGAGGGAAGGTTTGCGCCCAAATCTGTCCCTGAATATTGTCTTCGAAATTCTGGGAAAGCTCCCTGGTGGGAACTGGTAGCAAGCAAGCTTCCAAGTTGCCTGAGGCCGATGCGGGGCTAATCGAGGTTTGTTTTCGAAGGAGAGATTGCTTTTTTGTCGCCGGGTCTCGGAAGCGTTCCAGTCTTTCTTTGTCTCTCTTCAACTTCCTCTTCATTTTTCCCCCCTCAATCCATTGATAGGCGCTGGCTGGCCAGCAGCAATCTTGCTAGGGTGCTTACTTACGAACTACGTTACTTGGCACCTGCCCGTTTTCTTCGTTGCTTGCTTATGCAGGTTTTTCTCCACCGTCATTTATGGCATGCTTTCACGATTCCCCTTGTCGTGTCATGTTGCAGAAAGGAAGAGGAGACATCCCTCCCTAGCTTCATGGTTTGAATTCTAAAACAGCCGCATTGGAGGAGTCCAGACAAAAAAAGGAAAATTAAAATGCGACAAGGGCCGAATGAAAGCGCACGTATGAATGCCCAACATATCGCCAGAAAGAAAGCAACGAATCAAAATGACGCTTCTCTGGGTCGAGTACTAGAACCCCCGATCTGCTTCTTCGCTGGCATCTGGAGTCTCCTGCAGATAATAATTTCTTCTCCCCGGGATATACAGCCAGCTGGGCCGGTCCACGCCAAATTGAATTCTTACTCTGGATCCTCCCTCGGCTGCACCCCCTGTCACTTCGAAGGTTTACTTACCGCGCGATAGTCACAGCATGCGAGCAGGCCCTGGTTACCCTAGCGTCTACAGCTTCCGGCTTCCCATCCCCCCCAGGGATGAGCTCATGCAGAGCGGCCCGGTCTGTAACCGTTTGATTCTAGGGCTGAGGGGGAGGCGGCGAGTGGATGGAATCAGAGCTACACGTTCGGTCCGAATTGAATAAAATCATTAAGTCATTGATGAGCTGGCATTATGAACTCGGGGCCCGCTTCGAATTTGCTGAGTGGCCCAACGGAGGTTTACCTCGAACCGATATCTGGCTTCCATTCGTCGTTCTATCATCCTATGGGGCTTCCCTCCGCTTTTGGGCAACTAGACCAGGCCGGCCTCCACCCCAGTACATTCCTTCCAGAAGGGACCGGGGTGTCCCTTTCCTGAAGAGCTTCTATGAGGCGAGTGGCTTGTTCATACCCGATGAGCCCCCTCTCGCCTGCACAAGAGGTAAAGAGGAGAAGCAGAGGATATGCGCGAAGATAGAGTGAGCGAATGCGCACGCAGGCCAACAAACTGGCTGCAAACTGACATACTTGCCTTGTACAACATGCCCACTTGGTCTCTGATGTCAATTGCTGGCCAGTCAATCAGTCTGGCTTCTGTGGAGACTAGCGGCCTTCCTCCCTGGTCTCTGGCGTTTCTTCAAAGGACACACTCTCAGTCGTCGTGCGGCGGGCCGTTCCAGCTTGCAGCCTCAGAATGATCCGCAGGTTCTCCATGCTACTGACGTGCCTTGAATGGAGGATGATGGAGGGGGGGAACTTGCTGACGCCGTGCCATGTTTACCTGCCACATGCATAAGCCCGACTGTTAGGTTTGATGATTAGGTGCCGTGTTTGACACGCCGGAACTGTCTTGCACAGAAACATCCTTCTGGGGCTTTTAGGAATGGCCCACAGTTTATATGACCCCCCGCTTCCCATATCCCTCGAGACTGTCCGATTGTTTAAAAAATTGAAAAGAGGCTCGAGGGTCACTGCAAGAGAAAATCAAGCCGGACCAGCGCAAATTTTTCTCATTGCTTATAATATTCATTTGGTTCCCATTACCTCTATTTGGTTGTTGAAAGACCCCACAGTCAATTGAGTTCGTGGGTCGAATCTCCTGGCCGTTTTGTGACTGTCATCTATTCGAGCAGGACAAGACCCTAACCCGATTGATTAATTATCTTGCCGGTTGCTCTTTGCACTTAGCCCCAACCAGACAGACGCTCAGCATTGAACCGGCTGCTGGCTATTGTTGTGTACTCAAGCGAGTGAGAGAGAAGAACGAGTGTTCAGCCTCCTCAACGCAACCAAGCAACAACGCACTGTGATTTGTGATTTCTCTCCGTCCCCGGCAGCAAAAGAAAAAAAAAGTACCACCGCCATCGATCGACGATACTTCTCACAATGTCCGGTGCCAATGCTTCGTATCCGGCCACTACGCCATCTCAAGGGAAAACATGGCAAGCGAAACTGGAAGGCATGCCCCACTTTACTGCAATCCCTCAGGAGTTACGTCGATTGACTTTTGACCCCGTCAACTAACCCTGATCCCTCTCAAACCAGATCAGTGCAAAGAGAACGGTGTCCCTGCTCCGAATTTCACGATTGTCTCTGATCGTCGAGGTAAGCAGTTAATCTCTTCTTCACCCCCCTTCCCTGGGATGCCTTTGAACGTGTGCGTATTGGCACTGAAAGAGAGTGGAGTCGATGCCTATGCCCGCCCTCCTCACCGACTTTTGTCCTTTGAGATCGTTGCAAGTGGTACCGATGACTGACAGCTCCGTCCACTTTATTGCAGGAGGTCGCACGGCCTGGTCCAGCTCGGTCACCGTTCGAGGCATGGTATTCAAGGCTCGATTTTGGTACGATGGAAAGAACCTCGACAATGCCCGGGAAGATGCCTCTGAATTGGCCGTGAACTACTTTGCTACCCTCGATCAGAACCGCAGGACGGGAACATACTCTCGAGGGCCAGCTCGCTAGAAAATGACCTTCTTCCACGAGCATACAAGCCACAAACATATGACTGGAGAGATAGGTGTATTCCTGGGATGGCTTTTCCTTTTATGTCTGTTTCATTCTCTGTCGCTACGCCCTCAATACCTTGTGTACGACGCGTCCCGGATCGATGCGAATTCTCCTCAATCCCCCGCCAATATGTACAACACGGAATCACGGCTTTCGACAATTTTTTTTATTCTTTCTACTCTGGGTTGAGATTCTTCTTTCATTGTCGTCTCTCGAAATGAGATTGTTGAATATGATAACTATAAGGGCGGATGGCGGATAAGACAGCAGCGGCATACTTTTTTACTCTTTTTTTTTTTTTCTTTCGGTGGGGAAAAGAGGGATTAGAACACTACGGGAGGGAGATCTCAGTAGCGGGATGATGACTGGGTTGGGATTATGAAATCGTGAGGCCTGATGATGACGTTAACTGATTTGCATTTTCTCCAGGCAACGGATGAACGCATGCATTCGCCCAGCCCCCTTGACCCATTGTGCACTTTTCTTTCTTCCTTCTTGAAAGGGATTAATTATTGATAGCTGGCCCAGCCCGTGCTACGGGGGTCTGTGGCACGACTGATTCTTCTGGACGACCGCGCAGCTAATTCATGATGATTTTGATTTTGATCTTGAACGTTCATGCTAGCCTCGATCAGTTTACGTATGGCCGGATCTGGGAATCAACGGAAGGGAAAGGGAAGTGCGACATAATGGGAGCAGTGTGGAACAAATTGAGACAGCGGAGCGGCTGCACGGACAAGAACACTTTGAGCAGGAGTTATCAGCTCGAAAGGTATGTGTGTATGTATGGATTAGTATGTGGCTGCTAATCAGTTCAAATACATCCTCGGATATAATCCCCCAGCCCACCTTTTTTCTTCAGCCATCGCCAGTTTTCATTCCGATCCCTAGAACCACATAGCACAGACAACGAACGAGCTTAACCCTAATTTTAAAATAGGTCTCATTGTCAGCAGCAGTGGTGGTGGTGAGTGGTGATGTGTGTCCATCCGCACTTACCCGGAACACAAATGAAAAGTAAAGAGAAGAAAACAATAAAAAAAGCCTCGGAGAAAAAAAAAGCCAACCAAACCAAGGAAAGGAAACACACGGACCGTTTTCTGATTGTGTCGTTTCCCATTCCACCCCCTCATCCCATCCCAGTACCATGGTTCACACGCAAATCATCAGATTTATTCTAACCACGCATCGTTAAATCCACCCCCGCCCAGTTCCCTTCGCTTGCACTCTAGCCGGACTACTACTTACTATCTTAGCTAGCTTTAAAAAAAATACCCCTGGTCAGGGTTTTGTTTGGGGCTTGTAATTGTATTTTGCCGGTAGGCGGTGGTTAGATTGCGGGTTGGTCCTTGCGTTACTTTACCCTCGCCTTGGTTTTCTATTCTTTTGGGAGGTGAGGATGGATTGATTGGGGTTGAGTAGCAGGTACGGTGCTGGCTAGCTAGCTGGCTGAGTTTGTCTCCTTAGTTCTGCGACTCTTTGAGTTATACTGCGCAAGGGGAGAGGAGGAAGTACGGTTGGTGATGGAATGTGATGTTGTTTATAAATATCATGGGACGGATGATGGGTTGGAGTTCGTTTCGCTGAGGCTTGGCTGGAGGAGGGGTACGCTCTACTCGTGTCTGTTTTGTTTGGGATTTAGGATTGAATTTAGCTCGTGATGCTCTTCTCTCAGCGGCTTGTATGTATGTACAGTTGGTGGTTGGGTTGTAGAGCCTCCGGATTGACGGTCTCAATGGTCGGTGGACAGATCGTGGTTTGTTGATCATGGTGGGCCGAGTTGACGCTTTCTACTCGGGTACATAGTAAGTAGGAACTGGTTTGGTTCATGATTTGAAGTGTGCATACGGTGCGATACAGTAGTTCTCCGTTCATGGGAGACTCGAGAAGAATACTCGTATGTGCTGTACGTAAGTAGTCCAGTTCGTCGGGGCTCACTGAATGGTCGCTCATTGAGTGGTTTTGAAATTATTAGTGAGGTCTCATTGTCTTGAAAGAAAACTACCCATGACAGTAACAAATGAATACAGCAACGGATGAAATCCAAGCTGGTTCGGATTGAAGATCCCACACCACCGATGAGATTATAAAATGCGGTGGAGTGGAAGGACCGTCTCATACTGCTCCAGGCTCTAGAAGACGACCGCCCAATCGGGGAATAATCCGCACGTGACCGCGCGGCGCGTCGCGACCGCGTCCCGCAAACCACCACCACTTTTGTTCTAGATAGACACTTTTCACCACCCCGCCAACTCCTCATTCATACCATTGCAGTCGTCCGCATCCTCTCTCCTCTCTTTTGAACGAAAACAACCAAAAACGCACAAAACACCACACAACACAAATATGACGCCCTCCGCCGAATCCGCGCCTCCGCCCCCCTCGACGACCACCCCGGCGGCGCCTCCAGCGCACGACCCAACCCACGAAGAACACCAATACCTGAACCTAATCCGGACGATCCTAGCACGAGGCGAGCACCGACCAGACCGCACCGGCACGGGGACACGATCGATCTTCGCGCCCCCGCAGATGCGCTTCAGCCTCCACAAACCCTCCACCTCCACCTCGTCGCCAGACAACGAAACCTACACGCCGATCCTGCCCCTCCTGACAACCAAGCGAGTATTCCTGCGAGCCGTACTAGCGGAACTGCTGTGGTTTATCTCAGGCACGACCTCGTCACTGCCGCTGTCGGCAGCGGGGATCAAGATCTGGGACGGCAACGGCAGCCGCGAGTTCCTAGACCAGGTCGGACTGGGCCACCGGGCGGTGGGCGACCTGGGCCCCGTGTATGGGTTCCAGTGGCGGCACTTCGGGGCGGAGTACGTCGACGCCGAGACCGATTACACGGGCCAGGGTGTGGATCAGCTCGCGGAGGTGGTGCGCAAGCTGCGCGAGACGCCCTTCGATCGTCGTATTATCCTCTCTGCGTGGAATCCCGCCGATCTGAAGAAGATGGCCCTCCCGCCTTGTCATATGTTTGCGCAGTTCTATGTTAGTTATCCTGATGGGATTCCCGGGGTGGATGTGGAAGGGAAGAAGGAGAAGCAGAAGAAGGGCCATCTGCATTGTTTGCTCTATCAGCGCTCCGCCGATATGGGCCTCGGTGTGCCCTTCAATATCGCCAGCTACGCCCTCCTCACTCATATGCTGGCCCATGCCGTCGATATGGTGCCCGGTAGCTTGACCCATACACTCGGCGATGCCCATGTGTATCTGGATCATGTTGAGGCGTTGCACGAGCAGCTGCTCCGTGAGCCGACCGCGTTTCCGGAGTTGAGGATCAAGAGAGACGATCGTGGATCCGGGGTGATTGACAGGTGGGCGGAGGAGGAGTTCGAGGTGCTGGGGTACCAGCCGCACAAGGCGATTAAGATGAAGATGAGTGTTTAGCGGTGTGCATGGGAGTAGTAGATAGGACGTTTTTATCTCGGGTAATAGATAGAATAATAGACATGGTCAATGCTTCAGACAATGCTATAGTTGAAAAATGGGGTATACAGCGTCCCGGGGGAGAACCCCCGGGCCCCCCTTTTCTTTCAGCTTCCTGGCACACCTCAATCGAAATGAACCATAGCATGACATTCAATAAACAAATAATGGTATACGCAAGATAGGTAGACACCCAAATGCCCGGAACTCCACGCCGAAGAAATCAAGCTAGATCCACACACAGACAGAAAGGAAGCTAAAACATAACCCCCGCCCCCCTTAACAAAACAACCGTATCACCCTGCGCAACCTTCTCGCCCACCGCATCGCCAAACTCCAAAAACACCCCCCCATCGACATGGAACACCCGCAGTTTCTCCTCCTCCCCGGCAACCCGATTATTCACATTCTCGACCCCCAGCCGCCTAGCAGCATCATCAAGCAACCGCCCAACCTTCCACCGCGCATCGAACCAGAACACGCCCCGCGGCGCTGTCCCGCTCGGCGTCTCCGCCGACGCCACCGCCTCAACAGTAAGATACACCCGCCGCTCAGCGGGCACATTCGCATCGCCCTTGGCCGTGCGCTTGAGGTTGTTGACGTGCATCGCCCTGTTAACAGGCTTACTACCCCGCTTGCCCGCCGCACTCGCGGATGTCTTCCCGGCGGCGGCGGCAGCAGCAGCAGCACCCGCCCCGGCCCCCGCACCCGAGGTTGAATTTGCGGTAAGCTTGGACGCAATCCCGCCACGCACCCTCGCAAACATGGATTTCAGCGTATCCGCCGAGCCCGAGGAAGCGCTGGGCCGGGCAGACGACGCGGCGGCAGCGGCAGGCTTGCAGTCGTGGCCTTCGCGGAGGCGGTGGCGGAGGCAGTACTCGCGACGGCATTCGGGACATTTCACGCCCGGGTCGGTGAGGGTGTGGATTAGGGTTTTGCAGGTGAGGTGGGCACATTGCGTTGTATTGTAGATGGTGGGTTTTTGGGTCTGGGTTTGCGAGGAGGAGGTGCTGGCGGAGGGGGAGGGAGACGCAGAGGCAGAGTCCCGGGCGCGGGCCCAGTCGCCGGCGCGCGGGCACTTGTGTGCGGTCTCGGTGCGGTGGTCCAGGCAGAAGGTGCCCTTGCAGGAGGAGCAGCGGAAGGGGAGGAAGTCTAGTTGGTGGCAGTAGGAGAGGTCGCAGTGGTGGCCGATCGAGTCGAGATCCGTGTCTGGGAGTTGCGTGTAGGATTGTTCGGGGCTATTGTTGTTGTTGTTGTTGTTGTTGTTGTTGTTGCCTCCGCCGCTGCTGCGGTGGACGGAGATCGGGGACATTGTGGTTGGACTGGTGAGGCTGGCTGGGTTTGAGCTGAGTAGGAGTGATAAGTAAGAGAGTAAAGGGGTCTGGAGGGGAGTGAAGGCTCGAGGAATTAAGGCTTATGAGTAGACAGACGCAGAGTGAGTGGCTGAGAAAGCAGATGTAAGAAGACTTATTAATTCATCGTTCTGGCGTTTGCTGGAAGATGCGGAGACAACCCCGAACCCCTCTGACTCAGCAGTGTGGCGGTGCAACTCATCATTTTCTGTCAACTTTATCTGATCACGGAGATTGTCCCGGAGATTATGACACAGGATTCAAAAACACTAGACGGGGGTATAATCAAACAAATAATAAAATGTCCTCCACATGTCAGGAACAGCCCAGGAAATGCGATAGTTACGTCAGACAGATAAGAAGTCCCCAATCAATGCAAGGTGTTCACTTTCTGAATATCACACTTCACTGCCCCTCTTCCCCTTCGGCACCTCGCTCATTCTCGACCTTATTCCCCATCTCTTTCTCCTTCGATGTCTCCACGGCGGAGGACGGGGCAAACCGAATCGGACCCCGAGACATCAGCACTGGTAAACCATTACCTATAGGTACCGATGTCGGTGGTGAATAGAGCCTGGACGCCTGCGGCTGCCCCGGAGTTACGGGCGGCGACATCAGCACGGCGCCTTGAGTCGATTTCTCTTTCGCCTCAGCGGAACTCTTCGGACCGTTATCTGCAATGCCAGTCTCCGACGGCTTGTCCACCACAGGAACCGGCGACGAGGTGACTGGTGACATTAACCGAGCATTTGAGGGATTTGCTTCCGCCTCGTTGCCCTTTCCTGGCACTGGACCGCCGCTGAAAATGCCCCGACTGGCTGCTTTGGCTGCTGAAGGAGCAGAGCTCTTCACAACTGGCCGCTTGGGCGATCTGGGCGGCTTGGATGTCTTCGAGGTGGCGTTGGGGGCACTGACGCCTTTAGGTTCTTCGAGCGCCTTGCGCTCGCGAGCTGCATTCTCCTCGGGCGATGGTAACTTCAATTTAATGTGTAACTTGCGCACCCCGGCCTCCAAACTGTCAACATCATCCTTCGTATTTTTAGTATCCGGGCTAGACGACTTTCCCAGCTGAGGTGCCGCAGGTGCTCGTGGCACAGGAGGCGCAGCCTGCAGGCTTAAGTCGCGCTGGGGAGTGCTGGATCGAGAGCTGTTGGTCTTGTGCGCGCCAGTGGCAGCCAGAGCGGCGGTGGTAGCTGCAGCCTTGGATAGCTCCTGTGCAGTCAAATCACCTGTCGCCGACTCCAAAACCGGTGGGCTGGCTGAGACTGCACTCTTCCTCCTTGCTGTCGGCAAGCCCGGTGACGCCTGGTCTAGCGTTGCCTTGGCCCTTTCCGGAGGTGCATCAATGGTCGTCCGGCGACTGCTGCGGACTGCCGGCCGTTTCGGCGTTTCAGCCTTGGGGCTGGGCGGTAGCGATGGCTTGGGCTTGCGCGTTCTGAGTTTCATCCGCTTGTCCTCCGGGGGTGCATCATTGGTGCTGGTTGTCGCAATACTAGCCGCCGTCTGCCGCTCCCGTCGCAACCGCGATGCCTCAGCGTTCAACTCCTCCGGCCGACAGCTGTTGGTTTGCCGGTGCGTTGGGATGAGAATTTTCGACAATTCATGGGCTGCAGTGGCCCAGCCGACCGGCGGCAAGGGCGGGGCCTCTGGCTCGACATTCGAGTAAGAAGAACCAAACGAGCGACGATCGCGCGCCGGATTCACCACCTTAGCGGTAAATGACTGGGTGGGTTGGAAATAAGTCGGCGCCGCTTTCTCCCGGGGTTTGACGGGCGCCAACGGCGGATACGCCAGCGCTTCCACTTCCTCAAGCACCTCCGGTGCCCACCACTCGCTGTCGTAGCCGGACTGTGGGTACACCGCGTCAGGAGGCATTGTGTCAGATAAGCCCAGACGATCGGTCATCTCAGATGCCAAGCGATCGATCTGTTGTTCCTCGTCGACCTCCCTTGTCTCGCTCAGCCCCGACAAATGGCTGAGAACACCACTGGTCAGCGCGCGATTGCTGTAACCGCCTTCCAAGACACTGATGATGCGCCCATCAGTCCCTAGGCCTTCTTCATTAGCGAGACGAACCACATCGGCTGTGAACCTGGCGTAGAATTCAGTCGGAACGTGGACGTCATGCCGCTGCATGCCGCATCCCTCCCACTCGCTGGCGTCAAATCCAGCCGAGATAAAAATGGCTGCCTTCGGCGGGGGTCCAGTGGAGGCGCCGACCAGTCGCTGTGTATGAAGTCGGAGGAACGCGCGAGCTTTCTCCAACAGAATGCTATACTTGGTGGCATACAAGTCCCAGAATTCCTGGTTGGTTTTCCAGGTCTCCAGATGAACGTTCCAGATTGACTGGCCGTGGGCCTTGTCAATGCACACACTTGCGTTGCGCACCTTATCCGCATCGCCCGTTTCGCAGGGAAACGAGTTGATGTCATGTAGACTGAAGTATCCCACCATGGTTTTCTTCTGCGCAGCAGCATTCCGTGTGGCTGTGCACGCTTTTTGGTTCTGGTCCCAGGCGATTTCCTGCGAGCCATCCCCGTGATGCAGATCAAAGTCCAGAATCGCCGCATGGGTCAGGCCATGGCTCATAGCCGCATGCGCGATGCCCACATGAACATTATTAATCCAACAGAACCCCGACGGCTGGCCTGAGGAGCAGTGATGACCCGGCGGACGGATGCAGACAAACGCTCGCTTGGTCGGGCCCGGACCGACGACCGCCTCGACTGCCTCCGCCACGCCACCCAGCGCGCCCTCGAATGCATTCAGTGACTCTGAGCATAGATAGAGGTCTCCTTCGTGAAGGGCCGGCGCATTGTTAATAGCAGCATTGTCCTTGCCCGCACTGCGGGGTCGAACCAGCTCCCGACCATTCGTTGCCAACCGCGATTCCGCCGCATTGCACATACTCCTCAACTCCTCCATCCACTGCGACCCGTGCACATGGGCCACAGCCGGCGATTGCAGCGACAGCGTGCGCGCGGTCCTGCGAATCTGGAACGGTGGCACTGGCAGCTGGCGCGGATCGAGCTCGGGGTGAGGAGCGTGGCGACCCCCCGCGTGTCGACGAGCCAGGCGGATGTAGGCGGCCGCGATACCCAGCACGGTGGCTTGGATGCGTTCTGGCCGTTCGACAATAGAGTTGAGGGCAGTACGGGAGGTGCGGGGTCGGGCGAAGCGATGCCCGTAGCACGCGTCATGTAGAAGCACCAGAGTGGAAGACTGGACATCTGTGGACTGGTGCCAGTTCATCTCCCTCTGCAGAAACTCGGCTGCAATCGACGCCGCCGAGGGCAGAGAGCGCTCTGGGGCCATGTTAGATGCGGTCGGCGGGGAAGTCCCGAAGGGAGATGATGAGGAGTGTCGCGACGCGATCGGACGCGGCGAGGCAGAAGTGCCTCGGTTCGAATGCAGCGAGGCTGTTGATGAGCGCTTCTTCAAGCTGGGGGTGGACTTGCGGCGATCCTCCGCCAGGGAACCAGAACTGGGGATGCGCCGAGGGGGCGGATGCGAACGCGCGGGGGGGTTCGGGGGCGATAAGCGCGAAGCTGAGCGATCGGAAGGAGATGGCGGATGCGGAATAGCGACCATGGAGGAATCGGTCGGAAGATGAAGAGAACGAGGATGGGTAGAGCTAGGTGGTTTTATTGCTGTTGTAGAATGTGTTGTTGTGGTGTTATCAGACACAGTTGCAGTAAATGACGCAGGATCCTCATCGCGGCGAGAGGGGTCCATGACGGGCCCATTGGATGAAGTATAACACAGAGTCGAGAGAATGAAAAATCAAAATGAATGCCCAATGCCTGGTGGCTGTGAGACAAAGACGGATTAATAAGAGACAGTAAACGGACAGCTGAGACAGAAAGGGAAAGTTGAAAGGGAGAGAAACAGGAGGGGAAACAGGGAGGAGGAGGAGGAAGAAGAAGACGAAGCAGAATGAAGGTTGGTGGTGGTGGTGGTGGTTTGTGGTTTGTGGTTCTTCCTTTTCCCCTCAGGGGTTCTTTTTCCCTGTCTGCTGCATACTTCCTGGAGTCTATCCCGCGTCAGTGTCAATAATTCCACTACCCCCCTCCCCCTCCAACCAATTCACAACCATTTCACATTAATCTAATGAGGGAATTGATAGCAGACTGCTCTCTTATCGGAGACCGGAAGGCGCAATGATCAACAAACAATAATCGATCGTATTGTGTCTCAGATTCTTCTTTCATTGTTGGTTACACCCCCCCCTCCTCACTCTGCTCTCCGAAATCTCCAAAATCTGATGCAGTCCAACCCAAGCTTGATGAGGGAATCTCTTGTTAAAAACAAATCCACCAGCCCTCCCCAAAGTCAATATACTCCAGGGTACATGCATGCTATCGTAAGTGCTGATCAACCAACCTCCTCGCAAAGAACGCCTTGAAAATCTCCCAAATTCAAATTCTCCAAGTAACAAACGCCAGTGATTCCCCAAAACCTTTCCCACCCGAGAGCGCGCCTGTGCCAGCAAAATGATAAGCGAAGCCAGAAGAGAAACAGGACCGAGACAAGAAACAGCCACCAACACCGATACAGAACAAAAGGAAAAGAAGTATTGACAAAATCAAACAAAGGAAGTGTAGATTTGAGATAAGACATGGCATCATCTCACTTAAAATGTCCGCGATCGGAAGTGAAAATGATACCATTTGCGCCGAGGCTCCAGCGAGCTCTTTTCGCTGCTGGAGCCGCTGGTGGTGCTAGTCGAACTGGTGGAGGCACTCATCATCGACAGGCGTTTGCGCTCCTGCTTACGCTCGTGCTTGCGACACTTCCGCTCCGACTTGAAGCCGCGCGTGGCATGCAGGTGGCAGAAACATTGCATGTGGACCGTCTTGACGTCAATGCTGGAACAGCTGTCGCGGTTGCGCTCGGTGCAGTAGTGCTCGCCCGCCGCTTCCTCGCAATGGCACCACGAGTAAATGGTGAAATATTGTTGACACATGTTGTCAGAGTGTGTTTGGTTGCTAGTGTGTGGTAGAGATATGATGTGTTTGATCAAAGAGAAGAGATCTGGTCTTGCGGTAGGTATGAAGGTAGTATATGTGGTAACGATCTGATATGTATGGTGGTGCCGGAGAGGGTCTGATAAGGCGACACACACGACAACACCAACCCAGATCGATATAGGGGGATCGACACCAAGGTTAAATATGTCAGAGAGGGGAAAGAAAAGAGAACAATGCCGAGAAGATCTCCGGTAAGTGCCCAATTGACTGTTTAAAAAATGAGTAATCGAGTCAGGCAGTCGGTGTAAAGGTCGCACTGGGCGTTGTTCGTTTTTCCCGCGGCCTTCCGGGCGTTTCTCGGAATGGGGGTAGGGTTTGCGAGTAAGAGGTTTAGAAAAGTGACAGTTTGCGGTGGAGGCCGAAGTGGATATCCCGTTCAATTCGGCGGATCAAAGTTTTTTTAGGGAGGGGTCTGTTCTTTGGATCTTGCCCGTGTGTGTGGCTGGGAGAGTAACAGTCGAGGTGACGGCCGTGAGAGTCGTGTGCTGATGACAAGAAGTTGTGGTTGGTGTGAGAGGCAGTAAGCAAGTATATCGAGGATCTAGGTATAGTCCCATGCAAGACAGAAGAAGGTAGCAGTAATATTCAAAGTCCACCAGTCACCAGGACGGGTTGGGATCAAAGGCAAGAAAGACTCCTCTAGGTCTGAGATAGATAGACGATAAGAGAAGGGGAGGGGAGGGGAGGTTTAGGTATATTATAGTATTTGTCTAAAGATGAAGAGTAAAGGAGTTCTAGCGCCAAAGAGAGGGGGGAACATAAGGACTATTAAAATTAGGTCTCGACTCCAGTCGGTCAGCGAGCGATTCGCAATGATGCACGTCCCTCGATTATTTTTTTTAAACACTCGTCAATGAAAGAGATCATCAACCCGAATGAATGGATGAATGGATCATGACGGGAAGGTGGACATGGGGAGGGGGGGCGCATTGAACCAAACGGGGAATCAATCATCAACATCATATCATGGATCAGCATCATCATCATTGACTGACTGCTCAACTGTTCTGCTGATGCAGCAGCAGCAGTAGCAGCAGCAGTGATGGATGATGGATTGATTTGCTTTTGACGTCAGGCCCCGAAGCGCTGCGGTGGAGTTCCGGCGTTTAAGCCCATCAGCAGTCAATCCAACAGCCACCCACGAGGCGAGTCTGACGGGTTTGGTTGACTTCACTACATGGATGTCCGGCATACGGCGGAAGGACAAGAGAAATTCAAATAAAAATCAAAGCGAAAAAGGGAAAATAAGAAAAAGGAAAAGAGGGAGGGTCTCCATTAGGTCGCATCTTCCGGGGGAATAGTTGTGTAATTGACTCCTTTTTTTCCCACCTTCACTCAGGGTTAATGTAGGCGACAAAAGCCGCAAATGCCACCCCAAAGTCTTGGCTTGGTGTCTGGACCTTTTCTGATCTTCTTTCGATTCTTAATGCTAAAGTCAATCGGGACAGGGAGATGAAGAAAGCATAATGTCAAAGAAGACTGAAGAAGTAGAAGGAGCCGTTACGGGAAAAAAGGAATCAAGTTTATGTCAAATACATCGAACATTCCTGACAATCTGCATAAAGAATCCGAAAGGTCTCGGACCGAGCCAGGGGGAAAAGGGGACAAGGAAGAATGAAGCGAATTATGCATCAGGGGGGAAAACCCTACTCTCTCAATTCTACGGCAGCATCCTGCCGGGCATCCTCTATAATCTATATTAACAAATTGCTCCTGGGAAGGTCGAGTCTGGTCCATGCTCCATATTGGTTTAATAACGACCCTCAATCGTCAAACAGTAGTTCGACGGGACGTTCTCTAGGTGACAGCCACGAGGATGAGACTATTGCAACAGCCGACGACTAACTCCCTCCACCGTCGGGAATAGTTCCCTCCACCTATCTATTCACTATTCAGTATCTAGTTGAGCTGGAGCCAAATGGGGAATTGGCAACGGAGTCAAGGGAAATTGAGTGGGGGGGGAAAGGGAAGAGAGGAGTGGTGAAATTATTGTGACAAGTGAGGGCCCGGACGGAGGTCCAAGCCCGAACGGGCTTCTAGTGCGATCAGGAGGGGAAAATGACCGACCGACACAGCGTAGAGTCGTAAACGATAGACTAGACTAGACTAGACTAGACTTAAACTATCTGCTCAGTAAGAAGTTCATGAGAAGGAGGGGCTCTCAATTAGTCCTTACTACGGAGTACATGTGTAAGTCTTCTTTTCTTTCCCCTCCCCCTCACTGCTACTCCTCTCCTCTGCAATTCAGGAGGGACCAAAAAGAAAAGGATCAAGGGTAGGCAACGGTCTGGATCGTGGTCGATGGAAGGTCTTGCACGTCATGACATCAGATGATTTACTGGGGATATGGTTCTTGGCTGTCACAGTAACAAGCAACAAGCAACAGCAAACATCATCACATCATACATATGTACATTACATCGACTGTTCTGCCTGAGCGGCGAAAAAGATGACGAGGAACGGGTGATCGGGCATGACGAAAGCGGCCAAACGCATGAAAGGCAGCAAAACCCCCCCAGGGAGGGACTCCTTTGGGACTAGGTACTAGTGGAGACTGCAGTCCTCATTCCGGAATCTTTTGCAGCCGATCTCCCGGAATCACGTGTAAGCTTGGACCCGACCCAGTCAGTTTCGGCCAATGGTCGTCCTGGCTCGGAAAGACGTGTTGCTGACTCAATTGCTGGTCGGGCGATCTCCGGGAAATCTGTTACCTAATTGGATGCTCCATCACGAACCCCTCCCCTTCGTCTGTAGCCCCAGAATAGCCTTACCTTCCAGATTGCCAGGTGCAGACTGATTGGTAACACTGCGATGCATCATCGATCAGATAACATCATCGTTCGTCGACATCATAAACCCTTCTTGTTCGAAATAGAGTTTGGAGGCTTCTCAGCCTAACTAATAGGTCCCGTGCAAATGGTCCGCTTCTACGACGACTTGTAGGGCACAGCAGAAGAAAGAAAGAACAAACCCCATCGTCATACCCAACCCAACTCCACAATGCGATTTACACAGACCACAGTAACGCGCGTACACTCCCACACTATCCATCCCACCAACAACAGGGAAAAAAACCTCATCCCACATGCAAAAAAAGGTATATACGGTAGTCAAAGGTCGGAAGAGGTAAATACATGCGTTCTCTATCCCGGTGAGCAGGGACGACAAGAATGAGAAGGAAGTCGAGGGAACAAGTAGGCTAAGAAGTTGAGAATTTATATAAGCGGTTGACCGATCCCTCCCCTACGACAGTCCTTGCGACAGCCGTTGCTCCATCTGCTTGGCCAGTGCTTGCGGCACTGCTTCTTGCGTGGCCCGGATAGTGACTCGGTACATCTGTAATTGGTAAGTTAGTCATCGGCTTAATCGGCACTGCAGTGACTCTAGAAAAGTCTTACCTTCCGTTCATAGTTGGGCTCTAGTCGCAGAAGACAACCCGTCTTCCCGTTGACGAATTGGTAAACAGCGCAGCCCACTATATTCTTCCCGTTAGGATCCACGTTATCCAAAATCTTCCAGCCGAATCCTTCCACCACCCGCCGAGTGAACGCTTCGCCAATGTCCTTGGCTCGCGCCGTCGCTGCAAAGGTGTTTTGCGCCTCCAATGGCCCTCCGCCGATCTGCCGCCACCGTTTGAAGAAGTCTTCCGCCGACAGCGCCGATGGCTCCATGTACCGGTGCATCAGGATCGGAAGCTGCAGTGTGTAAGCCTGGAGCGCTCCTGCAAGGTACGAGATGCGGATGGTGGGCGCATCCGTGAACGGCCCGTGCGATTCAACCAGAAGCGTTTGCTGTGTCTGCCCAGCTGCCGGCACAGACGGCTCGGGCAGACTTTTCGTGTCAAGCTTGAGATTCGGGGCAGCTCGGTTGTCCAGCGTGGTCGTCAGAGACCCAATCGGGTAAGACGACTTGTTGGAAAGATAGATCTTGACCACACCCATATGGCCCCGGTATTCAGACCGCAGGCCGACCTGGATCTGCGCGTCCTCGAAGAGAACACCTTCATCGTTAAAGTAGAGTTTATTATATCCGACGTCCCAATCGGGTGTCAGATGGGCGGCGCTGGCCATGTTAGGAGCAGCAGGGGTGTTGAGATCCAGCCCTGCTAGGTCGCCAGAGGCACTCTGTCCGGAGGCTGATCCATTCGTCCCAGTCTTCGTACCATTAACAATTGTGGTGAAGCTACGCTTCAAGCCCGTGTTCTGCGCCATAAGTACCTCCTTCTGGTCGGCATTAGCATCCTTGCCGCCCACCACCCATGTCTTCTTCTCCGTTGTACCTGCTGTTTTCTGGTGTAGACGGGAGAGCAGGATCGAGGCTCGCTCAGAGAAGGGAGGCATTTCATCGCAAACTGTCCGAAGCAGGTCGTCCGTGGGAAGCGTCGCCAGTGACAGATACTCAAAAGCACGCTGCTGCAACTCGGAATCGGGAGAATGGCTGTACAGGCGGAATATGTGCAAAAGGTGAGGTTTGATTTCCGGGAAGAGGTTGACAAACTTGATGAAGGATGACAGAATCATGGCCCGCGTGTTATCAGTGCTGGTGATCATCTTGGCCTGCAGGGCCAAAAATTGCTCGATCGGACTCGATCCCTGGCTGTCAGCAATCAGATGGCCGAACTCCCCCAAGACGTAACAGCCAATCTTCACCAAGCTCTCGTGGCAGTCTGTCTTCAGGTACCCAAGGAGGTTGTGTGCCGCGTAGGCTTGGAGCTCTTCGTTGTTAGTCACAATCTGAATAACCCGCTGCCACACTTCTTCGTTCACGTGGTCCCCTGCCAAAGACAGAAGCTTGAGCGTCATGTCAATGTACCACTGGGCGTCCGTAGCGTATTTCTCCGTGAGAATGGCGACCTTCAAGACCATCTCTTCTCGAATCGCATAGTCGGCAGTTTGGAGATAGCGTAACAGCTCGTTCACAATGGGACCAGCATTCGTCGTGTCGCACATACTGTAGACCAAATCCAAGCCCTTCCGCCGAACACTGATATCGCGGTCGCGCAGTGAGCCAAGGATGATGCTCTGGTGCTTCTTAATGGGATCAAGGGTTTCCGCCCTAGCGGCGAAATGCGTCAATGCCTCCAATCCCAGATATCGGACATTCGTTTCACGGGATTGAATGTATTTCCCTAACCGAGCGGAGATCTGCAACATCAGGCTATGCTCGGTGTCCAGGTGAATAAGAAGGTTGATGGCTTCGAAAAGGACGGCGTTCTGGGCGTTGTTCTGTTGAACGTTCTTGGGCGCATCCATAGCCGAGTTCATGATCTGCTGCAGGGATTCTCGAATAATCTCGCGGACATGGGTATCGCCTGAAATTTGGTTAGCATGGACTAAACACGCAGGGGATCTTCGCGTGGGCATACCGGAAGGAGGGTAGTACTGCAGTAACCGCAGCAATTTCACCTGAATCCACGGGCATGGCACACGATAATAGAGATAATCAGGCGCAATGTCGTTATCGACCACAATCCTTTTCAGTCTAAAAGCAGCCTTGACATAACACCCGGCATATTCCTCCGGCTTATCCTGTGCCAGTGCCATGACCAGCGAAGTCACTGACAGAGTGACACCCATATCGGGATCATCCATAATGGAGATTATGCGTTCCGCCCACTCCGCCTGTACAATGCCGGGGTATTTGCGATACAATCGAAGCAGGGTAAGGGCCGCCTTCTTTTTCACAAAGGCTTTGGAGGTCCTATGCCAAGATTAGCCGCCGTTTCGGCGAAAACCACCTCCCTCAAAGCCAGAAGAAGCCACTTACGGCGAAATGAGCAAGCGATGGACATCCGTCGAGAGCGCCTCGCCCATCTCCCTTCCACCAACGTTGGCAACCGCATGGAGCGCCAGACAATTGTTCAGCTCATTGTGATCCAGCAAATCCTTCCGAATACTGTTAACAACCAGATGCAACAGTTCATGCTGCTCATGTAGAAATAGAGTCACCGCCAGGTACCCGATCTGTTTCTCGGAATATTTGGTGGAAGAGATCAGATTGACGGCCTCCAAATGACCGAAGTCGACGTCGTAGCCCTGGATATAGACGTAGAGCAGCTTGCAGACGTATTTCTTCTTCTGGTATCCGTTCAAGCTGCCACCCTTGAATTTCTGTCGAATGTTGGCCAATTCCTTATTCACCCGCTTCTCTTCCAGCTCGCGCGCTCTTGCATTACGCAAGTCGGCAATGAACTGGACCAAACCCCGCATAGACGACATGATGAGCGACGGAGCACAAGGCGAAAACTAGTATTAGAAATGATAGATCGCTAGAGCGAAGGTAGAGTAGACGAAATGGTATAATAGTGCTGGCTCGCTAGAAAAGGGTAGAATATTAGACGAGTCGCTCCGTCGGTCGGTCTCTCGGACTCTTGTCGGAAGGGTGGAGGTTATTGTGCCCGTGTCATTCAATAAACGCTGCGTTATAAGACCATCCAGGTAGCTCTGTAGGTTAAGTCGAATGTATACGCTCAATATTTTCGGAGCGCAAGGAACATGGCGTGGCGTGCGATGCAGATGTGGAGAGGGAGCGGAGATCTGGAGGGGGAGGAAGTAATCTGATGCGCAACAGGGGGCTCAGTAGTCGAGTCGCAAACTGGCCGAATGAATGGAACGATTGGGGGGAGTATAGGAACAGCGATAGTCAGAAGGGCTGGAGACACCGATTGAACCGAAAGGCACTCCCTGACTTTGAAAGGAATGGTAGAACAGAGGAGAAAGGGCGAAGTAGTCAGTCGGGGGGGGGGGGGGGGGAGATAATGCAGCAAACAGCAGCAGCAGCGGCGGCAGCAATTGAGTGACCCTCGTCAGGAGGGAACCAGCCGGGCCTCAGCCACTCCCGCGGCCGATCCGGCGATGGAAATCTCGGGATGGGTGTTAATGCGACGTGGCGGTGCATCCTGCATCCGGGCCCTCTTATCATCGACTGGACTTGGCCCTTGTGCTCTATGTATCTATACTGGCCTGCCACAATTCATAACCGCTCAACTCAAAATGGTCCACAGAAGAGAATAAACAAATTGGCTGTGCTGTAGCACACTATGAGAAGACCTCCGTCCTTCCCCCCTCCCCACCTGCCAATCCCAATCGTCAGGACAAGGTGCGACGACCTACTTGATGCACGCACACTGTTGCGACTAGTGACTTCGGATGCAACCTTATTGGATTCCAGGGTCTGCAGCCCGGCGGGGAAAGGTGATTTTCGCACCCAGACGGCAGTACGGCAGTCCCCGGCATGCATGCCCGAGCCTTATCCCTATTATCAAGGCTGGGCTGACTTGTCTGATCTTGTGGGCCATCATCATGGGCCGGCCTCGTTTGTCTTGACTCAGTGACCCCAGATCACGTTCTAGTCCAGGCTTACTTGACTCCCGACATGGATTAAAATTAAACAATGTCTACACAATCGAGTCACAGAAATTAATCAACAGTCAAGGTTAAATGGCTCTGGCTAAATTAATATTATTGGTGATGCAATCTCATTCTCGAGAAAAGTCCCAGGCTACTGCCGCCCCTCATAAATCAAACAACACAATCGAAGTCCGTGAGAAACTCCATACCGCCCGTCCAGAAACAGTACATGCTAAGACAAAAAAAGACCGTGAAGCAAAAACAGAACCCGAGATCATATCCGCACGCAGTGAGAAGATCAAGCACGGGTGGTGAAGTCAGTCTCATTGCTCTCTACGGCAGCGTCCACAGCAGCGGCCTTTTCGCAAGTGCATGAAGCTGAATCCAGATGTTAGCTACCGCTGAAGCTGATGGCGCGTCAAGGATTGGTGGTTAGAACTTACTGGAAGCGCGCTGTCCGCAGGGGCAAGCATCGCCCGAAACGGGGTTGTTCTCAGTGGTGGCACGCTCACAGGTGCATTGGCCAGCAGGGCGGGCTCCTGATGAAAGTATCAGTTTCACAAGATCCGATGTGGAGTGGGAAAGCGGATGGACATACTGCAAGAGCACCGAGGGCCGGAGATGGTGTTCTCAGTCGAGGCCTTGTTGCAGGTGCAGTGGAGGGCGTTCTCCTTTCCACAGGAGCACTTGGCCTGCGCGGCGCAGACGCAGCTACCGTCACCGGAGGTCTTGCAGCAGGTGGAAGCAGGGTTGACCATTTTGATAGTGGCGTTTGGAGATTCGAAAAGCCAAAAGACAGTTGATTTTCTGAGTCGTAAAGAAGTGAAGATAGACCGGTGACGTAACGGATAGCGGTCGGTTCAAGGGAGTCGATTTGATGTTTGAAGCTCGAAGATGCGATCGCAAAGTCGAAGAACGAGTCCAATTACGCAGGAGCAATGGAAGAAGTGCTTAAGAGAGTAATGAAGGCTTTCTGATGTTGATGATAGGATAATTAATCGCAGGGGGCCGAGCGTATTTATATCCAGCTTCATCCAACGCTGTAGATTTCGAGATTGGCAATCAACTATCGCTGATTGGTCGGTGTGCACAGAGCCATGGATAGTCCCGTGACTGCGTCTGTATTAGACGATCTCTGATTCGTCCGTCAGGCTACACACTCTGCTTGGGTTTGTAATGCTTCCATGCTGGTAGGTAAACGCTATTTGACTGCATCTCAGCACGGCTTCTGTATAGCTCTCTTTTCATTGGATTATGTGGGCCTTAAGATCTGACCTTGTTCTGCATATTGCAACAGTTAGTACGATTGGATCATAAGGTTGATACTGCATGGGAGTTGGTTCCACACCCACATCAATCTCAGGCCACTGGGACATGACGTACATGTAATGTACAATCTTACAAGCAAGCTCGCCTCAGGTCAAAGCTATGGGACGTGCAAATATTAGCACGAGCAGTGGTGACTATCCAAGCAATTATTGACTAGAATTTTTAGAAATTGTATACACAGATGATACCCAGGATAGCCACCCGGGCCCAAAAGCACAACGCATGCTAAAGTAGAACAAGACCACAGGGCTGAACGGAAGGCCCGATAAATACCACTATAAGCAATTTGACGCCACAAATGTTCAGTCCCGATTCCGGGATCAGGATAAAATGCAATGATGATGACCCCTCCCTTTTCCTAAAACTCTTTTTTTTGTGACAAAACGAAGCCCAGAAGTTCGAAAAACTTATTAAAATCAAACAATATGTATATATCCCGGGGGGCGAACAGGATGCCGATATGTGCAATGCAATCAAGAAGTGATAAGGTGAGCGGTCGGAGACGACCAATTAAATAGGTTTGAAAATCCGTAGTGATTAAAGCGCAGCATATGTTGAGTGAAGGACGAGGGTTTGTTTCTCGCGGACCCGATATGATCGGATCAGAGGTAGTTGGCGTATTCAAAGGTTTGGGTGCCGATTTTTGCCCTCAGGGGATCGATCAGTTGTGGCGGATTGTTGATTCGGTCCTCCGCGGTGCTGACCACAGGTCCCTGGGAGACACTGTTGGTTTCCGATGGAAAAGATGCCGGAAGGCTCATACTAGAGGCGTTGGCTTGGCTATATGGCATGGCGGTGTTCATGCTATATGGATGATGGTCATATGAATAGGGTCGGTAATCGGGCGCCTCCGAGATCGGGATGGATTGCATGGAGGGTATCTGCCTCCCATGTTGTTGTTGTTGTTGCTGTTGTTGTTGCATATGTGCATTCATGTCGACGCTGCCAAAGCCCTTGGGTGCTGGCATGGCCATTGAGGAATGATAGTTGTGTGCTTGCTGGTCTATCGGGACCATCGTTAGTCTTACGGGCTGATGTTGTCATGGGCTGAATTAGATGAGATTCACATACTGTGGCCATCAACGCTGTAATGAGCTGGTTGGTCCGACTGTCCGATCGGAGATACAGAGCCCTCGATGGCACGCTGATGATCATACCCTACCACCATACCATTTGCAGGTCGGCTGATACCATACTCCATCGGGCGACGACCGTAGGCCATACTCGGATGAACAAGCGGCTCAAGCCCGGGCCTCGAAAACCGTCCTGGGTAATGAAGTCCATTGTGGAACGAGGACTCGGAGAAGCTGCTGGATCTAGGGAATGGGAATGCGCCGCGGTTATGTCTGCTCATATCCGTGAGAGGGGTATGAGCACCTCGGTTCGCTAGGGCGGCTGAATGTGCGTAATTATCAAAATGTCGGTCCGATCCGGTTGGGGCAAACCCATTTGTTGTCGAGGCCGAGCTGAGAGGCGAGATCACATAATCGTCATCATTCCGGGGGATTCCATCGGTAAGCAGCATCTTAACACCATTAGCCATATCCATGTTTGGGATGAGAATGGGGAGACGCAACAGGTGCCTCTGAGGTTGTCCTATGATCGAACGGCGTCCGTAGTACTTGTGTTGTGTCGAAGTCATCCGGCAACGCTCTGGACTTCAAGATACGCTCGCGGTCGTTGCTTGTAAGCCGCTTGAGCTTTGCTCGTCTGGATGACAAGCATCAGCCTCACAGCTACAACGAAACTTAGACATTGGTAGTTGTGACATACCTGTTTTGGAACCAAACCTGCACTTGCCGGGGCGTCAGGCCAGGAATCTCTTTGGACAAGCGCTCTCGGTGGGCCGCATCAGGGTGTGCTTGACGGGTGAATTCGCTCATTAAGAAGCGGGTTTGATTATGAGTCAGTCTGCCGTATCTTGTCAGCACGTCACCAGCCGCGGTCATCACAGCTGAAGTGCTCACCGAAACCTCTTCATCTTCTTCTTGTCATGCTTATCCGGCGACTGTTTCTTATCCCCATTTTCGGATGACGCTACTCCTTCGTCTGATGAGGCCATCGCCGCATCTCCATCTCCTTTCTCCTTGTCTTGAAAATCTTCGAGTTTGGGTTCAGGCGTGGTTTCTTTTGCCGTCGGTGAATTATCGATTCCCTGTGCATGTGGAAGATGAGCTTCGCTCTGGTTGATCTTTTCCAGCCTCATCTGAGCCAGTGTCTCCGTTTCTATGCCTGCAGTGCGGTTCACTGGGTCACTATGGGGGATCGCTCCCCCAATGGGCCGAACTGGACTAGATGACCCGGCGACAGCAACAGCTGGAAAGGCATTCTCAGCCTTGATCGCAGCGGGTTGCATATCGGCCGAAGGCGGCTTCGCAGACTCGCCTTCTCTCTCCCACGGTCCGGGCAACCTGGATGAGATAGTCCTTAGTTTCGGTGTAACCTGTTCACTGCTGTTCCAGGAAGCTGTCGGCCAATGGTTGGTGATGGCGGGAAGATGCGAAGTGGATGGTGGTGACAATGAGGACAACCAGACACACGGCCCGCTGATTGACATGATAGCAAAGTATGTAGAAACTGCTATACCATGCACAGGTGACAGAAGGATCAGCTCTATGCTGAAGATTGTAAAGGCCAGGCGAACTGCAGCTGCGAACGCAGATATAGACTAAATTGCGGCCCAGATGCCAGACCAGGGATGACAGAGTGGGTCTGCACGAGCTGTCGGGGCGCTTGCTGAAGATGCACAGGATCTCCGAGACGGGGCGAGGACACGAAAGAAAAGAGGAGTAAATGGCAAGTTCTTTGCGTGAGAGATGCAGCAAGTAGTCGATACCGCGTGGACTGTTTTGACGGTGGGCAACTGACAGCAAATGAACGACAGTGCTACCCTAGTAAGGATCTCCCCCTTGACTTACACCCTGGGGCGATAAAGGAGATTCTCGGCCTCCGCTAGGACCACTGACGAACGGCAAGAAATGAAAGGTCGATCCCTTTGCTGGGTCCAGGATACAACCGGAGAGGGGGTGGATTGATACCGGACAGTGGGTAGAAAGGCTATAGAAGAGATTAAACGGTGCCTAGCCCAAGCGGGTAACGAATGCACGATCTCGGGCAGTGGAAATAACGGAGGACGTTAGAATGCAGGCCCTGATCACCTCCGGCCAGTGCGAGAGATCCACTTTCAGGTTGGCCACCACAAGCACAAAACCGTGCTAACAATGCAGCGGCGCACACGACTGGCAGGCTCGTCTCACGAACGAGTTAGGGGAGCTGAGAGAGTGAACGAGCAACAGTGAGGGGGAAGGGCAAGGGACGAATAATCTTCAGGTTTTCGTACAGGGTGTTATAGCAAACGATAGGTAGATGCCAGATGCTAACGCGGAGAACAAACTCAAAAGAATGAGGGAAATGAAACTAGAACCGACAGGAACGAGTGTAAGAAAACAGGAAATTAATTGAAACGGGTCACAGCTTGAAGGTTCGGTACACGGAGATCCCAGACCATGTTACGATTGTCAACTAACCTCCGGAGGCGAGCGCCTACTGAGTTATCCAGGACCAGAGCCGGTATGAGAATGGAGGTGGGAACGAGGGTGGAAGTGGGAATCCAAAACGGGCTGGGGGGTGGACTGGACTCAGGACCGGGGGATGCTGCCACAATGGATAGGAGGTTCCAGTCCTGTCTGGCTGCTGCCACCGTCGTCGTATTCTTCTCGTTGTGGTCGACTAGTCAGCAACAGCAGGCATGACAGCAGCTGTAATAACAGTAGCTGGAACACTTGCTGGGGAACGTCGTCATCAGACACGGCCCTGACCAACGAAGGAGCCTGAGATGACCACGCTCCGAGGCACCAATAGCCTGTCGCTATCACACCGCAAGACGAAGGTTGACTCTGATCTCGGCTTACAATTGAAAGACCAAGAGATTCGCTATCAAAGAAGGTAATACGCGATGGAAGGTGGTGACTATGATAGGAGATTTGTAGACGGGAATGGTCCAGAGAAAGAGAGAAGTATCCGTATTAGGGCCAAACTCATGGGCAATGGAAAGTGGCAAAGTGAGGGTCGACTCGAGATGTTCCATACGGGCGTAAATACGGAAGAGGGACTGACAGCCCTGTGGGCGAATGATGCAGAGGATCCTAGAAAAGCGTGGCTCTTGAGGTCCAACGAGGGAGATTCTCGCCAGAGCTCACGCAGGGTATGGATGAGGCGGAGGGACAATCGTCAACCGTTCCTATGCCATTCATGTTCCGCGCTCCTCATTGATTGTAAATTTTCCGACGTGGAACCGGCGCCCGCGACCTCTGCATCGCATCGTGCGGGTCATTCACAGTCTGGGACAGGTCGTTCCTAGTGCCGAATCCACAGGCCTTCCTGGTCTTCAGCCAACCGCAGTTGGAAAGGGTCGAATAGACCCTGGTCCTCGAGCTGGCTCACCCAGTCATCGTGTGCCGTCTTCCCCTTGCGACAGCAAAGATGGCAGTCGGCGGTACGCACCATGTCACCATGTGGAAGTCCTGCCGACAGCACTAGTCGAGCGTTGTGCTCCATAATCCGCCGGACACCGGGCATGGATCGACTCATCGAGACAGAAGAGTGGGGGAGGGGGGAGGATTAGGTTAAGAGCCACTTAGCGATATCTCCACCCTCCTTAGCCACCATGGCACCAACAGTCCGGTGGTGTGAAACAATTGACACGTGAGAAACAGAGGGGAAGAGCGAGCAGCTTGAGGAGCTAGCCAGGGGATCATCAGACAGGGGCTACTGTCACGGAGAACGGAGACGGAAGGGGGGGGGGAGCAACTACATAAAAGGGGAGATGGATTTTGAGCGGACGCAGACGCCCCCTGCCATCTCTTCCGCGAGAACGATGCCGGATGAATCTGATCAATGTCAAATCGTAGAAGATTGACAGGAAATTAGATTGGCATCTTGTCAACTAAGGCAAACACCGCGGCTCTGGAGAAGAAATCTCGGGGTGGGGACGGGGCGACAAACCGTCCATCGGGTCATCGCATCTTGGGTACGATCCAGGAAAAATACTGGTTGAAGCGATAACCTTACCAGACTGTCATCTCAGGTACCGGTCAAGAGTATACCGGGCTTTTCTCGACAGGGCGTTCGTATTGTGTGCAAAAGTCAGGAAGTGCATTTCCGCCTGGTCTCCACCGAGCCCAAGCGGACAGGGTGAAGGAAGAGGCCGAGGTTGTTATCATCAATAGAATCATGAATATGATACTTCGTGCTGCAGCATAGTCTGACAATCTGATGCCTGGCACATTGACAATCTGACGGGTGACGACGAAAGGGAAGGGAAGGGGAGAGGGGGGAAGCTAACTGGGTACTCCAGACTCGGTACTCCGTACTGAGTGACGGTGTAGTGGGCGCTGGTGGTATCTATTCGAGGGAGAGGGGCAACTCACTCCAGCCTCTAAGGCTCTTGCAAGTTCTCCCCTTAGCCCAAGAAGGCTTAGAGGGGAGTCAAGCGATAGAAATCCAGGTCAGACAGGGTTTGCGGAGAAAAATAATTGCAGGATGCGCCGAGGTTTCGAGCCTCTTGCGGCCGAAGCAACTGGAGGAAGAGGAGGAGGAGAAGGTACCGGCTAGACTTGGAACTTGAGAGACTGGGAGGAGAGAGAGAGGATCGCTAGCGGGTTAGTGTCCCTCGCTAGTCTTTGGACCGAGGCTGGCGTGGGTTTTAGTCATGGAGTTAGTGTGGCCCGAAAGTAAAACAAGTCAGGACCACCAAGCGGACCATGCACTGCTCGAAACTGACTGCCACTCAAGGCCATTCTCTGAAGTTCTACACCAAGCTTGACGCTAGAAATGATGCAGTTGCCCCCCCCCCCCCCCCGAAAAAAAAAGAAAAGAAAAAAAAAAAAAAGAAATACGAAGAAAAAAAGTAGAGAAAGAGCAAGATAGCTGAATAACTTCTCTACTGACTTTGTTCTACTCGTCTCTTCTCTGTCTTGCTCTCCCTCCCTTCCAGTCTCCACTTGTTGTTCCATGAACCGGACCAGAGCGGAAGCCACCACAGAGCGGCCGGGCTGTGAGACCGATGTACGTTTTGCTCCACTCCCGACGCGAGTATGAAACAACCCGGGAGATATTCGGTAAGAATAAAGCGAGAAAGGAACAGGAAGGACAGGACAAAGCTCAGGGGCCCGGGCAGCGGAAAAGGGAAGGTAGGAATTCTCCAGTGGAGTTTGGCAGGAACACGATGACCCTCGCAACTCAGGCAAGCGATAGATAGATAGCGATGTAGAGAGAGACCTGCAGCTCCGGAGAATTGAGCTAACAGAGAAAGAGTCTCAACACTCTTTACTGTAACAGGGTAGGGACCGTCTTCAACGGCGTGTACGCCAATGGAACACTAGACCCTTTCAAGCTACCGATCTGAGGTTCCAACGCTGGTCCCCAGTCTACTGATCGCTAGTAATTATGTATGGTACCGATGGATTGGGAAGCCCACCCTAGATAAATTCCTCAAAGAACAGCAGTGGTTAGTCTAGGACAAAGGATGGGAAAGACATCATAGTATGAAGGGAGAAAACCCAGCCAGATGAATGATAGAGCATATTTGTCTAAGACTCGGTACAATAGAGTAGAAGCGGGAAGAAAGTTTAAAAATAAAATTTAATCAATAAAAATAAAAATAAAATAACCGAAATCAAGAATCATGAACTAGTAGATGCTTTTTGAAGGGAAAAAGGGAAAGAAAGAAAAATTAAATAAAAAATTTAAAAAAAGGGCGGGAAAAGACACAGCTTGGGCAGGATTGAATGAACCCGACAGGTGGAAAAGTCCCGGTGGGGCAGAAACCTTGCCTGCACCATTGAAGATAGAGTGTGAAGTAGCTATTGGCTAATACTTACCCATGATAATCATACAATTGAGCACGCGCGGTAATCGCAACCTCGACATCATCGACCTAGCTTACAGTCCTGACAACTGACAATGGGACTTGTGTCCTGTCGGTTGCGAGAAGAAAGATAGTGGATGGCTGATGAAAGCGATGTGGAGAATGGAATACGGTCTGTAGGTACCTGTGAGCCTCGGAGAAAATATGTATGATGTGCCGACCAATTGCCTAAAAGAGTCTACTCGTCGCCTCCGTGACTATAAGCTGCCATAGGAGGTTTTTACGCATGCTTCCATTAGGGGAGGCGGAGAGAGGAGACGAACAAAGATCAGAGTCAGAGAGGGTCACGGGGTAATGTGGCCAAGTTCACGAGAAAAGCCGTCAAACATGCGTCGTGTGGTTTATCGCCAACATTACGGTATAGATTGTATATATTTTTCCTGATTCAAGAATCCCATGCAGATCATTCAAACCGACTACGGCGTACAATGTATTCAAACTCCCAACACCTTTCGCCGTACTACAGTGGACAAACGAAACCTCATTACATGGTGAACAGAGATGGGAAATACTGTAGCCTACCCAAGATGTCCAACTGAAAGAGGACAGAGCCACATGGAAGCGAACTGGGCCCTGATGTACTGTAGCAGACCGAGACGAGTGAGTGATTCGCCTTATTGCGAGGCAAAGATGAAACTCCACTTGACCCAAGCCGGTTAAGATAGAGCTCGGAGAGCGAGACTAATGGTCTCGTCGCTGCGGTGCTTACTATACGAAATGCCTGTTACTGAAGTCATACAAACAAGAATCAAGTAGAAGCGACAGAAGAGCCATTTGCTTAAGCCGTCTGACCCCCCTGAACTGGATGGCAGCTGCAGCTGTTCCTTGTTCCTTGCATCATCACTGTCATTCGAATCCTGATCTGGGACCCTAACGCCATGAGCTCGCTCGTACTGGAAGATTTCAATTGTAGACCGAAGCACAGACTGTTTCATATCCGGCGGCACGGAGAGAATTTTCCCGAGGCAGAGAGTAAGTGAGAGAGTACGGATACAACAGAGGACTCCGTACCATAGTGTCAAAATGTCAGACAGGACTTCTTCGGAGTCTTCACTTGATCCGACTATATTGCTGCTTGATATCACTGGGGGAGAAGAAGAAGAAGCAGAGAAGAAGAAGGGGCTTGGGCTGGTCCCGTCCGTATTCGGCTCCTGCCGTGGACGTTTGTTTGTGTTTGAGTTTTACCTTTTTTTTATATTTTATTTTTTTCTTACTGGTGCGATGCCATGGTATGTTTGTCTTCATTGTCTTCCACTCTTTTCCCCTCCCCGTCCCCGTCCATTCCTCCTTCATTGTCGATCTCGCCTTCACTCCATCTTTGCCTTCCTCCACGAATCCTACTCAATAGATGCTGAGAAGCTGTGGATCCTTCGTGATGTAGTATCCTGCTCACGGGAAAAATGCAAATTGTGGATTAAAGTGGTGTGGCATGATCTCTCAGCTCAGCAAGGCAAGATCATCGCTATGTCCAGGAAACAGCACTCTCGGGTACCAGGGGCCTGCTCCCCAATCTCTCCAGTGACCAGTCCCTCGCAGCACCAGCGGCAACGGCAGCGTAATCTAGCACTACAGTGGATCGGAGGACCCAGAGGAGGGAAGATCCCAGCTGCAAGAGCCAAGCACAGCGGAAAACCACCAGTTAGGAGTATCGGGCACTTCCTACTGGTGTAGCGACCGTGCGGGGAAAAGAAGATTTCAAGAGTCCGAGGCCCAGAGCAAATCGAGGCGGATCGAATGAACCGAGTGGATGCGAAGAGATTGGGCAGGACCAACTTTAATCTCTCCCAAGACCTCGCGTGATGCCAAGAAACCCCTTCAATCTTACCCAACTTCAGCCCGTCAGCCAGCCTGAATTGACCATGCCCAGTCCCGGGAGTATGCTTGCATCGACGATGGGATCTCGGGATTGATCCCTGGTGGGAATGAACGACCATCGGACTTACAGGTGGAGACTGAAGAAGCGCCGCCCAGTTCCAGTTTCCACCGTTTCCACGGATTCCACCGATTGCATCCCATTACGCAAGCTCCGCGGGGGCTGCCGTTTGGTTGCTGAAGCAGTGAAGCGGCCTCCCAGAATGGAAATAAGACATTTACCGGGTCCAGTGGAGCGAAGAGTGTGAAAGGCGGGCGAAACGGCCGGGCAATGCCAGAGCGAACAAGCAACTTAGCGAAGACCATGCACGGTACGGTTGTGCCCTGTAAAGCTGGGAACCTTCGGGTTGTCCCGAGGAGGAAAAGCCCCCCAGCCAGCCAGTCTTGAACTCATTGCTCGCCGTACCGATGCAAGTTCCTGGCCGTCCTGACGCCTTGGTATGGCTGGTCTCCCGTCTTGCTGGTCTGTGCGGGGGACACCGGCCTGCTTGAAACGTGCACCACGGACATTCTATGGATTGTTCATCGATGATCTCGCCATCAATTGTCCAACACACAGACGCACAAAGTAGACAGCAGTATTGCATGCTTACAATACCTGCGTACAGTACATAAAACTCCTCCAGATGACGTTTTATCTGGATCGAGGTCATTCTTCTAGCCGCCTACCCCCTTCGAGCCCCCTGAATCCTGATGCTGGATCTGCTTACTACGAAAACCCCGCCTAATAATCAGGAATAGATTGATGACGTTCATCACGATCGTATCACATTGATGAATTGAATTGAACACACAAAGAAAGGGGGCAGCCCGACAGGGGAGGGGGAGTTCAATCCGACGGACAGGGGGATCTCCTGTCACTATAGAGTTCAAGACATCCCTGACTCGCGATCATGACAGGCGAGTTAATCATGAACGGCTTGTCGGTTCCCAGCAGTGTCGCAAGCGTGTGACAGCCCGTATCCTTACCCTATCTTTACGGAGAACAGTCAATCAATTCAGCCATGGGTCTGGGTCGCACAAGATCCTCGTCCGACATCATGTCATAATACCCGGACTGGATAATATTAGATGGCAATGCCGCAATGAGCAATGCGCTCTTGCGATGAAGTCCTATGTACAAGATGTGCTCTGTTATGTTTTTGGCCCAGCAGGAAATTTCGGCGTCCAATGATTTTGAGGACCCTAACGACATTACCCCTGGTTGTTCGTTCATTATTGTCCATATTCTATGCATTTCCGTATCTGCGAATTTCATTGTGGACCACCAACGAGTCGGCAAGCACCAAGGATCTCATTCTTTCCTGCTCAAAGACGAACAGCCATAGTTCATGAAAATCGACCGTTAATATACCAAACCAAGCTATGGATCGAGCTTAATGAACCAGAGCGGGGAATCTAATTAAACTTCAAGTTACACATTGATGCGCACTAGCCCCAGCCATGACACTGCAATCTCGCATAGCATTATCAACAAGAGAACCACACAACCACTCAATGCTGTCATCGGTCGTGTCAAGCATTCCGCCCTAATGATTCATCCCTCATGACTTCGAACAACGGGACCGAGCTTGATGATTGACGAATGACACAGGAACTCTCCAGGTAATTAAAGTTGCTGATCATCGAGAAATGTGTCCCCTCATAGCTTAAATCATTGGGTCATCACTATCATCTAAGGAAGCAAGTCGTTGATTCGTGCTTCGTGTACTCTATCACCGAGAGGACCCCGATTCGGCCGCCTGCAGATATTCTCCCAGAATTTCTCGAACCCTCATTTTGCGAACCGCCAGGAGATTGTTCCCCATTAGGGCTGCAGTGGATGCCTGAAGAACCTTCAATCTCCGGTGAGCTGCACCATTCTTGTCTTCCAGCATCGCATCCTCCCCTCTTTCGAGCTTCCTCTCTACCCCCATTGCTATGGTCCTCCCAATCACGCTTCAGACCTGCTTCACTCGGCCGAATCGTAAATCTGAATTGTCATGAACGGCCCCTCTCCTCTTCTGCCTGCGGATACAGGCAAGAGCCAAGGAGAAAGTAGGGGCGTGACCTTTTGGACAGGTGAACAAAGGAAAAGATGGAGTCCAACCATGAAGAGCACCGCCGTGCTATTGCCACAGGGCTAGGAGAAGTGCCTCAAACAGGGTAAGGGCCATCCAAGAACCAAGTAAGATGGGGGCACACAGGACCCAGTCCCATTATTCTTTCTAGGCCCAAGGCCATCCAACCTCATTTCACCCACCCTAACCCCATGAATGGTACTAATTGGTACTTTACTGGGCTTTAACGGTCCGGAGGAACACCGGGTCTCATGGCAACGAGTCCCAGAAAGCCAATCAACGCATCCAGACCCACCGCCGTAATTTCCTATTTCCTCGTGACAAGAACTGGCTTCTCCATGCGATCCATCACCTGCTTGGTTACTCTCATTCTCTCAATCCCGGCTGACGCTAGCCCAGCTGGCTCAAGGCAGAAGTGCAACGCACCTGCTAGATAACCGGTGGCTTGAGGCCGAGTGTATTTGTTGTCGCTCGATGACACCGATACTGATGGTAGGTATCCGTCACCTCTCCTTACTCCAATCTCCCACAACTAGCGTGGTGATACGGATGCATACAGCCACAAAGTCCAGAGAAGAGGTAAGATCGTAGGCATCGGCTTTGAGGGCGCCAATCAGACTTATTCACAGGTGGGCTTGTGCCCCAATTACTCCGTGCATGCGAATACGTGGCGTTCTTCACATCACCTTATTGTCTGGCGCGATTGCATCCTTGGGATCGGCCAGAGTCTGTTCGGTGGCAACGGTTGTGTTCCCGCCATCAGCGTTCGTGGCCCCAAGCTCTTGCGCTGGTGCAGCGGATTCGCCCTCCGCCGACGGCTTCCCCGATGCTGTGGCTTCTGAGGCCTGAAGGGTACCTTCCAGGGCCTGGGGTGTTCCATCAGATGGCTGGGCCGTGGCGAAGAGGATTTTCAGGTTTTTGCCGTCCTCGATCTTGTCAAATGCCGCAAGTTTGCTTTTCGCGGAAAGTCGTAGTATGCGCCAGGTCTTGCTCGCTTTCAAACGCAAGGCATAATCTTTTTCCTCTTTCGACTCGAGATTGTCGAAATCTGACTCGTCGTCCATGATGCTCATCATAAGAGAGTCTGCAGCAGGGACCGCAAATCTTACATATCAACGTCAGCACATGCTACTGTATTGCTTCAACTCCTCGAAGCGCCTACCTTTCCGGATCCTTTAGCCTTTCCATACCCGCTAAGGATTCCCCCTCGGAGAGAAATTGGAGACTGAGCGAGCCCATAGGCGAAGGGCGAATGCGTTTGTTTGCATAGGACCTAGTGGCACGCTCACGAGCGCCGATGTATTCGGTCACCGAAACAGCCGGTCTTTCGATCAATGGGCAGCCTTCTGCTTTCCATCGCACCCAGTTCTTATCTCTTGAGAGAACGGTGTCCACCATCCGATAGTAGAATTTGCCGCCGGCACCTTCTTGCAAATATTCCTCGATGGACTTTCGCATTTTGACCGCCCATTTAGCCTGTGGCTGTCAGCGACCTTTCCTAATGTACACTGGATGACAAGAAGGGGCCACCTTACATCTTCTTCGCTTAGCAAAAATCCGTACAACACCGATTTGTTAGTCAAGTCGGCAAGCTTGGCTTTGGATTTCGCGGTAAGTGAGAGCATGAAATCCAGAAGGATGAGAGCCTGGACAAGCACGTGTCTTCTGAAAGCGGTGTCATTCACCTGTGGGGGAAAGTTAGATTCTCCAAATCTGCTCATAAAAGTATATAGGTCTTCTGTTTACCTCGAGATCGAACAAGTCCCTACTTGTCAGGTATTTGGGGTTGAAGCTGCTCGCAATCTCTTGTCCATCCGCAGTTCGTTTGCGCTTGTTGGATTTCCGCTCTTCCGAAGACTTGATGCTGCTAGACGTCTCGAGATCCGTATTCACGTTCCTGAAGGTGGCGATTGTGGCTTCAAGCCCAGATTTGAAGGCCGCGAAATGCTGCGCGTCGAATGACTTGGTTGGAGCAGAGAAGTATGCTTGGAGACTCCAGAATATGGGGTAAAGGGCGTCCAAATCAACCGCTTTTTCCTCAAATTGCTCTTTGGCCTGGGAGACAATCACCTTAGGCGTGCCAGGGGGTTCTAGCTCGTTTGCCTGGGAGTCACCAACTGCCGCCGCTGAGGCTTCAGTTATTTCCCTGGTTCCCTCCACTTCCTTATCGTCCACCATCTCCACGTCTCGGTCATTATTCTCCCTGACGGCAGCTTTCACAATCTCATCGTAAGTAGTAACATTGTCCGTGTGATATTCGCCACGGAGATTGACGGCACTCTTGTCTCCCAGAGGGAAACTTTGAAACAGGAAGATGAATACACGCCCACAGAATACAGTATCTTCTGCCCTTGAGAGCCTCCGTAGTAGCTCATTGCAAGACCGTAAGATGATTAGGCTTTTTTGTTTGAAATGTTTCTTCCAGAACCGTGAGCGCTTGCGATGGAAACAAAGTAGACCGGTGGATCAAACGCTACCTTTGTGTTCCGCTCTCTTCGCGATTCCAGATAATCAAAAACCTTCCGACAACCATCGATGGTTTGGCTGTCGAGCAACTCTTCTATTAACCAGAATATCAAGCCGGGCTCACATTGTTCTACACACAGTCAGGATGATTCCGGTAGCGAAGCGACAGAGTAGGGAGCTGACCATTGTCGGAGAATATTGAAATGATATCGAGGAGGTTCCAGATCTTAATGAATGAGGGCTCGTCGATTGAAGTGGTAGCCTGTAGGCAATTCAATATCAGACAAGAACTTGGACACGCGGCGTGGAATGCGATGATCGTACCAGGAGACTGTAGAACTTCTCTCGGAACGCAATTTCTACCGCGGCGAGCTGAGTCTGTTGACCCAACTTCTTTGCAGTTTGCGCATCCTCGCCTTGAACGAGCCAGAACGAGTCTCCAAGTTGTGTTTCGGTCAAAGGGGGCTCGATCTGCCCTTCCGGTTTCGCATGTTCGGCGCGCGACAGGAGCTCGTCGATCAAGCTCCTGTAGACGGGGATCGCACCAACGTCCACCTCAGCCATACTTTAAGGCGCGGAGCAATGAGGATGAGACGACGGAGAAGGAAAGAAAAAGAAAAAGTAGAAGGAATAGGGGTGGAGGGACGAAGGAGTTGCACAGGAAGGCCTCAACAATCCGCGCGGAAATGACTGACAAGTGACGAGTAACTGGCTGCGGCTCTGCGGGTCCTAACCGCTGGAGGTTAATGCGTTGTCGGTAGGCGCGCGCCAGAAGCTTTCCCAATCCCGCCGCAACGGACCACTTGCGCAGTTACATCGGAGCCCACGTTCCGGAGTCCAGTTGAAGCAATTCTTCTTCTCCCTCCCCCGCTCTCCTCCATTCCCTCCTCCCCTACGTCTAGGAATGGGCCTCCAGACACGTCAGGCGATGGCGCCGGGCCTTGACTCCAGACCGAGCGTGGACGATTTCCGGGAAGACAGTGCCTGGGTGCAGCTGGCTAAATCCCACTGGCTGGAGGGCTCCAAGACCCGCAAAGTCAAGCAAGATGTCATCAAAAAGGAGATCTGGGATCCCCTCGAGGCCGAGAACTTTGGCTTCCGCTCGCTTCTCACGTTGGAGAACTTGAACATCCTGGAGAAGTATGCGCGCCAATCTTTCTGAGATTCACCCGACCGGCCTCGGAATGAATGGATGGCTAACCCGCAACTAGGTATCTTTGGCCGACCTACACTGAAGATGCGTCGAATTACCATGTGTTGCTGCTCGTCTTGATTGTGAGTGTCAAGCAGCGCGAACACTTACCGATATGGGGTCAGTCTGACATTTGGATGAGCATTTGATTAACCTGCTGATCGAAATATAGAGGTCTTCTCCGATCGTCCGGACGATTTCTCGAACCTTTTCCATCGAATTCTCTCAATGAGCATTGATCCTTCCCTTGATGCCTTCCCACGACTGTCGATCGTCTCTTTCATTATTAGTGCTTTCCAATCCGTCGAAAATACCCTGATCCGCAAAGAATGCGCCCCTCTCGTTTCCATTTCCATTTGGCACAACCTCTCCAGCGAAGGTGCAAGAGAATCCTTACTAGCAAAGAGCCCTGGTCTGAAGAAAACTTGGCGAGCAGCAGCGAAGCGGTACGACGCAGCGGACGAGGCCGGCAAGGCTAAGATTCGCTTCGAGAGGTCATGGCTCTACACGATGGTGCTGGATTTTCTCCGCAGGTTGAACGGTGCCGATAAAGACCAGACGCAGAACCTGAGATACTGTGAGCGGTTTCTCGAGTTTCTCATTGATCTTGAAAGTCAGCCTCCCACCAGGCGCTACGTCAACACACTGTTGAAGGACCTCAACCTCCTGGCGGTGATCCGTCTGTCACCACTCTACCGCTCGCCCGAGAATGCGCTTTTGCGCGACCTTTGCGGTCTACTGAAGCACTTTGCGTCGTTTGCCATCGACGACTTCACTGGAGAGGCTCTGTCTTCCCAGTCGGTGTATGATGTCCACTGCCAGGAGTTGGCTCGGTTGCAGAGGACATCTATGAAATATTTTAAGGACAAACTTATGATCCTGGCCCTGTCTAACTATGGTTCTATTGAGCAACGTTCCGAATTAGAAGGTCAGCTGGCTTCATTGGAGGAAACCGAATTGCAGAGCCTCTGCAGCCATCTCGGGTTCCGGACCGAGTACCCTAAACAGTCGCAAGTAACGCCTAACCGCCAATTGTATCTGGAGATTCTTCTCTCGTTCTATGAGCGGAAGCCGACGTTCCAGGAAGCTGCCTCGCAGCTCAGCATTGTTCCCACGGAGGAGAACCTCTATGATCCTGCACTACTACGCAATGAGAACTACGATGGGTCCACACCACTTGCTATCCCCAAATTGAACCTTCAATACCTTAGCACTGGTGACTTCCTCTGGCGTTCATTTCTCCTATACCGCTCCGAGGCGTTCTTCCAGATCCGGAAAGATATGGAGTCAGTTATCAAGCGGATGCAGCCCCGCGCAAGTCGCGATGGCAAGACTCTAACTTTCGATGGGTTTTCGAGGATGGCTATACCAATCACAAAGCCCGCCATAATCGAAGTCGCACCCCCTAAGGTCGGCTCTGCGAAGCCTGCGTTTGTTCGGGCCGAGATCGCTATCGAAGTGGGCAGGTTGGCGGATCACATTCGAAGAGAATGGGAATCCCTGCGCCCAGATGATGTTATCTTCCTTCTGGCCGTGAAGTCGGATGGAGCCGTGAAGTCTGGACTTCGCGAGCCCGAAACTCCCGGCCTAACACACCTCCGAACGGCGGAGATAGTTCAGGTGCTAGATGAAAACGGTCGGCCTCTGCGAGACTTTTCTTCGGGTCAGTCGAATGGCTATAAACACAAACCTCGTGTTCGAAAATTACTGGTCAACCTGGATCCCGCTGCTTTCAAAACAGACAAGGATGCACTTGCGCGAGGAAAGCCTGACGTCTACACGTCGATCAATGTGGTTGCGAGAAGGAAGGGAAGAGAAAATAACTTCAAATCCATTCTCGACACTATGCAGAAACTGATCGTCTCAGACATTACGCTGCCTTCCTGGATTCAGGATATTTTCTTGGGTTACGGGGACCCGGCCGGAGCTCGATACACCGAACTGCCCAATCGACTCAAGTCTGTCGATTTCCGAGATACATTCTTGGATTGGCAGCATCTAATTGAAAGCTTTCCCGGTAGGACCATCGAGCCCTCGACCACCGAGACATCCAGCTTCGGCCCTCCGTATGTGTTAGAATATGTTGAAGAGCTTACTCAAGCTCCATCAGCCGGCACAAAGAGGCGGCGCAAGGAGCAATCAGAAAAGGCATCAGGTCCCAAGTCGCTACGTGTTTCGACATACAAACCGCCACATCCGGGGCCTTATCCGATTGATGCCCCCAAACTCAACACAGTGCGCTTCACCCCGGCGCAAGTGGAGGCTATCGCGTCAGGAACCCAGCCCGGGTTGACTGTCATTGTTGGCCCTCCTGGCACTGGCAAAACTGATGTCGCTACGCAGATCATCAACAATATCTATCACGATTTCCCAAATGAGCGCACACTTTTGATCGCTCACAGTAACCAAGCATTGAACCAGCTCTTCCAGAAGATTGTGGCTCTTGACATTGACGAACGTCACCTTCTCCGTCTCGGTCACGGTGAGGAAGAGCTAGAGACCGATTCGAACTACAGCAAGTATGGACGAGTAGAGTCGTTCCTTGAAAACCGCAACTATTTCCTCAGCGAGGTCGCACGGCTAGCAGCATCGATTGGAGCACAAGGCGCCCATGGCAACTCCTGCGAAACTGCCGGATACTTCAATACAGTCTATATTCAGCCTGCATGGGCTAAGTTTTGGGATCAATCACGTGCCGAGAATGTTTCCAGTGAGGAAGTCATCGCAGCTTTCCCGTTCCATGCCTATTTCGCCAACGCACCACAGCCTGTATTTGAGCCTACCGCTTCGAAAGAGACTGTGCTTGATGTGGCGAAGGGTTGCCAGCGGCATATTGACAAGATCTTCGCCGAGCTGGAAGATATCCGACCGTTTGAGATCCTGCGTCAACAGAAAGACAAGGCCAATTATCTCCTTGTGAAGGAAGCGCGGATAATCGCCATGACATCAACGCATGCAGCAATGCGGCGCCAGGAGATTGCTGATCTGGGATTCCACTATGATAACGTCATCATGGAAGAAGCTGCACAAATCACGGAGATCGAGTGTTTCGTTCCCACTGCACTGCAGAACATGAAGAATGGAGAGCTTCCTCTCAAGCGCGTGGTTCTCTGTGGTGATCACTTGCAGAACTCGCCCATCATCCAAAATATGGCCTTTAGGCAGTACGCACATTTTGAGCAAAGTCTTTTCCTCCGATTGGTGAGGTTGGGGGTCCCTGTTATCACGCTTGACCAACAGGGCCGCGCCAGACCAAGTATTGCGGAACTCTTCCAGTGGCGCTATAAAGAACTCGGAAACCTTCCTACGGTGGAGACAGTTGAGGAATACAAACGGGCAAATGCTGGTTTTCAATTTGACTACCAGTTCATCAACGTCCCTGACTACCAAGGCAACGGTGAGCGAGAACCCACGCCACATTTCATCCAGAATCTGGGCGAAGCGGAATACGCCGTCGCCATCTACCAGTACATGCGTCTCCTTGGATACCCTGCCTCAAAGATCTCGATCCTTTCGACGTACGCCGGCCAAACGGCCTTGATCAAGGATGTTTTGAACCACCGCTGTGCCAAGAATGGACTGTTCGGTATGCCTAAGATTGTTACAACGGTAGACAAATACCAAGGTGAACAAAACGACTGTAAGTCATTCCGATATCTGATATGAACTCTGTGGATGCTGATCCGATCGCAGACGTCATTCTTTCGCTTACTCGAACCCGTACTGTCGGATACCTCCGCGATGTCCGCCGTCTAACCGTTGCGCTTTCACGCGCCCGGCTGGGACTCTACATCCTCGGTCGCCGCGAAGTGTTTGAGTCGTGCTACGAACTTAAGCCCGCTTTCGACCTCTTATTCCAGCGCCCGGATAAGCTCATGCTTGCGCCGGGCGAGATGTTCCCCTCTACACGCTTGCAAGATGATGATGTCCAGGGCACGTCGATGGAGAGCGTCGAGCATCTTGGACAGTATGTGTTCGAGATGACACAGGCCAAGCTCAAAGCTATGGGCGAAGAGAACATCGCCATAGACAATGAGATGCAGCTCGCCGATGAGGATCAGGTGGTCGATGAGGATGAAGTCATGATGGGCACCGGCGAAGATATGGACGATGATCCCCTGCACGAACATACCCTCACGGGCGCTTGAATCAAGTGCCAGAGGTCGACAATCTGCCCTTTTGGAAATCCACCTACCCATCATGTACGTCTCTATGTATGCTTTCTATAACTACAAGTACCCTGATTCCCTCGGGAAGCGAATATATGAACGTGTGATTTTAGACTGAGCGCTTCAATGAAGCCACGGTCATGACAAATATTCCTGTCGATTCTTCGTATATTTATTATATAGGACCGCTGTTTGGGACCTGAAAGGGCTCAAGCGCTCCCGCGCTTGGTCTTAGACATGTATATTCTATACATAGACCACTAAAAGTTCCTCCGCCAAGCCTTTTTCTCCCTTTTATATAAAGGCTCAACTTGTATCAAAATATAAGAAAATGAGCACATCCTCAGAGAGAGCTATCTATGCCTCACTCTTCGAAGATTCCTCATTGGCCATCTCCTCCACAATATTCTGCGGGTCCTTCCACGCAAGAGCGACAAACCTGATCGGGAAACGATTAGCCTGGTGTTTGGGAATGAGCGCAGTGAGAGTAATACTTAGTGTGACTGCCTCGTGCGAAGACGTCGCCCTTTTCGTTGAGGAATTTTATCGAGGTGTATGCCAGGGTTTTGCCAACTGCAATGTGCGACATGTGAGATGGTACGGAACCAGTGCTAGAGAGCGGTACCAGTGTCATCGGAAGGAAGACTTACACTTATCACATGTCACCTCCTGAAGTCGCGTTAGCTCCGCGTTAGAGATGTGCACGACCTAGGGTAAAGCTGGTTGTGGAGGGGGAACATACCGCTAGAATCTTGTCTCCGACCTTGCCACCGGAGCTAAGGTAGGTCACTATACGTGGGGGACTTGGGTCAGGGTACTCTCACTTATACCGCATACGCTGGTAACTCGTCATTTATTGGGCATGCTCGCCACTCACCGTTGAGATCCGTTGAGACACCCGTGGCAAAGAGGCCGCGCGAGGCTACCGCCAGAGAACCGCCTAGGTCAACTGGATCGGATTGACGTTAGCCTTGAATATAATAGTAATGCGCCGCTTTGGCAGAGGCTGGTTTACCCATGCTGGCGATGGTGCCGCCATGGAGGATGCTCAAGCGGTTCTGGTTTGCTTGTTAATTAGCTCACTCGGCAGAGGTAGCTGGACAGGCGCAGGTAGCCTACCGTGTGTTCCTTTTTGATGTCTAATTCGAAGTTGACGCTGCCCGGTCTGGCGGCTGTCACACGGAGCTGTGCGATATGGGTTAGTTTATTGATGCTGGGAGCGATTGTTCCGAGCTGAGATGTCGGACTGTATGCGACGAGCCGGAAACATAACACACGCAAGGTCGTCCCGAACTATGGGATCAAGATCATCTAGAGAGAGCATACACCGTCTAGTAGGCTGTTCCATCATCATTGGGGTGCTGTCAGTGGCGTGGATTGCGTAGAGACTGCTGGAGTTGTTGATGTTGACTTACCGAGGCTCCAGCCCCGAAGTAGCCCGAAACGACTCCCAGACCTGGGAAAGAGTAGTTAGTATATTGATCAGTGCAAGCAAGAGTCATAGATATGCTAAGACTTACAGATCTGACAAATCGCAAGGAAGCCATTCTTAAATTGATTATTTGGTTCAAATTGAGGTTGAGCCGGGGAATAATTAGTCGGCAGCGGAATCGGGACTATAAACGATGATAAATCGGGCGGGTTGAGGTCATCGCCGCGGACTGCGCTTTGGGCTTGCGTCGCTCACCGGAGCGCATCCCGGATTCTTTTTGCTGGTGTGTCAAACACCAAGCTCTGACAAAACTTCATTATTAGGCTGAAGGCGACAAATCCCGAACCCAGCTACTCTTTCTCGGGGTCGCACCATGCTGCAGAGGTGACTTGTGCAGACAAGATGGCTGCTGCTCCATCGTCTCGTCCGTTTGAATATCTCGAAGGCCTTCCTGGCACGGTCTTCTTCAAGCTTTACCAGCAGCCATCCACCGCCCTCGCCATCTTCAGGCGCATGCTGCCTGACTTGGGTATGCCACTCGACTCGCCCTATTCTCCACTAGTGACTTGCTGATCTGTGATGACTAGCAAAATGTTTTGTGATGGCACTGCTGTACCTCAAGGATCCGCTCCCCGCAGCGGATCTGGAGGTGTGGGTTAAATCCGAGAGCTTGAAGTGAGTGTTTACTGATCGTGTGATGGAGGGCCCTTCTGCTAGCTGGGCCGGTGGCTAATGTGTTCTCTGGATTAGGGAACGTGACAACGCGCTTTCGATCCTAGGCAGGCTACATATTTTGTCTAATACCGTCATCGCCAACAATGTCCGGGCCTACATGGTTACCAACCCGTTCGCTGCCTCGCTGCGACATGCTCTTACGGGAGCTGAGCAGACGCAGTCCTTCGGTGTTCTCGCACAGGTACCCGACGCGTCAGCAGTCTCCATCGCCAACTTGGATGAATACGCGAGGAGACAATGGGAAGGTGTGCTGGGATATATGGTGGGAACCAGCGGACTGGGAATCCAGCGGGACGTAAATCTGAGCAAAGGCGTGAAACAGCTTCTGCAAGCCGGTCACTTGGTGGAGATCAGAAGCAGTCGCGTTGACATCACCAAGGACGGCTTTGCCTTTGTTCTGCAGGACGTCAGCACGCAGGTGTGGCACATTCTGATCCTGTATGTGGAAAGCGCCGAAGCCATCGGGATGGATAGCGTCGAGGTGCTCTCGTTCGTCTTCCTGCTCAGCAGTCTCGAGCTCGGCAAATCGTACGAAAAGAGGCACCTCACCTCGAACCAACTCCGGACCCTATCCGATCTGGCCGACTTCGGGATCGTCTATCAAGAGTCACCCGATGCCTCGCATTTCTACCCCACCCGCCTGGCGACTACGCTCACGTCTGACTCCAGCGCGTTGAGCAATCCGATCTCCGGCTCTCTCTCCGGTAGTCCTACCGGCAATTCCGGCAAAGCTGGAACGGGCTTCATCATCATCGAAACCAACTACCGGCTTTACGCGTACACTTCGTCTCCTCTGCAGATTTCCCTCATCGCGCTCTTCACCACACTGAAGTACCGCTTCCCGAACCTCGTCACGGGCAAGATCACCCGTCAGTCGATCCGGCGGGCCGTCGAGATGGGCATCACCGCCGACCAGATCATCTCGTACCTGTCCACCCACGCGCATCCGCAGATGCGCAAGCACAACGCCTCTCGATCCACGTCCAACCAGGCGGGGATCTCACAGTCGATCCTCCCGCCTACGGTTGTGGACCAGATCCGTCTCTGGCAACTGGAACGAGACCGTGTCAAAGCAACGGCTGGGTTCTTATTCAAGGACTTTGTCAGCCTGGCAGAGTACGAGGCTCCGTGCCGGTATGCGGAAGAGATTGGCGTTCTTGTGTGGAAGTCGGATCGCAAGCGCATGTTTTTTGTCACCCGACACGAACAGGTTGCGGCTTTCCTACGGAGTCGGAAGTGAAAAATGCTACGGGTTCGCTTTACTATGGTCTGATTATGGTATGGTCTTGGCGTTAACGGCTTAAACTTTCTGAAGGCAACGTTCTTCGATTTGATGTGAGGGATAAATTAGATAGGGCCACGGAAAATGTATCGTAGTGGACAAAATATAAAAACATGCAAATCCAGTGATACGGAAATAGGCCATCGACGGATTGACGACCAACTACCGGGACTTCACAATTCAAGCAAGCATACAAATCGGAAACACGGCCAGCCCCCTCATCCAACATTCCTTTGACATTCTCAGTCACTTATAGTACATTTACACTAAACAACAAACGAGGTCCAGCCTCGCTATCCACCCCACACAAAGAAACATCTCAACCAAAGTATCAAGCAAAAAAAAAAGAAACTCAATCCATCCATCGGTCCCCATGTCTCGCTACATACTCTTCCCGGAACCTCCGAAGGCTATCGCTCGCCTTGTCGGTCACACACACATTCTCAAGCACCATGAACGCCCGCTTGATGCGATAGTTCGGCAGGTCACCTTCTGAATCCCCCAATGGCCGTGAGTAGCTCGAAAGCATGCCGAACCCCGTGGCCGCGTCGGGCTGCTGGAAGGAATCCTCGTAGTGGAAGGCGTTTGTGAGCGTCACGAACCGGCCCAGCCAGTAGGCGTGGTTCTTCGGCTCCCAGACCTGGGTGAACGAGGCCGGCCGGGCGATCAGCTTGGGTCTGTTCAGCGCCTTGACGATCGATGGGAGCGAGGCGATGCGGGTGTGCGTGAAGCTGCGGGGCGAGGGAACCGGTGCCATCTTTTCTTCCTGGGTGCGCAAGAGAATCTTTCGTTGGGGGTGGCTCCGGGTGGGTTGCTGTTGTCTGGGCTGGAATGGAGCTGGTGTTGTTGTTGTTGCTGTTGTAGGAGGCGCAGTCTTCGTCATAGCAGCCACGTCCCTACTACTACCGAAATCATCATAACCATCATCATGGGAATCCTGGATCCGCGTGATTCGAATCTTAGGCAATGGGGGTGTCGGAGAAGGAGGAGGTGGGGATACTCGCTCGGCCCCCCTGCTCCGTGATTCCCCTTCCCTTTCTAGCTCAGGTGTACGCAGAATCGGCGGTCCCTCCTTCTTCATCCTGCTGCTCTTCTGCTGTCTGGTGGTTTGGGCACGCAGGTTCTCGAACTTGCCCGTCCATCGGACTCTTTTCGGCGGGCTGGGGTCACGCATCCCTGTTCTTTTAGGACTTTGTGTTCGTCTCTGCGATTGTGCTTGTGCTCGTGCTTGTGTAGCAGCTACAGCAGCAGCAGCGGCGGCTCCCACCATTTTAGACCGCGAGGACACCGTCCCCTGAAGCAGCCGGCTAGTACTCGGAATCGAATGGTAAGAGGCCCTGCGCACGGGCGAAGAGGAAGAAGAATTCGAAGAAGAAGGGGGAAGGAGAAAGCTTCCCGATCGTGCTTTCCTGATATTTGGACGTCGGTCCCGGTCCTGGGTTCCATTGTCCTGTGTGCTTCTTCCCTGCGGACTCAGATGCTGCTGCTGGTGCTGTCTCTGCTGTTTTTGTTGTTGGTGGTGGTGGTGATGGTGGTGTGGGGTTTGCTGCGGGGGATGGTAACCCCGAGCCTTCGTCGCAAGACTACTCGTACTTCTGCTTGCTCTCATCTTGTCGTCGTTAGTGTCATCTGATAGCCAAATCTTATCAGAGGGGGTTGGTATTGATTGCCAGGTCGTTGATAGACTATCCGGCGGGTAGGGACAGTAATAATAGGATGAGCAGGAAGAGGAGAAACCACTGCACGGAGAGCCATATGCGCGTCCAATAGGTTCAGGGTCATCCTCAAGGAGGGCGCTCATGCCTTTATGCATCTCATCCCTCTCTCTGTTGTGGTCGCAGAGCAGGAACCTTCCATTCTCATATGAGAGGTTTTCTTTGTCTGGGTGTTCAGCTACCCGGTTCGTTGGGGGGTTCTTTGAGATTGCTAGAGCTGGTGCTTGGTGGTGGATGCGGAGCTGTGTGGTGAAGTGGAATCCTTCGTTGGCTTTGTTGTTTGGGGCTGGTAGGTTTTCTTTGGCATTGTTCTGCTGGTGTGATGTCTCCCGGTTGCGTTTCGTTTGGGGCTTGAGATTGGGGAGAAGGTGGCGTTTGCGGGTTAGGATAGAGAGCATGGTTTGTGGGCTTTCGTCTTGCTGAAGCTTGGGTGAGGACTAGAGATTTGGGGTGGGGAGGCGTGAGGGGACTGGGGTAATTGCTTCTCTTTTTGAAGATGGCACGTAGTAGCAGTGTGGAGGAGAGATGGGAAGTGGAGGAGGAGAGTGGTACCGTGTTAATGTAGTGCAGATCCGTATGCGATGGGAATGAGGATCTGATTCTTTCTGGAAATTTGCGTCTCGCACGTTTTGAAGGGCGTTGTTTACTCTGGTCAGAGGTCGTCTGGATAGTGGAAGGGAAAGTCTCCGAGGAGGAGCGGGTGGAAACATTGTCTGTTGCTGTGTTGGGATGGGGATGGTGAGCTCCGCTGGTGACATAGTCTTGTTGAGTGCAGTTGTACTCCTGTGGTGAGCCTGAGAGAGCCTGGCTCTGCAATGCGCCTTATCAATGATCTTAGGATGGAGGTAGGGGTGATGCTGTGATGCGGCATGGTTGCTATCGAGTTTGGGCTTCCAGAGAGTATCGCCTGCGGATGGTTGAAGTCTGTGGTTGCTGGGCATTTTTGGGTGCGTACACTGCTTTGATGCTCTAAATGGAAAGACGAGACTAGATTTTGCGATAAGAAGATTGCAAGATTGTGAACCTGAATTATGCCTGTATATAGTGTAAGCAGAAGAGGGTTGGAGGGAGGGGGGAGAAGTGAATTGACAGTGAAATCAAAACCAGATTGATAATTAACTTCTCATGCGCATGCCGTGCAAGACGAATTGTACCAACATAATGAACAAGTTGAGACCTGAGTGTCTATTCTGTAACGGTATACACCTAAAACATCTCCATAAGATCGATTTACAGCTGGCTGGCCAGCAACCTGCCGACATCTGAGTCTCCCATCTTCCAGATGGATCATAATAGCCGCAGACACCCCCTAAGCATCGGAAAGAACCTCACTCACCAACCCAGCCGCTGCCAATGTTTCCTCATCCTTGAAGTGTTTTCCAACCAACTGCAAGCCCACAGGCGCTCCCTCATACCTTTCTGCTCCGGCAACCGTCCATTTCGCCCATTCCTGTTCATCGACCCCGTTCGCCCGCGGTTCATACTCCTTTCCTTCGTCTGCCAGCTCATCTTTTCTGACGAACAGCCCACTAGGAAACACTACAGCCGGCTGGTCTAGAATATTCCAGATGGCTGTATAATTCCAGTAGTGGCTTTCACCCAGCACGGCAGCGACGCCAACGTACGCGGGGCAGAGGATAAAATCGACACCGCGAGACCGCATCAGGGCTTGATACTCATCGCGATAGATATCACGTTGAGCGTTTAGGTTCCAGGCCTCAGCTACAGTGAGGGGATTGGGTTTGCTGTAGTGGAACGCCCACGACGTCAGAGGAAGGGTGGGTTCGCCCGATGCGGTGATTAGGGTACGTTGGAGGAGGGCCGCGTCAGGAAAGTACATTTTGGACTTATCGATGTCAGTACAATAGGAACTAGAAGGTTAGTTAGAGGTGCAAGGACGAGACATACGATGATGTCCCAGCCGTGGTCGTGCTTGTACGGTTCCCAGTCCACGACTTTGATGCCGGCTGCTTCGAGCTTGGATTTGGCCTGTCTGAGAGCGCGGGTTACCGGGGGATGCGGATGAGCGATTCTGGAGATAGTGACTTTAGTTAGTTTACAAGTGGACCAGTTCCTTATTTTAAAGTCGTGTGACAGGCAGTTGGCTGGAGATAGAGAGATATTAGAGGCTTACCCGTCATCCCACAGGATTCCAACAGTCATTTGCTTCGTAGCCTGCACTCGTCGCCACGGTACTGGCGGGATCGAGGTTTCGGTCTCCCAGGGCTCTTGGTCAAGGACAGCCTGTTGGAAGAGTTCGAGATCTGCCACACTCTGACTAGCGAGAGGTCCAACAACGCCGCGAATTGATTCTTGGCCCGGCTCTGGCGCCTTAATCCCTGTCATTGGGTTGCGTAGCGCGGTCGGACGAAATCCATACGAGCCACAGAATGCCGCTGGACAGCGAATTGAGCCCCCGATGTCTGTGCCAATGCCCAGAGGAGCGCACTTGAAGCCTGTCGAGACGCCCTCGCCCCCAGAGGAGCCCCCGGGACTGAGAGTAAGATTGTGTGGATTTAGTGTCGTGCCAGTCAGGTTGTTGCTACAGCAAAGATGCTGACGGAGTTAGCTTGGTAAATAATCTACCAGGGAGGAAGAGATACCATGAGAGATTGCGGTTGATTAGTGCGGACGTGGAAGACAGCTCCAGCTTTTTCGAGGCATTGTAGGAGGAGCGCATCCTCCGTTGCAATGTCGTTTACCCTTCATTTCGTCAGTTGTTGAGTTTCTCTAGAGAGGTTGTCTGTATATACCATGCTACATAGCCGCCATTACAGGTCAGGTCCTTGATTCCGATGTGCTCCTTGACGCTGATGGGCACTCCATGCTGCGATTGTCAGTTTCCTGTCTCTTTCCCGTTTGAATGATAAACTCTTACCAGCGGCCCAACCAGCTTTCCAGTATCCTTAAAATATTGGTCCAGCTCCCTGGCCCGCGCAATAGCTTTGTCTGCAAGGAACTCTGTCGCAAAGTTGAGCTATACCGTCCAGTATCAGTAACCATATCACCTGAGTGGATAGACTTCGGCAAGACCGGTTTACAGACCAGTTGATGTCCCACCACGGCACGCTTCAAGAAAGCTACCACCACCTCCTCTGCTGTAAGCTTTCCTGAACCCATCTTCCGCACCAACTCTGTGGCAGACATCTCGGTGATGGTCAGCTCGTGCTCCGAGAACAACCCGCTCTTGCGCGGAAAGTCCTCCACATTCTTCACATCAGGCGAAGGTACTTTATCTGCGGGGATGAGCCATTGCTTGGGAATAGAGCTTGAAAGAATATCTCTGGCTTTTTGAGCTTGGATCTCCCATGGAAGCATAATGTTAGGATGATGGTCGATCTGTTATAAGAGAATGGAAGAGAAGCACAGGTGTAGGGAGCAGGAATTTTGGAGAAGACAACTTTATAAGGTCGCTTCCAGCCGCGGATCAACAGACAGCTGGCGCACAACCGGCAACATTGAGGACGCAGAAACTAGGATGGACGCTTGACCGGCATTTCCGAATCGTGATGGAGGCCAATCATGGTAGCCTGCAAGAGGGGAAGCTATTGTCGCAGCGTGCAGATATGCGATCAACCTCGGGTAGAGATGCGGCCTTTCTTATCTGTCGCAAGCACCTGCCTATCGCGGCTTATCACTGTACGACCATCGTGACACGTCCTTGAATGACGAGCTGATGGGAGTAAGAGTCTTCGAGAGGTTTTGAAACTATACGATCGAGATTCTAAAGCCAAACACCATGCATCCAGCAAAGAACAGGATATCTCGCAATGCCGTTATTCCCCACGGAATCAATTCCGCATGCCTTGAGGGGTAACAGATAAGGAATTCCGAGTACTTATCGCCGAGTGGAGAATCTGTGAGGGGAAATGAATGATACGCAGTAAGTGAAGAAGAGGAGGAGGAGGAGGAGGAGAAGGAGAAGGACAAGGAGGAAGAGGAGAGATGACTAAATCCAACTCAGATGACGTCCCACCATTAACTATGCAGTTTTAGTAATCGATTAGTTACAATTTCCCTCTCGTCTCTGCAATCCCATCCCTCCACCATTCCATCTCCTTATCTATCCACAACAGGTTAATCCTGTGCACATTGTCCCACACACGACCTGACATTTCTCCAATTCTTCCGTCTCCAATCTAGCGATTGTCCCCGGATGTACCACCTCCGGCTGGATGGTGGTTGAATGAATTCCATACGCATGAAAACATTCGTTGATGGTCTTGGTTAATTTTAAGAATCTCGGGACCGAGCTATCAGACAACATCACATGGACAGATGCCAGTGTCTTGTGCTGGTTCAATTGCCAGATGTGAAGCTCATGGATTGAAAGTACGCCGGGTATCTCGCTCGTGGTTAGCTTGGGAGCATTCACCGCGCCTCGAGACTTACCTTCTCCAGGTCATGCTTCACATCTGCAGCATCGACTCCGTTCGGCGTGCTCTCAAGTAAGATGAGACCGGATCGTCGCACTATGCAGAGTTAACACCCAGACGGCGTACAGTAGGGCTATTGAACACACTAAGCGGGAAAGAGGACAGGATAATCATGATTGAAATACCCATAGTCGTCCCTGGATCGGCATAGTATCGACCCTCATAATGGGTCAACCAGATCACCAACGCCGCGGCCATGACTCCAAGGTTATTGGCGGCGTCACCAAGAACATGGACCAATACCCCCATCATACCTAAATCGTGACCATGAGCGACTGGTTCCGTGATCTGGAGGACATGCTTATGGTCGTCGTGCTAATATAATGAGACAGTCAGCAATGGCGTGAATATCATGTGTCGCCAGAGGAACTGACCCCGGGGCTCTCAGGCCCCTCTTGACCATCACTGTCTTCAGTGCTTGTCGCGGGGACCTCGATCATGGCTCGAGCTGGATGGTCATGGTCATGTCCGTGATGGTGATGCTCTATATCTATCATTGAGTATGCCCCGTTGTCGAGATCATCGGAACTCACCATGGAGGAATGTTGCGCTTATTAGGTTAAGTCCTAAGCCAATAGATCCCATGATGAACATGAGCTTAGGATTTTCAACACCTGTTGATAGTCAACTTAGGGCCGGTCTAGTATGAGAGTATACCCACGTTCTATCGAGATAAAGCGCTCAATAGACTGCAAGAAGACGGATATGCCAAGCCCGAGCAGAAGGACCCCGTTGAAAAAGGCACCCAGTAATTGGGCTCGCTGCCATCCAAATGAGAGTGCCTTGGGCGATTCATCGGCCTCTGATACCTAGCAAGCATGGGCTTCAGCGTCTGCTCCTCACATATTTGGTGAATGACGACCTTAACGCACCCTGAGAGCTAGCAATGCGACAACAAACGATACTAAGTCGCTCAACTGCAACCATCAGTATTCATCGCTCGACGCAGCGTATCCGACATACGTAGTGAAAGGCATCGGCCACCAAAGCTAGCGAATGTGTGTAAAAACCGACTGTGGCAACAAGCGATTAGCGACAGCGCAGCGACTACGAAACCCGGTGTGACAGGAAATTAGGCACCTGAGATCTCTGACACGAAAAATGCAGAGGAAATTGCGATAACGACCATTAAGCGCTGAGAGCGCGAGATTTTGGGTGACATGGCCCCCCTCTGTTTGGTGTAACAATGAGACTGACCACGAATGACGCGGTTGATAAAGTACTCACGGCTGACCGAGAACTTACCGGTCAGACCCTGCCCCTTACATGTCCATCTGCACCAGCCCTACTGATATTCCGTGGAACCAGGCTGAAGCGGACAGATTACACGCGAGGAGAACTTCTGGAATCTCTCGCGGGTTTGTTGTATAGGAAAGAGTTGGGACAACCCAACAATGCACTGCTGGACAGGTTGCTACCTCTATATACCCTCAGACCACGGTTTCAAGGACGTTTTCGAATGCAACAAGCGCCAGGTCGGTCACACATCACATGCAGCTCGAAATGGTCCGTAATTTCCTATTACCCCTGAGCTCTACATGACGAAAGTGGATACTATTGGTGTGGCCTTACTCATAGGTACGTTTAAAACAATGAGTCAATTGGATTAGGGTTAACATGCTATCATTTCTCGTAACTAGCCAGCGATGCCAGCCACCTAGGCAGCGACTTCATCAGTCAGGCCATCCAACTCTCTCTGCCAATTCCTGTGTCGTGAGATCTGCCAAATAAACCGGTCGAGCAATCCCTTGCTGTCCTTGCTAATCTTCGACGATGCCTGCAGGAGCTCTGCTGGGGAGCCATGACCGGTGACCACACCGTAACTCTCCACCATCTCGCCACTCGAGGCGTGCTGCACTGCGTCCAGGTTGATCTGCTTCCGAATGAAATCAACCGCCTCATTTATGCCGGCAATCGGCTTCAAGTGGGCAAATGACTCGGTGATCCAATACTTGGCTATGCCGTTCTTGGTCAACGCAGCGATATGCTTGCCCCCGGGGACAAACACAGCATCGAACAGGGTCGATCGCATGCCGGGGAAATGATGATCAGGAATCACCTTCTCACCGGACTCAGCCGTGACACCCTGGCGCTGGGTGCCGATGGTAAAGACAAACGCATTCTGCTTCTGCAAAGCCTCCTTCATCCTGACATACGACTCGTGGTCAAAACCATCGGCAATCAGGATGGCAACCCGGCGAGTCGCGATCTGTGCATCATCGGACAGATACTCGAGTTGACTGAGTCCCTTAGACGTCTTGCCCTCGTTGGGCTTACCGGCCTTGGTGGGTGTATCGCCTCCCACGTTCTTTGCCACAGTCTTGGCCAGCTCGAGGTCGACAACGGCCAAGCGTTCGGACAAGCGCTTATACACAATCTCTTCATCGCAATGATCAAGTTCGAAGGAGAACGCCTTGGCCACATGTTGCTTCTCGATGGGCGAAAGAGAGTTGTAGAACAGCTGGGCCTGGTTAAAATGTTCTTTAAACTTGTCCGACAATCCGCGAGTCTTCACACCCCGTTGCTTCTCCGGATAGGTAGCGAAACCACCCTGTTCCGGCGCCGCAGGGGGGTTGGTGCTGTATCGGTTGGGCCAGTAGTTGACCTTGCCTTTGGTGATACGGTGTTTCATCGCGCCATCCCTGTTGACCAGATTCATGTATGGGCACACAGGGCGGTTGATAGGCAATTCCTCCCAGTTCGGGCCCAATCGAGAGAGCTGAGTATCGAAGTAGGAGAAGTTTCTGCCCTGGAGAAGGGGGTCATTGGAGAAATCAATGCCCGGCACGATATGACTGGTACAAAAAGCCACCTGCTCAGTCTGTGTGAAGTATTCGTCCACGTTACGGTTCAATTCCAACTGTCCGATATAATCAATCGGCACCAATTCCTCCGGCCAGATTTTTGTAGCATCCTGGATATCAAACTCAAAGTCGTCCATATTCTCTTCCGGGATGACTTGAATGCCAAATTTCCATCGAGGGTACTGGCCGGCGTCGATAGCGTCCATTAGATCCTTGCGGTGGAAATCGGGATCCTGGCCAGCAATTTTCAAGGCCTCATCCCATACTAGAGAGTGAACACCAAGCTCCGGAGTGAAATGGAACTTGACATAGTGACGCTGGCCTTGTGCGTTGACGAGGCAGAACGTGTTGACACCGAATCCCTGCATCATACGGTATGATCGAGGAATCGCGCGATCGGACATGACCTAGGCATTGGTCAGTATACCCCTAACGCCACAGACGCAGACAGTACCACTTACCCATTGCTGCATATGCGTAGTCTCTGGATGAAGATATTGGAAGTCCCAGAAGTTGTTATGGGCTGACTGGCCCTGAGGAATTTCGTTATGAGGCTCTGGCTTGACAGCATGAATGACGTCGGGGAATTTGATCGCATCCTGGATGAAAAAGACGGGCATGTTGTTGCCGACAATGTCCCAATTACCCTCGGAAGTATACAGCTTAACGGCGAACCCTCGGACGTCGCGAACGGTATCGGCACTGCCCTTGCTACCCTGGACGGTCGAAAACCGTACGAACACGGGCGTCTCGCGGGACGTGTCCGTCAGAACACCGGCCGTGGTGAGCTCGGGGATTGCCTTGTGGAGGGTGAAGGTACCGAAGGCGCCGGCGCCTCGGGCATGAACCACACGTTCGGGGATACGCTCATGGTCGAAGCGCATGATCTAACAAAGGGTCAGTACAAGCCAAAAACCGTCTGCAAGAACAAGCGAGTTAAATTCACCTTCTCTCTAGCAATTGGATCCTCCAACAACGAAGGTCCCGTGGTCTTTGCATCGGCCACGCGAAGCCAATGGTCCGGGTCCGCCACCTTGATCCCATAGTCGGTCGTCATGGGCTGGCTGCCCTGATCTCCGGAGAGGTCAACGGTATCCCGCGCGAGATCTTCCTGCTTTGACATGGTGTATATTTCAGGTCTTGTGGTATTCGTATCTTTGACTTCTATCTGCACTAGGACCAGGGTCACGCTGCGTCTCTCTTATATACCCGTCGCCCCTCAGCCCTATACCAGCAACCAACAGTCTAGCCCCTCCCAATCCCCATTCCTCATTTCTAATCAACACCCCGAACGACGTTACTCAGCTCCTGCATCTAGCCCGGATTGACAGGGACAGATGATGCAACACTTTTGCTAACGACCGACCGATCGCCCAGTCAGGGTCTCTTGCCGGCCAGGCGACAGGGGAGCATGATGTCAGCTCAGGTACGGTCCATCCCCACTCAAACCGGTTTGATGGCCTGCGCATTTCCGGGGGGAATCCATGCACTACCGAAGCTTGGTTTCCCTTGTTCCGGATCGACGGGATTTGCAAAACATCTAGTTAGTTCTAGTTCGTCCGTCCTTCTCTAAGGGTCTCTTTTCCGAGGGAGTGACGTCATTGATTTCGAACACCAGGAGCAAGCAAAACAAGGGTCGGGGATTGTTAACCTTCCTTCTTTCCTTGGTCTGTGAACGGTTCGCAGTACAGTGCTCTATGAGGAAAAGAGAGATTGAAGCCGGTGTGGGAAATTGAACACGATCGAGATGTTTCCTACCGTCCACTCTGCTGTCTAGTATATTTCCACTTGCATGCATGTAGCACTCACTTCAACACAATGAACCTCAGTAAATACAAGCTAAATGATATCAACAGATATACTCATCCCATCCCAACCCATCCCATCCCATCTACCTATCATCTCATATAACCATACCATATTCGCAAGGCCGTATACACCGATCAAGTCTAGAGTCTCCAGACGTTATAACCTCCTCCCTATCCAACAGCCCCACCAACCACAGCGAGGCAGAAAAAGAAAAGAAGGGGGAATCTACATATTATCCTCCGCCCACCGGCCCCTCCCCTTGACGAACTCCTCGCGCTCCTTCGCCTTCGCACGGGCATTATTCTTCCCCTCTACAGAAGCCGAGGCCGAGGCCGCGCCGAGGCCGCGCTCAACCCACTGCTTACTCTCCATCTCCGTCAAGCGGGACAAGGCGCGCGCAAAGGCGAAGCGCTCCTCGTCGCCCGAGAAGATGGATGTCGTCTTGAGCGCCTGCATCGACAGACCCAGGTCATCCATCATCATGCGCATCGCGTCGCTCAGGTCGGAGTGATCGTCGCCCCGCTGATCGGTCAGGGTGGTGCGGACGTCGGACTCGGACAGAAACAGGTTGGTGAGCGGGGTGGCGGTTGTAAGGACGAGTTTGGCCTGGTGATTTTTCAGGGTTAGCTTTGGTTCTAGTTCATAGATGGGGGCAAGGCAAGAACATGCTGGAAAGTGTCTGGGAGGTAAGGTAAACGGAAAGGAGAGGGAGGAGAATAGGAGGGAAGAAAAGCACTAACCCGACTCTCGTAAACGGCATCAATGAACGTGATGAACCGTCTCGCTAGATCGCGCTGGTTCAGATTCATGCCGGGCACATCGGTGATGATGAACGCCTCGTAGTTGCGGACGAGCTCCAGGTAGTCGGCTGCGCCTGTGGCGGACCCGATCAGCTGCTGGAACGAGAAGCGCGCGGCCTTGCCGCTGGCGAGCGGTACGGCGATCTTGCGACCCCAGACTTCCTGAGTGGTCGGGTGCGGGGGATCGTTCTGGAAGTCGCCAAGGTATTCGAACCATTTTTGAGCGTGGGCGTCGGCGTCGGCGCCGAGTGGGTGGTGATAGACGGCGGCTGGGGGCCGGGGGATCTTCCGGTAGTCGGTGGGGGAGTTGAGGTTGATGACGTGGAGGGCAGTCTTAAGGAGGTTGATGCAGGGGATGAAGGAGTCGCGCTGGATGCCGTTCTTGTAAAGGTCGTCCGGGTGGCGGTTGGAGGTGGTGACGAGGACGACGCCGTGGGACATGAGGTGCTCGAGGAGCCTTTTTGACAACCGGTTAGTCATGCGTCTGACACAGCAGGGAAAAGGTATGCGCCTACCTCCGCAGAATCATCGCGTCCGCCACATCCGTACACTGGAACTCGTCGAAGCACAGCACACTCGACCGCGCCGCGATATCCGCCGCTACAATCGGGAGCCCATCGAAATCATGCCCGTACTTCATCTTCACCACGTGCATGCGCTTGTGCACATCCTGCATGAAGTTGTGGAAGTGGATGCGGTTCTTCGCCTTGATGTTGTCCGGCAGGGACTCGAAGAACAGGTCCATCAGCATCGTCTTGCCGCACCCGACATCCCCGTACATGTAGAGTCCCTTGGGCAGGGACTCGGAAATCGTCAGCTCCGACTTCGCGCTGCTGCTGTTGCGCCCGAAGAGCGAGCCGAAGAAGGAGGACGATTTGGGTTTGAGATCGAGGGATTCCGGGCTGGGGTGAATCACCGCAGGCGGGTGGTAGGATGTCAATCGTTCGTAGAGATCTTGGAGTTTTTCGATGATTTCTGTAATCGAATGGGTTCCGGTCAGCAACCTCTTCCCTGGTACCTCTCTAGCTTCCCGCAATTTCTGCGCAATCCTGCCCTTCTCTGCCCACCCAAGAAGGAAAGGAAAATAAGAGGAAAAAACATACGTCTCTGATAAGGATCATCCCGTAACCGACCCTCCTGCACTCTCACATCGTACTCCACCAACGGACCCCCGCGCAGCCCAGCTGCGCCCGGGGACGAAGAAGAAGAAGCCTCGCCCTGCCCAGGAACCACCGTCGCGAACCCCCGCGTATATTGACCTTGAGCCCGTCTCAGGTCAACAGAGCCAGAACCACCACAGACCCGAACATTCGTCAATTGGCACACGCCCCGAGACCCGTTGTGCACCTCCCGACGAGATTCGCGAGAACACGCCTGCCGGGCTCCTGCTCCTATTACCTGCGGCGCAGGCCTTGCATGACGCAGGACAGGGACCCTGGACCGCAGCGCGCCGGGCAAGTACTCCGCGCAGAGTTTCGCAGACGAGCCGCTCATGGGTGAGATGTCCCGTGAGATAGGACTAAAAGGAAAGCTGAAAGAGAAAGAGAGGAAGAAAACGGAGGATATCTAGGACTGAATTATAGAAACTTGCTAGCGATTGTGAAGCGCATGCGAACAATGTAAAAACGGTGGAAAGCGCTTCGCTTCGTTTCGACCGAGGTTGCCCGGCCGGTAAATAATCGGCGAAGGGGGACAAGAGCGGGGACGAAGGGATCTCGGCCGGGAGAGTGGACGGAAGGGCTCGCAATGAGAGACGTGCTGTGGTAGAGCAGTATGTACAGTCCACTGCAGAAGTCGTTGGCAATATACAAAAGGGAGGGACGAAATCCAGCGCAAATTTGAGAATGAAGCATGAACGGCCTGGTACCCGGCGCAAAAACCCAGGGGAGAATGACCTCGTTCCGATGCTCGTCATGTGATGCGGTTATCGGCAATCGACCCGGTGCTTATGTCATTCTGCGGAGGCGGAAATTGCCTCTTTGCCGATTGGTTGGTGCGTGTCCCATGAGCAACTAATGTATCTATCACAGACATCGGAAAGAGATAAAAATGGGTGTAGGCGTTCACCTACAATGGCTGAAATTATATGCAGAAGCAGGCTTATGTACACTGGAATAAAAACACACGCAGAATCAGGGTATGGAGGAACACACTCAGCCATGGCCCGGTAGACAAAAGAAAAGAGAGAGGGTACATGATGGCATAAACGTTTCAGACATGTCAATTTTGTCATCGTATCAACCTCGTGACTCGGCAACAACAACACTCGCTCAGAGGCTGATGACCAAGGATAGAAAGAGAAGGACACCATAACACCAGTGCACCAGAAAAATGAGGTGCAAACAAACGAAACGAGAAGAACGGACAGGTCTATAAGAGCTGAGATGAAAATCATCGCTTCTATGCAATTTCGACGTATAGGGTGAGTTTGGAGTTTCGCGAAATCGCCGTGTCAAGGTCGGCATCATTGGCCAAGTCGACATATGTCCCTGAAGGCTCGTCTTTATACTGAACGACGATCTCATCTTGAATCTTGAGACGATCAATCAGCTTCTCCCTCAACTGCTGGAGGCTGATATCGCTGGGAACCCGGATGGCAATTAGGTCGTCTTGGAAAAACACCTTGACTTTCATGGCACCGCTGCTTGAGGTGGTGGAGACTTGGGTGATCGAACTGGGTTGGCGGTTCATGGGAGGTGGACCGCCGTTGCCCAGGGACAGAGACGGCTGGCCCCGATGGTGAGAGTTGCGCTCCGTGTGCACGGCGATCGGAGCCTGCGAGGACTGCCGCGATACGCTGCGCGTGGGTTCATGCGTCGACGAATGGTGCGAGCCACCAGAGAACCGTGCGTCCTCGCCAAATGCGCTTGGATCAATCTCAAAGTCCCCAGCACGGGGCGCGAATAATTGGCGGACCAGTTGGCAGCGGGAGATGTGGGGTGGCATGGCCAGCAACTTCTTGATATATTCATCCAGGTTCTGTCGGCGGCCATTGGAGATGGCATCCGTAACGTGGGTGACAGGTCCGGGCATATAAGGTAACGTGCGCGGCTTCCCACGGTTCCCCGCCTCCTCCTCAAACTGAGTCAAAAGGGCGATCTGGAAATCGTAGAAGTCGTGGTAATAGCGTGACAGCTCCCAACAGCGGCCGTCCTCCATCTTCGCCTCGATGATATACCAGTATTTATCGTTGTCGAAGCAGTAGCGAGGAATCGAGGCGGCGATGGGCGCCATGAGAGGTTGGTGGTAGCTTTGCTGAGACTGATGAGATACTTGTTGCACGAGAGAGCTTTTGCTTGCGTTGCGATTGTGGTAGGCCTTTCACCAGCCAGTTTAGCAAGTTGTTCTCCATTAATGCGCGATGACTGAAAACTCACAGACATATGGCCGTTCTGGCTCATCTGGCTCGTACTCTGCCGGCCAATGGACATTCGGTCCACTCCTGATGTAACTGACTGCATCGACGACGAGCCATTGCTCTCGATCTTGCCCAGAGTGATGCTGCTGTTCTTGTACTCGGCCGTCATCTTCTTCCATTCTTCCACCTTGGGCACGCCGGCGCGCCTGACGGCCTCCAACGGATCGGTCACCGCCTGACCAGTTTGCATATCGCGCAACTCAATGAAAGAGACCGGGATCAGACCTGGTCCCCCAAGGCGACCGATAGGTTTAGCGACGAACCATTCCGGATTTGACTGAGCGATCACGATGATGGCCTCGCCGGCCTTCGCATCCAGCTCGTCTGGTCGCTCGGCCTGAAAGTCGTACTGAACGATGCCGTAGACCATAGGGCTCGAGCCCTTCCCTAATGCCGACATCCTGAGCTGCGAAGAGGATCGGGGCGGGCTGTGGACGAAATCGGAGGCGGGGAACGCGGAGCGATCTGAAAAGCCGGAGTCGTGCGGCTCTTTCTTTTTATAGAAGTCGACGGAGCCAACGCTATCTCTCTCGTTCTTGCCTATGACTTCGAAGAAAGACACGGGAACCAACCCCCTGGCACTAGGGATGAGGGGATTGCACGCCTCGTACCAATCCTGATCGTCCTCCCTGCTGATAACGTGAAAGAAGTCTCCCTTGCTGAACGCAAGCTCCTGTGAGTTTCCGGGCTCCGGTTGGTAATCGAAGAGCGCTTTGATGACCTACGCGCAAAACAGGGATGTTGAGTTAACAGTTGTTTGCGACGAAATGATTTGTCCGACTTGACGCCGGCAACCCAGGGCGAATGCGAAGAAAAACAAATCCCACCCCACGGAACACAAGCGATCGGGAACAAGTAGTCATGGAAATGAGACGAAGGAGGGGTAAGAAAGGGGGGTATAGGATTAGGTTATGTAAAAGAGTCAAAAATAGTGACAAAGCATAAAAAAGGGAAAAGAACAAGAATGGGATGGGATGTGGAGCATGGGAAAGAAAGATTGGGGATTGTGGGAAGCAAATAGTGGAACAGCAAAGGTGCAGCCAAACCAAACATACCTTCTTAGGCGGGAGGATGGCGATAGCGGACTTGGGCGTAATGGACAGATGATGATGGTGATGATGGTGGGATTTGGGATCTTTCTCCCCTTTCAGTGAACGTCGAATGGCCTAAAGAATGGGCGGCGAAAAGGTGTAAGGATTAGTGAATAGGATCAATGGAATTGAATTATTAATTGAGTGAGTGAATGAGTGAGTGAGTGGTTTGAATAATGGTCGGAGGGAAAGACTGGAGACCTCAAGACCAGGAAAGGTACGGGAGGAAAATCGCAGAAAGAGAAGCCGCAATCGCGAACACCCAACCAGGGCGGGCCCAGCCAGAGAGCGAGCGAGCGAGCGAGCCAGCCAGCCAGCCGAAGTCGACGATTGCTAGTAATTAATTTTGGGCGGTGGTGGTCTCGGAAAAAGAACAAGCGACAATCGAGATAAACGAGGGGCGGGAAACGAGGGGGGCGTTAAAGCTCCAGTGCAAGCAAGTTTCAGCAAATTCGAAACATACCTTCATTCTTGTTTCGGCAAGTCGGCCAGTCCCAGGTTGCGCCCCGTCAAAAGTGTATGAGCTATCACAATCGGGGATCAATCAATATAGAGAGTGTGTGAAATGATATAATATAGGGCTTAGGGGCAGGGACCCGAGTTCTTTCAACTTTATGAACTCGAGATCAGCAGCCACCACGGGGGAAGTCAAAAGAAAACGGAGGAGAGGCGACTCAGGCAATGAAAGACTTGTACAAAGGGAAAGGATTGGAGCGGAAAGGCAGCAATGGAGGCAACACCTCTTTTAGGAAGAACCGTAGAAGACCTATGGAAGGAATGGAAAAAGAGAGAAAGATAAGAGAATAAAGTTTTATGAACAATGAAAGAGAATGTTGTTCAGAGAGAGACACAGTCGGAAAGATGAAGGGAAAAGGAGGGGCGGAAGTTGATGAGTGATAAATCAATGGAAAAGCGTTCGAGTACTAAGAGGTAATAATAGCAATCACTGCAACCTGTCGACGGTCGACGGACTGACTTGACTGACTTAATGATTGATGAATGGGCAGTTAGGGAGAGAGGGAGGGAGGGAATGTTTCTTGCCCTCCTCTTTTTCGTTCTCTTTTTCCTATTCTCCTTTTCGCCCTTGCCTTTCACTCACTGGTTATCCTCTCTCTTTTTTTTTTTCTCTAACCGTCCCAGGATTTACCACGGGTGAACCTGTAACGTGGATTGGAGGGGGAGAGGGGAAACAGAAGAGAGGTTCTGGATTGCGACGACGCAAAAAGAAAGTGGCCCGCTTTCTTTTAGAGGGCCCCGCCCCTGAAGATGTCGATATTTGATAAGTTGAGTCGAGATGTCCTGCACCAGCGATGTGTGATGTTCGTCTTATTCCTTCTCCTTGCGGCAGTCGTAGCAATGAGATTGACGTAAAGAGATGGTGGTTCAAGAGCAGACGAGGCAAGATAAGATGTCTGATCTGGCTGGTGGTGGTTTGCGACCCAGTGGATGAGGAGGTGGCAGTTGATGGGCCGTGGGGACTCGGAAGCAGCGTGGATTGATTAATCCAAGGACAAGAAGTCAGGAAGAACGAACGAACTGTGGTGGTGGTAGTGATGGTGGTAGTTCAACTGTGGCGGGAAATTCCAGCTAATCCCCAACCCGGTTGGTTGGTGTTCCCTCCCCAGCCCTGTGATCGCAAGGTTAAGGGGAAAAAATAAAAAAAATAAAAATAAAAATTTAGAAGTAGGGTGTGGCAAAAAGGTCTGTTAAGGTGTTGGGTCTGTCTGTCATCATGCGATAGCCGTTACAATGATGGGTACTCGTCTCGGATAACTGTGGGTGCAGCCGATGATCGCGGGTCTCTTTCTTGCTATGAGTACTCTAGCACTTCTCGTGGTCTACTTACATCAGCAGGAGAGAATGACAACAGACAATCTTCAAATCAGATCAGATCCCATGTGGTTGATAGCCCAGTAGATAAACCTAAGGAATAATGTGCGACAGTAACAGCAGCAAGAGGCATCCAGCAGACGAAATAAGATCCGCGATGGAGTAGTGTACAGCAGCAGCAGCAGCAGCAGCAGCACTCCAGGCTGTGTCCAGTGTGTGCCTAAATGCGCAAAACCTCAAACCTCAGCTGCTTACCACCGGCGGTCCTTCATATTAGTCTTCTCACCACCGGATGCTGCTCCCCGGTCCTTCTGCATGGATGTATGCCCTACCTACGGAGTACTACCTACCTACTGGATGATGGGTACTAACCAACCCTCGCTGATGCTTGCCAGCCCTGTCCCTCCACATCACCTTGATTTGAAACTGCAACCAGGTCTTTGCTTTTTCTGTTCGAAAATTCTCACAATGCATCTTGTTCCCCTTTCTCTGCAGTGTGATCAACACCCCCTGGACGGAGGTTGGGCACCGCACCAGTGCCGAAAAAGGAAGAGTAGCCTGGCTGATGGAACGGGGTAGTGGATTGGATACCAACCAGGTCGCTGGAACAGTGGAACCTGAATGCAACTGAACGCAACCTTCCTTCCCCCGGGAATTGTTCAGAGCCGAAGGTACTAGAATCCGCAAAGGTCGACACTTGGGCTTTCCCACGTTGTGTGTACCGCATACCATGTATCGGACTTTCTGCACAGGACTTAACCTTCCGCTCCCCCCCCCCCTCCCAACAAAAAAACCATTCCTTACGTAGGGTGTTCCAGCGTAGCTCAGGGCTGGCTTCTGGCTAATCAGGAAACAATTGGGCTCTTTGAGGGGCAGAAAAGAAGGTAGTGGGTGCGTTCGTCGGTCGGAGGTGGTCTGTGAGCTGCTGCTGTGGGCTGTGGCACATTTGTGCTGCCGCTGTGCTGCGGGTGTGGGCTACAGTCAGTGATAAGCCGATTGACTCACTCAGAATCGCAACAGACGAGCCCATCAGCATCAAGGCTATAGACATAGACATAGACATAGATATAACTTCAATATTCATTGCTGAAATAATGTCAATCTTGTTCCCCGAAGAGTACCCCTATCCACGGCAGAGAGCTTCCTCAATCCAATCCTCAGCTATCTGGGTAGAACCCGGGAAGGCTTGCGACCATACCTCGGTTGGCCTCTTGACCGAGTGGTGTCCTGCAGAAGCAAAAGCTCGGACGGGGATAAGAAGGGGAGAAGGACCAATGCTTAAACCGTTCACTTTGCCATCCACGGATCGCCACAACTCTGTTTCTGTCCTATTATCAACCAGCCAGCCCAGGGGAGGTCGTGATCAAGCTTGTTTAGCGGGTCAACTTATCCGACTGAGGCCAACGGGGTCATTTTTGCGGTTGTACACATCCGCTCTTCTTGCCCGATAAATGGGATTATACTAAAAAGATACGCCATGTGGCGATAAACCTGAAACGCGGACTTCTTTGCAATATCTCTTTTCTGACAGTTCCCCGCAATGCTCAGCTCATTGGAAAATCCTGTTTCAACTTCCCTCAGAAAATGAACTCAGGGTGGCCACCAAAGGGGAACTGCGAACCATCATGCAGGCCTGCAGAGTTTTGCAGACGCCCTTGCAGATTGACGGGTTGGTTGCAGCAAATCCATAACACTAATGTACGCAGTCAATGAAAAGATACCATGAATTCTAAATCGCGTCAGGCGTCTTCTAAAAGCACTTTCCATAGCACATGTAAGGATAATTGTCTATGGAGCGGGAGGTTGGATGAGCTACATGCTACATCTGACCTCTACGCGAAAAGGAAAAAAAAAAAACACAAAAACAAAAACAAAGGCCTTGGAAACTATATTAGCCACTGGCTGGTAAATTCTCCTGCCATACCCAGTCCCCAGCAGCATAAGCTGAGCCTAGAACTGTCTGTTACTATTTCACTTACCTTACCCTTCTCGATAGATCAACTAACCACCTTATAATGATGTACTTTGTTCTGCTAACCACCAATCCAGCACAAGCCATACCTTCAGATGCATCACGTACCTTTCTCCATAACATACCGTAATTACTATTATTTTGAAAACCCCTACTATCACTTCACCCTAAGTCCAAGTATCAAACAACTTCTTCCAACTGGAAACTTCACCTCACCACACCTCAACACGCGCTAAACACCGCCTCCCACAAAGGCCACAACCAAAACGAAACATACAAAATCAGACACAAACATACACATATCCCAGAACACAAACCCACGCCAACCCAGACCCAACCCCATCGCGTCTCACATTAACAAACCCAAACCCACCGCAGTAGGCCACGCAGAGAAATCTCACCCGCGTCCATCTCTCGAATCTGACAGATCGAAAAGCACCAATGACATCAAGCTTGCATGACAACGTGCACCCGTCACGACTGGGCTGGACTGGTCACTTCGGCAGAAAAAAAGCTTGGTGGGTGGTTTCACATATAGTCCTGCCTGCAGGGTCTGTCCGCGGAGATGGGATATGTCATATTAATGACGTTTGTTGAGCCACGCGGGGAATGTACTGTACAGAGGTGTATCTGAGATGTGATGGTGCTTTGGTGATGGGTTGTTGAAAGTCATTAATACACCAACAACGAACAACCTAGGAATGAGTGGGAATACGGACAAGGGTTTAGATCCAGCCAGGGTGATGTGCCAAGATCCAATAGATAGCATTGTTCATTTCGAGGGTCTTTCCGATGACGATAGAGCCCGGTTGGAGCCCGGTCTAGGTTTTGCTGACAATCATCAGCATCGAGGGATGCATCAGAATACACTAGACCTCGAGGTCTTGAATCGAGTCTTGGGCGACGTGCCAAGGCATCTCTCTATCGTTTCACACTGGGCTAGTACCTTCTTTAAATCGATCAGGAGGGTTATCTGGCTATCGCTGTAGCAATTCAGCAGATCCAGTGTAACTCGAGGCTACAGGAAACCACTTCCGAAATCCCGTCGCGAGGACCCCTTGGTCAGGAATTCAAGTTAATCGCGCAATGGAGACAATGTTTAAGACATGCCCAGTCCCCATTTGTTTTTTACTGAGAAACAAGAAAGTTAGGACGATCCCCACGTAAACAAAGTCCTCGTATTCTCAACTGTACTACCGAGAAATATCGAACTAAAGGTTAGATGTACTGTTCTGCTGTCTCATACCCACTCCGGCCCGTAGAAAAAAATCACAGCTCAACCAAAGCTCCCTGGAGTCGAAATGGGTATAAATCTCCTCACTTCCATAACCAGTCAATGTCCAGACGCCTGCGATGCCGATAAAATGATGTTTTGTGTGCCGCAAAATGAAAAGAATACGACGGGGTGAAATAATGATGATGACTCCAAACACCATGACGGTGAAAAGGAAAAATGAGATGTCGAAAGTACGCAAGAGAGTATCCAGAAGGCAATGCAGCATAAAACAGTGCAGGGTAGTTTGAAAAAGAAATGAACTTAGATCTGGCCCTTGATATCGACGATCCGATGAGCATCGGCCTTGGCAGCCTCAAAAAGCTGGCCGGCCCGGGGCCCCGTCACGAGTCTCACAGACCCCTCTTTCTCCTGGAGCAGATCCTCGGCGGAATGATCCAGGACGAAGCGTGCGCTCTGCTCATCGGACTCGAAACCAAGTTCCTCGGTGATAAATCGGATTTTTACGTCGGGCTTGTACCTATTGTCGAAGTTAGTAAAGGACATTCAGGTCTTCCATGGTGAACACTCACGCTTTACAGATTGCTGCCAAAGCGGACAGTCGCTCGCGATCCACAAACATGTCCATGAGATAAGCTCCCATATTCGGGGTGTCGAGATACAACTGGAAAAACCGGTGGTAGTTTCCGAGAGCAAGGGCAGAGCGTACATCCAAGGCATGTTTCACAGCAGGATCCCGCTTGTCTGCTGGGGTTAGATCGGCTAAGGCATCGTTCATGGCCGTCCAATTGCGGGTATGAATGAAGTAAAGAATACGATATGCCCGAAATTCGGTAGGATGTCCGCCAAGCTGCTGTGCATACAATGCGCGGAGCTGAGTCTGACACTGATTATACTCACCAAGATCCCCTTTCTCCAATGCGATCCGGGCATGGATCTCATAGACACTGACAGTAAACTCGTTCTTAATATGCTGCACTGTCAGATCTTGCCGCAACGACTTAAACTGATCACAGATATATGTGTAGTTGTTGTCTTTTTTCCACTTCTTCTTCAACACGTCCAATGTTTTATGCAATATATGCAAAGGCCGCACAGTCTCCGGCTTCGGTGCGGCAGTCAGGCGGAAATAGTTCTTTTCCAACTCCTGGCAGGTTCCGACAACAGGGCCGGAGTTTGCCGTGAGGGCCGGTGAAGCACCACGAGATGAAGAGGACGACCCATTCGATGCCTGAGGCTCTTCGAACCGTTTCCTCCGCATTTCCAGATTAGCTTTGGACTTACTAGTATTCTTCAGATCTATTCTTTGGCGCTTATCTGTTGGAGCATAGGTGACTCGATCTTCAAAAGCACTTTGATTGTTAGTTTTCCGCCAAGGGGGACAGTTGTTCGCATCCCCTTGGTATTCCACCGACTTTCTCTTCTTCGACACATCTTCCAGCCCGTTGGTATTAGACTTCAAGGGTGAAAGCGCAGAATAGAAGGAGGTCCAGTTGGATACGCTAGGACTTGCTAGGACCTTGTTTCGGTCATTCTGAACCATGACTTGAGGCAGGGGTAGGTTGCTCCAATCGATCTTATCGAGCATATTATTCTCGGCCGCTTCGGTGATGACAGCCCGGAGCTTGGTTTCCATTTCGCCTCGCTCGACTCCGGGAAGCCGATTTTCAGGTGCAAAACTGCGTTGTACATACAATCGAACCGGTTCTGGCCACTCTACTCGTTGTTTGCGGGGGGCGGTTTCCGTGGATGCCTGGCGCGATGAGGCCGATGTGGAGGCTGAATTTGGGGCCTTTGCAGTTGTAATACTACGGCGTGCTTGAACAGTGGTATAGGCAGGGGTTGCTGTTCTCTTCATTAGAATCGCCAATGAGAAAGACTTGGAGGTCAACGTACCATGACCGGAGTACACGGAAGTAGGGGCTGCCGCCGTGGTACGCCAGGGCGGGATACCAGAGCTCATGTTTGACACAGGTTTAGGCAAGAGGCCAACAAGGGATGGGGGAAAGCGAAGGGTGAGAGGCAAGGAAAGAAAAAGAAGTATGAGCTACGGGTGAGTTGATTTCGATATAAAGGGAGAGACAAGTCAAAACATCGTTCTTACACAGACAACGCAGAGCAGAACACTAGAGCCGGCTGGCAGAGTCAGGATAAGACTGTATCTGTCGCAACGAATCAAAAAGTAACAACAGGGCCTTGATATTGCCTGAAGGGACTCGGGAGGAATAAGAGAGAGAGGGAGGAGGAAGAAGGGGACGGGAGGAGGAAGAACTAGTCAAGCTGCTTACCGCTCAGGTTCCACTTCATCCGGTGGCGGAGATTTCTTCTTGGCGCTAGTGGGCCCTGTCGCTTGCCGTAACACCCCCCAGATTACGTTAGCACCCTCGATCTAAACCGATAACGAAGAGGGAAGAAAGACGCCATCGTCATCCTCCCACGGCCAGGGCGAATCTTTTTCCACAACATTAGACATCATCCTCTTCACAAATTTACCAGTGAAGAGATGCTTCCTAGCTTTACTAGATGTTTTTCAAGCCTCTGGACCTGACTACCGCACTCCGACCTGCACTCTTGCCCGATGAAACCTTATTGTTTGTCCAGGATGCGGTGGGGTTGTACGAAGGGTGAGTCGCCCATTTACTCCTCTGATGATTTAGAAGGACGTATGGGCTCGTATGGCTTCGGTGTCTGACTCGCTGGCGCTGATGGTAATGTTGCGGGTGTGATAGGAAATACAAAATCCCCAATTATCAGAACGGGCATGCATACCTGACCTCCCATCGTGTATGCTATGTCGCGGTTGAGGAGCCACGGAAGTACTCTGTCGGTATCGATCTGAAGGAAGTTGACAGAGCGGAGTATCAGGTATGATTTACCTGGAATTACGCGCTCATCTAACTGCTGATCCGAATCAGGCAGGCTTCCTGAAGTCGTCTCCCAAAATCACATTGTATCCCAAGCCGCCAAAGAGCACCCTCAGCAAATCAAAGAGCGCTGGTGCAAGCCCGTCTCGAGGACAGTCGCCCAGTATTTCGGCTTCTAGGCCCCAGATACAGCCGACCCCTCCCAAGCCTATTAATGCGACTTGGGTTTGTCCTATCTGCTCCTTTTCTAACCCCGTGCCCTCAAACTTCGATCCGTCTACAGCTACTGTGTCTACACCAATACCACCTTGCTTGGCTTGTGGCATTAAGCCGCCCTTAGCCACACTATTGAAAGCTGTCATCACTGCTACAGCTAATCGAGAGGGCCCTGCAACTCAAACAAATCCGACGTTGCCCGGAACTGAGGGCTCAGCCCCAGCCAAAGGGCCTGGCATCGTGCCGTATCCAGACAAGGCACAGGTGTCGTGTCCACGTTGCACATTTGTGAATCATCCGTCACTGGCTGAGTGTGAGATATGCGGTGCTTCTCTGGTGGCCACAGGGGCTTTGAAATCTACTAAGATCGGCTCGTATCGCGCAGAATCGCCAGCACCCGTTTTCGCTCATAATAGCATCAAGAGCACGGAGATCACTGACTGCATGAAATTGTCTTTCAGGGCCGGTGGTATACAGATATTCCACGAGAGGTTGAAGGGTGCTTTGATCCAGCGAAAATGGTTGCTCTATGATGCTCCACCAGTGCCTCAGCAACCGTCACAATCGAACTCTATGCCCTCGCCCGGCTTGACAGTAACATCACCCGCGATTGGGAGTGTGCCGTCTCCATCCAGGTCTCCCGGAGTGGGCATTGCAGGCCTGGAACAGCGAGGTCTTCAGGCTCGTAAGAACAATGAACTTGTTATTGGAAATGCCTTCGAGGATCTAGAGGCGCTCATGGCATCTGCCAAACAGGTCATGGCGCTTGCTGCGTCTATGCGAGATTCGGGCATGACTAGTGGCGATGTCTCTGGAGAAGCGAACGCAGTTTTGTTAGAATCGGCGGAAACAATGGGGATGGTAACAACCAAAGATATGCTCGGTAGTGGCGCTGGCAGCTTGTACATCTCAGAGCTCTCGCGAAACTTGGCCGAGTATCTGACCGATGACCGCAAAGGCTTGCTCAATAAAGAGGGTGGTATTATCAGTCTTATTGATCTCTGGGCGATTTTCAATCGATCCCGAAACGGCGTTGAGCTTGTTAGCCCTTTAGATTTTCAAAAAGCAGCAGAGCTCTGGGAGACACTCCGACTGCCGGTGCGCCTTCGCCAATTCAAAAGTGGTTTGTTTGTCGTCCAGAGATGGGACTGGAGTGATGAGGAGACCCTACGCAAGATACAGGGATGGATGGCGGAGCTTCGACAAGTACCGCCCACTGAGCCAATTTCTTGGGACTGGCGTCAGTTTGGACGTGCTGTCACTGCCCAGGAGGCCGCACAGCGATTTGGATGGAGTGTTGGTGTTGCGGCAGAGGAGTTAGAGATGGCGGAGGACAAGGGAGTACTTTGCAGGGAGGAAGGCATCGAAGGCTTGCGGTTCTGGGCTAACTTCTTGTCTGATGCCCCCGTTGTTGGTGATTTGGGCTTGTCGAGGATAGCTTTAGACGAAGTCGATAGACCTATCTGAACAGCATTATCATAGACAGCAGTTAACGGTAAAAGAAATGAACCTACTCCTTGGTCCCTGGCCTTTGGAATCACGCAATAGGCAAAGGGCTAAAAGGTCATGTCATCTGTAGACACAGACTGAAGAACAAGTGTGATCGGCTAGTCCCATAAACCAGTCGCAAGATGCAGGGCAAAAGCCAAAATGCTGTCAACCCATATAAGGTACTGTACCTGTTTCTGTCGCTGCCAAGCCGTCGCGTGCTACAAGGAATGCCTCGGGAATTCTGAAAGCCAGAGGCTTGCTTCCAATATTTTGCAAACAAGGGGCTCCCTGGCCATGTTCGCTTCCAGAGGTATCATGATGCAGGGTGTGTTACGCGCCATTTTGACGCTATGCATCTCAGAGAAAGGCCACTCAAGTGCAATTGGTACGATGTAGCCTTGCTGCACCAATTGGCGTTCCCGCGCCATGCTTGTGATGTGCAGCATGTGCGCAGTCGCAAGCGTTGTCCGGATCCAGTGCAGGAACTTCAGAGACAAGAATGAGCAGGTGATCCCTCCGAACGGCAGTCAGCTGGGAGAATGTGGTTAAGTATAATTATACACCGTCTGCATCGTTGGGGCAGCGCATACAATACGATAGGCTATTTTCATCACTATCACTGCCGGATGCCCAATCGTGCCGTACAGCGTCGAAGATTGCGATCACACGAGTATCTAATTATTTCTCGGGAGTGAGCGCATCACCGTTAGATCTCAGGTATACGAAGGGCCTCCTTCCCCCAGCTGGGCGCACGCTCTGAGATTCGCTTGTGCTCTTCCCAAGTCTGCTAATATCGACTTTGCTCCCCTGGGCGTGGCAACAAATATCACGATGGTAGGCCCGTCGAACACAATTGTTATCACCGATGATAAGAATTTCGCAAGTCTCGAGCTAGGTTGCTCACGGCCTTGGAGGGCCCCTCGCCGTGATTACACAGTTACCGAGATTTTGAGAGCATGATCGTTGAAGCAGTCGATGATGGGACAGACACGGCACCATCACGCAAACGCAAAACAACCAAAAGTAGGAGCCGTCTGCTTGGTTACCAGTTCCTCACAAGACTTTCTTCGCCCTTTACTAACAATGGACCAGGACAACTCCTTTAAGAAGCTTCGAAAGGCGGTTGGTCATAGAATGCAACGGCTACAAGATAAAAATCGCACGCTTCGAGATGAACATCGCCAGGATAGGGAGAGGCACCAAAATACGGAAGAGGAACTTTCCCAACAAAGAGAAAAGTGTATTTTAGAGTGCAAGATTTGCTATATGCAGCCGATCGCTGGGTGTTCATTCTATGTCAGCACATGGTCTGCAGGTCATACGCAGGAAGCCTTGGAACATCGGAGAAATGTCCTATCTGCCGAGCACTAATCACGGGATCTATTGGATGCCACCCTTTTGCAGGATGAAGCATGTATATCGTGTTGCAGGTCCAGTTTAATGACTCATGTTCAAGCACGGAAGTGTTCTTCCGCGCTTCCTCCTCCTATATCCTCCAGGCGGGATAGCCGAATAGTATTAGAGTTACATGGAGGAGCCTTGACTACGCGGCGTCTTAGTGCCCAGGTGTTGCCTAACACGCAATAGACCATGGTTTTTCTTAAAAAACTCGTGGTATTTTCTATGTTCAAAATTGGAAAATGTCCTTTGCACCTGGGACACTTCGGCTCTTTCCGGTTAACAAACAGACTATCCCTATTGAGCTTGCGCTTCTGATGCTCCTCACGTTTATTGCTCCCCCAAAGAACAAGGTGGTCACTCGCAATGGCTGCTATGAAGTCAACCCGATCTGAATACTCCTCAAAGAGAAAACAGACGCGCCAAAAACAATACCGTCGCAGATCAAGTTTGATGAGAAAGGCATACAAATATAGTAAAATGTGCAACGCAGATGTATGTGTAGACATTCGCATCCGATAAAGGACCAGGTATATCTTCTATCCGCAGATGCTTCCGGATTTTGGGCCTCTCTTTCTTCACAATTCGTATGTGGCAGAGTCTTCCGCTGGGTAAAGACTATTAACTTGTTAGGGCTCCCACTACCCATCGCCAAAACTAAGACCTAGAGAGAAGGGGAAGCACAACTATTACTGCCGCGCGATAAGGATTTCAAAACGCAAATATTGCAGGCCAGCATACTATCCATATATATGTCATTAGTCTTCGTTTTCCCCGTTATATTCCATAAAAAATCCTGAAGGAAGATAATACGGCATGAATTCAATTTCATATATGCAATCTAGAACATAGCTTGACTATAAACGTGTCAGGACGTATTTTGTACTCCTTAACATTGCTGGAAGCTGCGTTAGTAGAGTGATGGGTCCTTTCAGGATCACCAAAGCTGTCCATGTCCGCCTCTTGCCAAACTACCACAGGCAGATCTGCATCTCCCGAGAGAACCCTTTTGTAGGGCGGACCATGGTTTTCGTTATAATTCTGATTAAATACAGAGCTGGCAAATTGCTGTTGAAATGGCTTTGGTTAAGACTTGTTCGGGCCGACAGTCCTTCCGAGGCCCGATAATAGGCTTGAACAGCGACAGAATCCGTGGCATAGCCAAACAACTTCAAGTGACTTTCCCTCTACATATCAACAGGGAATGAGTGGATCACAGCCCGCATGTTTGGTTCTGGTGGGTGAAGCGAAGAGAATACTTGAGGGTTCAACCTCTGAGTCATTCTATTACCTTTCTTGGCTATTCTGCAAATTCTCTTCGTCATGCTTATGAAGAAGCTAAAAATTATAGTAATTGCTACTCACGACTGGCAATTACAAACCCTAGGGAACTAAGTCGTAGCGTATGTAAGACACGAGCGAAGATCGGGGTAAGTGTGACGAACTGAGGCTTTCAAGCAAGGGGGAAGTGGAACTCTCCAAGAGGCAAGCCTGACAAAGGAAGTGGAATTTTGTCATGCATATTTAGGTCTTATATTGTTCTCTTCGTCTATTTCCTTCTCTCTAGGTCGACTTTTCTAGTTGTAGCTTGCTGGGAGAGTGTTGTCGACTTTCGTACTTGACCACCATTGGTGGACAATCTCCATTCTTGCTCCCATTGGAGAGGCAGCGCGATTCCCACTGCTAGAAACTCGGCGGCAGCCTGGCGGATCGCGTGAACGGTTCGTTGTCCCAATTTCTTCTTTGCACTGTGGGCTGCCTTTAGGGCTGACCGGCTGTCACGCAGGATCGTCGCTGTATGTCTTTCGCTGGCGGCCAGCAAGTCTCTCTCGAGACCAGATAAGCTATATTCCGAAGACGCTGCACCTTCTGTTACTTCATCTCGAATGGAAGATTCAAGATGAGATGTACGAATATTAGCTAAAGATAAAATCAAAGAAATTCGATTTTTGAATAGGGTCTATGATGTCATTCAACGGGTAGACTCGACTCGTCGATCATTCTACTCGAATGTTTCAGAATGATGCAGGTGGGCACGTCGTCAATCGCACTGCATTCTTCAAAAACCATGGGCGAAACCACCCACTTTAGCTCAGCCTATCGGGGCGCATTCATATCTCCTGGCCTAGATCACAAAGGAATAACTTACCCCTGCCACAAATATCCCGCCAAGTCCTATCATTTCTACAGACACACATTGTAGGTAAAATACTAAGTCCGTGATTAAAGCTAAGTCCCCGAGCTAACAGATCTTTCATCCAGACCGCAGTGATGGAGTTGAGATACCGGCACAGAATGGCAAAAGGTTTAATATTGAAAGTCGGATACGGTAAGTGGTTTTGTAAAAGCTATCGAAGAAAATAATGTTACCCTCTCATCCTCTGAAACTGTACTACTGATGATGCTCTCCTCTCTCCAAAACTATCTCGACTCTTGCGCCGTAATTACTATTTTGGGGGCTCACTACAAACTGACGTGTGCGGAATATCACCTAGCCAGTGGCGTAAGTCACTTCACTGGCGCACCTCCGAATATGGATTATGAGCCATACCTCATGAAACTCCAGGGCTATTAGAAGTTTTAGGCCCCCCGCAACTCGACTCGGGTTCAAAAAGATCAAAGCGAACTATTAAGAGTAAATAGCTACCCCTCGCTTTTTTTGCCCAACGGCGTGCTTCGATATCTGTGTTGAATCTAGCCGTATTCACAAATTCCAGGGCATCCTCGTTGGGAAACTTTTGATCTCGTTGATTCCGTTTTTCTTTTTTTCTTGAGATACAACTTGAATAGAATTCCGATGTCAGTGAATTGTTCCCGTTGTTGAAACCGAATCGATTCTGCACGGTGCGCTGTTGTAATTGCTGTCCCTTGAATAACCTTTTAATAAAGGACACCTGGACGATGGCGGGAATGAGGACCAGCAAGTTTTTTAGATGAGTTCAAGTATTTTGACCATTAGAACCACCGTTCACCGTCCATCAAATGTCGTGTCAGGCACACGCTTGTGTCAAAAGGCCAGCAACTGGAACTTCCGAGCCGAACCAACAGCACCACCCATACAATCCAAATCAAAATTTCAACCCCTCTTGACCAAAGACCCAGATACATACGGCATTACTGACCAACTGAAATGCCTCTCCAAATCCACAATCTCCCACCCACCATCCCGCTCCGCAGCCCTCAACAACGCTCCCTCCGTATCCCGATTCAAAGCACAATCCGCAGAAAAGAAGCTCCACCCAAGTACCTGATAAACACCCTGCATAGCTCTCGCCAGCAAAGATCCCTTCGCCGTCCGCCACGGATTAACCACATGCTCTGCAACCAATATTTTCCCACCAGGCTTCAGAAGCCCATATAATTCATCCACGGTACGTTGCATTTCTGGCACAGAACAAAGGACCCGCACGCAGAGAATGGTGTCGAAAATCCCCTTCTTCGCATCCAAATCATACGCATCCGTTATGCCGGTTCCCGTGGCCCGGAGAGCGGGTAGGAGCTCGGATGCTGCGGCTCCGCTGGGGAGAATGTGGTATTTCGACGAGAGACCTTCGGCTTCGGCTCTGAGTTGCAGTTTCTCATGGAGGCCTCTGCAGGGCTCTGCGCCGTAGATTGTTTTTATGGACTGCGAGCGGAGGAGAGGCATTTGCGTGCCTGTTCCGGGTCCGATGTCTAGGACTATTCCGCTGGCTGTTCGGAGGAGTGGCGGGAGTAGATCTGAGGAGCCGTTGACTTTTTTGCCTGGTTTAGAAGTACTGGATTCTTCTTCTGTTTCTGTTGGCGGTGGGATTGCGTTTGGGGCTGGGGCTGGGGCTGGGGCTGGGGTGTGTGTTAGTACATGTAGATGAATATTGTATTCGACGTATCCATTGACGACTAAGATTCTATTTTCTCAGATGGAGTGGTGAGAAAATTGAACAAGGAGATGCTCGGCTGGCATGGTACTCAGAAAATTGCATTTGTGAATCTTCGGCTTCTTAGCCATTCACTAGCAGGATACGTACTGGAAAATTCGACCCAGAACCGACCAAATGCCTTGTCGCGTAGTTGTTGGATCTGAAAAATAGGTGCAAGGATCTTGCCCTCTTTAAAGATAGCCTCTGCGCATACGCGGATGTAGTCTGCTGTTGTTAGCAGGGTTTGTGTAATCATCATCACGTATTAATCAAGTGAAAGGGCATGAAAGTAGTGCCAATTCTTCCACGAGTATGGTATACACTTGGACTTACAAGCCGCATGGGGTGCATAACGATAGATAAATGGGATTGAAACAATAAAAAGAGTTTCTTTTCTTTTTATTTTCAGGCCAAATGTGATATCAAAAGCCAAAGGACACCCGAAAGTGTATTCAAGGGGTAGGACGAAGATAAGCAGAAAAAGGAAGCTTACGTGACATTGCCCATGTCATGAGCTGGGCAGGCTCAAAAATCCCCTTGAGTCTGCCTCCGAATGATGGTGGAGTCGTCATAATGGCCTTTTGCTCGAGGTTGATGAGGGGATTATTGAGAAGTAGAAGAGGGACCCGCCGCAGAAGGTTGGGGCCAATGGGACTTCACGTGACGTGAGAGGGAACGGATATCAGAATCGCTGATCACCATGGGCAATTCTGAACCTATGTACGAGGATCTACGCTACTGGTAGTTAAGAATATAGAAGATTTATAAGCACTACAGTACCTTTTGAGACTCTACTTGATAGGGAGCCACAACTGGCTGGGCGTTCAATGAACAGTTTTCCGGAACTCTCCGAAAGTCTCCGAGCCTTGACCTTGCTAAATAGGGTTAGTGTTGAGAGTAACTTAACTCACCCAATGGCCAATAGGAGACTTTACAGTTAGGATACCTAACATGCATGAGCAAGTTCTATAAGCCACTGCATTCTCAGCCATGCTCTAGGGGAGATTGATCCAGATCACATCTCGCCCCGACAGGTCCCTAACTCGCTGCTCCACTGACAAATCGTTGTCGACGTGACAATCATAGTCCATTTAGAAATGTGACGTAAGATTTTAATGCTTACACATGTGCTTTTACTTCCGTTTGCTGCAGTACGCTCCAAGTGATTACCTAGGCCACAGTCCGCTTGGTCGTGGAATATTGCTCGAGTAATCACAAAGTTAGCTGCTAAACCATACAAAGAAGGGTTTTGAAGTCGTGCAAAGGCGCGATCATTCTCCCATGCCAGGGCCCCAGGGTGCTATGAACACGGAACTCGGGGCTCTTTCTATCCAGTTATACATGCGGACACTAAATTGTAGGTTACATAGCAACACCAGTATTATCAATTTATACAGCTATCGTAAATAGTAAAAAAATATATATATATATAGAGGTTAAAATATATTTTTCTTATATAAAACAGCTTATATAAGTATTATATAACCAAAAAATCATTTACTAAGCTATCTTAAACCGTCTGACCGATTTTGATGGGCCGGCTCTACTTCCCGTGGCACGAACCCCGCATTGACTGATTGCCTTATCGGAGCTCTCTCCGCTCAGACTGTCTTATCGGCTCCCGAGTCCTTTGACTACCTCCACCGATTTGTTCAATGTGCAATAATTGTCCTTTGGCTACCTAACATCTAGGAACTTACGGTACATTTTCTTGCTTACGAGTATGCTTGACTAATCTCGAGTCTTTGACAGGCTCTTTTTTTCACTTGTCGTTTCATCGTGCAATGTGACTGGGGATAGCCCCACGGCCGTCATCATCCGGTTTGGTCATCGCCACCCTATCTCGCTTCACATAACCGTCCTGAAACATCACCAATTCAGTAGTACTATCATGGGTTATCTGAAGGCAGCATCAGAGTTCCGAGCAGTCAAGTGGTCCAGGCACTTGGCCGGCCCTTATCCTACAGCTCTACACCCCGTCTCCTCTCGACTCTTGATATCCTCCTCCAAGCACCGTCAGCTCTGGGGATGCGCCTACCACCAGCGATACAGCCAAGACTCCGGCAAGAGACATTTTTATGAGCACCAGCGCTTCTGTAGTCCTCAGGTGCGCAGCAGACCATCCCGCCAATTTCGACCGCAACCTACAATCTTTGACGATCATCGGCCGTGGTGGAGTCAACCATCGAATCTGCCACCAAAAACAAATAATAATCTGTCAGAGAATTCAACCCCATTTGACAATGTATGGGAGAAAGAGGCGGATCGAACACGTCGCAAAATGGATCACATTAAGCGGGAAATCGAGAAAGACCCCTTCGGGGCTCTGTTCGGGAGAAGACTTGAGCCGTTGAAGTCCTTCGAGAAATTCGATGATACGTTTACCTCTCTTTGTCGTTCTATTTTTGGCCTTGTCACTAAGCCAGCGAGTCCAGCAAATGCGAAAGTGCGTCCTACCACAGCCGCCGCGACCCCCAGGGAAACCCCGGATATGATGAAGAGATCATCTTCGACGGATTTGAAGGATACAAGCGGCTCAGATGTGCCTAGTGCGAAGGCGAATACTACAAGATACGAATTTGACCCGATCAGTGGCCGTATGGTTTCCAAGGAAGCCAAGAATGCCGATGCGGCTGAGATGACTGGAGGTGGAAATATTCCGCTTGGCCCAGAAGCGAAACCTACTTTCGGCCAAGAAACTACAGGGTATATGTCTCCAGTGCATCTGAAGCCAAATGATTCTAGTGCACCGGAAATCCCTACCCAGATGAAATCAGACGAGGGGTTGGTGGAGAAGATTGGGCCAACCAAAAACGAAGAATCGCAGGACATCTCATCTCTCGTAGATGCAAGTACCACTAAAAGCGAATCTACAGGCCGTTTGAGACCATCAGAGGGTGGCTCTTCTGATTCACCGGAAGCAACTTATCCTTCGGAAAGAGTTGAACTGGAGTCGGCCCAGCACCGAGCCTTATCGGAATCACCAGAAAACGATTCGATTAAGCCGCTCCTGAGGCACGACGCGCAGGAGCAGGTACTGCAATCGAGATCACATTCAGATGGTTGCGATCCTGCCCTGGGGTTGAACGACTCCAGTGTCAGTGACAGAATCAATTCATCGGATCCCGCCAAATTGGACCAGTCAATAGATAACTCGACAAAGCTACAGAATGCGAGTCGTGAACAGGAGGAAGACTTAGAGTCCCTAAGTGCCAGCGGGATTCGTGCCTCGTATCTTAAGATGGACGCGGATATGAAGACCCAAGCATTACAAGACTCGAACGAACTTGGTGACATGTCAGACACTGTTAAGCGTCATCAGCTCGAGGAGAGTGTAAAGATTGGCACTGCACAATCTCAGAAGGCACCCGACGAAGCCTCTCCGTCCACACTTGACGGTCTGGAAGCACTAAACTCTCAGGCTTCAGCCTTGAAAGCTGTAAACACATCTTCTTCACTTGCTTCAGACGAAGTACCATTCGCTGCACAGCCCCCCGGCCCGACGCCGCTCATCGCGCAAGGTATTCCTAGTCAAGGGCTTGTCGAGACATACCGCGTACTTGCCTTTGATCCTATCACACTTCGAGTGACGGAAGCAGAAACAAGCTCGTCTTTCCATGCACCCGAGGAGCCACTGCATCCCACAGAGATACTCAGTCGCTTGAACAATCCTGCAAGATTCTTACCGTACTTTGAGAGATTGAATAATGATGGGTTTGAGATAGTTTCTGGAGGCGGAGATATACTCGTCTTTAAAAAGATACGAGATTCGCGCAAGGTTACCAGCGAAGAAGGCCATGACGAGGTTACTGCTTCGGCAACAGTAGCCAACAAACCTGCGCCGTTGTCATCCTTTGCGTCAAATGATGGCAATCTAAAAAGTAATACTGTACTTGCTCAAACACAAAATGCCAAAGCCAGCCGCGGTGAGCACGCCTCCCAAGAAAGAAAGTCTGCGAGAATCCTCCGCAGAATGCTTCTCGGTGGCGTAGCTACCGCTGGAACGTGCTACGCGGTAGGAGTTGTGACTGAATACTTCCGTACCGGTGGAGAGGATGGGCGTGGAGTGGACGGGTTTACTGCATTTGAATCCGACCGGCGTCGGCGGGAATGATTATGTTTTCGAATGTTTGCTAAGCTTTGGAACCATTCGGGCTGGACGTATGTGGTATTCAAACTGACTAAACTCTCCTCCATGTATGATACAAATTTTCTCTTATGTTGATCCAGTCTCAGATCCTCCAAGCCCTAACTACATCAGTATTATCGTACATCTTGGGTATTTTGAGCTGACACAAGCCGACTCTTGGGGACGCATCGAGTTTGAGGATGCATACGCGGTTCTCACCAACCGGCCTCAAGACTCTGCACCATCATTTCCAACCTCCAACTGCTCGAGACCCTCATCCGCGTTTCCATGCACGGTGGATTGAACTTGCTCCGCATCTTCAACCTCAGCCTCGTACTCCTCAAGGTCCTCGTACCCGTCAAACTCGTCAAAGTAACCAGAGCTATCCTCATTGTCATCATCCCAATGGATATTCCAGAACCAATCAAAGTCAGCCTCATCATAGTCATCGTCTTCGTCATCCTTCTTCGCAGCCTTCGGCCACTTCTGGAACATCTTCTGCACACTCCCGACTCTAGCCTCACCGCTCATCAGATACAGACAAAGCCCCAAGAGCATGCGGACGGCCGCGCGAAACCCCCTCGGCGACCACAGGTTATACTCACGACTGACCAGGACCTGGAAAACCCCAATATCACTGTTGATCAGCTCCTCCACGGTGCCCTGCGTGACGATGCCGCGGTACAGCCGGTGCCACGCCACGTGCTCCAGCACCTTGCGGATGTGGCGTTCCTTCAGGCAGTCGCGGAGCGCGTTGGGGTCGCCGTCGGATTTCTCCAGGTAATGCTGAGCAATTTGGTCAGCGATGTGAGGGGACAGTGAGGTGTATGATTCGTCGTCCTCGTCGATGAAGACGATGTGCGTTTTGCCGTCCTGGAGTAGCGAGGTCTTGAACCCTGGGGCGACCAGCCGCAGGAGGTGAAGGTGCGAGCCGTGCAAGTGCAGGTGGAACGCTTCTTGGTCTGGGACTGCACGGGGGTCGTGGGTCACGTCGCGGAGCTGGTAGGTCAGTTGGCCCAGGAGGAACTGGACCGCCTTGGTGAAGTGGCCTGGCAAGGTAGGGTGGGGTTTTGTGGTCTGGATGATAATCAGAGAGTGTTCTCAAATTGAATTGAAGGGAAAAGAAAAAGGGAGTTTCGATAGAGAGGAGCGGAAGGAAAGGTAAGTAGTGGAGGGCGATCTGGAAGCACCAGACACAGGAAGATTCATGCTCACCACCGAGATAGGAAGTAGTCTTCGGCCAAAGATGCTGTCGTCCGGATGATGGTCCACGGCCAGGTAGGCGTTACTTTTAGGCCCCTTGAAGAAGCGATTGGCTTTTCCGGCGTAGTACTTGTTTCGCTTTTTTATGTACTTGGCGCTATCTCTCTTTGTCAGTCAGGGTGTCTTTCTTTCCGACGGCACGCCCTGTCAGACCGCACACAAGTTGGGGGGTGGGGGGGGGGAGGAAAGGATGGTATACGCACGCCAGGCTAGTTTCCGAACCGTCATCGGAGGTTTTATGCACGATCGAAGCACCATTCAAGATCTCCTTCAGCAAAAACACGACAGCCCGCTCCTGCAGCTTTACGATGTGTGCGAATCGCCGATGTTTCTGCGCATTCATAGGCCCATCGGACTTAGGATTGGCATCGCGGAACAGTCCGTATCGGAAAATAGGGATTCGCGCCAGTCTCTCGAATACCTCGCGGAAGCGCTGATCCCATTTACTCCATTTTCCGAGATCGATGAGCCCCTTCTCGGTCCGGAAGGCATGGAAGATCCACGGAGGAATGACGACGTCCTCTAGAACATTTTCGTCGTCAGAGGAGCCCTCTTCTTGGTGTTTTTCATCAACTGTACTTGATGAAGGGGGAATACTTACGAGACTTCTCTGCTTCTCCGAGGAAACGTCGGGGAACGAGCTCCTCGTCTGCGTGATTCAGTTCCACCCTGAAGAGCAATTCCCTGATCCCGATGAGATAGTGATCCGGAAGAGTTGCCGCAGGACCAGGCACGGGGTTTGGGTGGTCTGGAGTAACGGATGGCTGCGCCATATTGTTCACTGCTGCGTTAGACAGGGGATGCACAGGAGGGTTTTCGTTCGTGGCCATCGTTGTCAGGGTGGGAGAAGGGGTGGGAAAGAAAGCTGACAGGAAAAGAAGGGAAGGACAAATAACACGCTTGTCTAGCCAAGGTGATGAAGCATCCTAAGGGACATGGCTGTCGCCGTGGCGATCATGTTGCGTTTCCAGCCTGCGTGGACGTTCTGCTGGTGCGTGTGATCTGTGGTGTTTTTCGGTGAACCGGCGAATAGCACGGTGGCAGGCGGAGATAATAATTCACTGTCTTGTTTTCTATGTTGCTGATACTCAGGTGAACTTAGTTAGAGGGCTGTTTTTGATCATTACATCTGATCGCTATATTTTGGATATTAAATTGTTGCGACGTGGTGCTGTAAAATGTATAGTGTATCCAATTTTAATTTTAAGCAGAGGCTGGATCCGTCTCTTTGCTGCTAACATACACATGTATCTAGCCATGCTGAGAGATATCAGCAAGCCAAGTCCATAGTAAGCAGGTATTTCATGGCTTTAGGCCGTGGAAATCCGGATATACTGGTGCTATTTGTGATTATTCCGAGCTATATAAAGCCTTCATCTAGCCTCGGACTCGCAGACCACCACCAATCTCACCATAATCAGCTACCCACTTGGAAGCTCAACAACTGCCATTGGCTATCCAGAAACCAAGATAAAGAGTTCTATCTTCAGCGAAATACCAACCAAGCTAGCACAGAAAGTCCGAGTCCGAAAAGCTGACGAATGTAAGCATCACATATATTCATTTTGAAGAGAGACATACCCGATGTATGCTTTCGTATGTGTCCCTAACATCTTTTCATTAGCTAGTTGAGGGGAGAGTAAGGTTCTGTATGCGATGGGTGAAGGATAGGTTTTTAGATAATCAGACTGTGAAGCTACTCTCAAAGGTAGTGATCTCAGATTTTTGCGCTTATTAATCTTTTTGCCCCCCATTATATTACTACTCGATGAAATCAAAGAGCATCCTACTGATAAAAACATGACCCTGCTTATCATTCTTCTCAGCCTGCTAACTGCAACCTTTCCCCTTGCAAGATGACGCACCGAATGTGAGACTGACATACGAGGTCACGCTAGGTTCCTCGGCAGTCACTTGAAGGTATTGAGCTCAAGTCCCTGCTATCCAGATGATCCTTCGCAATTACAGCCTTCCGATTCAGGGGAAGAGGCCCTGCTCTATCCCGCTCCCACGCCAGGCAACTTCGGTCGAACACCTACGCCTCCCCTGTGTAGCCTCTCCACAAGCCAGATGGGCAACAACAGTAGCAAAGCTCGGGTCAATACTCGCCTTGGCGGCCTGTCGATCGCCTCTTTACTATGCTAATGTTCAGGATTCACTGCTTTCGCAGTTGATGCTAGACCTAAAAAATTCCAGAAAAATGATCAAGTAGCCCTCGCACCCAGGTTTGGAAAAAGTCATGAGTAGCCCTGACTCCGGTAAATAAAAGATCAGTAATAGAGTTGAGAGGATAATAGTAAGAAGACCAACTAAAAGCTCCTGTAGCCTGGTTATAAGTATATATTTACTCTAGTTCAAGAAGCTGGAGAGTCCTATAAAAATACAGGAATAGTATGCCAAGCGGTGAGAACAGCAGGTAAAAATAATCTCTTGATTAATGAATAACAATAAAGGTATCAAAAGCTCTTACAGCCTAGCCATATATATACCCAATCCAAGATCCAAATCTGAAGTCCTATAAGAATACAGAAAGGATAGGACCAGCAGTAAGAATAGTAAAGAGCAAATAGTTAAGTCCCTATATATAATGAGGATAGTGAAGTTGATATTGCATAAAATAAAGGTGAAGTATGAGATATCTCAAGAGAGAAAGGGAATGAGAAGTTTGTTGGGGCGGTGGTCTGGGGAGAGGATCGATAAGGGACCGGAAGGTTACCTTATTTTACATGGCAGGACGAGTACAGACTCCTATTCTGCTGAGACTCCTTCTATTTACAGTACTCTTGCTTTCTGCTCTTGTTTTCACTCTTGTTCTTGCTACTTCCACCCTGAGGCTAATTTAAGATGGCTGATTACTACTGCAGTTATTAACAGCGGAATATATAAGTAGTTTTCTTATTCGCACACGGGCGAGGCCTTATTTATAGGTTATAGTAAGGTAATATCTGTCTTCTTTCTATTAACTATACACCGTTGGTTAGACTATATTGTAACAGCCACAGTTTCTATAAAACTATTTCATCTTATTTTTAGACATAGTATTTCTTATTCTCTGGGTGTAGATAAGATATATAAGATATATAAGAGTGAATATCTCGAGGTTTGGTAGAAACCCGGCAGTAAATAGCTGGAGTACAGTTCTTTCTTTAAATATAGCAGTAGAAGAATACAGTTATTAGCAGTAGTTAAGGATAAACTTTGAAATATTAGTGGATGATATCAAGAAAGCTTGTAATCTGGTATTAATAAACAGATTTGATCTCAAATAAATTTATAAAGACGAGGACCCTGGTTTCATCATCAAGTATATAGTAAAAGTTAGTGTTGCCGGTTTATTGATAATACTCAGGAATAGGTTAAATAACTTCAGGATTTTTTTCTGTGAATAGTTTTGTATATAGAAGCTTTGTTAATAGCCGATACTGGGCTGGTCTTAATCTATTATATTTTTATAATCCTGTCGCGCTCTGTACTCCTCAGTATGCTGTTTAATTACTCCTAAAAGTGGTATGTTGCTATTCAGACGAGTTTCTATATCTGTCTACTGCTGTAGTACTGAATGACCCGCAATATATGCAGATTATATTCTGCTCTCTCTGTGTAATTATGTGAGAGCAATGAGTATACCGAGTAGTGCCTTTGCGATGGTTGATGCCGCAATCTACGCAGATTTGATCCAGATGTCAGAAAATGATACATCAGAAAGATCCGGCCTTCGTCTAATTCCTGTCCCAGGATGTCGCTACCGGAAGCTATTAGCGGATTAAATGAAAAAGTACAACAATGAAGTTATTCATAAAGCTGAACTGGTCAAGAGCTACAGTAAGCTACAGCAAGATGTTCTTAATATGTCTGATAACAGACTCTTTACCACTGATACTCTCTTGTTTATTACTTCACTAAATACAGGTGAGGGGCTTCACAGTCTACGCAAAAACTATACATATAATAACATAGGTGATGGGTTTTCGTTTTCAGAAAAGAAATACAATTTTGAAATTATAGACTGGCTGATATCAGTTTAGTATTGCCTGCAGATTGCGGAAGCCTTAAAAGGCTTAATGTAAGCTTCTTAAGCCAAAGATCTAATTAATTAATCAGGCCCGAATTAGTTACTCCTAGTGTCTTCTACTTTGCTTTTTAGCCAATATATTATAGTTAATGTAAATACCACCCTTGGATTTTGATTTTCTAAACAACTGTTAACAGTATTATATCACTATAACGGTACTCTTTGTGACAGTCTTTTGGTTAACAAGGAAGTCCTGAGTATCCAGTACAGAGAACCTCAACTATCAGATCATATTATAATATCTAAAAGCTGTTATATTCGTTTTGGAATAAATACTATAATCCTTTACTATATTATAAAGCTCAAGCAGAAACCTTTTAAAGAAACAAATAAAATCAAACAATTCTTCTTTCTAAGCAATCTACATCTCGAGACCGAAAAGATTATAGCCCACAGATAACCTACGCTATAATACCTATTCTTATAACTCACTATCATACTCAGTAATTGTATATAGCTTCTCCAAACCGATATTTAGAACTATGTTTTAAAGCCACCCAGTATTATACAAACCCAGTATCGGATCTCCAGAACATCTATCTAAGGCTGTTTGAACTTAACTCTCCCCAATCAAATACAGGCTGGCTTGATCAAAAAAGCAATAAGTATCACATGCAAAAACACATACAAAAACCAAAAGGGTACGCGCGTTATTCAACTTATTTGTGTGAAGGTACTTTGAGACCCTCGTCACATACACATCAATCTTGAAGCTTTTCATGTCGCATACGTCTTCTTTACTGAATTTAACAGTACAAACAGTAAAGGCCCAAGAATCCTTCTATAGCCTCCGATACCTTTTTGATCTGAATGGCAAGTTTCTCAGCGTAGGTGACTCCCCGGGCGTCCGACACCCTGGTCCGCATGGCAAGACTCTCGGCGTTGGTATGATTGGAAGCGATCTTCAATTTCTCGAAGTGGTAGAAGTCATTATATGCACTAGCAGGTGTTTCAGAGTCGAAAGTAATACACGCCAGTCCGTACATTCACGGTCTCAGCGCTTCGATGATTTGAATGCGCACCGGCTTTTCAGTTGTGATTAAGAAATAACCGTTCGCAATAGCAATCTGAGACTCGTCCATCTTCATGGAAGTAGCAATTCTCTGAGCAGCCGCTCCTCCACCAGGCCGAGATGATTGAGCTCAGAGCCGGAAACGTGCCTGGCACCCGATTGCTTCTCTTCCATCTTCATGCAAACTTCACACTGAACATAAGTCAAGGAAGACTCATAGAGTGTGTCGATCGGCCTTTCTTCCAGCATCTTTCTCAAACACTCCTTTTCTCCCACATTGAGAAAGGTTATCGAACGGTCACAGTAATGGCAAAGATATGATTCGGACATTTCAGTGCGTTATAGAAGGAGAGTAGTACAAGAGGTATTTCAATGTATCCTAGAATTGCTGACATGATACCAGGAGAGAGATCCAAAGGTAGGCGTGGTAAAATGTGCGTAGAGGCTAGCGAGGTGTATCTGGGGCTCGAACACCAAGTGATGAGCTGGCAAACTAAGTGCACCCGCCAAATAGCCAGAAAAGCACTGCATGAGCCCTTGGGTCTTGTCAAGACGCCCTATCATTGACTAATGTGGTTCCCGTCAGCGGCCCCGCAAAAAAGATTTATTAGGTTCTTTCCGCTGCTAACCAAGCACAAACCCTTTCCCCAAAGCTGGATTTATATTACCTTTAGGTCAATCACAGGAGGCCCGCAAATTTTAATACGTATATATTATATTCGAAGTGACGACAGCGCCTTCTTACAATATGAGTAAAGCGCGTTGACAACGCATAGATTCGAAGCTATATAGAGAAAACCCGAGACTCCCAATTCAGAGTAAAGAAGCCTTTCTCTAGAAAGCGCGTTTCAGTAAGAGACAGCATTTTAATAATTATTGCTGATATCTCTCTACGATACAGCTATGTTCGGGATGTTCTATGTAATCTCTTCGTCTATTAGCCCACTGCGTCGTGCAACAGATGGAGTAGAAGTTTGTCCAATGATCGTAGAAAGCAAAGAATCATCATACAAAACCAAATAGTCTACGGTACTGCAAGTTCGTGTCACCGTATATTAAAGTGGACCCGACCTACCCGATAAGAGATGGAGCTCCCCTCTCTTAATCTCTTATCGCCTGCTTCCCTTCTCCTCATTACATATACTCGTATCACCCCCAACCCCACTCACCTTCACCTTCAATTGCTTGTAATAGTATTTGCTCACGCTCCTAGTAATCAACCAGCATCCCCAGATCTCTACAATACAACCTCCCTCTACTGCATCTACAAAACTCACCCCTCGCAAACGCCTAGAGAATGTGGCACCCCACGCGCACAGCCCTCCACACCCCCGCCGCCCCGAACCCCCGCCCTTCCTCTCGCAAGCCGTTGTAGCCAAGAACATTATCTACTGCTCCGGCCAAGTCGGCGTCAACCCCACGACCGGGGAACTGGTGAAAGGGTCTGTACAGGAGCGAACAGTAAGTAGCAATACAAGATCTTTGCAACCCGGATCCCACATTCAGCATTCTCATTATCATTATACCCACACTCTTACCAGAACCCAAGCCCACTCCAACCCCTACCCAGAAGTTATATATGAATATACCGTGCTAACGCCAGGAACCCAGAAACAAATCCTCCAGAACCTCTGCGCGGTGCTCGAGGCAGGCGGCTCCAGCCTCGAGGATCTGACGAAGGTGAATATCTTCTCGAAGGATATGGAGGACTTCGGGGCGGTGATTGAGGTGTATTTGGGGTTCTTTACTGGGCCGGTGAAGCCTGTAAGTTTCTCTGTTTTGTTTCTCGGTTGATTGTGAGGGAGAGGTGATGGGGAAGGCTGTACGGATGTCGATGGGTGCTGATCATGGTGTAGGCTCGCACGTGCGTTGCGGTGAAGACCTTGCCGACGGAGGCGTATGTGGAGATTGAGTGCTCGGCGGTGGTGAGGGCGGATGGGAAGAAGGTGGCGAAGCTGTGATGAGATTGCTCTTGCCTGTCCCTTTCTATTGGGGGTTGTGGGTGGGGGATGATACGCATCCTTGTACTGGAAGACTCAGTATGAGTGCGGGGATGAGGGGTTGACTGACATGTCTTGCGTGTTGTGTTGGGCGGGGTTCATATACAATGTCCCGTGCGTGTGGTCCCGCAGTGGCAATGCGATTGTCTTGAAATTAAGTCTAGAAGTTCTCAATCCAGTACTGTACTACTTAGGATGCAAGTCAAAATCTGAGACGTTGGGGTCTTGATTCTGATACAGAATTGAACTCAAATTGACACCCGTGGATGGTTATTCTTAGTAGTTTGTGTATCCGGAAGCTCATTATTGAGACAGTATCAAACCTTGATTGCTAACCGTTTTGCACCTAACGGCGGATTACCGGAGGATACCATGGCGTTGCAGCGAAATGCTCTGGCAGAGATACGATACGGGTATTGCTTACTGCTGCCAATTTGCAGCCGAGGTAAATAAACTAGTACTGATAGGGGTATTGCACGCGCCAGACGGTGGTGGCTCTTAGCCAATAATCACCGGGGCGTGGTGGAGTCGTGACGGGCGGCGGTTCAGGAACAGGAATAGTGGCATTTAATCTTTCCCTGGGCCGCTGGCATTCGCGCGTCCATGGTTGACTTCAGGATCGCTTCTGCTGATCGAGGAAGACTATCGTCACTTCAAGTTCAATCTGACAATGTAACAAAGTAGCGGAAGAGAGCCCTTCAACGAGCTGGACTGGGCCCTTTGAAAGCTTCTGCCAGATTAGTAACTTCGTCCGTGGTCGAGCGCAAAATTATCGTCCTAAACCTCTTCCTCCCGGCAGTGGGAGTCGTGACACGTAAAAATAGCAACGGTATAGGATGGTGCCACAACATCTCCCCTGACTACCACTTCCACAATCAAAATCACTAGTAGCACCACTAGTAGTGGTCAGTTCATGGTCCTTGACCGGTGTGCATAGCGATCCGAGTTCCTGAGTTATATACCTTATCGAAGCTTGGACTCGCTGGTGATCTGCAACTGGCTGACAGACCTCTAGCCCCCTATCCGATGGCCACGCTCACGGAAGCGACGAACCTTCTAAGATCCCTGATCCGTCGACCGGTTTGACATTGTCAGCCAGACAGAGACGCATGTCTCACCGATCTCCCTGCTCGCTGGAATGCTGTGGCACTATCGCTCCCTTGTTCCCGGCAATGCTGAGACCGTAGGGATGGAAATGACGGTTGTTTCAGCCCTGATGATGGCCCCAGATGGTGCTTCCTGACTGGACAATCTGACATTCCAAACATTCCCATCATGTTAGGGCGTAAAAATGTGGATGGTTCAAGGCGCACAACAATGAAGAAAGAGAATTGACGCTGAAGCCACTCCACGGCTTGCAAAGTAGTACTGAGTAGTACTGGCTGTACTGTAGTGGCGTCGCTAAGCGCACACGTGGAGTCAAGCGGATTGATCGTGCGGATTTACTGGCAGAGATTAGGATGAGAGCCTGACGGACAAGGCCCCTAATAGCACTCTGCTCTCAGATTGCGGGCCAAGGATATCCCCCAAAGCCCCCACCCCCCGGTCTATTGAAATTGACAATAGTGTCCGTCGCTAGTTAGTCTATACCCAGTCTCTGTCTATCCATTTCCTTCCAAGCAGCTATAAGCATGCCACATTATTAAGGAAGTGCAGGTTCTTCTCGGACTCCATGCCAAATCTCTATTAGAACGAATTGATGAGGCTTCATTTCAAAGTCGTGGCGTCAGGTTCACGGGATGTCTTGACTCAAAGGGGTCGGTCTACCAAAGATGAGGAGAGATGGTGAGACAGCCGACGGATTCTTTGGTGACCATATACTAAGCCAAATCCAGTTAGCCAGCAGGCACTGCCTACGAGCTCAAAGACGGGGGGGCTACGCGAAGCAGAAGGCAGCACTTCCGCCAACTGCTTTGCAGGCATGCAGGAAGATTCAAGCATGCCTCTCCTTCGCGCTTGCTTACGACCGAACAGATGGCAAGAACTGCCCTGCTGGCGGAGACGAACCATAAAACCAACCCAACCAGTCACTCCTGTGTGGGTGGATGGAAGACCCTTTCTGGGGGCAAAAGCAATTCGATTCTAATGGAACTGGGAACCGTCCAGGACTCCAGACAGACCGACAGTGAGTGGCTGCATTGTTTCCCGACTCTGGTTATCTGCACGCACCGGGGCAATCCCCACAGCCACGGCCAGGAACCAACTAAAAAAGTAGAGCCACCCACACCCACGCCCTCAGTCTAGGCCTTGTGATGGTCCGAACCTTGACGGAAACATGCCCTTTGCAGACAAGGTTGGTGTGCAAAGAGGCGGGAATTACGATGGGCGCTGTACCACCGTCGATCGGCACTTGTTCCTGCACTTTTCACCGGCCACTGCTCTGTATCACGTTACAGACTGAAGCCCCCATGCTGTGCCTTACTTGACCCGTACCGACAGTCAGTATTGTCACCCGGTCCGATCGCGACTATCTGCAGTACAAACTGTCGAAGAGGACGATGGCTCTAGCCCAGCCCTCTAGCAATCGTTCTAGATCATTAGAACTTGGGCTGGGATATTGGCATGGGATGGGTACTTTGGATAAGTTGCAGTCGGCTCAATTCCGCATTTTGAAATGGCCAGCGAGGGTTTCTCCTTCGCTGCTCCGCTTGCTTCTGGTCACTCCGGGGTGGCACAGAAAAGGAAATGGTCGACCAAAAGAATGGCCTGCATACGAATTGCAGATACCTCAGTTCTAGGTAACCATCACCGAGATAGACCATGACCAAGTGCCCAGGATTTGATCTCCTTTTGCACTGCACCCGGCGCATATTTGTACTTCGTAGTCTACGTCTCATTCAAAGTCGATCTGCCAGACCCTATTCTGTCGATCCGAATCCAATTCCGCAGTAGCGTGACTGATAATCGAGAGCCCATCATCCACCTCCATGTGCTATGCCCGTTATGCAACCCGGCTCAGCCGAGGGTTTACCGACTCTCTTGACAGTCGATGCACGTCTCGTTTGCATACGACGCAAAAGAAAGGGCTTGTCTGCAGCGGTCACGGAGCAGTATACACACGGGAAGTCGTCGGAGGAACACCAATTAATCCGAGTGCTATAGTCAGTTTACTAGTAGACTTGGTGGTGTCAGCGGGATTCGAATGCAGTAGTTTAATGCATCTACTGCAGAAGGGCGTTCACATCTTCAGGGTAGAGGTGAACATGGGGTCAGAGTGTGAATAGAAGATGAATGATTGCTGGAGGGGCTGGATGGAGTCGAGAACATCTGATGCGTAACCTGCCAGATGAGCAACGGTGGACAGACGGACAGACAGACAGACAGGCACCATGTGGAGAGAGGCTAGAATACGCGGAAATCGTCGTCATTCATCTGGATGAATGGAGCCAGCCCGGTAATAATCGCCGGGTGGAGATTCTGGGAAGGTTTCCACTTTCTCTTGTTTCTTGTGCCGGGTGCGTGGGGATAAGACGAGGCGGGCTGGGCGACGCTCGGCTTATTTCCACAGCCTGTTGTTTTTTTCTCTGTCTCTTTCGTTCTTTCATCTCTTTCTCTTCTTTCCCCCCCCTTTTACTAGAACTACTAAGTAAAGACTAAACGATGACACGGACGGGCCCCAACGAGACTAAACCGCCTCCTCCAAATTAATCTCCCCTTCTCTTTCTCCTCTTTTTACCTTTCACTCATTTACTTCCTATCTATTGTTTGTTCGGCATTTTTCATTTTATTCTATTCCTTACCAAACACCCCCCAGTCATTCATTACTATCTGTTTCCCTCCCCTCCCTCTCTTTTTCTGTTCTGCTTTTCCCTCCTTCCATTCTTCATGCTTCGCTATTGTCGATGCCTGCGTTGACGTAGTCCCATCTTGGTACGTTCTCTGCGTCAACGAAGGAGTTGGGGGCTGCTGCCAATTCATCGCCCCGTCTCACCCTCACTCTCTCTCACGCGCTCGGATTCGGATTCTCCTGCTGCTCCTTGCATCTTCCCACCCCCCTCTCCTTCCCTAACTCACCTCTCCCCCGTCTTCTCATGGTCGCGCGCCGCTTCAGGTACCAGCCAGCTACTGCAGTGTCGACCCGTCGGACCAAAACAACTCCACCATCAGATCCCCATACATCCACTCCACCGCCTGCCACCACCACCACCACCTCCTCCTCCTCCTCCTTCTCCTCCTTCGTCCTTTCCACGATCGCTTTTCTTACTTGATAATCCTGATCTAGATTTCTCTTGTCGCTCGCTCCTTGCAGTATCTACATTCGTTTTCGTCTTGTCTATTGCGAGACTTTAAAGGGGATCTCGTTGGTTGTCCGTTTCGTCCGACCACGCCCCCTGCCGCTCCTTGAGACCGCATTTGTTTATCACGAACTGCGACTGTTGTTTTCGCGCGAATTATTCACTCCGGGCTCGTTGCTATTGAGACAGTACATCCGAGAATTTGCCGTGTCCTTGCTGATCGATCTGTTCCTGTACCTGAACACTCTTGGCAGGAGTGCGACTGCGTCCCAGCCATCTGCAAGTTACCGAACAGCGAAATTGTTCACGCCGTTGACTCGCCGGAAGCCGCCTTTGTCTTGACGACTGGAAAGTGGAGAAAGTGCACCGCAGGAAGGTTGACAAGGATAGTCCCGTACAGTCCAAGTACTGCTTATCGCCGCCAGCCACCGGATCGATGTATCTGCGGTTTCGACGATTGACACTCGGGATTTACGCTTGATTACATTCGTTGACTGGCTCTGGAGATTTTCTCATCGGGTCTTCGCTCTGTCCGTTCCCTCACCGTCGGCACGGTCTTCGAGACCCTTAAATCGCTCTTTTTTCGCCTATTACCCACCCACGCTCCTTTCAATCTCAATATGATGTCCCCGACCAAATCCCTGCTACTGGCGCTTCTGACGCTAAGTGGCCTGGATATAGCCGCAGCCGAGAGCGCAGCCGAGGCGCAAGAATTGCGGGATCGTCACTATCTTGCCGGTCGTGCAGTCAGCTCTTCTGTGAATGCGTCCCCGGCCGTGACATCTGCTACTACAACATCCGAGACGAGTACCGCTGGCTTGACGACAGATGCCGCGGATCCCAGCGTATCGACCATTGACGGCGCCCCGGTTGTAGTTGTTGTTCCGGTAACCCTCTCCGTGGACGCGTACGGCGTCACGCACACCATCGTCGGTACGCAACCGTTTGTTCCTGGAGCTTCGACGAGTTATAGCGCGACATCAGAGACAGCGGAGAAGGCGGCGGTGTCCCCACCGCCAGTTGCAGCAGCATCGGCTACGACTACTGCGAGCGCCAGTACAACAAGCTCCGCTACAGCAAGTGACACAACAACGTCCCAACCCGCAGTGAAAGCCGACACAACCACCCTCGTTCTATCTTCTACTTCTGAGCCCGCAGTGAAGGCTGACACGGCCTCTGACAACCCATCCACATCCGAGTCCGATGTGAAAGTGGACACAACGACGCCCGTCAAGTCATCCACGTCTGTGGCCGCCGTCAAGGTCAGTACAACAACTCCAGTAGAATCACCTACATCCGAGTCGGCCCTTAAAGTGGAAACCACGACGTCCGACAAGCCATCCACATCCGAGTCCGCCCTCAAGGTGGACACGACAACGCCTGACAAGCCTTCCTCCACTCCTGAGTCTGCAGCCAAAGTAGATACGTCGTCCTCGGTTGTCGCCGCTGCAACTACCACTACTGGACAATCTCTCAGTGGATCGCTTGAGAGCTTTGTTTCCAGCTTGCTCGCAGGCTCGACGACCGTTCCCACTAGTGCTGGTAACGGCGCTGCCACGGCTAGCTCGACTGCAGTGGCCTCAGAATCCGGCACATCTACTCCCCCGGCAAGCTCCGCCGGAATTATCGGGGCTCTTTCGAGTCAGAGTTCTTCTACTGAGAGCTCTGCTACAGGAGCCTCCGCGGTTTCTCCCTCCGCCGCCCAGAGCTCGGCTATCCAGTCACCCGCTTCTCAGAGTTCTGCTACGTCTACTCCCGCCCCAAGCTCTGCTGGAATCGTCGGTCTTTTCTCGAGTCAGAGCTCTTCTACTGAGACCTCTACCGGAAGCTCGACTGTTTCTCCATCTGCTACTCAGAGCCCGTCTGCTCAGACGTCTGGTATCACATCTACCCCTGCGGCAAGTTCTGCTGGAGTCATTGGCCTTGTTTCGAGCCAGGGTTCTTCTACTGAGAGCTCTGCCACTGAAAGCTCAACTGTTTCTCCCTCTGCTACTCAGAGCTCGTCTGTTCAGACTTCTGCTGCCCAGAGCTCCATCACGTCTACCCCTGCGGCAAGCTCTACTGGAATCATTGGTCTTGTTTCGAGCCAGGGTTCTTCTACTGGAAACTCTGCTACTGAAAGCTCAACTGTTTCTCCCTCCGTTGTTCAGAGCTCGGCTGTCCAGAGCTCGGCTGCTCAAAACTCAGTCACATCGGCTCCCGTCTCAAGTTCTGCTGGGGTAGTTGGCCTTCTCTCAAGCCAGAGCTCTACCAAGAGCTCTGCAACTGAACACGCCACTGCTTCGCCCTCTGCCACTCAGAGCTCCGCCGTGGTGTCCAACTCTGCATCCCAGACAGCTTCCAGCCAGGCTTCGACCGCCACCCAAGGTTCGGCCACCAGCAATGCTGCTCAAACCACTGAGGCAGCTTCTTCCAAGGCCGTAATTTCCGCATCCCAGGATGCCGCTTCTACTACTACTCCGGGTGCATCGGGCCTGGTTGGTATTCTGTCAAACTTGTTGTCCGGCACCACCTCTACTCAATTGCCGTCGTCATCTACTGCATCTGGCTCGGCCACTGCACCGGTTTCTAGCGCCTCTGGCTCGGTTACTGCCTCTGATTCTGCGATTACATCCGGCTCAGTTCCTGCATCCGCTTCCACCGTGTCCGGTTCGGCTACTGTTTCTGGTTCAGTCCCTGTCTCTGAATCCGCTATTGCATCCGCTTCGACTAATTCCATTGGCTCGACGACGGTTGCTGCCTCGGCCGTTGCATCTGAATCTGCCATTTCTTCTGGCTCCGCCACGGTGTCTGGTTCGGCTCCTGCGTCGACAACGGCAGTGTCTGGCTCGGCCACTGTTTCCGGCTCGATTCCTGCTACTGAATCTGCCTTTGCGTCCGCTTCGACGGCTCCTTCCGGCTCGGTCATTGCGTCCGAATCCATTACTGCATCTGGTCCCGTTGCCGCGTCTGCTACTGCCTCCGACTCGGTCACGGCATCTGCACCGGCTATCATCGCTGGCTCGGGCTCTGTTACCGCCACAAGTGCTAGCGCCTCTGTCGAGCCTGCGCTCCTAAGCCTGAGCCTGAGCCTGCCCACAATCCCCGTCAGCGTTCCCTTGGTTACACCTACTTCTTTGCTGGGATCGTCTGGCATCCCTATCCCTGCCTTGCTCAGCACCGCATCAGACCTGACATCGCTGGCTTCAGCTATTCCCACCAGCGCTGCTGTGGGCCTGAGCAGCACCGGTTTGGACTTGACATCCGTCGCTTCTGCAATTCCTACGAGCGTTCCTGTGGGTCTGAGCAGTACCGCATTGGATCTGACATCCGCGGCCTCCATCGTTCCGACCAGCGGTGCTGTAAGCCTGAGTAGCGCGGCCCCAAGCGCTACTTCTGATGCCTCGAGCGTTGCGGTCGGTCTGGGACCCACGGCTACCACATCTACGGCTCTCATCGCTCCCTCCAGTGAAACTCAGAGCTTCGCACCTGGCGCCTCGACCCCCGTCATCGGCAGTGTTGCCCCCACAAGTGGTGCTATTGTGCCTACCTTCTCTGATAGTACCTCGGGTGCAGCTTCGACGGCTACCTCTGCCTTCGAATCTGGATCTCCATCTGGAACTGCTTCTGAGGCTGGCTCTACCGCTGCGTCCGCCACTTCAACTGCACTGATTGCTACCAAGCCCACGGAAGCTTCGGGATCTGTCTCCGCAGCCCCAACTGTTGTCCCCACGGTTGTGCCCACGGTTGTGCCCACGGTTGCTCCCTCCGTGTACTCTAGCACTAGCACCAGCACCAGTGCGACTACTCCGTTGACTACTGAGCAGCCGACGGCCACCAAGGCTGTGGCCGAAACCACTTCTGCGCCAGCTCCCACGTCCAGCACGTCGAACGTTGATGATTGGATGCCATCTAGCATTCTCATTGTGGAGAGCACGACTTCTACGACTGAGCCTACTGGCACGGCCACTAAAGCTGCCACCACAACAACAGCTGCTGCGCAGCTTCCTGGCTCAATCTCTCCGGCTGGAGGCATCCCCGAAGAACCCAAGAACTCGACCTTGATCCAGATCGGTTTTAACGGCAAGCTTCGATACAGCTTCGTGGCCACGACCCCCCTGTCCTCGTCGCAGATCTTCACGTATGTTCCGCAGGGTCTCCAGTATGCCCTGTCGGCCAACGGCAGCGATGTTGTCATGTACGACATTCAGCCCTACGATAACTCGGCAAGCACCGGGTACATCGCCACCGTTGCTTTGGCCTACGTCCCTTCGGGTGATGTGGACACTCTGGCGCAGATGCTTCACAACCCAATTTCGAAACTTTACGAGCAGCCCAGCCAGACCGTCAAGACGTTGATGTCGATGATCGACCCCTCCATTCCCCTGATTGTCAGCTCTGGCTCTTCGTCGGGTGGCGGTTCATCCAGTAGCAGCGGATCCGGCAGCAACAAGAGTAGCGGCGACGGTGGTTATGATCAGTCGGATGCCGGGACTAGTGGTACAGGCACCACCAAGGCCAGCGCCGTTGGCATTGGAGTTGGCGCTGTTGCCGGTGCGGCCGCCTATGGTGCTGGTATGTTCTGGGTCGCTCGTCGGTACCGCAAGAAGCGCCAGTTGCACCAGCGCAGCCCCTCGGCCGTGGACCAGACGAGCGAGGGCCGTGGATCTGTCCTTGCTGCCGGTGGTCGCATTTCCCGTGGTAGCCAGAACAGCCGTGGCACTGGTCGGTCACAGATGATCAGTGCGCCTGTGATGGCTGAGAATTCACTTGGATGGAATTAGACCTGAGTTGCCAAGTGACCTCATCCAAAAGAAGTCTAGGTTGTTTGCTGTGGCCCATAATAGACTGGGGAAACAAGACCAAGAGAAAGAATCCAGGAGAAGAAAAAGGAGACCGGAAACGGGGAGCGCTCGGGTTTCTTCCCTATTGCTCCCAACTTTCATGTCGCGTTGTATCAACGCTTATCATTTATCAACTCTCTCATCTAATCTTTTCTTCTTATTCCCCATATGTTTTTGATTTTGATTTATCATATACCTTTCTTACCCTCCTTGTGGTGATACACGTGAACCTGTCTCCATCACCGCCATACTCGCCCGCCTTTTCTCTTCTTTGTCTCCCCTTGGCTCCTTGGCTGGGGAGGGTCTTTGTTCTCTCTATGGCCGGGGGGTGTGGCAGGTATATCGTGACGAATGACGCCATCTATACTTTTCTACTACCCCAGCCACTTCTTGTGTCTCATTGTTATTTTCCCCTTTGATTGATTTGTCTATATGTACAGATGTATATTTCCCGTAAGTAACTACTAGAGACCCAATGGCAGCCGACCGAATCCTGGGCGGCTGGATTATCAATATGATGTTTATATTTACCAATTCCCCATCGATGCAAATGCATTAGTAGTAGTAGTAGTAGTATAACTAACTAAGTGTAGTGTACAGTAGGGTACAGTAGTGTACAGTCGTAGTGTAGTCTGGCCCACCCGAGAACAGGGATGGGAGAAGCCAAGCATGAATGCCAAGTCGATTTCCCCTCTTTTCCTCTTTGCTGCAGTCATGGCTCCATGCCAGGATGATATCACCTCCCATTATACCCTGACCGTCAATCGAATCCCAGCATCAGGCGTGGAAAAACTGCTCCGCACCCAAGCCGGAGTTGCAGCGGACTTTTTATGCCTCGGTGAGTTTCCACCTATGAGGGCCCTGGTCGGACATGGACTTTTCATCTCCGGAGCTCTGCAGATGGACCCGATTGTGGGGAGAGTAATCTGATGTTTGATTCGTGGTAAGATGGAGAAAGAGATCCAGCATTTCGGAGGAGACTACTGCATTGGTACGCTTGAGGTCTGATTGCAGCTGGCCTGCAGGGAAGTATAGTTGAGTGAGGTGGAGTTGCCTTGCAACTATGGAGCCCACTATCACGAGAGGTACGTCGTCTGTCATGATCGGGGAAGAGTGTATAAAGCAGCTCCATTTTGCTTTTCTTTCCCCGGAGACAAGACGACAAAAGAAAGATTAGAGTGAGAGTCGCTCGCTCTCACTCACTGATTGCTATTATTGCCGTCATGGCTACAACCCGACCAACCCCGCGACGCCTAACAGCGCTCACCACTCTCCTTCTTCTCGGTCTATCATCATCGGCATCTGCCCTCCCAAACAACAACAACAACAACAACAACAACAACGCAGGCCTACAGCTTCGGGCCAACCCCCCTTCGTCGTCGACGTCACCGTCACCGTCATCATCCCCCTCACCCCCAACTGTGACCCTCATCTCCTCCTCGCAGGACTCCCAAGAATCCACCGTCTTCATCGGCCGCGCCCTCCCCGAGTTTGCCCAAGACCTATTCCTAGGCATAAAATACGCCGACGAACCGCGCCGCTTCACGTCGTCGACCCTCAAGACCCGGTATGAGGCGAGCGATAGTGATAATGCTAGCAATGCGGGAACCTCGGCCTCGTCAACGTCAACCTCAACTACGCCGCAGCAAGCATCCGGGAAGAATGTAGTCTACTACAACGCCACGCAGTACGGCTACGACTGTCCCGGCTACGGCAGTGACGAGACCACGCTTGTGAATGCCGGGTTGACGCGGCTGAGCGAGAATTGTTTGAGTTTGAATGTTGTGAGGCCTGCTACTGTCACCAAGTCCAAGACCCAGACCCAAACCAAGGTCACTGGGGCTGGGATTCAGGATAATGAGGAGGATGAAGAGTTGTTGCCGGTTATGATTTGGATTTTCGGGGGTGGGTGGATGCAGGGAGCTACTTCCGATCCTAGGTTGGTTTCTCTCATTAGTTTTTTTTTCCCTGATGCATAGGCCACGTGAGCTGATAGTACATTCGCAAAGGTATAACATGAGCTATATCCTGCATCAGGGCGCGTTGAATGGTAAGCCTGTCGTCGGGGTGTCGATTAACTACCGGGTGGCGGCGTTTGGGTTCTTGGATTCGAAAGAGGTCATGGTTTGTTTTGCCTTTTTCTTCCCCCGAATCTCAGAGTGTGATAGATTGTGTGGAAGGGACACTGGCTGATAATGGCGATGATGATGATATTGGTCTAGGAATCTGGGAATACAAACCTCGGACTGCGGGATCAACGGGTCGCTATGCGGTGGGTGAAAGAGAATATCAGGGCGTTTGGAGGCGATCCGGAGAAGATTACGATTTGGGGCGAGTCTGCGTGAGTTCTTTTCTGCTTGTCTTGCGTTGGGAATGGTGCTGATGGGCGAGGGTGATGATAGAGGTGCGTATAGTGTTGGTGCTCATCTTGTGACGAATGACGGGAACAATGAGGGGCTATTTAGGGCTGGTGAGTATCCCTTAAGCTCTCAGTCGAATTGGATCTCGAGGGTTAATAGTCGTGCCAGCGATCATGGAGTCTGGCAACGCAGTCGGTCCTCCCTGGAACGGCACCGAGTGGTACCAGCCGATGTATGACCAAATCGTGAACAAGACCAAGTATGTACTGTACATCTGACCCCCACCTAGCGGTGATTACTGACGAAGCAGCTGCACCACCGCATCCGACACACTCGAATGTCTCTGCGAGGTCCCCTTCGAAACCTTTTACCCTCTCGCCTACAACGGGCTCGAGTGGTTTGGCACCATCGACGGAACCTTCATCAAGGAGAAGCCGCAGATCAGCATCACGGAAGGCCGGTTCGCCAAGGTGCCCATTCTGCACGGGACCAACACCGACGAGGGCACGAGCTTTGGCACGACAGGCACCAACACCGACGAGCAGTGTATTGAGCAGTTGATCGGTAGGCAGCCGTCATTTCCCGTAGACAAACTCAATAGGACCTCGTGGAAGGCTAACCCGCGCAAGCCTCCAAACGATGGGTCCTCGACCGCGACCAAGCCACGCATCTCCTAGGTCTATACCCTAACATCTCAGCCATTGGCTGCCCCTACGGCTGGGGCAACGTCACCTGGCCGTCGCGAGGGTACCAATATAAACGGTACGCCTCGATGGCGGGAGACCTGTGCATGGTCGCGCCGCGGCGCCTGCTGAGTACGCAGATGGCGCAATATGAGCGGGAGGTGTATGCTTACCGGTGGGACGTGGCTGCGTTGAACCAGACGAACGTGATCGGAGTGCAGCATTTCGCAGAGGTAATCCTTGTTGCGCCGTGGCTTGACAATATCTTTTGCGGAGAACTAACGCAACCAGATCCCCTTCGTCTTCGCCAACCCCGACCAAACCATCACGCCCCTCGGCGCGAATCCCGCGCGTCTGGCGCTTGGTAATCTGGCCGCGAGGATGTGGACGGCGTTTGTGACGGATCTGGATCCGAACGGCCATGGTGGTATGTCTTCCCCGTGCCTATCCTCTCGTTCCGGATTACGTACTGTACACTAGGGAATGGTAATGCTGATGCAAAACAGTGAAAAACATCCCCCAATGGCCGCGCTATACCCCGGGCCAGAACCCCTCGAACTTCGTCTTCCGGTTACCTCGGACGGAAAGCTATGTGGAGGAGGATACGTACCGGGCGGAGGGGATCGAGTATATCAATTCGATCGCGCGGTAGTTCCGGTTCCCCGGATTTCGGAGATGGGTCCATCTTCTGGGGTGGATCTGGAGTTCTGCACCTTGCAGGGCGAAAGATTACGTAGTTCGCGATGTCTATACAATCGGTAGTTTCTTGGATAGAGTCTATGGTTGTCAATCACTCAAATGAAGAATCTCCATTCGAGATAGTGAATGTGAAAGTGAAGGTACTTAAAATCCAGAATAATTCGAATTATATCCCCATCCTCCAAGAGAGAAAAAAAAAAGGAATTTTTATTAGATAGATACAAGAAGATACAAAAACTAGTCAATTTACTCAATACCGAGCAGCTTGACCTTGCTATAGATTTTCAGGATTGTTAGTTCCATCGTCTATCACAAAACAAACAAGCCCATCTCCATCTAGCTTCCAAGGGGCATGAGGGACTCACAAAACCAAAGTCGAGTTAGCAGGGATCAAACCGGGGAAACCCTGGGATCCGTATCCGTAGTCACTTTTGGCAGAATTAGTTTTCTGTGGGATCTCAAACACCACAGGAAACAGCGTAGGACCAAAACTTACGGGGTGATCGTCAGGATGGCCTCCTCACCGACGTTCATGGTCGGCACGCCCTCGTCCCAGCCGCGGATGACCCGGCCGATGCCGATGGCGGTCTTGAAGGGACCACGGGTGAGGGAGCTGTCGAATCTATTTTTTTTTTGTTCATGTTAGTACTTCGTTTGCATGCGTGATGACTTGATTTAGGTCATGGTGGTGGTGGTGGTGATGATGGGTATCTGAAGATAAACAGGGGGGAAAAAAGGCTAAATGTTCGTGTCGAAATGGGATGAGGCAAGAAAAAAAAAGAATCATAAGGAAAAAAAAAAAACGCACTGGGAACCCATGTTGTGCTCGGCACCCTCCTTGTACAGGCATCCGGTGTAGTGGATGACGACGGTGTCGCCCTTGACGGGCTTCTTGTCGGTGTTGCCGGGGGTGAGGATGGTCTTGGTGACGCCCATTTTGATGGTTGATTAAGTTGATTTGAGTTGGATGGTGGAAGGAAAGATGGAAGATTTGGAGGTTTGATCGGGAGAATTAAAGCTCTTTAAGTAAAGTGGGGGCGCTGGGGGGGTTGAGAGAGAGAGAGAGAGAAGAAAAGAATCAGAGAGGCACTGGGCCTTTTCTTTTTATAACTTCCTTTTCCTTTTCTTTTTTATTTTTATTATTCTTAGGCGGTCCTTTTCGAACGCAATCCAGAACTTCAATTTTCTTCTTTCTAAACTATGGATCTGATTCTTTAGGTTTTAATTCGTGTTGGCCGGGGTCTTTTGAGGTGAAGGGGAGGGGGGAAAGGGTTCGTTCTATGGATCGAAAGGTTTGTTTTAATTTTATCTACTTGGTAGATCGTGGGTGCCGTGGCTTTTGGATGAATCGTCGTTGGGAAATGTGTATGTTGTCTAGAATAGAACGCAACGCGTGTTGTTGTTGTGGGTTCGCTTGGCGCGGGACGGAGGTCTTTTCTGTCTTTTCTGGTTATCTGTCTTTCTCTGGCGCAATCATCAAGCAATCAATTGTCGTTAATGGGGTTTGCCAAGTTTTTATACTTTGATACCTCAGCCTATACGGTAGAAATGACGATATGGGATGATGGATGATGGTGGGTTCTCACCGCTTCCTTCCCTCAACTGGGATTTGAACGGATGGTTGGATGGGAAAATGTGCAGATCGTTGGCGACTTTTGGTTCTGCCGCCAGTGCCGCATTTGCCATCTTATACCCTTTGATGTCATTTGTTTGAAGTTGATGACCACCGTGTTTGCTCGGGAAAGAGTTATTTCTCTCTTTCTGGGGGTGGTGGTGGTGGTGATGGTGATGGTAAACCAACTACTGTATCTACCCTTTTCAGGTACGCGGGCCGTTGATAAGTGACTGTGTGGCTCTCATGTACTTTGTAGAATTAATCAATCAATCACCTGCAGAAACAAGTCCACCAGAAAAAGCAAATCCTTCCCCTCCCATCCCCTCTCCTCCCCTCCCATTTCAAGCCCCCCGCATGTCCCATGCATTAGCATCCAATCAATGCAGGTTCGACCTGTCAAAAAGTAAACCCAAACATCCTAATCTGGGCTGCAGCGGCCGCGGCAGGGCAGGACAGGGCACAGCAGGGCACCGCACCTCACGGGCTGCAGGCTGCAGACAGGCTCCTTCAGCTGGTCTCCCAAAACGGCAACCTCTTCATCTCGGCCACCGACATGCTCAAGATGCGGGTACGAGGGAATCGAGGATCGACCATGTCTCCTTCCTCACTCAACGCCAGATAATGCAGTGTCGTGATACCCACCTGCTCGAGCCACGGGAGCACGCGGTGATAGTTCAGCCCTACCTGGTCCAGTCCGTGGCTATCGTCCGAGAGACAGAAGCGGCCGCCGAGGGCGAGGAATTCCTGTAGTAAATGATTATTACTATTAGGATCGATAATCCTCCTCAACACCCATTCGAATCTCCTCCTGTAGGGACAAAGAGGCCACAAGAAAACTACTCACCCGACAAACTTCTCCCATAGGATACGGCTCACGCATCCCCTTCCGCAACGCCGCCGAATTAATCTCCAACAACCCGCCATACTCGGCCACGGCACGCAGATTGCGCCGCACCTTGGCCCAGACGCCCTCGAACCGCGCCAGCGACCCGTCCGGCGCGTCGCTTTTCAACCGGATCAGATCGAAATGCCCGACCACGAGCGGCCGCACCTGCCGGAGCATCTCCAGCTGCTCGTCGAAGTACGCCTCGAACAGCTGCTCGTCGGTGCCGCCGGCGCGGGCGCGCGCCTCCTCGTACATGGCGCGGTCGTAGTCGATGGGCACGGTGAGGGTGTGGTGCACCGAGCCCATGAAGAAGTCGAACGGGTGCGCGGCCAGGCTCTGTTCGATCAGCGCGAACGAGCCGGGCTGCCGGATCCAGTCGATCTCGAAGCCGATGAGGATCTGGAGGTTGGAACCGTATTTGGTGCGTAGGCGCGTGGCTTCGGTGAAGTAGGCCGCTTCGTTGGCCAGGTGGCTTGCTTCGGTGTCTTGGGCTTCGATCTTTTTGGGTTTGTTAGTTGCCTATGATGGGATGGAGGGAATGGAGAAGAGAGGAGATACCTCTTCAGGGTAGAAGTCTTCCTTATGTCGTGGCATGTGCTCCGTTAGACAGAAGGTGTGGAAGCGCTTCTGGATGGCGAGCTGGATGATTTCGTCCAGCGAGTCTTTGGCGTGGCCGGGGCAGAATTGGCCCGAGTGGCTGTGGTGGGAGAAGGGCATCTATACGGTTCTTTAGTAGTGGTTTATGGTTTGGGGATCACTCATGATCGATGATTGAATGGGGTGGTGATGATGCTCACGACGACTGTACTGCGTTATTTACCCCGCGGTGTGGAGGGGTAAGATTTATGCCCCGGTAGAAGTTGACACTAGCGAGTTGCTCAAGTTCGGAGGACGTCTAGCTGTTATAAGAGTATGGGAGGCGATTTGTAGATTGTAGATTGTATGCACACCACACAAAGTATAGCTTTCCCGGAGTTGATGACGGCGGCAGAGGTTGTTTTATGGGGCAAATCATCAGCCGGCCCCGGAGCACGCTGCTCTAGCTCTCACGGACTTGCCTAGGCATCATGATGGCCATTTCATATGATCTTACAGGGTATATTGTATCATATGTACATACATACATGGATGATTAACCTAACATGCATTTCTGCATGCATTTTGCTGATCCACAGCACAGCGTTTCTACTTATGTCTTCGTTTGATGCATTGAGAGTAAGCATCTCGCCTACTATAGACGGCGATATCCAACCTCCTCAGCTTGTAGTCCTCCAAGTCGATTAATCCATATTCCAGGTCGATTACTCCCTTTCCTCTTAATCCATTACTCCATCCATTCCACACAGCGCAGCATGCAGTACAGCCCCAATAGCTAAGCCGATACCAATCCCACCATCCTCTCGTACGGAACCCCCATACACCACATACACCTGATCAACCGTCCTCAAAATGATAATAATCCCCATCCCAATGCACAAAGCCCCAATCACCCCGCCGCCAAAACCATAGCAACAACATACTCCCCATCATGCGAAATCGACAACTTGCCCACCCTGCCCCCGCCTCCCCTTTGCCCCTCTGCCTCCACCTCCCCAGCAACACCCTGACCCTCACCACCCAATAACGAATCCAAATACACCACCTCCGGCCTCCCCTCATCCACCTCGCTCACCCGCACGATCACATCCTTCCACCCCAGCTGCGCGGCACCCCGCGGCGCGGCCTTCCGTGCGGCCTCCTTGGCGGCGAAGCGGCCCGCGAGCCAGCGGGTCATCTCGGGGGTTATCTGTATTGTGTCTGGTGGGGAGGGGTGGGAGTGGGGGGCATTTTGTGGGGAGGAGGAAATGGAGGGACGGGAGGAACTGTTATGTGGTAGGGATTGGGTGGGCTGCAGGGCTGCGGCGAAGCGGGCGTGGAAGTCTGCTTGTTCGCGCGCGTGAAGGATGCGCCGGGTGAAGCGCGGGAAGTAGGAGCCGTTGTTGCGGGTGAGGAGGCGGGCGATGCGCGGGAGGTGGACGATGTCGGTGCCGATGTTGAGGGCGAAGGGGAAGGGGAGCGGGGGTTTCATTTTCGTGGGTGGTGTTGTGTTGTTGTTGTTGTTGATGTTGATAGTGGTGGTGGTGGTGATGGTGGGTTGGGTTTGAAGTTTGGGATGGGTGCGGTCAGGTGACTTATATCTATCTTGTGGTGTTTAGGTAGGGGTCGGTGGGTTGTTGATTGTGTATGGCTGTTCATTTGTCTCAATTGAGTTGATTGGGTTATTTTCGTGGATTCGGACAGTCTGGAGCTTATTATACCTTGGACTGTCCGAGGTAGTCGTGTGCACGCCAATTGTTGGTCACAGTTGGTATTACTGCATCTACGAGACCGCTCTACTAATCACATACTGATCCGCGGGCTTCCAGTTGAGCAAGCATGGTGTATACTCTATATGTACAGATTCACACCTGACCCCCGAGAGGTCCGACAGCCACGGACGTTCCAAGCGCGAAGACATTGCCCGACTCTTCCACGTTGCATCCAAAGTCCGAGACCGGTGTATAGTCGACTCGATTGGGAGATCGCACCTCGAGCACAATTAGCCCCAAGTTTCCTCGACTCTAGCATGCCATATATCTGCTTTAATGGTCCTTCTTGTCTTCGCCGTTCACCTGCTTCAGGAAGTCCCTGTGTCCACAATGTTAGTTCCAATTCGCGTGGTGTGATTCGTGATATGCCAGCTTCCAGATTCCAAGTCTTTTCTGCAAAGGCCTTTGGGCCTGGTTGCCAGGACGGTCCATGCTGTTCATGTCTTGACGAGACTTGCTTAACCGCCGCTTATTCTCGGCGTCAAGCTGACAAGTTCCCGCTGGATCTCAGAGTTCCCAAGAAACGCAAGCGAAGGGCGGCGGATAGGTGTCTCCGGGGCAGAGGCAGAAACGTACGTGATGAATTCCTCCTCATCCTTGGAGGAAGCCTGAATAGGAGGAGTAGCGGGCTTGGGCTGGCTGCCACCGCTGGTAGCGAGCTTGACACCACCGAAAAGGGCACCAAGGACACCCATGGCGAGCTGAGAAAGCAGTCTCCGTCAGTAATTGACACTCAGAACCCAGACATAACACCCTCGACAGCACCTCGGCAGAGATTGGTCTCGGACGACAGGGAGGCCCGGGCGAAGGGTGGGCGCGGGCAATCGCCACAACGGAGTACGTACCACGTGGGAGCCGACCTTCTTGCCGGCGATCTGGTAGTAGACGACCATGGTGACGGATTGGAGAGGGAGGGAATTGGATGGAGTTGGCGGAGAGGCGGTGCGTTGATAGGTTCCTGCGCGAATAAGTCGAACGGACAGCAGCGGAGGAAGTTGCGGCTGGTGGTTTTCGCCCGATCGGGTATAGCTGAGCTGACTCAGAAGCTAGTCAGCAGCAGACAGCTTCAAGCTGAGTCATAATTGAGTCAGCAGGATAGCTTGTGCGATCACGTGACTCTGCTGTCTTCCCGAAAACGTCCGAAGGCGGATGACGTTCGGGAAGCAATCACGGGATATCAGCTGATGGGCCGATGATGTCGTTTGCATGTAGTTGGTAGTAAATAGAACCAGATACTATAGACAAGATGATACGATATTGGGGGCGATGCTTGGGTGGATTCAGATGATCTGACGGGTAAAGAGCATCAGCATTCTGATCCAGCCAGGTCAACTCAAATACTAAGCTGTTGTTGACCAACTCAACTTGCAGCTGCCAGACATGAGATCACCACTACTATTGTGGCGGTGTTCCTTGCCAGCAGAGCTTCCTGTTTTCCGACAGACCTCGGGGTAAGAAGCAGGAGAGACGAGCCTCCATCTGGCTGTGACGGGCAAGATTTACCCCGGCTATTGCATGGAATGATCTGGGGGCTGCTGTCCTTTCTTTTTCTTCTCTTTCTTCTTCTTCTTGCATTCCTCCATCACTCCTAGCCTCTCTCTCTCTCTTTCTTTTTTTGTACTTCAATTTCGCTCAGCCTCCCTTCATTTGGCATCTACCCCTTGCAACTCTCTGTCTCTATATCTTTATAATTTCTGTAAGTCAACTTGTTACCTTCACATCGCCATTTCTGAATACACCCCTCAGGACACCCCACTTACCTCTCGCCCAGCGTCTCAACTCTCTCACGCGACCACATCATGATCTGGGGGAAAAAGGAGGATAAAGCGCCCGAGGTGGTACAACAGCCTATCCCGCGCGAGAAGCTGCCGGATCAGCTTCAAAAGCTCGTCGATCACGATGACGGTTTCTACGATGACATCTATTCCTCCTAGTATGTCATTTCCCGTCCCTGGGGCCGTTGCAACTCACCGTTCCTCGCCTGAGCACCTCCGCGTCTCCCCGCATTCTTCCCCGCAAGCGTCGGACTGCAGCTGTCCGTTAGCTGTCCGTTGGGCGCTGCGATCATCCCAACGGCGGCACAGGCAACCTCAAATCAACGCACGCAAAGTGCTAACCCCATCAACAGCTCCGTTGACTCCACTGAAACTCCCTACCGATATGCCGGTTACGCCACTCGTCTTCGCACTCTTCTACTCTCCGCCCACCGCTATGTCGCCTACACCTCCGACATTGGCGAATCATTCCGCCCCGTCGCGCATCCATGGCTGGTGCGATCCGCGTATGGCATCTCGTGGACGTATTTGATCGGCGACGTGGCTCACGAAGGCTACAAAGCCTACCTGCGCAATCGTAGCCTGCTTGCCCCGCCCTGTGAAGCCTACAAAGATGCCAGCGAACTGTCCCCCGAACAGGTCGCGAAGGGCATGATCACAGGCAATCTCACCGGAACTATCACCAAGCCATCACCCGATACGCTCACGCCGTGGCCCACCACGCATGTTCCCCTCATCGAAGACTATCGCATGGTGATGGCCAAACGCGCCGTATTCCAAAGCATCGCCAGTATGGGTCTGCCGGCTTTCACCATCCACTCCGTCGTGAAATACTCGGGTCGGGCATTCAAGAACTCCAAGAGCGCTTTTATGCGCACCTGGTCTCCCATTGGGGTAGGTTCCACCCTTGTACCCGACTAGCAACAGATCACTAATTATCACAGCTCGGTCTCGCCATCGTCCCCTTCCTCCCTTATCTCTTCGACGAACCCGTCGAGGAAGCGGTCGAGTGGGCATTCAGCCGCGGCCTCTGGGTCTACGGCGGCGACGAAGCCGTCCACCCGCTCCCTCCCCCCAAAGCCGCACGCATGCCCCAAGACGAAGCCACCTCCCTCAGCCACTACCTCCGTGTGCAGACGGAGAAGCACAACAACGAAGCCCTCGGCTCCGACGCGAGCGTCTCCGACTCCGCCGCCAACCTCTCCTGGGACGAATACAAGGAAGAGCGTCGGCGAGCGAGGGAGCAGCGTCAGCGCGAGCGCGAGGCGCACGGCCACTCGGGTCCCCTCTCTTTTCTGAAGGGAATCAACAATGAAAAGAAGGTGTGATTTCGATGCGCTGGTGTGATATCCCCTTAATACCAGATTTCTTTCCTCCTGCATATCCTGGATAACCTCCAGCGTTTGGTCTGGAGGTCCACCAGGACATTTTCGTTTCTACATGTATATAACTTACCGAGACTCTGCTCATTTATGAATGAGATCTTTTCTTGTCTTGTCCATTTGGTTGGCCTTTTCCCGTATGGCCGGAGCATAGCCGGCTGACAACTTTCTTTCACTCTCATAAATTGTGCCGGAAAGAAGTGAGCATTATCAATCTACAAACAGATATACGCCATACGCAACTCCACACATACTAAGAACGTTCTACTCGTACATGAATAGTTTACGAAATGCCAAGCCTGCTGCTATATTAACCTATTTCAAACCTTAATGCCCAGCGACAAATGGGGTGTAAACAAGTAAGTAAGTAGGGTATGATGAGCCGAGCAAAGAACAACAACAACAACAACAGTAAGAGAAGCCAAGCCGAATGCATCGATCGCTCTATGCCACATAGAAACCCAGTAGGAAAGGGGAAAGTAGAAGATATAATAGTAGACGCCACCGCACCGCACCGCACCGCACCGCACGGTGCTGAAACACAATTTATCCGACTGGCAGATATAGTACGTAGACCGCTGGAAAGCTGGTTTGGTGCTGGGCAGCAGATGGATTGTGAAGTGCAAGGCTAGGGGAAGAGAGGAAGGTACAAGGCGTGTTGCAGGTTGGATCGCAGGTGGGGAAATACTGCTATGAGAACCGCCTGTGCCATAATAAATATAGGCAGAGCGGTTGTAATGATTACGTCGACAACGCTTGATTAATCATCCTTGTATCGATCGCGCTCAGCGCCAGATTGAGTCCTGCTCGATCGTCCGGGCGAGGGAGTCGCAAATCGGCCCCGCAGGGTCGAGGGAGATGAAGATGAGGAGGTCCCGTTGGGGAGGAGGGAGCTCGATGCGGATCCGGCGCTTCGTTCGAGTTTTGCGCGCCGTGTGTTGGTGGTGGATGCATCGGCGGGCCCCGGCGGGTGGTTGGTTGTTGTTGCTGGCTCTAGTCCGCCGTGCAATTCGATCAGATCGCCCATGGCGCGATGACGGCCGTTGGGTTGGATCTGGATCGTGGAGTCGGGGTTGTTGGGGGCATTGGTTGCCTGCTGCAGATCGTTGAGGCTGGCTTTGGCGCGACTAGTCATCTTGCGGACCCAGGATTCGACGGCCCCGCCGATGTTCTCGAGGCCCGTGGGGGTGTTGGAGACAGCAGAGGCGGTGGGGGTATCGGAGGTGGTGTCGAAGTCCGGGGGCCGGGTTGCGGGGGCGAGATTGGGCAGGTGATGGGCGAAGAATTTGCTCAGCCCGTCCATTGCGGGGCCAGGAGCTGTGATGTCGCGGTCGAGTGTGCCGACGCCAGGAGCGGAGAACTGGATACCGCTGCGTTGGCGCTGATGCCGGGCTCCAGGCCTTTTGGGGGCTTTCGATGAAGAAGGGTCGGTGGGTTGGCGGCTCCATTGAAAGATAGCAGGATTGAAGGACTGGGGTTCAGCCGGTGATGAAGATACAGACGACGTAGTTGCCGTTCGTCCCTGGTCTGAAGATGGAGAGGGCACCGAATCGGTGCATGATACCGATTTTCGCCGTGTACGTGGGAAGAACCCTAATGCGCCTCGGGGGATGCGGCCTATCTCAACTGGCGCACCGAAGCCTTCAATCTGTACCCAAGATTCGTGCTTCCAAACCCGATCCCCGTCGCCTTCGGATATACTATGTGATATTTCTGCCTTCGGAGGCCACGGCACCGCAGTAGGTGCAATCGAGCTGCCGTTCAAGTCTTCCAGAGACTCGTGTGTGCCGTTCGAAAGCTCGGCGTTGGCTTCATCTCGTATAGGCCGGCCCTTGACAGAGCAAGAGTCAACCGGTAGGAGAACCGTTTTCCGGCCTTGTATGCTATCGCTGGGCCAGAATCCATTGGCCTTCCTAAATATTGCCGGTTGGCAACCATAACGTATCGTGACTCCGGTGATGGTGTCTGTCGCCTGCACGTGGTGTATGTATACTAGGGCGTCCTCATCTTGTTCCGGGTCGATGTTGGAATGACCCGTCTGGTCGCTCGAGTCCCGCCGCTTGTGCCGGGAATTTATCGTCCAATCTGGTCCCGTGTCGGCCAATAATAGAGCCTCGCGTTTCTTTGCCTGTACCAATGCTTGCCGCTCTTCCTTGGTCCCGATTCCGACTTCTGGTGTCAAGGGGGCCGACGGTCCCCATGACGCAGGTATTGACGAACGGGGAGGGGGTCTCGAATATAGATCTGGTCGTGAGGGTTTCCTGGCATGTGTCCGTGTATTACCGTTGGGGGCTGGTCGCGCAATATCGCTGCCTAGTACCGACGAGGCCAAGCTTTGTAACGAGGACCATGATGCATCCAGAAAATCTAAGGAGGTTCTGATGTCTCAGCGAATTTGTATCCCGTTCCTAGGTCGTTGGTCACCCACCTAGAGAGCTATTTCCTCGATTGCGGTTGAAAGACTCGGTAGCTCGAGAAGGATGTTTCATCGGAATAGGGGACACTCCGCGAGAGGGATTCGGAGACGGGGTGGCACCGCGAGAGCGAACAACCGACTCCGAAGAAAGCATCGACGAGAGTCCGGAGGATTGCATTTGTCTCCCACTATCGTCATTGTCGCTGTCCACGATGGAGATCAAGCGGCGAGTTCGCGGTCGCACTGTCGAGGTGGATCTAGTGCTTGCGGTCGCGGGGTGGAAGGCATCGGCCAAGCCACTGTTGGAACTCATCCCTGGTTATGGCAAGAAGAGGATAATGAGAGTCTAAAGAGGTCGTCAACTCCCCGGAGTGAGCTTAGCTTGGATGAGATCGCCCAGGCACTGATTGCCATCGGAGGTCTCTATCTCAGACCATTCGTCATGCGGCGTCTATGGTTATCGCATCCGTGTCCTAGTCTTGAAACACCCGCGGTGTCCGGTGTCCGTGAGGACAAAAGCACTCGTGCTTTGACCCGATTGAGAAGACTATGTCAATTCGACAATCTAGAGGCTCTAGGCCACCACCGAGGGTTGAGCTAACTTTTGGGGAGGGAAGGTTGGGGGAGGGGAGAGCGCGGGATAAGAGTAAGTAAGTATGGAGTCTAGTCCCTTGTGATGACGACTCCAGGTCGGGGAAGCTGATCGATCGTGCTCAGGGCGGGAGGGGGGCGGACTGTCCCCTGATCAGATCGGATATGAAGCCAAAAGGACTCGGGGGGGGGAGTTTTGAAGCTGAAAGAGAAAGCAGAAAGGACAGCGGCGACGAGTGACGAGGAGTAAGGCGAATGAGTGGGAACCGCTTGATCTGCAAGAAGTCCTTCCCCAATGTAATCTCTCTCTCTCTCTCTCTTGGGGTGTCGCTGTGTCTCGCCCTCCCTTAACGTTCGCCCTGTGGCGTACCAAGTCTTACCGTATTGTATTATATGACACGACCGCCCTTGGCAGGCCGCGTAATCGGGTTACAATACTATTTCCATTGGTAATGCCGAGAATAGTAGGAATCTTCCTATTTCTTGGAGAGCCATCAGTGATAGTTGATACAGAAAAGGATAACAACAGTCTATGCACAGAAGCTTGTCTAGTAAGCCATTCGGACCAAAAAAGAGAAGAAAAGAAAAGAAAAGACATTTAATGCACAGAGTGCACCAGCCAGTAATTGTAACTGACATTCAATTCACGCTGAGAAAGCCAGAGAACCAGAGAGGAGAAAACGCCGGGCCCGTCAGACAAGTATAAGTTGACAAGGAGGTAACATGAATAGGAAATTCCAATTGATGCAGGAAGACAATATATAGATTACTCAGGAGGCTCGGCCATCTCTGCCGGTCGTGTCTCTGCTTCAGACATCGCTTCGGACTCGGTGCTCCATTCTTTCTCCGAGTTTGCTTTGCTCTGCATCTGCGCGGGTGGGGGGATGACCCGAACACCACCAGCGCGGCTAAAGAAATCTTCCGTGCGGAGACCACGAACATCCTTGGGATCTACTGAAGCCATTTGCTGTCCATCGGCTTTTTTCTGTCGGATCAACTCGCGCACGGGAACCATGGCGGCGTCACGGCAGGCCTCTTTGATATCACTGCCGGACATGCCGGACATGGCCTTGACTAGATAGTGCAGATCAAAGTTGTCCCGGTCAACCTTGGTGTCTTTCAAGATCAGACTTAGGATCCTCATGCGCTGTGCTGCGGGTGGGAGGACGACAGGGAACTTCTTCGGCATTCGTCGAAGGATGGCATCGTCGATGTCCTGGATACGGTTGGTAGCACCCAGGACGACCACGCGCTGAGGCTCTCCCAAAGAGTTCGCTGAGGTGAGACCGTCCCAGTGCGTCATGAACTCTGCTTTGACCATGCCGCTGGCCTCATGTTCTCCGCTTCTTCTCGTGCCCAGTACGGCGTCGATCTCATCAATGAACACAATCGAAGGTTGAAGCTTCCGGGCCAGCGAGAATACTGCGTTGACAAGTTTGTTTGAGTCACCGTACCATTTCTCCGTCAATGTCGATATATGTAAATTGATGAAGCATGCGCCGCTCTCGTGCGCCAACGCTTTCGCGAGCATAGTCTTTCCGCACCCAGGCGGTCCGTACAACAAAACTCCGGAGGGTGCGGTAAGGAGCGAGGAGGATGAGGAATATAGATGGGGCATTGTCAGGGGATAAATGACAGACTCTTTGAGCTCTTCAATGATCTCGTCCAGGCCGCCTATATCTTCGAAAGACACATGAATATCATCCGGAGCAACCACGTCCATCGCAATAGCCTGTTCATATTGGTTGAGGGTCAGATCGCCTCTCTTAGGCCGGCTCTTTTCCTTGCGCCCGCGGCGCGGCGAACCCTCGTCCGACTCATCTCCGCCATCGAGTTTCCGTAAGATAGCTGCAGACTTGCGCCGTTGTTCTTCTTTTTTCTGGCTCTCTGGGTCAAAGTCGAGGCGTGAGAGAAGGTATCTAATGAGGAAATATGCAGATGCAGACTATCAGAGATGTGTTAGTTCTGTCCCGATACTCGCAATTCTCTGATGATCAACTCACGGTGCCGGCAACCATTACCAGCTCCTGTAAGAACTGTTGCCATCGGGGGCCACGAGCGGAAGCCATGATGACGGAATATAGTGGCAGATTCGAGTAACCGCTTGTCTGCAAGTATTGTAGATGGGGAAAAGCGACCGGATTGTCCAGCTCCAGTGAAACCCAAGGCGACTCGATATGATTGCGATTGTCGCCGGGTCGGCTGTCGGCGAGAGCTGAGCTGTGGCGCTCACCGGCCGGAGACGTGGCTTTGCCGGCAGAATCACATGCTTCACTGCCACAACTCAGGGCGCTTCACTTTTGGCCTTTGCGGCCTGCCGTGAGAAGTACCACCCGCTCGCGTGTCGAATCAGATGCCACCGATTCGCTGCGGGTCTTCCCCAAGGTTCCCCAAATCAGGTACGCGGAAATGTGCGGCCATCTTTCTTGAATCCCCTAAAGCTAAGCTTGACTGGGCGGATGCTGTGGCATCTAGCTACTCCTATACCACTTTTCGTTGCTATTCTGACTTGTTACTGATGATTTCCTCTTCATTCTGACCCTTAACTCCCTTTTCCTATCTTGCTTCTACCTACGCCCGAGTCCCTGCCACCGCAAACATGGCGCGTCTGGGCCGCGTAGGGTTCCTCACCCTCGCGGTGGTCTTCCACCTCATATACGCCTATTCGATCTTCGACATTTACTTCGTCAGTCCGATCGTGAGCGGAATGAAGTCTTTCCCTGTAGAACGGAACCCGGGTGCTTCTGCCCCCGCTAAAAGACTCGTTCTATTCGTGGCCGACGGCCTGCGCGCCGATAAGGCCTTTCAAGCATTGCCCGACCCCGACGAGACTGCAAATGACGACGGTGAACCTATATACCTGGCGCCATTTATCCGATCCCGCGTCCTCTCTCACGGTACTTTTGGCATTTCTCACACTCGCGTACCAACCGAATCGCGACCGGGTCACGTTGCGCTTATTGCGGGGTTGTATGAGGACGTTTCGGCGGTGACAACAGGCTGGAAGCTGAATCCCGTGAATTTCGACAGCGTTTTCAATCGGAGCAGACATACATGGAGCTGGGGAAGTCCGGATATCCTGCCTATGTTCAAAGAAGGCGCGGTTCCGGGTAGAGTGGATGCGGACGCATACGGAGAGGAGGCGGAGGACTTTACGTCAGATGCGACCAAGCTTGATACCTGGGTCTTCGACAGAGTGAAGGAACTCTTTCAGACCGCAAAACATGATCCCGAACTCGATGCCAAGCTGCGTGATGATAAGCTTGTTTTCTTCCTGCACCTTCTCGGACTTGACACGACTGGTCATTCCTACCGCCCGTACTCGAAGGAGTACTTGAGTAACATCAAGTTGGTGGACAAGGGTGTGCAGGAAATTACGCAGGTTGTAGAAGAGTTCTACGGAGACGAACAGACAGCATTTGTTTTCACCGCCGATCATGGCATGAGTGATTGGGGCAGCCATGGAGACGGTCACCCTGATAACACCCGAACACCTCTTGTTGTATGGGGTTCTGGCGTCGCAGGGCCAAAGATACCGCAGGAAAGTGGCCTGTCCGGACATGAAGATGGTGTGTCGCATGATTGGGGCTTGCACGGTGTCCAGCGGAACGATGTTGCGCAGGCTGATGTCGCAGCGCTCATGGCCTATCTTGCTGGGCTCGACTTTCCCACTAATTCAGTGGGCCAGTTGCCTCTCCCTTACCTCAACGCCAGCCCGGAGGAGAAGGCTCGTGCTACACTTGCGAACACTCAGGAAGTTTTGGAAATGTATAACGTGAAGGAAGAACAGAAAAAGGCCGTTCTTCTACGATACAAACCCTACGAGCCTCTCGACAATCACAGCGAGACTATCGATGAAATCCAGAGACTGATTGCGAGTGGTGCCTATGAGAAGTCGATCGAATTGTCGGCCTCTCTCTTCGCCGCAGCATTAGAGGGTCTGCGCTATTTACAGACATATGATTGGCTTTTCCTTCGAACTATTGTCACATTTGGATACCTGGGCTGGATTGCTTATGCGTTGACGACAGTTATCGATCTGCACGTCTTGCATGGTACTTCAGACGCCAGAAGAACTGTTTTCAGCACAACGTTTTTCTCCGGTGTATTGATGGCCATGTTCTCTGTCTTCTTTTATCAGAAGTCTTCGTGGCGCTATTATTTCTACGGTCTCTTTCCGGTCTTCTTCTGGGAAGAGGTCTTTGCGCGCAGAAAAGCTCTTTCCGCTGGACGTGAAATCCTCCTAGGTCATGTTCAATCGGCAACCGGGTATACCACATTCGGTATCCAGCTGCTGTTGTTCGTTGGAGTGCTGGAGGCATTGGTACGTGGCGATGAATGGAAGCGAAGGTAATTTGCTAATCGGCTCTCGCAGGTCCAATCGTACTTTCAACGAGAGATTCTCACGATTTGCTTCATTCTAGGAGCTTTTTGGCCCCTGGTATACGGCTTGGGCTTCTTGAAAAAGCATCCGCTGTTGTCCGCTTCGTGGATTGTTGGGTGTCTTCTCATGAGTACTTTCACTTTGCTACCTGCAAACAAAGTGGAGGACATAAACACCATGTAGGCGACTCTTGAACCCACGGATAGCTGTCAGTCTGCTTACATAAATATATAGAACTTACGGCGGCCTCTTGATGTTCTTCACGGGTCTACTATACCTGTTATTTGAAGATTCAATTTTGGGTCATGACCAAGGCTCAGATAGGCCATCCAGCAGTCGCTCCAGCCGGGGCTCACGCACTATACTAGGCATGCAGGTACGTCAAAATACTCAGATTGATCTGGTGACTGGCCAATATCTGGAGCCTTCGCAATTAGTTCGAATTTCGTGTTAATACTTTATAGCTGGGCAAGGTCCTGCTTGCTATTATAGTTACCAGATCAAGTGCGGCGTCCCTCCAGGCTAAACAAGGTCTTCCATTCGGCAATCAAGTTGTTGGTTGGGTTGTACTTGGTATATGACTCCTGCATCGCCGTTCGGAGACATCGTAACGCTAATGAGCTGCTAGTTGCATCACTTCTGTTTCCTTTTGTTCACAGATTAGCCCCCAACAACCACTATATGCACCGATTAATGGTCCTCTTTTTGACGTTCTCCCCGACATTCATCATCCTCACAATTTCCTACGAAGGCCTCTTTTACTTCGTGTTCTGCATGACCATCATGACCTGGGTACGGCTTGAGCATGCGATCTTCACCTATACATCGACTACCAAGAAAGAGGCTTTGGTCGCCGAGAAGTCTAGCACGGATGCCACGACTGTTGTCGAAGGCCACACGTACCGCTACCGGACTTTGAGTGTGTCTGATGCTCGCGTGGCCCTTTTCTTCTTCTTTCTCCTCCAATCGGGATTCTTCAGCACGGGAAACATCGCGTCTGTCTCGTCGTTCTCCCTGGACAGTGTCTACCGGCTTATTCCGGTCTTCAGTCCCTTCAGCCAGGGCGCGCTCCTGATTCTGAAAATTCTCATCCCCTTTGCGATCATCAGTGCCAATCTCGGCATCCTCAATCGGCGACTGGAGGTCGCCCCTAGTGCCCTGTTCATGGTCGTGATGTCCATCTCGGACATCATGACGCTGAACTTCTTCTACATGGTCCGCGACGAGGGCTCGTGGTTGGACATCGGCACGACAATCAGTCACTTTCTGATTGCCAGCTTCCTGTGTACCTTTGTGGCGGGCCTAGAATTCCTCAGTGAGGTATTTATCAGCGGAGTCGACTTTGGTCCCCGCGCCAAGCGGATCGCCGCGTCTGTCGCCGACGCCATCAATGGCAAGGTGCCAGAAAAGGTCCCCAACCGACAGGACTAAGCACGCACCTAACATTCACCTGCCTACATAGAGGATTGTCTTGAGACAAGTGGAAAGATGTAATGAGCAATTGTATTGTATATGGTCAATATAATCCAAAGATCTATTTTTGTTTACAATCCCGCTGCCATAGCCGCCCCAGCCATCACAAAGGCTGATCTCAAACAATGATGTAGTCCGAACCCCATTCAACCGAGGTGTCACAAGCCAACCCCGAGTACACCACCTACTAAACGGAACTAGTTCCATCAAGCTTTTTGACCTTACAGGAGAAGGAGGCCGGGGAGAGGGCAGTTCAGCCCACACCCCCCTTCACCCCCCCTCCCTCTCTTCTTCCATGTTACTGTTGGCGTCATACATGAGGTTAGTAGCTGATTGACTGATTGATTGATTGACACTGGAGCTGGTCCCGTCTGGTTTGACACTTGCGGGGGGAAGAGGAGCCAGCTAGCCAGCCAGGGACCCTCCCCATTCCCGCTCCGGAATTTCCCCGCTACATCCTTTGGTCTGGGTTCGTGTTCCAATCCAGGAACGAGATCGAGTTTTCGTGGAGGGGGACACTTTGTAGTCATTGGTTCTTGTTCCAGGGCTGGAGATGAGTGATTTGGGGTTATAGAGTGTGGTTGGAAAGGGTAGGGGTTGCGAAGGAGGGCGGGAGGGTTTTGGTGGTGGTAGTAATGGTGGTGATAAGTACAGCACTTCCTGCAGGAATAGACCTGGCAGGCTTGTATAGGCACTTTGGAGGATTTATATGACCGATTGGAAGGGTAGGGGGCAAGATGGACTCATTGATAAAACCATATCTAAACGAATTAATGGAACGAACTGGCGATCTGGTCTTTGCGAATCATTATTGGCAATAGTTAAGCTGATCTGTATGTGTGCGTGGTTGAATTCATCGGAAATAGCACCCTAACCGAGATTTGTGGATGATGATCGCTCGCTCACTCAAAACTTGGGTTATCGGAATACCCTAAATACTACCCCCGAGGAGTTTGAGGGAAGTGGATTAGGGAAAGGTAAGGGTAAGGTTTGATGCGCGGTTAGAAATTCAGATTTGACGCACGCGGGTGAATTTTTAGGTTGAGGTTTTTTCTCCGATGGTTAGTTATACTAGCATGTCTTGTCATACTTGCGCCTTGCTTGGAATTGATGTGGAAGCTTTGATGGAACTTTCACCTCTGTGTGGTCGGTCGGAATTAGGATAACTAAGCTGCCAGCCAGTCAAAGGGTGAGGAATTGCAATGCATGGAAGGGTGGCATAAGAAACACTCAGGGCAGTAATGAAGAGGCGCCTCGGTCAGGTAATGGGATCCACTTTGTGGGGAGGGCGAGGAAGGGCAAAGAAAAGTAATCCAGACTCAAATGACTTGGGATGTGTAGAAAGTGACACCGATCATGGAAGCTTATGTTGGCGCTGCTGAGCATCGTATAAGTATGGCTTGTGGAGTGAGGGTCGTAGGTGAAGAGGTACACGAGACCCTTAGCTATAATGAATGAGATTAGGTAGGCAGAGAGTAATCGATTCATCTCTATGACAATCCCCGGGTCCTCCTCGAGTATCATCCCTGTCTCATGATAGACCCATTCAAATCACTGGCAATAAGACTGCTAGTTGTCAAATCACTGTCATGGACAGACTCATCTCTAGACTCTAGCTCGGACATGGTTCCTATCAAGAAGACAAGACCTGAAGGGACCCTACCTGGTCAGTCTAAGGGTAACTAAAGATACTAAATTCTGGGACCAGCAACCAGGAAAGACAGCAGCAATACTAAGCAGTTTGCTCTGCTCCACTCTGGTCTCGTTCTCTCCCTCCCCCCTCCCCCTACGGAGTACCTAGCCTGCCATTGAAACGGTCATACTACTTGAACGGTATGGTCTGTCTGTCTTGTCTCTCTGTCTTTCCAGCCTGACGCCACCCTGCAGGTCAATCTTCTGCGATTTCTTCTTTCTCCCTCTGCTGTTGATGGTCCGTCCCTTGACTTTTTTTGAGTTAATCCCATATTATCACTATTATTACCACCACCACCACCACCAGCCAACCATCACTGTAACTATTCTTATTGCTGTCTAGGGTAGTCGTAACTATTCCCAGTCCTCTTTCGGGTTCCTGAACAACAACACCTAACATCTACCTCTTCCTTCCCTCTCGTTCCGGAAATTTCCCTCCCCTGCGCCCCTCCTCATTCCCCTTCGTCTTACTCTTCCACTCTCTCACTTGTCCTCCTGATCCTCAAGTCCATCTTCCCACGTTTGAGTGGCGTTTCTCCTGCTGGCTTGGCCTTAAATCGTCTCATTCCGCCCCGTCCCCTGGTCAATTTACCCTTGTCGGGGAACTAAGACAGACAGGCTACGCCGTTCCGGGTCAGTTCCAGTAGCTGATCAGAGCAACCCACGGGCGAAAAAAAGAAGGTTAGCAAAAGCCAAAAAAAAGCAGAGTCACCAACTCTGCGCATCTTGCTCGAATCTCTTCTCTCTCAATTTTCTTTTTACGTCTTATCCCCGTTCTCGACCTTCTCCCCCATCCTTTCTCTTCCGTCCGTTTTAGCACGCCCCTTTCCGTCGCGCCCAGTTGTCCCTTTACGCTGTTAGTCTCTGTCTGGATGGATACCCTATGGCCATGAACACAGCAGAGAATCACATCGAAATAACAGCCACCAGAACCAGCCCAGCTCCGAGCACTGCGGGCTCAACGGGAACCTCTGGGATTACGGTGCGCACAGCACCTAGCGGACACATGAGTTTCCGAAGGTGAGTGTTGTTGTGCTCTCTTCCCTTTGCACTGTCGCGGGCGTTTGCGCTCGCTCGCGGGGTTGCAAGACTTCTATCAGGAGCTGAGGTGCAAAGGCCCCTTTGAAATTGGTGGTTATTTAAACCACTGGATAAAATGCAGAGGCTCGGATCTAGACTGGGGAACTTATAGAAGCTAATCTTCTTTATCTAATCGCTTTGCGAAACAGACAACGTGCGTCGCGTGCTTGTGAGGTACGTCTTTTTGTTCCTGCGAGGTCGCGTTGTGCTGGACTGCCTCGGCACCTCGGCTCAGCCCAGCAGTTGCTTTGCTCTCGTTTTGCTTGCCCGCCCGCCCGCGATAATGCATGCGGTCGATGCTGGTCGTACGATAGCAACACAATCACACCAGCCTGGACCAGATTTGATTATTGTTCGTGCTGACTGACTGATTTCTTTGCATTGTTAAGACATGCCATGCTCGCAAAGTGAGTGCTTCCCCTCCCGGGCAAACTATGTTGCAGGGCAATCTCCCTTACCGGTCGCTCGCCCGTCCTTGCGCCCGTGGGGTTCATGACGGGACTGTATCGCTAACTGCATCACCACAACCTCAGGTTCGCTGCGATGCCGCCAGTCTAGGTGTTCCATGCACCAATTGTGTGGCCTTTTCAATCGAGTGCAAGATCCCAACGCCGAAGCGCAAGAAGAATCAGTCGAAGTCGAAGGAGTCTGAAGGGTACGCTTTAGTCCTATCACGAGGAGCTTCCGACTTTTACCCGCGCTAATCATGATCTGCTTGCAGAAGTGAGGAACGCGATGAGAACCCCCCAGAGGCAAAGCAGGAACCGCCTAGTGTCACAACCACGGCGCCGCCGACCAGCGTGGCATCCAGCGGTCGCAATGCCACCTTCGGATATCGAGAGAGTCAAATGGCGATGGACGGAATGCCGGTAACTAGCCTCACCGAATCGCAAGCTGCGAAACAAGCGTCCCATGACTCAGCCTATGCCCAGTTCATGAAGCCCAAATTCGCACGGGCCCCCATAAAGGAAGCTGGAAGAGTTGCCTATCTTGGCGAGTCGTCAAACCTGTCGCTCCTAGTGCAAGATCGCCATGGCACCACCGATGTTGTGCACTATCCTCTACCCCCCAACATGGGAGGCACGCGCGCGAGAGTAACAGACCTGGATAGCCTGGAATTGGACATTCTTCACCAACGTGGTGCCTTTCTGCTACCGCCGAAACCACTGTGTGACGAGCTGGTCGAGGCCTACTTCAAATGGGTCGCCCCGGTGGTCCCCATTGTTAATCGGAGTCGATTCATGCGGCATTACCGCGACCCCAAGAATCCGCCTTCCTTGCTTCTTCTCCAAGCCATTCTCCTTGCTGGTTCGAGAGTCTGTACGAATCCGCAACTCATGGACGCCAACGGCTCAACAACCCCGGCCGCTATGACGTTCTACAAGCGCGCCAAGGCACTGTACGACGCCAACTATGAAGATGATCGCGTCACGATTGTTCAAGCCTTGGTCCTTTTGGGCTGGTACTGGGAGGGACCGGAAGGTATGTTCTGCTAGGCTGTGCTCTGCTTGCGGCAGAATTGACATGCTTTAGATGTGACGAAGAACGTTTTCTACTGGACACGAGTCGCTATGGTGGTGGCACAGGGGTCGGGCATGCATCGGAGGTATGGTAATCTGCCCATTCATGAAAGCTTATGCTGATCAACGTGCAGTGTGGAATCGTCTCAGCTTAGCAAGCCCGACAAGCGGCTATGGAAACGTATTTGGTGGACTCTCTTTACAAGAGATAGATCAGTCGCCGTTGCGCTCGGTCGTCCCATTGGCATCAACACGGACGACTCTGATGTGGGAATGTTGACGGAAGATGATTTCATTGAAGATGAGGTCGATATTGCCGCCGAGTATCCACCCGATCCGGTACACGTGCAATTCTTCCTCCAATACGTCAAGTTATGCGAGATCATGGGCCTAGTCCTTTCCCAACAGTACTCTGTGGCCTCAAAGTCAAGGCGAATGAATGCGATGGACTTGACCCACTCAGACATGGCACTGGCAGATTGGCTACAGAACTGCCCGAAAGAAGTATGTTGGCAACGACAACAACATCACTTTTGGGCGGCCCTGCTTCATGCGAACTACTAGTGAGTCTCTTACCAGGGCCCCTCGGCTTCTATGACTAACGTTTTCCAAAGTACAACACTCTGTCTGTTGCATAGAGCGCATATGCCTCCTGCCTCCTCAGTTCCCGGCAGTTACCGCGTGGAGGAGATGACCTATCCATCACGTACTATTGCTTTCCAAGCTGCAGGGATGATCACGTCCATTGTTGAAAATCTTCAAGCTCATCATGAGATACGCTATACGCCCGCCTTCATGTGAGTGGGATCGGCTGTCAACTGTTACCCTGCTGGTGCTAACTTTTGGACAGTGTGTACAGTTTGTTCTCAGCTCTCATTATGCACGTCTACCAAATGCGATCATCTGTACCCTCGATTGTGGCAACCTGTCAGGAGAGAATCAACATCTGCACGCAGGCTCTCAAAGACGTGTCCAAGGTCTGGCTTGTAGCCAAGATGGTACACACACTGTTCGAATCTATCCTTGGCAACAAGGTCCTGGAGGAACGTCTGCAGAAGGCTGCAGGCAAGAGGCATCAGCGTGTACGGCCTGAGATGCCGCAGCAGCCCCACGTCAGAAGACCTGATCCACCAAAGCGCAAGTTCGATGATATGGACCTTGGCTTGCCAAATGGAGGACCAACACCCCCGGTGTCCTACGAGCGATCTCGGCCCCAAACCCCAGCGGTTACCCCCTCTCGGGAGATGCAGCCCGGTTCAAATGTGCCGCAAGGTTCACCTCCCGGACATGGAGGCCCCGGTAACTCACGGGCAAATACGCGTCCAACAACACCATTCAATCAATTTTCCTTGCCTGCCACACCGCCAGACCTCTTCCTTGTCACGCGAACAACACCCAATCTATCACCATCTCTGTGGGAAAACTTCCAACCCGACCAGCTGTTCCCCGACGGCACGGCGTTCTTCCCAGAACTGACATCTCCACAACCGGCTACAGTCGATCCGCAACTGCAGGTACCGTCCCAACTTCAAGCACCAGGAATGATGCCGCAGCACATGGCAGGACGGAGCAGTATTTCCACCTCCCATAGAAGTCCGGAATTGCTGTCCAATTTGCCTCCAGGCATTGCTCTGCAGAATCAACATGCACAACCAATGTATGGCTTGGAAAACCAAGCGTGGCCAATGCAGAACCTCGAGGCGAGTCTGCGTCCCATGGATGCGGGTAGTCAAGATGACAACTGGAGTACGAGCTCCCGCAGTGGCCCAACTGCTCCAACCACTCTTAATGTAGAAGACTGGTAAGCTCTTACATTCTCTGCAGTGAAGCCCTCACAGGCTGTCTCCACATGTGTGCCTTACTGATAATTGCCAATAGGTTTCAGTTCTTCGGTATCAATGGCAGTTTCGGTGAAATGGCGACCTGAGAAGGTTTAAAGTGTATAGCTTATCCTGTGCCGGTCGGGGACGTGATGCCATCAATGGACAGGAAGTTGTTTCGAGGATGATAGTTGTCCTTACGTCTTTAGCTTTGCTGGAATGCAATCCCGGTTTCTGCCAGGGTAGAGTGGACGCCATGTTGGAGACGGTTTCGCGGGGGGAATGGAGGGAGGTCAACTTCTTTGCATGCAGTGAATCATGGAGTAAGGAGGGACTTGGGCCATGATGATACTCCTGTATATATACTCACACATATGAAAGGAACTGGCATACTGCAGGTGGCAGATTTATATTCTTCCCTTCAGTCCTGGGAGAGAGTTGTTGCTGACTCACTTTCTCATACCCCTTCATCATGTGATGATACTTTCCCTGTTTTGGATTAGTGAATGACGACATCGCGACTTAGCCAATGACAGGGGAGTTGTGTCTGGGTCTCTCTCCATACCGACTTCCGTCTAGAAGACGGGCGGCCGACCGGCTAGTCCGCTATGGTGGGTGTGACTCTTCTGGGGAACGAACACCATAATTTCCGTTCATCTTCTCCTTCACTTTTATTCTTCGACTCCCCAAAACATTCATTCCCATTATTTGGCAAGCTTGTGTTGTTCTTGCCCATTGATTCTTGGTCATTTGATTGGTCTATCTTCGTGTGTTCTCTATTTCCTGCTTTCTCTCCCAATTCCCCTTCCCTCCTGACGGTTCTGCCTCCGCGAATCCTTCTCTCCCCGCAGCGATGTCGGCCTCAGGATCCGGTGCTGAATCCAGCGCCACGAAGAAGGCATTTCCTCACGTCGACCTTGAAGGCCACAATCTACCCCCCTCTCCTGCTCCTTCTAGCCCCCATGCTGGCCGACGTTATAATATCGCCACTGAACTAGTCTACACGGACAGTAATGACCAGTACAATGCCAGCAGCGTCCCGATCTATCAGGTACCGACCAGCCCGTTCAGTCCTACGACATTTCCCGCAATTACCTGTGATATCTTGCAGAGGCAATTGGCGTGCGAATGAGAGCTAATCAGAGTCCGTGTAGAGTGCCACTTTCAAGCAAACCTCCGGCGCAGGCGGCGGCGAATACGACTACACCCGCTCCGGAAATCCCACCCGTACGCACCTGGAGCGGCACCTGGCGAAGATCATGTCGGCTCAGCGTGCCCTAGTGGTTTCGTCTGGTATGGCCGCTCTGGATGTGATCACCCGATTGCTTCGTCCTGGTGATGAGGTGGTGACTGGTGACGATCTTTACGGCGGAACCAACCGTCTTCTCAAGTATCTCTCTACCAACGGCGGAATCATCGTGCACCACGTGGATACCACCGCCCCCGAGAAAGTGCGCGAGGTCCTGACCGCGAAGACGGCCATGGTTCTGCTCGAGACCCCGACCAACCCTTTGATCAAGATCGTCGACATTCCCCAAATTGCCGCGGCTGCCCACGAGGCGAACCCCAACTGTCTGGTCTCCGTCGACAACACCATGATGTCGCCCCTTCTTCTCAACCCTCTCGATCTGGGCGCCGATATTGTTTACGAGAGTGGTACAAAGTATCTGTCGGGTCACCACGATCTCATGGCGGGTGTGATCGCGGTGAACGACCTGGCTCTTGGCGAGCGGCTCTATTTCCCCATCAATGCGTCCGGTTGTGGTTTGTCACCTTTCGACTCGTGGCTGCTGCTGCGTGGTGTGAAGACGCTGAAGGTGCGCATGGATCAGCAGCAGGCGAACGCGCAGCGGATCGCCGAGTATCTCGAGGCCCATGGCTTCAAGGTTCGCTACCCTGGGTTGCGGTCGCACCCTCAGTATGAGCTTCACCACTCTATGGCCCGTGGCTCCGGCGCAGTTCTTTCGTTTGAGACTGGGGATGTGGGTGTTAGTGAGCGAATCGTCGAAAGCGCCAAGCTGTGGGCCATCAGCGTGAGTTTTGGTTGTGTGAACAGCTTGATCAGTATGCCTTGCCGCATGAGCCATGCCAGCATCGACGCCAAGACGCGGAAGGAGAGAGCGATGCCAGAGGATCTCATTCGGTTGTGTGTGGGTATCGAGGATGTAGACGATCTGATCGATGACCTGCAGCGTGCGGTAAGTTTGGCCTTTTAACCAATCGTAGTTTCGGCCAGTTGTAACTAACAACAATGTGCAGCTGGTGCAATCCGGCGCCGTCAACGTCACCTTGGACGGATTCCAGGCGAACACGTCCAACTGAGCGACATATGCATAATGAGACTGGCCGGGATACTGTGCGTTGGGCCTTGATGGAAGGGAGGAGGCCCAGGGGGAGAGGGATTTATGAATTGGGAGACAATGATTTTCTGTCGGGCGTTTGGAGCATGTTTTAATTCAATTTGTATGTAAGGAGATCTGGAAGCAAAGAAATGATAGATCCGATCCAGCATTTGATCCAGCAACTTGACGCGGAAGGGGGTCGAGCTGTCACTCTCCGTCGGCAGTTTGAATATCCCTTAGAATTGATTTGATTCGATTACGTCGGCCGGCATCGGAGGACATTTCCCGAGGCGCATCCAAATTATGCCGAGCGGGTGGTTCTCGTCCGCTCCTGCAAGTCAGCGCCGGCCGATTGACGATGACTGTTTTTTTCTGCCTGCTTTTTCGGCTGACGTTCGTTCTCCCTGCAGACAGGTACTTGGGCACGCTGGTAACCAACACGATGTTAGAGTAGTTTGAGTGAGGCTTTTTTTTTCTCCCCCTTTCCTACCTGGACCTCATCTTCTTTTTGAGTCCTCTCCGGCAATTGTCTTGTCCAGCCACCGTCCGGATGACGTTATATTAGCGACCGATTTTCCCATCCATTCTGTCGTTTGAAAATGCCGCGGGATGCCCTATCTCAAGAGGCGCCATCGTCTTTGAGTATGTCGGCCATCGCAGAGCGCTCCGTCTCGACGACGAGATGGAACACCGACCGGTTAGGGACGCGATTGGGAGTGGATGTTGCGAGCGCGGCCACGGCGGGTGCTTTAACCTGTCCAGTGATTACCGTGATTGATCGGTACGTGCTATACTTCGAAGTCAAAGCATCATGACCCAAACCATATGGAGCAGTATTCTAACTCTAATTCTGTGGGGGGTGATGTCCAGTGCAATCATCGAGAAAGCAGCCAAAGGCCTGCCCATTCAACAAACCATCACGTCGTGTTTCCGATCGATGGCCTCCCACCCGGGGGCCTTCTTCCTCAGCACCCCTTTCCTCCTCATCTACACGCTGTACACCTCAACCTACCTGACGGCCAATACCATTGACACGGTGATGTCGACGATGCGGGACAAGCCCTTCTCGACGGTCTTTCCGGGAACGGCCAAATTCCTCTCGACGACGGTTGTGAACATGGGGATCTGCGTATACAAGGATGCGCGATTCGCGCGCATTTTCGGGGCGGCGTCATCCTCGCCGAAACCCCCCCCTACCACCAACCCAGCATTGCCGTTGCAAGGCATCCGAACCCCCGCAGTCGCATCCTGCCACCCTGCCTCCGGCCCCGGCACCCCTAAGGTACCGCGCATCTCCTACGCCCTCTTCTGCCTCCGCGACAGCATCACCATCTTCGCCTCCTTCAACATCCCGTCCCTGGTCGCCCCCTCCATCCCCGATGCTGTGGCGGCGTCCCCCGGCATGAAGGCCGCCCTCGCGCAATTCTCGTGTCCCGCCCTGATGCAGTTCGCTAGCACGCCCATGCATCTGCTCGGCCTGGATCTGTATAACCGTCAGCCCCCCGGGGGGCTGGGGTGGCGGGAGCGGGCGGCGCGGATTCGCCGGGATTATGTGCCGAGCTGTTTTGCACGGATGGGGAAGATCGTGCCGGCTTATGGCGTCGGTGGAGTCGTTAATGTACGGATGAGGGCTTGGTTGATGGGCGCGTTGGAGGGGCGGTAGTTTCGATGTTTTGAGGAGGGGGATTGAGAGAAGGCAGGGTCAATAGTTGTACTGCTGGATGAGGATCGTTTTGGGGAGGCAATGGGAGAGCTGTTTTCCATTTATCGGGGATCCAGCTGGACGTTTGAGGTGCACCGCGCCTCCTTCTTGCAACTTCTAATCGCCCTTGGCAGGTGTCCGGAGCGTGATGCTTTCTTACACCCTTGCCTACGCACATATCTGTTTCTACATCAACCACTACACTACATCTACACTACACCATTCTACACCGATTATACTACACGACCACCACGCTGCATACTACATACACCCTACACCTACATACAGCACATACAATACACAGCACACCTTACACAAACTCCACTCAACTCTTACGAATGAATTGCTTTGCTCACTTTTCGGATTCAAGGTATAGGTGTCGGTGTCCGGCGTTTTTCCCTTTCCCCCTCGCGCGTTTCCTATGCTCGTTACAGATGCGATAGACTAGAAGTCTAATGCCGTGCGTGACCTAATTATCTTTTCGTGCAGAATAGTTCTGCTTTGGTTGTGGAATTGTTTTTATCTATTGCACATACTGTCTATCCTATGCTAGATCAATCGGGTTGGATTAGATTCTTGGTTCTAGGTTTTTGGCATCTGGCTAGTAGGCAGGTATGGAGCTAGTTAGCTTTGAGGTGTACGGCCTGCGGTTAAGTTCTTGCCTTGCTGGACAAGAGAACTAGCGTAGCCGGCTGGCGCTGTGTGCGCTGTGTGCGTCGCTTAGTGAGATTCGGTTTCTTGTAATCGGAAAGTGGTGTTGGAATTGTATCTGGCTAGAGCTGCCTTATCAGCTGCCGGGGGGGGTATGCTTCTACCTCTTCTGACAGTGATTGGGCGTCTAAGCTCTATGCACGTCTCGCTTCTAGGTAACCATAAGAACAAAAGTATATACACCCAACGTAGTATCCACAAGCCGAATCCTATTCCTCTAGCAAATGAGCGAGCTATACTCTCATCACTATCACCCTACCCTATACTGTCCCGTTGCGTTCTAGAAACAGATTATAGACAACCCACTAAGCTCGATCAATCACCACCTGTGAAGCACAAGAATTAGCAACAAAATCCACCCAAGCTCCCTAACTTTGAAAAAAAAAAGGAAAGAGGTAAGACTTACGAAAACATCTCCGTATGCAGATACACCTCCTCCACACCCTCCTCATAACGGAACTGTGCCTCAGCCGCCGCATTGCGCACGTCGTGCACCATGGATGCGGGTCCACAGGTGAAGATCCCTATCCTTTGCGCTTCGTTGCTGGGTCCCTGGGTAGTGGGGACTGTGGTGCTGAGGAGATGGGGGAGATCCGGTCGGTGGGATGGGTGGAGGTTTATTGGGAGGGTTGTGTTTGGATTAGACGGTTGGGGGATCTCTTTGGGGGGGTTGGGTCTCTCTGTCAAGGTGGTAGCGATGGGGGTGGTGTTGTGGGTTACTCCCGTGGTTTTGGCGAGTTGCTCAGCTTCTTCGATCTGTTCGTTCGGCGGGCTGGGGGATAAGGACGAGGGAGAGGCAGAGGGAGAGGGAGAAGTGATATAGATATCGATGTGCACGTCTATCACACTTTCAGGACTGCTGAATCGCTGCAGCAGGATCCGATTGAGCTCGCCTTGGTACCACTCCGCTACTGCTGGGGATCTGGTTGCGAAGATGATGCTGATTTGAGGGAGGGGTTGAGGGGGACTGTTTCCGGCTGCTTCTGCATCGGTGATGGGGATGGAAATCGGCGTACACATGGCTGTGTGGTTCTGGGGGTTCTGGCGCGGGATGAGCTCCTCCAGTATCCCTAGGGAGAATCCACCGCCTGATCCCCCGGTTACTAGGATTACGTGGTTGAAGCGTGCGAGGTCGTTGTCGTGGGATATCCCGCCGTAGGGTCCTTCGAGAAGGACGGGCATGGAGAAGCCCGGGTGTCGGCGGGCGAGCTGTGCGAGGCGGCCTGTGATGCCCGCGCGGGGTTGGATGTAGAATGTCAGGCTGGGACAGAGGTTTCCGTTTGGTGTTTGCTTGGAGGCTGAGGTTGTGGCTGGGATTGAATTCAGAGATGACGTGGAGGTGGAGGCTAGGTTGCGGGTTGATTTGAAGGTTGAGGGGTAGGTGGTACTGATCGTGAAGGGGTGCGCGGTTAGACTGTGGAGGCCTAGTCGAGGACTGAGAAAGCGGATGAAGACATGCTGCGCGGGTCGCCAGACAACGGTGACTGTCGGGACAGTGATGCGCAGAAAGCCGCAGGGAAGAAGCTCGAACGTCGCACGGTGACGGCCGTGGATTAGATGGGTCTTGGTGAATGATATCAGGAGACTCAAGAGGTAGATCGCAACCGTCGCGATGAAGTAGTCCCTATCATGCATTAGGGCTAGCTCGAGAAGACCAGTAGCGTACATACCACGAAGAGAGACGAAAGTCACAATGAAAGAAAAAGAAGAGGATAAACAGGAACGCGGCCAGAAGATGCGTGGCCTTGAAGAACTCGTAAAAGCGATTTCTATTGAGTCAATACATACTCGACCTGGCAGAGGCGCCAGAGCTTACCTGACGGCTGGCAAGGACATAATTGTCAAATAGGCCTGTGGGATCAGAGCAGCCACCCCCGTCCAGTATGTTATTTCCGTTCTCCACTGCTTCATCATGTCGCCTTTTTGGATGTGAACGATAATAAATGGGAACGTGTGTACCAAGGCAAGGACGAACATGGCGTAGCTAGTCCAGTGATGAAAAACCTGGTCAGTTAGCTTTGCATATTGTATTGACCCATGGGCGAAGCCCTACCTGAAGCTTTTCATGGGTCACCCCGGTCAATGCTGAAATGAGATTCGCTTTCGCTCCCAGGGCCCTGTTTGTCGGTCAGTTGCGTCAAATCAGTCGGTACGACAGATACTCACAGCACAAATGGCAGCAGACCTAGCGCCATCCATCCGGCTCGGGTTGCAATGGGAGGACTGCCACCATAAGAAACAGTCTCTGTATTCGGCCAGTAGTACGGCTTTGGACCGAGGGTCATTGCTATACACCCATCAGAACAGATCATCACCATGAGTCGGGCTATCACGAACCGAAAAAGAAGATAGCCCCTACAATGATCAATAGAGGGACACCGAGAGACGGGAAGTTGAAGATGCAGGGTAATCGAAAGCTTTTGTAGGCAAGATAACGCCCCGTTGCCGTGGCCTTCCTCCAAACAGCCGTTCTTCTCACAGATACCGGACTATATTTAGCCAATATCCGGACAATCATGAAGACCCCGACGGTTGCACAGAGAAAGTATATGGTGTTCAATGCGTAGACGTGATCTGATTGGTACCTATCAAAATATCATCAGTACAAAGAAACAGCAGATGGTGTCAAGACGAACCAGTATCTCCAATGTCCGCTGCGATAGGCGCATTGTTCTGTAGTCAACTTGCAGCTATCTGCTCTAGAGGAGTGCAGCATCACCGGCTGGTCCAGCCATGGGAGACCCATCTCGAACAGAGTCCACGCGAACAATGCGTTTCAGTGTTGTAAGTATCAATCTTCCGCGCAAAATCAATAGAATGACCTTCAAAGGCAAGCTCTGCTTCGATACTGTCTATGGATAGATTAAAAGAGTTGAGCAAAGAGAGTAACCCACGCGAAGCGGTTTCATGGCAGGCCACTGCGCAGCCAGCACCTTGAAGACGGCCATAGCATCGTAATGCCCAGATAATGGACTTCTTTCCTAATACAATGACGCAGTGCTGATTGGCCGAGCGGTGCTCATAATTGAGCACATTTCGCCGTTTAGCGTGGAATGCGGACGCTTGCAGCAGTCCGCAAAAATTCTCCGTCGGGCTGGCAGATGGGCTGTCGGTTTCATCTTCGGCCGCTAAGCAATGCTGCAGAGGTTATACCTCGTAGCGAGATGAGAGTGAGCCTGGTTATTATAAGTGTGGCACTCCACAGCTGTCTAATACGTGTCTGGGGAGCAGATTTGCGCAGATAGTATAGTATCACGGCCTCGCGGTATTGTACCTGAGCAGATTCTGCGCCAATCGAGAGGTAATAGTTTGCAACTAGCCCCGATAACCGTCCCATCTGGTAGACTATGGAAGAGATCTCTGGGTTATTGGAAATAAAATATATGCGAAAGTCAGGAAGAAAGCCTGGAGAGAAAGAGGAAGTTCAATTGTTGTTCGTTTGCATATGCTCATCCCAATCCGGCCTAGTGCCAAGTGCCTAAGTATGTCTTCTCGATTCGGACTAGCGCCAATTGGGAACTAGTTACGCCTTCGCAACCGACAAATTGTTGACAGACACATGGGGGTATCCATCAACATCAATCATCATGCTCTGATCTACATGATCCTGTCCCCAAAGTCCGTTATCTTTCAAAGCCTGGTACCCTCCTCGGAGACTATCCGCCTGGACTCCTTTGGCCCGCAATACACTAGTGGCCACACGAGCCGTGTCCCCGTTGTAACAGATCACTAGCACATAATGGGCTTCCAGCTGTGCGAGCTTGCTGTCATCGGTGAAGAGCGTCTCCATCTCTAGCCACAGTGCCTCCAACACCTCCGGGTTGAAGAATGGCTTGGCTGTATGCGCGCCAAGTCCGTTCAAGGGAACATTGACGGATCCTGGGAGATGCCATGAATTGAAATCGACGTCCGTTCGCAGGTCCAGGATACAGCACGCAGGTCGCAGGGTGATATCGTTCAGAAGGCTCCGGGATAAGGACTTTGGGGCGTCATAAAAGTGTGTGAATAAGACGACGGGACTTCTTTCCCAGCTCTCGTCATAGCGATGTAGATCAACCTGCATGAGTCTCTGTGCGGACCACGGTTAGCACCCAGCCATATTTCCTGAGCTTGGTTCACCTTACCTCGTTCTGGATTGGGTGAAATCTTCCGGGTTCCAACTTCTCAAAGTACTCCCCAATGTATTGGTATGGCAGGTCACAGCACAAAAATACACAGTGGATAAAGCCATCAGGTCCCGCCAGCTGCGGCAAGGTGCCCGCGTGCTTGGACTTGTCGAGCATCTGAAACAGACCTTTCAGATTGAAGCCGGATGAGGGGCCACAAACTATCCCCTGACGGCACAGGTCCAGTGACAGCGAAAAGGAGTCCACGGAAGTGACCTCCTCGATCACATCTACTGCGGCTTTCCAGGGAAATTCCACGGGCTTCATCAGGGCGAACGACCGAGGCCCGGGGACTCGGTCCCCTGGCGCAGTGCAGACCCCCAGCCGCAACACAGACGGTTTAATCTTCTTGAAATAGGTTCCCAATCCCGTCATGGTTCCCGAGGTGCCCATGCCAGCACACAGGACGTTGATCTCGGGGAGCTGCCTGAAGATCTGCGGCCCGGTCCAGCGAACGTGCGCCCCCCAATTGTCGTGGTTCTCGTACTGATTGGGGTTCAGAGTATGGTCCGACTGCATGCCTTTGGCTCGGGCGGTTTGAATACCTCCCCGTTCGTCATACGGGTCGGGCTGGGATGGACCGCCGAACAAGGTGATGTTCAGCCCGAAGAACTGCATCAGTTTGAGTTTGGCTTCGCTGGTCTTGTTACTGAGATACGCTCGGGTGTCGTCAATTCCATGCATCACGCGCGCGACCATTGACATGGAGATAACTGTCGAGCCTGAACTATACTCGACTATCGATTTGGTCTGTCCAGGTACTACGCCTGACTCGAGCATATTCATGGCTTCACAATGATTAGCCACGAATAACACGCATAGTTACTGGAGCATACGTACCTGGTAGCGCCTTGACATTGTTTGCAGGGTGCATGGTCATCATCTTTGCATAGATGCGCACCCCATCCTGATGATAAGGATTCAGCTGCTGTGGTAGTTCCACAAGTGGTAAAGGAGGTTGACAGTCAGGATCGAAGTACTTTTTGAGGGCATCTGGCCCAAAATAAACATTGTGCTCGTTATCTGTGGTCATGGCGCAGAATCCAAGGGATATGAGAACGCTGGTTCGGAGTGACCATTGGAGGGCCGATGCTGGATTTATGCTTCTACTGGGCACATCACTACCCCTCAATGCTTCGAGCTGCGATCGCACTGAGACAACTGTCGCATTCGGCGTGTGCCAGGATGCTGACCCACTGGGCGGCTTTTTGTATACAATCGATGTCTGCTTCGGGAGATCCTCGCCGCATTGCGCACATTATAGTGTGGCCATGCTAAAACTATCGGGCTGAATCCGGATAGATGAGCAGAATGAAGTCTGCTGTGCTTGCGCAAAGGCTCGGACGGATCCCAAACCCCTGCCACATCTATACCAAATCAAGGCAATCTGGCCGCATACCTAACGAGTTCTGTATCGGAAGCTTATACTCCCAGCGAATATGAGGAGATATCAGAACATGGTACGAAGATTTCATGTGCAGATCACATATGAGGACCTTGGTGAGGGCATTTGAGAAGGTTTCTCGACGAGCCCCTGCTAGCCCTAACCGGACGGACTGGCCTTTGCTTGCAGACGTGGCTCAGTCTACTCAATGTAACTTGAAAAAATAGCTCGGCATGGCTGAGTAACGACCTGAAGACATCGTTCTGAGCTGAGTTTTTGGAATATGATTCTATTTTTTCCATATCCTTAGGCTATCCCTAAGCGCAACACGTATATCTCTAGGCGCAGTATTGGACAATACTATCTCAAATCATGACTTCCGACAAAATGGCGAATATTTCTTTGGGCTTGGAATCAGAAGGAGCCCCGCTCAATCCTCCAGAAAAAGCAGGGACAGAGCCTGGAGACGAAGAAGCTAATGCGTCAACGACAATCACATTCAATGAGCAAACCAACTATGTTCCCCCAAAGACCATCATCACAGTATGAGACCTCGTCTATAGCCAGACCTCATCAACTGACACCTCTAGATCTTCCTAGCATGCTCAACAGTCGACCTGATAGCAATCATGGATCAGACAACACTAGCCGCCAGTCTCTCAATCGTAGGCGAAGCCCTAAACGCCAGCGACAAAACGTCCTGGATCTCCGGCGGCTATTTCGTGTTCGTTCCTCCACCCATCGCTTCCCATTGCCAGCATTCTAAGCATCGAAAACAGCACCTCAACCTGTTTCCAGCTCCTCTATGGCCGTCTCTCAGACGTCTGGTCCCGTAAACACGTCCTTTACACCGGGTTGGCAATCTTCTTCGCAGGATCTCTCGCCGCCTCCTTCGCCCAAACAGCCACGCAACTCATTATTTTTCGCGCCTTTACCGGCATCGGCGGCGGCGGCCTCGTGACAGTAGTTCAACTCATTGTCAGCGACATCGTTCCCCTCCGCGCCCGCGGCAAATATCAAGGTATCCTGGGCGCTGTGGTTGCGCTCTCCAATGGACTCGGACCCATAGTCGGAGGTCTGTTAGCGACGCCCTCCTCCTGGCGCTGGATCTTCCGCCTCAATCTTCCCCTCACAGCCCTAACTACCCTCTGTGTGCTCTTCTGCCTCCCGCTCCGCAAAGTCACCGGCAGCTGGAAAGCCAAACTCCGAGCCATCGACTTCTTCGGCGCCCTGCTGGCACTAACTGGCACTTCCCTCCTTCTGCTAGGCTTAACTTGGGGCGGTGGGAATCTCCCCTGGGCCTCCGCGCCGGTCATCGGAACCATCACCGCCGGCCTCACTCTTTGCGTAGCATTCGTCATCTGGCAATGGAAAGGCACGAGGTACCCGTTGGTCCCGATGCACATTTTTCGATCTCGAATCGTCAATGGGGCGTGCATTACCATGTTTCTACACGGGTGGAACATCCTAGTGCAGCTGTACTATATTCCCGTGTTCTATCAGCTGGTGATGGGATACTCAGCGCTGAAGGCTGCAGCGTTGCTGCTGCCAATCACCATCATAGCGTGTTGGTTTTCCTCTTGCCGTTGTTCATGATTCATGATTGCTGGGGGGGGTACTGACCGAATCCAGCAATAAGCAGCACCCTGTCCGGTCTCCTCGTCCACTGGCTCGGTCGTTACCGAGAACCCATTCTTTTTGGGTGGGTAGCCTGGGCCGTCGGGCTAGGTTTGTTTTCGACCTTGGACGGCTCCTCGGGGCTGGGGAAGCAGATCGGGTATGCGGCCTTGACGGGCGTGGGGGTGGGGAATACTTTGCAACCGTGAGCTATTTCTCCAGCGCACCCAGAACAGGGCAAGAGAGAAGCTTATATAGCAATCAGGGCCCTGATAGCCATCCAAGCGGGTGTCGCAAGACGGGACATGGCCGTCACGACCTCTTTCAGAAAGTGCGTCTCGCCTTCACCCTCAGCCATTGACTAGCACTCCATTTCATGCCATATTCCTGACTGATCGAGCCTGATAGCTTCACTCGGAACCTGGGAGGGACCCTCGGCCTTGCTGTTGCTGGGACAATTCTGTTCGTTAACCTACCCTAATCACCCATTTACGCTCCATCTTTCTTGAAGATCCAAAATCGCTACGCCACCTCAACCCTTGCCTACCAATCTATAAGTCGATACTAACTTAAGATCACAGCAACAATCTTCTCACCACAGCAATAAGCACAACAACCAGCACCCTCAACCTAGCTCTTGCCGACAAGAAAGCTTTCCTTAGAAGTCCAACCACCTACCTCGCCCATCTTCCTGCAGACGAAGCCGACAAGCTCCGCGTATTACTTATCCCAGTCTACCAGCGCGGATTCCGGATCGTGTTTCAAATTGGAGCCGGAATGGCTGGGCTCGCGGTGATGCTGGTGTGGATCTTAATCCCGCAGGTCAACCTTTCTTCGCCGGGACCGGAGGATTGTGAAGGGGGTGAGGGGTCCCAGAGTGATGGAGCGGTGAATGAAAATGAGCGAAAGGCTGCACTGTAAAGCATTTGGTTCTTACTTAGAGCCTGGGGTGGTATCAATACCTGCAGGGGAGGGCCAAATAGTGCCGAGAGTCATACGGGAAGACGATGTGTTTTGGGTAGAAATGTATACAATAGATCGATCCGTCAGAATTACATGGCCTGAAATTAGAAGGGTGAAAGATCACGAAAGGGAGCCTTAGCAATCAGGGCTTCTGGTAGTCTTTTGTACGGAGTACAATCGTATATTTAGACATGGGGCCTTTTGCGGGGAAGGCGTCTGTTGCCCCGGGCCGGGCTGCACAACGAAGCTTTGCCTAGCGCGATCTAGGTTACAACAGCCGAATAGTTCTCTCAGGTTCAAAATATGGGACCGTCGAAATTCGGGATACAGTGACCGGTGCGCAACAGAAAACTCCCAGGCGCCCGGGCAGCTGTACGCACTTTAGCCCTATTGCCGGATGGTCAATTGATAGCCTTAGCGTCGCGAATAGGTACGGTGTCTCTCTGGGACATGACGCAGTTTATCTTAAGCCAGTAGCTGCGTTCACCATTCGAAGCGTGGGGGGGGGGGGAAGTCACAACTTGTCTGCTCGTCAAACGGTCAACGGCTGGCCATGTATGTAGATGGGCAAGGCGTCATAGTTTGGGAGAGAGATGTGACCGGGTGGAGGCCAGAAATGGATACACCAGTCCTCTACTCGAGTTTTGACTATATCTTTTGACTTGGACAGCGAGCGCGTGTGCTTGTTTTTGAGCCACGGTTCGACTGAACTGTGGGATTTGACATCAAGAAAACTGCAACAGACAGTCCAAGGTCATTCATCTCGGGTTTTAGAGGTCGTATCCTCCCCTGACGGTCGACTGATTGCATCGAGAGCTGAAGACTCCACCCTCATATTATGAGATGCTACAATTCTACAAAATAGTCCTAACACAGTAAGGGGTTCAGAAGGTGGCCACTCATCATCATCTCAATTCTCGCTTGTGGGGTACTCTCCAGATGGTCGGCAGGTAGCGGCAGGAGATGCTGGTGGGCTCTGCACCTTATGGGATCCCCGCGCGGGTGATCTTATTCGGAGTCTTTCCCAGGATCTCATGAGCGTGATGGAGATAATAGCATTCTCATGGGATAACAAGAGGGTGGCGGCTGGATCTCGTGATGGAACATTCGCAGTCTGGAACGCCGACAACGGTGAACTCATCAGCACCTTCCGCCTGGACCGTCGTTTCCAAACATTGAATGTCGAGTATTCTCTGGACAGTAATAAGGTCATAGTTACCTTGCTGATAAGGGGTGCTCGCATTTTCAACCTGGAAAAGGGACGGCGGTTGAACAAGGACGAGTACGACGACGACAAATCCCAGACAAGCCAAGGACCAGGGACCATCAGACTCGAACGGCGTGCCAACTGGATCAGTATCATTGACAACTGGGTCGCGTTCGGGGGATAGGAAATGATATGGCTCCCTCCCGAATACCGTCCCTGCAGGTGGGAATGGAATGGGGTTTGAGCTCAGGCATATGTTCCTGGGAGGCGTACGATAGCGTCCTTCCCTATGGTTCTGAGTCGGGCCGTGTCCGGTTTTTATGCTTCAATCGTTGACGGAAATGGCGTACAGATAGATAACAGTTTTTATACATACTCTTACTTAGCCGAGGTGGTAAGTCAGTCTTATGGAATTTCGGGTTCTGAGAGATAGCTACTTGTTTAGTATATCGTTTTTGAACGAGTTCCAATTGGTGGTGAGCCCAGAGATATCGTAGAGCCCCCCCAGCCTCAACCGCAATCTATTGGCATTGGCCAGTCCATGGCCAGTCCATCATGTAGGCCCGCCAGTACTTTTTGGCAATTCCAGGCCTGGATTTTAATCAAATGGAATCCCTTCATCTTTCATGAGGACTAGTACGACGGACTCAGAGTAGAAGCTGCATAGTCACGACCTGCTCGATAGGCTCAACCAGCTCGTTATCAACCAACCCCACCGCTTCAAGACAAAACTATCCAAATTCTAACTTCATCAGCAAACCCATCCTGAAAGAATCGAACACGCAAAGAAAATGAAAAGAGTCATAACAATCATCACATCATGAACCCGAGCCCAGCCCAGCCCAGCCCAGTACAACCTCACCATACACACAACCACAACCACCACCACCACCACCAATTTAACACTCCTCAACAACCACCACTCTATCAACCACCCAATCCACAAAAGCCTGAGCCTCAACTTTCCACCTCCCATCCCTCCAAACCTCATCCACCAAGTAACTCCACCCCCATTCCGGCCCGTACGCATGTGCTCCTCCTCCTCCGTCACCACGACCACGACCACCACCACGACCACCACCTTCCTTCGAGCTGCGCGCGGCCGAGAAATCCCGATTAACGCGCATTCCGCCGACAGCGGCGCCGGTCGCGGTCCCGCGGTGTCTGGCGTGCCATTCGCGCTCGGCTTTTTCACCAGCGCGGCGGGCAACGGCCTCCTCGTCTTCGTCCTGGTAGAGCTCACACTTGGTGCATTCCGTGCATTGGGCGCCCGGGTTGATGCGGAAGTGCTGGCAGAAGTGTTTGTAGCCTTCTAATTCCTCCTCCTCCTCCTCTTCTTCTTCTTCGTCTTGAGGGTTGTTGTCAGAGTCGGAGTCGGAGGTGTTGGCTTCTAGGTTGCGGTTATGCTGCTGGTGCTGGAAGGGGGGGATGTTTTCGTTATTATGTTGAGGAGGACGGCGACGCGGGGCGGGTCGTCGTTGTTGTTGTCTTCGTCGACGACCACCACCACGGCGTTGGGCATTGGCATTAGCATTCGCGTGCTGGGTCCATGTTGAGGCTAGCGCTTTGCGACAGAGGTAACACATCGAGTAGCCGCAGACACAGGTGAGTTTGTTGCAGCCGGTGGATTTGACGAAGGAGAGGCCGCAGCGCGGGCAGGTGCGTTTGACGGCTGCGGTGCGGGCGGCTTCGACGGTGGCGCGGAGGTCGAGGAGGAGTGGCTCGTGGCAGACGTGCGGGTCGCGCCAGGGCTTCTGGCAGCTAATGCAGCTGACGCGGCGGCAGGATGGGTGGGCGCAGACGAAGCGCTTGGGGCGGGCGCGGAGGGTGGTGTTGAGCAGAGCGGTGCGGAAGGAGGTGCGCACGGCGTTCGGCTTGAGCAGGTAGAGGAGCATGAGCGGGATCAGCAGAAGCGGGATGAGGTCGAGGATGAAGACGGTGACGATCAGACTCGAGATGAGGCCCTCGCCGCGGAAGCGCCACACCATCGTGGCCGAGGGGTGGTGGATCGGGTCGACCTCGGCGTAGGCGCAGAACGGGCAGCGGATGAGCTTTAGCTGCGACTTGAGCAGGGCGTCCGCCGCGACGCGCGCCTCGAATTGCGCGTACGTCTCCGGCCCGGACCTGTCGAGCTGGATCGCCTGCTTGACGACGGCCGCGCTCAGCGACCCTCGACAGCCGTCGTGATCGAAGGGCGCGATGCATCGCAGCGTGGTCCGCCCCACGTCGACGGACTTGTTCCAGCCTTGTCCGAACAGCGCCTCGTGGATCGTCCGCCGGATGCAGCCGTAGCAGATGACGTGCATGTTGTCGGAGCAGGTTGCGATCTGCTCGAAGGTCACGTCCGCGAAGCAACATTCGCATTCGTAGAGCGCCGCCGCCGCCTGGGCTTCGTCCTCGTTCAGCGTCTCCGCCAGCGCCAGGTCCTTGCGTTCCTGCTCCTCCTGTCGCGCCCGGAGCAGGGGGGCTAGCAGCGCCTCGTATAATTCGCGGTCCAACTCCTCACACCCCGTCTCCTTCAGCCGCGGCACCGCCTCGCCGCCGTCTGCCGCTGCGTCCCGTTGCCAGACAATCAGCGGGTGCTCGTTTTTATCTTTGTTGCGCTTGAACGACGGCAGAAAGCTGTTGAACGTCGCCCGCCAGGTCTTCCGCGCGAGCTCCTGGAGGGTAGGACGCGCTCGGATGTAGCAGAAGTTCACTTCCGCCAGCACCGCCTCCACCGTGCTCTTGCTCAGTGCGCTGAACTCTTTTGTCAGGACAGTCTTCACGGCGGTTTTGTAGCGTTGGGATCGGAAGAGTTCGTGAGGAGGGATGAGGAGAAGATCATCGTTTCCAGGCCCAGTCGCAGTCGCAGTCGCAGTCGCGGTCGCAGGCGCAGGCGCAGGAGCGCCCTCGTCGGTGTTGTTGCCCGTCCCACCGGGTACGTTCCATCTGCCCGCTACCCATTTATCTTTATGTCGGAGAAGCTGCTCGACACAGACGTGCAGGCGGCTGGTTCCATCGAAACGGACGAGGAGCTCACGGAAGACTTCGACGCGGACGTCCGGGAAGATGCGGGCCAGTGTTTGCAGGGCATGGTTGAGCTCGTCTTGTTCGCGCTTCCAATCATCTGATGCCGGCTTCAAGGCGGCACTCGTGCGGGTCCGAGAGGTGATTCCGAAGGGGTTATTGCGCAGAGCTCGTTCGCTTATAGGGGTGGAGGAGGAACCATTGTTGGTGTTGCTGTCGCTCTGACGGAGCGGCGGGGAAGTGGTAGTGGATCGAAAGCTAGGAACGGAGAACGACACCATTTTCGCTTCGAGAGAAGGGGAAGCCTGACTGCTACATGATAGTCAAGACAGACCAAAGTGTAGAGCATCAGGCGCCCCTGGACGTGATGGTGGTGTGGATCGTTTATATCCTTTACATGGAGCCTTTGTTCAAAGGGCTCTCTCTTACTGGGGATTCTCTCGGGATCCTCTCCCCGCAGACAAACTAGGATCCAGACGGGCCGGAATATTCCCTATTCCGGTTCCGGATGGCTTGGCTTCTGTCGTTGACATTACTTACATGTACTTCATATACAAGACAACACATGCTTAAGTGCAAGATCAAATCATTAACATTTATATACACATTCTGAAGAAAAAGGAAAAGTTAGACTGCCCTTACTCCTACAATTTAGCCTTAGCACCTTCCAACAGCTCAGCGCCAGCTCCCGTAATGGCCGGCTTGCCGGTGTCCACCACGGTCGTCTGGAAGAGGACGGTGTTGCCCTCCTTCCACATCTCCGTCTTCAAGGTCTGACCGGGCAGCACCACGCCCGAGAAGCGGACCTTGAGGTTCTTGAAAGGACCGAATGTGCTGAAGACATGCTTACCCGAAACTCCGAGCGAGCACAGACCGTGCAAGATGGGGGTCTTGAAGCCACCGACCTTGCTGAACTCGGGGTCGATGTGGAGAGGGTTGCGGTCGCCATTGAGACGGTACAAAGCGGCCTGGTCCTCGGAGGTCTTCTCCTCAACGACCGCATCGGGCTTACGCTGAGGAGGCTTGTAGGCGGCGGTTGCGGCCTTGGGACGAGGGGCGGTGGGTTTGGGGGAGCCGCCGAAGCCGCCACTACCACGGATAAACACAGTCGACTCGTTGTAGAACAAGTCCTCACCGGTCTTGGCGTCCTTGGTGGTGTATCCAGAGACAACCAGGGCAGCGTTGCCCTTGTCCACCACGTCGATGAGCTTAGGGTAGGTCAAGGTCTTGGCCTCCGTAGGGATGGGGAACTTGCGGACTTCCATGTACTGCTCGCCGTGCAGCAACATCATGGGCGAGAAGTTGGCCACGATGTCGTCCATGTTCCAAGGGTTGGCGGAGTTGAACCAGGGGATCACACCGTAGGTGGGAAGCGCCTGGAAGTGTTCGTTGTTCTCGTACACCAGAGGCAGATCGGTGCGCTTGGCACCAACGCTCAAGTTGTAGAGGATGATGTCGCGATCAACGAAGTCGAAGGGAGTGCCATCCGTTGTAGCCTGCTTGGCCTTCTCGATCGCCTGCAGAATCTTGTTGTTGCCACTTTCCTTATCCTTGCCGCTGCGGTTGGCCATGTTGGCCATGATCTTCTCGGCACCGGCCTGGCCATCTTCAGGGTGATCAGCACGACCATCCTCAAAGTTGGTGATCTGCTTCCAGTGCTTGACGACTTCCTCGGGAGTGAGCTTGACATCCACTGGGAAGCCGTGGCCGCCGGTGCGCTGCCAGCGAGTGCGGGAGAACCAGCCACTACCGCATTCGTACAGGCCCTTGGTGCTGGGCTCTGGCATAATGTCGGAGGAGAGAAGAGCCACCAAGGGAGCAACATAGTCAGGCTTGAATGCCTGAACCATCTCCTCCGGCATGATGGTGCGGGTCATGTTGGTACCAGCGTTAGGGGCAATAGTGTTGACCTTGATGTTGTACTTGGCACCCTCAAGGGCAAGAGTGCGAGAGAAACCGAGGATACCGAGTTTCTAGTGACTATCAGAAGGGGTGAACTTGGCATAAAGGTGAGATGATCTTACCGCCGCGGCGTAGTTGGCCTGTCCGAAGTTTCCGTAAATACCGCTGGTGCTGGCAGTGTTGACGATGCGGCCGTATTTCTGCTTCAACATGTAGGGCCAGGCAGCCTTAGTCACCTTGTAGGTACCACGCAGGTGAACATTGAGGACAGGGTTCCACAAGTCATCGGTCATGTTGGTGAAAGCCTTGTCGCGCAGGATACCGGCGTTGTTGACCAGGATATCAATTCTGCCAAAGGCGTCAATGGCCGACTTGACGACGTTCTCGCCATCTTCGCAGGAAGCCTTGTTTCCAACAGCCTTTCCGCCCATCTTCTTGATCTCCTGGACAACAGGCTCGGGGTCGACAAGGTCGTTGACAACGACAGAAGCGCCGTACTTGGCGAAGAGCAAACAGTAGGCACGACCCAATCTATAACACTCAGCTTATGAAGCGATACTCTTTGTCGGACTACTTACCCGTTTCCACCACCAGTAACAAGTGCAACCTTGCCCTTGAAGTCAGGTTCCTGCCCTGGCTGAGCACTAGGCAGCTTCATGCCATCCTCCAGCAAAGACATGAAATCGGCCGGGCCAGTGGGATAGCTCGGCTGCGAGAAGTCGTTGACATCGTTCCATTTTCTGGCAATGGCTCCAGGGGTCAGAGAAGCATCAGTCTTCAACAGTGCACCCTTGGCACGCTCCCAGCGCAGCTTAGCTACGTGACCACCACCGACCTCAAAGATGCCCCCCGACTCAGTCGTGTTAGAAGAGTGAACCAGAGCAGCAACCAAGGGAACAACCCAGTCGGGCTTGAGATTCTCCAAAACATCAGGGGGCATGACGGTAGCCGTCATGCGGCTAGCAGCTATTCCACAGTTAGCCGTGGATAGCAAAAACCCACGATGGAGGCAACGTACCGATAGGAGCAATCACATTGGCAATGATGTTGTACTTAGCACCCTCCTTAGCCAGCGTCTCGGTAAAGCCAACCTGGCCAAGTTTGGCAGCTGATACTAGTTAGCTCGAGACCCTTTACAACATATGCAACCGAGACCAACCAGAGTAGTTCGCCTGTCCAAAGCTACCGAAAAGACCGGCAGAGGAAGCAGTGTTGATAATACGACCGTACTTTTGCTTGCGGAAATGAGGCCAAGCGGCTTTCGCGCACTGTCGAGAACGAAAGATTAGCCTCTTTGATTTCCTGTGAAATGTCCCAGAGAATCCCATCCTACCTTGTATGCACCATACGTGTGAACTCTGTTGATGAGATCCCAGTCCTGATCCTTCATGTTCTTGAAGCTCACATCGCGAAGGATACCGGCGTTGTTGAGGAGGACATCGACGCGGCCGAAGTTCTTGAGGGCAGTGTCGATGATGGCTTCACCGTTCTCGACGCTGTCGTAGTTTGCTACAGCCTTGCCGCCAGCAGCTCGGATCTCTTCGACGACCACATCGGCAGCCTAATTCGCATTGCATTAGATTTTGGGCCCCTCCCGCAAATGAGAGCCGGGTAGCATGTGACGTTGTACCACTCACCTTGGAAGACTTGCCCTCACCGGCGTGGGAACCGCCCAGGTCGTTGACGACGACGTTGGCACCTCTTGAAGCGAAGAACAAAGCATAGGCCTTGCCCAAGCCACCACCGGCTCCCGTGATGACGACCGTCTGGTTGTCGAAGCGCAGCTCCGCAGACATTTTGTGTGCTTGTGTGTAGGTGTGAGAGGGAGAGTGAAGAGGAGGGGGAGGGGGGGAGAAATAAAGAAGGGTAGGAGATGGGAGGTTATTTGCGGGGAGAAAGATGGGGAGATATTGGGGAGAAAGAAGCTGAGAGATGGAGGGTCACAAGATGCTTAAGAGGGGAGGAAGAAACCGGGGGAAGAAGAGAGATGAAGAATCTGGGGAGTTTGGGAAGTTTGGAGACGGTCGCAGTGTTCGGCAAGAGCTGGAAAGGGAACCTCGGTATCTTGGATGGTGGAGCTCGGAGGTTGATCTGGGGGTGGCAGATGATGCTTCCTTCACATGCCGGACACTCCGTCCATGATATAATCGAGCATGTCTGACTCTGTACAACTCGGTCGACTCGGTTTGGGCACTTCCATCGAGAGGTATATATTGCAGTTATATTCGTCCTCGAAGTAGTTGGACTGGCAACTGAATCTTTCAGCGCAGATCCCAAGATGATTGACTCTCATCATTCCCGCTTCCATCCACCGGCCATTTTCCGACTCCATCGCCCTCGATGCGTCTAGTCTCTAGCGGGTAGGTTTGCTGACTCAGAACTGCCTACCTTGGGATCTCCTCATCCATCAACACGTGCCTGTCAAGAGTCGGAGTGATTTCAGTAAGTAGACAGCTATCACTCAGTTGTCGGAGATATTTTATCCCTTCAAACCACTCGACCTTATCGAGCATCTAAATATGGGTCTCACGGAGAAATCAATTCGTCGAGATGACAATGGTAGCCGATTTGCCTCGGCACCAATGGACACCTCCAAGATATATAGAAGCCCCAGGGAACCACGATATGCGCTTGCAACCAGCAATACATACACTGTAGAACCCTGAAGAAGATGGGTAATAGACCTCGAATCCAAAGTAGTCTGGGACCCAGGCACACAAAAGCCCACACCTCCTGATACTGCTGCATGAGTGTCTCAATCGGAACGCGGAGGACGGTCGCTTCGTTTGGTAGACGTTAGTGGTTAGCAAGAGATTACTATGTGGTTGAGTGCAACAAATGGCGCGGTGATGATCAAAGGGGTAGATAGCACTAATGGCACTAATGGCGAGCTGGGATATCAGATATATACTCCGGGAACCACGACTGAGTGCAACCGATGGTAACTCGGCGTTTTCAGGTAGATGAGGAGCTGCAATGATGGGATTGAGGAGATGACAAGATACTGGGGAGATGACGGTAATTGTCGACGGTTCCTCCAGCCAGCAGTGGATCAGAACTGACTACCGACCAAGGACGAAGAATGAACTGCCCGAGAGCACCTCGACGAATAGTCAAGAGGCAGTGGATAATAAAGATGCTCTCTGCGCATCTTTTGAGAGCTAGGAGCGCTATGCTACAAAAGAATACGTTCAAGCTTACAAGTCAAGGAAGGTTGGGTTGTCTGAACTTTTGAATTTTTATGCCCTAACTAAGCCCATGGAGACCACGAGGATATTTCAAACCCGGACCAAACAACCCAGTACGAACAGCGAGGGACATCTTAGTTCATCTGGCGGATGAGAGCGTTGATGTTCTCCTCACGGTTACCGTAGTCACCACCCTCGATGAAGTGCTTGAACTTGCGGGTGTGGAAGCCACCGGTGGGGTTGGAGAGCTTGAAGGGCCAGAGGAAGTTGTTGGCCTGCTTGAAGTTGGGACCAACGGTGTAGATCTCGTGGATCAAATCCTCCATACAGACGATGCCGTACTTGCCGAGGTGCTCCTCGATGATCTGGTTGTCGGTGAGGGGAACACGCTCCTTGTTGACCTTACCGTAACCGCGCTTGTAGATGAGCTCACGGACGGACTTAAGGTTGGGGTAACCGTAGGCGATGTAGGGGTTGATGATGGTCAACATCTCCTGGGTAGCCTTGGTAAGGCGGATGAAGGTACCGTTGTTGATCTGGAGCAGACGGAGGAGCTGCAAGATCTTACGGGGCTGGGGAGAGATCTTGTTGATACTGCAGACACGTTATTATCAAGTCCGACCAGACAGAGCAGAAGATACATACCCCTTGATACGGACAACGAAGACAAGCTTGGGCTCCTCAGGAACGTAGAAGTTACCCTCCTGGCGGGAAACGCGGGACAGGCGGATCTTCTCGCGCTCAGCATCGCGGTACTCCTTGACGTAGGACTCGGCGCGCTTGAAGATGACGGCACGCTTCTCCTTGTTGGCCTGCAGTGAATCAGTTAGCGGGAAAATTCAGACCCCAAGACTCATGCAACAAGATGTAAAGAAGCATCATTATTATCAGCCCCGAAAGATGGTTAACAAAGCGATAGCATCGACCGTAGTCTAATCGCGTGGTAGGTAGGTTGTCATCACCGTAGATGCACAAAGGAAGGAAAACCGAAAACAAAAATGATAAATACTAACCTCCTTCTTCTTCTGGGCCTCCTCACGGGCAACAGCGCGAGCCTGCTCCTGGCTCTTGCGCTTCTTGAGGAGGGTCTCGGGAACGAGGACCTGGTCCTGGGTGGGGACAGTGCTGCAGCAGAGTCAGAATTATCTGTCCGATGAAGCAAGTAGACTTTCGCCGAGCGTAAGAACTGCAGCTACAAGGCCACATTCTCGTACTGAAGGCAATAGATGAAAGCACTCGACGACATGACTTTGATCGGTGAAGTATAGTTTCCATTGGTTCGACTACGGCGAACACTACTCAGCATGCATTCTCAGCGATACCTTTCGCATCCAGACCGTACCGTCAGGTCAAGTGAAATAAACTTTCCTCATCCGACAAGACCCTAAGCATAACGCTCAGGAAGCTATGTTGAAGCTTGACGTCTCTCCACTCACCAACCGCTAGGCCAAGTGAGATCGAGAAGAAAGACGATAGCTTCCAACAATAGTTTTCGAGGAGAAGGCGCGAGTGGCTTTCAACCTCAATGCCCCAGACCTCCATCATATCCCACTCTCCCAATGTCATCATTTCTGAGTCCAAGGCGAGGCGGGTTAAGACGAGATCGCGCGGGAAAGATCGAGCTGGTGCTCAGCGAGCCGTCTCCGGTTCGCCGCATCTCCAGCGAGAGAAAGGGCCGACTATAACTGAAATCCTCACACGCTCATGGCGAACGGCGTCTGGGAATCAATCAAAAGGGTTCTCACGTAGCAGTGGAGGCCATTGTGACGGTCCGATGAGTTCGCGAGTTGGGCGATTGGGCGAGTGCTGTCGTACTGGGAAGAAGATCAAGAACAGAAAGAAAAAAAGCCGCCGTCCTCAAGAAAAATGGGTTGTGGGTGGGTCAGAAAACGCTAGTCTGTACTAGGCTAGCCGCACTCCTCTACTAGCCCTACCGTACTCGGTCAAGTGCAGCCCTTATCGCTTGCGGGCTCCACCCAGCACGTGACATGTATCGATAAGGATTCAGTCCGCGGTCCTTGGGCTTGGCCTCGGGCCTCGGGGCCATATGACACCATATCAGCGACGCTCGAAGAACCCCACGTTATCACGATCCCGGTCCTCCGGCCTTCCATACCGTACACGCATCATGGCCACCCGTCGAGGTGTCGGCATTGGCGCCTTCGCCAACCGCAACCAAACCAGCCAGTCCTATGCCAACCACGGAGCCACCCTTCGATCCGCGCATCTCGCTTCCCTACAGACTCAGCTCTCCGTCTTCCAATCCCTGCTCCACACCTTCGCCATCGAGCATGGCTCGAAGATCAAATCCAACCCGACCTTCCGAGCAGAGTTCGCTCGCATGTGCAACGCGATCGGAGTGGACCCTCTAGCCGGTAGCAATGTCAAGGGCAAAAACTCCCGCAAAGGGCAAGGCGAGAATGCCAGCTTCTGGACCCAGATCATGGGCGGGGACATGAATGACTTCTACTTTGAGGTTGCGGTGCGGGTTGTGGAGCTCTGCCGTGAAACTCGGAGCGAGAACGGGGGCTTGATCGGGGTAGAGGAATGTCGGAAACGAGTCGGCAAGGGCAAGGCCATTGGGAGTGGACTGGAGGTGACCGAGTAGGGCGATCCATTCGTTGCTCCTGTCATTGATCGTACACTGGACTGATCGAACCTTCAATTTTGACCTCTAGTGACGATGTCCTTCGTGCTGTCAAGTCACTTGAGCCGCTGGGCTCGGGTCTCGCCATCATCCGTGTCGGAAGCAAACAGTATATCCGCTCGGTTCCCAAGGAGCTCAATACGGATCAGTCAACAGTGCTGGAGGTTATTCAGGTCTTGGGATACGTGAGCATCTCCATGCTACGGGTCAATCTGAAGTGGGAGGAGGCTCGGGCGCAAACGGTCGTCGATGATCTCCTTGCAGATGGTCTGGTCTGGCTAGATGCACAAGGAGAGGAGAATGAGTATTGGTCGCCACAGAACCTCTTAGACGATAGCGGCTGAGAGCCGCCTGTGAATCACGACCTGATACGAGGCTTCATCATAGACACGCACTGTTTCCATCTGGTTTTGATGATCTGACACAGAACCTGCGGGCAAGTACCCACGGTGTCACGTCCAGTGGCGCTGCACGAACACGAAGTGCATGCCCAGGAAACCATATCACGGGTTCGGCACTATCACCAGGCCGGATAACTAGGAAGTGTGCTCATTCTGAAAAAAAAGGGTACTTCACGTCAAGGCCCGCCAATATGTATATATCTCGGGCCCGGAGCGTAGACTGGGCAGGATAAGACACGCCGAGCTGTTTATATCTCAGACTGAGTTCAACAACCACATACACTACATCAGCCGCGCCGGCATAAGCCCAAGAAGGTGTTCCAACAGATTTAGTTCTTGTCTTTTAACACACATCACGTTGAATTGTTCATGTCCTAGATTTGTTTTTGTACTACCCTCATCTATTCTAAACGTCACATTCATCTGCAGAGTGGTAGGAAAGTGCTGGGTGGAGGTCGAAAGGTGAGGAAGAGAAAGGACAAAGATAGCAGTCGCCCCAGCCAAAAAAGGTAAAATAGCCATGACGAGAAAGGATGAGGTAGAAAAACAGCACATGGAATATCGTACGTTAAGCTGCAGGGGGAGGAAAATCCCAGAAAATGAAGAAAGTTTGAGCATTAGAACCATGAAAATAAAATCAATTTGCCATTAACAAAACATTTCTTTTATGCCTTGATTGCTCCGCCCAATGCACCACCGCTGAACTGCTGGCCACCGGGGCGGCGGCCGCCCTGTTGACCAGGCAACCGGGGACCGCCCCGGGTTTGACCAGCACCTCGAGGACCACGGCCACCACGGGCGCCGGCGCCCTGATCGCGCTGGAAGGCGTTGGCCATGCCTTGAGTACGCTGCTCGAGAGTCTTTTCGTTGGCCTCCAGGAGGTTCATCGACTTGTCGGCCAGAGTCACGATCTGGGACTGGAGACGCGACAGCTCGACGCCCTTGCGGAAGACGATGGCGTCGTTGACCTGGTCCAGTGCCGCCGCCAATTCCTCGTGGGAGATCATCCGGCTGATGATGGCTTGGATCTTCTTGCCAGGAAGCTCGAACATGGTGGCCAGGGTGGCGATCGACAAGCTGTCGTAGAAGGGAGCGTAGGTGAAGAGGTATGTGCGGAGACCCTCCTCCTGGATCTGCTGGGACAGCATCTCCTTGACCTTCTCGGGCTGGGGCATCAGATCCCAGATCTTGATGGAGTTGAGCATCTCAGCGGCCTTCTTCCAGTCACCGGCGGCAAGGAACTTGGCACTCATGATGACACCATCACGGGTATTCTCAGCGGGACCGGTGAAGACCTGTCGCTCGTTGTAGTCGAGCATACGGCGGAAGGTCTTGGAGATGACACGGCGCTTCATCTCAGGAGAGGAAGAGGTCTGAGCCATGAGCGGAACTTCCAAGAACATGCTCGACGTAAGATAGATGCACTCAAGGAGTTCCAGGTTAATGTGCATGTGGAAGGGAAGTTGACGCTGGCGTTCCAGACGCTCCTGTTCGGGGGAGACAGTGGAGAAGCGCTGGAGGATGATGCCCTGAGCCAGCAGCTCTTTCTGACGGCCGCTGCCGCAGACCTCAGAGAGAGTAGTCTGGGCCTCGTAGATAAGTCCGGCACGGAAAGCACACAGACCGATCTGGACAAGGGTGCGGTTGAAGAGGATCTGGGTGCTGACGTCGAAGTTGGCGATGTTCTCCGTCAAGTGGGACATGAGCATCAGGTCGCGAGAGCGGTAGTACTGATCGTGGAGGGCGAGGAAGTAGATCTGGCACAGCATCGCACGGGCCCGGATAATACCATCACTGTTCTTGAAGAGGTAGTTGCAGAGACTCTGGACGAGTTCGGTCACATCACCGGCGTTAGCACGAGGGGTGATCTTAGTGTCCAACTCGGTGGGAAGAGCCTTCCACGTGGCCTCCTCCAGGATGGTGACGACCTGGGAGGGCTTGAAGTAGATGTGCTCCAATCTCCGCATGACGACTCTGTTGATGCTGTCCTGTCTGGGGTCGCTCTTCTCGGCAGTGCTGAGTCCCTCAACGTAGGTCTGGGTGCGGACCAGGTTGGCGTACAGCTGCTTCTCGTCACCCAAGCGGTCAATGTATTCGGCGGTGTGGGGGTCGATGTTCTGAAGAGAGCGGGTGAGTTCGTCATCCAAGCGCTCAACGTAAGAGACGATGCTGCCGGGGATGTGGAGGGTCTCGCCGGCGGCAGGCTGGGGCTGCTTCTCGTCATCCTCCCACTCTTCGGCACCCTCGGTCACGACGTAGTCGCGGTTGTTCTCGAGAACAGACAGAAGAGTAGCGAACTCTTGTTCGGCGAACTTCCACTGGTCAACGGCCATGTAGTTGCCGGAGGAAGAAGAGGTGAGGTCGAAGCGGGTGGAGATGAGGGTGAGGTAGATACGGATGCGCTGGTAAGGATTCTGGGCAACCTCCAAAAGCTTTTCCATGGTGCGGATCTGCTCGAGACGATCGGTGTTCTTCTTTCCGCGAGACTCGACGATGACACGGAGGTGCTTGAGGATGCTCTCAGGGGTGTACTGAAGGGTCTTACCACCACGTCCGACAGTGGCAAAGCCATCATCGGCATCGGCAGTGGCAGGAGCAACGGCAACAGGAGCCTCGACGCGCTCGACCTTGGTGAGACGAGGGGCGCTGACGACGGGGCGGGCGTCCTCGTCGGCACCAGCCAAATAACCGTCCTTGTTGCTGCGGTACTTCTCGATCTGGGCGGCGTAGTCCTTGTTGTTCTTCTTGATCCGTTGCTTAACGGCGTTGAAACCCTTGGAGTTGCTGGCGTTCATCTTCTTGTTCGCCGACTTCTGCTTCGTGACGGTCTCGTTGACGAAATCCTCGAGGTCGGCAACGGCCTTGACGTAGACGCGGGGAACGGGGCCAGACTGAGTGATCTTGACAACCTGACGGTTGAGCTTGTCGAACTCTGTAGATTATTTCAAGTTAGCATCTAGCCAGCGTTAAGCTGCCTACCCGACCGGGTGGGCAACCCTTTGCGGGAAATCCATCCACGATCTCCCGATATCCAACGCACCTGTCGAAATGACCGCCCAGTCATTGATCTTCTCAGCATTCTCAATCAACTTGATGGTGCCCTCGAGTTCCTCCAACCGCTTGTCCTTGGCACTCTTGACGACCGTCACCTTCTCCTCATCCTCGCTCTCCTCGCTGTCAGAAGCATCCCTCAAGAAAGCACTGGCACCGGTCTTGCCGGCACCCTCATCCTCGGACGAGGACTCCTCCTCAGACTCCTCCTCCTCCTCGCTGGATTCCTCCTCGGACTGCTCCTCCTCCTCACGATCGCTGTAGAGCTCCTCCTCGTCGGAAGAGCTGGACTCGCTGTCGCTACCGCCACCGTAGAAGAAACGCGACATGTTTGCGGGTGTGTGGGGGTATTTGTCTTTTCGACCGCTGGAAAACCGAGAAAAGTCGCGAGAGTCGATGAGTTGCCGTCACGGAAAAATCGGGGGTGACGCACAGTCGTTCAGGGATGGAAGCGTAGATCCCTCAGAGCCAGTCGGTCTGTTTCTTTTGCTTAGGGAGCAAATTCAGTTGTGAGGGTACGGCGGGAGCCGCAGAGGTTGGGCTGCGCGAGCCACACACGAAATTTAAGCGAGGCCGCACCTAACCGTATCGGGTAATTAGACAACCCATCATCTTTCTAGACTCCGCCATCTCAATTTCAATATTGCGGAGATTGTCAATGCTGTCCGGTCAAATGACTTATATCTGAGATTCTGAGCTTTCTATATGCTTTCTTGCATTCTTTCTTATCCTCATATACCGCATGCCATATTCGAATATCCAAGTTACAGCCATGTTTTCTCTTCAATTGCACAGAAGAACAAAGGAGATGAAGGAACAAAGGAAAAATCCAGAAGAAAAAAACATGTGACGCATCGGCGCATAACAGAGGCATACCCGTGCAGATTGTGCATAGCATAATCAGAAAAACGAACGAAAAAGCAGTACTATAAAAAGAAACATAAACTGAAGGTCTTTCCAATACTCCTGGCTATGCCGAATGCCCGCCACATACATGATCAGGGGATTGATAAAGAAGACAGGAAATTTAGGACGCATCTGAGACACTGAATCCCTCGATGATCGGAAGGAGAGTACCGATACGCCTTTGGCAGGCGCTTAGGCCTGACTCCGAACTCGCGCTAGTCATTATAACGAGATCTGCGTGTCGCGCGAGTATCCTTCCGTCATTTTTATGGGACGCAACAGGCCAAAAGATAATGAGTGGTGTTATTCTGACCAAGAGGAAGCAGACTGCATCTGCAGCAGGATCGCGCGGTGGTACTGTTTGGCGGGACAGCAGTCCAATTTGGCAATCCCTGGTGGCGCAAAGACTGAGAAGAGTACGTGCAAGATCCGCGAGATGCGTACATCTGGGACAGCTATGCGCCTTGTCTTCGTCCCGTGGTAGATGCACATAATGCATATGCTTACTCGATCGAATGCTAGTCAGCGATGCTGAGGCACCTTCCGGGCGCTACCAAGCGGCCTTGCGGTATCATCATTCAGTGCCACTGGTTCTGGCCCATGAAGCCTTCACCTCCTAAAACCCCATCCTCGAGAGTCCGAATGAAATCCCGGTTCCTTGTGCCACCCGTGCGGCTACCCCGACGCCGTTGGTTGGCAGAGTTGGCATCAACATAACCATCCGGCGGGGGAGGGTAGTAAGCGGGACTGGGTTGTAGCCTGATAGGTGCGTTGGGATCGAGGTGACTGGCAACGCGCTGGATGGTCGGTGGGATGCCTCCACCCTGGGGATCCATGGTGGATGCACGCTGTCGGCCGGCCCTCGTAGTCGCTTGGGCGTAGAGGGTCTGCGATGGCGCATATTGCTGTTGTGGCATCTGGCCCGGCATGATGTTCATTTGGTGGCCGTAGGCAGGTGGCTGGTTGGGATACGGCGGGGGAGCACCTTGCTGGTGACCAGCGTACATCCCATTATAGAGGGGTGGCGGCTGGGCGTGAGTGGGAGTATGAAACTGATTCAACTGCATGTTGTATGCATTCTGTGCGGCGCTCTGGGCGTGCGCTGCTTGTGCCGCCCGCTGTTTGCTGGCCGCCTCTGCTTGTTGCTGCTGCTGAATGCCGGGAGCCACCGTCTTGTTCAATGATGAATACTTCAAATTCATCGGAGGGACAAATGGCCCGGTGAATTTCTGTTGCGTGATGAACGGGTGCAATTTGGCCTGCTGTGGTGACCAGCGTTCAAGCGGATTGATGGTCAATAACCCTCGAACAAAGTCGATAAACGCTATCCGGTTGTTGAGTTCTTGTAAAATGTCAGTGCATGCGTGTGGGGGAGTGCAGGAACAGATAGCGTACCTCTTTCAACCTCTGCTGGCTTCATATTCTTCCTGGGCATCGGATAGCTGCGAATAATTTCCTCTAGAGTCGAAGCCTGGAAATACTTCTTGCTTGGTTGTTCTTTGGTGTTATGTTCACGAGAATACTGCTCCAGAGACTTCAGGCGATACGTCTTCCTGCCAAATTCGTCCTGGGTCTTCTCGAAGAACTCGCCCGATTGCTTGCCCATTTCGAGCATCCATGTCGGGGGAAGTCCTAGCATCTCGACGATTCGACAGACTTGATTGTATTCCGAGGAACCAGGGAACAGCGGAAGGCCAAGGAACAGTTCGACAACGATACATCCAAGCGACCACATGTCAATCGCAGAAGAGTAGCTAGGGAAGTGTCAGTCGTGCCGTCCATAAGGGGTTAAGGTTAAGCGGGAGACGATTGCAGTGGGACGTACGGCAAGCCAAGGAGGACCTCAGGGGAGCGGTAGAATCTGGATTGGATGTAGGTGTAGACAGTCTGCCGTTCGTCGCATGCTGAACCGAAATCGATCACTTTGATGATGGGGCTTTCTAGACTGTAGAGACTGGAAGTTAGCTCACATGGACTAGCATGGGTATGAAGCGCTGACTAACTTCTTCAGCAAAATATTCTCCGGTTTCAGATCGCAGTGGATCAGATGAGCCTTGTTGAGGAGACTCAACGCATTCAGCAATTGCTGGGCAAAAACGCGCACCAATGTTGTGCTGAGACCCCGGAACTGGTTCTGCTTGATCAACTCGTATAGATTGACACTGAGCAATTCAAACACGAGACACAGATGTTGTCTGTGGATGAAGGTGTCTTTCAATCGGAGCAAGTGGTGATCATCGTTCTTATCGTACCTGCTATTAAGCTGTGGTCACATGTTAGCATGAGTACCAAATAAACTAGTCAAGCTAAGCCTACCAGATCCAAGACTGAGACTTCCATCATGCTCTGGTTAAAATAAGCTGTCTTGTTCTTAATGACCTTAACAGCGACAACCTCTCCTGTTTTTAAATTCTGGCACTTCACGACTTGTCCAAAGGTTCCTTGACCCAGTACGTCGAGAATAAGGTAGCGATTCCTGAAGGAATTTGTCAATGGGAAAGCTCGAGCGCCTGCGGCCGCATCCGGTTGCATGCTACTCACTTGTGACCTGCTTCTTCACTACCCAGAATGTCGTTGACATACAGAATATAGTCGCTGTCCTCATTGTCGTAACCGTCATTCTTCACGCCTTTACTAGGCTTCGTCAGGACGCGCCTGGGATTTCTGGATGACTCGTAATTGAACCCGGGGTTGCATATCCGATAAGTGGCCGGTAGATGCGTTGTCAACGCCTGGAGGGGCTATGAAAGTGTCAGACAAGCTCCAGACAAAGGCCAGGGTGCTTGAGTACATACGCTAATAAAACCGCCTTCCGGGTTGGCACGTCTAAAGGGAGGCTGTGCATTCAGGCGCGGTTGCAGTTCCTGAACCGACTTGATCTTCTGGAATTTGGGAATTGGCCCTCGACCGGGCAGATGACTGCCACCCGATACAGACGCGGCACGAGGAGACCGCCCATCTTGCGCAAACGCTGCGCTGAGCTGAGAGCCCGCAGAGGGCGGATAGAACTGGTCCGGGCTCATATCAGTGGGCTGTAGAGGGGGGAGTCTGGGCGGTCGCGAACCGGCTGGGGAAGAAGAGGTCAGTAATGATGAAGTCAAGCTACCACGGGAGAAGATATTACTTACACGGCGGCGACTGGAATGATTGAGGAGGCGAAGCGTAGTTTGGAGCTCGTGTCGGTGACCGTCGCGACTGATTCGGGCCGGGCGGGAATGCGTACGAGTTATGCTTCCCAGGACTGGCATTATAGGACATGGGAGACGACAAGACATTCCCAGGGGAGTATCTGCGAGCGGCCGAGGACTCTTCATGCGAGAAGTACTGTGAGGACGGACGGCTGTGATGGGTCGGTCGTGTCGAGTATTTAGCCCGGTTATAGGGATCGGCGTCCTCCATGGTGGTGTCTGCATCGGTGACATAATCCCGACTACGTGGCGTCGCAGCTGGAGACGAGGCCATCGAGACGGTCTTGGAGTTTGTGACGGTGGAGGGGGGTTTCGCAGAGCCGGCAGGGGATTGGAAGGGTTCGTAGGTGTATCCGACCGGTGGCTGCGAATGTTGTGGCTGGCCGCCGTATTTTGAAGCTAGGTGCTGTTGTGAATTCGACGTCAGGCCGTTGTTGAACTGCGCGGAATGACCCATTAGGGGATCTTGGTAAGGCTGCCACTGAGAATCCATTACTCTTCACGTTTATAGCGACGCCACTTCAGGAGCAAGGATAGATCAAATCGGGAATTAGATGATCATTTATCTCTGTCGACAGCGCACATGCACCACGATCGGGCGTTAGATAGCAGGCGGGGACGGCCGACGCACGTAGCGCAATCAGGCGGAGACGACGCGGCACACCAGCAAGCCAGGTATATAACGGTGGAAACCGAACGAGGCGGAGCAGAAAGAATTGGGAGGAATAATTCTAGGCAGTGTTGAAGGTCATGATCCGAATGACAGGTTGTTTGGGTTGGTGAGAAGGATCAAGAGCAAAGAGGTGTCTGTACGGAAGTTGGGCGGTCGCAATACACAATGACGGACGGGGGGTGCGACGCAGCAACCAGTATCGATGCGGCAGCTGACACGCGAAGGGGTTGGGGTTTGGAGGGCACTGGATGGAGAAGGGACTGACTGGAAGTTCCCGGTTAGGACAGGAATCCAGGCAGAAATGCGCACAGTCGAAAGATGACTGTGAAGGGACTGGAATGAAATCCAGCTGAAGGAGAGTGCGGAGGAGGGGAAGAGAAAAGAGAGAGTGAGGAAGAGAAGAGTTGAGTAGGGTAGGGAAGGAGGAGTTCGGGAAGATTGGTGGTGGTGGTGGTGGAGGTGGAGATACTGACTGGAGTACCACTCAGTCAGTCACTCAGTCACTGTATTGTAGCCTATGTCTGGCTGTCACTCTGTCCAGAGGGGGAAACCCGACGATGGCCTCAGGCTCGCGCACTCTTTTCTCCCTCTCTCTAGTTACTCTTCCGCACTTGGATGCTTCCGGCCAAGGGTAACCCACAGAACCCAACTCAAATCTTCTGATCTCACGACTCAAAGCGTCTTCACTTCGCTTCTTCCATGGACTGGTGGATGATGACGATTTTCCAACCGGGGAGCTCGGAGTCCCTGTCAAGAGGATCTGGTCGGCTGCCAGCAAATGGAAGTGAACCACAAAGGGGCAGAGCAGATGCAAGAAGGCACAGTGGAATGACAGAGTTATAGCTTATGCTTCTGTGGGGCTCAGAGAGAATGAGGATGATTGTGGCTCTATTCACATTGAGTTGCCATTGAGCTGTTTTAACTATTGATAGTGACACTACTCCGTACCAAGTGAGTTCCAGGTAGAATTGATGTTTCTAGAGTTACAACGTTGTTATATAATGCCTATCCATCTATTTGGCCTGCCTCTTGACCAGCCCCCGTCGACGATCTGCCTCCATTGGGAAGTTTGCATCCACCCCCTTGAGCGTTTGGATGGCGTTCGTTAGTTACTTGGGTTGCTAGGAAGAGCCCTGATGGCAGAGACAGGGACCCTTTAGTGACTGGGCAGCCATGGCAACATTGAGAACTCGACGCTGCGTCCGTCCCTTGACTAGATAAATCTTTTATCATCGCACTGGAGCGCTGCTTGTTAGATCTGACCCAGTTACCGCCATACCAGTCACTGGGAACCGTGACATGGTAGGTATTCTCAAGCCACACAAACCCCCATGAGTTGACATTGAGTACCACCACCATCAATGTACCCAGTGGACCATGGATGTCATCTTCGCATACTCCATAGTCTAGTGAGGCAACACACGGGCCAAAGCCCGCCCACACTGTGACGTGGGAGGCTACGTAGGGTATGACTAACAGTAAATGGGTGACCCTCAGCGGGCTCTAAAAGGAAAGGCGGTCGACGAGTACCTGGACTGAGCCTTCAACTTCTGCCGGAAATAAGCTGGTGGCTTTGCTGTGGCTGACCTGATCTTACTCAGCAGGCCTTGAATCCCTCAGCCGTCACACACACGCCCCCACCGACTTGGCAGCTATTTCATCGGATGGCAGGACAGCTGATCTATCTATAGTCGGGTGCTCGATTTTCTTTTTTGGCACGCGGAATAAGGGCATCGCCGTGAGCGTGCGCTTTTACTAGAAGCTTAGATACTCCGTGGGTCGCGCTTCAGCTATTCACCGCAGCCGACATCAACACCAAGTCACTCGGGAGATCTTTCATCTGATCTGCAGTCATTGAGACTTGACTCTATTTAGCCCATTCTCGTAGTACACTCAACTTGCTTGGTGTTGGTGTGTACTTGAGTCCGTTCCAAGCTATCATGGTGCCAGCTTCAGGACCCGCCCAGAATCTCCCTAGAATGCCAATTGTCGTGCCTGAGATGACCGCTCCCTCCAACGACCTGAAGATGTCTACAGAAAACATCGAGGAATCCACCGTCGCCCCAGACAATGAGGTCTGGGACACCGAGATGCAGCTCGTCTCTTCTCTGGCGAAGCTCCAGGAATTAGAGGCGATGGTAAGCTTTCGCCGTGCCAGTCATTTGTTGCGGGGCCGTTTCGCTAACACCGGCAGATCCATCAACTGCGCACTTTGCTTCCTGTGCGTCTGCTGGAACCCTTGATGTCGACCGCAAATCCCAGAACGGCAGCCGGCGGGCAGGGCGTACCGACCCCTCAGACGCTGTTTGAGCAGCTCAAGAAATGCGCCGAGAGTGGTGTGCGTGAAGTCGCCGACTTCCAGTCCTTGTGGCGGAGTCCGGAAATGAAAGCGGTCTGGAATCGTGTGGACACCCAGATCAAGAACAACGGCGGACAGCTGTTGCAGCCGACTGGGATGTGGGAGGAGGACTATGATGTGTTGCTCGAGGGGCTCGTTAAGGAGGAGCAAGTGAAGCAGCAGGAGCGGCTGAATGCCGAGGAGGAGGCGGAACGTTCGAAGATCCAGGCAACGGAAGGCGGCTGGCGAGCGATTGTCGACAGTTTCGTCCAAAAGAATGTTCCCGGGATGCGGGTTCAAATGAGCAAGACCGAGGCATCCATCTTGGTGGCGTTGGTGAAAGCCGGCCTGGTCTTCAAAGTCCACACCGTCGAAGGACTGGAAAGCCACGGTGTTCCGGACTGGCGCATCGCCAGTAAGGCGGCGGCTGGACAGACCGTCACCAAGCTCGAGGGAGCTGTTATGCAGTGCTTGAATTCGCGTCCCCGACAATGGGACCTTCTTCATCTGCTTGTGAGTAGTGTTCCTGCCGTGCTCGGAGGGTGCAGCTAACGGATGACAGGACATGATATCTTCTTATTCCGACATCAAACAGACTCCTTGCCTGAAATGCAGCAAAATGACCGACAGTGCAGCTCAATTGCCGACCCTCCGCAAACCCAGATCCGTGCCTTCCAACGAGGGCCAGTCCACTACCGTCTGGGAAGCATATCATCCTAGCTGCGTCGCCGAGTGAGGGCAATAGCAGAAACAACCACTCCGGGTCTTCTCACGATATCTGCATCTATCTCTACCATTACACAACTTGATAGCACCATACGATACTCGAGCTGCGCTTGAGTCAAAAGCACATAGGCGCGATACTTATTACCGACCACTTCCTTTATGCCTAGGGACCTGCCATTACCCATTACGGAGCTTGTGCAAATGCAGGTACAAATGCAGCCTGCAAGTGCTGAAACAAACAAGGATTCACCTCCATACCATCACCTTTGCGCGGCTGAGTTTTATCGATCCCACCACGGCGTGGCAGCTCTCCCCTCTCCCGCTTCCACCAACTTACCTACACAACAACACCAGACAACACCACCCACAGAGTTTGACACACTGCAAGAAGCACCCAAACCATCAACATCCATCCCGAAAGCAAACCCCGAGCGAGATCATCCACATCATCCAGTGAACCCAGAACCCAAAACACCGCACAATCAACAAGACACACAAACACGACCCCAACCCGCAACCGGGTTCAGCAATATCGAAGCTCAAATGAAGAACAATCATCTTAGTTTAGATAAATAGGAAATTGGATCCGTGGTTACCACTAGCAAGAAACCTATCTACCAGAAGTAAAGGGAGAGGCTACCTTCACCCGAACCATAAGTCCAGTCCCCTAGACAGTCAAATCCCTTGCACATACCACATATGCTAGTATTATCCAGTAAACGAATCGGGCTGCGCCGTATTCAAATATTCATAGCGACTCTTATCATCCATTTGAGAAAGCAAGATTAAACTCCCCCCTTGTTTTTATTCATTTAATCTATAATAGAACTTTTCTCCCCTTTCTTCCCCTTGAAGAACACCCCTGAGCAAAACTGACTCCACCGATACCGCAATGCATTGAACTATGCACGCATGCACATACATCCACACATACATACGCAAGTAGCAGCACAGCAAGACACTCCAATCTACAGCAGCATAGCACAGCTAAGTAGCTAAGTATAGCACGAAGCAAACCCAAACCTGCACCACAAATCCTAGAAAAAATAAATCATCATCAATCTATTTAACAACAGTACACATTATGAATGAAGTTGAGTTACTTACAGGAGAAACACGCCAACCGAAACAAAACCACCAATTCTAAGCAGCCAGAATCTGAAACAAATAGATATCGCTATTATTCATGAGATGATGACAGTCCCTATTGCTCCGCTGAATGCAACAACAACCGAGGACATAATGCAGCATTATATTTTGTGCGATTTGAGCCTTTGGAGCGGAAAAGAAAAAGAAAAAAAAAAACAGGAAGATGTCTTTCGTAACATTGATACAAGTCCCCGTATTTGCATACTATGTGGAGAAGACTCCAAAGTCCCCGGCGAACCAGGTAAAGGTGGTGATCGTGATGAGGACCATGCCGAACACGAACTTAAGACCTTGTCGCTCGAGCTCGGAGAGGGCACCGCTGCAGGTGGCGCAGACGAATCCTGAAAGGCACTGGTCAGTGGAAAGGAGACTCAAAGATGAGCAAAACGGGGACTAACCGTTCAGAGGCGTGTAAGACTGCGGGCTATACATGGCGAAAGTGTAACTGGCGGCGCTGAGGTGACCGCCCTTCGGGGTGTCGGAGATGGACTTGTTCACGTCCCAGACGATCAACGTGTACGACGCGGTCAACAGCGGAACCGTCGCATTGGCCTTATACGCGCCCGTGTCCCAGACGACCTTGTTGGTCTCCTTGACGGTCATGTTCTGCGTGACGGTGTACGTGTGGCTGTTCTTACTGCACGAGGCGATGACATTGACCGCCGTCGGCGTCACGTCCAGGGAGGTGTAGTTCCATGCAAAGGTGACCGGATTGCCGATCTTGTAGAACGTCGTGGTCGTGATCGCGGGCGTCAACATCGAAATACCGCCGGCCCAGGCGTTGGTGGTCGTCGAGTTGCTCGAGGCCGTCTTCGTGCTGCCCTTCTTTTTGGATGACGATGAGGAGCCCGTTTCGGTTCCACTGTTCGTGTCGGTCCCGGTCGCGGTCCCGGTCTTCGTAGCTTTCCCGGTAGCTTGTGTGCCTGAAGATGTCTCCGTGGCCGAATCAGTAGCGGAGTCAGTAGCGGAGTCGGTAGCGGAATCGGTCTTTGCTGCGCTTTTGCCCGTCGTGACGGCTTGTCCAGTTGTGGCGCTGTCGGCTGCTGTGGTGTCTTTGAGGATGTTAGTATGCAAGTCGCCCAAATGAACCACACGATCAGGGGGTTGGGGATGCTGACCAGCTCGCCGTAGGAATTGACCGTGCGACAACTCCTCCCCTGGGGATGGGAAGGCGGTTGAGATTGTCCCCAGTAGAAAGAGGATGCACAAGGCAGGTAGGAGACATAGCGAGCGCATGGTGATTGTGTCGGATGTGTTGATGGAGGTAGTAGAAAGTAGTGGAAAACAGAGGGGTCAAGTGATCCCCCTTGGCGAGATTCAGGGTCCGATCGACGTGGACCCGTCGCTGTGATGGGAGGTTTGTTCGCAAAAATGACGATATAATGTGTCGAGCGATCGAAATCAAATGGATGATGCAGTCGATGGGGATGGTAACAGTGCCCAGAAAACGACAAGACGATGAAACTGCAGAGGATGGTCGGTCTTTTCAGGCCAGCGGGACTAAAACATGCAGATCGGCTGATAGAGTATCGGCAGGGTCCAGCGAGAGTCGAGAGGGTAAACAAAGCGAGTGACGGGGGGTCTAGCGCTCGACAAAACTGCAAATTATGGTGATAGAGAAGCGACTGACACTTAGTTGAGAACGATGCAGAAAAAGAAGACAAAATCACAAGTAAAAAGGCCGAACAGACGACAGTCAGGCGCTGCAGAAGCCGAGAGGCGAGAGAGACTTACAAGCGGGATCGAAACTCACTAGCAGCAGGAGAAGACCTGGGGGACTAACCCGATTGGGCCCTCTATGAGACACGAAGCTATTTTTGGTGTTTGGTGTTTGGTGGCTGTTGGCCTGAGGCATAAATAAGGGCACCTATCCACCTCCCGCCCTTGAATCGTTGGGTGACATGACGCACCACTGAAGATGTTGTGCATACCCTTGCACCTCCATTTGCTCCTTGCGAGCAGCATCCTGCACATCTACGGCCACTATTGCCAATTATTGCCCTTTTACTCACCAACTTCCACATAAACAGATGCACCAGAGGTATAATTCTGTTCTCGGATCAATATATATATATATATATATGTATGCTCGCAGTAGCCATTCTGAAAATGGTTGGTAACTAAAACTCAATCTGAATTGAACGCTGTCGCAGAATCACATTAGATACATTGGCTTCACCCTTCATCATCCTCACAGGTCATTATTACGATTAATTAGCATTAACATCACAGATAGTCTTAACCGTCGTCGTACTGATACAGATCTGGTAGCGTCAAGCTGGAGAGTGGCGAGTGTCCTCTCCCGATCCTATCTTGCGTCGTATGATTCATCAACCACGAGCCTTGTTGTCGGACAGCCAACCCCTCGTGCCTCATCTATGAGGAGTATTCCACGGTGAGGTCGACCTTGTCGCAGGAGGAAGGGATCGTGGCGGGCAGATACTCGTAGAGCCAGAAGAGCTGAGGGGCGTTGTGGTACCAATCACAAACTGTAGTAGAGTATTTGTCAGTGACAAAGGGTCTTCCTCATATAATTGGGTTCGATGCTTGACTTACCCAACCAACCGCCAAAGCCGTTCTCCGCCGACCACTGAAGGGTCGAACCATCCACGGAGAAACCTTCGTCACCGTAACCGACATTGATCTCGACGGGTTCCCATGCTACAACACGAGGTTAGTTCTATTTGACTTTTTCCTTTTTCTTTTTCGTCTCCCTCCACGAGAGGCGAAACTTACAAGCATAGTTGGTGTTGGCGCCCATCTTGAAACCCCAGGGGAAAGTGGTGCCCAAGTCGAACTGAGCGGTGGTGCCGTTCAAGGAAACGGCACGAGCAGTGGACTTCTCGGCGGTGAGCATGGCATCGTTGAGGCCGGCGCCGGTGTGATAGGCGTAGACGTAGAGGTTGTTGTGGGCATCGTTGGCAGCGCCGGAAGTCTTGAGGTAGAAGCTCTGGGAGGTGTCGCGGGCTTGAACGATAGGGCTGGCTGCGACAGCCGACACGAGCAAAGCGAGAGGAGCGAGGAACTTCATGATTGCGAATGTTATGTGCAGATTGATGACCAAAGAATGAATCCGAGCTGTACAGTTGGAAGCTATTATATTGTAGAACAAAGAAGAATGGGGAGTGATGAGGAAGGGGGATGTCAATGGGAACAAAGGTGTTTAAATATCGAGCGGCGAGCACTACCACCAGGTCCGGTGGGGATAAGGCCGTGAAAGACGAATTTCCTAAGCAGGAAAAGATGGATGGAGATCAGAGGAACCAAAGCAAGAACAAAGTCAATGGACACACATGAGAGGGAAAAGAAAAGAGAAAGAAACCAATGCAGAGAACTAGTGTAGTTGAAGTGACTTGGCACTGCCCCAGGCACGCCCCAGTGGAATGTACAGTAGGAACTTAGGAAGAGCCCTGCAGTGAGTGCACTGGCAGTGGTGATTGTTGAATGATGGAGGCAAAACTGGGTTCCATTGGGTGAACCTGTTGGGTGGAGTTCCACTCACGGGCTGTCCGCTGGCCGCCGGCCACGACCGATTGGCCTGTAGCAAATAAACGTGATTGGCCTCGGGACAATCAGTCAGCGACTGTGGGCGGCGAGGTTGGAGTCCATCGCTGATTGGCCACTTCAGGCGGGGGAAGAGCAGGCGGTGGAGCGATCAAATCCAAGTGACTGCTTGGATCCTGAGACAGTGTTCTCCCTCCCCGCAACCACAAAGAGGAAAGAAAATTGATGAGGCTGGTGATACATCACCACGCGCGTCTGTCGATGGAGTCCTGTTACTCTGTACAACCCTCGACAGTTCACGAGAGACGAAAACATTGGCTTCAATTTTTGTTTGTTTTGTGCTGACAACCTCAAACTTGAAGCAGTCGATCCTCATCTATTATGCCGATCCCGACCGCTTGCTACACTGTGTAGACTAAAATGATCAATGGATCTTCAGGACTGTATCTTCACAGCTCTTACCCATAAACTAATGTCTACCTGAAGCAAACTCTATGCACCTGCCCCCTGGAGAGCAAATTACAATGGAACAATGGAACAATGAGAAAATATCCATCCACCAAAATCTATCGACCCATTAATGTTATGTATACAGTACAGTACAGATTCATTCGTACACTGTCAGCCGAGAAGTGGATTGACTTAATTATAGAAGAAGCATCTTGGTTCCCTCCTTCCAGCTAGAATGACCCTATAATCTGACGTTATGGGCGGTGCAATCATGCAAGATTATTGTCTCCTCTCACCCATCAAATTGCCGACAACCAAAAAAGAATCAAGTCAACTAACTACATCACCTCAACCTTCGTTTTCTTTGTTGCTGCAATTCATCCCCGGTTGACATCATGATCGTCCGTTTCCGTCAATCGACGTCGGCCGGTACAGCACCTCGGTTTCTTACATCACACGATCCCTGGACTAGCGGATCTGCTATCCCGACCTGCAGGAGAAACAGACAGGGCCGAGGGACTCCAATTGCGCAGTTTCACGAGGTCGGAAGATACCCACGTTCATTCCCTGTTGGATGATGCATCCTGCATGGCAGGGGAAAATCCCCGTGAAGGTTCGGGGGTCGCATACTTCCGGGCAAAATCTGAGACATGGCCCGGAACGAAACAGCAGAAAGATATCACACCCAGGCGATAGGATATATCAAATGATTCAAAAATCACAGGAAGAATACGCAACTCATGCAGAAGGAATGTAGCATCCCATATTCCATCATGTCTCAGAATCATGAGGGGAGAGTAGCATTGATCTCCACCCGCGTCAATATAGACTGTCTCACCCTATACGAGGTGCATCGCTTAAACGGCATATACATAGATACACGACGAATCGAACAGAAAGACATCACAAACTAGCCAGACCCTACGGCATCGCCGGATACAGGCGAATATCCACGCCATGCAGATGAGACATGGTCAAATTGAATTGAATCCTAGGTTCCTCCATCGTCGGTGCGGCATTTTCGATCCGGTCGAAATGCTGCAGCAGGCGGACTAGGGTGTAGCTGGCTTCAGTGAGGGCATATTGCTCTATCATCGATGGGTTAGCAATTTCCTAAAGAGGCCAATGGTATATGGTCGATGGGAGAATGGGGTGTACTCACGACCCAGGCAGATTCGAGGGCCGCCGTTGAACGGCAGGAACTCCCATCCTCGACTGGCATTCTCTTCCCAGCGTTCGGGACGGAAGCTCTTCGCATCAGGTCCGTAGATGTCCTCCCGGCGATGCATCGCATACACTGAATACGTGACGAGCTGGCCCTTGCGAACAAACACCGGGGCCTTGCCGTCGGGGCCGCCGCCCATCGGCAACGAAGTGTCTTTGACGGCGACGCGGAAGTTGAGTGGTACTGGGGGCAGCAATCGGAGAACTGGTGGGCTCATCAATGCCCGAACTCATCCAGGTGAAGTGCTCTACTGCTTACCTTCGTTCAGAAAGTATCGAAGATACGAAACATCTTTCAACCTAGCCTGCGTGATCTTTCCCCGAGGATGTGCGCTATCTCCAAACTCCTCGACGATCGTCTGCCGGAGTCGGCCCCAGACGTGAGGGTGACGTGCCAGGAAGAAGAAAGCAGAACTCAGCAGGCTGGCGGTCGTATCGCGGCCCGCCAGCAGGATGTTGAGCATGTTGTCGCGCAGCACCCTCGGATCATCGGTTTCGGCCGCCAGCGCTTCAGCGAAGATGTATCGGCCCGCACTCTTTTCCGGGTTCTTCTTGGGCGCGAGGGCCAGTCGGACGTAGTGGTCGACGACCTCGTGCACGCGCTTATTGGCATCTTGGAACTCTTTAGGATTCACTAGCCAGTACAGGCCCATGAAGCAATTGCGGGTGAACAGATACTCCTGGGACAGGCTAAATGCCTTCGCAAAGCCCTGTGCACCCCCGACCGCCGTCTTCTCCAGAACTCCGGTGTCACCAGAGGAGTGCATCGCATTGACGGACTCGCCGAACAGGAAATGGGTCGCCGAGTCGATTGTCAACAGGAAGAACAGGCGTTGAATGTCAAACACTGTGCCATTCTTTGGGATCAGCTCAATCAGACGAGAGACGTGACCGTCCATCAAATCCAGGTCCGCCACCTATTCGCGGTCAGTACCCGGGAATGCCCTAATATTTGAGGCTCATACCTGGTCCCGCGTGAATTGCGGCCTCAACAACGCCCGCGCATGCGACCAGCCCGCACCATCCAGCGTGAAAATCCCGTCCCCAAGCAGCGGATAGAACTCGCGATGCCGAGTGCCCAGACAGAAGTCGTGGAACTGAGTGGCTAACAGCGCTTTTAGATTCTCAGGCTCAGCTGTGGACACGATCGGAACCCCGCCCAAGCCTGTCAAGCTGAAGGTGGGACTATACTGAGAGTAGTAGTCGGCAATATCTTCAACCACACGATTTTGCTTTGCTGCTTTTGAGATCTCGAAGAAACCTTTAAGTCCAAAAGGATCTGATGGGACTTTCCGCGGTGGCTCACAGCCTAGCGATTTTGCGATTCTGCGGTTTCTGAAGGTTTGATGAAGGGAGCACACGATCTGGTATGCCAAGTATAGTGCCCCAATGCACAGAGCGGCTAGAGCGAGCATGGTGATCGCGGAGTGGTATGAGCACGGTCAAAAGGAAGAAGTAGATGAGAAAGGGAGGACACAAGTACGAGCTATTGGAAGCAGAAAAGACCGAAAGACTCTGAATTTGCAGTGAAAGTATATCTGGGCCGATGGAGATGGCTATTTATGCCCAACTCAGTGCTCCTTGAAGGATGCAGGATGTAGCAACTTGGGATTCAAAGGTGGAGACTCATGTTTGAAGTACACCCCCCATGAACACCTTTCAGTGACCAGGAGGCGCGAAATAAGGGCAGCCTAAGTGGAAAGAGCCTGCCAATAATTGGAGGGGAGAGGGGAAAGGGAACAATATGTCAAAGCTTGCGAGCCGGACTGAACCTGGAGGATCGCAAGCATCTCCGAAAATGGTTAGTATGACGGAAGAGGCAGTCGCTTTTCCAATGATGGTGGACGGTTGTGGATTCTTATTCATCATCATCATCTTCCTAAGATGCTTCTACTCATATTTACATTCATTCATTCATTCATTCATCCATCCATCCACCCATCGTCATCCTTGCTGGCCAGCCTTTTCAGCTTTTGGTCGACGTCTCCGCTCCTGTTCCAAAGCACTGCAGCCACTGCAACAGCGCCGAGGTGAATAGCGCGCGTGACAGTTTCCCCGCCGAGGGTGGCATCTGAAAGTCGAAGCAGTGTTCCGAGTTCTCCAGGACATATCCAAATATGACATTCTCATTGGTCTTCGCCCCGCAGGCTGGGATCTGATTGGAAATTTGGATGCCTTGGGGCGCCGTATCCTCTGTGGAGAAAACCGATAAGGTCCGCCACGGATCAAACTCCCCTCCACTGGTATATGTGTTCGATGGCCGGATCGTCCATCCGCCGAACTCCTCGTTGGTCTGGTCGGTCAGAGGCTGAGGCGGTAATAGTCCCTTCTCGATCGCGCTGGGGAATTGTCGGTTGCAGATATGCTGCTGATACTCGAGGGTCTGGTAACGCGAGAGTAGCGCATGGGGACCTGCGTTGTTGGCCTGGTAGAATCCCCATTCGGTACAATACTGCCAGGTCCAGCTAATGGCCGAAGGGTCACCGTACGGCTTGCTTAGATCGCATTCTTGGCCAAGGCTGGTCTTGCGGCTCCTGCAATTGGTGTCCATGTTCTGGTTAATCAGGTCAGTCAGCACGGGCCACGCCGCCCAGCGCTCCGCCACGAACTGATTGCCGTATGTGGGGGCTAGCCCGTCGGGACCGGCTGTCTGGTTGGTGTTCGGATCAAGTTCCATATACTCGCAGAATGCTCCCAAACTCGCCGAGCCCCCGTCCATTCCATAGGACTGGAAACTACCATACATGGTCACCAAAGCGGCCGTGAAGTCTTCGTTCGAGTTGACTTCGGCCCCAGGACCCAGGAACAGCTGCATGATTGACGCCGCCGTTGCGTTATTCAAGAGCTGCTCGTCAATGTACTCCAGTCCAGCGCGGATGTCCTTCGTGCAGTTGGTCCACCCATTCGCCACCATTCCACGATAAACCTGGTCAAAGTAGTTCGTCATATTCACTTGAGCTTGCACTGGCGCGGAGGAGGCCCAGGCAGCATAGATCGTATCTGGGTACTCGATGCGAGTCAAGGCCGCGCGGAACCCAGCATAAGAGCCACCGAGCATAATCCACGGGGTTCCTTCGGGGGTAAGATCGACATCAGGATAGCTTTGACGACTGAAATTCTGTGCAAAGTACGGGAGATCTGCGAGCGCCTGTTTGATTGTGAGGTACCGATACCTTTCCGGCGGGGTATCATAATTGACGGGGTATGGGGTCGATTCGCCATAGTATCTGACTCTGTCAGTACTCCGTGGCGACGGCAGTGTTCTCGAACTGAGCGGACGAACCTATGCTCCCACACAATCCCCATGGCATTGAACTCCTCCAACATTGACCTGAAGAATGACAGCGACGATGTCAGGTGTGCCTGGGCGACCGGCGCTGCGTCTGTCTCTCCAGCGTCATAGACCATGATCGGTTTCCCAGCTTGATAGAACTCGTCACTGACCCAGAACCGATTCCTATATGTCCCAGCTGACGCGTTGTTATGATCGATGGGAATCTAGAGGCATTAGACTAATACAGCCGAGCACAGAATTCTTCGCCTTACCGAGATGTACTCATCCTTCACATTCGCCATCGCTGAGTGTGAAATGACCGAGTGCAGGTTCGCATGATCATAACGACCGATATTCGGCTCGATCCCAAGCTCTGCCAGCAATTGTACGTCCCGACCAAAGGCGATCTTCTTCCCCCGGCCAAGCACCGAGGTTGGAAGTAGAGCCAAAGCCACAGCTGCAAGACATGATAACTTCAGACGCATCTTGCTTGGGTTACTCGATGTTGTCGGTGAGCGGGATACGAGCAAGTGTGCGCGTAGACTGAAGAAACAAGAGCTATTTCAGCCATAATCGACGCTCTGTGGGCCTATCACTATATATATGCCCAAGAACATATTTCCGTTCCGGACGGTTTCAGCTATGAATGTATCCCGCTCGTATGACAACATTAAGATCACCAAGTTAGCCAAGTCATGCCGTTGTTATCGTATGCAGTGAATCGCTGCCGACAAACAAACAGCGGACGGCTAGGGTTGGGGCCTGCGCGGGTAACCAGTCGCTTTCTGGGTTCGGCTTGCCTCGCTGGAATGTTGTACAGGGGCTCGGCCCAACCCCTTGACGGAATTGATGAAAGCATCATCTTTTGCCTGTTGCCTGATTTGTGGGGTAGAGTTCTTGAGCTTCTTGATGATAGTCAGGATGCTGCAGAACAGGATCTGTGCTCTATCCTGTGCTTCCGATGTCATACTCAGGGTGGAAGGTGTATGCCTCGTTTGATTGTACTACTCTCTGCAACTGTCTAGACTGTCTCAGTGTTGCCCAAACCTGATGGGTGAACTCGGACTTTGAGGCGAGGAAGACTGCTCTTCTTGAAATCATCGTTAACAGCTTATTGTCATGGTACGAGTCGACTTTGCGGGACAAATCCCTCTTAATCAACAGGATTAAGCCACCAGCGTAGTCACGTTGACCAGAATCGACAACACCTGCTTCTATGCTACATTGCTTCGTTTCGACGAGAAATTCATCGGTAGTTTTAAGGTCTTCTTCTTGTGTCATGACCAACGACCGATATCTATTTCCCGTATCACCAATCGAAGGAAAATCAGTCTTGATGCCCAGGAATAGTATCTAATTATGATGAATCCAAACATCCTCTATGCGTTCCATCGTAGGCCTCATTTGTCACCTATTGGGAGTAGTCTAAGCCAGGCACGTTTATGAGATTTCCCTTCGACTTGTATCTAATGCAATGACTTCCAACGCAGACACTGCCCCTCGCCTCTCGATGAATCTACACCAACAAACATCTAAGACATGAAGAGAGCAATTACTCAAATCCAGAATGAGAACCGGAAAACCATATTCTAGATCATCCTACCTACCACCAAGCACGATCAGCCCAACTGAACCCGCGCATCCAAAAGCCAGCCTCGAACCAAGCCCGTCCCAACTCCCTAATGACCCAAGCAGCCAACTCAACTCCCAAGTAACAAACACGTCTGCCAATTCCCTTGTCAAAACAACCCAAAATCCAAAAACCAACACCAAAAGAACAAACCCATCCCCATGACCCAAACGACCACCATCAAAACCATCCCACCTCAATAATTCCTCAAAAGAGGACATCGCGCGGTATGCCACTGCCGACAAAGCGCGCACTTGAAGGCGCGGGAGTCCGCTGAATATCCATTAGCATACATGCCTCGGACTTAGGGACATAGTGGGTGGGATACAGACCGTGCCAGTATGCATCGGAAATAGGTTGTGAGGGGGTAGTTTTCCGGGGATGTGCATCAGTAACTTGGCTGGGTTGGTATGCTGTGGATGAGTTAGACGTACGGAGTGATCGGTTGGCGGATGGTCTTTTGGTTTGGGGGCGATGGGTTCTGGTTCTGCGGGGGTTCTTTGGTTGTGGGGATTTCGGATCGGAGGGGGTGTTGGCGTTGGGCGTGTCGTTGCCGATTGAGATGTCGGTTCGAGAGGTATTTAGGTTAGTAGGTGGATAGAAGATGATATGTGATGGTGAAGGTACTCACGGCTTCATTTTTGATGGCTGTTGAGTTGGCGGGATGGCTAGATGAGTATCCATCTAGGTAGAGTGTCTAAGTCGAAAGGTAGATTCAAGGTGTGTGTATAACTGAATTAGACCGTCGATGCGATGGTCTCGAGGAGTCATGGGATGGAAGTTTTGATGCCATGGTGACAGTGAAAGTACGACACCGCATTGGAGAGACCACTTTGGGGATTTGTGAAGGTATACAGATGGAAGTACACGATGCCTCCCAGCCCATTGTGATGCGCATCTCGCATGGCTCGAGCAATGAAACATCATCCCTCTGTCAGAAGTCTACTCGCTGCAGGTACAAGTACAGCAGAGTAAGCAAGTACCGGCAGCTCAGACCGTGCCAGGCCCCATCTGCGTGAGGTGCAAGCAGTGAACAGTATCTTGAAGGAGTAGGTGTAGCAGTGTTCACACGGTCCAGCAACATCCGGGGAACTGGCTATCATCACGAACGACCCAGCTCCGAAAAAGTCAATGGCCCAGGAGCATAACACAACATCATCGAGAAGCCAGGGTCGAAGGATGGAGGAGAGGAGAAACGATTCTGAGGGGGGGATTTATACTCCTGCCGCGCTCACATGACCTGCCTCGCAATCGAGAAGACCGGCGGAGACAACAGAGCAACCACGGAAGATAAGTAGACTCATCATGAAGCGCAAGCGATATCTACACACTGCCAGAACTGGAGGTAGTGTGGATGGTGAAGAGCATTCGCACGGAAAAGAAAGATTCGTACCATAGACGGCAAGCGCCAACTGGCCCTAAAGAATATGGTGAATTCCGGCATCATTGTAGTAAGGTTAAGAGTTGTGCCCTGATACTTTGTGCTGGTAAACAGAAAAATTCCGGGAAGTGGATGACTGAAGTATTAACATGGTTATCAAGGACTTGATTGGAGGTGCTTCTTAGATTTCTGCTAAACAAATCATCGACAGGCCAGCCAGCTCAGAGGTCACCGGTGACAGTCCAGCATAAAGTCTTTGGGAATCTTGATACCAATATAGAGACCATGAAATATAAAGAGAATCTGCAAAAGTAAGAGCTGTCTCTTTGTTTACACAACCAAGCATCTCATGATTTTAACAGTGACTGCTATGTATACAGTAGTAGGGCCAATCCATCATTTATAGGGCACTTTTATTCCCCCTGTCTCAACTCAGAGTCCATCCCTTCTCCAGTTTCCTCATCACTGCTAATTTTCCTCAGCTTCAGTATATACCCTTGCGAGCTTGATCGGCGTGACGAGAAAGGACGAAAGGGTGGAAACATGTTTGGGTACACCTTCGAGTGCCGGATTGCGGCGGCAGTCATCGTTGACGTGGAGATCGTGAAGCGCAATACCGACCAAGTGAATTGGGCTCTATATGAGAATGAGCTTCTGAAAATCTTCAAGGCGCGTCATCAGGCCAATCCCCAGCTGCAGCTCCAGTTTGCCTTCATTCACAGCAAGATTTGGCTGCGGATCTATTGGGAGTTCACCCCCGAGGAAGAGTCTCGCTCCACGTCATATGGTATGCACCGAGTACAGTGGGTTGATGCAAATGAGAAGATGCTGAAAGAGACATTTCACTGTTACTTGGACCGGAGAACTATCAAATCGTATGTACTCGAGAAATCGATGCCGGCTATGGGGATATCGCTCCTCACATTGCAGATTTTCGGACGTGAGACGACGTGGAGGCAGTAAGTATCCGTGTTCCGGGAGGTTAGGCAGAGTCTGGAGACCTGGTATTCTATTAAAATTATTCTCTCGTTCTATTTGATTTGACCCATTCATTCTATTCTACCTACCTAACAGTTGTTAGCGCACGCGTAGGTCATCTTCCTTGCCAGCCTGTATGACACCAAGGTTGTCCGGCATTATTATTAGTATTGGGCTAACTAGTATACTCTGTTACTTCTTAACGTCCGTCGGAGCGAACTCCGTCCATCAGCCAAGACAAATGTCCGTCCACCACTGACGGGGCATGTTCCATCCCCAAAGGCCCCTAATTTTAACCGAGCAAAGGGATCGGCAGACGCTCGAGCCCATTTCACCCGCCAGCATTCTTCACGGAGAGGTATCATGCATTATAAACTCAAGAGTTTGCGGCGTGGACGTTGCTATTTTGACTTTGTGGTAAGCTCACAAAACATCTTCAAATCACTGGTGCGGAGAGTGCCACCAAAATCCACAGTGGATCTATATAGCTCCTGTGTTTCACGTCGATGTGACAGCCGGTCACCGCACCATGCATCACCCAGTCCCGCCAGATCTTGGCGTCGGCACTTGACTCTACTCCCGACACGGACACACGGAGGCAAGGTAACGCTTCCGACCACCTGGGGACTCGACGTTCCTGAGATTGGTGGAACGAGTCTGCTTTCCAAGACTTTCGACTATGGGACTGAGCGTTGACGGGCGTGACAGGCGGGCCAGGGACTGTCTCAGGCACAGAAGCGATGTTGCCTTCTCGAATACTTAAGCCCAAGACCATGCCGTCCCAGAACGATCCTGCAGACAAGCACCGGACAGTATGCTTAAGGCGACGCTTCTTTCGTTCGTGGCCTTCACGGCGCAGGTCGCCCATGCCGCGTTCGGCATCACGACCAGCACCGACTCGTACGTCATCGACACCAACGCGTCCACCCAGCTGAAGTTCACCGTTAGTCGCAAGAGCTGCGACATCACGTCCATCATCCACTATGGCACGGAGCTGCAGTACTCCAGCACCGGCAGCCACATCGGATCCGGACTGGGAACTGCCACCGTGACGGCCGTTCAGAACGGGGATTATATCAAGGTAACCTGCGCCACGGACACGTTGACCCAGTACTTTGTTGTCCACGACGGCGATCCGATCATTCACATGGCGACTTATATTACCGCGGGTTGGTTATTTGTCTCGGGTATTGGGTTTGGCTGACACCTTCAGAACCGTCGATCGGAGAGCTGCGGTTCATTGCTCGCCTGAACTCGGATGTGTTGCCTAACGAGGAGCCGTTTGGAGATGTGTCAAACACGTCGGGTGGCACTGCGATTGAGGGGTCGGATGTGGTACGTTGACTGTTCTGGTCGGATGGTTCCTGCTGACACCAGTAGTTCTTGGTCGGGAGTGAAACCCGCAGCAAGTTTTACTCCAGCCAGCGGTTCATCGACGATCAAAGACATTGTAAGTAGATTAGACTGCTATGACGAGGCTGAAGTACTGAGGTCTCAGGTGTCTCTGGGGATGCCCACCGCGTCTGCATGATCCTGAACCAATATGAAAGCTCTTCCGGAGGACCCTTCCACCGGTAAGTCATCCCCTCAAATAAATCAACACAGTACTAACAAGCACAGGGATATCAACTCCAACAACGGAGGAAGCTACAATGCGCTCTACTGGTACATGGTAAGTAGACCTTCTGCTTGGGTGGTCATGACAACTAACAGCCCAGAACTCCGGTCATGTCCAAACCGAGTCCTACCGGATGGGACTCCACGGGCCTTACTCGATGTACTTCAGCCGCAGCGGTACCCCTAGCACGAATATCGATACCTCGTTCTTCGCGGATCTGGGGATCACAGGATATGTCGCCGAGTCGGGGCGAGGCAAGGTGACCGGCACCGCATCTGGAGCAGACTCCAGCATGGACTGGGTAGTCCACTGGTAAGTGCCTGGCTCGCTTGAACACACTGCAATTGCAACTGCATCACTAACGACGACAGGCACAACGACGCGGCACAATACTGGACCTACACCAGCTCCAGCGGCAGTTTCACCTCTCCCGCCATGAAGCCGGGAACCTACACCATGGTGTACTACCAAGGCGAGTACGCGGTGGCGACAACCACCGTAAAGGTGTCAGCGGGCTCGACCACGACGAAGAACATTTCCGGGTCCGTAAAAACGGGGACCACGATCTTCAAGATCGGCGAATGGGACGGACAGTACGTGGCCCTCCTCCTTCCAGTAGCAAAGCGAAGAAAACTTAGCAACGCACTAACTAACATGAATGGCCAGACCGACCGGCTTCCGCAACGCGGCCAACCAGCTCCGCATGCACCCTTCGGACTCGCGCATGTCCTCCTGGGGTCCATTGACCTACACGGTGGGAAGTTCGGCGCTGACCGACTTCCCTATGGCGGTGTTCAAGAGCGTCAACAACCCCGTAACGATCAAATTCACGGCGACATCGTCGCAGACCGGCGCCGCGACCCTGCGGATTGGCACGACGCTGTCGTTCGCCGGCGGACGGCCCCAGGCTAAGGTATGTCCCCATGGGCACTCTCTTCGAGAACCGCACTAACTTGCGCAGATCAACAGCTATACCGGGACCGCACCGTCCGCCCCGACGAATCTGAACTCGCGGGGCGTGACCCGCGGTGCGTACCGGGGTTACGGCGAGGTGTACGATGTGTCGATTCCGGCGGGGACGATCGTGGCGGGGACGAACACCGTAAGAAGACCTCCCTGGCGAGGGTCATTGATGCAGCTAATGTGTGGTGTAGATTACTATCAATGTGATCTCCGGTAGCTCCGGGGATAAGTACCTAAGCCCGAACTTTGTAAGTCTTTTGTGCTGTGTGTGGGTGCGATTGCTAACGGGGATAGATCTTTGACTGTGTGGAGCTGTTCCAGTAGCTGCTACACCGTGGGATTCCTTGCATATGCGATTTCGAGAAAGGGTTTTGATGGACTAGGAGTGAAAATTGGTCTGCACTTGGTTAATATCAGCTATTCTCCATTGTAGAGATATGAGAATTATAGGATGCATACCTCTAGACTCCTCTCTTGACTGGATGATCCAAGAGCTGAGAAGAATGGGTCATCTATACCCCTATTTTGGTTTGTATACTTCGTTATACCGGGAAGACACTCCTGCTTCCGCAGTTATCATCTATCTTGGAGTCTAATGTCACAAATATTCTTCCTTCACCCGAGATAGTTACTTCAATATCATGGCCTCCTACACCCCCTTTCATAGGTTTTACAAGATTGATACTTCAATACCATGGGGAAAAGCCCCCCATACCCCCCTCAAGAGCAACATACCATTCTCATAACCAGATAGTCTATAAGTAACAAGGAGACCCCAAGACCCCAGTTCCATCCAACAAACGATATTAGCGTAAGGCACCCCACAAACAACTCTATCACAACAACCAGCCCTAAGAACAACAGAAACCACCACAAACCATGATCCCTACCTCATCCTGCGAACAACCACCCACGCAGCGCCCAACCCAACCAACCCCCAAACCCAGTTCCACCGCGCCGACCAGCGGGGATCATCAACCTCAACCCCATGAACCAAGCGACCCTGCACCCACACGGCCCTGACATTCCGATCATCGCCACTCCACACCCACTTATGCACCTTCTCCGTCCAAGACTCCGCCCCAAACACATCAACCGGACTCACGGGAGACGCAGGACCCCACAAGGCCGCAGGCTGGAAGGCCCCGAGGCGAATCAACTGCGCATCCCAGGCCATGCCGCGATCGAAGCCGCCGATCAGCTCGGCCATATCGAGGACGGCGGCGCCGCCGCGCGTAGCGAGGTACAGCGCCTCTTCCACGGAGACGACATCGTCATTCTCATCCCGTTTTCCATCTGTCTGCTTCTTATCTTGATCGGCCTCGGCCTCAACCACTTCTACCTTATCGTGATGCTGACCCCGCAAGAACCCCACCAACCTCGAAACCAAACACGCAGAACGCACCCCTTCCAACAAACTAACACTATACCCACCACTAACATCACTGCCCAAGCCAATAACAACCCCGGCCCTCCTCAGCCTCCGAACAGGACATATGCCGGACCCGAGCGCGGAATTACTGGTGGGACAATGACTGACCCGAGCGCGCCGGGCGGCAATCAGCCTCGTCTCGTCCGCGGACAGATGCACCGCGTGCGCGAGAATCGTACGGGGCGTGAGCAGACCCGCGCGATCGTACACGTCGGCGTAGCTGTTTGCATCGGGGAATTGTTGCTTGACGAGGGCGCATTCGTGGACGTTCTCGGAGATGTGGGTTTGGATGTGGAGGGGGGGATTGTGTTGTGCTGCTAGGGCGGCGAGGGCGGAGAGGGTGGTGGGTCTGCAGGAGGGGGCGAAGCGGGGGGTTATTATTGGTTGGATTAGCTTGGGGGCCCCTTCGGAGGAAGAAGGATGGGACAGGGAATCGATGTGCTGGATGACGGCTTCGGTGTCGCGGAGGCAGGTGGCGGTGGAGGTATCTATAAGGGAGGGCGGGCAGGTCGCCGGGTCGTCCATGCAGACGCGGCCGATGAGCGCGCGTTGGCCTCGTTTGTGCGCGAGACTGGCGAGGAGGTTGGTGGCTGGGACGTGGATCGTCGCGAAGTACGACGCTGTAGTTGTGCCGTGGCTTAGCGTCCGGCTTATGACCTGCGAGTACGCGCGGTAGGCGGTTGGTGGGGGAAGGCTGGGCATTGAGGCCGGGCTCGCGAAGGAGGCTTCTATTGGGAAGGTGTAGGTTTGGAGCCATGAGAGGAGCGTGCTGCTGCCGAAGAGCCCCGTGTTCGGGTATTGGGGGGCGTGGATGTGGGTGTCTTTTTTCTTTGCTTAGTATTTGTGTATATGATGATGGTGGGAGCGGAGGGCGAAGGGGGAAGAGATAAGCTTCGGTGCAGGATGTAGACCAAAGGGAACACGCACCAATAAACCCCGGGAAAAAGAACTCGTTCTCCTCCTCGCGCGCACGCACAAGCTTCACTCCCACGCTCGTGCGGCTGCCCCGGCCATCGACCACCCAGCCGTGGCGTTTCAGGAGCGTCTGCAGGTCGCTTTCGGACGCGATGCTCCAGTCAAAGCCCTTAATCTTACCGTCGGCGCTGGATACCCATAAGGCGCCGCGGGTGATGGCGAGCTGGTGCTCCTCGTGCGGGGAAGATGTCGCGGGGAGTTGGATGAAGGTCCCCACGTAGACGGTGTACATTGGGGAGACCATCTTGGTTGGGCTAGTGATGGTGATGATGCAAGGGTGATCAGGTCACACTTCACAGGTGTCGTGTCTTGCTGAGATCTGAAAAGCGGAAATGTCTGCTTCAATACTTCCTGATACAGGGGTTGAATGAGTTCCTATCGCAGTGTCAGCTTACCCTGCATGGTTGGGTCGAACAAGTCTACATACCAAGTAAACAGCAACTAAGCAACGAGCAACCAAGCAACGATGAATCCGACAACAATGCACGTTCTGCACAATTAAAACTGCAACGTCCTATGAGCCCAAGCTAAACCACGTCACCCACATTCAACGAGAAAAAACTCTCAGAAAGTCCAAAAGAGAGAAACAGAAGAAAGCAATAGAGATGGGGATGGAACTTAAATGATGGAATGGCTAGTCGCTAATCTCCGCCAATGATTCCCCCGACCCCGGCCTCGGAATCCGGCCGGCTCCGATTGCGGATCGGGTTAGCGCGGTTTCTGCTTGGAGAGGGGCTGATAAGATAAGACTGCGGGGTGCCTGAGGCTGAGATACATGGGGAAGGACTAAGTAGTCTAAGATTAAGATAAGACGTCACGGATTCATCAAGTCATGGTCTGCATTGACTAAATCAGACTATCTCCATCAAGGGCCTATGGCAGATATAGATACCACACATAGAAGCCAGGTATATCATCCTGCCTGGGGCACACCACTCTTCAGATCGTATACCTAAAATCCTCCGACCCCTCGATAACCCTCTCCCCTCTCTCCGCCTCGCGATTCGACTTGCGAAACCACCAACTCAAGACCCCAACAATTACCAGAATCAGGATATTGCACCTGAACCCCAATTCCCTACCATCAGCTAAAGTCCACCAACATGAGAATCAGAGCAAACTCACGCGATAGTAGTCCACATCCCCGGCCGATACCCTGGCGCATCCTCAGACCGAAACACCAAACTGCTCACAATGCCTCCAATGCCCCCGAACCCGACAAGTGTCGCGCTCGACAGTGCCCGAGTCCACTGGCCCCGGACGTTGTTGGCCTGGTACGCCATCACGGCGGGGATGTTCGAGTTGGCGCCGGCGACGCTAAAGAAGACGCCGACGTAGCGCGCCGCGTTGCCGTGCGCGAATCCCATGATGGGCAGACCGATGATGCATAGCGCGGAGTTGAAGACCACGATGGCGCCGCGCACGCGATACTTGTCACCCACCCAGGCAGACCCAAACATGATGAAGCCGGCGAAGACGTAGGGCGGCGCGGCGAGGCACTGCGCCGCGCCGATGCTGAAGCCCATCCCTTCTTGTAGGATGATGGGTAGGAAGTAGGCAATCGCGTAGGTGACGGTCGTCGTGCAGCTATACATGATCAGCTAGGGCTGGACATAATGTGAACGGATGGGGTAAGGACTGTACAGGAAAATCATCGCAAATCCCCAAATCTTCAGATCCAGAGCCGGCGACAAGAACCGCTTGAGTGTGAAGGGCTCCTCGTTGCCATCCGAGCGGTCGCGGTTGATGCGACGGACGATGAACGCGCTTTCCTTCTCAGTGAGGAAGCGCCAGGATTTGTGCGCGCGGTCTGGGAAGTCGACTAGGAAGATGAGAGTGATGACGCCGATCACCGCCGTGATCTGTCGCAGCCATTGTCAGGCCATCCATATATGTGTCTGCTGGGTCACCAGTCCAGACTTACCACGCCTTCCATGATGAAGATCCATCGCCAGCCGCGTATGCCCTGCAGCCCTTCCATCTGCATCAGCCCGAAGGCGAGGATGCCCGCCAGTGCGGATGCGACGCAGCCGATAAGATAGAAAATGGAGAAGCGTTTTTGCACGTCGACTTACATTTGTTAGTACGGGACTGACAGCCAGGCAGAATGGGTTTGACTTACATCTCGTGTACCAACTCGACAGCAGATACACGCAACCGGGAAAGTACCCTGTATGTGTCAGTATCAACGTACTCTTTCCAGGAGGCATAATCGCTAACCCGCCTCCAGAATCCCTAGCAAGAAACGGCAAGCAACCATATGCTTCCAGTTCTTCGCGAAGCCCATCCCCTGTAACAACCGTCATCAAACTGCAGCATCAACCCATCAGAAGCAAACTCACAATAAGAATTGCCCCCCAAGAGATGACAATGCTCCCCAGAAAGATCGTCGGGCCAAACTTGCGGGTGACCACCGTCATCGGCGGCTGGAAGATTACATAGGGAACGAAGAAGATGAGCACGATAACAGACTACAGCCATCAGTCAGTCAGCTCACCAAGATCAGCACATCGAGCACGACACGACGGAAAAGTGCAAAAAAAACCCACATATCGCGTCCCGACCGTCAACTGCAAGTCCTTGGTCATTCTGCACAGAGCATAGTTAGATAGTAGTCGTAATTATCGCCGGAGCGAGTGAGCAAAGCAAAACAATTCAATCTTACCCAGCCACAGCAGCCATACTGAGATTCGTGCGATCCATCAGGGAAATACAATACGCCAGGCCAGTGATAGTCACCAGACGGCGATCAATGCGGTGGATGATCTTGCGCTGCTCGACATAGGAATATTCCTCATCGTGGTCGACATCGGTCAGGGTGTGGTTGGCTTGTGTGATATCCTCGATACGATCCACGCTGCCAACTTTCTCGCTGCTGGGGGGAGACATAACGGAAAATCCCCAATGCCACTCACTATCTTTCAAACCGCAAAGAGGGGCAAAGAGAGAAGGCAGTAAATAGGATTGGTAATGTGGAATGAGAGTGAAGAACACGCGCCGAGCAAAGTGGATCGATCGGTCGCGGGGGGTAGTTATATGTCGCACGACATAAAGGTAGGCACAGATTCCTGGACCCGGACACTTCAATTACTCCCCTTGGGACTGCATGATAAAGACCCTCCCGGATTGTCCATCCAGCTGATTGCCGGAAATTGAACGAGTTACCTCGGGCTTGGTAGGCAAGAGAGAATGAATGAGTGACGGAATGACCAAGAAGTGACAGCAAGCAGTCCCCACCACTACTAGGCAGCTTCCCCAGAGAAAGTAGAGAATGCGGGGTGAAGACCGAGACTTGACAAGTTGACTTGGCCTCCCCTTGGCGTCGTTCCCTTGGCGGCCAGAATACGAACAACAAACTCTCTGCCATGGCTGGTGGCGACCCCAATGGAAGTCTAGCCGCATGGACTGATGGAAACAGACAAGACGAGTACTCTCCTTCCCCCACACGTGGTGTTTGTCCGGGGAGAACTAGAACTGGTCGGCGAGGGTCCACCAAGCAATCAAAATCGATGATGCTATTGTTACTAAAGTATGGTATGCTATGGAAACATCAATCTTCGCTCGCTCGCGCTCTCTCTTGCTAGTCATAAACACAAAAAAATACGCCTCAAAGCATGGAACCACACACACACACACACACACACACACACACATACGCAACGCACGCCATGCCCCTTGAACTATATCCTTTTATCTGTGCGCCACTATTCTCTCTCTCCCTCTTGACCTCGGCACAACACGTATTATCTTATCTGGTAGACCCGTACACATCCTCGTCACTCTCCTCCCGGATCAACCATTGTCGCTCGCCGTGCTCCTCCATGTCCTGCTCCTGCTCCCTCATGTGTCTCCCCGCAAGATAGACAAAGGCCACCAGGGCCGTACCGACAACAAACCCGGCGCCCGCGAAGAAAATGTTGATCGGAATCGGATTTCCGTCGAAGGGCCCATGGGTGAGGGCATCGAGGCCGTACTGGGAGAAATTGACGAGGCCCGAGAAGCAGATGATGGTTCCGTAGACGCGCCCGAAGGTGGCAAACCCAAAAACCTTGGTGGCGTAATCCCTGCAGCAAAGCGCCGAGGGCTAATCAGTATATGATCAAATCGAATCAGTCCAAGCTGAGAGAGACACTTACGACATGGCCGAGTAGTAGAGTGGCCGCAGCAACACGAACAGGGTCACGGTCACATACCCAGTCCACAAGACTGGGACCGAGTTGAAGATACCAATCACGGTGGTGAGGACCACGATGATGCCGAGGATCGAGGGAACACTGAGGCTGTCAAGAAGCATGCCGATGAACGGGGTGGAGATGACCCCTCCCACCGGCAACGCTACGTCGAAGAAGCTGTTGATTTGGCCCGCCAGCGTCGGCGACTGTAACATGTACTCGTACTGCGCATAGATGGTCGCGATGAAATAGTTCATCCGCAGCATCTGCAGGACCGTCGTCAGGGTGATAAGAATAAACCACGGGGTGAGCATCTGCTTGTGGGCCGGCTGGCCATGCAGCGCTCCCCAGACCGCGCTCGTTGCCTGGCGCTCTTCTTCGTGCTGCTCGCGCTCCAACCGCTCGTCGCGATCTCCGAGGACCTCGTCGATTTTATGGATCTTCTTGAGGCGGCGCTCTGCCCGCTCCCGGCGGATCCGAAACAGCTCCGAGTCGCTCTCGATGTCGTCGTCCGAGTCGTGCACGTCGCGGGTCGCATCCTCCGCCTTTTCGATCCTCAATTCTAGCTGATGCGCGCTCTGGTAGTCGCGCGCCGGCATGATCGTGATTAGCGCGATAAATATAAGCACAGGTACTATAAGATACCCCGTAAAGAATGTTTGAGGGGTAAAAGACTGGTTTGTGGCCTCATATGCAAGGCGGTAGAACAGGTATACAGCTGCGGATGCATCGAAGGCACCCGTGACCAGGGCCACAATGGTGCCTGCATACTTGGGGAAAGCGTTCGCGATCTGAAACGAAGGAACAAAGATGAATGTTCCCCCCAGGGCCAGGAAGAAGTTGCCGGCGATATAGCCGTCGAAACCTGGCTCCGAGAACGAATACGCCATCAACGCGCAGCCGATGGCCAGAAGCACACAACCCGCGAAGCCACAAACGCGAGACCCATAGCGATCCAAGATGGTTCCGACTGGGAGGGCCGACACGTTGGCGGTGATGGAACTAATGGTGAAGAAAAAGTTGAGTCTGCTCCAGTCAGCACACTATCCCTTCGGAAGGTATGGGGCCGACAAGTGAGGCGCGCGCACCTGAGATCCTGCTCCAAACACACGTCGACATTGTCGCGCAGTTCCTCGTCGGTACACAGATCTCTGTATACCCCTTCGGCTATCAAGACGGGCTTGAGCGCAGCAAATCCGAAGACGATCCCTGCAGCGAACCAGCACGCCAGAATCGTGACAGCGACCTGGGCTAGACGGTGTCAGCAAGGTGATACCACCTAGAAAACTAGTCTTGTCCCACCAACCTAGTCGCTTCGCGGTAGGGACTTTGTACGCCGGCGTCCCCGAATGCACCTCCTCATCGATCGTAGGCTGTGGCGGAGGGAAAAAATCGTAGCTGATCTTGCGACGGATGGAACCGTAATGCTCGCTGGTCACAGCGGTGATGACAGTGCTATCATCGTGAGGATCAGGTTCACGGTCCGCCCCTTCGATTGCAGAGACGTGTTGGACCAAGGACATGATACTTTCTCAGTAATCTGTGGTCAGTACAGTACCCAGCAGTAGTCGATATGGAGCGATTGGTCTGTAAGGCGAATAAGCTACAGCGCCTGGCCAGGGGACGAATGGACAGGGCAGAGAAACGGAGGGATTGCCGGGTGGTCGGCGGAAAAGTTAAAGTGGTTGGGTCCGCCTCGGAGTCGAACGTTCGAGAGATCTCTCTCGCCAGCCACCTTGCTTCCCGGGAAATGCGGGCGGAGGATGGAGAAGACGAGAAGAAAAAAAAAAAAAAAAAGAAATAAGTCAAATTACAATGGAGAAGAAAACAGGATTTGGAGTGGGTAATTAAACCCCGTCTATAGCTTATCGTCCTTATCGTATGGTGGGGAACATCCATGCATTCAGATAGGAATAAGTAAGTAGATATTATTGAGAGGGAGAAAGGGAGAAGGTGACATTCTGCCAGAGCTTTTCACGGCTCCACCACAGCCGATGGGTCTAGATTTTTCACCAACTTTCGTAAGGCTTTCCAGCTACTCCTGGTTGACCCATGCTAGAGCTGTCTATCTTGTGCAATTGGTAGTTACTCCATTAAACATGTTTGCTCAAAGCCGTAGAACATTCTTCGGCAAATACCCGGCTTATCCTAAACTCAGGCAAAATAGCCCCGGCACCTACAGCAACATGACACTGTTATGAGAGACAACGAATGTCAAGCTTAAGCTGCTGGTTGCGCCTTATCAGATCAACCGCAGAAAAGAATCACAAAGCTCTTTGGTCAACAACTCTACTACGAGAACATGTTGCCCTAAGCAGCAATCAAGTCTGCAACCATCGGCTTGACATAACCATATCCCAGTGGAGAGGAAATAGTTTACCGACCCGAGGAGTGAGAAGCTCACAGCGCCTTATGCACGTGTGACTGTACATCTATCGCCTTTCTCTGATTACAGACATCCATTCGAAACCGGGCCAGAACCAAAGGACAGAGCGTACGCCGTCGCAATATGCGACCGAGATAGAAGGGAGACTCGATCTCTTTTCTTATGCCATCGGTCTAGAAACCCAAGAGCCAGAATGCTAACGTTGATGGATGCATGGTAGTGCATCAAAAGAACCTCAGCTGAAGGTACGCTCAGCTCAAGATGAGCGATGAGGGAAGTATACATCCCAAATAGGCAATCGGAGCGAGGCCGATGACAGCCCTAAGCCCGATCTGGCCGATCCAAGCACTTGGCCAGGCTTCCATTGCTGCCTGAGGGATGCAACATTCCCGACATAGAGTTTGCACATTCCCAAGGATAGCGCAACCGTCGGAACCAGTGATGAGCATTCAACAACACATCTATGAGATACAGACAAGTAACACCCCATTATAACCAGGAAGTAAGAAAAGCCCGAACGAGCGTCGAATGCACTGACAGACAGGCTACCAATCTCATATAGGCCTGGCCATCAGCTGATCCTGGCTTCCCGGGCGGCAATGACGTATGCGGAACGGGACGAGGGAAGCAGTGACGTAGGCGTCCACCACTCCATAAAGTTGTAGATCCCGGGCGAGGGGAAGGGGGAGACAGCTGTCAGACCTTCTTTTTCTTTCTGCTTGTCATCTAATCAATACTCGTTGTGGGGGAGATAGGATATCTACTTACCGGTTTACTGTTTTTCACAATAACGACAACGACAACACGGGTTCATCCCAATGACAATGGCTTCGATATCGATCCACGCGCCCGGTGCATCCGGATTTATCTACAACAATGCCAACCTGGGCACTTCGCGCGTATGCATCACGGCTGAGACCCCGGATTTCGACAACCAGACCCTTCGCGCATGGTCGGATGAGGGCTTTGATGTCGTGTATGTACCATTTAACAACGGCGGGAAGGAGTATGCTGCTCGATTGAGGACGGTGAAGGATGGGCTGGGGGTGGGAGACAACTATGCAATCATCGGTGAGTTTCGTTGATATCCGGCTGATATTGAGCTCACGTTAACGCCCGCTCTACGGATTAGCATTCGGGGACGCTGCCTCTTTTTGCATGGACTACTTCCTGAAGCCCACAAACGCAAGTCGCCTGGCCGCGCTGGTCGCTTACTACCCGACCACCATCCCCGACACCCGCAACCGCTACTCCATCTCACTGCGCGTGCTCTGCCACCTAGCCGGAGACACCGTGGACGTAGTCACGATCCCCACGGCGCTGGGTCTGCAGGGGAAGAAGCACCGATCAACGAAGAAGATCAACCCGGGGATTGGCACGGGCGAGCGGCTGAACATCGGCTGGCCGACGTTCACGTACGCGTCCGTGCAGCCCGGCTTCGCGGAGAGTGATCTGGAGGAATACGACCGGCTGGCGTCGGATCTAGCCTGGAGCCGGACGCTGCAGGTGTTGCGCAAGGCGTTCGGGAAGGATCTCGACCTGGAGTCGCGATGGGAGGAGCATCTGGAAGGTACGTAGTAAACCCGAACTCGGAGAAACACTCGACCTGGTACTGACGCTACTGTGGCTGTTCAGCTCGCTTCTTCTCCATGAACCTCAAAGCAACCGTGGAGCCTTACGTATCCCACCTCAACCCCACTGTAACCTGCACCCCCACGATGAGCGGCGCGATCGGATCTCACGCCCTTCGTCGGTTCTACGAGCATCACTTCCTGCGCAAGCTGCCGCCTTCGATGCGGCTGCGCCTCATTTCCCGGACGGTGGGCGCGGACCGCGTCGTGGATGAGCTCTACGCGTCGTTCGAGCACACGGAGGAGATCCCGTGGATGCTGCCGGGTATTCCCCCGACGAACAAACGTGTCGAGGTGATTCTGGTGAGCATCGTCAGCTTGCGCGCGGGGAGATTGTACTCGGAGCACATGTACTGGGACCAAGCCAGTGTGCTGGTGCAGCTGGGACTGCTGGATCCGAAGTACGTGCCCTCGGGTGCGGCGCCGGGCGTGGATAGACTGCCCGTGGTGGGACGCGAGGCCGCCCGACGGATCGTGGAAGAGGACCCGGAGTCTGAGAAGAAGGACTACCACAACCGGTTGATCCGTCGAGCCCGTGCTAAGCAGAAGGGCAAGCACGGAGTGGTGGAGGAGTCAGGAACGGAGGCGGGCGATGTCGAAAAGCCCCTGGGCGATGGGGATGGAAAGGGCAAGAACGTGCAGCGCACCGGAGACGAACAGAATGGCCATGACGGGGAGGAGCATGACGGCGCAGTGGGTGACGAGCACGAGGACGAAGAGAAGCCTGAAGCAAATGGTCAGAATGGAGCCAACGGGGCCAGCAAGAACCCTGCCGCTGCCACTGTCGAGGATGAGCCTAAAAGTGACGACTAAAGTCCAGTTCTCTGGCATCTTCTATACCCTGAACATTTGCATTCTGTATCTCATGCTTTTGAACTTTTTTCTAATCCCAGACTGTTCCAGATGACCGACTTGCACTTTCTTGCCTCTCACTCATATCATGATTCTACCAGTTATTATGATCCTAGTACCTTTTTTTTTTTTTGCAATAGTCAGTGGCCTATCGGAGTAAATAGGGATAATATCATCATTCACAAAGTGCCTGGTGTCCTGCAAAGACTCGAGTACCATCCTGCTTTTGCGGGGCCAAGCTCAACCACATCCAGTAGTAAGTCAGGACACAAAATGTATGCCTTGCTATATTCATTGCTCATATCCATTCATAATCTACAGTACAATGTTTGAATCAAACTAAACCGTCTCAATGTACCGCTTGAACTCCCTACACAGTCAGTCAGTTGGGGAAACACCTCAAAACAGCCAGGAAAGTAGACTCACCAGTCCGTGACAGCCTCTCTCCACACGCGCAACTCGTGCTCTCTCGTGGCCGTGAAGAACTCCACAAACTCCGGATCCAGGATCTCACGGGCAATGCTGCCCGGTGCATTGAACCGCCGCAGCGCCTCCTCCAGCGTATTAGGCAGCAGCTCGGGCTTCCGGTTGTCCGACTTCATCGCCGACACGGGCGGGACCGAGATCTCCAGTTTTTGTTGTACGCCCCGCCAGCCGGCGGCCAGGATCGCGGCGAGTGCGTAGTGCGGGTGCAGGTCCGCGCCGGGGATGCGGACCTCGAAGCGCGTCGCGCCCGGCTTGCACACGGGCGGCGTGATGATGCGAATCGAAGCCATGCGGTCCTCCAGCCCCCAGCTGATGTTGACGGGGGCCCAGAAGTTCTCCACCAGGCGCTTGTAGGAGTTGATTGTGGGGGCGAATAGCGGCATGATATCAGGCAGGGCCTCAAGTAGTCCCGCCAGGAATTGGCGACCTAGGTCGGACAGTCCGGCTGCGTCGGCCCAGGGGGCGTTTGTGTCGGGGGTCTCACGTGCGAACAGGTTCTTGCCCTCCAGATCGCATAAGGAAACGTGGATGTGGCCAGAGCTGCCCGGTTGGCCTTGCATCGGCTTGGCCATAAAGCAAGGCGTGATGCCATGTTCGAGGCCGACTGATTTGGCGAGAAGTCTGATCGGTCAGCTTGGGGTGTGCAGTATTGAATCGAACGAAGCGAGCTTACTTGAATAAGGACACTTTGTCTGCCATTTCGTCCACCGGGGATACTTTGAGCGCCTGGTGGGGGTGAGCTTCTGCGATGGTCTTCGCGGGCAGAGTGAACTCACTGCTTCGTATACACCCGGCCCGCCTTCCGTGTGCCAACCCTCGATTCCACAGTTGAACTGCGCACTAGTGTCGAAGATGTCGTAGAAGTATTTCTTGTATGCCACGGGTCTCGTTGCGCTGTAGGAAAAGCTGCCCTGCGTCAAGGGGCGCAGTGCACTGGGCGCATTCTTGTCGAGGAAAGCGGCAAGGTCGCGGAGGTGGGAGCCATTGGCTCCATAGCCGTCTTCGGAGGGGGTTTGGAAGTTCATGAACTCTAGCTCGACTGCAGGGGGGTTAGCTCGACCTCAATCAACCAGCGAGCACAAAAAAGCCTACCTCCAGCCATCGCCTGGCAGTTTTCCGCTGCAAGTTTGTCGCAGATCGACCTGAGCAAGCTCCGGCCATCTGCCGACACAGGTCTGTCATTCTGAGTAAAGCGCACGAGGAAGAACGGGATGTTGTCCTCCCACGGTATGCGACGAAAGGAATTCAGGTCTGGGATGGCAATGAAGTCGACGTAGCCCGAATCAGCGGGCGCAATCTTTGCATCTGTCGTGTAGAGTACGTCCTGCATGTCCCACCCGAACACCGCGGAGCTGAATCCGAATCCCTTCTGAGCGATACCCAGGAACTTCTCTTTGGACATGACCTTTCCCCGCAGGATACCATCGCAGTCAATACCGGCCACTTTGACTTTGATGTCATTGGCAAGGGTTTCAGTGAGGTCCTCCGCGGTGATATTGGCGGAAGTCATTTTGACAAGCATGTTCGATTGTGAGTCGCAAAGGTGTGGAAAGTGCTAGATGAGGGGAAGGAAAGGCGAGGCCAGCACTTTAAAACAGAAGGCAGTAGCCTCGTCGTGACCGGGCAAGTCCACGGAACCGCGCTTATCTCTTATCGGCCACGGCTATGAGGTCATTGTCCTTGTTCACGTAATCAACTGATATGCATTTGTGTAATATGCTGAACTTACCTGCTGCCAGAGGCCAAAACTAAGGATCCCTGAACGGACTCACATTAACCGCGGCTGATAGCATAGTTATATGACGCTCATCCCGCCTCATACAGGATCAGGATGATGGCATTACCCTCTGGTGCACTAGTTATAATTAGTTTCAACACCAACAACACCAACAACTATGATAACCCAACTTCTTCGTGTGGCGGTCCTTGAATGCGACACGCCCGTGGACCCCGTTCTCTCCAAATATGGCACGTACGGTGATATTTTCGAGAATCATTTGAAGGAAGGACTTCAGAGAATTGAAGCTCCTATAAAACTGCAGTTGACGAAGATCAATGTTGTGCAGCCAGTTGTCGAGTATCCCAGGCCCGAGGCTTTCGACGTCGTCCTCTTGACCGGCAGCAGTAAGGCTTCGGCAGATTCCTCTCCCACAGAATGAGGCTGACCTTGCTTAGAGCACGACTCCTACAAAGATGTGCCGTGGATTCTTACTTTAGTGCGGTTCGTTCAGGATTGCTATACCTCACACAACAAACGCATGATTGGGATCTGCTTCGGCCACCAGATCATTGCGCGGGCTCTCGGGGCACGCGTCGGCCCCAACATTTCTGGGTGGGAGGTTGCAGTTGAGCCATTCTACCTGACCAGTGCAGGGCGACAGCTGTTCGGGACGAATGAACTTGTATGTGGACTAAGCCACGATGCACACCGAAGAGCTAACAGTCCCTAGTCCCTGCAGATGATGCACCGCGACGTTGTCTTCGAGGTCCCCCCGGGGTGTGTGAACCTAGGCAGCAGTCTGATATGTGGTATTCAAGGCCTATACATCCCGGGAAAAATTCTTACGGTCCAGGGCCATCCCGAATACAATGATTTCATGGTCAGCTCGATTCTCAAGATACGCCACGAAGGAGGTACTTTTGATGATAGCCTCTACAAGGATGGCATGTCACGGGTGAACAGGCCGCATAATGGGGTGTTTGTTGCAGAGACGATGACACGATTTGCTCTGGAGATGTTAGAATGAGATGAACACCGTAGTTCATTTAAATTACTTATTATTCCATTGTATTCTTCCCCCCACTTCCGCCCCACCGCCAACCAGACGGGACCGCGCACCCCATCAATAGCGCCCACCAATCACAGGCATGCCCACTTTGCCCCTCCTGGCCACCTCTTATCGTCCGAGGGCCGATTATAACAACTCCACTGAATCCCGGCGTCTACGTCAACTTATCCCAAACCACCTTAACCTTCAATTAACTGAATTGTTGCTCTGTACAGGTCCAGGCACAATCCAGCTACACCCTCATAATGCCGAACGAGATCCGCACCCTCTCCCCCACGACCAACAAGGTCATCTTCGAGCACCCAGGTATTTCTGTCGATGAAGCTCGGAAAGTCGTGCAAGCTTCCCACGATGCCTTCCGATCATGGAGGAAGACGACTCTCGCCGAACGGAAAGAAACCGTTCTGAAAGCGCTGGATCTTATCATGGCAGACCGAGACACTCTGGCCGCCGAGCTGACGACTCAAATGGGCCGCCCGATCGCCTACACGGGCAAGGAAATCGATACCATGCGCAAGCGTGCCGATTACTTGCTCGACATTGCCGAAGATAGCCTGAAGAACCTCCCTGGAACTCCCGAGAGCGGCTTCCGCCGATTCGTCAAGAAAGAGCCTTTTGGCCCTACTCTGATTTCGACTGCATGGAATGTACGAAACCCCGCCTCTCTACCCCCCTACCCGCACCAGATTTAGTGGCAAATTTAGGGTTGTAGATGCTGACCAGAAATTTTGTTTGTTGTAGTACCCCTACCTTATCACAGTCAACGCACTCCTCCCGGCCCTGCTCAGCGGAAATACCGTCATCCTTCGTCCGTCGCCGCAGACGCCCATTTTCGGTGAACGTCTCGCTTCCTACTTCACGAAAGCCGGTCTCCCGACCAACGTCTTCCAGGTCATCCACTGCGGTTCGCCCGATGTGCTGGACGAGATTGCGCAACTGCCCCCGATCCAGCTGGTCTGCTTCGTCGGGTCGACCCTCGGTGGGCTCCGCCTGCGCGAAGCCACCGCTCGCCGCCTGGTGCCGGTGAACCTGGAGCTGGGCGGCAACGACCCGGCGTACGTGCGACCGGACGCCGATTTGGCCTCCGTGGCGGCCAACGTGGTCGACGGAGCGGTGTTCAACTCGGGCCAGAGCTGCTGCGCGATTGAGAGGGTATACGTGCACGCGGACGTGCACGATGCGTTCGTAGAGGAGGTGAAGAAGGAGCTGGCAGGGTAAGCCTCCCATGATTCCGTGGCTGCCGTCCACTGTGATCTTGGTCGATGATTGCTAACACTGCCTACCGCGCAACAGGTACAAGGTTGGCGACCCCCACGACAAATCCACGACCACCGGGCCCGTGATCTCCTCGCTGGCCCTCAAGAACATCCAGTCGCACATCACGGACGCGCTGTCCAAAGGCGCCGTCAACGTCACGCCGGCGAACCCCACCTTCGACAACCTGCCGCAGGAGGGCAACTTCATGGCCCCGACGGTGCTGATCAACGCCAACCACGACATGCAGGTCATGAAGCACGAGACTTTCGGACCGGTCCTCCCAATCATGAAGGTCTCGTCCGACGAGGAGGCGGTGGTGCTAATGAATGATAGCGACTACGGTCTGACGGCGAGCATCTGGACCAGGGACATCAAGAAGGGCGAGGAGTTGATCGAGGATGTCGAGGCTGGCACGGTGTATCTGAACCGTTGCGATTATCCTAGTCCGGTATGTTCTTTGTCCCCGGTGGAAGTAGACTGGTATACTAATACTGATACTATGTACAGGATCTGGCATGGATAGGATGGAAGAACTCGGGACTGGGCCACACGCTGGGCCCCAAGGCTTACGACGGGTTCTACAAGTTGAAGAGCTTCCACATCAAGGAAGAGCAGGCTTGAAGTAGCTCTTAGTTCGATGATATGATTATGATCGATGTTGCTTGAGAAGATGGAATTATACCACGAAGTGCACACTGGACACACCGCAAACTATTCCCCCATAATCTGTAGCTAGCTCCTGTGCACCTTGAAGCCACTTCTGAGTCGTAACCCAATGCCTCCATCACAAGCCAGTGTCCGAACAAACATACACTGCACACCAACGAACCCCACCAAGGGGTAGCAGAATAGCAACACCATCTTCAAACTCCCGGCCTCCATCCCAGAAACCCAAAACAAACCTAACAAAGCAACAACCGCACCAACCCCGGAATCCAGCGAAAACGATATGGCACGACCAAGCGCGGTCCCGGACCGCGCCCCCTCGAAAAGCACAGACCCATCCTTATCGCGCTTATCAGGCGAGCACCCGACCTCGGGCTGACGCACAGTGCAAGGATACCCCTCCCTCGACCACGCGCGGAGCAATGGGAATCAAGCAAGCGATAAGCTATCAACTTACAACATGGCTCAGGGATCGAGGTCGCCCCTTACATGCAATGTAGCGTAGTGCGGCAGGAATCAAGGCATACAATGCGACCGCAATTCCTCCGATTAGAAAACACGTGTCCAGGGAAGCGCGGTCACCAGGCGGTGAAGGTGGGGGGGAGGGGAGGATTGGTGGGGAAGCTTGGAGGTTACTTAGGTAAGGGTAGCTTCGCAAGGAGGCGGAGGGTACGGTTATTAAAGGCGGGTGTACCCTTTTCGCTTCTGATTCTCCTTCGACACTCTATCGTTTAGCTCACTCTTTAGATTATCCCTCGTTCCAAGTGGGAGAAGCTAGGCTAAGGCTTGCAATTCACGCACACACACCGAAAAAAGAACCAGTCACACGACACAATGGTCGGACGCCTTGCTGGGAAGAATGCGATCGTGACGGGCGCTGCAGGGTATGTGATTGCTCCTACTTTTTCCTTCAATCCTTGGGGGAAATGCAAGCTGGGCATCGGTTGAGAAAGGTACAAGGCTAATGTTTTGGATTTTCGACGTGTTTATAGTGGCATCGGCCTCGAAACCACCATCCTTATGCTCCGCGAGGGCGCCTCCGTCCTGATGACTGACGTCAGCAGCCCCGGGCTCGAGAAGGCCCTGGCCAAGGTCCGCGAGGTCGTGCCCAGCCACGACGGCCGCGTCGAGACCCGCACCGTCGACGTCTCCAAGGAAGCCGACGTCGAAGCCGCCGTCGACCACCTCGACGCCTGGGGCGGCGTGGACGTCATGTTCAACAACGCCGGCATCATGCACGCGCAGGACGGCGACGCCGAGCAGACACCCGAAAATATTTGGGATCTGACCATGAATATCAACGTCAAGGGAGTGTGGTTCGGCTGCAAGCATGCTGTCAAGAGTCTGCGCAAGCACGGCAAGAAGAAGGGCAGTGTCATCAACACGGCCAGTATGGTGGCGCTCGTGGGTGCCGCGACGCCGCAGTTGGCCTATACGGCGAGTAAGGGTGCGGTTTTGGCGATGACGCGCGAGTTGGCGATCGTGCATGCTAGAGAAGGTATGTTGTTCCGGCAGTGGTGGTTGGGTTGGTCTGGGAATCCGTGATGGACTGATTGACTGTGATTGCAGGCTTTCGCTTTAACTCGCTGTGTCCCGCTCCGTTGAAGTAAGTTCCAGCTTCCGTCTTGCCTTGATTTGTGAGGGGAATCTGACTAACGAGTGATATAGCACCCCCTTGTTGCAGGATTGGCTCGGCGATGATAAGGAGAAGCGCTTCCGTCGTGAGGTCCACTTCCCCACCGGTCGCTTCGGTGAGGCCATCGAACAGGCTCACGCTGTCATCTTCCTGGCCAGCGATGAGAGCAGCTTCGTCAACGCCGCCGACTTTGTGGTTGATGGTGGTCTGACCAAGGCCTATGTCACCCCCGAGGGTCCCGCCACCGAGGCGCCCAAGAACCAGGGTTCCTAAGAACGAGGCCAGCTTGCACTTCCGAGCTGGTCTTGCGGGGAGGATGCTGCGATGATTCATGACTAGTGTGTATAATTAGACTGAGCCGTGGACGGTTGGTTCCTTAAGCAAACGATATCCAGATTTGATTTTGCTCCATCGCTCGGCAGATGTTCCAGGGCCCCGCCTCCTCGAGCGGCATCTGCCACATGTGTTCAAGTAGTAACTTCGTACGGTGCATATTCCCGAGCCCGAACGTAGCCACCATCGTAGTCAGCCGCTGGCGGAGATTCTCCTGCTGATCGGAGTCGGTCAGACACGACCCAACCACAGCAATGGGCCAGCAGAGGCCGGAGTTGATCCGCGCAGTCGCCGACAGCTGCGTGAGATACGACATCGCCTCGGTCATCGCCGTCTCGATCAGCATCTGATGCATGCCAGTCTTCGAGCGCGAGTACCCGCTCAATGAGGTGTAGAGGTACAGAAGCATCGCCTGCCGGAAGATGTGACCCGCCATGAACACCTCCGGGGTGACGGTGGGGTACGGCGCCCAGCGCATGATCTGGGCCTGCAGTGAGCCATACATGGCGATCTCATCCGCGGTCGGCACGACCGGCTGGCCTTCGTGCATCATCCAGCCCCGCCCGAGGTCGAAGATACACGGGATCAGCAGCAGCAGTTCCAGCCAGCAGCCGCAGAGATTCCCCACATACCCCGTCTCCAGCAGCTGACGCGCCTTCTGCTCCAGATCGAAATTGAGCAGCACCTGGTGGCTGACCCGGGCGTCGATGGAGATCATGCTCACGGCCGCCGTGTACGTGTAGTACTCAATCACAAAGTCCTTGAGATCCTTCGGCACGGCCGCATCCGACTGCGCAAGTAACCGTATCAACAGCGAGTGCGCGGCGGACAGGTGGTCGAAGATCGTACCGTTCATATCGCCCTTTGCCGTCTGTACCGGAGGTCAATACCGGAGCAACCAGGACCACATGGAGGGGGCGGACCTACCTCTGTAAAACACATCACCAACGCCCCAACCGTCAGAATCAGCGGGTTCGATTCCATCCCATCGATGAAGTCCGTCACACCTCGCCGAAACAGCTGCAGCGCTTTCGTGTAATGGCTCTGCGCCACCTCGTCCGAGTCATTCAGGCGCCGGAATGCCCGGTGCGCGGCACTTTGCGTCAGCACCAGCTGGAGCAGCAGGTCGCTGCTGAACGCCAGCGGCACGATCTGCACCAAGAACGGATTGATGGGCGTCGACCCGTTGGCCATGCATTCGGCGGTCGTGGCCATGTAGTGGCTCAAGAGCTGGTATGCGTCGAGGCCGTGACCGGGCATCATGGACAATGGCCTGGATAAGGCGTTGCCTATGGTCATTGCGGTGGCTGTAGTGTTTGGCTCTGTTGTTTGGTTTTCTGCTGTGTCTGTCGAGGTGGATTGCGAGGCGACGGCGGTGCGAGCCGGTGTGGTGTGGATGTCGCGCTCGTCCACCAGATCCATATCGCGCGGGTTCTCGTCCTGAGACGAGGCAGAATCAGGGGATGTGGACGCTGGCGATGCCGCAGGAGAGCTGGCCGGTCCATGCTGTCTCCTGGAGACCTGCTCTACATGCCGTGTGTGGCTGTCTGTACAGAGGGTAATAGTCGCTGGACTGGCGACTCGGAGCACACTCGATGGCCATTGGCACGTAAGCTTGTTGCGCACGCAGCCCCCGCAGACGGGCTTCGCTTCGTCGCACTTCTTCTTACGGCGTCGGCATGCCCAGCATCCGGTTCTGACCCGTACGATGGGCTCGGTGCGCAGCCGCTTCGTGGACGGCATTAGGGTGGTTTGGCGCAGTACCCCAGGAAGGTAGCGCGAGTAAGGAGGTGTCAGTGATTAGCGATTGCTTTGTCCGGAGAAAGGTGATGGGGAACTGAGAGTAGCGGAAGTTGTGATAAGACGAGAGTGTGGGGGGAAGGTGAAGTTGGATGTGATGATTGGCCAGATGGGCCAAGACCGGGTGGGGATTCTCGGCTCGAGGGTTCAATGGATTTAATTGCATTCGGTAGGTATTGATTATGGACATTCAAACAAGTATATACACAAGTTCAGAGGTGTGATATGGGAAAGAACTCGAATCTTAGTCTACCATCCTGTCGCTCTCGGCCAGACATCGATAATCTTGGATCCATCGCCATCCTGGCTGGAATCCACAATCAGATACCATCCATACAGAGCACCAGTGATGCAAGCATGGTTGGGGAAGATTTTCACGGACTGGCCGATCTTGAGGGGAATCTTCGATTCGCCATCATTTTCCCAGGTGATAATCCCATGCTCCTGACTGATGCGTTGCACGATCAGTCGGGAAGCGCCCGCTTTCCTTCTCCAGGTGCTAATGATGCCCCAACCAGAATAAGTCGCACTCGGCTCTCTACCCAGAGCCAAAGTGCCTGCAGCCACTAGCGCTTCAGATTTCAATCGCTCTCCATCGTTGTACACACTGCACACTTCAGCAATCACAGATATGCCGATCTCATTCTCAGCGTCTTGCGTCTTGTGAACATTAGTCCCCAGTTGCTGCATGTCGAGGAACGGATAGACACCCGCATGAAGCTCGATCTTGACCTTCGCGTTGACATCGTGAGCCGGATCGACGATTAAGGTCTTCAGGGCTTCTGCTCCCGAGCTAAGAGAGTTCTGCAGAAGATGCTGCGACGATACCACCTGAGGCGTCGCTCCCACACTGATGACCAACTCCCTGTCCGTGGGGAGAAGATGGAGGTTTTTCTTCAAGGCTTCCTTGCAGCCGGAAATCTCCTCGTTCAGATAAGACATGAGCTCCTCCGGGGTAGTTCCTGAGTAGCTCGAGCTGTTGTGGGAGTACAGTCCCAGAAGCGACGCGTGCCCCTGCTTTTCCGCTGCAGTGACCTTCTCAAGCAGCCCATTCTTGTTGAGCATGTTCGGCGGAAGCCCGGCTCGGTGGTACCCCGAGTCGACCTTCAAGAAAACACAGGCTGCAAGTCCGGCGACCTCATGAAAGGCTTCCAGCAAGTCGACTTGATCCGGATGGTCAATCATGACCGAGATGCTTTTTTCGCCCAGGTGGCGGGCTACCGAGGCTAGACGGGTGACCTGCGACGGCACGAGGGGGATGCCATAGAGAACATTGACAGAGCGTCCAGCGCTTTGGAATTCCTTGAGAAGTGGTACGAGAATCTCAGCCTCTAGGACCGTGGAGACCACCAGGTTAACTTCCTGGCTCTCTTCTCCCACCTGCAGGCGGGTGGCTTGTGGTGTCTCGGAGATGTCGATCAGCCTGATGTCAAAGTTATGGGGACGATGCATTTACTTTATGGGTCTTGATGTGGGCTCGGAATCCGACATTCAGCGCCTTGGCTGCGTCCAGCATGGCTTGACAGTGTCTTTTTATGATAGCGACATCGAGAATGACTGCCGGCTTAGGCACGTCATTGACGTCCTTGCCGACATAGAATTGCTTGAGATCCTCACTGGAGGGGAGCGGTCTTGCTGGAAAGGGATTGGAGTCCATGTTGACTTGGTTCTGTGGGGGGGATTTGGAAAGATTCAAGAAGACAAGTCAAGTCTCAATGGTTCTCTGGCGTTATATAGCTGGAAGCTCAGCCCAGTACGCGGTCCGGTCACTCTCGCTCTCGTGCACTCAATCGGGTAAGTGGGTCAAACCGCGGGCGCTGAGCAGTGCGTAGCCTGGCAGCCTAAGCTAATCACTTGAGTCCAGCGCGTAAGCGCGGGGTCCTCCAGGTGCTAGGTAGGTATTTTCTTTCTGCAACCTTCATACATGAGTACTATCAATAAGTTCAAATTCTCTTTACTGATTAGTTCTTCAAAGTCGTGGTGTTGTATTGTCAGGTGACTTGTAAATATATATTGCCAGGGCTTACCGCCTGTCGACGGTCGCAGCGACCCCCGTCTCGGATCTTCTTCTACTCCTCGCCAGTTCACTGTTTCAGGCAAAGTTCTATCGATTTCGGCAAGTGAGCTTGTTTCCCATTTCTTCAGGCCCAATTATGGATACGAAATGAGCTAGAAAGCCACCATCGACCGAGATAATGCCAAGAACCTGAAAGACAGATGTACAAACCAGCACCGCCCCGGCCGAAGAAAACCAGCATAGTCCGCTCGCGTACGGGCTGTAAGCTATGTCGCCATCGACGTGTCAAGGTCTATATCCACGCCAACTGTATTGTCCAGATATTACTGACATCTCTAGTGCGATGAAACAAAGCCATCATGCGGGGCGTGTACCCGTGCAGGCAAAGCTTGCGAACAAGTTTCGCGAAACTTCGAGTTCAGCAATCGTACTCTCACCAAAGCTGAATCAGCACCAAGGCCTCTTCAGCGTGTTCGATGGCAGCCATTTTACAAGTCTGGATCTCTATCCAATGCCGAGGGGCACAGAACAAGCGGGCCGTACAATGACTCGAAAACGGAGGACCGATTTAGCGTTCACAAATTGCAAGATCAGGAATCTTCTCGTAAGGCTGTTGGTTTAATCGCCGGACCCGTCACACCAGATGATCTGCAGTATATCGACAGACTTATTGACATCCGAAGCTTCGAAAAAGAGCAATGTTATCTGGTACATTGGGAAGGCTTATGTATTGGTGCTCTAGATCGACTCTTTTGTGGCATTAATGCCCTCTCTCCCCAAGATCATGCCTTGAATAGCTCTCTGCTTGCACTGGCAGCTTGCAACATGAGTCGACGTTCGCCTGAAGGCTACATATGGCAAGGCAGACTAGAATATGTTCCTCATCGTGATCATCAACTATCTAGCCAGCGATACTATAGTTCTGCGGTCGGCGAAACCGCCAGAGCCCTCCGGAGAAAGGTTTCTTCGTCACCATTGGTGACACTAGCTACTCTGGTACTATTTTGCTTCATGGAGACTGCCATGGGAAATTTCCGAGGATTCGGGTGGCATTGTCGGGGGATTGCCCAGATCATCGACATGCAGCTTCCCCCACTTGCTAACGATGCACTTGGCAAAGAGCTTATTGTTGCATGGCTTGCATCGAGACTCCACATGTGGTGGCGCAGAATGTACTTCACCTCGTTCTCGCTTCAGCTCCACCAGGGTTCGCTTTTGATATCGCCACAGTTGATGCACGTACTGCGGACAACACAGGGTCAAAAGACGCTGCTCACAACAATTCTTTGTGAGTCACATAGGCTAAACACCATCGCCACGCTTCAAGACTTGTCCGATAGCCATGCACGGGACTCTGCCGCTTTGACTCTTGATGAATGCTTGTTGCTATTGGAGGCAGAAAGAAGAAAGCTGGATGAGTGGCATTCTCACTTTGGTGCTGATCAGCCTCCTTCTGACGCATTGAACCAATCAGCTGAGTGCAACTCTTCTGAGTTTATACACCCACTCTTCTTTAAGACCCACGATGCCGCCATGAACTATGCGTACTATGTTGCAGCACGGATTTTGCAATGCACAGAATGGCTACATCACGAATATGACTCCAGCAAGGGTCAACAAGCTCAGCTAGCGAAAGACATCAGCGTCACTACATCCTGGGTGACTCGTCTTCTCCGTACCGTGGTAGGCTTGGATATATTTGAGTGTGCTAGACGAAATTCCTACTCGATTGGGATCGCGAGCTTACTTCTGGCTTGTGTCCTAAAGTGTGATGATTTGAAATCCGGAACACAGGCGCAGCATTGGCTACAGAAATGCGTTGATCTAGCAATCCTCGAAGAGGGAAGCTTTCCAATTGCGCAGACATTGGAGGTTGTTCGTATTATTAACGAAGAACGTGCGGCAGGAAGAGACGTCTATGCGATTGGTCTGCCTGAGGATGACGGTGGTGGATCGGGAAAATACTCGTCTTACAATAGCCAACGGTTCCGGGACTTTGTCATTCTAGGGCGAGTAAGGGAGGATGATTCTGTCTTCTCCGAGCAAGTCAGCATGGATGGGCGGAAACCAGGACTAACGACATGATTCCAATCACATGAATTCTAACCACTCGCTGTGAGGTGCTGTGTGTTCCAGACCCCATTACCGGAGAAAGTCTCCAACTCGTCAACAAAATCATCCCATAATATGTCGGACGACATAGGAGCAGTGCAATACGACTGTGCTCCCGCTCTCTCCACCAACTCTTCGAGTTTTGGCAGAACTGCATCTGCCGCTTGAGACTCCATCTCCTGTTGCTGCTTTCGGCTGAGACCTCCCTGCTCAGTAAACCAAGCGGAATTCTCCTTGATAACTCCAGCTTGGTATAGGCCCCGCAGTTTGGAATCGATATCAACGTCGATGGCGGCTTCCATCGCCATACGATACCCTATAGCCTGGATCAGCGGCAAGGCAAGGGGGAGGATGGTTCGGTTGAACGCCTCGCTCCGATGGATTCCGCCAATAAGTTTTAGCGACGCTTTCGCTTCTGCGAATAAGCCTGCTTCATGCTGCGCTAAAAGACTGTCGGGGTATTTTGGGGGTGGAACCTGATAGCGGCCAATCAGAAGCTCGCTTGCGAGACCTGTTTCGAGTTGAAATCGGTTAAGAGCGATTCTTGACGGAGATAACAAGGAGGTGAACTCACGAATAGCAAGGACTCTGATATCGCCCTCAGCTGTTCCCACTGCACGAAACTCAAGCTGGAGAAGCGCGGTCAGAATGTGTCATTTTTGTTGAATACTGAGGAGCGACCTACTTCGGCTTGGAGTATCTGGTTACGCTCATAGTATCCATGCCAGCCGCAACCTTCGTTCAGAGCTTTTATGCTTGTCTGAAAATTCTGGATAGCAACTGCTTTGAACGCTGTTGCAATGGCATGACGAACTCGCGGATCTGCCTTCGGGTCGCGAAATCCCATTGCAGCCTGAATCAAAAACGCCTGGAGAACATAGACTCGTGCAATGGCGTGAAGGATGGGAAGGTGCTGAGTGCGAAACCGGATAACAGGCATTGGCTGTCCATCGTGGCCCAGGATTTTTCGTCGGAAGCTGAATTTGCTGGCGTTGTAAATGGCCATTTTGAGGAGCGGAATGCACCCACTCGACAGGAAAAGTGTCCCTGCAGACACGCGATGAATGGTCTTAAGGAATTCGTCGCGTTCATTGCGTGGCTTTTCGAGACTACCCAGCAGAGCGGAAAATGGCAGCTGCACACGGTTGAAGTATGTCAAAGCATGGTCGATCGGTTGAGCGCCCGTCCGAGGGGGAAGTGCCCTGCGCGGCCATCGGCGTGAGCCTTCAGGGAGGCATGGAGATGGATGATTGCGGTACGTACTTTGAGGTGACACCCGTGCACATCTGGGTCCCGTCTGTCAGCGGAACAAGAAACGCTCTAACACCTCGATCCTCTCCTTCGACGATGAGTCGGGCTATGACAACCGCAAGGGTGGGAAGGCCACTACGAGGTGTTGTCGGTGGCATGCATCTGCGATCGCAAGGTCTCAATATCAACTTGGAAAAGAATTGCTCCGGAAAACTTACTTAGCAGCAGCCATTGTCGGCGTGTGCAGCTCAAACCCGCCTTCTGGCAGAAGTGTCGCCGTTGTCTCGAGGTTTCGCGCATCCAATCCATGCCCGACCTCGGTAAGCATGAATTGTGCGCTAAATGACTGATAAGTCGAAATCTTCAATGATAAAGGAAGGACGGGGGTGGAGAACGCACGAGATATCGAACTCCATCGCCTGTTGCAAGGTCAATGCCAAGTCCGGCCTTGTAACAGCAAAAGGAGCGACTGTGCCAACGAAAAGATTGTACTGGATGCTGATCAAGGTGATTGCACCACCGTCCAGAGCACCGAGCATGTCGGTGTGTAACCTCCAGAAATCCGGGGTCAAGTACGCCACATCCTTCACAGTCAGCCCTATTTCCATGGGTCAGTCTCACCCAACGCAATGGGTGGGATAGGAAGGTAGTACTGTGTGCTTTCGCCAAAGCCCTTGCTCTTTGATATGTGAGCCGCGTCCGTTCCTCGAGAGTCAAAGAGGATGAAGCAGGACTCATTAGGTCCGACTGCGCCAGTCCCAGACTCGGGGAAGGCTGATGCCATATCTGATCGTAGAGTGCACGGCACTCGGACTCCGCAGAAATGAGGTCTGATTTCGGTACCGGCATGGTATTGAAGCTTTTTCTTCAACTAAGAGTGAGGGCTTCCATCTGAGGGACCATCGCGGCGAAGTGCATGTTTTATAGACACTTGCAAGTCGGACCCAGGTTCAGACCGGTTGTCTCCGGATTTTCAGCAGCTGAGCCCAAAAATTCTGGTGGGGAACTAATCTCATAATAGGGTTAGGCAGCGGAGGGATGGGGTGAGCAGCCAAAAGCCTGGCCATGATAGCCGACGCCCTCTCTTCGGAATACGAACAAAACTGCCGCTCGAGGCGTTCGCCAAGCCATACTTTGCGCCACATTAGGATTTTCCAGCTGAAAATGTGGCGGCCTCGCTATTGCCGGCTAGCCGCCATAACATAATTGCTTCTTTCCTAAAGAAAAAATAGCCGAGCTTTCAATCAGGTAGCCTTTATGTACGTGCCCAAGTGCACCTCTCAGCATCTCTCCCGACCATGTCCTCTTATACTTACCCAACAAGCACCTCCCTGAGCACCACTCCGAGCATTTCTTGCGGTATTTGCCGCGGACATATGTCTACCTAGACTTTCAGTTAATATTCCGACTGAGAGTAGTCGCAAGCAAGGGGGTTGAGGCCCATCAGTCTCTCAACCCGAGGGTTGAAAAAGGTTTATCAGATAAGAAACATCATAGCATACGCACATCTAATCTTACTGTTAATAGATGCTAAATGCCATGCTCTCTCTGTGGCTCCCTTCACTAGGATTTACAGTGGCGGACCACTGGATTACCCTTGTGAGCAGCATCTTATTCTGCTATGTTAGTGGCTCCTCCGATTGGCTTCTGTTGGCCAGTCAGTACTAGATTCTGACGCCCAGGGACAGACAGTGGGCTGGATTCTGTACCACCTCTACTTCAGTCCTTTGGCTGGATATCCAGGACCATTCCTTGCGCGCATATCGTCCATCCCAGACTTCTATTGGTCGCTCACGGGAAGGCGACATTTGTGGATCGCCCGCAATCATCAACTATATGGTGACGTGGTTCGTTTTCGCCCCGATGGAGTACTTTTCAAAACCCCCCAGGCATATCGTGATATCTTTCATGCCAAAGCCAATGTCAAGCGATCCCAGTTTTACGACATGATGACACGGCATAAAAACGATCAGAGTACTTTGACTGGCACCGATCCCAGTTTGCATGCACAGAAGCGTCGCGTTCTGAATACGGTGTTCTCCGACAGATCGCTTCGCGCAATGGAACCACTGCTGGAGTCGCACGTGGCCCGTTGGTGCGAGCTTCTTGTCGACGACCATGAACTAGAGTGGTCGGAAGCCAGGAAGATGTCAGAAGTATGCGACTACTTGGTGCTAGACGTGCTCTGCGATCTTTGTTTCGGGCGAGCCGTGAACACCAAGGAGCGTGGTATCAATTTGTATCGTCAAATTCCACACACCATCGCGTTTTTTTTACGGATACTATACCCGGTACGTCGCAGGATGTGCGATCGGCTACCCTCCCACATTCTTACTGACTCAAGAACAGCTGGGTCACAGCCATGGCTTGACCCTCTCGTCTGGCTTAAACACCGCGGTCTTGACTGGCTATTAGGCAAAATCACGCCTCCCAGCGTTCGATTTCTCTATGATTTCGTCGACGAATCCTTAGCTCAGCGCCTGGATTTAGAAGCACGGCAAGAGACTCGCCAAGACATGCTGCACTACCTTTTACGCGCAAAGGACCCCGTCACCGGGCTTCCAGGATACACGCGCGAGGCCCTTGAAGCGGAAGCCATAATGCTCACCATCGCCGGCTCCGACACCACATCCGTAATCATGGCCGGCTTCTTCTTCTACATCGTCCGCACCCCCCACGCTTACACCAAACTCGTCCACGAGATCCGCAACACTTTCACAACCGTAGAAGAGATCAGAGGCGGCCCCACCCTCCTTGCCTCGTGCCCGTACCTCCGCGCCTGCGTCGACGAGGCAATGCGCATCACGCCAGCCGGACCCTCCGAGCTCCCCCGCACGGTTCTACCGGGCGGTATCACCATCGACGGCGAGTTCATCCCCGAAGGCACAACCGTCGGGGTCTCGCATTGGAGCTTCTACCGCAATGAGGAGTATTTCCCGGATCCCGACGTCTATCGTCCGGAGCGGTGGCTGGTCGATCCCGCAGCTGGAGTCTCGGCGGAAGATGTCGCGCGGGCTCGGTCGAGCTGTTTCCCATTCACGGCTGGGACGACGAGCTGTGCGGGCAAGAACTTTGCGCTGTTGGAGTTGTATATGACGATTGCGCGGACGGTTTGGCTGTATGATATGCGGCTTCTGCCGGGGGACAAGACGGGCGTGGTGGGGAGTGAAGCTGCGGGTGTTGGGGAGGTTTTCGAAGTCTGGGATAGTTATATTAGCTTGCGCGAGGGGCCGATGGTGCAGTTTCGGCGGAGGAGGGAAGTTTCCATTATCTAAGTAGATTGGATTAGATTGGAGTTCAGCTGGCTAGATGGATTAGTGGGTCATATAACTGTTGGTGGGATAGAGGGATACGACTAAACTATTGACGAGTAGATGCATAGATCGATGCCATGAATTCGACTTCTTCTTGTTGTATGTATACAGATCTTTCACGCCTCAGGCCTTGCTACGTATTTTCAGACCCCACGCCATACAGTAGAGCTCCGGTTGCGACTTTAGCTCATGTGTGCGCTCATTGCGCGTCTTCTTTAGATGACCAGGGATATATCGCTGACCTCGGCTGACCTAAACAATACTTCCAACTCCGCACGCATATAGACGATCAGTAACCTGTCAGCTCCTGTCAGCAGTGTTATCGCCAAGGATGACAGGTTATGTAGATGGCTGTTGAGGTTGTCTTGCCAATCTGTCAATTTTGCAAGATTTGATCGAGATCGGTAAAGATTGATGGTCCAGTTTCTGCTTAGGGACTCCGGTTTCGGCTGGATATACTAGAGAGAGCTCAGTGTCACATTACAGCGTGTGGGAATGTGTGCTGCGAGTTGGGAGACATGGGCGTTGGTGGTAAGGCTTCTTTGATTTGTGTCTTCGGGCGTGAATGCTTTTTCCGATTTCTTGACTTGATATTGTAATATCTAGACGCCATGTGTCCTCTAGAAGGTAATACAAGGGACGTAGCTGGACTTGGAAAAAAAGGAATTACTTTTCTATATTGGAAACTATGTAAATCTCTGGATCTAGATGTAGGCAAATCGACTAATATGAACCTCATTTGAGTAGAGATTATGTTGATCACAGTGCCAAGCTTTGCACGAAAGTCGTGCTTGAGCCTAGCAGCCATACAGCGCGCAATCGACGAGAGCTTCGACGAGACGACGATAGACCGCGGCCAAAAACACCTTGTTGGCATGGCCGTACTGTGCTGTATGGCTTGACGTTCCGTCGACAACCTCACGATGGAAGAATATGGAATCCCTGGTGATCAACATCCCATGCACAGGGCGGTCGCGTTGGCGCATACCGTTGTTGGCGACTAAGTCCGCCAGTAGGTTACACAGCCACTCCATATCTTTCGGCTCTGGCCCTGTCCCTGCCAGGACGAGTAGCATGGGTCCGGGAATATCACCGCCCAGTATCACCTGGCAAACGGGCAAAACATGGAAGTCGCGCGGCTCTGGACGAGATCCAGGACGGGGGTTGAGGGCGGAAAGCACTAGCTCCTTTCTCTCGATGAGTTGGTCGTGGCCCTGGCTGGACAAGTAACGACGCGCTTCGTCGATGGCCGACTGGATGAAGACCTCCGCCCGCACGCAAAGGGCATATTGCTCGAGCACCCCGCGATTCGACGGAATGCTAGTGCCTAGGGTTCTCGGTCGGTTAGCAGGACGTTTTCCTGGTGTCCTATCACATATCTAGGTTTTATACCAACGTACGTAGGGACTGTGGGATTAGGGGCGTAGTAGCGGCCTTGTCGATCTCGACTGAGGAGGTATCTTCCGCCAACTTGAATAAGTCCAGAATCTCCTGCGGAAGACCTTCGGATCCTGGGATAGTCTTGGTTCTTGAGGTCAGCTGGGACGGGGCTAGTGGGAGACAGGATCTTTCACCGTGTCTGCGTCCTTGTCTGGGTGAACAGCTTCTTCCTGATGCTCGCCGTCGCCGCTCTGGGTAGTGCTGTTGTTGTCGTCGTCATCCAATTTCAATACCGTTTCTTCGATAGATTTCACCCGCCGACTCAGAGCATGAACAGCCTTTCCGAGCTCGTCAACCTCATTGACAAGGTCGATGAGCTCTTCGTTGATCGACATGGCGGCTTTGTGGATTACTCTGCTGGTACGTCTGCGTGGTGAGCTTCTGGCGATATCTCAGTGGGATAGCGACGTTGATTGAAGGCAAATTCAGGACAGTATACCGATGAGATGAGTCTTTGACTGTTGAGAAATGGAGGTGTAGGGTGTACGTGGGTAGTACTTGGTGAGGAGAGTGTAGGGAGGAGAGTGTAGGGAGGAGAGTGTAGGGAGGAGAGTGTAGGGAGGAGAGTGTGGTGAGGGGAGGGTGGGGAGGAGTGTCACTTGGTTGCAGTGGAAGGCTGGTGCGGGCTGGAAATATATACACAGCTAAATCGACAAACGCTTCCAATGGTTGATTGTCCAACATTCACTTGGTATATTCAAAAATGCAAAGCATTGAGGCTTTCAACGAGACCTTCCTCTGAGTTCCCTTCCAACCTAAGAGCAACAAACCCCCCCCACCACCAACATTTGCTATGATTTCAAAGTAGAACAAAAAGATATTATGTTACACATCAAAATCATGTACCTAGGAAGCCGTGAAAAACATTGCAAATGGCTTATTAGACATTTCATATAAAAGCTTTCAACCAACCAGCCCGGCTAGCTCAATCGGCAGAGCGTGAGACTCTTAATCTCAAGGTTGCGGGTTCAACCCCCGCGTTGGGCTTTCCTTTTTGGCTGCTCCCATGATACTGCTATCACTATCACGTGATATCTTTCCTTTTATCTCTCCTTTCCTGTAGGTTAGTAATTTTTCTTTTTCCCTTTCAGTTATTAGTGACATAGTCGCGGAACCAACAACTGTGTACTGCATGAAACAACTAGTATAATCCCCGTGTTATTCATAGTACCGGTGTTCACACGTAGCTCAACGACACCTGGCATAAATCTACATGTACACAAGTTTGTCATAGAAGCAGAAAAGTAGTATTCATTCGACTCGACTCCTATCCTACTGAGTCCAGACTCAACTTCCTAATCTCTAGAGTTATGTTTCAACCACATAGCTAAATGTTTGCAACTAGTGTTGCGCCGTCGGTTTCCTCCAAAATATACAATATCATAGCAGCACTGTAGAAAGGATGGCTAGGACAGTTGGAGAACTGGGCCCTTCGAGCAGCGCAAAATCACTTTTCAGAGACCAGAGACCCTGGATGTGCCTGCATGCGGCGGGGCAGTTATGCGCACCAAAGGACCATGTGTGGACGGCGGCGGAGGAGAAAGGAGAGGAGAGGGGGTAGAGGGAGTTACACAGCTCTGAGAACAGAAGAACAAGAGAATGTAAGTTAAATCAGATGGAAGAAAGCTCGTTTTTATATGATCGCTAACAGAGGAGAGCAAGGACCAAAGAGTGTTGAGTGATCGGGAGCTTGAGAGGAGGTAAGGCCGGCGTCGCGTCCAATGTTCTCGTTTTGCCCATGTTGTATGGAGGCCCGAGGGCATTCTGTTGTCTCCTCTGACCACTATGATCGTTACATCGAACAATGCCTCTCGGAGAACTGTATACACATACAGTTCCTCGCCCGAAGACTTAGTCCACAAAATGGCCTTTACTTTCATAAAACAGACTTGAGTTCGAAAGCTGCGAGCATTTTCTGCCTCTTAGAAGAGCCTCTGAGCAGCATAGCTAATTGGTCACTGTTGGGTGCCCGTGTCTTCGCGTTGACGGTGAGGGGAGGAGAGGGAGTTTGTGTCTGTATTCCGTCGGAGGAGTGATCTCTGATGACTCGGGGAAAGATTTGATTCGATTAGGGGGCTCAGACCCTCAAGGCAATGCTGCCAGATTTCCATGGATGACGGAAGACTTAAGATGGAAACATTAACTTGATTGATTGATATCTGTTCCTCTAAGGGAAACTTATGGCTTAAATACATGTGGCCATGTGACGTAAGGAGGAAAGCGTCAGACGGAAAAGGAGCCGCCTGCCAGGCCGGTGTGTCAGCCCTGCTGGCAGCTGACAAAGGCCTTCTCGCTGTGCAAACGTCCTCGTTTACATGAGTTGGAACTCGAGTAAGAAAGACATAGAAGTCGCATGAAGACGTGGTTCGCAAAAGGAGCGGCATCAGATATCCTCATCGGAGAAATATTCCTCACCATCCACTTGTTCTTCGACGTCTTCGTATTCATCGTCTTCGACAGCAGTGGAATTGCTTGCCTCGGCGGCGGTGGAGTCGTCGACCTTCTCGGCGACGTCTTTAATCACGTCTTGAACGATATTACCACGGGGCCTCAAACGGGCTTGAAAACGGTGTAGAGACGCCGACCGGCAAGACGGTGATCAAGCAATCCATGGCAAGAGATCCTGCATCCAGCTGCGCAAGACAAAGAACTCTTCAATCTCACACCGCGGGAGAAGCGGGCCATGTGCTGTAACTGTTAGCATTCAATTGAACATATCGGCAGACCAAGGAGACCTACATGGATCGAACTCAAAAATCCCCGTATCCACGACATGGGGCGGCATCCTCGCCTTGAATTCCTCCCACTCGGGGCCTCCATCCCACGGATTCCCATGAGCTGTAATATCACGCGTTAGCATGCACAAGCCAATCGAGCAGTGTAATGCCACTCACGAATAACTTCATCGGCAATAGGTGCCACCCCGGGCCTTGCAGCGAGAGGCCAGTACCTATCCATCACCAGGCCCAGGACATCCCGCAAGGCTTCACGCTGACTCTGCAGACGGCTGGGGATGCCACCCTCCCCAACAAGGGATTCGGGGAGTTCATGCACCGAATCGTCTTCGACGGCTGGTCCGTAGTATCGTCTGAGACCGGTGAGAAGACCTTCTACGTCTAGCGCCAGTGGGAGAAGGGAGCTGAGGTCGTGCTCTTGAAGCCAAGGAGTAAGAGCAGGCTGTGGATCTCTTGGGGAAATGGAATTTCCTCCGTCAGTCCACACGGATTCATCGTAGACTTCTTGCTCAAATTGGACGAACTCAGGAAGGTGACTTCCGATGCGACTGGTTTCAAATGCGCGGACTGTTTGGTCCGGGTCCTGTCCGGTATGGATGGCTTCGTCCAGATCGATGTCATCCTGGTGCTCGAAGAGGCTTAAGAAAACAGGAGCGCACATGTTGGACAGAGATATATGAGGGAGGCAGTGAGAACCAAGGATTGTAAAGATAGAGGGTATTGATGCAGACGGTGTCGCTGAAAAGATTGTCGCTGAAGTATGTGATGATGATGTAAAAGAAGGCAGAGTCGGGGTTGAGATGAGAAGACTCTACGGGCCTGAATACCACATATTGTGACTCACTTGGGAGTTCTGACACAACTACGGAATCATCAGCTGAGGAGTGAAATCTGAATGTTCTCATTTTATGTCATCATCTGCTGGCATAATAATTCTGCCATCGACGGTTGGGTTTGTTAGCGAGGTCCGCGACATCAAGGAGGCTCGTTATGAGAAAGACCGTGGACCTGTCACAACTATGCTTTAGCGCTTCCAATAGATACTAAGCGACTATGATAGAGTGTTTAGGTGATAGAATATGTGAATATCGAAGTTTCACATGTTACCCTGTACAAGCACCGAAAGCTATGGGCAAGATTCAGTACGTGGCGGAGCAAAAGGTCAATTCTTCGAGGAATCCAAAGGCCAAAGATAAAAGTTAGATGTGTGTTTCGAGTGTACGAGACATGACTTTCGGAAGGATGGTCGAGGATGTTCGTTATGTCTGCGTAGTCCTTGGGGGTAAGAACGCAATGGCGATGTCATCAACGTACCCACCGGCGAACTCACGAAATTCCTTACGGGGCAAGTGTATTTGGCATTGGGCGTAAGGACTCGGAACAATGAACTCTATGATCGCTCCATCAAAGACCTCTTGTCCATGAGGTGTTAACTGCCGTAAGTCGTTCTATATCAATGAGGATATTATGTCGATGACAGCTGAGACAGGATGATCTCGGCCTTCGAGGTCTTTGATCATCTCGAGCCGGTGCTGTCTGCAGTCGAAGAGCGATCCAAGCCTATTCTCTGGTAACAGGGCCTTCAATCAAGGCTAATGTTGAGATTGCTGCATCTTACATAGTTGTATCTTCATTCTGTCACAAAGAAGCCAATCCAAAGTCATGCCAGATGCAACTGGCGCATGCTCCGTCGAATGCGCCTGGAAAACTACTTCTATGCAAGCTCCGGCTGCGCTAGGACAGCATCAAGGTCATGCTTCAGGCGGACGATTTCCCGGGATTGAATGAGAATGGCATTCACTTAAGACGGGCGAAGCATCGCAATCTATTGCACTTCTTGGTGTTGGTATTGGTAGAAAAAGGATTAGGATACTCTGGTGTTATTGTGGAAAGGTCGTCTCTGACTTGGGGCAAGCCTATGGCTGCGCAAATCTCAGCCCAAAAAAAGTATTTTTGATTTGCCTGATGCGTCCTCTGAATTTCCGCTGGACAGTATACCAAGGACATTGTTCAAGAATGCTATGCGTTTTGTTCCTCGGGTTGTTTTGGTCAATAGGCTTTACCTGTTGCGTCAACCTAACAGGCTTGCAATCAAGAACGACAGGATTGCAATCGACATGATGGCGCCCAGGAAATTTCGATTTCCATACGATTGGGGCATTCTGCCTTGGTATTTGCGAGATCTTCCTGGTTGATGTACGGACCCACGAAGTACTCATGGTACTTGGTTGCCTAAGCCCTGTGGGCCTCTGACTTTCTTCGCAGAGTAGCAAAGTCAGGGAGATGGACTCTCTCGCAAAGCGCATGACGCGGACGTCTTTTCCGGTGGTGAGACCCGGTTTCTAAAGTCACTCCTCTATTCAATCGTGGAGGAGGAACAAGTGCACTGGCCAGCGTCGTCGCAAGCCATGATTTCTGGCTCGATTTTGCTATATCTGAGCAAGTTCTTGAAGGTGTTGTTCACTGTTCACGTCGGAGGCCAGTGTCTTCACTTCTACCAGGCCTCTCGCGCATTTTGTCCAAGAACTTTTCTTTAGGGTATTTGAGTTTGTTGGCACTCGAATTTCGCAACTAAAATTGGCGAGTGAGTCAAGAAATGTGAGGCAGAGTTTCTTGTTCCGTGGATGATCCGCCGCATATCTCATGGCCGGCCGGAGAGCTTCGAGTGTTTCAGGGTGACAGCCGCTGTATGTCCCTGGCAACACCCTCGCACTCACGGTCCTCAGTAAACTTGAGCATAAGAGTCTTACGGCCGAAGTCCCTCTTCATTGCGACTATGTAAGTACCATCGAAGCACTCGGTAATCTTCGTAACAGCAGTTCTGTGGCTGTAAACCTCACTCAGGTCAATTAGTTCCTCCTCAGTCACTTCAACATCTACTAACTGCGATGCCGGTCAGTAAACTGAAATAAAAATACAGAATAAGAGAAAACAACTTATGAATAATCTCGTCCACATATCACACACAGTGATCGAAGGCGCGTCTCAAGGCGGGCGAACGCGTGCGTCGAACAACGTTTCTTGCGAATTTATCGAGCTGGCCTCGTAATTGTTCTGTATCTTCCAACGTGGATAACTAGCTGCTATAGTAAGTGAAGGTGGAGAAGATGTCTAAATCGAAATAGTAAAAAGCCGCGCCGAGGTGCAAGAGGAGGTCGCGCGCTACTGGACAGGCTGTACTGTTAGGAAATATTTGCAGTTAAGAATGGCATGGATTACTTACTGATGTTGTTTAGGTCAGCCATATTGAAAAGCGAGCAGTCAGTAGCAGCCTGGCAGGTAAGCAGGAAAACGGGTTGGATAGCGGTAGCTGTCACTGAGAAGGCGGATAGCTCTTTCTTGGTTTTAGTAGCTCCTCAGTGGTGTTCTCGTCATACACAAGGCAAGCAACCACAGGGCACGGTCAGAGGAGATCACCGCGCAGCCAGCAGGCAAAATCGTTCCCCGCCTACCGTAAACCAAGCGGCTCCGGAACTCTAGTTTTGCGCTGACCAGCCCTGATTGAAACATATGAGAGTGAAGCCATACAAGCGAAGCATCTTCTCTCCAGGCCTCCGTTTCTCTTGTAAGTTCGAACAACGCAGCCATTCTGGGTACAAATGACAGGTAAGCATGCTTGAATTAAAGTGACATTGATGCAACTACCCTCCATGAATCCTGCAACAAGAACTCAAGGAGCGGAAAATCCATCGCCCACCAGACAATGCCAGCACATCGCTGGGACGTTCCAGTCGGCAGGAGTGAGAATATTTAAGAAACGGAGTTATCATAGCTTCGAATTTGCCACGCAGGTCAAGATAAAATATCATAGAAGAGCTCCTCGCGGTTTGATTGGCGATATCCGTATGCAATCTCTTTCATTTTTCGTCTCGGTTTTGAGTGACGGCGATTTGGTTTGGCCCGGATATCGACGCAATTGTATTCATATTCATGATTGTAATATACTTTCACTAGATAGCCGAGTTAGCGATACCTGCTTACATCGCTAAGATCGATAAAGCAAGGCAATTAGCTTGGGGACATATACCTATATTCTCACGTTCCTATCAAGGAGCTTCGGTAGCCGGGATTCTTACGCAACACCTAGGAATAACTATCTCGAATCTTATCCCTCCTGTGGCGACGCTGATATTTCTCAGGCAGTGACCAGCTCTCAGTGAAGTGCCTGGCATGAACGCTAGTACTGTCACAATTCTCTTCCTCTTTGCTGAAGATGAGACGGTGGAACCCTGGTTCGTCCGTAGCTTTCTGGAGGGATCCGGCCCTGTCCCATTAAATTTCAAACGACAAAGCTGGCCAGCTCGGTGGTTTTCAGTGAAAAGCGAAGGGTGAGCGTGCAATATATAACCATAATATAGGCTAAGGTGGGTTGAGAGGACATGGTACACATCCTCGAACCAGAGGATGAATGGTCGTTGACAAGAGCATGTGGGAAGGGGTATAGAAACGATGAGCAGGAAGATGATGTAGAAGTAGAGAAGAGCGAAGGATGAGAAGAGGATATTTATGCCCAGCCCAATGGGCTAGCTACGGCAATTGTGAATCGAACCAAGCGGAGGAGGTGAATAGCATAGGGAATTAGAGGAATAAGCTAAGTACTAGAATTGAATCAAATCAAGCAGAGGTGAATAGCAAAGAGACCCAAAAGGGGCATGCATCAGGGCAGTCTGAGAATGGAAAGTTCTGACTAACAGAGCCACCAACTTGTCAGTGAGCAGATCCTGCCCGCTTCCATAACCCGGAATTAACGCCTGGTGTTTGTCATCTTCTAGCCATATGCCGTTTGCTGCACTTGTATCCAAAATCTCACAATAGTCACAGGGATTCGTGTTTATGTACATTGCTCCATGTAGGTCAAAGTCTTCTCGACTGTTAGATGTTCAGGTGCTACCCCTTCAGTGATATCTTCGCCCATCTTTAGGGGTTCGGGATGTCATGTGCAGGGAGAAAAAAAGCCGTTACTTCACAGCTACCGGGAAAGGATCTTCGCCAACACCAGCAGCGAACACCAGCAGCGAACACCAGCAGCGTCGAGGTGATATTCCGCCTTCAGCATGAGCAACGGCCAGCAGTCTTCCATCGAAAATTCAGATAGCCAATCTGGATTGCTAACAAAGCCACGCATAGATACAGAAATTCAAGAAAATTCAAAATCAACACTCAAAATAAACACTCAAAATCCGCACTCAAAACCCCCAAGAGATACTCGAATCATAAGAGACATCTTTCATCAAATTAAAATGACCTTCATTTATTGATAGGAACGAACATCTTCCCTTCCCAACCATAGGCCCGGTTCAGGCGCCGACCATACCGTCTAGCCGTAGTGAAAGGCAACTTGCCTCGGGGATGTGGCTCGTGAAACTGAATGCTCCGTTCGACGTTCAAGTTAGTGGGCTGAAACTGCCACACGGAGCCGTAAAGTTTCATGGCTGTGAAACCGGCGGCCGACATGGCGTGGAGGAAGTGGCTCCAGGGGACTTCACCAGGGGTTGTTGTCACCGCCGGATCGAAGAACAGAGTCTGAAAGACATTGTAGGCGCGTGCGTCAACAGAGAAGGTGGGCTGGACATCCGAACGGTCATCCTCTTGCTGCAGCGCTTCGACATCAAGGGCTTGTGTGGAGAGGGGCCGGGGGGTTCCGCGGGTTTTGACCTTGATTTTTTGTGGCTGGGAGATGTCTTCTGAGGAGCCTCCCGGGTGGGTGTTCGAGTAGACAGAGGGGATGGGCTCATAGTGAGTGTGAAGGGTAGATTGCGATTGCTGATGCTGGTTCTCTGGCTCCTCCCACTCGCCGGTACGCTGAAGTATGCGCCATTCAGAGTCAAGGAGGGCCTGAACTGCTGTACCACGGAAGCGACTCACTTTGGCCGCCATCGCCTTGTCGATTTCCACCCAGAATGCATCCAACCTTCTTTCGGATTGTCGCAGGTCTTCCACATTTTTCTTGTTACGGCGCTTTCCGATCGGGTAGACGATTTTATTGCCTGTCGGGTCGCCAAGTCTTATAGCCTCATTGGCATCGATGGTTTGGGGGAAAAGGTCTTTCAGCGCGAGGTGCATCTGAACCCATGGCTCGGTGCGCTCCTCGTACTCCTGCTTTAGTTTCTCCTGGCGCTCCTCAAGGTCACTTTCCCAGGTCCGAGCCCATGGCTGGTAGAGGGCCAACTGATTCAGACATTGAGAGATGATTGAGATGTCACCGATCACCTTACTGAGATAAGAGGTGATCAGTTCCTGCGCGCCGCGTTCAGATTCGATCATCCGCTCGAGCTCGTCCACAAACAATGGCATTTCATCAAAAAAGCTCGCGTCTCCCTTCTCCCAGAGCATATGGAGCAGCCACATAAGTTCTGTCTCGACGGCTCCCTTCTTTCCGAGCTTGGCTACAACGAGCACTTTCGGGGAGTCACGATCAGCTGGGGGCTTGCGCACAAAATGCCTTCTCAAGGGAGGGGATGCAACAGCTGACACCCTGAGAACGCCGAGCGGTCCCTTTACCGCCTGGGTGAGATAATGGTGAAAGCGCAGCAAAGCCTCCAACAACTTCTCAGGCAGGTCTCTAGACGGACAGATATCTCCAGCATACCTCTTCTGCAATGAGACTAGTGCTCGAGCTTGGTGACTGAGTTCAGCGAATAACTCAACGCAAAGATACGATTCAATCACCACCGTCCCGAGGATACGCGCCCAAAAGATATTATGTCGATGACGGCCGAGAACGGGATGATCTCGACCGTTGAGGTCTTTGATAATCTCTAGCCGATGCTCTTTGTAATCGAGGATCGTTGTCGTGAAGTAACCGGGGTCCTCACGCAAGGCCCAGAGGTGATCTTCTGCCGCGGAGGTGCGTGCCGCAAGTAATGACGCGATACCATCAAGATCCAACTGCGCAGGTACACGATATGGGGCCTCTGCTGCCATCGTCCTGAGAGACTCAAACCCGGTTGTCTCGATATTTGGATTGAACTGTGGATCTGGAAGGATGGGGACGGAGTCGCTGGTCAAGGATGCTTCGGGGTGGTCGTGGAGAATCTGGCGGCAACATTTGACGAGGAAAGATAGAAGTCGCGCCTGTGCTTTTAGTATGAGCAGACCATCCCCTGCCAGGAATTGCTTCTTCTTTTCCATCCACATCGAGGCCGTTGGGTTTCCCGACCAACATATGAGTTCACCGTACTTGCGATCATTTTCGACGAAGCCGTTCAGTATGATGATGTGCTTATCCAGAAAGATCGGTACGATGGCATTCGACTTGATTCCCAGTTGCATGGCTTGCAGGTCGGCAGCCGCAAAATGGGAGGGCGAATGGAGACCTCGAGCGTTCAGCAGCAGTGGTAGCGCATTGTTGGTGGAAAGGTCTTCCTGGTTGATGTACGGCCACATAAAAGAGTCAAGAAGCTTCGTTCCCTGAGCCACCTGGGCCTCGGACTCTCTTCGTAGGGCAGCGAAATCAGGACGATGAACGCCAGCCATGCTGGGCCAAGCATTATTGAGAACTTCCACCCTCTGGCGACGGTTCTTCTTCAGCCATCTCCTCTGGATGGTAGCCTCGTGACGTTGTAAGATCTTGTGCAGTGTGTCATAACATTGAAAGATGTCCTCTGACCTGGCATTGGCCTCTTGACGAACGTCTGTTGTGGATATTATCTCAGGTAAGGGGACATTCCCAGCTTGTTCTGCGCCGATAGATTCAAAGAGGATAGCTTGATACCTGGAGATGTCGTCAAAGCTAGCGTCTGACTGAGTCTCGCTCTCCATTTTGAAGTTAGTCGGGAGGTGAGAGTCAACTTTGATTGTCTGTCTCTGGCTGATCTGTGAATATATGAATGAACATAGACGCTGGCCGCTTGGCTTACCGCCCAGTACTGCCGTGATATGAGGTGATACTATACATAGAAATGTAGAGGATCACGTCACTGCACGAGATACACTTCACGCTTTAAGCGGAACTCTCCATGTGGAGTAACGCCCCTTTTGGTTCTCCTGAGTATTCAACCTTTCTTTTCAACCACGACAATCTTGACTATTTCCTTTTTCGTCACCTTGTCAGTTCATGATACCTTGATAACAACATCAAATCGTGATGATAGAGGCGAATAGGGCAACTGTAGTCGACTCCAGCGACACGAAAACTTTGTATGTACTGATACAGAAGCTTACATCATTTCAGAGGAACCGATTTGGTAACCTGCCGTCAAAGCAGCAGCAGTCTAGCCGACGTAAAGCGTGTTAGATAGTGTGCAATGGCAATCCCGTAGTTTCTTCCAGGTAATAAGACATGCCCTGTACTTGATGTTTGATATCAGACCATATGACATGCTGTTTGTTCCTGTAACAGAACCATGATCACGTCGATGCGTCATAATTGAAACGCTTCGCTGACCCAATGGGAGTAAGGCCGACAGAAATTTGTCGACATCATCTATCGGGGGCTCACTGAGGGTAGCTTGAATCAACCTGGGACGAAGTCCAAGTCGAACCAGACTTGAAGACCATCTTTGTTGGTCCAATCCCAAGGGGTCATGGATTGCTCGGTTACATTGGCGATTCAGCATCAAAGTCAGAGCAGGACGAAGAAATTGATATGCACCATTACACCCAAATGCCATCTTCCTTCGAGCTCAGCAGCGGAGCGCCGTAACTCCACCTCAAGGGAAACAGTATACTCTTTGACCGATGATGTTTTTATATTTGCGAATGATGCCAATGTAGATCAAGAGGCATTAGCCATCGTTGACGTCGAAATGGGTCGAAAGGATTCCATCATTCTCTGTTTATGATAGATGCATGTAGGGCGTTCTGTTCAAAGGTTACTTTCGGCTTAACTTTCGAGACATGACCGCCTCGCGTGACTGGATTGAGTTATCATCCCAGGGCAATCATCCGATATAGCTGTTTCCAGGACAACTTGAGTGGTTTGTACTGAGGCCTGAACCTTGGCATTTCCATACTATTGTGCATCGGTAGATAATAGTGTTGAATCTGGATTATGATCATTCTGAGGCGGTGGTCTCGTTTAAGGTGGTTTGAAAGTGCGTCGCTTTTGGAAAGGAGTCGGAAGAGTGAGGGAAGAATCAGTTATGTAACCGTAGAAGTATTCAATAGTCCTAGGATACCACCAGTTTTCATTTTGATGACTAAGTCTGCATAGCTTGGGGATACAGTTTGCAAGATAAAATGACTATCTATTTTGGGCAACATTCACTATTTTGATGCTATAGAAATAGCTACTCGCACCTTACAGCTCAACACGTCCTCTTTTCCCACATTTTCAACGCAATTCTCTGGGCTCGTGCCATACTAAAATTTCCATCTCTTTCCTCTTCTCTGTGCGCACCTCTTCTACCTGTGAGGTGTTACTTTAATGCTGTTTTCCTCAATCTGTGTTCGTTATGCCCTATCCGTGATCTGTCTCAGACGTCGAGGGTCCATCAATTGCTGAACAACTTTTCTTGACCTACCCTTCGCGCAATCTGAATATTCAAATACCAGTTCTTTTCACCGGCCATAATGCCGCCATCAACAAAATCTGACACAGACCGCGGTCTATTCGAGAAACGAAACCCCGAAGGCTGCAACGCAGCCCTGATCTACAGTAAGTGCGAAGAAACACCCCCGAGCGAGCGTCCCATGCGAACGACAAATTTGGGAATGGAGAAATGGTTTGGTGATACATTTGGGGTGGATTTAGGACCTCACCCCGGTCGAATCATGAGCATCATGCGTCACGAAGCATTCCGCAAGATTGTCCTCTGGTACTGCCAGACTCAGTACGGGGAGAAAGTGTTGGGATGGAATCTCATGAAATCGATCGTCACATTGAAGCTTGATTCGGAAAGATCGCTTCCTTTGATCTTCGCTGATAAGGGTGCTTAACAGCATTTGATTTACTCTAGATCTGGGTTTTGGAGTTTCAGAAGTTCTTCACATTCTGTGATCGTGTCTTCGGCGCGAATACCAATAACGTGGAATACAGTGACTGGGGGTACATCATTACACTCGAGTCCGGTCGACCTCTGGAAGCGTTACGGCTGCTTTTCTTTCCTGATTGAATTGATTACTGCGGTGACAGCGTGAAGGGCAAGATCACGTGGCCGCCGCACGAAGTGGTGTTTCAGCGTCAGGTTGACTTCCCTTGGCTGTCGAAACCTGTAATCCGAAATGGATAATACTTTCATAGACGCCCTGAGTTTCTGGAGAATTTCGACGAGGAAGCTTATATTGCTGTGTTTGATGCTCTGATTGAGTTTCGTAACCTTCCACTTCCCACATGGTAAGGTCCAATATCTATTAAAGATTGAGCTTGGGACTGAAATTCCATGGAAGGAGCGACTGGGGCAGAATGTTCAAAGATGAGCTGCATCCGCTCAGACAGAATATGAAGCATGTTATGGTCTGGATCAAGCCGGATTGGTCGTATCCCAAGCAGAGAGCCAAGGAGCTGCTGAGCTTTATGTGAATCACTGAGATCCATTACGTTGTCTTTGCCGAAGATCATCAGAAGTACAACGCCGATCTCGTGGCCAATGAGGAGCTCGACTGCAATCGATTGGTGGAAAAGTACCCCAAGCCGATTTTCTCCTCGCACTCTGGAACGAAATTCGCTCCGAGAATCGGTGGAGGGACGGTACCATTGAGCAACAGGTACGTTGCTTCGGATCCTACGACGCTGGACTTCCGAGTTAAGGAATATCCTAGTTCGACCCACAGATAGAATCGAATAGCGACCTCGCAGATTATGACACGGTTTCCAAGGGATCTCTCGCCCGATTCCAGCACCCACACTGGAGGAGAGTAGTCCAGCTTGTCAGGAATTAGACAGACAAAGATCTTGCTGGAGAGATGCGAGTTTTCAATGAGCCCGAATACTTGGACATGATTCAAGAAGATGGCCTGTCTTGGGAGGAGATCATTGCTCGGCCCAGCTTCAAACATAATCGCCTCTTTCGAATGACTCCCAGCATCAACAAGCAGAGTATTAAGGATGCTCTCTTCGGACAAGGGGAGATCTTAGGCGCTCTTATCTACTACCGAGAACTGGAACAGCTGCTACTGTCAACCCAGGGCCACGATCCAACAAAATCGAAAGCCCATGTTATCACAACAATTGTAAGCTGCAAAGGTTCACCGCTTTGTTGCAGAGAAGCATAAGCTGATCAGATCCTAGGAAGAGTATGCCCATGCGAAGGCTGCTCTTCGGGAGTTAGAAACCATTTTGAATCGATATGAATGGGATGTAGACGCAGGTGACGCCAACGAGACCTTGGGTCGACTGACATTGCCTCTCACAGGGGTCGCACCAGGGAAGGAAGGGTTGTTCTCTGCTCATCCTCCGGATTATCTGACTTGATTATCATGACGGCTGTAGCTGTAATATAGGAAGGACTAGCGTGTGAAAATAATCAGACCGACCTCGGGTATATTCCAAAACATCATACACCTAGATACTCTCTTCTTTGTAATAATTCTAAACTGCATGTCTTTACCCTGCGATAAATATCTCTTTCCCGTAGCCGTGCTTCGTGGACCAATTCATCATAGCATTCCATAAGCTGAAGTAGCCATCCACGCCGAATCACTCTTAACAATTCGCACCTCCTCAAAAGAACCCATCATCGAAATCCGGCCCGGGCCCAAAGTCATCAGGAGGAGGATCATCAAAGTCATGCTCAAGATGCTCGATGCCCTCACCCAGCAACAATCCACCAAGCAAACCACCCCCGACTCCCAACGCCGCGGCACCGCCCATCCCCAACCCGCGTTTCTTCTTCTGCTCTGGCTGCGGTGGCATCTGCTGCTGCTGAAGTGGCGGCTGGGCGTATTGCGCTGGGTACTGAGGAGCGTATTGATTCTGATACTGATATTGATACGGGTATGGATCGTTCGGATTGCGGTATGGGTTTTGGTACGGATTCTGATACGGGTTGTTATACTGGGGCGGATATTGGTTGGGATACTGGTTCTGCGGAGGAGGGGTGTTGTATTGGGGTTGTGGCGGGTACGGGCTCGGGCTGTAGCCTGACTGCGGGGTTGGGTAGGGACTGCTGCGACTGTCGCGGTTCGGCGGCCACGGGGACGATTTGCCGTCGTTCATGGGTCGAGGTGTGCTGGCTTCGTAGCTGGGAGGTGGGCCTGCGGGTGGAGGAGGGGGTGCAGGGCCGCTCGGTTGCGCTGGTCGGTCGGGACGCTGCCATTGTGATTGTCCTGTGAGAAGGTTCACATAAAACCTGCGATGCGTTAAGTTGGGTCAGTATATTTAGAACGTGCGACATGTTTGAAAATCGGGCTAGATCAGGGGACTATACCATTCCTGATAGCGGTCGTCGAACTGCGGGCGCCAGCCCTCGGGCACTCGAGGCATCGGTGGTGGTGGTGGTGGTGGCATTTTTGCTTTGTGATTGTGTGAGATGGCGATGACCAGGGATTTGGTGGTGGGGAGTCGCGGAGAATAAATAGGGAATCAGACACGGATAGCCGGGAAAGAGTTAGTCCCCGCATGACATCATTGTCTGTGGTTGCCTAATTCCTGCCAAGACTCTCGGCTCTCCTTATCCGCAAAGCTTATTCTTTTAGTCCATGGCTTCAAATTACCCCATTTGACTCCAATGTTATTTGTGACGCTCATGCTAGGACCATGACTAGAAAGCTGCCTTTCCAATCACCATACTAATAGCATACTGAATAGACATGAAATTACTGATGACTTACATTACTCGATAGTCTACAAGACAAGAAATTTGGTCCTAATTAGTTTCATTTGGATAAGGAGACCGCACACGCCAACCTGGCACAACGTCGAACGAGATTCTTTATTTTACGGTTCTCATAGAGCAACTACCCAGATCTAGGACGCGAAACGCTGACCACAATAGTCCTCAGGCATCCACAGGTGTGGTGCACGCATCCCACTGATTGTTCTACCTTCCATTCGGGCAATTTCGGCATGCATTCCATGCAGCCCTCCGACTCATCGCACAGGAAGATTCCCTTGCAGTCCATCGACGGCAATTCGGAAATAAAACAGCCCAAAGACCATCAGATTGACCCATAGGACCAAGCAAACAACCTTTGCCCAAGGATTAAGGAGCCACAACGTCAGCCCCACGTTACATCCTGGCAACTGCTCCCGCAAGAAATCGGAAAGAGCCTCGGTACTGCTCTGCGCCACGAGGGAAGGCACCGTCCCCAGCATTTGGTTTTGCAGCTCATGCGCACGGAGGATAATCTGGATCTTCCTGTCCGTGGTGACGAAGAAGAAGCCAATGGCCAGGAGGAGGCATAGCACGATGAGGCTGCACCACAGAACGGAAAGCACGGCTCTGCGTGAAGAGCAGAGGGTGACGCGCAACCCATCCATGGCATGGGGTACGGCAGTGAACCTCCAATTCACGATAGCAAACTCGACCTGCATAACGTATAGCGGGAGGGTGGAGATGTAGTGCAACACCATGTCTTCATCAGGCCCCTGGCTCTCTCCAAACAAGCCAGAATCGGAAAGTAAGTTGCTTATTTGTCCTGGAAGAACGCGGGTGTCCGAACATTTTGCCCCTGATATGGCTGGCAGGCTCATAAATCCTTTTTGCCCAATTGGGGGAGAAGGGGGGGTTGGGGGGGGGGGGCTAATGAACTATTTATCCATTGAATAGCTGCATGGGTCGCTTTATGTTGAAGGTAAGAAAATCTGCTGGGAAGCCCCGGTCCAGGTAGATGACAAAGAGCTTTTCTCAGAATTCATCTAGGCGGTTTCATTTCTTCCTTTCAGTCCTGATGCTATTACTTGAATATGCCGTCTTTAGTGTTATTTACCGACAAACACGAGTGGTGCTTTCTGACTATTTTTGAGCCAAATGGAAGATCGGGACAAAACACTCCGTTCAACAAAAAGAGTTCTAGTCTTCATGTAATACAATCAACAGTGGGATCATGTATTCATAATCGGATCTAGGCAAGACCTATCAGTGCAAATAACCCGAGTTAGCTATGGCATCTATATAATGAACGAATTTCAATGATGGCAGAAATGCAGCCCTACCCTCAAAGTAGCTGCATCCTCCAAGCGACCAATGATAGAATATCATCTCCCCGGCCGCATGAAATATAGTTCAGTGTACACAAAGAACCATCCAGTGCCAAGCAGATGACTGCCACAATAATTAGTAATACCGTACCCCCGCAATATTAATGGACGTACCCCACCCTGTCCGAGGATCGACACCCCGCATTCTTACCCCTACAGTCTCAAGCTGACATACCATTCAACCCAACCCAACAACTCACCTCAATCACCCTCTCACGCCTTCCACCACAGCACCTAAAAGATGACAATCGACCACACCACCCTCTTCGTCCCCGAAGACAAATTCCAAGCCTGCCTGACCTTCTACCTCGAAGCCCTCGAACCCCTGGGCTACATCATTCGGCACCAATTCGGCGAGTTCGTCGTGGGTCTCGGATCACCAAAGGAGGATCTGAGCGACTACAAGCGCTCCGACTTTTGGGTCTGCGGAACCAAGGCGCAGCCTGAGGGTGCTGCGCATGTTGCGTTCAGTTGCAAAGGTTCGTGTCCCTGTTTTTCTCGGCCGGATGACAAGAGAGAAAGGGAAGAATGGCTTACATATTGTGTGTGTATGGCGTAGATCATGCTACTGTGGACGGCTTTCATGCAGCGGGGTTGAAAGCTGGGGGAAAGGACAATGGAGCCCCAGGGTTGCGACCGTTCTATCACTCGAGATATTATGCGGCGTTTGTGCTGGATCCGGCGGGGAATAATATTGAGGTCGTGGATCATGGGTACTAATTGATTGGCTGGCTAGCTAGTTGGCGTTGTTGGGGACATGGGGTGTGAGGGCTTGGAAGCCGAGGTATGATGATAAGTCCATTTACTGCACGGTTTTGTGTATTATCGCATGCACGCCAGAGGAACTCTGCTCGGAAGCTGCGTTGGGGATTGAACCTCTTGCCAGTATGATGTTGGAATTGATTCTTAATTTGAACGTGGCTTCTCATACATCTTGTCTATCTATAAAAGAAGACGTGGCCGTACACTAGCAAGAGAGAATCGCCAGCTACATGATGCAGTATTGATCTCACTAATCGCAATACCACTACAGCCGTAATTCCCCTCCTGCGAGTCCTAAACCTAATCACCACCGCCGGCAGATTGAAACTTTGCCTGCAAGCCCTTTACCGCATGCTCCCCCAGCGCAGCCAAACTCGCCGAGGACATGATCTCGAGCACGCTGATCTCCAGCCCCAAAGCCGCCTTCCACCAGGACCGAAGCTCCACGGCAGCCAGACTGTCAAATCCGATATCCACCAACGAGCGAACTAGATCAATTTCGGACTCGTCCTGAACAGGCTTGAGCAGGAGGTCGAAGATCCACCTGGCTATTTCTTTCGCCAAGAATTCTACCGTCGATGGCGCATCGAGTCTGCTGTCGTTAAGAGACAGCGTGGACACGAAACGCTGCAAAGCCGCGCCAGGCTGCGTCTCGTCTGAGCATGTGTTGTCGCTGCTCTGCCCGGTAGACTCCTCGTTTGAGTAGGTTGCCCATCGACGGTCCAGAAATGCCGCCCGGTTGCGGACGGCCTCGCTGAAGTGGGCGGTGTTGTGGAATCCGGCAATGATCTGTGCGGGGTTGTTATACACGGGCTCCTGTAGATCAGAAGACCCGGCGGAACGGTTTTGACCTGGCGGGCTTCCGGAGAGGATGGCGAGGGTGATGGCCTGGAAAAGCTCGCGCTGCGACATCACCGCGCCTTCGAGCCATTTTGACCTGTCCAGAATCTGCGGGTTGTTGGCCACGTGGCCGATGTTTTCAACCGCGCCGATGTCAATGACCGACGCTGGCAGGTGGTGGTGGTGCCGGTACTGCACGAAGGCGTCCATGAAAGAGTTCGCAGCGGCGTAGTTCGCCTGCCCGGGCATCCCGACGATACCGCACATAGAACTGAACAGGACGAAGAAGTCGAGCGCCCCATGTTTGCGAGATGCCTCGTGCAGGTTCCACGTGCCGGTGACCTTGGGTGCTGTTGCGGCCGCCCATTCGGCTAGGGACATGGTGAGGAGGGATGCATCGCTAAGTACCATGGAGATGTTGAAGATTCCTCGCACCGGGGCGGGTGCGGCGACGATGGCCTTGTCGATATCGTCGAGATTGCAGACACTACCTTGGATGGCGGTGATGGAGCACCCTTGACTCTTGAGCTCACTGAACAGCTCTTCGTGCTGTTCCGTACCTGCGCTGCGGGAGAGAAAGATCAGGTGTTGTGCTCCGTGCTCTACCATCCAGCGTGCCAGTCCACTTCCAAGGCCGCCTAGGCCGCCAGCGAGCAGATACGATGCGTTACTTCGGAAAATTACCGGCTTCGATGAGGCAATCGTGGCTGGCAAGGCGTCTGCAAGAGTGAAGGAAATAGCGAGCTTGCCAACATACTGCTGAGTTTTCACGAGGCGCAAACAGTCTTCGGCATCTCTTTGGGAGAATATCTTGACAGGTGATAGTGGGTGAATGTGTCTCTGAGTGTAGAGGTCGACAACTCTGGCCAGTAACCTGTCATGAGGCTATGTTTAGTAACTGAAGGGCACGAAGAGGGGGATATTGGAGAGATGCACTCACCGTTTTCCCTCTACAGGCTGCAACCTCATATACTCCAGTAAATTGGTTGTAACAAACGAGATATTCGGCTTAAAAAGAGCCGCTGGCATTGGATTGTGACCATCAGTTGCAAACCCGGCAAGATTGATGAGCTTGCCACAAGGGGCGAGACATTCGCATGACGCTGCGAGAGAGTCCATGGACAGAGAGCCGAAGACTAAATCCACCCCGCGTCCTCCGGTGGCATATTTGACCGCCTGCGCCCAAAGACTGCTGTGCGCATCAAACATCATATCGCGTGATATTCCGTACACCCTGCCCAGGCGTTCCGCTTCCTCCTCGTTAGTGGCATTAACATATACTTTGGCGCCTAGCATCTTGCTGATCTGAATCGCTGCATCCCCTACGCCATCAGGCATCGAATGAATTAAGATAGTCTGTCGATTAGATCTTGTCAGTCGGACATTAGAGGTTTGGGGCATTGGACGAAAGTGACTTGCCTGCGTGTCATTCAGTTGCCCGACATCGATCAAAGAGTAGATAGCACTAGCAAAGGCCAATGGAAGTGCGCTGGCATTCTCTAGAGAAAGATCGTCGGGAATTTTAATGCAGCTCTCGCTCGGTACAATCACTGATGTAGCAAGTGCTCCAGGGTGACAAGCGATAACGCGATCCCCTGGAGACAGATCGGTGACTTGTGAGCCAACCCTTCGTACAATGCCGGCTGTTTCGCATCCCGGCTCTACATATGACAGCTCTGCTGTTTTAGTCGATGTGCACGTCCCCTTAACTTGTTAGCATTGTATACATGTTGAAGGAACCGCAGGAGAGGAGAGGAAGGAGCTCACCAGGCACCCCAGACCCGCTGTGTCAACCTCGACTTCAATCTCATTCGCTTCAAGCATGAACCCACGCGCCCTGACTACCCAGTCCCATGTATTAAGGTCGAGCACCAGCTTTGAATGGTCGCCATCATATTCCACCTGGGCAGATGTACCAATCCTATCCTGCAAGGAGAAAGGAAGCAAACGCCCCACATAAACAGAGCTGTCGTAGATAACATATTCCATTTCTCGCAGATCAGGCTCCGCGCGCCTCCGCTCTTGGAACTGATCGAAAACGTCAATAATGAGCCCGGCGCTGGTATACGAGATGGTATCGACCTCACAGGTTGCAAGATCGATACCAAACTCTGCACGCGAAGTCCGCGCAATACCAATCGTCGTTGCAAAGCGAGGATCGGTGCAGCCCATCTGACTGCATCGCGTAACCCAAAGTGCTCCAGAGTGGCATCGCTGTAGCTCACGCAGAAAGGCTTGGTAAGTGGAAAGCTCTGACGCGTTCATGCCATGAAAGAATGGCTCTGCGGTGTCGACGACAACGATAACATCCTGCGACACCGAGATTGAATCACCCATGGTTTGAATCCCGACCGCGTATCCGCGCGAGCGTAATTGCTTCTGCAGGAGAATCGCGGTCTGCGTCGATTCTGCATCGGAAAGGAGGACTGTCCTCTTCTCGGAGATGGGCCTAGGCTGACGGGGGCTGGCAAGCATGTATGCCATGTTGTGGAAGGGCGGTGCGGTATCGAAGGCCAGGTCGTCTAACCCATTGTATCCGGAGCGTTGAAGCTCTTGCTCCCATCTCATGGGACCGACGTACGGCTCACTTGCTCGCCCGTCCTCTGCTCCAGCCCACCAACCTGGTAGAACACCCGTCACGATATTGGCATATTTGATATCGCCACATAGCTCTTCCAGTAAGAGCTTTCCTTGGGGATGTAACAAGCGTCGAACATGAACCAGAGTATCGTGAAGGCTGGGTGTTGCATGTAGGACATTCGAGGCAATGATTAAGTCAAATGCTTCGGGTTGGAAACCTTGACTGACGGGATCTGAGGTGATATCCAGGGTTTTGAAGAACATATTGGGATAGGCCTTGAATCGCTCCTTTGCGGCTGGGAAGAACGCCGCGGAGATATCTGTGAAGGTGTAGGTAGAATATTTTGTCTCTGAGAGGATATGGGCCGTCGTTCCACCTGTCCCTGCCCCGATTTCGAGGATGCGTTGCCCTGGATGGTGATGACCAAGCGCCCGGAAAAGTGGACCTCGGTCAACTTTGTTCAGGTAGTTGTACATCTCCAGAAGAGTGTTATCGCTCATCAGCAATTCTAGTGCATCGACTTCACCCTTGCTGATGGCGACGAAGTTATTCACCACTTTGACCATGGCTTGCGCACAGGCTACTGCTGAGGTGGCCGCCGCTTGGCTGGCGATTTCTTCCAATGTCCCAACTGCTGAATCCGGACTAAGATTGTGTTGCTGCGCTCGAAGCCATTCATGATAATGGCGAATATGAGGCAAGGTTGCGATAAGCGTTAGCTCCTCAAGATAAGCAATGCTCGTTTTAACACATGCATTCGTGAGCTGATCTAGGATAGCTCTGCATTCTCGGAGGCCTGGCGGGGACAGAACAAGGTCGGATAAAGATAGGAATGCAAAGTCCTTTCCCCAATGAAGTCGGGTTCCAGTTCCAGACCCAGCATCCTCGGGCTGGTGGGTGCCCACAGGGCTTAAAACGGTGTCCTCGAAACTCAGGACCATCGTGCCATCGGACGCGAAGGCCTCTCCTCGGGTTTTTATCACGCCGCTTGGCAGTGGTTTGGCCCATGCTGTGCATTCAAGGCCAGCGGAGCAGTCTGCGATGTTCACTTCCCTAATTTCTGTTGGAACCGGAAGCCGGTCAATCTTCCAGTCCAGCCCCTGATACCTGGCTGCATAGACCGTCTGAAAGCATGCATCCAGTTTGGTAGGGTGAAGTGGATAGTAGGCGGTTTCTGCCAATGTGTTGCCAACATGGGTAGATGCGACGAGGTGGGAAGCCGAGGAGCGGACGGATTCGAGGCCCTGAAAACTTGCCCCGTAGTCCACTCCCGCCCCGCTGAGAGTCCGATACCATCTGCCCACGTCGATCTTGCGAGGAAATTCCTGCTTGGGCTGTCGCTCTCGACAAGGCGGGAAACAAGCTCCACGCCGCACTTGCCCGGAGCAATTCTCAACCCATGCCGCTCCGTTGTGCGAACTGATATTGAAGTCGTAGCAATCCTCGTCGGGCCGCTTTCGCAGAGACGTGATGACTTCCGTTGTGGTGTATCGATCCAAGACCATGGCATTGCTCAGCTGTATGTGTCTGATTTGAAATCCCGTCAGATTCTTGCTATCGACCTGTCGTACGGCTTCTATTGCCATGGCGATATAGCCGGCCGCAGGAAATACCGCATTTCCCGTGACGCGGTGATCTTGGAGCCAAGGCACGTGGCCATGAAACAGCACGTTGCGCCAGCTCGGCTGATTGTCGGTGCTGTAAGTCACCCGTGTTCCGAGCAGCTCGTGCCTGGGGAACTTCGCCCATTTCCAGTCTTTGATGCTTCGAGGCTCATAGATGGTTGAGGTGGGGTGATGCCAGGCATATGTTGGGACGTCATGAAGAACCATAGCAGCTCTGTCCGGGTCGGTTAGTGTGTGAAAATCCAGCAGTTGGTCCACAGCAAAGAGCTCGCCGACCAGAGTGAGGAACGATTCATCACAGGGTCTGGACCTGGAGAGACAAGAGAGATACTGGTGATTTAACGATTCCTTGTCAAGCATCTGACGAATTGGGCCAGCCAAGGCCGAGTGTGGGCCGAGCTCGAGGAACAAAAGGGGTCGTTTGAAGCTGTCGGTAATAGCTTGGAAGCCCTGGAGAAAGCGAACGGGTGACTCCAGATTCTCCTGCCAATACTCGGAATTAAGGGTTACAGAAAGTGGGAGCACTCGTCCTCTCACGGCAGAGGCGAAGATAACCGACCTCGGGGGCACATCAGGGTCTTCCTTGCACAAGTAATGATCCATGAAAGACCTATATCTCTCTCCTACCTGGACCATATGTGGCGAGTGATAGGCCGTGTCCACTCGGAGGCGTCGCACCAGTACCCCAGGATGCGAGGCTTGAATTGCACTCATCGTTTCTCCCACCGCTACCGAGTTGCCAGAGATGGTGACACTGTCGGGAGAATTCTCACAGGCAATGACCACCCCGGGTCTAAGGAAGGCCAAAGTTTCTCGTGTTCCCATGCCCACCGCACACATTGCACCATCTAGATCCACTTCCTCGGACACCAGACCACGATAGAAAGCACATATCATGGCTTCCCTGGCCGTCAATTTTCCGGCCGCATAAGCCGCTGCTAACTCGCCGGATGAATGGCCCAGCACTGCAGCAGGTATAACATTCAGCTCGGAAAGAGCATCCACTAACGCGACCTGAATTGCCGTGCAGATTGGCTGCGAGTAAGATGCCTTGTGCAGGTTGCTATCCTCAGATAGCTTGTGAATTTCTTCAACAATGGACCACGGAGGAGCTTCGGGCAACCCACGAAGAACTCGATCAGACTCCTGTAGAGACCGTCGAAAGGTACGATTGGCCTCGTACAATAGAACACCCATCCCGGGCCATTGTGCGCCTTGCCCAGTGAACACGAACACGATATCTGGTCGTTGGGCCGGTGTGCGCGGAAAAACCGATGTTTGTATCAACTTCTCTTCCGAGACAATGGATACGGCTCGAAAAGGGAGGTGGGCCCTTCTGGCTGCTAGAGTGTATGCAAGGTCAGGAAGAGACTCTGGATGAAGTTCCAAATAGGCGTGGTTTCTCTTGACGACTTCTGCTAGAGACTCGGGCGTGTTCGCCGAGAAACATAGCAAAGATGGCCCACGATGGCTGTCCTTACATGGAGAATGTGCCGGGGTCACACTGTCGGCTGACTCTAGAACAGTGTGAACATTGACACCACCGAGCCCAAAGCTGTTTACGCCCGCTCGAAGAAAGCGGTCTCCTGGCCAGGGTACTGGCTCTGTTGGCACCGTCAGGCCTCCATCACGGAAGGGTATCTTCGGATTCGGGGTAGTGAATCGGATGTTTGGTGGAATGGTACGGTTTTCCAGGGCCAAAACAACCTTGATAAACGAGGTGAGGCCAGATGCACCCTCGGAATGTCCAACATTTGGCTTCACTGATCCGATGAAAATCTTTTGCTCGCCCACGGTCTTGGCGACCGCCATTGCCTCGATGGGATCACCCACGGAAGTTCCAGTTCCATGACACTCGACGTAGGGTGTTTGGGAGAGGTCTTTGATACCAGCAACCTGATAAGCCTGTTTGATCAACACCTGCTGGGCTTCGGAACTAGGAACCGTAAAGCCGGCCGATTTGCCATCGGAATTTGTTGCACTGCCTCTGATTATGGCACGTATTGGATTTCGATCTCGAACAGCTGCCGCAAGTGGTTTGAGGTATACTGCATTGATTGCTTCGCCGCGCCCATAGCCATCGGCGGCGGCATCGAAGGACTTGCAGGCGCCATCTGCGGACAGCACCCCTCTAGCCGACATGATGCCGGTCATGGTTGGGGAGAGGATAAATTGAGCGCCACCAACGATGGCCGCATCGCATTCCCCTCGGGCCATAGCTCCGCACGCTTGGTCCAAGGCTACCATGGCCGAGGAGCAAGCTGTCCGCACACTCATGCTCGGACCACGAAGGTCGTACTCGAAAGAGATCCGATTGGGGACTGCGAAGTCACCGCCCACAGCGAGCGGATACTTGCCATACATCTGCAGATCATGGTAGAGAATCTCGGTCCAGTCGTCGCTGAACGAGCCGACGTAGCAGCCGATATTCTTACCACGATAGTTGGCTTCGCCGGCGCTGTCAAAGCACTCCTTCACCACTTCCAGCAGATGACGTTGGTGGGGGTCTATGTACTCAAGCTCGGCTTTGGTAAAGCTGAAAAAGGATGTATCGAGGTCTCCGGGGTTGTAATCCAGGTAGTACCCATATTCAGTGTTGATCAAACCATCCTTGTCAAACTTAGAATAGTGGCTTTCAATATCATACCGAGAACGTGGGACACGTGAGCGCGCATCCCCTTTGGCTAGGAGGAACTCCCAGAACTCAGCGGGGTTGCTTATCCCGCCTGGAAGCCTCAGTGCCATTCCACATACTGCTATTGGGGTAAAAGATCCCGGGGAACAATCATCAGTATCATCCTAAGTTGATATCAGATCCATTAGCTGCCGACAGTCTTCATTTTACTATCTTTCTCTCTCTGCTGCGTTCCAAACAACGTAGTACTTACTGAGTTGGGTATTTTTGAGGTTTCAAGCATTGTATCTGATCCGGAGTGTTTAGAGACACTTCGTCCTTGTGGCTACTATGCGTAGAATAATCTTTCGTTTCTTGTTGGCCTCGATATTGGATTCACTCGGCAAGACAGGAGACTTTGTTCCAATGGTTATGGAGGACGGAGTAATCCTCCTGCGGAAGGCTACTTATAAAGTTTCTGATACAGGAGACATCGCAACAATTATTTCGTGGCCGTTAGCATATATGAACTAGCCGCCTGTAGACTGGCTTACTATTCCGCGAATGTCAGTATGGGATTGGATGGATTTCAATATCTCGAATCAAGAAGTATAGAGAAAGCCAGGAGGTCCTTGCCAGTGCTAGCCAGCGGATCGGCACGATTGGCCGCAGGCTAACCGGTTTCAAACATGGCATGGTGGTGGCCATTCCAGTTTTATTGAGAGAAGATGGCAGAAGAAAGTACTTAGTCGTGTTCGGGACGAGGTCATTGCGAATAGGCCCTGGCGCAAATGCATTAGGGTGCGCTGTGTAATGTTCTGTGCCGAAGGTATCTTGATGTGGAGACATATATCACGACCCACCATAATTTCTGGAGGTACTCACAAGCGATAACTTGAAACTTTGCTTACAGCCGCTGCAAAAAATGAACAGGTTGGCTCTCCTCATACAGCAAATGGAGGTTCACAGAACGTGAGCGAAATCATGAACGAGATACGATAGAGATGGAGGTTGTTGTACAGTAGCAGTATGCCGAGGATGGATGGAACGTGAGGGAACTTGGTGGACAGTAGACAAACTATGCAAACAGTCCGAGCCAGACTCGTCAGCATGTTTGCAATGTTTGTGTAATTGTACGGCCGGGGAAAATGACCAGGTCACGTGGTAGTGCAGTGCGATCTCTCCGCCAATTTCAAATAATGGAGATTACTCCCCCCGAACTTTCCAGTCTTCTTGTTTCTCTTGACCGATTATTCTACATTATGCATGGCTTGGATTACGGAGATGGAGCAGCATACAGAATCAATATCCCTATCACTAAGATCTAACGCCTCACAGGCCATCTTGCTACTGCAGACCCACAGCCGGGGTTATGCTCTGTGATGAACACGGCTATCTTTGCATGAATGAAAGGTCTGAGAGCCAGTGAGCACAGTCTCTGGTTTTGCCTGGAAATCAAGGAAGGACTACGTTCTAGTCGTGAAACTCATAATATAGTTGACCTGCTGCAAGATGGGCCCATTGGGATACGTCAGTGCGAGGACGTCCAGTCCGTTGTGGCGCTTCGAGCGGGCACCAATAAAAAAACAGGCAGGGAAAAGAAAATCATGGCCAAGTGCTCGTGGCTAGCTCAATGAGCATGAGGGTTACGATCGAGAAGCGCGGAGAAAGGCCAATACGTCATGTGGGTTTCAGCTTTCTGAGCTTTGGTGATTCTAACTGCATGCCCTTCTCCGGAGCGTCGAATCCCTCGCCCATAACGGTACGTCTGTCTGCATCTTGTTGCTGCCAGCAGGAGCAGTGAACAAATTTTGTCAACTCGTAATAATCTTCAAGCCATTGAAGCTGCTGGCGGCTCCTTGATAGCCGAACTCACCCCTTTAAAGATCGGGCCAGAGCTGGATGTTGTTGAGAGCAGCTCACCTTGTGCACAATACCAGCAGCCATACGCGAGTTGTCTGAATCGGCAAATCTCAGCCATGTCAGTTTCTCTTCTCATGACCATATTTTTTCTGGCTGCGGCATTGAAGTGGTGGCTATCACCGGCTCGCCTACCTTTGCCGCCCGGCCCAGAGCCGGCTCCGATTATTGGCAATATCCTGCAGATCGACCGCAATGCTCCGTTGCTGAAACTCAAAGGAGGGATAGCCATTTTTGGTCCCGCAGTGAGCTTCAAGATAGGGTCAAGGACTGCAATCTTGCTCGGGTCTCGGACGACCGTGCGAGATCTTCTTGACCGAAGGGCAACAGTGTTTAGTAGCCGGTGACGACTGATTGGAAACGGCGAAAACGTCCTGGATGATCTCTTCCCCGCGTTCATGCCGTATTAAGACAGATGGCAAGCGCACCATCGCCTACGATCACTCTTCCTTAACCCGCAGACTGCAAAGGCATCCGCCCCAGTGGCCACAGCAACCAATCTCTGGCTGCGAGACATGATGACAGGAACCAGTTTGGAAGATTCAATACTCCTTGTCCCCATGCGGCTGTTCTTTCCTTTGCTTTACGGAACAGACCCCGGCTCCGTAAACGTTGACCTGGTCCATGGACCCAAAGCTGGATTCAAGATCATTATGGGAGGCTTTTCCCCAGCCAACGGGCTGCTGGAATTGTTTCCAGCAATGGAATACGTTCCCGGTTTTGCATGGGCTTCGAAAAAAGCGGGGGCGGCCTTGCTGGAAGCCTGTTTGGGCGAAATCGACAATAGGCTCGAAGCCGCGTTGCGGAACCCGTCCTGGAACTTCACGCAGGCGCTGTACGAGAGACGGCCGGCGGAAATGAGCAGGAAAACACTGTGCATATTCATGATGGAATTGGAGTTGACGGGCGTCATGACAATTGCTTTGTCGACTTGCAATATCGTCAAGATGGCAGCTACTCATCCGGGCGAGATGCGCCGGGTCCAGGCAGAACTGGACACGCGAGTTGGAAGTGACCGGCTTCCGACGGTGGAAGACCTTCCCCACCTATACCATCTTCACGCCTTCATTGAGGAGTGCTCTCGGCTGCATCCTGTTTTCCCTCTGGGCGTCCCACACGCACCGACCCAAGAGGACGAGTATATGGGCTACCGCATTCCTCATGACGCAATTATTCTTCCCTTCCAGTACGGGTTGAACACCGATGAGGCCACATATAAGGATCCAATGGCGTTCCATCCTCAGCGATGGATTGATGACCCCTCCCTGCCCCCTCCGGCTGCTTTCGGCAATGGAAAGAGACTCTGTCCGGGTCAGCCGTTCGTGTCTGACATTGTGGCCCTAAGCGTGGCAACTACATTCTGGGGCTTTGCATTAGAAGACCTAGGTGTCACGAGGGATTCAGTCAGCTCCAATTGTCTGCTGGTCCAGGAGATCCCCCTATCACATGTGCGCCATATCTGTCGAAGCTCAGGCCACCTGGCTACAATTGAGCGGGAAGCGCGTAAAAAAATGTTGAGGACTGGACCTTGGGGCTGAAGTGATCAAATGAGGTCGCAAGCTGGGTGGGACAATCTAATTTCACGAGGCAGCAGTTTGTGCTAGCATGGATGTACGAGGAAGAAACGAATCAGAACATCCTCTTATACGCATGACATATACCCGACCACGGACGGCGATGGTCGCCTCGACCACTTTCAACAATGCAAAGTAAGACATCCCTGCGTACAGACAAACCTACTGCCATACATGCACCTAGGCCCACTCGCCGTGGCCTGCAGAGTTCAGTACGCGACACTTTGGCCGTGAGCTTAGCACAACCTTCGTGATGCAGGGATTCCGTATAGAGATAACTGCCCCCCTGATCCGCCAATCAGCGGGAGAAAAGAGCATTGTCAACAGAATGATCAACATTAGCGGGTATCCGGGCCGGACTTCCTGACTCGTTCCATTGGATCTGCCAAGACCGATCTGCAGCCCCTCGCATTAGTTTCGGGCCCAGTCCGAGATCTATGGCCAGGCGTTGCCCCGAGCGCGTTGCGGATCGTCCCGTGAGCCCAGTAGCACGGGCACAGATTGGTTGTGTTTGATAACCGGGACATACTCTGCATGGAATTTGAAACCCTGGATGGACGATTCGCCACTGGGGAAGTGCACTTAAAGTGTCCGTGCGAGGTTAATCTGCATGAAGAGTCGGGAACAAGCTATATACACAGACACGAACGCAGCACGGCCCACACTTTCCAGCCACATGATGATTAATGTCTTCCCCTTTCCCCCCACCCCACCGGCGCCCTCGCTCACGATATCAGGTCTAACCTGCCAAGAAGAACAAGCAAGTCCATGGGAATGAGATTTCGAACCATAACCCCAGCTAGCTTTGCGGAATCTTGCCTGCGGCAACCCAGTAGACGGGAATATTGATGACGATCTGGACGACATAGCACGCGGTAGCCAGCCAGAAGGTGATGGCGCCGTTCCAAGCGAAGGGGCCGGAGTGAGCGCAGTGCACGCCGAGACCTCCGAACCAGCCCAGCGGCAGGACAAAGTTGATCCACGCCATCCAGCGGGGAATGAGAGGCTGTTCGCGGCGGTCCGACAGGATAATCGAGGTGATCAGGAAATCCTGGAGATATAGCATCGGGAGAAACATCATGTAGTAGAGCCAGCCCAGGTCGCTGAGGAGCTGGATTAGGGCCGGGTCTCGGTCTGGGCGAAAGCTGACAGGGCTAAGGAAGACGGCGCAAGACATGAAGCAGAGGCCCACGGCCACCCCCGTCGCAGCCTGGGCCATCACCATCACCATGTTGACTCCTGGGATTGTGGCTAGGAGGTTGCTGATACCAATCCCGTAGAAAGGGTAGATCACCCCTGAGAGAAGGCAGAGGATGATTCCGACTCGGAGACCATTCTCGTGGGCGGCGTAGTGGCGTTGGAGCACAACTGGCTCGACGGTGGGGCTAATTGGGGGCAGATTGTTGGACATGGGAAGCACCAAGAAATAGCAGATCAATGCCAACGGCCAGCACAGTATCTCCAATCGTATTGTTGTGATCTTTTGGTACGGAAGGCGTTTGACCGGGATGTTGTCGATGCGGGGAAAGGACTGTTCGAAAGTCATAATGGGAGTTTGATCGAGACAGCGGATAAAAAAGGGACGACTTGAATTTCGAGGGTTGTGAGAAGCCACGGCGCTTACTTCTGCTTCAAATACTACTTCAAACTACTTACTATAGTCTCAAGATGTTGACAATACCACGTACTATGCCTCGCCTGCATTCTGGTCGCATGTTGAGATCTACAGTCCGAGACAAACCTGTTTCGATCTATTTGGCCTGCCTTGGTCACGAAGCTATACCCGAGTCCCTTGAGACCCAGTGCGCAGACGAAAACCGTTGACGCAAGAGCCGAGCAAAATCATCGGAGTTGTCCCGTCTTTTTTTCCCATGTCAATGATATTGAATTAGCTCATTCCTCAATCAATACGTCTCTGCAAAAGTAGATACAGCAGCAAAGTCTCCGAACCCACAACGTAGACCACGTCACTTCGGATCGTATCATGATATCATCAGCCAGGCAGCCACAACTACATGCAGAGAGAGCGGAGATAGCTGCATAGGATATGCCTGTGCAATTTGGGTGATGGACATGCGCGAGTTGCGCGAAAGCCATCGCAAGACCTTGATCATTACTTTATCACATGCAACGCTGAAAACCAGATTATATCAAACCCACACACATGCTTTCGGGGCCCCGCCCTCGTGGTTGGTTGTAGACTTTACATCTGCACCTCGTCCTACAAATCTTTCAAGCATCCGTAGTACTAGCACCGCAACGCAAGATCTACATCTGCACATTACGTTCGGTGGAGGCCCGTGCACCGAACAAAGTCAATTCCTGCAGACACGGTGAAGGGAGGGCGGGGGGAGGGGGGGGTGGGGGGACGGTTGAATAGCGCGCACGACCCTGATGCAGCCAAGGGAGCACTAATGCACAATCATGTAATCAACCCTGTGCCATAACCTTAGCTGATCGCGAGAGTGTACAGTACATACCTCATCTACTGGGTGCAGCACTATCTTAGAAATCACTGATCTGCATGTCCATTGATCTGGCTTATCCAATCATACAAGCATGAAACCTGCAAGCTACCCCTCCACTACAACTCACATCTACCCTTCTCCTAGCCAGCTCACCAGAACCTCCCCATACGACAATGACAAGACAATCAACCACTCAAAACATCATGCTTCCAAATCAGCATCCGCACCGCAACCGCATACGGTCCACAAACAACTAACAGCCCAGAGGTATTCACCAACACCCCCAACAGATCCACCGATGGCAGACCGCGCCGCTGGCACGCCTGCAGATACGCAACCAGCGCCCACACATACGCAGAACTCGGACACAGCACGTTGGCCCACTTCGTCACGAAGTATATGGCCTCCCGAGGATGCAAGGTGAGCAACTCCGCGCGTGGAAAGGGGGGAACAAACATGGCGTGCAGCGCGGACCCGGGAGCCTCGTCCAGACTCAGACACCAGAGCACGGTCACCACATGAGAAGCTGCGGCGGCGTAGAAGGCCCAGACGTAGAGGACGCGAAGTCGACTGAGGACGGCGGCTCGGGCGGTCGGGCGGCGGTCCTTGTTTCCCTGCAGAAGATATGCCCCGCCTGCTATCCAGACGGGCCAGGTGTGGATGAGCATGGCGAGGTGGACTTTCACCTCGTCTGGTGGGTTGTAGGGGCCTGGGCAGTGCATGAGCGCTACTGGGAGGAAGAAGAAGGCGGCTTTCAGTGGGACGAGGGCGTCGATTAGAGGCCTGTTGGTCACGAGGGCGTCGTGGGAGTCTGGACGTCCGTCAGGGAAGTTGACGACACAGTACAGCGGCGTGATGAGGTGGGGTCCGATCCACATGTTGGCGAGGTGCCATTTCAGAGTGCTGCTTCCCAAGCTTGTATCAGTATAGGCCATCATGCTGACGAGAGGTGGAACAGGGCAGGAACTTGGTTAAAGGGATTCATACTGTCTGAGGCATTGGGTGAAGGGCTTGTGGCGGCAGCTCTCAGCTATCATCACCACCCAGATCGACCCGAGCCCACAGAAGAAGTGGACGATTTGCAGCGTTCTTGGCGTTGGCGCACCTGCACTGGTCGTGAGATGGGCGGTCCGGTAGAAAGAGGTTATCATGTCCAGCCAGGGTATTCCTGTGTATCGAGCTGCTGCATACCCTTCGGAGAGGGCTAAATGGAAAACTTCCTTCACAGCACCAGACAGTATAATAGAAAGCCAAACGCCTGTCCCAAGCAATACATTGATTTGGAGGATACGTCTAGCTGCGAGCAGCGAAGTGACAGGGGCATTAGCCATGGTTGGAGAATTTGAAGAGAAGAACGGGCGCGATGCATCTAAAAACACGGGTGATATGGGTGAAATGATGCTAGCTTTATAGGTTTCCTACCGCGCTAAAGCTTGGCACATGCGACATATACTTGGGTCAGACAACTATTACGACAAGCAGGGATGATATTTACTCGACCTCCGGAGGTAGTTCCATGCAATTCGAGAGCCAAGGCGCAATGGGTGAGAGCATACAACGAAGCAGACCTTGCAGTGGTATGCATCTGCGGTGTTTTGATTGGACATTCACCACAAGCGCAGAGACCCACAGCTTCAACGTCAAGAAGCTGAGCCAAAGAAGCGCCGTCACAACCTACCGCCCCAGGCCGCAGTGTCACACAATCATCTCCGGATCATTTTGGAACGTCGGCTCGCCAGTCACAGTAATCAGCGTCTGGGTGGCGTTCAGAATGATCGAGGGATTCTCCGGCGAGAAGGGATGCAGCTGCGCATAGGTTGCCACAACGAGGTGCAGCTGGATTTCATTGCTCCGGATGTTCCAGAGGCTCTACAGAGAAGTATTTATGAGAATGATACTCAAGCCCAGGATGATCAGCGTCAAGGGGCGTGAGCGACGCAGGTCTAGGCGGGTGATTGGAGGACCTCTTCGCGGGCGATGCTAAGAAACCTACTGATCAAGGCGAAGACGCAAGAAAGGAAGCACACACGTACAAATATGAAGTTAGGCATGTGAGTGTTCATTTTGCAAGTCACTGCTGGGCCACGGAAGTTGGTTAACAGATGACTGTCACCGGATCGGGTGCGAGATGGGGATTTGCCGGGGGTATTATGTTGCTGTTTTGATTGAAAAGCAAAGAACTATATAATTCTCGATTTTATGACATGTCTGCGCGCCCGTTTCCGAACAAATATGATTACTAGAAGGATCCGTTCTGGATATGCATTCAAGAAACTGAGCCGGGGGTTCCCCTCTCTCTCTTCCACTTATTTTTGCTTGTCTAAGTTCCCATTGTATAATATGTTCTTCTTAGTGGCGATATCACTTTAGACACAATGACAGAGGGTTCGCCCCATAATCTACTAGATAATAGATCCTTAGCTCGGAAGATTGTGTCTTTCTGCATGCCATAATGACCTCTGGTGTTGGAAGCATTGAGTATAGACACTGAGGTCTAATCGGAGGCGGGACATCGTCGTGAGCTCCACCACTACCAAGCTCGACCCTCGACAATGGAACGAGCAGCAAAAATATTCTTTGCCGACAAAGTATCATAAGAGAATATGAACAACAAAGAGGAGCAAGGCAAAACATACAACAGCATAGGTACGACAGTGGTCAATAAGCTCCTAACTCAAGATATTTTCTTTATACTCTCAGATATTGCGTCAAAGCCGCCTGTAGCCTCTATTGACGTAAGTAAGTTGAATAAGTATTATATCCCTAGATCAAATGAGTATCGATAAATAGAACACTTGGACACTTTTCCCTTGGAAACCCCTTTGTCCCAGGTGGTAGTGATACTGAACCCTCTCACGCCATAATTCTCACGCCGCGCAACGATCGAATGCCTTCGACGTCCTCCTGGTAACTTTTCTCGAACTCGAATAGCCTCATCCCTCCCACGCAGAACTCATACTAAGTCCCTCTTGGTGCCACTCGACAAACAATGGAATGACCTCACTGAAATCAGGACCGCATCTTCCTCCCCAACAAACAAACGGGAAGCCAATGAAACTCCCCTCTTTCGTCTTTTTCATCGCTAGGCTGTTTCCGCATGACATCCTCATGCAAAGCCGCCAGACCGGTCAACCACTCCTCCTGACTCGGCACCGAAGGCGCCACAGCCCGCAGTTTATCTAGCACGGCACTACTATTCTCTAACGCCAACATGAAGGTATCCGTGGCGAGTGGAATGAGCTGTGGGGTGGCCCAGGAGGTTTGCTGCCGGCACTCAATCACTTCTAATCTCTGGTCTTTGTCGTCTAAGACAGTGGTTTGGATGTGGTGGGCGAGGTTGTCGAGCCACCTAGAAGATCCCCATATCAGTATTGATGAATACAATTCCTTGAGGATAGATCTCCTGAATCTCACCGGAAATCATGCCCAGTCACGACCGTCTGCCGATTCATCAATTCCCGGAATCGCTGAGCAGGAAGACCACGCTGCACGATACTGCCGAATCGAGCGTCTTCCCATTGAAGATAGCCACCTGGTTCTGTTTTGCCCTTTCGTGTTAGTTTCTTTATTTCTTTTCAAAGTAAAATGAACATACTCAGCAATCTCGAAGCATGCCGAATCAGTGCACTCGGATCGTTATCCCGGATAATGAAGGCCCACATGCGCAGATGCACCACGTCGAACTGACCGATTAGTGCTTCAGGGATCGTCGGGCTGAGCGAGTCGAGCAGGTCGAAGCGCACATTCGCGGGCCAATACTCCTTTGCCGGGAAATGCGTGTCGGCAATGTCGAAGGCGATGATGCGAGCGTCTGGGGGGAGCTTGGGGGCAAGTTCAAGGGCCCAGATTCTTGAATTTGGTCAGTTCCAAGGAGGATGAGCTTCAGGGAGGTTTCCATACCCCGTTCCGGCTCCAATGTCGGCAATCGCGATCCCATCTTTGCGGGGAATCTCTGGGTGCAGGAGATACCCTGTGTGCAGCTGCCACAGGAGATGTTGCGCGTCGAGGCTGAAACATTTGTGGCAATCAGCAGAGGAAAAAAAGTGAGAGAAAAAAAGGATATGATGAATGGATGGGGGTAGGCTTACCGAACCGCTTCGGATCGATCGCGTCGCAAGAAATAGGTGGTGGGGGAAGGCGTCGTCATGTTTATATTAGTGATTATTGCTCTGAGAACCCTGGATTTCGGCAGTCGGAGGAATGAAATAGCATGCAATGAAGGAGCCTGTCTCTTTCTTTTATAACAGAGAACCAGATACAATACATTAGCTGTATAAACTCGATACACAACACAGTGGCCCAATCTCGGGTTAGCACGACCCACACCCGTCACATAAAAAAGGAATAGCTTCGAAAGATCATCGCCGACCGACACCCAGCTAGTTTTCTATCTAGTGCTTATCCTCATTTTGCGTTCAGACCCCTTAGCACGATGGAGCCACGTCACCATTGTGGGACGGGATTGGCACCGCGTCCCCGTAGTGGTCTTCCTCCTCTGTAAATAGCCGCCATCGTCCCTTGCCGGCGGATTTCGACCGACTGCCGGGCCATGATCTGCTCTTGCCCCCCTGGGAACTAGATAAAGTGCTCGGCAATCCTATCCGGGTTCGGAGATATGTGTACAAGGGTTGCAGACAGGGTAGACATGCTTGTGGGCGCGAGCATCACCCTCCGAGCTTAGCCAGCGTAGGAGTGAAGGGAATGGGGGTATATAGTCAGTGGAAGTCTACCAGCAATCGTGCCAACGTTCAACTCAACACATGTCCAGATCAGATACGGTACGAAGATCCAGGTAATGTCCTCCGAGGTCATATTGACCCTCACCGGGCACACAAGGCGGATTATAGAAATGACGGTAACGCTAGCGATGCAGTCAGCATTTAGCACACTCCCTTGTAGCCACTTGGAATAACAACATACAGGCCACCCACGAGGGAAGTCAGTCAGCAAGCACGACCTTCTGCATTCGGCTAGTATACAGTTACCAGACAGATTTTAGCGGGATAGCCAGAACAAAGAAATTCGCGCCCGTATCCAGGATAGACTTGCCCTTCAGCGAGACTAGACTTGTCCCAGTAGCCCTGTAGGGAGACGCACTGGTGACATCTATCAGAGCCTAGCAACACGAGAAAAAGAAAATGATTAGCTAATCAGCACGCAATTCGATGAAGGGATTATGACATACACAAGCGAGCGCACAGGCAGACACAACCGCGGCCACTCCCGCTGTAGCTTGCATGACATAAAGAATCTATAAGATCCTTCTGGCGAGCCTGAGGCCACATAAAGGCCCCCTCACCGCCCGCGTTCTCATGTAGATAGCCTCGCTTCCCTGAGTCATTCCATAGCGAGAATCACCGTTTCCACGCCTCTCAGAGGTGTTCCACCAGTTTCATCACCTTCGATACGATAGCAGAATGAAACTTGATAGCTACCATTGTTGCCACATATCCAAGTTATATAACCAGTGCTTCAGGAAAGGCTGGGACTGAATTAGCGGGGGGTCACTCATACACGCAGCCCTGACCCATATTGGGTATCTGTACAAAGGTGTTCGGATGAGCAAGAAGTAATCAGGAGAAAGTTGGTAGCAGAGTGAGAAGCCTTACTCCAGGCACAAGATAGCGGGGACGAATTTCCCCGAACACGTATAGTCTATCAAGTTAGAGTTTTGTTGGGAAAAAGGGAAATGCAAGTTAGAGGCATAAAATAGACCAGTGATAACAAATTCGCCCAATCATCCCACCACAGTCCAGCCTTGTCAACAGATCCGGCAGTAAATCGCAATGCAACTGCCAGAGATGTCAAAACCCAGGTAGCGATCAGCACCCCAGCGATTTTGGGCCGCTGGTCGGCTGAGAGGTCAACCCCGGCTAGTGCTGTGGAGCTCATTTTGTTGGCGGCTGAGGACAGGGGAGAACCGATGCACAAAGTACGACTTAAAGAGTTCTGGTGATATCAACAACAGCAGTCGCAAGTTTGAGGAGAACAAAGAAGAGGAACCCCCGCGGACGCAAGTTTCTGTCTCCATGTGGGAATATGATGGGTACTTCTCTCACATACATACCTGTGGGCCATAGGATGAGGTTGAACTTGGACAAGACGGGAAGAGCTGCAACCTTTTTAGGCTAAATGTTTTTGCGGATCTTTAAGTCTTCTACTAGAAAGACCGTACCACGAAATGAACAGTCTATAAAGTGGAGTCAAATGTCCCTCGTCTACCTTCCCAACTTCGTCCAGGTAGGACCATGGCGCTATCTCCCGAGTACGGTTTGATAAACGAGCACGATGCTGTCTAGTCCAAGTGGAGTTTGGGGACAAACACATCCCCAAGATTATACATCTTCTTGCTGGTAATTGTGTTGTTCTTGACCGGCTTCGCTATTGGGAGATACCAATTTCCTCCACTGATTATGTGGGTTCTCCTGCACCAGCAATGCAAGCAAGCACTGGCTCATTGTCTAGCCTTAATGAGCAGGACTCCATATGTGTTCGAATACAACAGCACATACCAAAATGAACACTCCCCCCTGACCAAGAAAGTACATTGAGGACTGTTCCCAAGCGTAAAGGCTTTCTCAAGCATCCTACCCTTATCCGCCACCAGTCAGCGCTAGCTGATTTTAACCAATTGCACTGCCTGGTATGGCGTCCCTTGGGATTAAGCTCCGAAATGTGCACAGACAAGTAGCTGATAGTCACCTGGATAACAAGAATAGCATTCGACAGGGCGACTGGGCCTTGTATGATCTAGCGGCCAGTGGCCAGAATCTTACCAGCAATAAGGACCTCCCGCACATACCTCTATTCCGACGAGCTTGAGCTTCATTGATACTGAGACATTCATGAATTCGGATAAATTGTTTTTGACTTCGCTTATTCTGGGTTCGTGTCTTACAATGTGGTTCATGAGGTATAGGAGCTAGCTCCGCTGCTGGCTCGGGAGCATCCGAGGCTTATCAGCCTCTTCCATTCTCAAGTGAGACAGGTGCTTGCGTGTTGAGAGTATCGGCATGGCTTGGACCGGGGGCTGAGATCATGTTGTCCGACGTGCTGAGTTGCTTGCCTTCGTCTCGTCTCCAATAGGTGCAAACGAGTATTTGGGCGGTTAGGAAGGCGACGTGTTACCGGTGCTGGAATGATTTGACCAAGTACGTGCGGTGAAAACACGGCGACAGGGACAGGCGAGGTCAGCAGTGGAGGGTAATAGATGCGCAGATAGGCCAGCAATGACACTTTCCCCAACTATTCAAAAAGATATTAAAGGCAAAAAAACATACAACAGAAGGGATTCGCTGGTGGTCACCCACCCAACTACTAACCTCCCGGCGTGTGGCTTAAGTACGGCTGAGCGGACGGGAAGCCCTGTTTTCCACACCCTGTGGTCGTATGTGCTTGTGCACTGCTGTGTTTGGAATATGTTCACATCTTTTTCTTGATGGATTACATTGGTTTAATGATTGTGAACAACCTTGCTGTTTAGATAGCACGTCCAACACGAAGATAAAATCCTAACCTAGTGTCTTCCGAATTTCAAAGTGATAAACCTTCGATCGTTTCGATCTCACCATGCTGAATAAGTGTTTGTACCAATTTTCGATGT